ATAAAATAAACTGCTCCGACTGCTACGCCTCCTATATCGAGGAAACTGGCAGGAACTTAAACATAAGACTTACTGAGCACAAACGAGCTACTAAGAAACAAGACAAAACTAATCACATTGCCGAACATCACCGAATCACAAAGCACAACATTGACTGTTGACTGGGACTCGACAAAATGCATTACTTACAGTACTGACTATAGACAACGGCTTACATTAGAAAGTTGGTATACCAACTTGGAACAAACTCCCTGAACAGATCACAGCAATTACCGGCACCTTAGAAACGACTTACTCACAATACAAACAAAAGATCAACTAAAAACATTACACTTCACATTAATTCACAATGACAATACACAATTGACACCCACACATTACAACTAAAAACATCACAACTAAAAATAAAAATATTTCACTTCACACTAATTCACAATGACAATACACATTTCCTGTACACACAATACAGTAACGTAAGAACCAGATAACAAATATGGCTAACCTGACGTTTACTCCTCATTTGACTCTGAAGATGACTACCGCTAAGGTTTTCAAAACGTCTGTCAACAACAACAAAAACAGTCCTTCTCAGGACTATACCAACCTGGACGATCTACATTTACAAACATGTAAAAAGATTCGTCTTAAGTCGCCCAGACGTATTATCGGTCTTAGGCATAAAAACGACCTAATATAACATTTAATAAGCAAATGTAAATAAATCTGTGACGATTACATCAGAATTATACATCACGAACTACTTATAACAATAAAAAAGTAGGCAAGTATACATAAGCAGGAAATTGTAACAAAACTTACCAATATATGTGCAGGAAATTTGGCAAAGTGACCAATCTTAACGCTTCAAACCGACGATCAAGCAGACGTCTTATCAAATGAAGAAGGAATTGCATTGCTTTCTTTTGAAGGAGACAAAACAACTTATTTCCTGGTTCCACTTGATAGATTTTCAGGGCGATTCCCGTGCATATTTGAAAATAAAAGATAACATCATCACTCCACCCTGTTCTGTTGGATGCCAGCATCCTGATCTTCCTTAACAACAATTCATTGTTGGTCACAGTCGTTTAAGACACTTTCACAGAAAGAATCTATAAAGTACAGGAAGCAACGGAAATGACGTCATAAAAATACGAACTGTAGCAAAGAGAAACCGGGTTAGTGCATAACGTAGCAATACGTCACAATTCAACGTCGTTTGTGATATTATTTACAACCGAGCGTTGCGAAATAGTTAGATCTATATTCTCAAATTATTCAACAAAAAGGAATTTTCTTTAAAGCATATATATATATCTAAATTGAGTTGAACTTGTTTGTGTTAAGTTGCATTTACAGTCGTCAGGAATAAAAAATACACTTGTATGGTGCCATAAAATGTGTGGGGTTAACAAACCTCCAACGACTTTGATCAGTTGTAAAATCATAGCGAACAAGTAACCATAATAATAAAATCATAGTGAAATTTTGGTATGTGCATACATGTATACACACATTTTGTTTCCTCCTCATGAGAGATCTTTCTTCTAGCACAAATGTTTGAATCAATTTATCCCAAGTATACTGTATTTAATGCACGTTTGAGAAGAAATTTGCGTTTTACTATCTGCCTGAATTCATCATCACGACAAAACCATTTTGCAAATCATGTTGCAAGAAATTATTTCGTATCTCACCAACATGGTTCTATATATTTACATATCATAATTAGTGTTGCTGTCTCTCTCTTTTGAAACACTACTCTCATGACATATCAAAGTACAAATACGTCAAAAACAACAGAGGATAAGCCATAAACGAACATGCCAAGACCAGTCTATAAAACGAGAGTGCGCGTGAATGACGTGCGATCGATCACTGATCTGATACTAGACTGGGTATAGCTTCTATAGGTAGCAAAAGTGAAACCTAATTATATATGCAAAATGCACTTCCGGGTACCACAAGAAAAACAAATTACTATAGAAATGTATGGCGGGTAACGTTTATGTACAAGGATTTTCGAATATTTAAGGCATTTCGTGACCTTTTACTAATCTCAAACATCTGTTATGGATAAAACAAGTTATGTTAATCAATTTGAGGTCAAAATGATACCAATATCTGCAAAATATCGGCTCTCGTGTTCAACTGAAAATTGCGCGTGCAAGAATCGAATTTGCCCCATCGTTGCAAAGGCAAGATAATTCACAGCTCATTTTCCAAGTTCAGAGGCAGTTATGATCTAGAATGAGTTTCGATGCTTAAAAAATTCGTTTTGTACCTTTCTTTTATCATTCTTTATTATCTAGACATTGTTTTATGTTACTTTTGCCGTGACTTCATTAGCTGGGTACTCTTGTTGTAGGAAAAAGACAAATTTACTAAGCTTTCTTCCTCTCTTTATTCTTTATTATTTTACAGATATAATTTATTCACCACGCCTTGCTAATACATTTGGACATGGCCTTCATCAATGAGTGAGTATAGTTGTTATTGACATAACATGTGCATCAATTGCATTGTATACAAAGATTCGGCAACAGAAATTGTATTCCCATGTAATAAACTACCATCAGAAGCTGAAAACACCATCCTGCCTTGTTTCATGTTGATATAACAATAGCTGTTGGTGTGAAACAAATTACTTCTGTTTGTAGACAAAATATATACTGTGATGATTATCAAGCCTAGATGACAATCACCTGCCCTACTTGTTAAGAAGCTGTTGGTTGAAAAAATTACTAAAGTGAATCTGCTTTCCTATCTTTAAAAGACAATGAGTACTTTGATTCAAACCAACAGCTATTGTTATTCAAGTATGCAGTAAAACAGAAAGGTCCTTTTAACTTCAGATGGCAGTTTACCACATGGGAATACAATTCTTGATGCTACGGTATAGACTGCAATTGATAAAAATGTTGGATACTTTTGTCAATAACAACCATACTTACTCATGGCTATATACAAATGCTACAGCAAGGTGTGGTGATTGTATTATTTTTATAAAATAAAAACAGAAATGAAAATAAGAATAAAGAGAGAAAGAAAGCTTAGTAAATTTGTCTTGTTCCTACAACAACAGTACCCAGTTAAAGAAGTCACGGCAAAAGTTACATAAAACAATGTCTAGATAATAAAAAATGATAAAAGAAAAGTACTAAACGAATTTTTTAAGCATCAAAACTCATTCTAGATCATTACTGCCTCTGAACTTGGAAAATGAGCTGTGAATTATCCTGCCTTTGCAACGATGGGGCAAATTCGATTCTTGCACGCGCAATTTTCAATTGAACACGAGCGCCGATATTTTGCAGATATTGGTATCATTTTGATGTCAAATTGATTAACATAACTTGTTTTATCCATGACAGATGTTTGAGATTAGTAAGAGGTCACGAAATGCCTTAAATATTCGAAAATCCTTGTATGTAAACGTTATCCGCCATACATTTCTATAGTAATTTGTATTTCTTGTGGTACCCGGAAGTGGATTTTGCATATATAATTAGGCTTCACTTTGGCTACCGATAGAAGCTATACCCAGTCTATTATCAGATCAGTGCGTGCGATGAACAAAGAATAACATTGCACAGTCGTCATAAGAAATGGTAAATTTATAAGATTCTTTGTGGACAATCTTCCTGGATGTAGTCGCTATCGTTACTCAATCACTGCTTGTCAAATAAAGCAGATTTATCATAAATATCCATATTTACAAAAACTCATTTAAAATATATGTATATTTTTCATACATTAGGAAACAGGAATGGTCTTAAAACTCTTTTCGAGATGCACCTAATTGAAATGAAATGTTCAACACCAAGGCAAGAATCTTGCTGTCATATATATCTCCATGTACCAGTCAAGATCGGTTCCATACAATCAATTTTTCCTATCTCTTTCAAACGTTCCACGAGATGTTTACGCGAAAATTTCTTTCTTTTGTTGATCATTGACAATACTTTCTCAGCCTTCTGGAAATCATCCTGGTAAATAGGGTTGTGTTGAATGTTAGTTCTTTCTTCGTTAGCAATATCCATAAGACCGGCGAGACTGTCCCAGTCTACTCCAATGCGTCTGCTAAGCCGATATGTTTTACGCGGGCTTAATGCAGTGTGACCATTGAGTTCTATATACCTGGAGCGGCTAACTTTACTGGGGCGAGGACGCCAAAAAAAAATGGCGGCCAAAGGACGTATTTCCGCTGAAATGATCGCTTTGCAGAAAAATAATATTCTCGACCTCCCCCTGGTGTCTATAGTAAATTATAAAGAATTTTTCAAAAACAAACACGATATCACAGAATATGGATATCGTTAGTTCCATATTCTGCGACGATATCTTTTTTGGCATTTCTTTTATAATGCCAACACTTCAATCGTTCAATTGTTGGATGTCGTATTTTCCACAAAAAGGAACATATCGCTTCTCACAGGTGAGGTAGTTGTTTGTTTTGTTAGTCCGTCAACGATTGAAAAGCAATTATACATGCTCTCGAAAAGCCATAAAATACATATTAAAAATCCTACAATTGTGGCGAAAAAAGCCATTGCCCATTGCATGAAAAGAAGCAAAATAGCAATGATAACAAATAAGCTAACTTCTCTCTCGTGAACCGTGGAGATGAACTATGATATACTTTTTTGTATAGACTAAAGAGTTTAATCGATCAAATAAGTTTGACGCTGGTAAGAAAACGACGCACATCTACATTCATACATGTGTAGCCGACATATAGGTCTTTCGTCGATAGTTATAAATGCATCCTCGTAGGAGCAGATAACTGACAACCACAGTTGACTCGCTGTTATGAATTTAAGGTTTTTACCTTGATTTTCATCAAAAAATTGCTTGCCGAATCCCAAATACACACATACATTTTCCTCACTCTTTCCTCAGGAGGGAGTGGGAAATTGTGAAATTTTCGGAAAAGCGGTCAATTTCGGTAAATCTCAGCGGCAAAGGACGAAATCCGCCATTTTTTTGGCGTCATCAGATATCTAAGGCCGCGCTTGAGATAGCCGCTCCAGTTATTATAGAACTCAATGAGTGTGACGTAATGTTACGTCATCATCAAGAGAGCTTTCGCTAGAGCTTTCGTTAGAGCTTTCTGTATCAACATTCTTAAACAAAAAAATACGAAATGTAAGATGAGCTATAAGGTTGTCTATGCTTTATGATAGTTTCAATGATGCACTAAACACGTATTGGATATATACTGGACACAAAAATATATATTAAACTACAAGAAGACAACCAGCTAAGGAAGGGAAGAATATTCAAAAAACAAACGAAGAGGAAGTTTTCTGTGAAGCAAGCTCTTTGTGTATAAATCCAGACGATATAATAACGTTAGAAATAACTTGTTTTCATGTTTAATTTGATTTTCAATTCTTTTAGACTTTATTGCCCGAGAATAATTGTTTCAACAGATGGGAATAAATTTCTAAACAAAATACCTCTTCTATCTCAAGTGGGATATCATCACGATCCGTTTCCTCGAAACATTTCGTCAGCATATTTCGACTAAAATTATGTTGCTCGTTGTAAATTGCAACTATCTTCTCAGCCTTTTAAAACTGTCTGGATAGTCAATGTGATTCCGTCGAATTTCGTCTCGTTCATTATATGGGATATCTAAAAGACCACCAAGGCCGTCCCAGTCCATTGCAATTCTCCTACTTATTCGAGTGACTTCCTTATGTGTCAAATTCTTTCTTAAAACAACTAGTAAAAGAAAAGTAGCACAATTTTCATCATACTCTTAACAATGAAGCTGATTTTAGACTCAAATCTAATCAAATCTGATAAAATGAGACTGTGAGACAGCATTTAAAACACATGTCAGTAAGCATTAGAAGTTGGAAAAAACGTTACCTGGTGGATGCGGTTCAACTGGATTTTCTGAAAAAAAAAGTTTGAGTTTAAATGAAACATGAAGTTATTCCCATAACCAAGTAAATATCTTTAAAATTTCACATTTAGAGACTCTTCTCATGGATAAAAACATAGCGTACCTATAATTTTAGGTCTGGCCATTTTGTCGTCTTCACAAACGTTTAGTTTCCATATTAACTTCTCACTACCATCATTGGGATTTATTTCACTTATGTTCACATATCCCTTGGCGGGAAAATTCATTACCAGGCCCTTGAAGCAATCAACAACAAAACCACTGCTATCCAGTTGAGGCTCATCCATTTTAAAATTTTCAAATGTTTTTTCTCTTCCAGGAAAATCCAAACATATCTTGTAAGTTCGGCGTGTCTTTACGCGCTTTAACATTCCCCTTTCACCAATATGAAAATTTTCTTTGCAATGATAAGCCAACTGGACTATGCCTTTTTCATTTTTCTTGTCCACAAACTCGCTAATGAAGATCACGGAAATATCTAAGGTGTTCATCTCTGGCAAACGTCGATACAGGACGTACGCACGAGCGTCGAAAGAATGATTTAAATGACTAAGAAGACGAGCCCAATTTTCGTAACAGACTGTAACCTTAACATATTTGAAGAAAACACTTAGTCAATGGCTTATATAAGCAAACTTTTATAACTGTCAACTGTAAAGTAAATTTTCGTCTATCAAAGATACTCGAGTGCCAACCAACTTTCTAGTTTTGATCATGTGATCATTCAGTAATAAGTTTTAGACGTAGAAATATACCGCTGCGTCAAGGTAAACTTTTGAAGTAAAACTGAATAACTCGACACAAATCTTAGAAAAACAGAAGAAAATTTTGAAAAGATAAGGTGACTACAAATGTGAAATATCACAAATTGAGCGTATGCAACTTACTTGTGAACGCAATTTACGCCATTTGTTCCGTTTGTTGACAAACCAGATGAAAACTATAATCACCAATACGATAACCACAGCAGGCGCAGCAACTCCAACGATCAAAGGCAGATTTGACTCATCTTGTTTGATTTTACCTTCTTTAGTAAAGTACATATCGTATATTTATCAGAAAATAAGTCTAGATCAATGTCGTAGCAAGCTCACATAATTAGTTCTGCTTATTGAATTATACTTCTTATATACATCTCTAATGCTCCTGTTATGTCCATTTTTCTCTTACCCAATTACAGTGAAAACTGATAGTAAAGAAATGAAAAATACTGTTTTGAAATTACTAAGACTAGGCCATGCAAACATTTATGTATTTAGCTTTACCAATGTTATAATGTTAAATAAAGAAATTAAATACTATCACTTACCAGTTGGACTCAACGTTGTGAAAAAATTATCTGATTGTAGAATCGTCACTGTCGAAGCTGTAAATCACCACACAAGGATTCGTAAAAATTTATTACGCATACGGATATTGTATTGAAATGCAGTAGCTAAACATAAGCTTAATAGTAAGAATATAAATATGAACAAAATGGTAGACTAATCATGGCTGCCGCATAAGACATAAAAAGCCATGCAAAGAAGAAAATTTGTTTCATTTTACGGTCGATAATATTTTTTACAGGACATATGAACACATTTGAAGCAGGAGAATAAACCAAAATATATAACATAAAAATTTCTTTGTACTATCTAGCAATCACAGCTAAATTAAAAAAAATTACAGTACCTGTATTTGGTGTGGAAGAAGGAAAATTTATAAAAGCAAACGTGGAATTTCTACCGACTCTTGGCGAGACTGCAATTATGAAAAGTTTATTCTTTATAATGAAATAGCTATGAGAAATGTTATTGTTTTAACTTTTCAGGACAAAACATCACCAATGACTTCATACAATGTCAAAATGTATTTCACATCAAACATCGAATGTTAATTTAACCCAACTGTCCCACCATCAACTGATTCTTTAAGTCATCACATTTCAACATTTTAACGTAAAATTAACAATACAAATACAAAGAAACAAAATGTTCAAAATGTTGCTTGCTTTCCAATGTTCGTAAGAATCTTACCAGAACATATAGACAACAACATTAATTTTTAAACATGACAAGAAGAGAATGTTTATCCTACCTTCGGCGGCCGTTCGATTTGTAGTTGTAGATAAAATTGTATTTGTTGAACTCACTGCCGTTTTGGTGGCTGTAGAAAATTTTTTTATAATATTTAATCATCACAACACACTATCATCATAAAGACATATCATCATAATCATGTGAATATGTAAAGATCACTAAATCATGATGTTTTATCATCGAAAAAATATTTTTAATTGTGTTTATAAAACTGATCAAAATTTGTCTTAAAATAAGAAATATTGGCACTTTCAACAAAAGTGCAAATCTTAACAAGTTAGAGATCGAGCAATTTAATCCAGAATATTTGCAAAAAAGACAGTCTATAGGTAGACAATTAAAATTACTAGTGCTATCATATTTGTTAATTACCGACTAAAGATGATGTACCGGGTTGCAAAAACGCATGTTGTATAGGGATGGATATTTGTCTAGACATATAATGTAATCTGATAAATGTAAAATACAAATTTGATCCTTGCATAAGGCAAGAATATGTACAATATGTCTTCAATCCACACTTGAAAATAAAATTGAAGCTGCAATGCTTTCAGAATCGAAAGAACGAGCAAGAATGTGCATTTTTGAAAAATTGTACGACAATGTTGGTGGTGACAATACGTAGGTGGACTTCGCAATTTTCTTCATCCGGAATTCGTGGAAAAAAAGAAAGAATTCGGGTGAAAGGAAGACGGCAATTATGGAAGGAAAAATTGATCACGTTGAAAAAAATTTGTAACGCGAAACTTTTTTGGATACAAAGGGAGCAACTATAGAACTTTGGGTTCTCCCTTTTTTCATACAGTGATTTAACAATTTTTACGGATTTTTTGAAAAATGTCCATGAAGAGTCAAATGTACGATAAAGAAAATTCATTTGTACCAGAATATAGTAAAAATACAACTTGATTTTTAAAACAAAGAAAAGAAAAATCCTTCACCTTAATTGACAACAAGTAAAATCTGAAAAATATTTAAGACAGCAGGGAGCATGTTAGAATGTTTAGGATGAACTACGCAGAAAATATACATTTTTCTTCAATAAATGTAAAAAATATTTGAGTGACGATTATCTGTAGAGTATTGCTCAATTGACTGCTCACAACAGAGTTCATCGAACTCTGTCTGATAAATGAGTACGTACTGTAAAATTTTTCTGTTTACTGATTTAAAAGTATCATGTAAAAGGTGATTAAAATCAAACTCATTTCCTGCTTATACACCTACTTTTATATACATTTACATCATTTTAACATGGCTGGAAAGGAAATTCTTTTAAATTTCCGTAATATTGCGCGAAAGTTGCATTTGCTTATTTGTCGTAAGTAATGTGTAATAGGCATTACTATTGAAAACCAAAGTATTAAATAAATTTCATGCATACCTGCAATTTGGAAGATCTTAGTCCTTGCCATGGAACTCGTTATTAAACTGGTGACATTTGATCCATTTATTACAGGTAATAAAATGACCAAAAAAACAATCGTATGTAAACTCATGGTTTCCAGAGCATATAAGGCTTTCACCGTTTAAAGGACTACAAAATATAAGATTTTCATGAGAAATACTGTGTGATGTATACAGTTTTATGTAGCTTTGCTATGTTAATGGTTCCCTTTTTAAAAAATTGACATTTTTAATACTTCGTATAATATACTTACAGAAGTTCCGTTCCATAAATCGTCATTCATAAACATTAAGTCAGTAAAAACAACGGAGAAATTTCCCAATAAATCCAAAGCGAGAGATATCTCTAATTCTTATGTATGATTTATTATTTAACTACATATTTTAAACTGTGTATATGTTTTTGAAATGAAACCACAAGCTGTAATGCTATAGGTTCGTTCACCAAGATATACCACACGAAGTATAGCCGTTTTTATGCTTAAGACGGATAACACGTCTGGACGATTTATACGTCTAAGTTTTAAACCGTCCAGCATAAAGAAGGGTCGACTTAACTCAAAACTAAACGGCAAAATCAATTGATCCAGACGAGTTAACATCTATCTTTAGTTCGTCTGTCAAGACGAATTAAGCGCTAAAGTCGTCTGGACGGTTAATTCGTCTTTTGGCCGTCTTTTTTTGACGATTTAAGAGACGCATTAAGAAGATTTGTCTTAAGTCGCCCAGACGTATTATCCGTCTTAGGCATAAAAACGACCTAATATAACATTTAATAAGCAAATGTAAATAAATCTGCAACGATTACATCAGAATTATACATCACGAACTACTTATAACAATAAAAAAGTAGGCAAGTATACATAAGCAGGAAATAGTAACAAAACTTACCAATGTGCAGGAAATTGGCAAAGTGTCCAATCTTAACGCTTCAAACCGACGATCAAGCAGACGTCTTATCAAATGAAGAAGGAATTGCATTGCTTTCTTTTGAAGGAGACAAAACAATTTATTTCCTGGTTCCACTTGAGAGATTTTTAGGGCAATTCCCGTGCATATTTGAAATTAAAAGATAACATGTTTCCACTTGTGGTTGCCAGCATCCTGATTTTCCTTAACAACAATTTATTGTTGGTCACAGTCGTTTAAGACACTTTCACAGAAAGAATCTATAAAGTACAGGAAGCAACGAAAATGACGTCATAAAAATACGAACTGTAGCAAAGAGAAAACGGGTTAGTGCATAACGCAGCAATACGTCACAATTCATTGTCATTTGTGATATTATTTACAACCGAGCGTTGCGAAATAGTTAGATCTATATTCTAAAAATTATTCAACAAAAAGGAATTTTCTTTAAAGCATATATATATCTAAATTGAGTTGAACTTGTTTGTGTTAAGTTGCATTTATAGTCGTCAGGAATAAAAAATACACTTGTATGGTGCCATAAAATGTGTGGGGTTAACAAACCTCCAACGACTTTGATCAGTTGTAAAATCATGGTGAACAAATAACCATAATAATAAAATCATAGTGAAATTTTGGTATGTGCATACATGTATACACACATTTTGTTTCCTCCTCATGAGAGATCTTTCTTCTAGCACAAATGTTTGAAACAATTTATCCCAAGTATACTGTATTTAATGCAAGTTTGAGAAGAAATTTGCGTTTTACTATCTGTCTGAATTCATCATCACGACAAAACCATTTGCAAATCATGTTGCAAGAAATTATTTCGTATCTCACCAACATGGTTCTATATATTTACATATCATAATTAGTGTTGCTGTCTCTCTCTTTTGAAACACTACTCTCATGACATATCAAAGTACAAATACGTCAAAAACAACAGAGGATAAGCCATAAACGAACATGCCAAGACCAGTCCATAAAACGAGAGTGCGCGTGAATGACGTGCGATGAACAAAGAATAACATTGCACAGTCGTCATAAGAAATGGTAAATTTATAAGATTCTTTGTGGACAATCTTCCTGGATGTAGTCGTTATCGTTACTCAATCACTGCTTGTCAAATAAAGCAGATTTATCATAAATATCCATATTTACAAAAACTCATTTAAAAATATATGTATGTTTTTCATACATTAGGAAACAGGAATGGTCTTAAAACTCTTTTCGAGATGCACCTAATTGAAATGAAATGTTCAACACCAAGGCAAGAATCTTGCTGTCATATATATCTCCATGTACCAGTCAAGATCGGTTCCATACAATCAATTTTTCCTATCTCTTTCAAACGTTCCACGAGATGTTTACGCGAAAATTTCTTTCTTTTGTTGATCATTGACAATACTTTCTCAGCCTTCTGGAAGTCATCTTTGTAAAAATGGTTGTGTTGAATGTTATTTCTTTCTTCGTTAGCAATATCCATAAGACCGGCGAGACTATCCCAGTCTACTCCAATGCGTCTGCTAAGCCGATATGTTTCACGCGGGCTTAATCGAGTGTGACGTAATGTTACGTCATCATCAAGAGAGCTTTCGTTAGAGCTTTCGTTAGTGCTTTCTGGATCAACATTCTTAAAAAAAACACGAAATGTAAGATGAGCTATAAGGTTGTCTATGCTTTATGATAGTTTCAATGATGCACTAAACACGTATTGGATATATACTGGACACAAAAATATATACTAAACTACAAGAAGACAACGAGCTAAGGAAGGGAAGAATATTCGAAAAACAAACGAAGAGGAAGTTTTGTGTGAAACAAGTTCTTTGTGTATAAATCCAGACGATATAATAACGTTGAAAATAACTTGTTTTCAAGTTTAATTTGATTTTCAATTCTTTTAGGCTTTATTGCCCGAGAATAATTGTTTCAGCAGATGGGAACAAATTTCTAAACAAAATACCTCTTCTACCTCAAGTGGGATATCATCACAACCCATTTCTTCGAAACATTTCGTCAGCATATTTCGACTAAAATTATGTTGCTCGTTGTAAATAGCAACTATCTTCTCAGCCTTTTAAAACTGTCTGGATAGTCACTGTGATTCCGTCGAATTTCGTCTCGTTCATTATATGGGATATCTAAAAGACCACCAAGGCTGTCCCAGTCCATAGCAATTATCCTACTGATTCGAGTGACTTCCTTATTTGTCAAATTCTTTCTTAAAACAACTAGTAAAAGAAAAGTAGCACAATTTTCATCATACTCTTAACAATGAAGCTGATTTTAGACTCAAATCTAATCAAATCTGATAAAATGAGACTGTGAGACAGCATTTAAAACACATGTCAGTAAGTATTAGAAGTTGGAAAAAACGTTACCTGGTGGATGCGGTTCAACTGGATTTTCTGAAAAAAAAAGTTTGAGTTAAAATGAAACATGAAGTTATTCTCATAACTAAGTAAATATCTTTACAATTTCACATTTAGAGACTCTTCTCATGGATAAAAACATAGCGTACCTATAAGTTCAGGTCCGGCCATTGTGCCGACTTCACAAACGTTTAGTTTCCATATTAACTTCTCACTACCATCATTGGGATTTATTTCACTAATGTTCACATATCCCTTGGCGGGAAAATTCATTACCAGGCCCTTGAAGCAATCAACAACAAAACCACTGCTATCCAGTTGAGACTCAACCATTTTAAATATTTCAAATGTTTTTTCTATTTCAGGAAAATCCAAACATATCTTGTAAGTTCGGCGTGTCTTTACGCCCTTTAACATTCCCCTTTCACCAATATGAAAATTTTCTTTGCAATGATAAGCCAACTGGTCTTTTTCTTTTTTCTTGTCCACAAACTCGCTAAAGAAGATGACGGAAATATCAAAGGTGTTCATCTCTGGCAAACGTCGATACAGGACGTACGCACGAGCGTCGAAAGAACGATTTAAATGACTAAGAAGACGAGCGAGACCTGGCAACTTCACTCGTATGTAACTGTAAAATGAAAATCCTTCAATATTCATACTAATTTCTCCTTTAAGAATATCAATGTTAACTTCATTCGTTACTAGTCTCCAAACAATCATCGTCATATCAACGCTATATGAACCGTGAAGTACGAAGGTTTCTTCTTCAACTAGTTTTGTCGTTTTGATTCTGACGCTCAAATTTGCAGGTTTTAAGAACGTCAAACCATTTGGAAGGCATTTTATAACACAGAAAACCTTTTCAACCAGCTTTAAGTCAAGCAAATGTTGAAAAGGAATTGGAATGTTATCTTTGATCAACTCTATCTTCGTATCCTTGGCTAGACATTCTGTACCAACGTTCAACTCAACATCTTCCAAATTAACAACACCACCATCTGTTGTGATTAATTTTTCCACCCTTTCTAATCTTTTATTTGTACCTAGAAAGAAATAAAAATTGATGTTTGTGTTACAAATTACGATTTTAAACTTTTTGCGCTGTAAATTAGATTAATTCAACTGCTTTGGGTAGCATAAAATTGCAATATTATTTAAATGACGACCAAACTATAGATGCAAACATTGAGAAATTAATACTGGTTGAGATAAATAGAATGAATTTATAAGCCTACTTTCTAACTGTTGTAACTTCAAACTGTGTTCACCTGTTTTACAGATACGAGAAGATTGCCTTTCGAAAAACACGTAACCTTTTGGTAAACCTTGGTGAGTTGTTTTTACTCCTTTTCCAGAGCAATCAAAGTTATGATCATCGTTTTCCTACAAAACCACCAAACTTTAAATCGACAAGCACATATATTTTAAAGAAATATGCATTACACTAACCGATGTGGACACGTCATTGTGTTCTCTTTCTTCAATATCACTCACTATGGAATTTTCTTCATGTGTCTTCTTTTGAAATCCACTTCTGGAGCGGAATTCCTGTACAACAATCAAAACATATAGTCAATGTTTTAAAATGGAATCAAATTCGATCACTTCACTTCCATAAGCCTTACCAATGTGGGCGAGTTAAAGTCATTACTGTCTTCAGGATCACTCACACTGGAATCACATTCCGATACGTCTTTCTGGGATCCTCTTCGGGAATTTACTTGAACTTCTTCCTGTACAATCAGACAAATTTATTGTCCATACTTCAAAATGGAACATAAAATGAGAAATACTATACTTTAAATCTTACATGAATTGTGATCGAACATCTATCATTACTAACGTCAAATGTTTCTTCTATATTGTCCAATGCCGAATCTCTATCAGGACCCCCATTTTCGTAACAGACTGTAACCTTAATATATTTAAAGAAAACACTTATTCAATGGAAACTTATATTCGGAGAATTCGAAAGAACTTGTATAGTTGTCAACTGTAAAGTAAATTTTCGTCTTTTAAAGATACTCGAGTGCCAACCAACTTTCTATTTTTTGATCATGTGATCATTCAGTAATAGGTTTTAGACGTAGAAATATACCGCTGCCTCAAGGGTAAAATTTTGAAGTAAAACTGAATAACTCGACACAAATCTTAGAAAAACAGAAGAAAATTTTGAAAAAATAAGGTGACTACAAATGTGAAATATCACAAATTGAGCGTATGCAACTTACTTGTGAACGCAATTTACGCAATTTGTTCCGTTTGTTGACAAACCAGATGAAAACTATAATCACCAATACGATAACCACAGCAGGCGCAGCAACTCCAACGATCAAAGGCAGATTTGACTCATCTTGTTTCAATTTACCTGCTTTAGTAAAGTACATATCGTATATTTATCAGAAAATAAGTCTAGATCAATGTCGTAGCAAGCTCACATAATTAGTCCTGCTTATTGAATTATACTTGTTATATACATCTCTAATGCTCCTGTTATGTCCATTTTTCTCTTACCCAATTACAGTGAAAACTGATAGTAAAGAAATGAAAAATACTGTTTTGAAATTACTAAGACTAGGCCATGCAAACATTTATGTATTTAGCTTTACCAATGTTATAATGTTAAATAAAGAAATTAAATACTATCACTTACCAGTTGGACTTGGACTCAACGTTGTGAAAAAATTATCTGATTGTAGAATCGTCACTGTCAAAGCTGTAAATCACCACACAAGGATTCGTAAAAATTCATGACGCATACGGATATTGCATTGAAATACAGAAGCTAAACATAAGCTTAATAGTAAGAATATAAATGTAAACAAAATGGTAGACTAATCATGGCTGCCGCATAAGACATAAAAAGCCATGCGAGGAAGAAAATTTGTTTCATTTTACGGTCGATAATATTTTTTACAGGACATATGAACACATTTGAAGCAGGAGAATAAACCAAAATATATAACATAAAAATTTCTTTGTACTATCTAGCAATCACAGCTAAATTAAAAAAATTACAGTACCTGTACTTGGTGTGGAAGAAGGAAAATTTATCAAAGCAAACGTGGAATTTCTGCCGACTCTTGGCGAGACTGCAATTATTAAAAGTTTATTTATTCTTTATAATGAAATAGCTATAAGAAATGTTATTTTTTTGACTTTTTAGGAAAAAACATCACCAATGACTTCATACAATGTCAAAATGTATTTCACATCAAACATCGAATGTTAATTTAACCCAACTGTCCCACCATCAACTGATTCTTTAAGTCATCACATTTCAACATTTTAACGTAAAATTAACAATACAAATACAAAGAAACAAAATGTTCAAAATGTTGCTTGCTTTCCAATGTTCGTAAGAATCTTGCCAGAACATATAGACAACAACATTAATTTTTAAACACGACAAGAAGAGAATGTTTATCTTACCTTCGGCGGCCGTTCGACTTGTAGTTGTAGATAAAATTGTATTTGTTGGATTCACTGCCGCTTTGGTGGCTGCAGAAATTTTTTTTATAATATTTAATCATCACAACACACTATCATTATAAAGACATATCATCATAATCATGTGAACATGTAAAGATCACTAAATCATGATGTTTTATCATCGAAAAAATATTTTTAATTGTGTTTATAAAACGGATCAAAATTTGTCTTAAAATAAGAAATATTGGCACTTTCAACAAAAGTGCAAATCTTAACAAGTTAGAGATCGAGCAATTTAATCCAGAATATTTGCAAAACAGCCAGTCTATATATAGACAAGTAAAATTACTAGTGCTATCATATTTGTTAATTACTGACTAAAGATGATGTACCGGGTTGCAAAAACGCATGTTGTATATGGATGGAATATTTGTCTAGAAATATAATGTAATCTGATAAATGTAAAATACAAATTTGATCCTTGCATAAGGCAAGAATATGTGCAATATGTCTTCAATCCACACTTGAAAATAAAATTGAAGCTCCAATGCTTTCAGAATCGAAAGAACGAGCAAGAATGTGCGTTTTTGAAAAATTGTACGACAATGTTGGTGGTGACAATACGTAGGTGGACTTCGCAATTTTCTTCATCCGGAATTCGTGGAAAAAAAGAAAGAATTTGGGTGAAAGGAAGACGGCAATTATGGAAGGAAAAATGGATCACGTTGAAAAAAATTTGTAACGCGAAACTTTTTTGGATACGAAGGGAGCAACTATAGAACTTTGGGTTCTCCCTTTTTTCATACAGTGATTTAACAATTTTTACGGATTTTTTGAAAAATGTCCATGAAGAGTCAAATGTACGATAAAGAAAATTCATTTGTACCAGAATATAGTAAAAATACAACTTGATTTTTAAAACAAAGAAAAGAAAAATCCTTCACCTTAATTGACAACAAGTAAAATCTGAAAAATATTTAAGACAGCAGGGAGCATGTCAGAATGTTTAGGATGAACTACGCAGAAAATATACATTTTTCTTCAATAAATTTAAAGAATATTTGAGTGACGATTATCTGTAGAGTATTGCTCAATTGACTGCTCACAACAGAGTTCATCGAACTCTGTCTGATAAATGAGTACTGTAAAATTTCTCTGTTTACTGATTTAAAAAGTATTATGTAAAAGGTGATTAAAATCAAACTCATTTCCTGCTTATACACGTACTTTTAATTACATTTACATCATTTTAACATGGCTGGAAAGGAAATCCTTTTAAATTTCCGTAATATTGCGCGAAAGTTGCATTTGCTTATTTGTCGTAAGTAATGTGTAATCGGCATTACTATTGAAAACCAAAGTAGTAAATAAATTTCGTGCATACCTGCAATTTGGAAGATCTTTGTTCTTGCCATGGAACTCGTTATTAAACTGGTGACATTTGATCCATTTATTACAGGTAATAAAATGACCAAAAAACCAAGCGTATGTAAACTCATGGTTTCCAGAGCATATAAGGCTTTCACCGTTTAAACGACTACCAAAAAAAAATTTTCATGAGAAATACTGTGTGATGTATACAGTTTTTATGTAGCTTTGCTATGTTAATGGTTCCCTTTTTTTAAAAAAAAATTTAACATTTTTAATACTTCGTATAATATAGTTACAGAAGTTCCGTTCCATAAATCGTCATTCATAAACATTAAGTCAGTAAAAACAACGGAGAAATTTCCCAATAAATCCAAAGCGAGAGATATCTCTAATTCTTATGTATGATTTATTATTTAACTACATATTTTAAACTGTGTACGTGTTTTTGAAATGAAACCACAAGCTGTATTGCTATAGGTTCGTTCACCAAGATATACCACACGAAGTATAGCCGTTTTTATGCTTAAGACGGATAATACGTCTGGACAATTTATACGTCTAATTTTTAAACCGTCCATCATGAAGAAGGGTCGACTTAACTCAAAACTAAACGGCAAAATCAATTGATCCAGACGAGTTAACATCTATCTTTAGTTCGTCTGTCAAGACGAATTAAACGCTAAAGTTGTCTGGACGGTTAATCGGCCGTCTTTATCCTTTGACGATTTAAGAGACGCATTAAGAAGATTTGTCTTAATTAAGTCGCCCAGACGTACTATCCGTCTTAGGCATAAAAACGACCTAATATAACATTTAATAAGCAAATGTAAATAAATCTGTGACGATTACATCAGAATTATACATCACGAACTACTTATAACAATAAAAAAGTAGTCAAGTATACATAAGCAGGAAATTGTAATAAAACTTACCAATATATGTGCAGGAAATTTGGCAAAGTGACCAATCTTAACGCTTCAAACCGACGATCAAGCAGACGTCTTATCAAATGAAGAAGGAATTACATTGCTTTCTTTTGAAGGAGACAAAACAATTTATTTCCTGGTTCCACTTGAGAGATTTTTAGGGCAATTCCCGTGCACATTTGAAATTAAAAGATAACATTTTTCCACTTGTGGTTGCCAACATCCTGATCTTCCTTAACAACAATTCATTGTTGGTCACAGTCGTTTAAAACACTTTCACAGAAAGAATCTATAAAGTACAGGAAGCAACGAAAATGACTTCATAAAAATACGAACTGTAGCAAAGAGAAACCGGGTTAGTGCATAACGTAGCAATACGTCACAATTCAACGTCGTTTGTGATATTATTTACAACCAAGCGTTGCGAAATAGTTAGATCTATGTTCTCAAATTATTCAACAAAAAGAATTTTCTTTAAAGCATATATATATCCAAATTGAGTTGAGCTTGTTTGTGTTAAGTTGCATTTACAGTCGTTAGGAATAAAAAATACACTTGTATGGTGTCATAAAATGTGTGTGGGGTTAACAAACCTCCAACGACATTGATCAGTTGTAAAATTATGGTGAACAAATAACCATAATGAACAAATAATCACAGTGAAATTTTGGTGTGTGCATGCATGCATAAACATATTTTGTTTCCTCCTCATGAGAGATCTTTCTTCTAGAACAAATGTTTGAAACAATTTATCCCAGGTATACTGTATTTAATGCACATTTGAGAAGAAAGTTGCGTTTTACTGTGTCTGAATTCATCATCACGACAAAACCATTTTGCAAATCATGTTGCAAGAAATTATTTCGTATCTCACCAACATGGTTCTATATATTTACATATCATAATTAACGTTGCTGTCTCTCTCTTTTGAAACACTACTCTCATGACATATCAAAGTACAAATACGTCAAAAACAACAGAGGATAAGCCATAAACGAACATGCCAAGACCAGTCCATAAAACGAGAGTGCGCGTGAATGACGTGCGATGAACAAAGAATAACATTGCACAGTCGTCATAAGAAATGGTAAATTTATAAGATTCTTCGTGGCCAATCTTAAAATCGTGTAAATAAAAACCTTTTCGTATAGATACATTTTACTTTAGAATTCACGTAAATTCTTAAACGTTAGTGATAAAGTTTTAGTATTATTCATTCGTAACACTTCTCTCAAATCCTCCAAAATCACATCAAACTCTCTATCAAAAGCTTTATCGTCCTCTTATTAAGGTTAGGTGTGAACAAAATATCAACTTATTGAGAACAATATAATTTAAATGATGTGAGTGACTACTCTTCACTAAAGTCAATAAGGCATGGGTGACCTTTTCATTTTTGTTTTATGCTTTAGTCGAAGTTTTCGTTGTATGTTCTTGTACACTTATGGTCATCAATGATCATTGGGATGTAAAAGATTAGAATGTCGCTTGTAAACAGGCTGTCTAAACAGTGCAAGATTTGCTTATCAGTCCGCGAGAATGGTCTAGGTTTGAGAAGTGTTTTTTAACATAAATTTTTATGTTGAGTAGAATCGAAAACAGAATAAATAATTGCGGATGAAAATAATAGTTGATCATAAATATTGAAACAAAACTGCAGTTTAGAGTTTTACACAACGACACATGCATATAGCAAGGAATAAGTCAGCAGATAAAGTGATAAAATAAGAACGATTTTTATGTTTTGTCGAGATTATCCCATTCTACATGCATGTGATACACACTAACTTACGACATCCTAATTAATTTCATCAAACAAGTCTTTAGTCAGGTTTTTGCATTTTCTTGGAATTTCTATCATCGAGTCTCTACTGGAAAACAACAGCCACAAAACTGTCATGCATGAGTTACTCAAACACTTAAACTTTATTTCGAACATGAAATCTTAGCATTGGTAAAATTCTTAAGTGTCTTCGAAGATGATTTATCTTACAATTAAAACTCTTGGGTCCTACATTTTGCTTATAAGATTTTTGTCACAAAATTAATCAATGCACTTTCGTTTTGCCTTCTTAATGCATTAATTCTTTCACGTGCATTAAGCATGCACAGCACTTGCTTTTTGTTCGACTGGATCCCAAGTTTTAACTTGTGTCGTAATGACATTGCACATAAAAGGGAGATTTTCACAAATTCCATTCAGAAAGCCTCTTGCTACCTGAGGACAACATACAAGGCAAAAAGGATAAAGGTATGATTTTTTCAATTGGTTTTTCGTACATTTAAAATATTGATATTGAAATTTACCATTAACTACTCAAGTCGAAATGTGGAACGGAATTCTTCTGTTGATGCTGGTCTCAGCAAATCTTCAATCATCTACAGGTAAGTTTGAAGAAAGATTTAAACTTTAAAATAAAAGACAACATTAATTACAAATATTATAGCAACGAAAACATGCAAAACATATTGAAGTACAACTTATCTAATTTTATGAACGTAGGCAATAACCAAATACATAACAAAACAATGTAAAAGGCCAACCCAGAAACAAAATTTTTGATATAAATGAATTTCTGGTTGGGATAATACGATTTCAATACTGACGATATGACGATGATTCGAAGGGACTGGCCTGTTTTTTCCATTTTAAAGTCTCCATCATAAACATGTTTGAATATAGATAAGACATATAGACACCCATGGGGGGATGTGTTGTTAAGTAAACACAGTAAACTGCAAAATTGATTTCAATTATTTAAAGAAAAAATTTCAAGAGTTATCTTTACTTTCCAGCAACCATCGAGCAAAGTTTTGGAAAGATCAACCTGACAGAATATTCATCGGATGGTTTCAACTGTACCCTTGTTTCATTTTCAAAAACATTTCAAAGTAATGGCAGTGTCAGGGTGTTTTCATCAATGAGCCGCGAAGCTCAACCAGACAAGAAAAACGAAGCGCTTGTTTCAGTTATTACTGCTGTTAATCGAAGTTTTTTTTCCCTTTGTGTGATGGAACCTGCCCAAACCAGTGGAAATACAACTCTCAACTGGTTTGCTATCAATGACAACAACAATCTCCCATTGGGAATTTCATCAGGAAGTCTCTCTTACAAGCTTTTCACAAGTGGAAACTCGTGCAGTGACGTAAAATTTTCAAGTGTGAGTATGTGATCACGTGTTTCAAAATACAAAATTTATTGTTTAAAATTTTCCAGCCAGTCACGTCTTTACAAAAATTGTCGTAAACTATTATTCATGAACTATTTTTATGGAACAGTCAACGATCTACTTTCTTCTCGCAGATCTTTGAATTACCACCTAAAGTTCTCATCAGTATCCGCTCTTCATCAAATCCCTTCAATCAAAAAGATATGATGTCCGCCTGGACAGAAAGTGTAACAGAATCTGAATTTCGTGTTTGTCTGAGAGAAATGACGTCATTCTCTGGTTCACATGAAAATTTACACATTGTACGTAGCATGTTTTTTATCGTTTTGTCTAAGTATGACCCGAACAAATTCAAGAATAGATACATAAAATGAATTTTACAGCTAAAGCTGACATCTCTAATGGTTTGATAGAAGAAAAAAACTTTTGTAGTTCCATGACCATTTCAAAATCTATAGAGCTACATGATGAAGTCAACTTGTTCGTTACTGGTCATAACCTTACGTTACTTTACTTAATTTCGAAATTGTATGTTTTTCTGCACACGCAACTAAATTGAATTTACATGCAGGATTGGATTGCCATGGAGAATAAAGTCAGTGCAAACATGACAGATCTTGATTCAATTGTCTTCTCAAATAAAAATCATCCTACCTCAGAAAACAACTATGCTTACTGCAAGGTATGTATAAGTTTCAATAAAATAATATATGAAAATAAAGCCTCTACTCACCACATCTTTCAATTTCATAGGTCAGAAAATTCAAAAAAAAATTCTATGCACCACCAACTGTTCTCGTGACGGCGCGCCGAGGAATGAAATCTAAATCCAAAACACTGACAGACCAAAACATTGTCACGTGGATCAAGGTATTTTATCCCCACACTAAAAAAGAGCAAATATATATTATGTTGTGTGCGATTGACTGACGTTAGAAAACTGTAACTGATTGAACTAAGCTTACTCACAGATAAAGGTAAAGTTTTTAGATTTAATAGAAGTTAGGTCTCAGTAACTACTTCCAAGTAATTTTACTTTCATTTGTTGGTAATTTGATTGAATTTTTGACTTTGATAAGAGAATTAGAGAAAGATACAACAGCTTTCAAGTGAAACAGGAATATTTAAACAAATAATTTTAGAATATAAACACCACAGTATTTGAAGTTTGCATCAAAGATCTACCCGGAATAAGCGGCAAACACGAGCCAATCACAGTGGACTACGCCGCCATAGGAGGTATGAAATTTGAACATGATATATTTAAATATTTTTAGAGGTAGAAAAATTCATGAAAAATTGATGTTTAATTAAATATGAAACGGGACAAATATATAAATAAATATAATTTTGCTCTTGCTATACATTGTCTCGTGCAATACAACGATACTGAGATGTATATATAAGAAGCAACTTCCAGCTTACGCCAGAAAAAATGCAAAATTCACGTACCAAACAAAGTAAGAAATATCTTCACACAGCATGCATAAAAACTTACAATAGAGTAAACGATATAGACATCAAACGTTTGCTAATTGTCATTGAAAATGAATCATAAATGCCATGCAGTTTAAGATTATATTGAAATAATATATAAATTTTACATATTCATATGTATAAAAGAAAGAAATCTATTGGGTTTAAGACTTAGATCCAGTCTGATCTTCCAATCCAATGACACTCTCGTGACACTACACATAATTTTTTTAAAAAAAGACCGAGATTTGTTTATAAATACATATTTGGTAAGTTACACATCCAAATCAGCGCCCATGTAATAATAAAGATATGTGCACAAATTAATTTTCATTTTGCAAAATTCCACAGAATAAAATACATTATTGTATCATCATGCAACTGTCGTCTATAGTTTACAAATGGAAGTGATCTTTAGCTCTGGATCTCAATTTAATTTTACCAACACCAACAACATACAACCATTACTAGTGAAGAAAGACTGTGAAATACAAAAATGCCCTATGGCGGTAAATATTTCCTTTCCTTTGAAGTCGTGGCATGAGTTCCACGAAGCAAAATGTTGATAAAAAATTCCAAACCTGAATCTAAAATCAATTTGAACGGTTACTTGTGCCAGTAAATATATGAGTTATAGATCTTTGGCATTGAGACAAAAGGCAGAATTCTGCTTTGGTTGGTTTCCACGCAACTGACGCAAGCATGGTGATGTCGGAATATGTAAAGGATGAAGGATACATGAAGTGGCAATTATGAAGTCCAGCGTATGGAATGATGAAGCATAAAAAACAGAGCACATTTATCATGTTTTGTAACAACATAAAGGAAAAAATAATTCCTCGGGCAGTTTAATGTCATCTCCACATTAGTCTTAAACTGAAAGGATCCTATTTTTTCTGCAGACATTGATCCATGTCTTGATGTCGTTTGTGAAAAATTTGGTGTCTGTCGTGCATTTGGACCGTACGATCCAAGATGTGTTTGTGTGACGGATTGTCCGACCTTGGAGCAAAACGTTTGCGCTTCAAACGGCAGAAGTTTTGATAATCTCTGCTTATTCAAACTAGAGGTTTGTCGAACAAAAGCAAACTACACATATTATCATCATGGAAGTTGTCGAGGTAATCAATTGATCATCTTTAGTGACATAAAATATGTACGAACATGTTTTACAAGGGGGGGGGGGGTGACATTTCCTTTCTTTTAGTCTTTTCCTGTCAACATGGTTGAGTTGAAATGACATAAACGACTTATTTAGTAAAGGCAATCTGAGTTATTGATATGACCGCTTGGTTTATACACGTGATTTTATATCATTCTTACTGTATTCATGTAGGTTTTCCGATGACTAGAGGTCGCAAACGTGTCAGAGAAGTCCCACAGTGGTCAGAATCACATTGTCAAACAATAAAATTCGAGCCTCTCACCTTTTACCCAGATAAATCAGTGCACGTGCAAGTAAGCGTTAGTCACGTGAACGACACGAAGGAAGTTCATGATGCAGCAGTGGCATGGGTCGAAGATGTAACTCAAGATAACTTCACATTTTGTGTGATGGAATCAGGAAGAAATGAAGGTCCACCACACGGTACTGCTACCGTCGAATACATGGCTTATCAAGGTGCGCCGAGTGGGGGACTGGCAGGAGTTGTTTCCATTCCAAAATGGTGGACTGGAACTAAATGTCAAAAAGTCGATATTTCTACGGTTAGTGGAATGTTAATGAATAAATGCAACCATAGACATATGAAATTTATTTAGAAATATTGTTTTTAGGGTTCGTTTTTAGAAACACCAACTATCTTAGCAACAGCAGAACATCGTCGTCTCAGTCTTAAACATGATGCTGCTTCAGTGTGGTTGGAGGATGTCACAAATTCATCTTTCAAAGTTTGTTTACGTGAGTTACAAAACTTTGATGGACAACATCAAGATATTTATGTGGTAAGTATAAAATGGTATTTTCAATTAACCTTATGCAAAAACAAATGCATTTATCAGTTAAACGGTGAAACTCATTCAATACACCATTCATTATATGCCTTTGTTTCATTTAGAACTGGTTGGCGTTTGCGACTCTAGAACAACCAGTGTTCACAGAACATGGCGAAAGTTATTTTGCAAAAACCACTCTAGACCCGTTGTCAACGTACAACTACGCACAATGTCAGGTATAAGTGCATAGTTCATAAGAAAAATATTACTATGAATGTCCGTGCATGCTTTAGCAAAAAAATACGAATATTCAAATGATTGTTATAAGCATGCTCTGTCTAGTCTGACGTTTATATGCTTGTCCTGAAAAATCTATTTTACTATTTGCGGTATAGCTTCAAAAAATGCGACATTTATATAATAAAGTTCCCAGGATACGCAGAATGCGCATGCATAGAACAATGATAATTAACGTTCCTTAAACACAGAATGCCCACGGATCCATGACAAATGTATCGTAATGCTTAGAAATGTGCTTTGCATAATTATAAAATGTTTTCTAAATGCCAGAGAAGTATAACTGATATATCACGTAGAAACGTGAATCGAATCAGGTGATTGTTTCATTCAATGCCAAAAAGTATATATAACTTCCATTTCAGAACGTTAGTTTTCAGGCAAATTATATCGATCCACCAACAGTATTAGTTTCACCCAAACACAACACGTCAAATAACAACGTGGATCCAAAATACAACGCGATAACAGCATGGTTAGAGGTAAATATCACAGGGAAATGTCAGAAATACCAGATGAATTTAAAATTAATCATTATTGTTAAAATATTTTTGAGTAATAAAGATGTGCCATCAAATTATAACCTATTAATCAAAATAAAAAAAAATCTAAAAAATTTGAAGCGAAAAGGAAGCTGTCACACAAGGAAAGAAATGTTTCTATTTCATAGACGATAACGACATCTTCGTTCAAACTATGTTTCAAAGAATTGCACAATAAAAATGGCTACGACGCAGTCACCATTTCGCATGTCGTTCTTAAAGGTAAAAATACATTGCCTCTAAAGTTAACACCATTGTACAACACCAGGTTTTCATCCATCCGTAAAAGCTCATAATTATAGAGGGAAAAGGAAGAATACCTTTCTAAACACTATAAATGACAATTGAAAAATACCATGAAGGAAAGACAATTAATCCTTTGGAAGCACCAAATTTCAAAAAAATCCTTCAAAAAATAGTTGCTTTGTTTCCCACCTCCAAAAATGCTTATAAACAAAAGGTTAAGGAAGACTAAATACATTTACTAATACAATCATTGTTATTCTTTGGTCCTCACAAAATGTACAATTTTGTTTAAGCTACAAGTCGCTGTAGTTAAGGTTAATGACTTTAATCCAACTGTTTTAACTTTGGCAGACATCTGTGATCCCGAGTGGGTCTACTTTAAAGGATACTGTTACAAAAAAATCTCCACATGTGAAAATTGGACAAATGCATCAAGAAAATGTACAAATAAAAAATCTAACCTTGTGGGAATAAATGGTCCTGAAGAGGATGTTTTTGTTCAACATCTTCACAATGGTAAACCATCATGGATAGGATTAAACGATAAATTAAACGAAGGAGTGTATTTATGGATAAATGGTGGTACAATGAATTATACGAACTGGGCACCAGGAGTTTCAACACCTCAAAGCAAAGCTAAAGATTGTGTACAAGGAACAGGACGAAACTCAAAATATCATTGGGAATCAGCTTCATGTGACGAATGTAAAAATTACACATGCCAAAAAGGTAAATTAGAACATCAGTCATATAACAATGGTCAGCAACTTTGATAACATCAGTCATATAACAATGGTCAGCAACTTTGAAGTGACAACATTTTCTTTATCACAAAACTGATGTATTTTATGTACGTCTTTATTATGCATATTATGCATATTTATTATATTTTCCTAACCATCTATCCTCTACTGGTGAAAACTGCATTTCGTATTTCGGAAATTTACATAATAGAAATTTTTCGTTTACAGATTATGACGAGTGTGGAGAAAATATGCATACTTGTCACTCAAACGCAGATTGCGTTAACACAGTTGGTTCGTATAAATGTCGATGTCGAAGTGGTTACACAGGCAATGGACATCAATGTACAGGTATGTATATACTTATAGAAAGGTCACGGATATCAATGTACACGAGTATATACGCTTACAGAAAGGATATGGATATTAATGTACAGGAGTGTGTACGTTTATTTGAAGAAGAAATGCTTCGTCCCGCAGCATTACATATTGAAATCTGTTATTCAGAAATATCACTGCAATATGCATTATTTTAAAATAGCAAAAGATGTTTGAAGTATAATACATCCAAAATTGTTGAAAATTTGTGTTATCTCAATGTAATGTCTTACTTGATGATTTTAATAACATGTGCACATCCGAGTGCCTTAAGAGAGGCAAATGTCTTACTCCTCCCTTGTGAAAATGTTTGCATCATAGCAGCTGATTGTATACCTTAATCTGATGATTATAACGAGACCTTTCTACAAAATCAACAATTTTTCTGGCAGATTTTGACGAATGTTCAAATGGATCTCACACTTGCCAAGAAAATGCTACCTGCATAAACACCGTCGGTTCATTTACATGTCAATGCAAGAAAGGTTACACTGGCGATGGGAAAAATTGCTCTGGTAAATCAAACACAAATAGATTATAACATATTAAATCACTTCCACAAAAGTAATTTTCATCATTTCAACCATATCTTCAGATATTCGACATACTTTGTGTGGTGGTTGGTTATTAGTAAAAGTCAAACACTTAACTTTTAAATGTTGATTCATTTTTTGTTGTTAGACATCAACGAATGTTCAACTGGTGTTCACACATGTAGCCAAAATGCAAAATGCTCAAATACTTTTGGTTCCTTTACATGCCAATGCAACAGTGGTTACTATGGTGATGGTTTCACCTGCTCTGGTAAATAAAAACCAATTCACTGATTCACGGGCATGTTTAAAAAAGCAATTTTGATTCATATACTATTTAGTCGTGTTTCATTCTATTGCCTTCTCAAATACATTTCCTGGATGCTGTAACCATAGAAATAAATAACTAAATAAGACAAGTTCATGACAAAAAGGAGGACGGTGTTTCATTAAAAACATTACTCGCAGTAAGCTTATTCAACTTATTATTATCATGATATTTCCGAATGGCGAGTGAGGCATTATAAATTAAATAAAACATTGTATAAGTATTTCTGCTTAACGCAGAAAAATACCAAAACAAAAATTGATGTTTACTCTCCTCTCATGTGATAGTCTTTACTTGTATGCGGTCTCAGATGAACTTTTTTTCTGAGTTTATTCAAACATTTGCTTGTCTGTAGATATCAATGAATGCTCGACTGGAAGTCATAAATGTCATCGAAATGGTTACTGCGTGAACACCGTAGGATCGTACAGATGCAGATGTAACAATGGTTATACTGGTAATGGTTTCAGTTGCTCAGGTAATAACATACATATTTTTTTTCTTAAAATTATTGCATCAAAAAGATTTCGCTATCGTTATCCGTTTTATGAAAACGAGAATGGTAACCATAATGGTAGGCTGGAAAACTGAAAAATATTGCAATATTGATCATTCTATAGATAAAAACGAATGTTCACTGGGAACTTACAATTGCAACAGAAAACGTACTTATTGTGTAAATACCATTGGTTCCTATACATGTCGGTGTCGAAGCAATTATCGTTGGAATGGCGTATCTTGTCTAGGTACGAAATACACTAAAATACGTTAATTACGAAAACAGGGAATGTCGAAGCACTTATGGCTTTGTTTTATATAAAATCAATGTAATAGGGCTATAACAATCTAACAAAACAACAAAATCATACTAAAATATACCACATACCTAACTTTTTTTCTACTAGTTCTGCAAGTGCGTAATCTTAAGAAAAATTAAACCAGAGTGTGACCACCTTCCTTAAACATACGTTATATAAAAATGTGTACCGTTCAGCTAGAGTTGAACCTTTTTAAGACAAGTGTTAATGCTGAGTTGACAAAAAGCATAGTGAATTTGAATAAAGATAGTATAAACTATAATTACAGCTTACTGTGGAAGACCCCGAAGTCCGAGTAGAGGATATATATCTGGATCAAGGTACACAGAAGGATCAAGAGTGTATTTCTATTGTTACTATTATGGTGAATATATACGTGGATCAAGGTCCACATATTGTCAATCAAATGGTAAATGGAGCCATCGTACACCATATTGTAAGTAAATGTGTAGTAAATACTTATTTTGGCAAAAAATATTGCATTGATTTGTCAAGATGACACCTCGTTGTAACAAAAGTACAGGATTAATTTTTTCGCCATCAGCAAACACGAAGTGTACCTTTTCCTTGTTTACCATATAATTGAGAGCTAAATCAGCGTTTAAAAAAACGGTTTACATACATCCTAAGTTCATAATTTTAATTTATTAACGTTATGATGATAAAATGGATGTTAACATTAGCTCAAAATCTCGACATTGGTTGTATTTTGAGAGCATTTAGCCCCTTCAATAACTATAATACCACGATTCTTTCAATGTTATATTCACAGTTGTATATATGTTTATTTAGGTTGGTAATGCAGATGCAGAGTAATTCTCCATCCTGGAAAAAATTTGTCAATTATACTTTCAAAAGTGATTTTGGGCGCAATGACTCATGGGATATTTTACACACCAAAACAATTTAAGTACGATGTTGTCAGTGAGATGTAATGGGAGCGTTTATGTAATAACAGGTGTTTTGTTAATTAAATGTTTAAATACTGTTGTCTCGGAATGTAATGACTGACCTCAATCCTGTAGTGACTAAGGTGGTAGAGTCAAAAATGACACATCTCAACAATATACCTTCTTTAAAGAGATCTAATGAAAATCAAATCAGGTGAAAATCCAACAAATAAATATCAAATCCTTTAACAACACAACTGTAACACAAATGAAAAACACAAACATGTGTCTTTTACCAAATGTAGACATCTGAAAATAATGAAGTTGATGCATGAAGTAATCATCATTAAACTACAGGACCTTCCATTAATAATGCACAATAAACATTTCTTCCTCTATCTCAGAGTTGTTTGGTAAGCTCTGAATGGCAAATGTCTATCTTTACTAACCCAATTCTTTTTTCTTAAGATTCATTACACCATTCTTCATAGCATGATTCAATGGATTATAAGCTTAAATGACCTTTTCTTTGCAGGCTTCAGTATTCCACAGGGACTGTGGACCAACAAGGCTATAGCATCCTGCCCCCATCCAGTGGTGAATAACCATCATAATTTGCATGTTCTTTGTAAACTGTTTTTGATTGAATAAGAGGAGAGCAGTTGAGTGATAGGGAGGAATGACTAGTTTTGTTCACCAACTTTAAAAAAACTAAGAGAGTTTGCTTTAATTTTTTCCTGTCATAAGCCAAGAGACTATTGTATCAATTTTTGGTATGATACACCTGTCATGGAACACTTCTCCCTTTATTTTTGTTGTTTTTAGCCACTGTTTTTTATTGGCCTGTTTGCAGGCTACTACTAGTTTTTTATTGGCCTGTTTGCAGGCTACTACTAATCATAAAAAACCTTTTCATAAAATCTAATGTATCTTATATGAAATCATCTGCAATGATTTTCTCATTTTTTTTAACTAATTAAGACATTCATGTGACATATTTTTGTCATAAATTTGCACAGATTATTGAAAAGAACCATGTCTTTCCTTATTATGAAAAAACTATAGCAAACTGTCATGTTTGCTTTACATGGAACTATGTTTTCAAAAATGTATAATAAAGATGTATTATCCTGATGTTTTTAGAGTTTTATGCTTATGGTCTTAAATATATAGTATTTTTAGACTATGCTTGTTGATCATTTGGTGAAGCTATACTATACACACGTAATCGCTGCGTACCTATTTTTAAAGCTTCTCAAATGTTATCAAATAAATTCAATTTTTACGGATTTTCTTAATGCTGGATGGCAATAACATACACTACAATAGTAATAAGAAAAATTTCAAATAACCTCAAAACTCACCATTTTCGGTGGGCAAGATGTTGATACTTCCATTTTTTATTTTGGTACTTGCAAATAACTTTTGTATTGTTATTCAACTACTGTTCGTCATGACCTTAAATTTAAACATCAGTATTCAAGATTCAGGACATTGCAGGACTGAATATTTAAAGTCCGTACAAACATGCCAGAGGTCGCCTGCCTCGTCTACTGTCAACAAAAATATGAAAAAGTTTTGATAACTTGAATTGAAAAGTGTCAGCGAAACAAAAGCATTACGACAACAAAATGAAAGCAAAATGTACAAATATATTTCAAATACATTACCTGTTTGCTTGAAAAAGCATTTCTTTGTTTAGAAGAGCTAATTACCCATATTTTTTTGTAGTAAAAAACCAAAACATCTGACGGTATGAGGTAGTAATGTACAGTGTTGACATTGAGATCTAAATAAAGCCATTTCGCTCGTCCCAGTTTTTTCTCTGATAAAATAAGCTCAAACATGTGAAGACAGCCAACTGGAAATTTTACATCGGTAAAAAATCCATCAACGTCAAGACAAACTAATTTTTTTTTAGTTTAAATTAGGTCAAAGTGTTGGCCATAATAAAAATGACTAAATCTGAAAAATAACAACAAAGCATTCAACACGTTTGAACCATCTTTCAGACAAAAATATTCAATGCAATGAATTAAAGTGCCCGAATTTTGGCATATATTGAATCGTAGAACGATTTTAAAGTCACAAGTGACAAATTATATTCTAAACTTCAATAATTATATAGAGTAACTATACATAATACATATCATTATTCTTGTCATCATAAAATGGCTGTGCTCGTCATGGGAAATACCCTGAAGTTCAACTCTTACGAAAAATCCACTTTTATCTGATATATTTATTTTATACCATTTTATCATAACGCTTGAATAACACTATTCAGAAATTTCACCTCAGTCTTATAAATCCATGTTGCCAGTGCGCGAGTTGTTGCCCTAGTGATAATATTGACTGAAAATAATAACTAAATTTTCCATATGACAGGACTAAAGCAGGTTGACGAAGGCAACAGTAAAGTGTTAAGAGCATATATCAAAAGAATATAAAATGGATAATTCAGTAGAAAACCCCTCAAAATACAATACTGACGTAGAAAATTTGCTTTGAAAATTTACATTGCACAGCAATTATGATAAAAACACGACAATGGAATCTACAAGCACAGGAGAAAGGTACCTACAAACATAAGAGAAAGATATCTATGATCATTGAGCATTCTACAAAGGTATATATGAGAATACGAGGATATCTGTGAGCACAAGGAGCATATTAAAGAGGTATATATGAGAATACGAGAAGGATATCTGTGAGCACAAGGAGCATATTAAAGAGGTTTATATGAGAATACGATAAGGATATCTGTGAGCACAAGGAGCATATTAAAGAGGTATATATGAGAATACGACAAGGATATCTGTGAGCACAAGGAGCATATTAAAGAGGTTTATATGAGAATACGACAAGGATATCTGTGAGCACAAGGAGCATATTAAAGAGGTATATATGATAATACGACAAGGATATCTGTGAGCACAAGGAGCTTATTAGAGAGGTGTATATGAGAATACGACAAGGATATCTGAGAGCACAAGGAGCATATTAGAAAGGTATATAAGAGAATACAACAAGGATATCTATGAGCACAAAGAGCACATTAGAAAGGTATATATGAGAATACGAGAAGGATATCTATGAGCACAAGGAGCATATTACAAAGGTATATATGATAATACGACAAGGACATCTATGAGCACACGACATCAACAAGATCTTCCACGATACCAGATAGTTTATCAAAATTTGATCTGTGCGCATCTTCTGGTTTGGAAGCAAGCTCCTTTATTTTTTGAAATATATTGTCTCTGTCTCTGACTTCATTCTTGCCTGCAGCAATAGTTATGATGCGAGTGCCTTTACTTTTAATATCAGTCGCCTCAGTTACGGCTAAGCTGTGATCATGAGCTATTCCGTCAGTGAACAGGATCAATATATTTGGTATCTTTGGACGATCACCATCTTTGCCATTAAATATCTAAAATATGCAGTGTCTTCATGAGAAATGACTTGACGCTGAAGCTCGAGATTATACTGAAGTCTAGCGTGACTTAACTTACTCATCTACAGTTATTCAATGTCAATATTTACGTTCATGATGCATAATTTTTTTCTACTTAAGTCTTCATCAAGAAGTGACAGTGATGTGATGTAAATACTCCAATCTAGTATCCTCATCAGGAGTGATCTGATGTCGAAACGTGAGTTCTTATATATAGTCCAGTCTAGTGTCTTCATCAGGTGCGATCTGATGTCGAAACATAACCTATATATATTTCACGCTTATGTGTGAAAAACAGCATAGAATAGAAAGCAAATGGATAAATTATAATGTTGCTTCCTTAAAAAAGCAAAAAATACAAACCTTTTTGTTGATGATTGACAAAGCGTTACCAGTGTGCGTATAGGCAGAATCGAGAAACTTCATCTTTTTAATTGCATTAGAGACTTCTTTATTGCTTTTATATCGCGTGAGGTTAAATTCTATTCGTGTAACACCTTGTCTTGGGTTAGATTTGTGCCCATATTGCATCACACCAAAACGCGCATTGTTTTTACCGATGAGAAATTCCTTAGATAATTTTTTTAAGAACTTCTTTACTTTACCAAAATTTTCATAACCGACACTCCTGGATCCGTCAATGAGGACAAACAAATCTAGAGATTCTGGCGAACACTGCACTGGCTCTGCAAAAAAAAACACGAAATATGTCAGCAGATGATGCTAATCAACCTAATCTAGCACGTCTTCTTCAAATATAATTAAATGTACTCTGCGTGAGAAAATTTCGTTTTGTAAACACTTTCAGAATGGTGATATCAATCTTGAGCTTAATTCATTTTAAAATCAAAAATAGTTTCATAAGACTCTCACGTTTGTAAATATTGACACAATTCAACGTAGTTACATGTTGTGCAACTTCATTTAATTCTTCTTCGACCTCCAAACTGGCTTTGTTTAAATTTACAAGATACACATCAGATCGACTCGAGGCGGCCCTTTCGAGGAAATTCTTAGCCTGGCGCTTTCGTGATTGGGGTCCCAGTCCTAGCACAACAATACGAACGCCATGTTTCTTGAGAGCCTCGATATTTCTCATGGCCAATCTCTCGTCGTGGAACAGGCCGTCGGAGTAAATCATTAAAATATTTTCGGCGTCTGCTCTGTCAATGTTGCCGTTAATACTTTGTGGTGAATTGCTGCCGGTAAAGTTGAAAAGCTGGACGAGGAAAAGAACAAAGAATTGAGATTCAAACTTAGGATAACCTCTCAAGGGATCAGAATGAAAAAAATAAATAAAGTCCTTGTAGAATGTAGATGAGAAATTTTTAAGCAACAAATTATATTTGGTCGCCTGTACTGGCTACTTTGGCAAAAATTTTTATTCCAAATGCTTATGTTCAGAAGGTAGGTATTAGCTAAATGTTACAGGTCTGTATATAGTGAACATGAAAAACCATTACAAAAAATGTGTAGGATGTTACAACAGACAGGAACTGGTCACAGAATTTTTCACATAAACATATGTCGTACAAAATTTGCCAATGAACATTTTAAGATAACTGTTGGTAGACTAATCAAAGGAGAAATTTGTCATAATGAAAGCAAAATAATGACCTACATTATCAAGCATAGCCATTTCTAATCCTCTACCAATATAAGATGTTGATCCTTCGTGATATCCCATTTCACTGATCACACCTTTGATTGCATTAGCATCCGTATATTCGCCCAGTTTCATCTCGTATTGAGTATTTACGCGATCACTAGCCTGTAATATCCCCACACGTGTTCGCTCACTGGATATGTCCAACTTGTTCACAAGTTTGCGTACAAATTGCCTTAATTTAGGAAAAGTAGTACGGCCTATACTTCTTGAACCATCGATGAGCATAAAGACATCTTGTTTTTCTGGTGTGCAATCTTTCGTTGTGTCTGTTTTAGTAAATAAAAAAAACTTTTCTTTGTTTTTCTTAAAATTTTGTAATAGAAAAGAATTTCTAGTTGGCTAAGAGTGATGACTCATCGTCAAGATCAAAAGAATGAACACCAATAAAAATGCCGGATCAATCGAAGCAACCAACTTAGTAACCAATCAAGATACTAATATAAATTACTTAATTGATTTGAATATCGACAACAAAGACGTAACAAATGGTAACTATCCACATTCCATGAAAAATTTATAGTGAAATATGTGTATTGAGAAAAGTCTGTCAAAAATTTTACCTTTAGGACACGAATTAAACTCGCAGATATCAAGAACGACGTCCATGCTTGGAGTAACAAGAGAGTAGATATCAACGCTATGAGCACTTGCTCTTGATGCAGCCAAAGCTCTGTAGTATGGATTGAGACTAGCCAATCTCTTCTTTGTGTACATGACGACCGTAACAAGTTGAATATTATTGTCGCGAAGTCTTTCACTCATTTTGAACGCTTTTTCCTGATCGGCAGGCTGACTATGTGTGATTAAAACGATCACACGTTCTCTAACATCAAGCGGCTGTTGGTTCATTTTCTACAGGTGTAAAAACAATACACTAGGAATATTGTTCGAATATCCTCCTAACTTGCAGTGAATAAGGTCTGCCTCCTGCAAGGATTAAACAACCAGTTTGCATAACTGACTCATTGTAATGTTGCTTAATCATATTCGTGTGTTTTGCAGTTTGCGCTAAGATAACTTACTCATTGAAAAAACGACTTTTAAACCACCTTTCTTAAATAGAGTCATTTTGAGCAACTTGGCCCTTTGATACGCCTCTAGCTGTTCTAGGAGAAAGAGTCTACCTCTCGCTGAACAATAAAAGTACAATATGTTTCATAGCATTTAACTGTTGTTCGAACATTTTTTGGTCGTGAGATTTGACATTCAAATTTTAAAAACGCGAATTAGATTATCCAGTAACAAGTTCATTAATAATAATACCTTTACAACTCTCTTTAACGCATAACCCAAATAGTTTCTTGTTCCCTGGCGATATTGGTACTTTAAATATCGCAGCTTGAACAGGACGTACCGAAGTGACCATTTCTTGAGATGAAGAACGTACTTCATGTTGCTATCGCTGTAAAGCAGCAGACCAATCTCAATATTGTCTGGATTTCTATAGAATTGTCTGACAATGTCCTCGATAAAACCCACAACAAATGGCAGTTCTCTTCTTGACAGACCAAGTGAGGAATCTAACATGAAGTACACCCTACGAGCTTTGAGAAAACATTGCTCAGGAACTAAAAAAAAAGAGATTCAAAGTATTTTTATAGGTGGTACCGAAAGCTCATGAGCAATCCAACATAAATGTTGAAACATTGATTTCTCCAAAACGACATTTCAAATGCAACCCAGAACCACACGTTCATATAATACTAACCGATTTTCTTTTCATTTTTGCATTTAATATGTTTCAGAGACTGTGAGATCATACTGACACGACGAAAGTCCATCGGATAAACATCCTTTGCAGAGGAAGCAATATTGTGCAATACGTTGAGATAATGAACGTCCATTGTGTTCTTGTAGGCAACATTTATTGTTACAACACGGACACCTTTATCGTGAAGTAACTTTACTTGTTCTTTTATCTTCTTTCTGGTGGAATACTTTACCTTACCTCGTGTTGCTATCACTATTAGATCTGTTGCGTACGTACGATGACCGCCAGTTGGCGTATTGAAGATCTGATGAGAATAGAATGAATTCACGATGATACATTATTTTGTTGTTGATTTTTTACATAATGCGCTATCACCGGTTGCATTTAAAATACGGTTGTAAAATGACCAACTCTCTAAAAAGTTTGTCAAATGGATATTTGTGAAAAAATGACAAAAACAACTTCTGAAAATGTATGTCAAAACAATGAGAAAAATAACTAGTAAATGTATGTCATTCAAAACGATATGAAACAATGAAATGGAATAATATTCATTCAACTTAGCACCATCTTCAATAGCAAATCATGCTCTCAGCAAAATACTTTTAAATTATGAGGATTTTTTTACCTGTTTGTTAACTTTTTTCAAAGCACTGGCTATGTCAACAAAATATCGCCAACGTTCACTTTGTGATGTACTTGATATTTTATAGTCTATATCTTGTTCAAACTTGAGTGAGCCCATCGGTATTTTTATATCATTTCTCCGTTCACCAAACGCCATTAAACCAATTTCCGTACGGGTTGCAGCGATATCAAGTCGTTTCACGATTTTGGAAAAAAATCTTAATGTTTTCCTGAAATATTTACTCATTTCTTTTGTAGTGTCTATCATAAACAGGACATCCTGGGAATTTTGTTTACACACTGATTCGTCATCTTCATTATCTGTAAAAGTACAAAACCATTGAAATTGAACTTAATTAGGACAAGAAAACTTTGACTTTATTCATCCCTATTCAACTGCGTTGCTTTTGAGAAAACATTATACGATGAGGACTACTACGGTTCCAATAAATTGTTTATGTTTAACTTAAGTTTATCAACGATATCAAATCAGTGAAGATGAAAACAATGACTGTATGGGACTAAAGTAAAAACATTCTCATATTATCTAGTACATATTACAAACACACAGTGTTGTAAAAAGATGTTTCCAGATACCTTCATTCTTGATCTCAGGTTTCCTTTTACTTTCACAGTTCACTTTACGACAACTTATTGCAGTCAGATCAGCAACAACATGTTTCAATACTACAGTGTCGATAAAGTTCACATCGCTTGGATACAAAGCAACTTTTTCATAAAATTCTGCAATGTCGTCGTTTTCACGTGTCAACCCAATGATGATCACGTGAACACCTTTTCTCTTCAATTTTTTAACTTCTTTTAGGATAGTATCATTCTGATTCAAGCCGCCGTTCAAAAACAGCAATAAGTAATCCTCAGCGCTCATACGATCACCGTTGTTACCGTTGAAAACCTATCAGAGACGTAAAGTTGTATACAGAAATCCAAAAACATTATCCTATTTTATCTCACGAATACTCCAATGATTACCGAAAATTAACCTTTGTTTGAAACTGCAGAGTTTCATTCCTCATAACTCATCACTTAATAAATTAATAGTTTGTACGAATATATGCTTCCAATTTTCATTGACAGTCTGCCTTTTCTTATTGAAATCTATAATCTCCACTTTTATAATTCTTTTTTCCTTCAAAAACAAAATATCAATACAAATTTAATTGTTCTTTCACCTGTTTGTCGATAATGCTAAAAGCATTTTTCAAATCAGCAGTGTCGCCTTGAGATTGAAATACGTTCTGCAACGATTGATTCACATGATAATATGTTGTATATTGATTAAGACCAAACTCCATCCTTGTGTTTATTTCGTCACTATACTGAAGCATGCCAACGTGAACGAGTGATTCACTAATGTCCAATTGCGCACACACTTTTGCGACAAAATCCAACGCCTTGTCAAAGATGCTCTTGCTAACAGCCTTTGATCCGTCCAGAGCAACAAAAATATCTTTCTTTTCTTGAAAACACTTTTGTTTCACTGAAGATAGTCGAAAAGAAAGTGTTTTAAAATATAAGTATAAGAAAGCCAGGGTAAAGGAACGGGGGGCGGCAAGATTACCCCCAAATAATATTGTAAACATTTTGAATTTTGTCTCCCTCCCCCCCCCCGCCAATTAAAACCAAATTCAGTGATTGATATTCTCCGTATATAAATAAACTATTCAGTCCCTGGAACAATAACGCTTTCACAAATCATAAACTTACATTCAGCTTTATTCAAGGGAGGTACAGGTATTTTTTCAACATTACAAAGTTGAAATGCAACGTTGTCTATAATTGTGCTCAAATTGTCTTTCTCCACTTTGAACGCTTGCTTGAATCCGCTTGCAAGTGATCTTACAAAGTATCTGAATCGTTTAATATAGTCAAAAGACGATCCAACCGCTATTGTTATAATTCGTACGTTTTCATCCTTCAAACGTTTTATGACCTGATACGCTTTGGCTTCGTCCACTGCTTTGCCGTCGGTAATAAGCAACAGGACTTTGTTGACACCGGGACGCGCCATCCCACCCCCATCACCACCAAATAACTGTAAATAACATTATATAATGCATGTTTATTTTTTCAACAAAGTGAGAGCTATAGTGAACCGTGGCACTAAGGAATAAACACGAGTTAAATGGATATCGATTGAAGAGAGTTCTCTTCCCAAAGAAATTTGAATTTCTATATGAGAGATGTACATGTATATATAATATCATACCTGTTGCTCATATGTGAGAGATATATAATATCATACCTGTTGCTCATATATGAGAGATGTACATGTATATATAATATCATACCTGTTGCTCATATATGAGAGATGTACATGTATATATAATATCATACCTGTTGCTCATATATGAGAGATGTACATGTATATATAATATCATACCTGTTGCTCAGCCAAGTACAAAGCCAACCCAGTGAGTGATCGTCGACTTTGATGATTGTAAATCGTGGCGATTTTAGCAAGAACTTGAGACCGCGAGCCATGCGTGCCCATCTCCACTTCAACCTTAGTATTCCGCTTGTCACCGATTTGAATTATCGCCACCTGCGTAGCACGCGGTCCAAAATCCATCCTGGACAAGATGCTACTAATGAAATCTCGCTGTATTTCAAAAGGTTCGTAACCCATGGTGATGGTACCATCTATGACGATAGCCAGATCCATCTCACGTGACGCACAATTATTTGTGCTGGTTACACCTGAAATGAAAACATGACGTCATTGGAAAACTTTGAAATTTTGGCAACCTAATAAATTTCTTTTGACATGACAAGACATACTCCGAGTTACATCTGTAAAAGTATCAAATAAATAAATTTTGTGTTTGTGATTTCTATTGATTGGGGGGGAGGGGTTCAGCTTATCTATCAATCACACACAACTTAAAATTCACACATCCAGACCTTAATTAATTACGCAATTTTTGGAAAGACGATACTGCTTAAGTTGTTCGTCACAATGAGATAAAGAAAGACAAATTTAAATTATATCTGCATTAACCTCTAACCATTGCTGGAAATAACTTTGACCAACGAAACTGCAGTAAGTCTGACTTGGAAAAAAATATAACAACATTTGGAAAGTTTCATAATTTTGCATTTATCGATGCATGGGAAAAAAACCAATTAAATAGTCAATCTATCAATGATAAATTTTGCGTTAAGTAACCAGAATCAAATGTAATTTATAAACCAATACATCTGATAAATATAATGACATATAAGCGGTAGAAAGGATTAATTTGGGCTGTACAATGTTATTCAGACAGTGTTCCTTTCAACAGGTCGGTGATTGACCCACATAAAAATTCTCCATCCATCTGTTACGTATAATGTATACATTCTTATCTATCCGGCTCAATAGCTAAAAATAGCTGTAACAACGTAAAAACAAAGCATCGTGAAAAAGACGCAAACTTTTTGCTTATGTGCCAACTAGCCGTCTATTGGGTTTATGTAAAGTGGCTCTAGTGAGCCATGTGCATGTAAAGTGGCTTTAGTGAGCCATGTGCATGTAAAGTGGCTTTAGTGAGCCATGTGATCATTGTTTAAAAGACAACGCAAGACTAGAATCTCGTCTATAGTCGTTTAGGAAGAATAACTATGAAATAATTTTTAAAAAATCATTAAAAAGTTAAAAAATGGCAGTCGATTGCATTAAAAAGATGGTTCTGTTAATCACGCTTCTTGAGGTCAACCTCCATGACGGTATAAAACCCATTTGAAAAAAAGGAGAATTTTTTTTTCTGGAATAAGACTGCGGGGCTGCTTTGCTTGATCTGTTTAATTGGCGATATTTAAAACGCCCATCATTAGGAAAATGTAGTTTTAAGATAAAAAGAATAAATATGTCATTTAGTAATTAACCTCTCAAATAAAAAATAATCTTTAGCTACTTATGGTTACAAACTGAAGATAATGAATGGTATGCACATTAATTTCCTTTACTTATGATGCTAGAATAAATATTGACGCTGGAATAGTCTGTATTAGAATTCAAATATTGATCATTTACAACATCATTAGAATTTAGTATAGAAAATTTATCATCAACAAACTTACATCAGTAACAATTATATCGTTATTTCTACATCAACAATTTTTAAATTTAGTTGCCCGGTTTGTTTTTGTTTCGAAAGATAATTGAGAAATAATAAACACTATGAACAAATATGGTCGAGGACTTTATAACAATAATATAAAGACATGATCTGTACCACCCATAAACAGATGAACGAAAAGATAAAACCGCAGGCGGACCGATTAACCAAAAAACCTTTTCCGGATATTATGAAGACATCTATGGTGGTACGAAAGTTTTGATGACAATGCGAAACAGATAAAATGCATCATCGAAACACATTTTTAAATCTATTATAGCACATACGCATGCGTCATGGCGATACCTTAGTATTTTGTAAACAGTTAAAGTTTAAAATGTATCTAAACCCTTTTGTAAATCTTCTTCATCAAAAATAAATTTACTTGGATGTATTTTACATCGAAATACGTTTATTTTGTCATTGCGTTTCAACATTCATTTCATAGTCTGTGTTATATTCTACACATATTATACGACATTATAAATATTATAAAAATATAGTAACCTATTGTAATATGAATGGATTTTTAGTCATAATGCATCGCTTACATGGACTGATTGCTAGACTATTTGCTCTCATCTCTACGTTCATCCATATTTAAACCATACACAATAATGTATTGTTATTTGAGCTTCAAATAGTTATTTCGTAAACCCTTGATCGTTTATTAACTTTAGAATAGGAAGAATAAACTAAATAAGCGCTTTACATAGTTCTGATGTTTAAAAAATACATCCCGTGTCAGCGAGAAAGTTTAGATATTGCGGTTTCCCTGCACGTAAAAAAATATGCCAATAAATGGGGATTTAATCGAAATCCACGATCAACACAAATAAAGAAGGTATCACGTGACTAGCCAACAACCTAATTTGCATTTTTTACGTACATGCCGCGGATTCCGAAAAGCCAAAAGATGCTGTGAAGACATGTTTACTGCGATCACTGCGGCACTTTGCACATGGATGTAAACCTTGTTCATTGCTTAAGGCGTTTCACGGCACACACAGTTAAACGATTGGATTAACAACAATAAATTAACAAAAGTACTGAAGTCTTTGATGCGTCATAAACATAGTTTAACCACGATATTTGATGACAAATATCTCCAATTTCTTATACATATTACAGACTCGGTACTATTTATTTTTCCACTGTAAAATAATTGAAACGTTCGGCAAACAAAAGACGAAGTGCCGATGAAATAATAAGTGAAAAAAAAATCAAACGACGATATAAACCTATGACCTCTTTTCCGATGGTAATCACTTCAAATAAGCATTTGACGTGAAAAATTTCACAGTCTGCGATTAAGGAATGTACTGTCAAAATACGAACAAATAGGCATACGTTTAAAGTAACTTGTAGCTTCAAACATTGAAACATACAAACATCCATTCACTACATCTGTCTTTTTATGATGGGAAATGCAGAAAATGTTCGAGTGCGTTATGGTGTGCGTTCGTATGGTGTAGATTACCTGCTGACTAAATTGAAATATTTAGCATGCGTATGCTAACACATTATCAACGAGTCAGTAATTGAGGGTAGTATAAGTGCTTAAATATACAAGATGAGAAAAGATAATGTTTAGATCAACATGACGAGTTCGTAAGGAAAACCACATGTTCTTCCTCTTATCGCAACAATCAAATAAAAATTTAAATCACCATAGCAAATGAAAACAAACTAAGGCAGGCATGCACAACATTATCAAAACGAAATCTTCGAGAAAAGCCATAGCTATAGCTTTGATAAAAGATGAAAATCTAATGTTGCCGTAAAGTGATAACGTTTTAAAATGAAAGATGTCATACCTAAACAATTTGATAAAAATCAGTTAAATTTCTTGAAAATTATAACTATTTTTTAACCTGTTACTCTGTAACGTTTAAATAAGGTAAATTAGTCAGTCACTATTCGCTAAATATACGCAAAATACACGCAATTTTGCATTGAAACGAATATAAAATACGGTAATTGAACGCACCATGACATGGCAAAGACAACATGCCATTTTAAAAACGGATATAGCTTTTACATTCACTGGATGTATGATGGGAGTGTTTTATACATTATATTAAAAAATTTCTTGATTAAGAGTACCATTAGTAGATAGAGTTAGTTGGCAAGGTAACAATGCAGACTGAAGTATGGTGTTTCGAGATACTTATGAATGAGAGTTCAATATGCTCAGAAAAAATCCATAGCACATAAAAGATTTATCTTGCCGTAAGGACAGTAAAATATGAGTGATAACATATCCTGTTGTCTATTCATACAACACCTTGAACAACTTAAATTGAAATTACAGGAAATGAAATAAAAATGGTCCAGTTAGGGGCTATAATCTATGGGCAGTGAAGAACAGTGAAACTATGGGCAGTGAAGAACAGTCATTCATTCATACAAAATCGATGTATGCACAGCTGCTTTGCATTAGTGGATATCACCCTCCTGCTAAAAGTTAACATGCGGTCATTATTGTGTATTTTGAAACAAAACTTTCTGCAACATTGCTTGCGAATACTTTCACGCGAAGTCACTTTTGTGTCTCTTTTAAGTCTATTGAAATTTCTAGTGAACACGAGTCATGCATCGATACGCGTTTCCATCCAAGAGAAGTCATTATGAAAATATCAATGCATTAAAACGATGGCTACTAAATGTACCAAACATGCAGCAATACAAATCAAATAATATTCACAAACAACAGGTAAACTGTAAGCATACGGTTGGATCAAACTGAGCATGTCGTGGATACATGTGAATAAATGTGCCATTTTTATAATGGTTCATTTCTCTTAAATAAGGAATAGAGGTAAAAAGTAATCTACAATAATCCTATATCAAAGATACTGGTTTCATATGATCTTCAAAAACACTATTTATGAACAATAGAAAAATGAAACTTCAGCTTACTTTTTCTACGAGAGATGACTGCGCTAACAAAAACGAGTAGCAAAACAGTGCGAATAAAAACCTTCATTATCTTCTTTGTTTTGCCGTGTAAATGTTACGCAAATATTCCTCAGTTTGACTGAAGACCTATGGCTTCCAGCAGCAGCATAATAATAAACTGTAATCTCCTCATAACCTCAACTTATACACGTCACTTTGAATTATAAAGAAACGTGATATCTTAATAGGATTACGATTGGCTTATTACGAAGACGATGACAGGTAGAAAAAATCACGCCAAAATTTGCGTCGTGTATACATCGCTGAGATTTGTGGAGCATGCGTTAAAGAATCTTACGATGGATTAAAATTGTTGTTCTTATTAAATTATCAGAAATTGCATGTTGTTGATAAATTGTACGTGTAAATTATTTTGTATGGTATCAGTTTACCAGAAATTTCAAGTGGCAGACTAGTTGCATATTTTTTTATACATTGAACCTAAAATTTACCAATTTCAATTCGAACAAATTTGCATTGATCTTTCAGTAAAATAAATAATCAATAAAAGACATAAAAACTGGTAATCACAATGAATAAGACTCATACCTTCTTATAATGATTCCAAAGACTTTCAAAAACAACTCAAAAAACTATAATATGAAACAAAATGCATGAACTATTTGAAAGGAATAAAGCATTTAGCTACTTTTGATTTACCAATGTAACTTCCAAGACTCAGTAACATTAAGAAATAGAATAGGACATTTAGAGAAATCATGTAAAGCTTAAATTGTTCTTAATAATAAAAATTCATTTCTAATTTAAATATTCTCCATGTGATACAGCACAATTAACTATTTACGAAAGATATTTTTGTTCTACGTAATATTAATGAGTGTGGGCAATTTCTACTGCATTAAAAAGGTCATTTATGCGAACAAATTACGACACTGTTTACGCTCTTAAACCAAAAGCCGGGTCATTGTGAATAACAATTTTTTTTTGTTTATGCCAATTTACCGGAGGCCAAAGTCGTCTTATTGCCGGTTATAATGATTTTCTTATGTATCGTTAAAATTTTGCACGTATCCCGTTTTTATATCTATTATAGCACATACGCATGCGTAGTGGCGATACCTTAGTATTTTGTAAACAGTTAAAGTTTAAACTGTATCTAAACACTTTTGTAAATCCTTTTCATCAAAAATAAATTTACTTGGATGTATTTTACATCGAAATACGTTTATTTTGGCATTGCGTTTCAACATTCATTTCATAGTCTGTGTTGTATTCTACACATATTATACGACATTATACATATTATAAAAATATAGTAACCTATTGTTATATGAATTGATTTTTCTTCAATTATAAGTTATTTGGGGTCAAAAAAGAAATGCAAACACACAATCCTGTAGTTGTCTCTACTCTTTCTTGTACAACATGCACCTCAACGAAGTTTCAGGTAAAAACTAAAGATTGCCGAGAAAATAAATAAAGAAGTGTTCTATTTGTGTTTTGTTCGCACGTAATTATATTAATTTTTAGTTGTTGTTTCGTTTAATCTGACATGATATTTTTCATCAATGAAATCTAACTAAACGAAATGTCTTTTTGCAACAATTCTCAAAAGAAAACTTTACAAAATAATCAATAAAATACTGCAAAAGAAAGGAACATTCTGCGATGGAGCATAATTGATTGCAAAAGGATTTTGTGTTTAGAAGAATTTTTGTAAATTTTTTCATGAAAAAGATATGTATCACGATGACAAGTACCTAGGTCTGTAACCAAGTGATGAAAACAAAAATGTCAACATATGTTTCCGTTCATTAATTTTATCTCTTTTAGCCAAACAAGTGTCTGATCATATCACAGAATGAAGATTATATAAGTAGGATGTTACTGTCAAAAACTCAAATGAAAATTATATTAAGTAAACTTGAATATTTAATGGTAAAAATAAAGAACGGTAAAATATTTCCTGGCAAGTGAAAACGAAGAAATTAAGCAACAATGAATATGTTTGTATATCTTATGGACTACTGATGTCTGAAATTATCTTTCTAATGATGTCTGCAAAACACACGATGCCGACAATGTCGTTTATATAATCGTGTCATCGCATAACAGATGTCTATTCGCGTTAAAATAGCTTTTACTCATTCAAATAGAACGCTTGATAAAAATGATTATCATACATGTATAGACTTTAGGCGTCATTATTCTCATGTCTACGAGCCATAAAGTTACGAGCAGAACACACCTGTTTCATACGATAAGCAAGATGGACGAAAATAAACCAGTTCCGGGGTAGGATAGGAAAGACGATGACATTACATTCATTCAAATATACTAAAAAGAAAGAATGCATGACAGATATGACAAGTTTTGAAACCTCGATTTGCTTTTATGTATTTTGCCTGTTTTACAGATTTTTGTTGATACCTTTCGGTTTGTTTGTTTTCAACGCTGCAAGAATGAAACAATTTCCTGGACGAAACTATCCGTTTCGGTGTTAGCCTTTAATCCTTTTCTCTTGATCACCTAAAAAAACACAATTACAAGATAGCTATTTTAAACATAGTGAGCAGGGTTCGTGAAACTTATAAGTGAAGTTACATCGTTATGAAATGAAACAACGATACAAGCACAAATGTTATCGTAAGGGCACGAAAAGTTTTGGATAGTAGCTATAACGACGCATTTTTATTGCATTTGTAATTTTCATGTTCGCTGTTCATCAAAGGAAGAAGACTCCAATGCCGAAGACTTTGTTACAACACGTTTGCAACTGAGTTCAAAAAGACTTTCGAGTCGGGATTTTTTTCTGTCTGCACACACCATTTGTTTCTTTCAACACTTGAGAATATTGCATTGGATATTGCTTTGAAAAAATTTCCGATGAAATATCAACATGATTTGAAAGTCAGAAAATGTGGTTATTTAAATGATCAACTATACTAGCACAGTAACTGCATTCTTTTAGACAAAACGACGCAGTGTTTAATTATTCTTCACGAGTTGATTGATTTTTTTTGAGGTTGTAGGAACGAAAGAGCACCGACCCTTATTGCGACTGTCTCGATGTTTATGTTCATAAATAGAAAATCATAAAAATAAGAAAAGGATATACGTCAATGATTATATATGGGCGTTTATTTCTAGCTAAATCCTGTCATAGATTATTGAAGACTCTCTTGCCATATTTGCATGGAATTATGAAAGTGAGATTAGATTTACTATAATGGAATATATAAGCCATATTATCATCTTAATGTCAAGTCAACGCAACCACTTATTTTTTACACTTTAATTCCTCATATAATCCCCACTTTATCATGTAAAAAAACTCACATATTTTCTCAAGTGGGCAAAAAACATGATATCCATGAAGACAGAGAAACATTATAAAATCATTTGTTTTCAAATGCCGGCAAACAAACACGGAAAGTGTGAAAAGACAGGTGAGAATTTTAACGATATCAGTTATTATTGTCATTTCTAGAACGAATGTATTCTTAAGCGTACGAAAACGTCCATCTAAATAAGAAGATCAAGTTCATTTTAAATAAAAATCATGTTTAGAGAGTGTGTTAAGTTTATGTGTGGGTTAATTATATATATCAAAATTTATTGCTTCAAAGCTGAAATGGGAAGAAAGTGAAAACTCCCCAGGGCTGTTTTTTTTTAAACTATAATGTGTTGCCACGAAACCGAGAAGGCGCTTTCCACTGGATAGTTGAGAAATTTAGCAAACATGAGAAATTAAAGAAACTTAACATCGCGATAAAATGGATTGAAATGACCATATATGACTTTTACTTTAGCACTTACCACCATTTTGTTCTTCATTTTTATATTCAAATTTGTTTGCTTTGCTTTACAGCAGAAAACGATTGAAATAAGCTTTGCTAAAACTGCAGAGAACTTACTTAGTGAAGTTTGGTCACCATTCGCCATATTTGTTTTTGAATTTGGTGGAATTAGTCACGTGGACAGTTTGGCGCATAATATGTAAATTAGCAGCTAGCAGTGTCGAACGGATCGATTCACAAGTTGAGTAAACAGAGAAGTAGGATAAAGTTAGTGTTTATTGTATGTAATTTTCAAAGAAAATAATGGAAAATTCATAAACACAAACTTTAGATAATTTCAATTTAATACTCTTAAATACAATGTTATTTGATTTGTGTTTATTAAAGCATTTCTTTTACATGTATTGAATTTTAGGTTTCAAATCAGGAAATGCTTGCAACACAAATGTATGCCTGTGACTATCTACTGGTTTATTTGTTGCAGACATAATATTCTATGTACTCATTATAAGAATAGATGTTTAACAAAAATATATAAGCATTATATGGTATAGAAAGAATACAAAAGTGACTCAATAAACTACAACAGTTCTTTAAGGAAAGCAAAAGCACACCTGTTTCCCATTGTTGCCACAAAAGATACGCAGTATTAAAAACAACCGCTCCACGTAAAAATGGTATTTTGTATAAGGCAAGTTTAATTATTAAAGATTGAAAATAAAAACGTGCGCATGAGAATAATGAAATCTGTTTCACGCCATTCTCAAATGCCTTAATTCGTCGGCGAAATCCCAAATGCTTTAGAAAATAGTTTGGCCGCTTTTAATTTCTTTCAAGCGAACTTAAAAATTTAAAAACGTAATCTCTTTCTGTAATTTCTGGCAAAGATTTTGACTTTGTTTTCAATAACAATTAAACTATTCTTGTAGTGCTGACATACAAAGATAACACAGCTGTCAACCAGAGGAGCCATGCATAGAATTGCTTATTAAGGCTCTTCAGTTCACATAAAGTGCTCTCAATGTGTGCTCACGCGAGTTTCAATGTGCTCATGTAAGACAAATAACTGGCCATACAGAATATCATGTTTTACTGTTCAGTAAAAACTGTTGTACGAACGTGGAACGTGGAAGCAAGACATTTGGAGGATTTAGTACACGAAACAAAACAAATATAGGAAAAATAGAATTCGTAGATAATTAAAGCACAAGGAAAAAGGTTAGCTATTGTACATCAAACATACGTTGGTTTTAGAACAAACTTGGTACGTCGTTCAAAGTCTTATGGAATACCATGAATAAGATCAGATTTTTTGAGGGACGATGACACAGTCAACATGAATGAGTCGGTCAGTAATTTCCCCAAGCTCAGAGAAATCAACTTTGTACACGTTGAGGGGATCACTGGCAATCTCTTCCAATTGTTTTACGAGTTTTGCTTTGGGATTCTTTGCCTCGTGCCCGGCGGCAATTGTAATGATCTTTATATTTCTTTCCTTCATTCTGGCAGCATGTTTTTTGGCAAGTTTAAAGTCGTGTGCACGACCGTCTGTGAACAAAATCAAAACGTCTGCAGCATCTGGACGATCGCCATTTCGATGATTGAAAATCTTTAAGAAAAATGATGCACGTTGACATAAAACAAGGAAAGAACATGCATTGTTGTTTTTCAAACTATAAGAGCGCTTTCTATAAAGCAAAAGATTTTTGTCGATGAAAATTTAGAACCAATATCTTTAACTTTTATAACCAGCATCTTTAATTTTATATCCATTTATAAAAATTAAAGATACTGGTTGTATTAGAAGATATATTTGAAGATGTTGTGGTTTTGAAATTTTTTGATGGATAGATTGACAACTATTTATTGACATAAGGAACAGCAATTCATCATTTTCTGTCATCCTAGAACAGTCCCAATTCTTATCATCAAAATTGAAATAAACGCAACTTACATATTGATCGACTACCCTGAGAGCATTTCCAGTGTTTGTCTTTACACCAGCACGATATTTCATTCGTCTTATCGCTTTTCTCACATCTTTGTTGTTGTGCATCTCATTTAGAGCAAACTCGTAACTCATCGACTTCTCGTCACTAAATTGTAGTAGGCCAACATGAGCAGCTTTCTCGCTAACGTCAAACTCCGACGTCAACCGTCGTAAAAATTTCTTTACAAGTTTGAAGTTTTTCGAAGATATACTCCGAGATCCGTCAACCAATAGAAAAAGATCGACCTTTCCTTGATTACATTTCACAGGCGCTGCAAAGGTAGAAAACAGTAAAATGTACACTTCCACTCTATTGCTTTTGCATGTTGTAAATTAATTAAGAAAAATTGAATGTCTCTGCTTTAGTGATCAAAATTTCATCCATATATATCAAACTATGTTTATTTCTAACCAGATAAATTTCTGGATATTTTGTGGCAATGCATATTTGGAAATAAACAGTTTAGAGTGCAAAACATTTTATATTCCAATCCATCGTCATTCACTTACATGGATAAGCTCTAGGACAATCAACTTCAACCAAATGTTTAGCAACAAGGTCGATTTTCTCTTCTAAAATTAGGTCATTTCGTTCAAAGTCTATGCTGAAGACATCACTTGACGCCATTTTCTTAAGGTTACTCATCCCAACACTGTTAAAACTTATGTTTGTGCCGTATCCAACGGAAAGAATTTTCACACCCATCGACTTTAGTTGTTCAGCCTCCTTAAGCATGACGACATCGTCATGTGATTCACCGTCCGCGAATATCACCAGCGTATTAGGAATATGAGGTCTGTCTGTTCTAACGTGGTTAAATACCTATCAAACAAATAGTTGCTGGTTGATTTTTCTCTTAAAAGGTGTGAAGGGGCTTTGTTGCTAGGGTAACTTGAGTAATTTGAAGGTTGCAACCAATTAAAGAGGATGATCCTCATGAAACACAGGATGTATAATTAAACCACATACTTTTTCTCGTATAACAGTCAGTCCTTCGCCCATATATGTGTATAAACTGTCGATGTATTCCATATCGTTGATCATGTAAAGAATGTCACTACGATCTGGAAAGTCACCAAGGTTGAATTGGAAACGAGATTCATCTCGACCACCAGCTTGAAGAACACCTAAATGTGTTCTATCCTCTGCAAGATCCAATCTCAAAGAAAGGCGATTCAAGAATCGCTGTAATCTTCGATAATTTTTTTTACCAATACTCCGAGAGCTGTCGATGAGGAATACAATGTCTTGTTTTTTGGGTGCACAGGTTCTGGCCATAACTATGTAAAGTTATGTACAATTAAAATTACTTTTTTTTATATTGAATTGGTGAAATATCTAAATTAACAATCTCAAAAAAAAGAAAAGAAAAAGAGAATGGAATTCCACAACAATGAAAACCATTTCATATAACAGCTAGATGCAATACGTACATGAAGTACACTGTCCAAGGCCACAGATGCTGACGATCACATCGTCCACAACTGTCCATAGTGAAAAGTAGTCAGCGGCATGGGTATTTGTTGGCTCTGTGGATATGACTCTCAGTTGACTCTTTATTCTTTCAACATTGCTACGTCTACCACTGGCAATGGAGATAATCTGAACGCCTTTAGATTTAAGTTTTTCAGCCTCGTCAAAAGCTAATTGTTCATCATTGATCTCTTTGTGGGTAATTATAATAAGAACATCCTTTGTTTCTCCGTGACGTTCACGACCATGAGCGAAAACCTAGTTTTCAAATAAGCAGAAAGAAGCTGCAGACTCGACAATTAGTTCTTGATTTCAAAATTTCAAAGTCTAAATGAACTTTTTCAACGAAAAGCATAATAAGTAACTTGTGCATTTGTTCAATATCAAAATATGTGTCAAAACAATACCCTATTATTGATGATTTTTAGCGCATTTCCAAGATAGCTCAAACTAGCTTTTCGATACTGCATAGTTCGAATTTGCTCCAAAATCTCATCCATAGTGGCATCTTTCTTGAAAATAACGCGATTCTCGGACGTCAACAGGTCGTCGAACTGCAGGAAACCAACTTGACTACCAGAAAAGCCAACCTGAAGTTTATTGATGAGACTTTCTAAGAACTCCCGAAGTTCTTTGAACTTTTTCTTGTTTCGTCCACTTGAACTGTCAAGGGCAAAAAAAATACGACGCTTCTGGGAGAAACACGTTTCGGGAACTAAAAATATTCCAATAGCATGAACAGTCAGCCACATGGTACAATTTTCATGGGTTTTTATGGAAATTCAATATAATCTATGTTATGACGTAATCAGAGTGAGCTTTATTATTAATTGTTGTTACATTGCTGTGATATACTATATATTATCTCTATAACTTTGATCATTGAAAATCACCTATTATCCCAGACAATCCAAGCAACCTTAAGAAAGAATATTAATCTAATACATTGTAATAAGTCCTACATCAAATATATCATCTGAAAGCGTATTTCATATAACACAACTGCTAGCTTTAAATAATCAGGAAAAGGCCTGACTATGTTGAAGAATACTTTGCTTAAAATTTTTACTTACTTTCTGGCTCGGAAATGCAAACAGTCTTCTCTAATTCAGCCAACACTTCGTTGAATTGTGAATTGTCAACGCGATAGTACTTTTTAGAGCCGGACGCAAGGATGCGTAAAGATGAAACAAACGTCTGAAATTTACTATTCACTCCATTGGACATGGTAATTATACGAATGTCTTTCTTGCGCATTTTCTCTGCAATGGTATTTACTTCGTAGAAATTTGTGACGTCACCATCCGTCATCAGTACAATGGTCTTTGCAACACTTTTACGATCCACATTTTGGGGATTTAAAAGCTGAAACAGAGAGAGCATTTGAATGTAGAAATGGCACAATGTGGAAAAATCCTTAGTCTATCTTAAATTAAATAAGATCAAAAGTTCTTATTTTTGTTAGCTTCATCACAAAAAAATCATTAGATCAATCTAATCAAGCAACATGAACCATTTAAACTACAATGGTTTTCTTATTAATCAGACTGAAAGGATATCTTTAACTCTTTTAATATTAGGTTAGATAAGTCTAAAATTGTATCATCAATATAAATTAATTATTAATCATTACCATATCGCTTGCTATCGATAGAGCATAACCCAAATCAGAATCGTATCTTTCGTTCATATAAACCATTTTAGAAACATCATTACTGACTGTACTCCGTACATTGTCCGATCCGAGCCGCGTTGCATGCTCAACACGACCAGCGGAACCAAACTGCATAATACCAATGTGCGTCGTATTTTTGCCTATTGTCATCTTCTCGACGAGGCGTTTTATAAACCGCTGTCCAGCAATAAATTCATTTCTTCCGATCCTAGAGGAGCCATCGACAAGGAACAAAACATCCTGGTTTTCAGGATGGCATATCGGTGCAGCTAAATCGATTTTTGGAAATTTAATTAATGAACTCTGATTTGCTTGATTGTAACACAATTGACCGGAATATCCTGCCAAAGTGTTCCCAAAATTATGCTATTACACGATGATACAATATAGAATAGACTAGTGTATTAATTTTACGGCAAATTAGTTTCACAATGATAAAATGACACACCAGATGAAACAATACAGAATAAAATAGTTCGTTCATCTATTTTTACACGGTCCGTATAAAGCTAAAAATATTTCACATCGAGTTCTTAAATATTAGTTTCAACGCATACATACCTGATGTACAGGTCGCCATTTTGCATGTACTTGGAGCTATATCATCAACAAAAACAGACGATTCGATTTTTTCAAACTCATAGACATCACTAGGGCCCATAACAAGCGATTCAATCATCTCATGATTGATTTTTTTCTTGTGCCCTACAGTCACAGCCACAACACGGATGTTCTTCTTTTGAAATTTACTGATGATTTCCTGTACGCCGTCATTAATATAGTTGCCATCAGTAAAAATGATGATTGTGTCTGGTGCCGAAACACGATCACCTTGGTCAGTTTTAAACACCTAGGATTTAATGCAATGACAAGATAAAGCCATGCGACCATAAGACATGGTCCATTTGTTCCAATTTCCTCTGGTAAATAAAACTATAAGATAAAAACATGTTACCTCTGTATGAGCTGTTCGCAATGCATGATACAGGTCAGCCTCTTTGCCACCCTGGTATCTTAATTTTGCAATCGTTGCTACAAGATCTTGGAGGGTCGAGAATTGATTCAAAGAAACTTCAATGCTAGTTAAAAGACGATCGCTGAACTGCATAACGCCGACGTGTACACGAGACGGTCCAACGTCTACTCTCGATAGAAAATCTTGGAGAAAAAATCTGATTTTATAGAACATTCTGCTACCCACAGACTTCGATCCATCAACCATAATCAAAATATCTTTCTTTTCTTGAAAACATTTGTGTTCGGCTAAAATAGCAATACAGATATTAGTACGGTGATCGAGTAATCATTTGATACAAAGATATGAAACTGTTTCTACTCTCTACTCTCTGTTTCTTCCACTCTACTCTCTGTTTCTTCCTCTCTACTCTCTGTTTCTTCCTCTCTACTCTTTGTTTCTCACTCTCTACTCTCTGTTTCTCACTCTCTACTCTCTGTTTCTCACTCTCTACTCTCTTTTTCTCACTCTCTACTCTTTGTTTCTCACTCTCTGCTTTCTGCTGCTCAATCTTGCACTCATTTGCTATAGCACAAAGTCTGATCACATTCATATCGCATTTATAGTTTAGTTCGTTCAACATCAGTTCTTATTACAAACGAATCAAATCTTCCTATTCAAATGAAAAATCAATACTCACGAGCAGGTTGTCTTTCTTTGTTTCCACAAATATCTTTTACAAGTTTCTTTGTGATCTTCTTCAAAAATCTGAAATCTTCGATGTGATTATGAGCTGGTTTTGAGCCAATTCGATTGAACAGCAATTTGTACTTGGACATCCATTTTTTGGTTCCTGCTCCAATCGTAATGAGATGAACTCCTTTGTTTTTTAATTTGTTTGCTTCCTCAATAGCTTCTTGTGGATCGTGAGGCTGACCATCTGTTATCAACAATAACACTTTCTCTGAATCTTCACGATCCGAATGAGTTGAATTATCAGAAAATATCTGGAAATATTTAAAACCAAAATTACCCCTGTTTAAATACTATAAAAATTATGTATGACCTAACCTTCATAATTGTTAAACATAATTTTAACATCTTACAAATACACATTATATTTCAGACCTTATTCTTGCACAGTCAAATAAGAAAACAAATGTGATCCAGACCAAAAGAACATGCCTTTCTCACAAATTTTCACGTTTTTTACTCATCCATCTTTTCGTTACCATAATATAGATGGATGGAATATTTTGTATAATGCAACATGCAAATACAAGTCAAAGAACTTACATGTTTGTCTGCGACGCGGAAAGCGTGTCCCAAGAATGTTCGGTCGCCATACTGATGAACAAGTCGCTTTATATTATTTTGAATACCTTTGGTTGTTTTATGTTTGCCAAAATCAAATTCAACGACCGTTCGAAACTTGTTACTGAATTGCATTAAGCCGATGCGACTCTGAAATTCGCCAATTTTGAATTCGCCAACAAGATTCGACAAAAACTGTCGAAGTTTATTGAAATTTTGAGGATGGATACTCTGTGATCCATCGAGAGCAATGAAAATGTCCAAATTTTCTTTCCGACATTGCGGATCTGAAAATATAAAAAAAAGAAAAATGATTTCAGAAACAAAAAAAAAAGCAAAATATTATACAACAAATAGGACGAGGATTTTTAAAACTTCTTCTGCACAATCAAAGACAGTGTATGGAATAATAAACAAATCGACGAAAAATCAATTCGATTAAGTTGCCGATGGCGAAAATTCTTCCTTTTCCTATGAAGAAAAACCCCAATTTATTCATAATATTTTTTGAGAGAATGGAACATTGATAAAGAATACTCCATTGATTCATTTTGAGTATTATTGTTCGAGACAATAACAAATATACCGACAACTGTGCATTAGGTTATGTAAATAATTTTCTTGTGTCTCCAGGAAACTTAGCCCTTCATGCAGTCTAAAAATAAAGACGTGACTTTCAAAACACTTGACCCAGGAATAACATCTCAGTGAACAACATAACTATGTTGAAGTAATGCAAGAAAAGGTATAATGCATGTATGTGACGATGAGCTCCACATGGCTGTATACCACTGAAAAACAGGCTATTTTGACAAAAAATTTAATATATACTATACTAGACGTCATATGATAACGACTCATTCTCACACGAATCTATTCAACAAGTGTGAAGACAGAAAATAATAGTTTAGTGAATTTTACTGCATGCTGATAGCTCATTAATTTGATATTTTTCTTGTGGCGACATAAACAATATAATTTGATGAGAGTCACGGTAGAAGTCAGCAACAACATGATCAAGCATACTATTCAAAGCAATAATATTTTATAAAATGTTTTCTAAAGACTGAGTTTTTTCTTTTGTATTAGTATGGTGTATCACTTTGGGCAGTTTTATTTGACGTTTGTTTAAATTTTAAAAGACATGCACTTCGTCATCTTAAAGCCCATGAAAATTGACAAACAGGATTGTTTTGTAATGTTAAAAATTATGCCATTTAATAATAAATTGACAAAATAATCAAGCTAGCACAAAGAATTACATGTTGATTTTGAGAAGTAGCGTAGCTTAGTATGATAACTGAAAAGCTTAGTATGATAACTGTTAATATTTATATATGATTGATGAATTTTTCACATATAATCCACTAAAAACAATAGCCTTCAAAGAAACTTAATGCGGAAAAACATGCATATATACGCATATCACCCTTCTCCTCTCCCTTCAAATTATCAAGCTATGTACGTCACTGACTTTGACTACTTTCCTTTCTGTCAGCGCGTGTGGTCCATGTATTTTCTCGAAGCTATTTGGCGCACCTATTCCTGATTTCCTTTTACAGACTAATGATGTATTTACGTTAATTGTATTATATATTATGCGGGTACAGTTGCTCAGATTATCATTGTTCTTACTAGGTATAATGAAGTCTATGACCCTAGTTTGTGATGAGAGAAGTTTCAAATTCACAAAATAAACACTTCATCATCAATTTTTAAAATATCCTGAGAAACTAAAACAATAATTGATGTTATCAAATGTGACAATGTAACTAGTATAAGACCTCTCTATAGAGGAATTCGTCGGTACAAAACTTAACATGTACATAACATGTCAAAATAATGAATCAATAGAAAAAAAAATGAAAAGAGAATGTTAATTTCACTACCCTAAAGTAGTCCACACAAAAAACTTTTGTGTCAGCTATCTTACAAGTTAGCTTAAAACCTGTGCCACCATTTTACAAGTTGAGCAACTATCTTGCACAAGTTGTGCAATTGTCTTACAAGTCAAACAACCATCTTTGAAATAGAACAACAATCTCACAAATTGTGCTACCATATTACAAATGTTCAACTATGTTACAAGGTAAAGAACTATCTGCGAAGTTACGCAACCACACCACAAGTTGTACCACCATCTTACAAGTTGAGCAACCATCTTACAAGTTTTGCAAGCAACTTACAGGTTGTCTCTAACTAAGACCTAATGTATTGCCACAAACTTACGGGTTATGCTGCAGACTAGACATTCTGCCATCATTTTACAGGTATGCGACAAATTCACATATTGTGTCACCAATTTTCAGTTTGGGAATTATAGTAAAGCTTTAAATATTTCCAAAATCATACACGGGCAGTCTACTGTTTTTCATCACTCGAGTTTAATGCGGTGTTGACAAATGCGATTATAATATTCTTCATTTTTTCAACTTCGTTTACAGAACGCAAGCAAATATTTTTCCTTGGTATGTTGAAGAGAAATGCATATAAAAAAAAACATTATATAAACATGATTAAAGATCCACACAAATACTCATTTTATGTGGTAGCAAAACATTACATAATTAAATTTTTGGTTTTTGATTTTTTGAGAGCATTCATTTCATTCGCAAGAAATTTTTTATCATGATAAGCAAATATTAAGCATTTTATCTGTCAAGTGTCTTTTCTATATAAGTATTGATTTCACAACTTCCAATTGCTTCCAACTAATGAATATTTTTTTACATCATAATTCATCAAAATATGCACGGGAAGTGCTTAACTCCAAAAGGTTCTCATTGCTCAAGTTCTTTTGTGATGAATTATTTATAAAAATATTTATACACTAATGCTAATGATCTTGTTAAAATGTGTTCATGTTTTGAAGCCTCTGTATTTTACCTAGCAAAATTTCCGTCAGATAATTTCCTGAAGAATTGTACACTCGCTCGCTCAATGACAATTTCAATGTTCTTTTTTCACAGTTAATTTTGTAAAACAAGAAATGAGAGTTAAATTCATGGTAAATATGTCATATGAGGTGACAATTAAACACCTGCTTTTACAATTTTGCTATAAATAAACATCAAACGTAAGCGTGTTGAGGTTAAATGATCTGCGAAAATTCACTTCTAGATTTTTCTAATAGTAAATAATGTTCATATTTATAGCCAGCATCCTTCCGAATCAATTCTCGCCATGAACAGAGCATAGCCTCCAACCAGACAAACGGCATATTAGAAAGCCTCGGCACGCGCGCAATTTATTCATTTCATTTTTTTATCCGACTACTTTTTATATTGCGTGGTTCAAAACGTGATATTATACATAAACGATTTCGGGAAACTGTTCTGCAGTAGTTTTGAAGCCTAAACTTAATAAAAAAAAACACAACATTTGAAAAGTGTAAAAGAGGTAATTTTTCACAGTCAGTCCATGCAATCAAAAGAAAACAAATGAAATTTGTTTTGAATATTGCACAGCTAGTAACTTTTTTTTTGAATGAGAGCTTATAGCTAACTTTAAAATGGCAAATTCTGAAACACTAATACACACGACAATTCTTTGTAATCTCATAACTGCATTTGACAGCAGTGATTATAAGAAGATCAATGAAGAATTTCATGGGATCTGTTGCGCAGTGGAAAATTATCAAAAAAAGTAAAACCAACATCTTACCTAGCATTATGAAATTAAATAAGAAATAAAACAGCTAGAATTGATAAACAACTTTTCAAATGAATAAAAAACATAAAATCTTTATAAAAACATGGTAAAATTCAAAAATTCTGTTAAACGCAAGCAACAACGCATAGTAAACTTGTTAGAATGCTATCAGATCCACCATGTTCTTATTATATAAAGCATTTGATTGTCACATTCACTAATTTAAAAAATGAGGATAATAAAAGGATTTCCGAGTCGTACTTCTTGCAACAAGTTAGTCATGCAATGTCATTAAAATAGGGATTGGTTTTAATGCCTAATCAGAAACAAGAAGCAGTGTATATTTCTGTATATCCATTCGTTATTAAGAAATGATAATGCACAAACGCCAATTGATTTATTTTGAAGGTAAAAAACAAGCTAGGAAGAATGATGTAAGCCAATTTAATTTAATTTCGATGTAAATTGAATACGTCGAATTAATGATTTCCTCCATTCAATTTGTCAGGCAGCAATTCAAATTCTATCTATTTCGGCAAGATCTAAAGTTTTATTGTCCCACTATACATTTTAGTGTTATAATGTACATTATTTAAAAGAAACATGCAAGCTTTAATTGTAGTTGGAAATAATCATAAGAGGCATGACATTCCAACAGACCCGCCGGGAAATACCTAAAATTCAAACCAATCAATACATAGGAATCACAAGCAATAATGGGACAAACTTTCATCTTCATAATGTAAAGTAAATACAATTATTAATAATCATAAGGCTAAAAATACGTAGACAGATATAGATGTTAACACTTAAGTGTCTTTTATCTACATATCAAAGTTGAAAAATTCATCAAACTATCCGAAATACGCAAATACGGTTTATTCTAGACTTTTCGTAATTTTAAATCGTAGTTCTTACTTCAAGAAACGTAAGCCGTAATATATTTGTGATATCTATACCCAGTTTTATGTGTCATTCATCAAATTGTTTTCGCAAACAATACAGATGATAGAGTAATTGTAATATTTTGAATACCTTTTCTCTGGAAATGAAACGTACGAAAATAGACATTTCGTTTTATTGTATAGCCAATTGCCAACCAAAATGTTTTGTTCAAGTGTATTTATATGAAGCGTTTGGCAAACAACCAATTAAAATGTCAACATGCCACCGTGTATTAACTAAACAGATTCAACTCAAGCGAGCGCCGTATTCGCGCAGTATATGCAAATTAAGCGGCAAGATGAAATCTCAACGATAATCACGCGCGCAGATTAATGAATATACATATGAAGCTGTTTATATCTTCATAAAATAGACAACGCATGCTGAATAAAGACAAGACATGACAATGCTTAGCAAGTAGGTTTCAAATAAGCAATTGTTCAAATATCCAACTGTTTAAATCAGACATCAATAATATTACGCAAACATTAGCGTAAGCTTTTTAATACTTTACAAAACAGTGCGAAAAGATAAAACAAAAATTTGAGGAGTCCCTTCGACTGAAACTTCCACAGCTCAAACAAAAAATGGTTTAAAACGTCGTGTAAATTTTTGGGAGTAGCCGTCGTCACAAAGTCGAATTTCGCAATGAATAGCAAGACTTGAATGAACAAATCATTTTATACAAGCAGATGATTAGAATTCAGCCGACGCATATTGATTATGAAAAAATATTGAGTATCGAATGAGAAAATGAAGAAAAAAACTTACTGGCTGATACAAGCCGACAACACATTAGGCCAAGACAAAGCAGCCACGCGAAAATCATTTTTTGTTTCACACCAACGATAACCAACAATAAATGTTCAATAAGGGCGGCTTGAGTACGAGATAAAAAGTGCAGTCTCCGACAGTGTGTCTCCGACAGTCTGTCCGATTAGAAAGTCAGTAACAATCACTTTAAGAAATACTCGTTGATTTCATGGGATCACGACAGGATATCTTTTAATATACATTCTAATACGTCCGTCAATACACAATACCATGGTTATAATCATCATTTTAAATATATCGTGCTACACCGCGCATGCTCACAACAAACTAGCTCAGCATGCATGCTTTTAAAGGTCGTGCGTGCACGAATTATGTTGATTTTGCCATGACGTTGCATTCCAGATGATTACATCAAATACCTGGAAGTTTTTGAGTTCCAATAGAAATCACGCTTTTTTGTGGTGGCAATATTGGGTTTATTGTAAATAACGTATAGGGCTGGCAGGAATAGAACAGTTTACAAATATCCGTCAACTTTATATGTTGATTAGGTTGTCAAAGATCAAAGACACTTATGTTGAGTAAATCATATGATGTTTTTAGTTGATCAAAGTCAACAATTGCAAATTACTTTCTCAAAATCGTGTCCTGGGACATTTTGTCTTTTCTATTAAAATTAAGTGAATTATGAAACTGACAAATTATATTTCCCACTAAGTCCCCTACTGTAGGTTATTAATTTATCGCTTGAAAAACGTCCTATTAAAAGCCGTAAATAATTTTAACATTAACAGCGTTAAACCACTCGATCTCTACAGATACGAAGACCAGCCGCTAACCTTCATCTACGAACTATCTACTTAGGTCTGACATTTAGAATCTATATATGGACTGCAATCATTAGATTTGCTTTTAAAACACACAAAGATACGAACATAAAGAGGTGTTTTGTTTTTATGATAAATAAATAAGGCAATAAGATTACGGTCAAAGCTCTTGATAAAACAGTACATTCATGAAACCTCCACAGACTACTGGAGACTAAAAAAATCATTCAAGAAATTTCTTATGATCTATTTTATCCAACGATGTTTACAAATAGGGCAATGATTTAGCTGGTTTGTACGTCACAGTCAAAGAATGATCTCTTTTAAGAAAAAAACACACGATACTACAGGTCAAACTGAATTCAACACTATAATGAAAGGTTAATTAAGCAATATGAACTGACGATGAACTACAGTTCTGATTATATATGTACTAACGTTTTTGCCTTATCATCTAGTTTCCAGTTAGCTAATAACAGTCCAAATTTCCTTTTTATACATAAAATTATACATACAGCTAATGTTTTCGCAATACTGCTAGATGTGTGCAAAAGTCGAAATGAACCCCAAAATGTTGAATGAAACAACGACCTTTTATTACAAGTGATTATGTTACATAAAACATATACTTTTAGTTACCTAAACAACATAAACAAACATTGCATGCCTTTACACGAGCCGTTATCATATAAACTATGCGTTGATAGCATTTATCTCCATATCGTATTGAACAATTCAAACAAACCTTCATGTCTGCAACCTAGATTTAATCAGTTTTCCATACGTCATGTTAAGATGAGAGGTTATCTTGTTAGAAAATATGTGTGATTTGTGATTATTTGTAAACTTTGTCATTTCATATAGCCAAAATAAATATACATGTCTGTGAGCTTGATTTTATTACTTTCGAAAAATTCATAAAGAACTGACAATTAAAGTAAACGGACTGAATAGTTTCAATTGTAAAAGGTTTAATATTAAAGACATAACTACAAATTGAAGTATATAAACGCAAATTGAAATTGCAGTAAAGTTGATTAGCAACAGCCAGAAAGATAACTCCATAGTTTCTCGACGTTTCGAAGGAAAGACTTTCCTTCTCTAATTAAATAGCCTACAATTGTTATCTTGAAATAATACGATTAATACAAATATAGTTTTGTTTCAATATCTAAAAATTTTAAGGTGACATGATGAAATATCCCCATAACTATTACAAATACTTTCCCCACACCATTAACGTTACCATTACCATAACCTTTACCATTAACGTTACCATAGCCTTTACCATTAACGTTACCATTACCATAACCTTTACCATTAACGTTACCATAGCCTTTACCATTAACGTTACCATTACCATAACCTTTACCATTAACGTTACCATAGCCTTTACCATTAACGTTACCATTACCATAACCTTTACCATTAACGTTACCTTTACCATAACCTTTACCATTAACGTTACCATTACCATAACCTTTACCATTAACGTTACCATTACCATAACCTTTACCATTAACGTTACCTTTACCATAACCTTTACCATTAACGTTACCTTTACCATAACCTTTACCATTAACGTTACCTTTACCATTACTATCATAATTATCAATAAGCAAACTTTGTACATTGTCTGAGTGCAAACTAAGAACTGAGTTTTCATCGTGACCCTTTATGTGTGAAATGTGTTGCTTTTCGGAATGCATGTTCAGCCAGACGAAAAGAGGAAGAACCAATTTTTGGAACATTTTTTGTGGTAATTTAAAATTTTCAATTTATACATCACACAACCAAAACAAACAAAATACACAAACAATATATAACATTGATCATTGCAAACTTGAATAAGTTGGAATAACGGAATGTAGGCAAACTTCTACGAAATGTACGTTAACTCCTACTACATATACGACAACTTCTACTAAATTTATCAAAGTGATATTCAAAGAAAGTAAGCCTTCAAAAGACAAGTTGTTGTATCATAGAAAACTGTGCGTTGATAGTTGAGCATTTGTGTCCAATAATTGATGATCTAAATTACTAAAATTATCAACGATAACTAAAGTTTACCGTTGATATTGTATAAAGAACGTTGAAGACAATGAGCCTTTAAAAATGTAAATCTTCTTGGAACACTGATAAAACTTCTTTTTGGAGGAATATATTGGAAGTGTATTTTCTGACGTAACATTGATGTTCCACTCAAAAATTTCGAATAGTTTTACTCATTTATGCAACTCGCAATGAATTTTATGTTTAAAACATGCCTAAATATGTTAAACATAAATGTAATTTCGATGATTATGTCATTATCGATAAACAATCTACCAATGTTTGTGCACAAGCGACAAAATGTACAAAATTAATTATATTATAACAATAATTAATTACGCTTACTCTGCAATAGAGGGATCCGATCATCGCTTAAACACTGTAATATGACGGTACACATGAACAACTTCGAATAAATTTCTCTGATCTTTCCCATCGCATGTAAACGACTCATTGATTATGTTCAATCTTGTACAGTAAGAGCCTCCATCAAAATGAACATGTTTGCCAACTGCTGTGTAAACTATATTTTACATTTATTCCCCAATAAGGAGCGAACTGATGACTTCCTGCCTTTAATATCATCATTCTTTACTTGATGAAGATCGCGAGATCAATATAAATGATTTATTGGGGCAGAACACGTTTTAAAAATTTGTTGTTTTATATAAGAGTGTACATCAAAGCGAATATGTGTAAGACATCGTTTTTCGTTTTTTTTCAACGCACGTGCTATTTCACTCGTCATCATGTTAAAAAAATCTCACAAATATTGCAATAGAAATTTACATAACATTTACAGTGGATGTTTTATCAAAATTTCACCAATTCATATATTCACATGTCTTTTCTGAAGTTCACTTCAACGACATCGCCACAAACGTTCAGCAATATTTGTCCCTGATTTGTGAAAACACACAATAAAATCATTGTTTTAAACAATCAGAAAAACGTGGTCCTACTGCAACTCCGTGCAGTTGGACGTGATGTGCACAGCGAACGAAAGAAGGCCCGCTGCTTATTGAATAAAGTCTATTTGAATGAAGGTCAAAGCTATGTCAATAAAAATAAAAACTTTGCATTTCTAAACAAACAAATGAAATACTCTCTAACATTTAGTAATAACTGTTTTATATCATTAGATAAAACATTGGTTAAATATATCATGCATGTTCGTAGTGATCGTAACTGCAAACCGACTTTTCATTAGAGTTGTGTATTTATCCAATAAATATTATCATTCAATATCAACATGGGATAATTTATGACATCATTTTATGTAAACTGACAGATTGCCACTTAATAATAATACAAGACATGACAAAATACAACAATAAAACATTACTAATGCCAATATCCCACATGGGAAATTCTCAAGTTCACAGGAAAGATCTTTTTCTTTTTTGCAATGCATAAAATTTCCGACAATTTTTAATATCAATTCCGCTGTATATTATCGCGTTTTTATTGCCTTTGCACGCAGAAAGTAATTCTTTAGCAAAGTGATTGATGAATCATGAAAATATTTAGTTACGACTATGTTTAAAAAAAAACAAGTTACAAATACCTGATTTTTGTGAGGACTGTCAAGGAGAACCACTTTGTTCATACGAAATGAAGTCAAGGCATTTCCGCCTAAAGCCAGCACTTGAGCCCGCACAATTGCATGTACTTCGCCAATGAATACTTGAATAAAATTATTCAATCCACCATTCTAAAGATAAAATGTTAAAATTATCCATATTTATACCTGCATGTACAAACATGTATCATTGATCAAGATGAGGTAAACTACTATAATTAGGTTTTCATCTCATCCTTGTTCATCGTCGAGAATTTAAATATAAGAGTATATTTTTAAAGTGAATGGTTTGAACACGAGAGTGTCGTTACATGTTTGTAGATGTAGATCGGCAAGGTTAGTAAAGTCCTGAGAAGGACTGTTTTTGATGTTGTTGACTGACGTTTCGACAACTTAGCAGTAGTCATCTTCAGAGTGAAATGAGGAATAAACGTCAGGTTAGCCGTATTTGTTATCTGGTTCTTACATCAATAAACGTCAGATAACAAATACGGCTAACCTGACGTTTACTCATTTGACTCGGAAGATGACTACCGCTAAGATTGTCGAAACGTCAGTCAACAACAACAAAAACAGTCCTTCTCAGGACTCTTCTAACCTGGACGATCTACATTTACAAACATGTGGAGTATATTTTTGTCACTCAACAAAAACCTTGTACAAAATCAACATCAACAAGCTAAATCGACATGATTTTCTTTAGCATAGTTTTATAAAGGCCGTAAGGTTGTCTTTTCCAAACGACACGACGGTAAAAACCACAACATTTGCCATACCTCACGCACAGAGAGACTTTCTCGTATAAAAAAGAGATTAATGTTGCCCAAGTATCGTTCAGTAACTCCTCCAACAACACAAGACGTTGGAGTCAATTCGACAAGTGGACGAGAACAGGAAACATCCTTGGTCTGTAAAATAAATAGATATAGGAAATATAAATGTTGACCTTTACAAATCAATTTTTCTGGTTTCAATAACACCAAACATAAATTGTCAGCGAATAATACGTTATCTAACAAAACAACAGGTGAAATAATCATGCAGATCATCACTGCTCTGCTCACAATAGAAACTTGGAAAGATTTCGATCCATTAACAGGCGCAAAAATTTTTGTCGTCAAACATTCGAAATTTTAAAGACAATTCATTTATGTACGAAAATACGGCAATCTTTCAAGATATTTTTCTAGGAAATTTCCACATTGAATTGAAGCACTCGATTTTAGAATGTAATTGTACACACTTAAAAACATTTTTTAGAAATGTTCATGATGATTGTCAGTATAATTGACATAAAGATCCATAACGCTTTTTTCTAAACAAAGTAAGCTATCATTTCTTGTTTTTTATTCATTTCTATCATTGATACAACATGCGAAAGATTTTGTGAATAACTAGACTATGTGCAGAGAAAAATATAAGCAGAATAATTAGCAGATAACAGTTCAGAAAAAAATAAATAAATTACTTAATCAATTAAATAGCCAAAAGTTTCATCTTTATAAAATCCAGATTGTAATACAAGATTATACAACTGATCCTAAATTACAAAAAAGAAAAAAAAATCTCGCACCTTTCGTATTCTATTTTGTGATCGGCAGGTTGTGAAATCTACACATATAAAAGAATCAACATTTTAGCTGTTGTTTTAATCATTGATCTAAAACTAATGAAAATAAAAGATTTTAAGAAATAAACGCTTTAGAAAAAATTTCGTAACTCGTAAGGGCTAAAACCGTAACAAATGCATCACCTCCGTTTACCTTTAGACATCGTGGACTGCACTGGAGACTGAGATGTAGTTTGCCATTCGTCCTCAATCTCAAATTGTAAATCTAAATCATCCGGTTTTCCAATTCTCAAAAGCCCAAACTGCGCACGAGGATAACCTTAAAAAAAGTACTACATCATGATATTGTATCATGAAATGATCTTAACATTGACTTGGCATAACCTTGACCAAGCAAAATGACCTCATCAAACAACATGGCGTGATTCACACCTTTCCCGTGATGATCAGCGGGCATCCTCGATGGCAATCTGTCATCATCTTCACGAGTTTGACATCCAATAACGTAAGCATTAACAGCAACCTAATAATGAAAATAAAAACACAGCGATCAGTAATCTAAAGCACAATTAAACCCATTATCAGGACAGAACAGAAAAAACAGCAAGCCAATAAAGTCGTGACAGATCTACATTAAGCCAGGATGGCGTAGAAGCTAAAGCTCCAAAAAACGTAGTCTAGTTCAGGCTGAACAAAAACATTTTTGGATCCAACTTTTTTGTCTCACAATAACTTTCATATGACATAGAAATAACGAGACGACAACATACCTGTACGCTGTCCGCCATTGGTATTTCTAAGTCAAAACGAATATTTGATATGGAGCATGGAGAGAGACGGCGAACTTTGAACCAGAAGCTCTGAAAAAAATGAAAGGAAATCAACTTACTCTAGACATAAAATATTGAAATTGTACGTTCAACATCAAAGATCGTGAGTGATATAATCAATAGATAGGGAATGTTCTAAAGATAAAAATTTGTTGTTCACCATATATGGTGTGTGTTGTGAACAGTAGATGGCTATTGTTTTCTAAAATATAAATTATTTGTACACAAAAATGAAGATTTCAGCCTTACCTGCACAATACTTTCGAAAAGTTTCGAGATGAGTTTGTTACGATCGCTATTTTCGTCATTTACTGCTATCCGCTTCAAAGCAGTAATCATCTGAACAAAATAAAACACTTAAGTTTTCTACCTTTAAAGCTTGTTACGACTAAACTACATTTTCTTCTCATGATTCACTATTTTTGAAAGGCTCGTTAATCGCTACTTGCGATTTTCCCATTCGAAGATAAAAACATTTTCGCACTTTAACAAAATACCTGCATTCTGTTTTCATATTTGTCCACCCCCGGAACTGCTTCAGTCGTACCACAAATAAAACCTGAAAAAATAAATTAAAATATCAACCTGAATAAGTTTCTTCGTTGGTCACGACTTTCATTTTTTTACAAATTATTAAAGAAATTTACACTAAAAACTGAATAAGAAACAACTTCGATTTATTCTGTGATGTTCAGTATAAATTTAATTTAACCTTTAGGGATAGGCGTATCAAAAAGATCTGTGATGACGTCTTCGTCTTGTTGATCATCAATCTGTAATGGAAAAGTGCTTAGCCTTTTTTTAAGTGCGTGCAGTGTAGTCGTTGACTTTGTTTAATAATGAAAAACCATCTACATCAAGTTACGTTAAATAATCTGGGTGAACAAAACATGTTTACAAAAACCAATAAAACAACAATATTCAATAAGAATGAAAATCATTAATGACGAACACAAACGTTAACTATCTCGTACCTCTACGACAAATGCCTCTTTATTTCCCAATGATGGATCAAGAATCATCGTGTCACTAGTTGTATCACCGTCAAAATTACTTTCATGATGGTAATACAATAAAGAATCCTAAAAAATTAATAAAAAAAAACATTTCATTTGTCAAATTAAAGTAACCTTGACAATCGAGTTAATTGTTTTACGATCGTGAAGTAGAACATCTTATGTTGAATTGTAGGAATATATTCATAGATGAAATTATAAAGTACACAAGAACTTAATGGTCCAGTAAGAAATACGATACTGGAAAAACATCAAAAAAGAAAAAGAAATTTCTTACTTACATCAACTTTATCAATTCCAAACGATACTCTACTTCTTGCACTGTACTCTAAAATCTTCTTCTGAATATTTTTCAATCTCCTCTCTTCTTCAGCAGTAGAAACCTAAGATTTTCAATTCTTTATAGTACACATGGATAACGTGTCATAGGAATAATAGGATAATCACGTGAGGCTTGAGATAATATGCTGTCGAGTAAGAATATATGACACCAACCTTGCCTACTACACGAAGTATTGGGGCAGGAGGAAGACACGCGAGGTATAACGCTGTTCCAGTCTAAAATATACATAGCTGCAACTTCATAAAAGAAACAATTCTTTTGTTAACCCAAATAAAGAAAAACCATTGTTAGATTATGAATGTGTCATGACTTTGATGAAACAAAAAAAGTCGATATTCTTACACCGAGAGCTATAATCATGGATTCACCAACAGAGACTTGAACTTGAAGACCGAACAATGCATTCATTCCCTTCAACTAAAATAATATTGAAGTAAGTATTGCTAACATTTGTCTACTTATGGACAATGGAAAATAACAATATGAAAAAGTACCTTTAACTTGTTCGTAAGTTGACGGTGAAGTTCATATTCCAAAAAGGGTAGAATCTTAAAGGAGAAAATATTGAACTGATGCATCAATTGTATGTTAATTTATTGAATTATTTCGAACGGGTAAGCATTCAATATTTTAATATGAACCATAAGCTTTCTCCCAAAAAAATTGTGAAAAGAAAGTTCCACTGGTGGAAATACCAGTACATGGGCCTGCCAGTGTAAGCATGTAACATCTAATATTAAACAATTATAAACACACGTTGCTTGTCAATTCTGCATTAACTTCCCCTTTTTCTTTTCGTCGGATACGACAGACCCTACAACCAATAGGAGAAACAAGAGTTTTCAGCAAAAAGTCTTGTGCATAAAAGAAAAAACAGCTTGATGGCCTACATCATCATTACTTTGTATACCTTCCTTGCAGAATACAGCCTCTTCCAACCACGGCCAGATCACAAGGCAACTCAGTTGTTGAAAATAACATATCTGGAACTTTGTTTTGTCTTCAAAATTTAAAACAAAAGAAAAAAGGACAGTTTAGAACACTTTCAAAGTTACTGACGTAAACTTTGATACGCTCACATACTTGCAAACTAAACATTTCGTTAGATGAACAGGCATGGGAACATCGTCATCAACATAAGGAATATGGCAAATAGAGCAACTAGAATTTGATCGGTATTCATTTTCCTCGGGAGGCGTGATGCTTAAAAAGAAATTTATAATCAATTTCAGGCAATTCTAATTTCGACAATTCGGTGCAATTGTTCTCGTGAATAATTCTGTAAAATCAAAAGATCAAGTCGTAAACATGAAAGTTCCAATTTTAGAGCTAAAATGTCTCGGGGTATCGGGAGGCATCGTTCCATTGGGGATTTTTTGATTTTGAAAATTTTTCTTTTCTCAACGCGTGTTTTGTCTCACAAAGAAAAAAAACAAATGAGTCACAACACAATCTCAAGAAGTCGTCTTAGTTCTACATAGTTTTAACCCTTTCTGACCCAGGCGACATGCAAAGTGTTCCTCAGTATTCTTGCTCTCTTACAGTCGTTCCACTGTGCTAGACAGCTAAATAATACACCACCTCCTAGAGCAAGGCAGTAATAAGACCGTCAAAGAAAAGTTGGCATGAGTATTGCAACACACCTCAGTTGCACTGTAGACAACAACGCAGATTTTGACGAATTTCCCTCTGAATCAGTTTGTGGTACACCAGAATTTTTGCCTGTTTTAAGAGAAAAGTAAATTTTGTAGGGTTAAAGTGGCAGTAAGCAGTAGCAATGTGAAACACCTTGCTGAGGCTCATTGATAATAAATCAACAATCTTGTTATACTAAGGAGATTCTTATTCTGTGGTATTTGAAAAATATTAAAGATCCCAATCCCATTAAGGTTAGCTTTAGTAAATTTTCAAGCGTCAACTCATGATAAATAATACATTCACTTTTTGACGTTTATAACAAAGTCACCATTTCAAGAAAATTAATCATGAATTTACTTTGAAGAAGTAAATGAAGAAGTTAAACGTATGGTTTTGTTAGTAAATGTGTTGCATAACGCAGTTATTGACATGTAGATACATCAATCTATTTCTGGTGACATACAAAAACAAACAACGGAAGTATTAAAAATAATGACTTATGAAAATACTAACCAACTGTTGGTAAATCTCTGTCAAACATTACAAAAGCTGCAGTCCCGATGCCAGACAACACTATTAACTCTTCACTAAAAATGTAATAAGAGGTCAAGTCTAGAAATTTTGCCGATGAACATAACTGCATAGGTGAGAAATGCGTGTAAAGCATATGTAAAAAAATCATGTCGCTTTCTTCATGTAAAAAAAGTGATGGATCATTTAAAAAATAACTATGTTCAAAATTTAGCCAGCAGCGCACCAAATAGAGCTTGATTCAGAGTAGCCAATCACCGCATTACATCCAAGGGAGTTTGCATGTGATCTTATTTCCGTTCGAATTTCACGCCACCATGAGTCGCGAGTCTCAGGTTCGTCTAAAAATAACATAACACAGCATATTACATGTAGATGTATCTATTTATAACATAACACAGCATGTTACATGTAGATGTATCCATTTATAACATAACACAGCATATTATATATAGATGTACCTATTTATAACATAACACAGCACATTACATGTAGATGTATCTATTTATAACATAACACAGCATATTACATGTAGATGTATCTATTTATAACATAACACAGCATTACATGTAGATGTATCTATTTATAACATAACACAGCATATTACATGTAGATGTATCTATTTATAACATAACACAGCATATTACATGTAGATGTATCTATTTATAACATAACACAGCATATTACATGTAGATGTATCTATTTATAACATAACACAGCATATTACATGTAGATGTATCTATTTATAACATAACACAGCTATTTAAAATTTTCTCTTATAGAGCGTCAATAGCAGTGTACGAAAAACATTCTTCAAGTACCTGGATTGTTGATTCGATCGAGAAGTTTAACAGAGCGTGCACTAACAACACCGCCGATAGATCGAAGTATTGAAGATGGAAGTTTAGTCAACGTAAAAAAAGGAAATTCCTGTAAGAAAAATGTAAAAGTTCTAGCTATAGGGCTCTAGCCACGAAACTTAACACCAGTAGCCATGTTAGTATATTAATGAGTAACTAATTAGAGTTAATTGCAAGTTTTCATTTATAGAAATTACTGTGTGTAAGAATTAGAAAGCACCATTTGGCATTTGCAGCTTGTTAGTTACGTAGATTTTTCTGAACTCTCATTATTATTTCTGTGTTTTGATCAGTCCATTAAACACCAAACTTAAATAATTTTCATATTGGAGTGTGTAATCACTGGAGACCACAATTTTGAAAGCAAATTTTACTTACTAGTTCATTAATTAATCGTTGTCTTGTCGTATTTTGCCCAGGTATCCACGGGCGACCTAGAGATTTACCAAAACTACCATAATCTCCACTACCATTGTGATCTAAGTAAAATAAAAAACGCAATGCAAGAGGTATAAATTTAGCAGAGCAATAAAATTTCATTCGATCAAGAAAAATAGTCGATTTTATTGTCGATATTGATACGTAACTTTTTACGGTAAATAACATCACCGTAACCTGTGACAAAAATATCACATAAGAAGACAAAAAAGTTATACTTATATTAGTCAGTGATTAATTAAAGTCCATATATATATATTTGTAAGTTTGAAAATTGGTAATCCATCCAATCACATTTATCTACCCGCTAATCCAGTTAGACGCTCTAAGCGTCTCCAAGCTAAAAGCATGTGTAAATAAATATCCTCATTCTGATGAAGGCTCGAAGCAACGAGTCGAAAGCTCCATAAAAGTAATTTAAAATACGGAGAAACTTTTATCTTTGATGTATATATATTTGTACATATTTCTTCATTGCCACAATTTTATCTTTTTAACATCCATATCCGATAACAATATCATGTGTTTCAAATTTTTTTTAATCACTCAAGATTACTTCTAGTTCTACACAAAGTGAAAGATGTTCTTTTTGTTGAGATGAAATTTCAAAACACATAATAAAATGTATGATGAGTATACTTACCCTTTTTAGGAGAACTACCGTCTGAGTCTGTGGTCGAGTTATGTCGCATTCGTTTAACGTTGATAGGGTTCGACTTAGGAGTGCCAGCAACGCATCTGTAAAATTTAGAGTTACGAAATGGTAAGTGGTCGGTGTGTTAGAACAAAGACGGTTGGAGTAGGTACACTTACTTATCTGTCGTTGACGCCTCATCTCTTGGGGAACCAATAAATCCAGTGGGAGTTGTTGGTAAAGATGACGTCGCATTTATCTTCAACAACAATACACAAGTACCAATACCGCGGACCACAATTCCAGATTCTCCTTCCAGATCAAAATATTGCTGATAGCTGAACGAAAAGTACAGCATGAAAGATGTAATGAAAATTTGTTCGAAAAAATACACAAGGCAGTTTTGCCGATATTTTTGATCATTACAATAAGAAACAGTGGTATGATTACACAATCAATGACACTTTACTCGAATAAAACCAAGATCTTACCCAATGACTGCGTTTCCTCCAAGATCAAGAACCTTCAAACCAATCTTCCTTTGTAGCTCGCCTGGAAAATGTATTTAGATGTTCTGAGCAGTGAGTCGATGTGCCGGAGACCGAGAATTCGAATTTACGGCAGAAAATCAACTGCTGATTACGACAAAGTTGAGTGTAGTCTACATTGACCAATACACCTACGGAGTCATTGCCAGTTACAGTTAAATAAAAGGAAAGAACAAAAGTCGAAAGTACAACAAACCGGAGCTAAAGTATTTAGTCTTTCGAAAAATATTTAATCGAAGAATCCACACCTGAAAGTTTTTGAAAAAGCCTTTGACGAGCCTCATTGGAAGATCGAGTTGTTCGAAAATTGTCAATCCACTAAACACAAAAAATGAAGATAAAGACATTGGATAACCAGAAACTGTCATATGTTCAACTTTTGGTGTTTTGATAAGCACTTAGAAGCTACGTATAGTGGTAAAATTCAAGTCTACTTCAGTGAAATCTTGTATGAAAATTGAAATTTTTCACGGACAATCCCGACTCCTACTTCGAAAATAGTGTACAACAGTGTACAATAGTGTACAATAGTGTACAATAGTGTACATATTCTTCGTTTTTTAATTGTAAAAACACCTGATATTCAGGATCATCGTTCACGACCAATTCTTCAACAAAACCATGAAAGGCGAGTGCTTTGTAGCAACATGGAACGGATGGCGCTACAATGAAACACACATTATACGTGTTCATTACATTATCACATCAACACAGATAGTTCCACGATTGAATATTTCTCATTTATATAACTGATAACGAAGTTATTTGTTAATATTCGTAAGTATTATATAGATCGTTACAATGGCAAAAAAAAACACGTTACTTGTGAAAAACAGTACACCACAAGACGACTGTCTAAACTTGTTCGTGTCCACAAAAAAGTCGACTTTCACCTCTATTTGAATTTCTCCCCGTATACCTGAGAGAAGAAAAAAAATTATGTGAAAATTTAATTTCATCATCTAGTGACACCCGTATGGATATGTTAAAAAATCTTTAGAATAAGCTTGTTTCACTTTCACCTTCAATGATTATGGAAAGCCACAAGTTCAAAGGGGCAAGCAAATATTATTCTATCTCTTAAATGCCATAGTATGGAGTGCTTTTATATTGGTAGATAACCTCAGTTTATCAAGCACTTTTTTATTGGTTTTTATTCAATCTATCAAACTAACTATTTTCACAACACATTGAAAAAAAGGTGAAGGATGCCATCGAGAAAGTTATTGAAGCCAAAGGAAGGTGGGCAGGACATCTAGCCCGAATGAAAAACCATGAATGGGCAAAGAAAACAACTGAATGGACCCCGTGGGACAAGAAAAGAGGCAAGGGAAAACCAAAAAGGAGATGAAGAGATGACATCGAGCAGAGAGTGGGCAGCATGTGGATCCAGAGAGCCCAAGACCGTGAAGAGTGGAGAAAGATGTGGAGGCCATCCACCAGCAGTGGCGTGACAGGCTGATGATGATGATGATGATGATGATTGAAACACATCACTTCACACCTCTTCAGTAAATAAACACGACTAAAGTTATATCAATGGTTTTGGACAAAATATATAAAAAGACTGACTGTTATTAATTACCATGCATTGTGTCATAAATAGGAAACCAGCCTGATAACATTCGAGGCGATTCATAACTCAGGAGACAATTTAGACTGATGTTTACCTAGTGGGTAAATATTTTTTGTTTGAATATGAAAATATGAACCAGGGGGGTGGGCATTTCTCAACGTGTGTAAATACTCAAACAGTTTTTTAAAAGAAGAAATCTAACATAAATATGCAAGGACAGGGAGGTACATGTTTATGAAACATTTCCTCAGAGTTCACATAAATGTTCATTGTCCGTTAGGTTTTCCTATTTTTTCTGGATTTAATTTTTACTTCACAAACAATCAAATGTATTATGATTGAGTTAAAGAAAGCCGACAGCTGTGATAAAGGTAAACTACCTGTAGTACCAAATACAATAGCAATAAATTCATGATCAATAATGGATGGTGAGGGATAAAGCATTTCAATACTTTATAGTTAACCTAAAGAAAATGCTTCCAACCTTTCCTATTGCATCATGGGCAGTATATGTATCATAATCCATCACACGAAGTTGTAAGGGTTCCTCTTGAAGCTCTTCATCATCTACCTAAATACAAATTGACATTATTTGAAACTTAGTTGAAAACGTTTACATGAATAAAATTGTATTTAGAAAAGAGATTTTAAATTTAGAGTAAAATGTTCTGTTATTTTAATTACATTTGAAAGCATGCACTTGCCTCAAATCTGTACCATTCAGAATTCCAAACAGGATTTAATGATTTCTTGCATACTTCGGTCTTGTGAACAACGTTACCAAGTTTTACCTAAATAAAAACAAAACTTGTGATAATTTCAATCGTCTTCTACCCTATAGAATCAGAAATCAGAGACATGATAAAGATTTGTATGTAATACGGTCTAAGCAATACAAAAAATCATTCACGAATAAAAACATTGGTAAAAATCTCTACCTCAGCAAATGCATCAGCCAGATCACTAGAACGATCCATTACAGGTAGTCCACGAGCAGAAATGATTCTCACTTTAACTTTTCCAGGCATGACTTTTACTTCAAGATTTTTCGCGTTTTCTATCAATACAACCCAATTTTATAAAACACTAACACATTTTAATCAAGAATTTTTAATATTTTATATAAAAACAGTAACAAAATCAGACTTCTTCCTCAAATTGTTCAAATCGACCGCCATATTGGAAATTAAAGACGGGGGGGGAGAATGTGTTTTTTTAACTTTTTGCTTCAACTTTTCGAGTAAAACGAAAGGCTAAAATGATTGGAACCAATCAGGAATTCAAAAAAGCTGTTAAACTTTAATTTGACTCTTTCAATTATTTATTTGCTCGTCATGTATGTTCGGCTTCAAACTATGCATTGAAAAATAGTCGGTTTTTTTATGCTACATCTAAGGGACTAATGACTGTACACTATAGAAAATTAGAAATTACTGATCTGTTTAAATAAGGTAGTATATGAAGCTTTCAAGCATTTCCAAGATTCCATTCCCAACTAATATTTGAGAATTACATAGATCATCAGACTTGTCTATCTTATATTCAAGAATTATACGACGCTAAACTACCCCCTTCCTTGAACATCGGGGGGGCCTTGACCCCATTTCTTCTTCTCCCTACGTCGTTGATGAGAATTATCAAACGCTAGTTTTGATGTTGAAAGTGGTGTTCATTTGATGATATTTCAACACAAGTTGAAACGTTAAATTTAGAAGTATTTACAAAAGTAATAACTTACAATGAATTGACGTCTTGTTTGACGTTGGACCTGTTTAAAAAACATTGCGGTATCGTATGCTCCGTCAATATATACTATATATAAATATATGTACTACATATTTAAATGTCTCGTGGTCATTTGTATTTGTCCTTATACAACATATATAATACATTAATTATTTTTCATTTGTAATATAGTTTATATCGAGAACGATCGACTGGTAATGAGGCACAAATACTGAAGACGTCAGTCGATTGTAAATTGACGTTAGTTGATGGAAGAATTGCATTTAGGAGTGAAAATTTTAAATTTCTTTTGATTTATAGAAGACTGAAGCTTGTGCCTATTTTTCAAAAGAAATGACAGGCAATCAATGGGAAAATGTGGGACAAGTCAATGTTATTCAATAAATACTTCATATTTTCAATACTTAATACATAATTTTTTATCTTATATATCAACTTTTAGCTGCTTGTGCAAACAACCTTCACAAGATCGGCAGCGATATATTTGAGCTCATTAAACTTGGATGTGTAGAAATCTTCTGATCTAGATGCTATTCTTTTCAAAAACTCAGTGTTCTGCAACTTCTGCTTTTTATTCTTTAAGTCTGTTTTGTTTGGTATATAAACTGTGATTATCTGTACACCACGTTTCTTTAGTTTTGAAGCGTTTTCTAAGGCTATAGCTGCATCATGTGCTCCACCGTCTGCCATCAGGATGATTACGTCACTAACTTGCTCTCGATCACCGTGAAGACCCGAAAATATCTAAAATTTACAATGAATTTATGGTGAAATGGTGAAACATGTGCTTCATAAAAATATATCACAAAACAACAGAATATTTTTAAAGTAAGGAAAAATGAAAATGTGCTGATAATTATGAGGTTCTTTGTCAAACCAAATTTTCAAAGAATATTTGCTTGTTTGAATTTTAACATAACAAAGACTTCCATTTAATGTCCTTATACTTTTAGTTATTTGCTTCAAGCTCGTTGCAGCAATAATATACAATTTGTATTAGACATAGCTATTAAATGCAATAACTAGTACATCTTATTCATGCTAAAATTATTTGGACAATTTAATTTATAAGAAATGAGAAATTTTTTGTTGACCAAAAAAAAACAGTTCATACATGGAGCATGTGATTTAAAAAAATTGTTACTTCAGTAAAAATTTGCTCTTGTTGTATGCATACCTCATTGTTTGCCATTTCAAGTGCATTACCAAGCATGGTCCGTTTTCCTGCATGAAACGTCATGTTTCCAATCCCCTCATGGGCTTGCTTTACATTCTCGCTACGATCAAAGGAAAACTCTTTCTTGGTTTTTTCCAATGAGCTAAACTGTATCAACGAGACACGGTTTGTGTGAATACTGATATGCAGTTTTGAGACAAGACGCTTCAAGAAAGTCTTCACTATTTTCATGTTCTCATAGCCAACACTTGCTGAACCATCGACAAGAAGAAGTATGTCACGTTGTTTATGAGCACACTTCTCAGCTAAAAAAGTTTGAAAAAATGGGATACGGTCAACCTTTTTTGTTGGGTGCAATTTCCCAACTGATGTTGAATTTAGTGTCCTCCTTATACAAAGTCTTTGCATTAAACTATTCAATTTTTACTAACAATTTTAACTTTACATAACATCATAATAAAGACCTTCGCAACAACAACATACCTATATGTTTTTTAGCGTAACAAATCTCTGACGTCAGTACATTGACTAAATACGTAAGCTTTGTGAAGTCAACTGTAAATACATCATTCGGTCTCGATGCCATCAATTCAAGATCATTTCTGAACCATTCAATCGTCTTCTTTCGCCGATTCCCAACGTAATAATTTTGACACCTTTTTTCCGTAATTTTTTTGCCTCCAGAATGGCTTTCTTTCGGTCACTTGCCTGACCGTCAGTCAGTATCACAACAACATCAGAAATATTCGGACGATAGGAAACACTTTCGGAAAATATCTAAGAAAATTGAGAGATTTTTTTTATAAAAGAGCATGTTACAGTTGTGTATGTATTTTCCAGCACTACGAAATAGTAAGGGGTTTTTCATTCCAGTGAGAGAATATACTATACGGTCAGTGTTAGTTGAAAAGATCTTTTTGCCTCTTCTTTTATGTTTGAAAACAAAACTAATATGTTTCTACCTCTGTATTAACGATTTCCAAAGCGTGTCCAGTATCCGTTCCTCCTTGTTGATACGGCATTTTCACGATATGATTTTTGATATCTTCAAATGCCGTATGCTCGCCGAGATTAAATTCGGTTTTCGTCTTTAACTTATGACTGAACTGTAAAAGTCCGACGTGTGTGCCATGCGGCGTTACATCAAGTTTTTTGACAACTTCGATCAAAAAATGCTTTATCTTCTCAAAAAATATTGAGTTAATGCTGCCAGAACCATCAAGCACAAAAAAAACATCGTGGTTTTGACGTGAGCATCCTTTGGAGGGATCTGAAGACGAAGAACAAATTTAATTATTGCACAAATATTATTTATCCAACTTTCGATGATGTTTTTTCAAATAAAGTTAGCTAATTTTTTCAATCTATCGCACTTTTTTATCCAGTCCTTTGAAGTCATGGTTGCTTGTTAAAGAAATGTCTCGTTTATCATTTCACAATAAGAGCTTTTTGGTAATCGGATGTTCATTTACTGTAAATTATACTTTCATTGAGACCGCTTATCGTTTATGCAAAATTTTTTACATGGACAAAAATAATCAGCAAACTAAATAAATACTTACGAAGTGCACGGACAGACGGACATATTCTTCGTTTCAATGTTTTTCTAAATCTTTTAGTTGATCGAAGAGTAAGAACGTTCTCTGGTAGTGATGCTATGGCTCTTAACTCATCCTGTACATTCCATGTCATTTTATCTTCGCCTATGTACACAGTTATTATTTCAACTTTATTTCTTTTCAGTTTCACAGCATTTTTTAGGACATTTTCTAATTGCATGGGACGAATTCTGTGCGTTAGTAAAATAAGAACGTTGTTCACTTTTCTACGATCGCCATCCTTTTTCGTAAATACCTATGATTGTGTGCAATAAAAGAGAGAAATGGTTAACTGATTATCTTGAGATAATAGACTGGAGTTTTATTATTTCCTAGATGCTTTGATTTTCATCTTAACGAGTTCAATATAACACGACACTTGCAAAAATAATTACTTTCACAACGATTTTAACTATTATTATTTTAAGTGGTTAAAGATACTAATGTACATTATAAAGAATGAAATTTTTAATGTAAAATAATTCAAAGCTTATGCAGTTTATTCAAAACTAACGCTATATATAAATATTCAAGACAGTACCTTAGTATGAACATAACTCAATGCATAACCTATATCAGATTTTCTTCTTCGGTGCTGCTCGATTTGTCCAATAGCGTTATGCAAACCTTCTTTTGAAGTGTACTGACCCAAACCAATCTCCATTTTTGTTCTTTCTTTTTTGTTCGCCAACAAAAAACCAACATGAGTACGACCAAGTCCTACATCCAGTCGTGACACAAAAGTTTGAAGACATCTGCGGACTTTACTAAATTGCTTTGAGCTGATCTGTTTTGATCCATCCAGTACTACAAATAGATCTAATTTCTTTTGAGAACATCTTTTTCCTGAAATAAAAAACATTTTGTTCATTTGCTGCAGATGTTAGTTTAAGTTCAGATTTATACATCACTTGATATATGTATCATTCACGTTGACCACAATTTAACATGCAATGCACATGTGTGACATAGTTTTTATCATAAATCTCTAAGCAACTGCACGGCCTTGTCATGCCTGTATGCTCATTTTGTCAATATTCTTTAATCTTCTAACAGGTTGTGCGCGAAGTGGGCAGAAAATGCTAACATTCCTTAACATTTTGAAAACATCTAAAAAGTGATTGAAATATTGTACTTCTGGTAATGCATTAGACTTAATAATTTCTATAATAAAAATGTTAGATGCTTCTTTAAGAAATACAAAGAACAGTAGTACTCAATACACGAAGTAAACTTTGATATCATGTTGAAAGGACACAAAGATTTCTTATGATACAAAACGATCCGATAATGATTTCTGTAAAGTTAAATTTCTTATTAACAGCGTTTATCTGGAACTCCAAAATAATCAAAGACACGTCAATAAAACAAATTGAGAATCGTTCACTTGTAAAGTTTCTTTTACTATGATTATTTTTGAGCAAGCTGAAACAAAGTCCTTTGTTACAAAGAGTATTTGGCTTTTATTAATAGTCACATTTACATTCAGCTTGCACCAAATCACTCATTTCACAGTTAGGCAATATACAAATCATATTTTGTAAAAGTTTGACGAGTTTTGGCTGTCGAATATTTTGGAAATGAATCTTCGAATGGCCCAGAATTCAGAAATCGTAAATACAAATAAAAATGTTAGCTTAGAGAAATTCTCAACATATTTTTGTTTGCTTATTACATGGTGCGTTTCGCGACATCCGAAGGCCATGCGTGCTTTTGTAAATATAAAACACAGCAGTTTGTCTTATTATTTTTATACACTTTTATAGTAAAATTGCTTTGACATCTAAAGAGATCATATTGAAAGGAATCACCAATAATCGCATGACATAACATCTAAAGATTATCAACGTCAACAATCTGGATTCTTCTGAAACACCCAAGATGACATCAAAATTGAAACTTACTTGTACCTTAAAGTTTAAAGTATGTGAAAACGAGAGTAACGTTCTATATTGAAATTCGTTTGAAGACGTGACCTTATGTAACTATAGGCCATGTAAATATTTATAACCAAGCTTTAAGGACAAAGACCAGTTTCGTGGGGTTTTCAGCTTTGTTATTTCCTGGCTAGAGAATGCTACATTATATCTTAAGGATGAGAAATATTTTAGAAATTTTGGTCGTTTTCCCAATTGCATAAACGGTACTCAGCTGGCGTTAAAATCGTGTCAAAAACGAACAAAAGTGATAACTCAAGAATAAAAAAGACGTTGACAAGGATTATTAATTGAAGAACACGAACACAAGTTAAAATTTTAAGTGCTAACTTCCTGCTTTCGTAAAGCAATGAAATCAAGCAAATTATCACAAAATTTTGCTCGTAAAGAATTTCGTCTTTCGCCCCCATAGTGCGTATTTTTGTGTAAAAATTACTTTGTTTGTGTCATTAGTCCAGATTCCAGCATGCATATGCAGTTATCCCCATGGTTTTTCCTGGTAGGCATATTCAAGTGAAATTAGAAAAATGTAAACAATTTTATAGTATTTAAAAACTATAACACTCTTCAAAATACTGCTTAACCCAATGCATAAAATGAATTGATAAACTACCAACCCATAAAATTTATATAACGTTAACAATTTTTGTGATAAATATAGCTAATCACAAATATGTTGTATCGTTGCCATGTGATTGAAGATTTATTGTATAGATTAATCCAGGTGCTTCTTTAAACCTCTAATCACCTTAAGTATTTTCAATACCTTATTGCTGTACTGTTTGAAAACTAATTTTGTTGCCATTTTGAGTGAACATGCGTCGATTTGTGAAGACTTATGTTATCCATAAAATTACACCCGCTAACATTTTGACGTATGATTTATAATCGTTTAGTATATAAGTTATAGAGCGGATTAAGCGTTCTCTCTGCACTCGTGTTGCATATCAGTGCCTCATTGAATAACACAGTTATTTTATTCATGGAAGGAAGGATGGTACAATATGAGACCATGCAATTGTTAACTTATTTTACTCGGTGTGACACTAGACAAGACGATTTAATTTGTTACCGAAAAAAATTAAAAGCTGAAAAATAATTAAAGACTTAAAATACGAAAATATTTGTAATTTTTAAACTATTTTTAGCCGTCAACCATGTTCAATACATGACGTATTAAATGTACATGTATGTTATACAAACGTTTTATAACCTAACTACATATGATTGTATTAAAATAAATGAAATCTTATTTAAGCACGATAAGACTGGTGAAAATTAAATCTAGGTCTAAAGACCAATTTTTAAAACGCGTCAGCAAATCAACCTTTGTACGAACAACAACGTCGTTAACAAAACTTGAAATTAGTTCGAGAATCAGTTCTACAAGGCAAGGCTTCTTAAGCCGAATGCACTTAAATCATAATAATCGTTTCTCAATTGCTAAAACAATGCCTGCACGAATGGAACCACAACAAAAACCAGTTGTATATATAAACACTTGGGTTAACTGTTAGCGATACATAAACACAGAATTATTAGCATTTTCCGGTAAATTATCGGCCATAGCAAAACACACTAAGCAGCTCGTAGGGAACATTACTGTATCATCGACAGTGTTAACTAAATCAGCTTTTGAAATTCTAGCATGCATACAGGTAAACCACAGTAACTATAGGTACTTTGAACAGTTGACAAACCTTCAGTTGAGAGCAATATAGCCAGGATCATGAATATTTGAAGAGCATTCATAGTTGATAGTAGCATGAGGCAAACAGCAATATAAATACTTGTGTCATTTATTTTGCACTCCTAAATACATCCCAATTCTTTGTCCAAAATCTACAATGTCTATTGGCGAAGTTTCCGGACAGGACAAACACTGCCAACTACTTTATCGTCTCATACACTGTTAGGAATTCAAATAAGAAAGTTGTCTCAGAATCTCAGGCATGCATATATTAGAGTCCTGCACTATAATTCAAAGACCAACAAAACGAGCAATTGTATTGCTTTTATGTCGGCATGATATAATGACGCTAATCTTAGCAAACAGGATTTACTTGGTATTTTGGCACATGACAGGAATTTTAAGCCGATATCATTTAGTTATATTTATAATGAAGATGACTGCATACCAAAGAAAACTTTGATAAATGACATGTCACATACAAATAATTGCATTTTAGAATTTCGAGGAATCGTTATGATAATGATATTGCTTGTCTAAAAAGTCTTTCAAAAATGTTTTAACTTGATTCCTTTCGGTATTTTTAATTTCTTTCAGTTGTCAATTTTGGTGGATATTTATATGATGCAATGTGACTCATACCTACTGCATGGTTTAGCGACTAAATAGTTATGACTCTACAACTGTCGAGCGCAAAAAGCTAACTTTGCATTTTTCCAATTCAAATTTACTGTCTGTTTTTATACATAAATGAAAAATGTAACTATGATTATAAGGTGTGTTAGACCGTGTCGATGAATATACAGGTTTATTGTATAGTTTTAGCATAAAATGACCAGGCATGCAACTCCCTTGCGAATATTTTACTAACAATGAGTTGTAAAGAAAAAGTTAACCTTACAGAATTGGTCTTATGAACGTGTTGATTGAACAATTAAAAAAACTTTACGAAACATACATCTTTGAGCTTCGGCTTAAATTTTGTCCGTACAATTTAACAGTGATCATAACGATCAATTAAATGTTGATATTCAGTTAAGCATATGTCTTTATCGAAATAAAATTTTACACATTATAGCATATTACCATAACAAGCAAGCAAAGGTTTTAATCGCTTTAAATTAGGTGGCATTGAGACAAGAAACACTTGTCTATGACACGTGGCAATTTTATTGAGTTATTTTGTACAGAGTTATTGCATAACATCATAAATACCATCAATTTTACTGCATTATTATCAAACTGTAGGCTCTTGATTTACTACAAATACAAGAATTACTTGGGGAACGTCGGAGATTGTTATACCACATTTATAGCTGTCTCAAAAATCAATTGAAGAAAATTTGCTTTCTATGCAGTATTGTGGAAACTTCAAAATATGTTAGTTTATGTTAATTTTACATACTTAAAATCCCAAAGTGTTCAATATAACACATGATAGCGTTCAAGAATTTCGTAACGCAGACCACACAATAGACAGCTGCTGTATATCAGCTCTTATTCAGGAGAGTCAAATTAGATATAATATTTTAGATGTTTTTGTCATGTTATATAACAATAAGACTTCGTGTGGGAAGTATTTATTGAATTATGCTCTTGAATTATGTGTGAGAGTATAATTCTCTTGAAATTATATTCATTCCACTCAAACATTCCACTGCCATCAGGTAGTTCATGTCTATATTGAGTGTTGTGTAGAAAGTAATTATGAAAGCTCTTCGCTTCTTTCATTTTCATACGAACATAAACCAAAAACTTTAAAAAAAAAACTTTTCCCTACGAAAATCTTTTCACTATTATTAAATAGATAATGAAAAGATAAGGCTAAAAATAGATTACTAGCTAGAATGTTCTACGTTTGTGTAGTAACAGTTAAACTCAACGTGTGCACGTTAAAATAAGTTTTACTAAATCTTTCAATAACGAAATAATAAACTGATGGTTTGACGCAACACTGCTAAAACATGCCATAAAGCACTGTCGACATTTTGCACAACGCTTAGCTACTACAGTATAATATCTTCAGACATGACCAACAGATAATTAATTTTGCCTGTGTGGGCTTTGAGAAGAAATGGGATTACATATGAGAAAAACCAATTCTCATTTTTCTTGTCGAATTTCTAAATAGCATCAGTAGCTACGAACACAACAATACGGTTTTATATAATATTCAGTAATTTCTGAGTCAACTATCATAACAAATGCGGAACATCAATGAAGTATTTAGAGATTGTAATTTGAATGCATTTGTGAGTAATTACCCTAGTACGTCCTCACATGAACGTCATCAGTTGCAAAACATCCTCATTCATCCTCAAGCATACTTTTTTTATTATAAATACAAGGAACACAGCTTTGACCTTTGATAAGCAAGCATCAAACTTTAAGCCTGAATAATTTTGGCAAAGGAACCAAACGTTAAACAGAGAGACTTTGGCACATTTATAATTGAACAAACTTACAAAGCAGTTCACGACAGCAGGAAAATTTGGATTCCTACCTCAACTAAAAATTTACACCACATCTATACCGACATGTCTACAAACACGTCATTATCACAGACACTTTTGACGAAAAGAGTTATTTATATTTTGATATACACCAACATTTGGCTAAAATTAGTTTTTACAGGGTAAGAAATGTGTAGGAAAAAGCGTAAACTGTCATATACCATGATTATTGTAGCTCAACTCAAAATTGTTGCACCGAAAATTGTCGCACCAAATCTAATCAATGTCATCAATCATAGGGAACTGTTTATAGTATTATCAGACTGAAGTTAAAGCATTAATCGAGAGTTACAAGTAAGAAACATGCATGGACAGAGAATGGCTTGAAAGCAACGCACATCATCTACTTTCACGCGTTAAGACCAACATTTTTATGAAAACAAGCAAGTGCATGTTCTCTTTTAAATTTAACGAATTTGTATGGGTAGACTCCAAACTAAATATTTATATTAAATGTATACATACTAAAATTTACAGAATTTAATGTTTTTTACAACCATTAGTGGCAAAATAAGGAGGGAGGTTTAAATTGGAGCACATCACTCCAAATTTACTTCAGACCTAAGTCAGACAGCGATAGAGCATGAGAGATACTACGTAATACATTAGTGTTTACAATGAATTTATTGATCACACAGTTGCACATAAATTTGTTTGTATTTTCTCTGTAACGTTGTGAAAGTAAATTTAATAGGAACAATGTAAAACTGTTAAAATTATACTGAGTCAATCAGTGAAACTAAAAACGAGTCAGTGAAGACGACAGAGTTTCACAGTAAATCATTGTCAACGAAAGCAAGTTGAACATGTTCCATGAGCTATGTCATAGATTGTGTAACAGTGTTCTGGGAATTACACCCAGAAGCCACAAGCAAACATTCGTATCTAATCTCAGAACAAAGCAATTGTGCATAACAGCATGTTGTTTAAACTCTGAACCCACTACATCTGTACATTATCATAAATTATATTGTCTACGTTTGTATCTCAGACCATAACAACCTTATTTCAGATTACTTTGTCTACCATAACCGCAGACAATCTCAGACACACCTCCACCTTTTCGTGTAATGTTTTATTTTACTATCTCAGACCATCCATAACGCCCAACCTTATCTCAGATTACTTTGTCTACCATAACCGCAGACAATCTCAGACATACCTCCACCTTTTCGTCTAATGTTTTATTTTACTATCATAGACCACCCACTCTACGCTTGGACATTATCGTGAAAAACTTTGTGTAGTATAGCAGCATATTATCTGAATTGATACCTAACTATGGAAGCGCATTTCGCTTCATCTGTTCTCATCAACACATGTGCACAATTATTTTTTATGCAGACTTTGGCTCCAATAGGACACTGTTTTTTTGTCGGCGAATCAAAATGAAGGGAAAACCAAAATCTGGAAAAAAACCCTTCAACGGCATTATTTTACGCGGGAAAATGGTTTTACTGAACCAAATTTCAAAATCAACTAGACATGAAGACTGCAGTGCCATTTCCATACAGGTTTAGACTGCTGTACTCTAATCAACGTGTGAGATTAACTAGACGTATTTAATTAATTAATTCTATCATGGTTTTATCGTTAAAACCTCGAATATTTATGTAATATAACGACTATTTTGTACAGAGAGATTTAACTTTTGACATTAGATATACAAAATCCTTACCATGTTGCATTTGTATCTATATATGTAAACAAGTTGAATTACACAATAAAAACAAACCACCTAAAACAAATTAAATTAAAATGTAAATGCTTCTTACAAAATAAGTATGTGCATTTTAATCATTAGCTACACATGCAATACAGCATTATACAACAAAAAGCACAAACAATTTTACACACATATTTTAGATATCACATTTAGGAGAGAGCCACTAAACACTATTATTTCATACTTTCTATACGCGTCCTCTCTCCGTCAACTCACTCTTAACTCACATTGCTATTCAATATACTCTATAAAAGTCCTGATAACTTATTATTTTGTTTCTCATTTCCACTTATTTAATATGTTTCTTGCATCTAGGGTCTATTGCAAGTACACATGTAATTGTAAAGAACAGGACTTGACACTGCAGTCTAATAGGCTTATCAAAAAATATCGTCGTAGAATTGTTGAGGTTATCACGTCCAATAATTCACAAATTTCCGTGAACAATTTTTCGAATTTTCAACAAATTTTTCATCACTACTAAAACGCTACAATAAAAACAAATGTAATCGATCATCAACACAAACTCACCACGACCACACCATCCGGATCATTCCGATATGTCACAATGAGCGATGGGAACCTGCGTCTCCCAATGCCATCAATTTCATTGCAAGGAAATGTCATCTTATTCTCTGGTAGACTGTCTTCATTACCTGAATACTTTCATGAATTATTCTGTTCAGTGAAATCACTTACCCAACACTGATTTCTTGTCATTCCACTTATCTGCATGAACAATGTCTCAGCTCCGCAGGCAAAGAACAGATTCATCAAATAGCAAGTGCTATCTTTAAATGTACTGTATTATTTTGTACATGTACTGTACTAGTAGCATCTTTTCATCCAGCTTGAAGAGCCAAGAAAGGAACATGTCAACACCAAAGTTTTAAAACACCACACGCCAAATGTTTACTGAAGCATGGATTCCATGCAAATGCCATTATGTCAAACATTTAACATATAACAATGGGGCCCATCATTGTTATATGCATTACAAAAAATGACATCTACAAGGAGTCCAAACTACAGCAAACATGTCAGGTCACGAAAGGATTGCAAACATTTCTGTAACACGAACCGATTTTGAAAACACGTTATCCATCTAGTTCCACCAAGAACATCAATAATAATCCATCGATATGTCGTATTTTGTCCCCGTTAAAAATCACCAAAACTCTTCACTTCATGGAAGTTCGCCAATTTATGCTCTGGCAAGAACAATGAGACAAGCTTGTTGCTTTAAGTTCTCGGTGAAAATACGAGCTATCAGCGCTGTAACCATTTCAAGATGACAGTTATATCTAACCTATCGCGATCTTCTCGTAAGTTACAAATCGAACCTGATTCGTAGGTTTGCCAAGACAGTTTTCTTGCCAACGATCTCCTCAGAATTGCAGGCAATATCGAAAAAACACTTCTTATATACGATTCTGTTTGACGTCTTTAAAGCGTTAGCCTTCCGATTAATTCTACAGAGGATTAAGGCTCGTTTCAACGTCAAACTTTGCATGCAATGAATGCATTAAAGACAAAAGATAATTAGAAAAAACAATGATTTTTAACGTTTAAATGTTCACTGCTCAGTTATACACACAGAATTGTTATTAGCCACAGTGATTTACTTTGTTTATCCTATCCAGTTAATGTATGGAACTCAATTTGTTTTAATACTTTAGAAGGTTGATTAAAAGGTGTTAAAGATTTTTGACATCTTGTTTAAGTAACTGTATCATCCAGAAAAGACGACAAAAAACACAATCACAGCACTCTTATCTTTTCTTTACTTCTGCTATTTGTGAGTTTGTTAATGTTTAATGATTATTTATTCTTCAATTCAACTTTATGATGTAAATGCAAAACAACTGCCCTAAACAAGTCAGCAAATACAAAAAAGCAGTCGTCCAATCGCCACAACCTGACCAGTTCTTATTCTTGACTTGCAATCATTCTCTTGAGGTTTGCCAAACAATTTTGCTCGCCCACTCCGGCTGGTGCCAACAATAACTCTGATTGAATATTATTTTGTATCACACCACCAACATGGCTGAATTGCAAGTCAAGAATACAATAGTACGTATTCCTTTTCTCACGACAAATAATTCGAAACCAAAAAACTTTTCGATCAGAAATTTTTAATAAGGAATTTTGAAAAAGCACGAAGAATGTCAGACATTAGATCAAATTCTAATTTTTTTTTAAAAAGTAATTCTGATCTATTTAACAGGCGCTTTATTGAACAATTTTTGTAATTTTTTGCATAGGTAATTTGATATTAGTTTTAAAATTGAATACTCTAATCCTCAAAGAAAGTTGATCACTTAAAGAATTTTCAAATTATGTACACACATGTACAAAATGATTGACTGAAATCCGTATTATATTTAAATATACAATTGTAAAGACCTTCTGATTTTGCACAGCCCAAAGTGATTACCGCGGTGTTCTGGAAAAATAAAAAGGCTACTTTTTCAAGTGGGAGTTTTCAAAAACTTTTAAATAATACAATTTCACTGAATATTGAATATTTAACAACTATTTTTGGACTGTAAATAAAAATATCAGATTTCATACGATTTTTTCCTCCTAAGTACGATATGTTTTTTAATACAAAAGTATATAACATTTATACAGGTTCTCTAGTATTGCATTGTAGTGTTTTTTAGATGTGCTCGATCCAAACTCAAGCAAGAACGACAGAGAGAAGAGTTGCTTTCAGCAATAGCTTGATTACATCGATGACAACGTGACATGCGATAATCACCGTTTATTCTTTGTAGTTCATCAGATGGCAGTGGAACGTTGAAGCGTTGCAACAGATTGGCCGATTGAACACGTGATGCATTTTGAAGGGACTTTGCTGCAATGTTATAAGGTGGAGGCTCCGGCTTATCATACCTTCTACGAGGCTCGCGGAAACCTATTTCCCTAGTTTCTGGATGAAACACAGGGGATAATGTAGTCCGAGGAGGGACATTTAGCTCAATTAGCGAATCCATACCGTCTTCAAGGGGCATATTGTCATAAATAGAGTAACGTCTACTGTCGTTGTTTCTTTGGTTTCTTGAATTTGGTAAAACAGTACTGGTCGTGAGCATTTTCTCCGCTTGAATGTCCCGTATGGGAACAAACGAAGTCGAAACATGTGCAACCGTGGGTTTCCGATTCGGGACTAAATTCAATCGCTCAACTTCATGATTCAAACCGTTTGATTTACCGTAATGTACGGGACTGCAACAAAGGAAGTCTGGCTTCATTCGTTGAGAACAATTGACGTCATCACGCGGGTAGTATCCATTGCCTGAATAAGAAACACGCGGGTTGGATCTTCGAGTGGTAGAGGGGGGTTTTGAGGTATGTGTGGACACGTTTGAGTATAGCTCGTTGGGTGATCGACTTGATTTTAAAGTATCCTCCTCTCCAGCTTTAGGAAAATAATTTCCACCATGTTTTAAATCATTTAGAAATTGTTGATCTCTTAGTCGCTGACTATGGACTAATGTCTGCTTTTCTTGTGCCGAGAACGGTGGTCGTGTAGGGGCATTTTTATGTTCTTCTATGCGATGATGCAAGTTACGAGATCTTTCCAAGCAAAACCTATATTTGTCGCACAAGTATAGAAAAATTTCTTTGCTTGAAGGATTTGTCTCCTTGGCAAGGCGAAAACACCCTGTAAAAGTCAGATTTTCTTAATTGTATAAATTAAAGTAAATGTACATTATAGCTTACGGGAGAATGTAATTTACACAATATCCTATAAAATTCATGAATGCAATTGGGTACAAATACCTCTTGCTTATGAAACTATACTATAAATTGGTAATACTGGCTATAGAGAATTTCATTAATTTCTAAAAGAGCAACCGACTATATTATTTCATAAAGAAGTTTTTCTGTCTAGAACGACCTCATCACATGAAGGCATTTTGATAAAATTCCAACACTTACTTGTTGCGTGCGTAACCATTGACAGAGCCGAAGGTAAATCCTTTTTTCCACTTGAAACGACTTTTTTAGATAACTTTCTCCTTCCTGGATCATAACATTGATTTTCAAGTTGAGAGTTTTTGCTACATAAATGAAGTCATAAGGAGTGAGCATAAATAGTTTTCCACAAGAAAAAAAGTCTAAAAACGTCTTATAACGTCGCTTGTTTTGTTCTATACATAGCTACAGGGCATTTCCGGTAAATATTTTGTTAAAAACATTTTTAAATCATCACCCAAAATCTAGTTCACAATAAATTCCAGTGACGTTTACCTTTTGAATAATTTTGTGTTCGTGTAGAAAAGTCGATAAGGTCATCACCATTAGTGTCTACTGAACTCACAGAACTAGTGGCCGGTGAACTACTCTGACTTGAGCCCAGGCCACTGTCCAAGTCTTCGACATCACGACCATGCATCGACAAGGAACTTGATGATTGTCTTGTTGAAGCTTTATCCTCAGTGCTGTTGAAAGAAGTGTTATATTTTAAAATCTTAAACATAAATTTTACTTTTCCCTGTTTTGCTTCGCCATTTCCAAGAACATTTACACCATCATGTTGTACATTCATTTAAGTAATTACAAAGAATAAAACACTTACGTGAAATGCATTAAGTCACTGGAATCCTTAATTTTTGACTCGGGATATGCGTTAAACCTTGAATCACCATTAAAAGATCTTGTCGTTAAGCGTCCATCCGGGGTTGGGGAATTACTCGCACTACGAGGTAAATCCCTTGTGGAATCAGTATTATCTTCAGGTAAAATGGAATTTTCACCGTCATCACGTGATACATCTGATTTAATATCCACGGAGTTATGTTCCCTGGTGGGAGAGCTGTTCCTATTACGGGAAAAGGCCTTTTTAATATCTGCTCCAAACTCTCGTATTAACTTTATGGGTCGACGATCCTTCTTCCATTTACGGCTAGAGACTTCAGTTTCCATGTCTTGTTCTGAAATGGTCGAATGAGAACTGGAACTAGACAATCTTGCACCTGCACCATCATCCGACTTTGTTTCATGTAACACAGAAAATGTTTTGCCGTTGTTTGGTTGAGTTTTCTCGTTCGATCTATTTGCATTTTGAATAGCAAGAAGCGTTTCACTATTCACCATAATTACTTCAGCTGGAGCGGTTTTAGTGTTCACAGGTTTAGCATGTTCATTGACGTAGAGTAGAAGTAGTGGTTGGTAATGATTTTGAAAACATTTTTCCCTGATTGTCTCCCATTCTGAGCCATACTAGAAAGTGCACATACAAAAAGGATGAAGATAAGTGCAACGTCCAATCACAATAACAGCAGTTTTAATATAGTATCCCTCCTGATAAAGACAATATTTTGTAGAATATATCTCTTATGTTGAAGATCACTTGAAGATGCCAGACTAAATAATAGTGCATTTAAATGGCCGAGGTTTCGACATAAGATGATGAAGAAACTGGAGTTATATCACAAATAAACAGGTCAGTGAAATTACGGCTGATGAAGGACTCTTTTCTAAACTGAAGGAAGTGTGTTGTTTCATAGGCACATAGCAAAAAAGGTAATTCGTAAGTCACTTACCTTTTTGACAACTGCATCGTCAAAATATATCCATGTCATGAGATCACTGATTTTAAAATAAGTTGAGTAATGTTTTCCATAATACGTCACAACACCCACCAACATTAACTCCACTTCCTTAGCATTAGCGTCAACAACAAGTGGAAACACCTGATAAATTTCAGACGTAGATTATTTAGCTAACAACATTAGAGGAACTACAATTACATAGGTAGCCGAGATAATCTACAGGATCATTTTAGAACAGACACTTATGACACAGTGACAAAACAAACGACATGGGAGTAAAATAAAACACATGAGCGCGCTGTCATAAAGATTCGTTTGCATTTCCCTTCCTTGCGTTTAGCTGATATTTCAAGGTTAATTATGACGTTGACTGTTGTACAGCTATGCAGAAAGCATTAACCATCTAACAATGCTTCTTACTTCCACAGAGTAGCTTATTCAAAAATAAAGATACTCGAGGGTTCGCTTATCCCTTCATGATAGAGTAGAGGGAGGGGGGTGGGGGGTAGCCTACTGTCAAGAACATTTAAGGTAAATGGTTTGAACCCGGGAGTATCGTTACATGTTTGTAAATGTCGATCGTCCAGGTTGGTATAGTCCTGAGAAGGACTGTTGTTGTTTTTGTTGGCTGACGTTTCGACAACCTTAGCGGTAGTCATCTTTGACTCTGAAGATGACTACCGCTAAGGTTGTCGAAACGTCAGTCAACAACAACAAAAACAGTCCTTCTCAGGACTATACCAACCTGGACGATCGACATTTAAAAACATGTAAAGAACATTTAAGGTTCTCCATATATCTTTCTACAACTGAGATGTTAAGGAACTTCCCAGAAAATCTGTACATAGCTACGTTAATCTTCATGACACATACGTTGGATAATCGAAGAACGGGATCAATGCAATCCAAAAGTTGCGTTATTTGTTCCAAGTCTGGATTCTCGGAGTCCCAAATAAGACCAATACACACTATCAATGTATGCAACAAAAATGAACGCAATGATGATAAATTTTTAAGAAAACCATTGTTATTCCCAACGCAAACCTTAACTTACATTATACCCAAACATTATCTTACAAACTCAGAAACTCACAGCGATTTCCTATGAATGAAGATACATACCAACATCAGGACAGTTTAATAAAGACTGTTGTACACCAATCTTTTTGTTACACTTTATACCCTAAAAGGATTATGGGATAAAAAGCAACATGTCATTGATAAAGTAAAGCTACGAGACGTGTTATATTGCCAGAAATTGAATTTCAATGATAGGATAAGTTAGAAAAAATTCATAGATATATATATATGGATTTCTTTCGTCAAATTTTTATCGTAATGATTTCAACAGCTAAAACCGTGAAATGTAAAACGCAAGTACATACGGGGCATTTACGAAGATCTCCTTTGTTTACAGCCCGTTGTAAAAGAGTGCCAAAATCTTGATGTTTTGTTGAGGAAATATTTGCCTGATGACTAAAATGAAAAACACAAAATTAAAATAATTTAACAACTAGTTACATAAATTTTTGTACATTTTTGTCTGCTGTAATTTTATTACTTATCTCATGTTGTATGAAAAAAATCTTTATAGTTTATTTTCTACATAGGGTGCTTTACTTAGAAATTTTTAATGAGTGAAGTTAAGTAAGCCCATATTTACTAACCAAAGTGCAGAAACTGATACATAATGAACCAACTGTGAGAACGGAAGAGGTTCTGATGTAGCTTTGCATGATGGACAGCAACTCTAAAAATGTAAAGGACGTAAAAGGTCAAATGAATACAGTTGTGGATCTTAAAAAAATGATCATAAAATTAAGAACTAGAAATGATGGAAAATTGTTTAGAGACATAAATCCTGGCTACCGAATTAACCCAAGATAAATCTCCAATAATACGATAAGCTTTTTCACCTGCTCCATGATCTCCATGGCAAACTTTCTATGTGATATACAATGAGGTGCACTACAAATCTCTTCTCTTTCATTCATTGCAAAATGGAAATGCAAGCGATTCAATATATTTTCCTGAAAAGACAAAAAATATTATTAGTCAAGTAAAGAAATTCAAGATTAGCACATAATAATAAGCAGTGAATACAACACATTTCACATGAATTTTTTCTAGAAGTTCTACATTAGAAAAGCTGAGTTTCTGAATCACTCAGACAGTTAACTAGCAGATATTGAATCATTTCCATCAATAATTCCTTTAGAAACTGATGTCGCCACAATCATTGAAAATTAAAATATTTTCATAGCGTTTGAGTAAAAGATTCCTTTAAGTTTGTCATTTCTTATTTTTTACATACGTACAAGACATTCAGCAGCATCATCCATATCTTGGAGCTGAAATCTTTGTTCGTCCTTGAAATCAGAAAGGATATATTGTACTGTGATCTTTTAAAAGTAACTGAGTCATATATTTTGAAGTCGGTAATTTCATCAAAAGCAAATGAAAGTGGCTGAAAGGAATTCAAATAATTATAAGAAAAATTTACCTTGAATGTAACAGCCAAGGCCTGCCGAAGAGCATCAGGAGGCAAAGCTGCTTCATCACTATATTGGATCTGAGTGAATATTACCTAGAGAAAAGCAGATATGAAAATTGTTGATGATACACAATAATATTGTAGAAATACTCCATGACTTTTTCTACCTCTAAATATTTAGGACTTGAATGTTATTCACTTTGTTGACTAACTAGTTAATATTCACTCAAACCTGCATTACGTACATAAAAGTAGTTCTTTATAAAATTTTAAAGAAATAAAAACTTAAAGAAGAAAGCCACTACCTTAAGTGCACAAAATATGCATGATTCACCAACACAATAGTGACCAGAAATTTCCCGAAAGCTTCTTCGAAAAACATCAAGATGAAGCAAGACCTAGAAAACACATAGCCACAAAAATTAGTAACTTTAAAGAACCTTAACATGTACACTATGTTGTTCAGTATTAACAACTCTAACTTTCTCAGTCATTATTTATCCGTTCCACAAAGCAAAACAATTCACTCAATTGCTAATCATAATTGTGAAACCACAACCGATTTGACTCAATATTTGTAACATTTGACCTCATTTAAACAAAATTGCTCTAAACAATAATGAATAACAACTAACTCTAGGGGTAAATTACGGCCCAAGAATTTTTTATAAAATTATTAAATGACACATTTAAATGACAAGTGGCATTTAATTCATCGATATTGGACTTTTATAGATAAGACATGAAACTTAAGTACATGAAATATGAACAGAATGTTATGACAAAATACTAATCTGTTTGCAATGTTTCATGTAAAATGTATATTAACAACTCTACAGTACACGCGCCATCAACGATAAATAATAACATTGGCATGAACATCTAAAATACTATCCGTAATGTGAACTGAAATTCACTAGCAACATAATTTGCTCCAAGTATTTTCTTGGTTTTGGTCTGTCAACATTTAAGAATCGAAATTCCAGCACATTATTTCATTCAAGGTTTCAGTAAACAATAGCAATATAAATACAATTCGATAGTGAAAATGTATTTTATTTTCCACAGTCAAAACCAAAATATACAAGACTTTCTTTTTTAATCAGCAAATTTACCGTAATATTCCGAAAAAATTCGAAAGTTTGGCTACTTTTTAACGTATTTGTACCTGAACCGCCGAATTTAGAAAACAGTTATTTTCCCCGGGTGCGTTGAGAAGTCCTTTTGTCAGAGCTCCAGACGCTTTTCTTGTTAAGCGATCGGTACGATTCATGGCAACTCAATTCTTCAGGCAGGTCTTTACGTTCTTCTTCATGATGAGGTCACACGAAATTCATTATATTTATTGCCAAATTATCAAAACATTCGAAGTTTTCAAGTAACATAAAACAAATGCAGCACAGTAAACAAAAGTGAAGTAAAGTTAAGAAACGCTTGTCGATAGTTCTTCAATGATTTCTTATACTGTTCGCGAAGTCTCAAAACAACGGAAATGAACGTTTTATCATCTTGTTGCCAGTGAAATTGTTTTGTACTTCGTATATACATAAGTGTCATGTTAAGAGCTTGCGAAGTACTGTTTACTTACCCACAATGCCCCACAATGACGTCACAATTAATTCTAATCTCAAATACTACTTGACGAGCCTAGACAAATCATGAAAAAAATCAACCTTCAGGTCACGCGATGAAAGTAGAAATACGTGACAAATATTTCTTCTCAGTTCTTAGTGCCTTGGTTAACAATTTTCGGTAAAAATCATTTTGTATAAACATACAGAGGTTATCTCCAATTCTCCATGGAATTAAAGTGAGCGCTTTATACCAGTCACATCATTTTTCTAATAGGAAAGTTTCTTGACAGTTTTTCCATCAATTAAATTTTCTTAATTATCAAATAATTATGACAAGCAACAGAGACTAAATGAAAAAAATGCTCTCTTATAATTTTCTCCTTAGAATAATCAATTTCAACTACGATTAACACAAACTTTAAGCTACAACATAGTTGAAACGTCCTAAGGTATTAGAATTAAACATTACATCAAAAGGGCAACACAATACATGTTCAATTAAATACACATTATATATATATAATTATATAATATTATAAAACGTAAGTTATGTATTTTCTTGCAGTGGGTGCTGTAACAATGAGAGACAGACATATGTTACTTCTTTGTTGGCGCGATGATTCCTTCTAGTTGTGTCTATAAAATAAAACATGAAAACAAAATATTAAGTCATTAAGCCCTGTAATGATTTGTACTGATTACTTATGTACGTATATTAACAAACACATATACCAACTTCCAAAGTAATTATTTTAAATTCCCAATTCAACTAACCAAATCCAGAATACTCCATTGAAAGTTTATTCACCCCATCTCTACAAAACTTAGCTAGCTTCAACCTGACTTTAAGTACATATAAGATATTCGGTAGGCTAAATGTTTCTTCGAATTGAGGGAGAGGGAAAAGGGAGTTACAGTCTTTAGTTCTTTACCAACATGACAGTTTTTCCCCTTTAATGTGCATCGTAATTGTTTATAGGTTATCATAATAATTATATGACACCTTCAGTTGCTGGTTTGTTCGTTTCAGAAACTGTATTTCCTCTGCGTGTTTTTTTTCCTCGATCGTACGACGTTCTGCTTCACGTTTCTCAATCGCATCACATTTCGCTTTCAGTTCGTTCACTTGACGTTCAAAATCTTTCTTGTCGCCTTCCAACTCCTCAATCTGAAAAGAAATGTCCGTAAGATAATAGTAAGCGTTCTTGGACAGTGGACTTTACATTTTCAATATACTTATAAATTATAAATGTTGATAATGAAAAGAAATAACTTTCATAAATAGAAAATAAGTCTAAAGAATAGTATAAAACATATGAATTCATTTGTTACGTGTATAAACTTGCTACACACAAGAGAAAAGTTTCTGCTAAAGTTAGATAATCGTGTGACGTACTTTGAGTTCCATGTCAGCTTTTCCTTGCTCAGCTTGAAGCGCTTTTCGCATACCAAAGGCAACACTACAATACATCAAAAACATGAAAAGATACCTCGCAAATGTTTTCAAAAAAATTTATTAAAATGTTTTGAGTGTATCATTGGGAAAAGAAAAATGTTGATTATTGATGACGATTTGATGACCGTCAACAAAGTAAAGTCAATAATGATTGTTATAATCAAACAATATATTCAATAATCAATCTAATAATCAATATAACAACTAATGTGAAAACATGTAAAGCAATATACGATGATTAAGTAATGTTTATCTCAAAATTTTTTCAAACTCATTCTTAACGCAAGCTTGTCAAATACTGCTTTTTCTATACCTGCTCTCATACAAAGTTTGATAAGCAGCAATCGTCATTCGTATCTCATCGCGTACTCTAAAGGAACAAAATTGTAGTTATTCAAAAAACTGTTTTCGTGACGCATGTTCGGCAGGTAAAAAATCAAATGCCCTTCACCTCAATAGAAGAAGACCTCTTTCCGCGCAATTTATGGTGACTTGACGAATGAGTTCATCTTAAAAAATAGTAAATTCATAATCTTACGTTGTGTAAGACAAAATCACATTTATCCTAATCATTAAATGCATGAAATGCCTGGATAACAAACAACAACAGTAACAGATTTACAACTACCATTGATCAATAACTGAGTGGGTTATAATTTAAATTTTGTTGTTTTCAACGAGAGATTCTTTTTTAGAAGCTAATTACTCACCAAAACATTGAGAATACAACTCTCGTCTTACTGGACAAATACCCGTTTCTCTAGCTTGTCTTTGTTGAAGTCGCATGTCTAATTGCTCCTAAATATTAGTTTAGATTATGTCAAGACTAGTTAAAAAAATACTGGGTAAATGAATGCTGTAGTTTTTCAATACTGGTAAAACAGACTGTAACCAGAATTGAATTATAACTTTTACAAACCTGTAAATTGACAACATCTAGTCTTGTGGCTGGTGTGCTTGATACTTGTTGTACCCAAAGCTGACCATTCTCCGTCCATTCTCTTCATTAAACAGATTGTAAGCATTTGTAGTTAGATATTTATAGTCATATCAATTGAATGTCATAGAAAACTTTAGTTGGAAACATTTCTTAGTGAATTCTTCAATATGTCAACATTTGGAAAAGTGGTCAAGGTTTCAAAGTTAAATCTCATTTTTGAATTTCAAAAAATGACTTGATTATACGAGTAAAAGTTAATACGGGTCAAACATGAAATATTTTTCATACATAGTAAATTGAAGAAGCATTGATTTTAATGTTTTTAAGAAAAACGCATACAAAAAAGATTTGAAAAATACTTAATAGTATAATTTGTAAACCTTGGTGGTAGTATTGAATTAAGAATCTCTTCTGTCTGTTGATTCTTACTCTGCACATCGCTTGAATTTATCTTTCCCGTTTTAGGTGGCGGTGGAATAGGACTGCTGCCATTAACTTCTTGCTTTGCACTCACTTTCAAAGGACGTGACTGCAAGAAAAGTCAGTAATTATTGTAGCTGGACATACAAATAACTAGGAGCAAAACACTGTTGAGTTAGAGACTTCGAGTGTTTGTGTACTGAGCGTGAACGTGTGCACTTTTGCCTTTGTGTACTCCTGAAAGCTTCTACATACTTTTCAGAATTCATAATCATATTCAAAGTAAATGAAATAATAAATCTTAAATCAAAATTTCAAAATGAACAAAAATATTGAAAATTATAAGTCAAAATTAAGACCCACTCTTGGCGATTTCTTGTCGGTATTACGGCTGACTAAGGCTGGATTGTCGTATTTGACCAACGACGCGTTTGGAGGAATCATTTCTGCCACATAAAGCTACGAAAAGCGCCAAAATCAAGAAAAAAATTCCTCAACTTTGAGGCTATCATATAATGCCAATGCTAAGTTTACTTTATGAGTTTCCATGGTAACAAACTGCTGATCATAAATTGCTGGCTCATAATATTCTCATTTTAGTTATTTATATATCTAAATCCCATCTATGATTAACTTTTATATTTGCCAATGAGTTCAATATTCTATAAATTATATTTATTAAAAAAAGTATACCAATTAACTTATGTTTATGTTTATATTTACATGTATATTTATATTTATCTTGTACACATATTGAGTTTCATGTTTTGCAAAAAACATTGAGTTGCGGTGACGCAGAAAATTCAAAAATCATATATTCGTTCAGGATTCAAAAATCATGCATCCGAATCAACATTCGTTCAGGAATGTTGACAACATGATCTGTATCCATAATGTTAAAAGTTAAAAGTTATCCTAGCAGACACTGTTGGACAACAGAAGGTAGATATTTTCCCCATGCCATGTCTGTCGTCACAAAGCAATTGGCATTTAGCAGTCTTCAATATACCGTATTCATCAAAATATTTAACCCTAAATATTTCACATATGTAAACAAAAACCCTCAAAAGTGAAAAATACAAAAAAACTTTTATTTCTATCTTTAACAACAATAGATACAGCATAAATTTATTACTTAAAAAATGTCTATGACATAACCACCTGTTGTGCAGTTCACATTTAACAGACCCGTTACAAAAGCTAACGTCATTCAACAATATGTTTCTCAATTTCACTTTCTTAACTTATCATTAAAATTCCAACCTAAACTAAAACAGAATTCTCTTATCCTAAAGTAGTTTTGACGAGGCGAGTTCACGTTGACCGCTAAACATTTCTCGCAATTTATCATGATACATTCGCACATCCTTCTCCATATCCTCGACGCGCCCTGACAATATCGACGCTTTCTCCTCCCATTCTTTACGTCTTTCTTTTGCCTCATTCAGCATACGTAGTTTTTTCATATATCTACCTTCCACATCATTCTTGCTAGGCTCTGTGTAATTCTTACTGATGGTAGTCGATTGAACATTAGCAGCAGCAATTCTGTCCTGGGCAACAATGATTCGACGCATGTGGATGTCTATGGTTCTGTTAACATCTTCGATACGCACTTCCAATTTATGCATTTTTTGTTTTGCCATCCAGCATTGTTCATTATTCTCTTTCACAAGTTGACGAATGGTTTCTCTGCGCGTCTCCAACTCCGTTACCTCTTTACGAGTTCTAGCCAAAGTCTTTTCGAAATGTTTGTTCTCACCGTACAAGCTTTCCAATTCATACATTCTTGACTTTGCGAGAGGGATCTGGTTTTCGACATCGAACAAATCTCTTTCCTTGTCCGCGATTCGATCTCGCAGTTTGATACAACGACCTCGAGCTAATTCGTATCGTTCTTCAGCTTCAACTTTTTGCTCTTCGTATTCCTGGCTTTTCAAGTCCAGATCACGAATGGAAACCTGAACGTCCGAAATTTTCTTCCGAATTGCAGCAAACGTGTTTGTCATTTCCATTCGCTGTTCGCGCAAGATATTTACATTAGCCATAATGCCAAATAAGCGTTAACTGCAGCTTCTAAAACAATATAGGGTTAGTAAATTCACAGACAGATATCAAGTTGATGTTCGTTAGATTCAAACATCAAACAGAACAGCGCAGGCGAGCATACATAATACAAAACAAGAAAAGCAAGGACGTCCAGCAGCTATCCAATTTCAGTGGGAGGTCGTCATGTCATAGGCTTATGTTCTTTGGTACTATGATACATGCTTCTCATATATATTTGATTACTTGTCAACTTGATCAAACCAAAGATGGTAGTAATATCATTAATACAGTTAACTATTTATCAAGGTTAAAAATGTCTATCTGCACAGAAGTTATACATGATCGAAGTTTTAAGGTCATTATAAGAAAATTTCGGCACCAAATAAGACGCCGAATGTGGTCAAAGGTGATTACTTTATGAAACTAATAACAATATGTGACAACTTGTTCGTGTTCAATCTTCAAACAACTTATTACTTTTTCCATTTTTTCTTGAGCTCTTGTATAATATTGTTATGTTTTTAGTGGCTTAAGAGTCTTAAGACCACAGATCTGAAGTCAACAGCTGCGAAAAAATTGGCGTGTTTCTTCAAAGTTCTGTGTATTTATTTTCAAGGACAATGTTTTTCCTGAGTAAGGGTAACACGTTTTCACGTTTGGAACACAGACAAATTAACAGACAACAAGAGAGAAGTGAAAACAGATCTTTCCACAAATGATGAAAACAGATATCTTTTTGTCTTGACAATCATGGATGTGATCATCAAATTTCTGTTTGGTTGCTACGGTAAAAATTTTTATGTATTTTGTTGGTCGACCAATATTCAACTGATAGGGAGCACAAGCGTACACTGTTAAAGTGAGAGCTCAAGCAGAGATCTATTACACGAAAAAACCACAATTGTATGTAGATATACATGTCATTGTTTATATTTTCACTTAAGAGGAGAGAATTTAATAGCGTATTTACATAAGAGAGCTCAACGATCTATTTATGAAATCATATTTGCCAGTCCTAGTCTCCTTTAACACTACGGACCTCTCGAAACATCAAAAACGAGAAGGTCTTCAAGATGTAGTTTTTCAAAACCAAATTGAAATCGAAAGTACCTTTAACGAATATTTGTACATGTACTGTAATAAAATGTATTCATAACAATCCCAAAGTATATTCTTTCTTTACGAAAAATAGTTATAAAATCTACATGAAGCAAAATAATTGTTCTTTAGAGTCTGTATTAGGTATAATGTGTAAAAGGTTTTAGCTATACGGTGCATGAGAAACGTTTTTAACAATAAAAACACAAGCCTTTCAGCGGTGTTCGGTGCTGCTTTATACGCCCCAGTGAACTATTAACCTTCTGTAATGTTGTGTTCCATTCCTTTTTGGGAATATCCTCCGCATCAAAATGCAAATTCAGGCCTTTTTCAAAGAGTAAACAGTAAGAAGAGCCACCGAACTGAAATGTACCGATCATTTCGCCTGAAGAGAGAGGTAAAAATATGGAATAAAAGATATGCAACGGACAATACCTTATATTTTTGCAGTTTTTAGAAGCAATAAGATCTATACATATTAGTCTTTTCAAAACATTTTCATCAGAGGTAAATCTTGAGATGCGTTTAATTTTCGTTTGATGAGGCATGTATGAGACACTTAACTTGTGCTAAAGACTGTTTTTATTGTCTGGTATTTAATAAATTTTTGCTAAGTACAAATTTTATAAACAAAGATATGATTTACCTTTCTTCACCTCTTGACCAAAATAGGTCTGTATGATACAGCTAGATATTTCAGCCATTCCTATAGCAACAAAAATCACCTTGCCAAGCTTTTCTGTATCAATATGGAATATTGCACGGTTATCAACATGACTGAGGTAGCGTTGGGAGTACGTGTTAGCTGTTGGATCGTAGCCCACAGATGGCGATTCAGCATAATAAGCTCCTTCTTTGACGTAAGCTTTTGTTATTTTACCATTGACCTTTAAAAAAGTTTGTTATTTGACATGTGAAATCATGATGAGGTGGACACGTTCAATTCCATTTTGTGTATGTTGTCACTAACGGTAAACTTCTAATCCTGTGTTTTTTCTTCTTTCGGTGAACTGCTATATTCAGTGTGTTTTTTTTTTGCTATTGTACAAGAACAACGTCAGTTTTTTCTTCTTACTGTGAACTACTTATTTTGAACTAATGCATGCGAACAACATTCTTCATTAGATTTAAAAGGAAAGAAGAGCGTAAAATATTAAGAAGAAACAACAAATCAAATATCACTAAAATATGTAGAGTGTCTAGCGCCTACCGGTGAGTGCCAGCGATGGTAGTTGGCTGTGTTCAAGAAGGCTTGATACACTGTCCCGCCAACATACTTTTTACACAATTCATCATCATCCAGAAGATGCTGCAGACTATACGGTTGCCTTTTGATCCAGAATTTATCACGGTATTTTGGATTCTTGCAAATGAAATAAGGTGTTGCGTCGCACGGAGAGCAGAATGAAGATGGATCGTCCGGGTCAGCAATCGGTCTCACTGTTTCATCCTTAAGTCGCCGAGCAAAGAAATCATTCCAACATGTAAAACCATAGTATGGATCTTCAAGGTCGACTTTGTACGTATTTAAGAAATCTCCGCCCATATCCTTTAATGCTTCAGGGGAAAGCCAACCATCCTAAAAAATATAAAAATATAAAATAGCAATGCAATAAAAGTACTTTCGACTCACTACAAAACGAATATTTTCATTTAGTTTTTACCTGCAAGCAACTAAAGCAAGCATGCAATGATATCAACCATTTAAGAAAACTTATTTATGCAATTATTGATTCTCGGCTGCATCATAATATCCATACATTAAACTAGAAATAACAACTTTCTGTTTATATAAATTCACCAGGATTGATAAGAAATGTAGAGGATATCTTTTTGATAGCTTGGAGGGAGGCAAAATGAAGGATCCTTGTAAAGTCTAAAGGCGGTGACTCTTACCCTACATAGCCGTAAAATTCAAATCATTGAAACAAATTAAAGATAAGCCAAAGGCGAAGACCATTAAGAAAGAAATTAAGATACAAGTAATGAAATCATTAATATACCTTTTTATTCAACACTGCTCTTGAGTCAGGATGGTTCAAAAGCTGTGCCCAGGCGTTCAGAATTTCTCTGAAGCACTTATTAACCTTTTCATTAATGAATGCCATTGTCCCAGCATGGGTTGCCATAACGTAAATTAAAAGATGATTCAGGGGGGCATTTCCAAGTTTGCTTTTATACACAGGGGGAGATTCAATGATCGTTTGCATTTTGAAAAGCATGTCCATATAATCCGAAATGGGATTGGGCTGTGGTGGTTCAAATTTCTGGTGAAACATAGTTGTGAATAGCATGTTTACTTGTGGGTCAGTTTCGATGAGTTCTTTTAAGGCAAGCAATGCAGGATGGGTAACTTTCGTGGCCTTCTTCATCATGTTGACGTAATGACAAATTGATTTCAAATCAGCAGTCACCCATCCACCAATTGAGTAGGTTTTGACATTTTGAATAAATAGCAAAATCAGAACTAGTAAAAAACATTGCATGACAATTATCAGACAACAGTAAAGGGTAAGAGTGTTCAGTAGCTATGTAATTAATTTTGCAATGTAGTTTTTCATTTACTACCCTGAGTTAACCAAATCTCCTTTTTTGGATAAATTCTAAACTTGTAAAAAAACTTGTAAATAAAACAGTTAAAGTTTGTATGTGGAGTATGATGTTAGGAAGCAGATAGCAAGACCAGGTCTCTGTAATGGCTTCATTAGAGCAATTGTTTTACACAAGCGAGGTGATGATTGGCTACTAAAGCGAAAGGTCTCTTCTCAGACATCTAAAATTTCAGTTTCCATATAATATTACTTAGTGTCATAAATGGCTTCTTCTATATAATATATCATTTTCTTGGATCAAGTTACGATGAGTAGCTTTCAATAATTTGGCCAAAAGAAAACGTCATTATATGCCAATGCTTACTGAAATTTTGTAATCGACTTTTTCATGATAAAAAAAGCGTAAATCATCAAAGAATCTATATTTTTCAATCTTTTATTGTGTGATTGTGTGTAATTCGATTCTGTCGTTGCACGTTTATTATACCCAAACAATTTAACGTATGTAGACGACGACATAATTACTGTTAAGAAATAATAGTTACGTATGTTTCCCAGTGATTTTCCATGGAAAGATGATTTCCAATAGAAAATTGATGGTAAGATGTTGAGCATTTTTCTTATTTGCTAGTTCACAATTACACAACAATACAACTTCCCTCATATCATCATGTAAATTTAGCGTTAAGCGTCTTCTTTCTCCAACAAAGTTTTCTATATATTTTTGCAATATATTTTTACTTTTAATTCATTGGTCCTTTTTCATTCGCATGTACGTATAGAATGTTGATAATACGGTGTGTAGACATACATACACGACACGAAGGCATGAAAGATAAATGAAGATTATTTTGCGCACCAATCAATGAGAACATCTATTGGAATTCAAGTTTCGCCGGTTTAAAAATACCTTCCGCATAAATCTGGCTAAAATGGCAACAGGAAACACGGAAATACAGAGGAGCTATTTTCAAGCCGGAACATTGAACGTGAGTTAAATTGAGTTCATCCAATGCCTTCATAGTTCATAGTAACGCAAAATATGGATAATTTCATTATCTAAACCCGAAAGAATATAATTTCTATTGTGCTATTTCTCTCTCCTTTCTAAGGGATCATTTAACTCAAAAGGTAACTTCAACCAAAAATTCAGACAAAGAAAGTTTGTATTTCATTGATAGAAATTCAACTTTGGAATTTTCAAAAGAATTTTTATGAAGAGAAAAATGGCGTATGACCATTATAACTTTTTTTTAGTTTCAGCATGCTTCCATTTGCTTCCTTCAGTTGAATATGAAAAAGACAATGTCATAAAAAAATTACATTTTACATGATTGTGCAAGACCCAAAATCATTCCAACAACCTCTTTTCACAGAAGAACAAAGCATTCATTCACAGCGAGTCGTTTCGACTTTTATCGGTAACCGCTATAAGCTAACTTCAATTTCTCAATGTCAAAAATAGGTAAAATGAACGCTAAAAGCAGAGTGTAACCTGCAACCACAGAAGGAGCAATGCAGAAATAAGTTCAATAAAATTATACATAAATAATGCACCTACTCACCTGCTCTTCTAACACCGGCTTTTGACAAAAATTGCAACACCACCGCGTTTCAATAGCTAAATGAAAAATAACACTTTCCACAAATAACACCACCTTATAAGGTCAGGTCGCACCAGACACTGTCGAAGCTGTTATATCCACCAATTACATGACACGTGTGTCACGTGCATATCTTCAAAAGTGAAATTGCCTCTCGCGAAAATGATGGCGAGGTGTACATAAAGCATTTTAAATTTATCGAAACCCAAACACTCTCGGATTGAATGACGATAATAGAAAGACAGATATTCGCATATTGGTGTTCATACAACAAATTTTAAATAGAAATTTAGTTTTCAAAACAAATGGTCAAGGGGACAGGAATTTTGTATGAGCTCTTGATAAAAATCCTTATTTTTTCAATTCGTGTTTTACAAGATATGTTAGATTTCAAGAAACGTTAGCCTTCCCAATATAGAAAATTTGAACGTTCGTGTTAATTCATAATGGTGTTTTCTCCATTAACTTTCACCCAGTACTTTCCCCGGTAAATACCAGACGATATGTTAGGAGATACAATATGGGCTGATCTGTAAAATGTTGGACTTGTCACGCGATTAACACGCGACATCATACGGACGGAAAACAACTTTGACACATGATATTATGATTCATGATTGGCAGGTAAAATATGTTAGTTTTACCATACATATCATATAACACACGGTTAGGACAGTGGTTAGGATCTCTATAAATAAATGACGTCTTGCTGATCATTACAACACGACTTGCACAGTTGCAACATATTACAAAAATAAAATATGCTTTAAAACGTGCACTGTATAGTACGCCATCCTCATAAAATCTTCAAGAACATAAAACTAATAAAAGATAGGTGAAATGAACTAATCACGTATAGTCGTAACTGAAAAAATGTGTTCAGTGAGTACAATATTTTAAAACAACTTTAGAATGGTTACTCACGTACCAATCTCGATGATAGCAGTGAAAATTGACGTACAACTGCAGATATAAAATCGCAGAGAGTTTTCTCTTGATGCTTTCGATAGACTGCCACCAGTGACACGTATAATGTGCGGTTTCCATTTGATGAGTAACTTATACAACTGTTTTATTCATATCTTTTGACATACACACAATGAAGTGAAACGAACCATACAACCACAACCACAACCACAACCACCACATCCATCCGCACGACAACTCGTAAAGAATGAAAATGAGCTTTAATTAAAGCACAATGGAGGATATTATTTGAGCAGTGAGCCCAAGTGACAAGTGCAAATTTCAGGTAAAAGCAACAACGGAACGTCTATAAACAACCCTCGGGGAGGCCCTCAAATGTTTTTCGATTGTTTTTACCTGCGGACCTCCGTGGCGGTCAATAACATAAAATGTAATTATTGAAGAAAATTTGACATGCATCATGAGTTTCAATTCATTGTCATTATGATTAATGTTAATGCATATACGAATCGTTGACATTTTACTCACCCAAGCACTGAGACACAAGGTACTGTACAGGATTAACTCAACCATAGGCGGCGGACAATTGATAAAAAGCTCGCTATATTCATATGTATTCATATTGCAAAATTACTATAATCACAATTGATTTCAATAGAAAGTAAAATCTATCAAATCTTCCCATCTCGACCTAATCAAATTGAACACATAATTATACTCAAGCACAACCGAAATAACTTGGAAAAAATTACAAAAACAAAAATTGCATTTAATTTCAATGATTATTACAGTTCATCTTCTCATATGTGATTAAGAAAGAAACAAGACGCTGTAGAAGGATCGATTATAATAGATATTTTCAAATTGAATCAGCAACTGGGCAACCAAACATGGAAATATGCCCGTGCTTTGATACAGGTTTGAATAAATCCATGACTTTTGAAGTTTGAATTCTCACATTCTTTAAGCATCCTTGATAAGATTCTCTCACTTCAATGCCTGAATGTTTCAGAGATTCTGAATAGAGAATATAAAAACGTAGTATTTAAAAAGTAAAATGTATCATAGTGCCTATGTTTTAGATTACTAGGATATAACATACAATTACATAAAGGTAACCTTAAAATTGAGCAGAATGTAAACATACTTGGTATTCCACCAACATAGAGGGGCTGATTTTTGGTATTTCCAACGCTTTTCCTTCCCTTCCGTACTATCATAGGTGGGTCTTGGTCAACCTGAAGCATGACTTTCGTGCCAAATTTCGAGAAATCAATGCGATGCCATTTTTTATCACACAACGTAGCGCCTTTCTCCGGTGTCCAGGATACCTTGATAACACCGTCACCATTTTGAACGCGAGCTATCACCTAATAATATATCAAATTATCATTGACGATGCTGCACCATTTACATAAGCTATTGATGATAAAATGCTTTGTCTAGTGTTGTTTTAGAATAAAGAAAGGTCAAATGTTTAAAATCAATTGATCTACAATTCTCAACGCCACAAGTTGAAAAAGAACGAGTTATATTTTAGCATTACCGTATTCTTGATGAAGAAAAGATATTAAACATTACGTGAAATCATGTTTAACATTAAATTCACATGGAGATGATATGACAGACTTTATAACACGTTTCATTTTAACTTACACTTCCGTTGAAAAGCTCTAAAATAACAAAATCTCCTTTTCTGGGTAATTGTCCATCAGTAACAGAAACCAAAACTCCATTTGAAGAAAACGGTTTTATATCCATACTTAATTTCATTTTGCGACCAACGAAAAACCTTTTCTCTGAAAAAAATTAATTATCATAAACACTACAACAACACCACTATAACCATTACCAATACCATGATAATAACCATTATAAGTACCATCACTATAACCATTACCAATAATTACCAAAAACATAAAATTTGTCATTAAACGACAGTAAAAAACTTAATAAAAAGAGGTACCTCCACCATATAACTACCACATAGATAAAAAGAGAGATACCTCCACCATATAACTACACATAGATAATACCTCCACCATATAACTACCACATAGATAAAAGAGGTACCTCCACCATATAACTACACATATACCTCCACCATATAACTACCACATAGATAAAAGAGAGGTACCTCCACCATATAACTAAACATAGATAAAAGAGAGGTTCCACCATATAACACATAGATAAAAATAACCATATAACTACACATAGATAAAAGAGGTACCTCCACCATATAACTACCACATCCCTCCACCATATAACTACACATAGATAAAAGAGAGGTACCTCCACCATATAACTACCACATCGATAAAAAGAGAGGTACCTCCACCATATAACTACACATAGATAAAAAGAGAGGTATCTCCACCATATAACTACCACATAGATAAAAAGAGGTACCACCATATAACTACCACATCGATAAAAGAGAGTACCTCCACCATATAACTACACATAGATAAAAGAGAGGTATCTCCACCATATAACTACCACATAGATAAAAAGAGGTACCTCCACCATATAACTACACATAGATAAAAGAGAGGTACTTCCACCATATAACTACCACATAGATAAAAAGAGAGGTACCTCCACCATATAACTACACATAGATAAAAAGAGAGGTACTTCCACCATATAACTACCACATAGATAAAAGAGAGGTACCTCCACCATATAACTACACATAGATAAAAAGAGAGGTACCTCCACCATATAACTACCACATAGATAAAAAGAGGTACCTCCACCATATAACTACACATAGATAAAAAGAGAGGTACTTCCACCATATAACTACCACATAGATAAAAAGAGAGGTACCTCCACCATATAACTAAACATAGATAAAAAGAGAGGTACCTCCACCATATAACTACACATAGATAAAAAGAGAGGTACTTCCACCATATAACTACCACATAGATAAAAGAGAGGTACCTCCACCATATAACTAAACATAGATAAAAAGAGAGGTACTTCCACCATATAACTACCACATAGATAAAAAAAGAGGTACTTCCACCATATAACTACCACATCGATAAAAAGAGAGGTACCTCCACCATATAACTACACATAGATAAAAAGAGAGGTATCTCCACCATATAACTACCACATAAATAAAAAAAGAGATACCTCCACCATATGACTACCACATAGATAAAAAGAGAGGTACCTGCAACCATATAACTACCACATACATAAAAAGAGAGATACCTGCAACCATGTAACACATACCACATAGATAAAAAAAGATAGATACCACATACCACATAGATAAAAAAAGATACCACATATTTATATATGTGATACCACATATTTATATATGGTATCACATATATAAATATGTGTTACCATATTTATATATGTGATACCACATAGATAAAAAAAGAGGTACCTCCACCGTATAACTACCACATACATAAAAACAGAGGTATCTCCACCATATAACTACCACATAGATAAAAAGAGATGTACCTCCACCATATAACTACCACATAGAGAAAAAAAGAGGTACCTCCACCATATAACTACCAAATAGATAAAAAAAGAGGTACCTCCACCATATAACTACACATAGATAAAAAGAGGTACCTCCACCATATAACTACCACATAGATAAAAAGAGAGGTACCTCCACCATATAACTACCACATAGATAAAAAGAGAGGTACCTCCACCATATAACTACACATAGATAAAAAGAGAGGTACCTCCACCATATAACTACTACATAGATAAAAAAAGAGGTGCCTCCACCATATAACTACCAAATAGATAAAAAGAGAGGTACCTCCACCATATAACTACCACATAGATAAAAAGAGAGGTACCTCCACCATATAACTACTACATAGATAAAAAAAGAGGTACCTCCACCATATAACTACCACATAGATAAAAAGAGAGGTACCTCCACCATATAACTACACATAGATAAAAAGAGAGGTACCTCCACCATATAACTACACATAGATAAAAAGAGAGGTACCTCCACCATATAACTACCACATAGATAAAAAGAGAGGTACCTGCAACCATGTAACTACCAGAGCCATAAAAGTAAACACTCTTCTCTTCGTCTAAAATGTCCCGGAAACATTTTCTCGGCTTCTTGGGTTTTGATGGTTTTAATGGGAACTTTTTACCACTGCTCCATTCAAGGTTACGAAAGCATGCTGATATTGGAAGACGCGAGTTTTCCTTTAAAGAGAAGAAAAATTTTAACACACGATCAATAAGCCCAAGAAATCACCAACTTAACAAAATTATTCTTGCAAAATAAGATGATGGCTGTCCATTTTAAAAATGTAAAGTTAGTCAGTAGTGTATAGAAAATTTCTCTTCATATTCTTCGTGTGAAAATCAGACATGACATAATACATCACGAAGACCTTTTACATTTTCCACTTCTTGTCATCTCTCTAAACACCTTGTTTCCAAAAATATATTATTTTCCAACGTTGGCTACCTCCATCACACGAGCGATAGATATTCTTAAGTAATTCTACAAAGATAAATACTTACACTGATTTTAGATTTCTTTACTTCCTTCACATAACCACCGAAGTATAAAAACATGATTTGATTGATGACCGTCGGACCAGGTTTTCCTGAGGCTCTCGTCGTCACACCATCCACAGTTAAAGTTGCTTGAACTTTATTGCGATAAATTGTTACCTGAAAGCATGAAGTTGATTGACAGGCTATCGTATAAACCTTTTGGTCAAAGTAAATAGCTCTAATGGCAGGTTGAAAATTTCAAGAAAAAAACTAGGGATTCAATAGTAGTGCAAAGTTTAAAAACACACTGCCTTTGACTCGTTATTTAAATGAAAAAATAAAATGCTTCATATTTATTTCTCCATTAACTCTTAGAATAGTAGGACGCAATCAATTTTGATTCATGACCCAAGTAAAATAGCATGGCAGGAGCCGAACTCTCTCAAGTGCTTTTCTTGTCCCAGGAATAGGGGACTATAATATACGTACTATAATATCAAAGAATTTTTTTTTTCCTTTAAGCAAACGCTAAACATGTTTTATACATTTTGATTGATTTATATCTTTCTTATTTAACTCTCTCGTTTACTGTGGCCGATCATGAGCATCCCATTCATGGCTTTATGGCTAAAGATTATCTTCTTCCCTCGTATCATTTAATGTTGAAGTAGAGTTAAAGAATTCAAAGATTTTACAATGATAACATTTAATGATCACTAGTGATCCACGGAAAGTGCAAAATTTCTTTCAGAGACTAGAAAACAAACGCCGCTAAAAGTACTACAACAAAACAACAAGTTCAACAGTTTATTTTCATGTCGAATATTTCTGTGTTAATGCTTAGCTATAGATACGGTATAAAACGCTACAGTTGTTCGAGTGTCAAAACAAAGTGATCATTAAGCAAACCCAACAAAACAATACGTTCTTGAAAACAGGACAGAAACTTTAAGGGAAAGATATACCTTCTTCCAAGAGCCATCGTTAACAGCATCAGTTCCAGATGTAAATATCAAATCCCCAGATCCAGTGTCAAATGCAAAGTAAACTTTTCCAGCTTTCAAAAAAACACTGATGTAATCCCTTTGATCTTTGTCAGCCGAGTACATCAGCATACCGTCAGGAGAGAATGTGCGAAACTCGAACGAAAGTCCACCCCTTGGAAAATGAAGATACAATTTTTAAAATAGCTCCATTGATACGACCGAATGACCTAACTCACAATAAAGGGGACAAACTGGTAAATAAGTAGACAAATGAAAACATTATATTGTAATAGCCAGGATATCCTGTATAAAACTATCATGATTAATTCCATTCAAATTTCGCTTTCCACCTAAACAATGATATCGGCAAAAACAATTTCTCAAACAAAAAATGGTTTTCCTGGGATAAAAAAAACTCATTTGTTATTTTGTGTTTTTTTCCGTCCACAAGTGCAGTATGTCCTCGGGATGCAAGAAAAAAAATTGATCTGTTTGTTAATAGATATTTCACAATCACACAGAGTTAAACTAAACATATAAAAAAAACAACAGGCGAAGAATTTAGTCTTTTCAACTAAACAAGATCGGAGATAAACAAAAATATATATATAATACCACCACCGCAATTTTCACAAAGACATTTTCGCTATGTTGGTTGAAATTTGAATAGTAAACAAAAAAAAAATGTTTCTTTTAATTTAACCAATATGGCAGCCGTGACGTAACATGCAAACCACCAATTTAAATAGCTTTTTTCAACGGAAAGATTTTGAAAAATGAAAAGATTGCAGGAAAGAAGGAGTATCAACTATAGCGAGAATTTGATAAATTTGATAACTGACTTCGAACCAAATCCTCGCTCCGTCACTTTGAATTCAAGAAATCCTTTTCCAGTAACAGCAAGAGTGTTATCGGCATACTCAATTTCTGGCGGGCACTGTTAGAAAAAAAATTGTAGATACGAATAAATACGTATATATAATTTACTTTTTCTCACAAATGTTTAGCTAGCGTTTCACGAGGTGTTAAAAAAGGATGCAGTCATAAGACAAAGTAGGATCAGCGGTCTCAAAACAACGAAAAATGTTCATTCTTACAAAGCATGAAACCATTCTATACTTGAATAGGTCTTGCTTTCTCCATTAGAGCCCCGACAAAATTTTCATTTTTCAATAAGAACTATTCAGTACACAATGGAAGAATGGCTCGGGTAAGGTATTTTCAACGGTAGAATATATATATATATATATATATATAAATTTATTTTAATACTGGTAAAATGTTGCGATTCTGAGTTATTTTAGAATGGCTAAGCGTACTTGTAAAACTGAGAAAAAAACGACTAAACTTCAGCGTATAAAAATGTCATATCAAACAAATTAACTGACAATGAAAAATGGGAGCTCAAGTTATTGAACAAGCACAAGTAGATTTACCGTTGAAGGTTGCGCAATCGGTACCGTGGATGATGTTATAGATGCTACTGCTGAAGATGCAGTAAATGGTGCTATAGATGATACTACAGAAGATGAAATGAATGGTGCTATAGATGATACTACAGAAGATGAAGTAGATGGTGATATAGATGATACTACAGAAGATGAAGTAGATGGTGATATAGATGATACTACAGAAGATGAAGTAGATGGTGATATAGATGATACTACAGAAGATGAAGTAGATGGTGATATAGATGATACTACAGAAGATGAAGTAGATGGTGATATAGATGATACTACAGAAGATGAAGTAGATGGTGCTATAGATGATACTACAGAAGATGAACTAAATGGTGCTATAGATGATACTACAGAAGATGAAGTAGATGGTGATATAGATGATACTACAGAAGATGAAGTAGATGGTGATATAGATGATACTACAGAAGATGAACTAAATGGTGCTATAGATGATACTACAGAAGATGAAGTAGATGGTGATATAGATGATACTACAGAAGATGAAGTAGATGGTGATATAGATGATACTACAGAAGATGAACTAAATGGTGCTATAGATGATACTTCAGAAGATGAAGTAGATGGTGATATAGATGATACTACAGAAGATGAAGTAGATGGTGCTATAGATGATACTACAAAAGATGCAGTAAATGGTGCTATAGATGATACTACAGAAGATGAAGTAGATGGTGCTATAGATGATACTACAGAAGATGCAGTAAATAATGGTGCTATAGATGCTACTGTGGATGGTATCAAAAATGATTGCATCGGTGATGTTGTGGATGGTGCTGCTGTCGATACTATAGATGGTGTTTTATATGGTACTGTGGATTGTGGTGCAGACGATATTATCGATGATGTGATAGAAAATTTTGAGGAAAGCTTTGTAGATGGTAATGAAGACAGATTTTCCGAAGGCTCAATAGAAGACATTGCGGAAGGCTCAGTTGATGGTGACAAATAAGAATCTGTGGATAGTTCTTTAGAAGACTTTGTAGTATGTGAAGAAGAAAATTCTGAGTAAGGTTCCGAAGAAAATGCCGAGAAAGGTCTTGAAGAAAATTCTGAGAAAAATTTTGTAGATAATATTCCATTTGGTGCTGTTCCAACAGCAGTAAATATTGGAATATCTGTGGTAAAATCTAGGATTGAAAAGAAAAAAATCACTGTAGTAAACTTCATAGCAAAATAATATAGATGAGCGTGAATGTATAAACAATTCATTTAGTAAACACAGTATGATTTCAGATAAACAGGCTGTCTACGCCATTTCATAACACTTCTACTTGTAAAAGATTCATATATCTTTTATTCATAAGCAATCATTCATTAAACGCTGAATAAACGGTATATTTCTCATTGTTGAACAGCATCATATCAATGATATTTATGAAAGATAAAATTCCAAATGTTTTTCATAAAACCAGATGGAAACTTTTTTTAGATTTTCGATCTACACTCTACACTACCTGGTATTTGCAATGTTACACTACCTGGTATTTGCAATGTTACACCAACTGGTTGCTCATAATAGGGAACTGGTTCAGCTCTAAAGTCGACACCAGTCTTTTCTTTCGTATTTGTAAGGTCAATGGCACTATAAAGAAAGTGCAAGAAAGGCAATTATGAAAAAAAACCCAAAATTACGATCTCATTAGTAAAAAATCAGTTTACACATAAAGTTGAACTTCAAGATTACCGTCTGTATTTTTAAAACACAACCCATGGGTTACACTCGTGAGTCATATCTTTAGCAAAGACTTAAATTTTCTAAAGCCGTTCCTTTTAAGGGTTCTATCTTCCTTATATTACCTTGTTTTACCATCATTTGTAATGATTGGATCACTAATTTCACCATAGAATGCGTCAGAGTTCCTCACTAATGATGATTGGCTATTTTCTTTGTTTTGAACACCTCCAAAGTTAAGTTTGAAACCTGCAAGGGCAAAAGTCAGAAGTACGATTAGATCCACCTTTCCCAAGGTAAACACACGTCAAAAATACGAGATCAAACAACAAAATTTGGACATAGTACTATATATGGTGAATAGTGGCAATAAAATAGAAAGAAGATGCTCTTGGAGAGGATGACTTTGAAATAAAGTCGAAAATTTACAGTTTACTTCTCGTCTTGATTTGATTCATATTTTGCAATCTCAAGATGTCTTGTTTCTTCGGAATTTGTTTTATATTATGCTCTTGGGGCATTTGTAAATCTTATTTTAGAAATACAGAACAACTAATTATAAATGCAGAAGGTGTAACAGTGAATAAAAACCATTTCCGTCAAATTAAAGGAAAGCTTGGATATGACATGCAATAAATATGCAGATACAAAGTTATAGAAAAACAAAACATCTCTAAAGTTTTCGCTTATATTACGAGCGACGCAACAAAGTGTTGATGAGTTTGATATGCATTTGTCAAGAAGACAAAGAGCATGCCAAAAATATATGATTGAAAACTTGCTCAGCGCATCTACAAACACAGATTTTAGAGCTCGTTCTGTCAAAAATTAATTGGGAATTAATCTGAGCATGTGTAGTAAACTCCACCAACTCTCCAATTTCATGGTCATTGCAACGACCAACTGTATGTACTAGTAACGATTATGGAGTAATAAGCTCGCTCAGTCACAAATTTTTAGATAAATCATCTGCGCATGCGCAGCCTTCTTAAGCATGCGCAGTCGACTTTAAGAGATGCTTAAGTTCATGTCATGGTCATGGCAACGACCAACTGCATCTACTCGCACCGATTTTAAAGTAAATAGCATGCTTAGTAGCAATTTAATAGAGAAATCATCTGCGCATGCGCTCAAGCATGCGCAGCCCACTCAAGTAATTGTTCATAGTCATGGCAACGACTAACTATATGTACTTGCACAACATTTGTGGCAATTAGTTCACTTAGTCGCAAATTATCAAAGAAATCATCTGAGCATGCGCAGTAGTTACTGTAATAATACCATAACTTTCGTAAGCCTTTGAATTTGTGTATATATATATAAAGCTAAAACTTCATATAGTAGATGTCAACTAGCAGTGGAAGCTGGGTGCGATATAGTATGCAGTGGCTAGGGGCCCACACTTCGGTGGCGACCGCACTCTCCCTGCGTACCCCGAGCAAAGCCTATCGCAGGTGATCTCGGGGTCTGATGGGCGGAAGCTTGCTATTGCATCTCCCAAGTAGGATAGCGTGGAGGGGCCGAAATCTCCTACCGAAACGTTAACATGCGGCGTTCTAGTGCCTTAAGATTAACAAGGTATCGGGAAGCATGGACCGAAAACGGGGTTTTTGCTTTCAAATTTTATCTTTTTAAAATAAAAAACCAAGCAATGCTTCAATTAAATTCTTATGAAACTGTGCCTTTTATAATTTAAGACAACCTTAAACATGTTTTATACAATTTTTATTGGTTTATACCTTTCTGATTAACTCTCTCATTTACTGTTTCTCATGTATCACGAGCAAACCATCCATGGGCTTCATGGCAAACAAGGGTTGTCTGGTTCCTATAACATGCAACGCTCTAGTGCTAAACTATCTCGGGGTATCGGGAGGCATGGACCGAAAACGGGATTTTTTGTTTTCCGCAAAATTTGTCTTTTTTCTTTACAAGAATTCTTCTCATAAAAAAAACTAGAACATTCAAGGATACTGCGAAGGTTCAAACAACTTCTGCCTTTTTGACTTATAATACAAACCAACTCCAAGAAAATTTATACTTTTTTTTACTTGTTACGTTTCACAATGTAACTTTCTCATAACTTTCTCGTAATAAAAGAGAGCTTCCTTATACAATATAGGACCGGAATCTCATCATGAACGAAAGAATCCATGGGCTTAATGAAAAAAAGGGATTATCTCAATTTTCATAATAGTTTCTACAAAGATAACATTTAATAAGCCAAGCACTTCACTTCTCGAGTAATTTGGAGACTAAACAGTACACTTTTCGGATTCAAAGGACTTCTTTTGATCGCATAAAGACAACCGTCGAATTGATTACGTGAAAAGGCATGTAGTATGTATTTCGTTGTAAGAATCAGATTCACAAATGCCCCAAAACTCAAAAGCATCTCCTAACTATTTTATTGCCACTATTATACACAAGCAATACTATGTCTGACCATTTGATTGACCTAATTTTGTAATTAGATCTCGTATTTCAGACACGTGTGTCTACCTTTGGAAAGCTGGATTAACCTTAAGTGTGGAGACGACTCCAGAATATCTGGATTGTAAATTAATGCAAGTTTTTAAGTTTAGCTTAAGATGAAAAGAAAAGAAAAAGGTATTCATCTCAGAATTTTTACTTGTTCAAAAATGTTTAGCAACAAACCTGTCTCAAGAGCAGCAATCGCTTTTGAAGAGAGCTCAAAAGAAAAGATAACTTCGTCATTAAGTAAAACATCAAGTTTCCCATTGTTCACTCGCACAGTGAATGAATACCATTCACCATCTTCAATATCGCGATCATCAGAACTACGACGTCGACGGGACCCCATGTTTCCAAATTGGTCATCACCAAGTTTACCATCAATTTTTAACTTGCCATTATCTATACCAATGCCAAGAAATCCACCATCCTGCATTTTTAATGAAAAAATTTGATCTATTGAGACAGTTATCAATCAGAGATGTTCGAATTGTACAGAACTCTATCATACTCATGCAATGTAAGTCATCACACACGAATTTTGTAAATATGCTCAAATTAATCAGATCTTATGTTTTTCTTTTCTCCAGTCCAATTTACTCGTGTAGCCATTTCAACAAAAAGTAAAGTTAAATTGTAAAAGAGTAGCTCTATACTTGCATACAAATTTATAAAATCACCGTACATCACTTTCCAAATTCATGAGCAAGCCGTCGCCATTTGATTTGAATAAAGAGCTTATCTGTGAGTCCGACGATAGTTTCACAGGATCAGAAATCTCAAGTGATGAATTCCCGCCTGAAAATATGGCGCTCGTTATTAGGGACGAATCACAGCCACGTTCAAAACCAAATGTATCCCAATGGGGTACCAAACCAGACTCCTCCATACAGCCAACAAAAAACGGTATATCGATACTAAACAGAGGAATTAAACACACGTTATTGTTTGACTTGCAAAAAAAACGAACTATTTTCAAATATTTTGTGCAAATGCTCTAAATTCAAACTTGGGCAAATGCAAATTCAGTCAAATTCCAAAATTGTTTAGACACAAAATTGAGACGGCACAAAAAGCAGGAGAAGAACGCGAGGTTAAAACGACTGTAGGTTAAATTGATAGAAGATTAGAATGACAAGAATTTGAAATGACAAAAAGTTTAAACGACACAAGTTTAAGTTGATACAAGGTTAAAATGACAGAAAGTTAAAATGATAGGCAGTTAAAATGACACGAGAAAAAGAATAAAGAAACAGTAGAGTATCCTGAGATGTGATAGACTAGGTCAAACATAGACATGTACAAACATTGCAAACTTACGCTTGTGAGAGAATGTATTCTTGTGGATAGCCACCAAGATAAGCTCTTTTTCCAACAGCTGGATTACGGCCTATTGCCCTTTCTTCTATCTTTAGCTCATCTTTATCATCAATTTTCAGCGTTGCCTTGTCAACAAGGATTTTTAAAGCCAGCTCGTGTTCTACGTTGTCGTCGTAACGCCTTTCTGTGTACTGCAAATTATCTTTTTCGTCGAGTTTCAATCTAAACCATGAAAAACACTTCTGGAAAGGCCATCTTTAACCAGGAAAATCAAAAAGAAAATTTGAATGATTCAGTTCGATTCTTTAGTTCCATCAAACTTCTCGGTTTCAATATAGAATATAAGCCACGCACAAAGAAACATCTATTTCTTTTCAAACGAACACAACAGTGCAATAAATGTATAAGAACGTTCAAATTAACATATCAATAACAATCTTATCATAAAGCTTACCTGAGTCTCAAAGTACCATTCACAATGTCAACAGAAAGGAAATCTTTAGTGGGCTTTACACCACGATCAATAGGGAAGAACATAATCAAACCATTTGATTGGACAGTAGTTATTTTTGTTTTGCTGTTACTTCTAAGCCTATTAGGAAGTGATCGGGCAAGAAATTGTTTTCCAAAGAACTGATACTTGTCTCCATCATTTCTCACTTTCGAGATACTTTGTGATGGTACAACTGATGTGTTGTAATTCTAAAAAAGTGTCAAAAGATTTAACGTAATAAATAAAATCCTCACCATCATCATCATTTACTTTACTGCTGTTTCTTTAGAAATGATCCATGATATTTCTCTCCAAATTGTTAGCATGTCTAACCTTTTTTTAGGATAGATGGAAATATCATATTTTACAAGCTTTGCTACGCCAAACCAAGGCTCTACCTACCAATGCATCGTATAAGCCAACTCGTCGACCGTTGATGGACAAATATTCAAAATCGCCATTTAAGGTTGTGTTGTAGACACCTTCAGGAATTTTAAAATTTTCTGGAGGTTTACCAACAAACAGACGCGATTCCCCTTTGACAAGTTTGAAGTCAGATGATTTAATTGTTGTGGTAAAAGGTGCACCTCCATCAATTGTCACATTAATATTCGCTCCTATCCTGAAGAGACAAAAATTGTACTGTCATAAAATCTATTACTAAAACTGACATGAATGCAACGTGACTAGCCACAGAAACAATCCCTTACTTTGTAAATTCGACCAATAGCCAATCCTCTGCGCCTTTTTTAACTTCGAGTGAGGTCGAAATATTGCCTGATACACCTGCCACTTTGTATTGGATGTATAGCAGACCGCTGGCCACTTGAAATGCAAAGTACTCGCGATAACTTCCCATGAACAACAATAAAGCATTGTCTTGTTGTGTTGATACGTCAAATTTAACCCTCGTTTGTTTTGACGGCCTAAATGCAACATCTGGTATGCGCAGTTCAACTGACGTATCATCATTGTAAATACCCGCTGAACTTGGGTAATGTTTTATCCCGTCACGTCCTAGAAAAACATATGATAAATAGTGATGTTTGATCCCTCATGTCTTACAAACAAGAATGGCAGTGAATGATTTTTGATCCCGTCATGCCTTACAAACAAGAATGGCAGTGAACGGTTTTTGATCCCGTCATGCCTTAAAAACAAGAATGGCAGTGAACGGTTTTTGATACCGTTATTCCCGAGCAGCATGAATTGTAACGAGCATCAAAACGCAGAGAAACACGTTTCAGATGTTCATACACAGTATAAAAAGTCGTGCATGGAGATTGTCACATAAAAAAATCAAATTTTGAATTCACATACTTTGATAACAATTATTCTGGTTATTAAACATGTTCATTCTGGCCATTTCATAGACAAGCTAAACTACCTACTTTGCAGTTTTACTCATGAATATACTTTTTTGCGAAAAACAACAAAGTCAAGGTGCACCTTCGACTAATATTTCTTCATGTAAAACTTCATATTCATTGATTTACAAAAGCAAACATAGCACAATAGAGCAACTATTTTTGATTGATCAACAAGGCATACAGATTTTGCATGAACTTTGGAGAAGAGCAAAATTATATAAACTAGGAGGTACAACAGCATTTTTATCATTATGATAAATATTGTTTTAGTTGAAGTGGCACACATTATAAGTACTTCATTCCATCCCACATTTCAACTCGCTTTCTGGTCTTACCTCTTTCAATTTTATACCGAATACGAAGAATGCGTTTTACGACTTCTTCATCAATCTCTTTTTCAGTAAGACTATGATTTAATTTCACATCTTCCAAATCCGTCGATATGCTCCTATTGATCGCTTCACTTTCAACGATCAAATCATCTAATAGTTTCATTATTTCTTCAGTAGCATTCTCTAGTTCCTCAAAATTTGGAATCTAAAAGCACAATGGATATATAAATAAAACTTGAATCTATAGAAATACATCGGTGTTTTAAATGCTGTATTATACATGCAGTAAGTAGAGTTCAACGTGTCCTTCAAGCTGTAGAACTTTGATTTCAATGTGTTAATATACATTTTTGCTTATAACCTCGTACTCATAATAATCTAAGCTCAAGCTTAAAATCCATTGGATAAATATACACGTCAATCATATAGTTGTGAATTTGAGCTTCATGCTTATGAAGTAAAAGTTAATAATTTCTATTCCTCCTAATCATGATAGCGTTAGCCTCGGCATTGCTTACCTTAATTCCATCTACCAAAGCTTTCGCATCTGTCAAATCCTTATTAGCATTTTTCGCTTTGGTCTCAACAACTTTTGCTAGATTTTCTAGAAAAGAAAGATTTCTTAAAGCATGCTATGTTAACGTCACAACATACGTGTTTAGACCTTGATGCAACAAAGAATTCGACAAACGTGAAGTCAATGATAGCTACATATACAGAGCTTCGTACTATTGCACTACCTAAATATCAAAATGTTGTCCCTACATATCAAGATGTACTAACTACATAATCAAGATTAGCTCTAAATATTAAATTAGAACAGATGATCAATGTACACACCAATTCTCGACGTTGCGTTTTCAAACTCAGGGAATCGTTCGTTAACTTCGTTAAGAGTTTCAGTTGCTTCGTTGAAGTTCTCCTCGATAATCTCGACCAGTTCACGAAGTCTGTCAAACCAATCCGATAAATAAATAACCCTCTTAACCTGTCCAACAGCTTCGACGTTCAAATCAATGCTGGTATTCTTTGAAATCTGTGCTTCAAATTCCAGTCCTTCACTCTATACTCAACAATTTTTATATAAAAAAATAACTTCTATAAGCACCTTGCTAAAAAAGATTTGAATTGTATGAACAAAAGATAAAAATTCTTGTCTTTTAGTTAACCAAAACTCACCAAATCCAGGGCAATTTCACTACTTTCGTGGGCCTCTTTTGCTAATTTCAGTAATTCCTCGATAGCTTTAACGACTTCATCATACGCCCTCACAGCTCTGCTAGCTTTTTCAGCAAATTTATTAGGATCACGTAACAGACTTTGTAAATGTTCCGTAAAGTTCTTCAAATGGAAGGCGTAATCACTTGCATTTTGCACCAAAATCTTCAATTGACTGGTTTCACTGGTGAGATTTTTCAAGCGTCCATCTAATATCTTGATATATTTGTTTAAAATGGTCGAGTTGACACTTGCGTTCTGGGAAAAAAAATACAAATATTTGTTGACAATTTCATCAAATGTGCACCAAGCAAATGGTTCGCCAAGAGTGAGAATGGTGTTACGAGGTTGCACTCAAGAGAATTCATTGATGGAAAATAAGAAATTTCTCGACACTCTACTGATGAAATATGCGTTTTACATTTTCTTTAAACTCACTGGGAATTTGATATTATCCAGGATTTCTCTAGTTTCGTCCAAAATAGCTGTAACTTCTTTCAGTTTAGAGTCGGCTTCTTTTTTTTTTAATTGCGCTCTTATAATAGTGACCTAAACATGTCAACAGAAACAAACTGTTAACGTACATAAAAAAACACACAATAACCGAGAATTTCAGGTAAATGATAAAATTTCGCAATAATAATCTGTCGTTGATCTCAAACGTCCGAATAATTATGCATTGCAAGTGGAAGACGATCTATAAGAATCCCTCCATAACACAAAGAGTGCCACAGAAAAAATCCAAAAGCCAAAATTGACATCCACATTAAAAGTTTGGCATTTTCCCTTTAAGCCCGAATTAAAAAAAGTTATTTTTCTTTATTCATTTTTCAATCATGCCGAATGTCAACAAATTCAACACATTTGTCTTTAACTGACTGTTTTTATGACAAAAAACTCAAAACTTGCGAAGACTTGTGTCCTCAGGTAATCAAAGTTAATAAGTTCAAATACGTACATTAGGATTGTATTTTGATGCTTTTTCATTCCATTTTGCTGCCTCATCACTGGCATCAAGAGACAATGCAGTCTTGTTAATTTGATGTCGTAACACACTTTTCAAATCATTGAATTTTAAGTCATAATCTTGAACAGAGTTGCTGACATTAAAAGCATCCATCTTATAACGAGTGGCGTTCAGTAAAGCTTGTTTTGAAAGTTGAAGTTCATTTTCAACCAGCTTTTGTAATTCAGTATAGTTGCGACCTTCGATAACTTCCAAAATATAGCTGATTTCACGCAAAATTTCCAACGTTCTGTTGTGTCCCATTTGAATTTCCATCAGAACACGTCTTGAATCAATTGTTGTCCCTACGAATAGCAGCAAGGGCGACAGTTACAACAAAGCCTTCATAACGAGAACTAAAAAAATAACATCATCAACTCAGCAGACTTACGTTTACACTGTTTTGCACTCGTCGAGCAAATGCTAAGCCGACAACATTTCATCCCCAAAGGACAATCACCATCAGTAAAACATACGTTTTCTTGTTGTTGGAGGCACACGCTTGAAGGTGCTGGACAAACTAATGTTGTAAGAAGTAAACAGTTCAACGCTTTGCGTCGTTGTTTGTGTTTGTGCTGTTATAAATAGTCTTATATTGAGCAAGTCTCGTTTCTTTATCAAGAGTATGGAGTGATCTAATGTTGAAACTTGAGTTCTTATATACTCTAGTTTGGTGTCATCATCAGGAGTGATCTAATGTTGAAACTTGAGTTCTTATATACTCTAGTTTAGTGTCATCATCAGGAGTGATCTGATGTTGAAACTTGAGTCCTTACATACTACAGTCTAGTGTCTTCATCAGGAATGATTTGATGTTGAAACTTGAGTTCTTATATACTCTAGTTTAGTGTCATCATCAGGAGTGATCTAATGTTGAAACTTGAGTTCTTATTACTCTAGTTTAGTGTCATCATCAGGAGTGATCTGATGTTGAAACTTGAGTCCTTACATACTACAGTCTAGTGTCTTCATCAGGAATGATTTGATGTTGCAACTTGATTGATCTGAAGTTGCAACTTATATTGTCCAGTTTCATGCTTTCATCAAAAGTAGTGTAATGTAAAAATCGGAGCCTTTATAGTTTCAATTTTCGTATGTTCAACCAGTGTGATTTGATGTTTAATTTAAAAGCCAGTCAGCCCGTACCTTTAATACGATCGAGCAATTCTCTTAGTTTCTTCTCAATTTCTTCTGCGTCATTGCGAGTCTTTGTTGAACTTATCTTTGATTTGTTACTATTTGTATGGACCTCCATAGCTTTATCAACAATGTTCATGCTGTCGTCAAGCATATTACGTGCTTTTTCTTCGAACGACTTCTCTAAGGTCTTTGGAGGCGTTCTAAAGGAAAACAAAAATATATATATTCTAAAATCAAAAATCATAAACACCAGCTTCAACATTACATTGAACATTTTATGACCTAGAAATTAAAAATTGGGGATGTATACAATATACAACCTCCTTTTACCCCTAAATATCCATCCAGATCAAATACCGTTCAAGAACAAAATAGGTTAAAACAACGAGGACTATTCTGTACATGTTGACGACATGCTGATGCGATATATGATTGGAAAATATACAAGTAAATATAGAGAAGATAGATTGTAAATCTTAGTATCTTACCCACTGCCTGAAACATTGTCTTTATCTACAAGTAGAAAGAAAATTGAAACAAACTAAAAACAGTGAACAACAAAGTAAAAGAATGTCTATGCGACTATTTTAATGAATTGTAGCTAATTTCCAAAAGTTAAAAAAATGGATTTTTATTCATCTCACATTTACCTTCTGTTGAGTGACCATTTACCGTGTTAGTAAGAAAAATTATACTTGAATTGTATTCGTGGACGCGTTCAGTAAGACTAAATTGTGCGAAAAAAAGAAATTAATCCGAAACACTCGTATTGATCATTTAAACACATTGCAGTTCCATAATATATATATATCAAATTAGGAGTGCTTGAAAAACTACCCGTTTTTCCTTTAAAAAATTGTATTGCTTCTAGAATTCGGTTTGTTTCAATTTCTCATAAAACAAATGACGAGTTAGTTTCCTCAGAACTTATATGAAAGCCAACGTAAAAAAATACATCTGGAGAGAGTGTGTAAACGGCAACGCAACAAATTTTTTTCACAACTTTTAATGCAATGTCGCCAAACTGTATCTAATGGACTCAAAATTTAGTTGTTTGACATTAAAAATGTAACAATGACTGTTACACACTTCCTTTTTTTCTCATGAATAATAAAAAATCTGAAGTCTATCTTACTTTTTATATTCAATTTCGATATCAGTGAGTTGCTGTTTGGAATCCTCCGTTGCTATGCCAATGTTAACTACAGTAGAATGGTTTCCTAACAAAGCATCTACTCTCCTGAATAATCTTTCTTCGCATGATCCACAATACTCGCATTTATTATCTGTTTGTATGTAGTATGGAGGACAATACCGACAAGTAGGATCATCAGGTTCGCAACAATGGCCATCGTTGATGTCACAAGCCTGGCCGGATGGGCAATTGCAGGCTGAAAACAATTGAATGTGTCATTTCATCATGGAAAGATGAAGTTATAACTTAGTTTGCATGTACCTTTGCAACCATCTTCGCCATAGCTGTGGTATCCATATTCGCATACGTCACATTTTAAACCCGTTACTCCAGGTTTACATTTACAGCGACCGGTAATGACATCACAATCATTGTCCAAGGATGCCACTGAGCACGCGCAGGACTGGCAGCCGTTACATAGATCGAAACCCCAAGTTGATGGCTAAAATAAAATAAAGTTTGCAAATCAATGGGAAAATAATAGTAATTTCCATGACATGATAAACTAACCTGACATTTATTACAATCCGCTCCAGTCACTCCAGGTTTGCACGTACATTCACCACTGACGTCATCGCATACATTGCTCACAGAACCGCATAAATTGCATTCACAAAGCTTGCAGTTACGAAGTGTCCCATTACCAAAGTAACCTGGTTGACATTTTTCACATCGTTCTCCACTAGTATTGTTTACGCAGCTGTCAAGAAATGTTCAAAACAAGAGTGAGAAAACCAACAAGATGGAGACAACCAACCAAAAAACACAATAATCTGTCTGTCTGGCCATTTACATGAAAGAAACTTGTAAAAATAGAACACTTATAGTCACTGACACTATGCTCACTTCATTTTAGCAAAGATATTTGATATTTTGTAAAATTTTCTAGCATCTTTAAATAAACGTGGAAAGAAAATTTCCTTATCATAAGTTCTACATCGTAAAGCTACAAAACATACCGCAGACATTCCCCGGTATGTGGATCACAATTCCCGGAGGCAGACAGATCAATATTTCCGTTACACTGACAGGGTCGACATCCTTCGTCAGATAAAGGATCTCCAAAGTACCCATCTGCACACACGTTACACTGTTGTCCAGCGTATCCTTCACGACACGTGCAGTTGAAGATGCCGTCCTCATCACGTGAACAGGAGGTTGCAAGATTTTTAGAACTGTTTGGACATGCGCAAATCTTACATGCATCGACTAAACCACTAGTTGGGTCACCATAGTAACCAGCTACACATTTTTCGCATTTTTTACCTGAGGAGACAAATTATCTGACGTCATCGACACAAAGCTGAGTTTACACGAAACTTAGAAGGGGCATTTTTTTGGCATTAGAAATTGAAGCAGCTTGAATGTAAAAAAATATCAATAGTTTGTAATAAAGTAGTTTGGTACAATTGCATTTGTTAACAATTGATCTGTTAAATTGTAACATTTCAATGTGTTGCATTTACATCATAAGTTCAATATCAACAACCAAGGCAATTCTAAAACCACTTGTAGTAAATACTAAACTCTACATCTAATGATTGTTATAAAAATGAATTAAAAATCTATGTCAGACCTTGCGTGTTGTGTTGACAATCATAACATTCTCCAGTCTTTGGATCACATCGTGAGGAATGACCGTTACATTGACAAGGTAAACAAAAGTCACCTGACCGGAAGAAGCCATTGTTGCAATTCTGGAAGTAGAAAACACATGCTAATACCAACGAAGCATTTGTTGACAAACAAACGCAATCTCAATGCAGCTCCGCCTCTATATTAATCTAAAACAGTCACATCACATAACCTTTCGTTTAACACCTTTCCTTACTCTTTCACCCTTACCATTTCGTCAACTTATTTCAATCGCTCAAAATAATCATATATGAAGCAAAACATGGTTATGTAAAAGATTGTTGGCCACCTGACATGACAGTCCAGTTGTATTATCAGGGCAATAGCACTGTTCAACTTGAGATCCTCCATCAACAAGCGGTAAAAGTTGCAACGTAAAATCAACATCTTTCCCTCCGTATAAAACATGTATCGATTCAGCATGAGCAAGAGCTTTCATGAATTGGGCACGAGTCAACAACGATCCGTCACTCTTTTCCCACAAGTTCTAAACATTGAATAAAGAGGTTTGGACGATGGTACACATTCACGTTATTTCAATATAGTCGCGACTATGCTGTTCGAAATTGCATGACAGTAAACATGTGACAATATGGCTCTATTCATCAAACACTGCAAGAAATGCCGCAAATGTGTGAATTACATTTCATGTCCATCTTTCAAAACAGGATTTTACACAATACGTATATGATGTTCCCAATTACTGAGGTTCACCACGTAACCTTTTAAAGTATTTGATAATAAACAGCTTACAAAATGCACAAATAAAAAGAAGCCAAAGAAATATGATAGAGACATAAATAAAGATAATTGCTCATCTCAAAGATACCTGCTTTAGTGAGATAGATCGTCTTAATGTGGAATTTTCACTCGCTTTTTCTCCATAAAAAATATGTTCACCTTTTGACTAAAAAAATAAAAATCATACAACACGTTTATGGCTATACGTAGGAAACCACCTTCTATCTTCTTTTTTGGAGAGAGTGCTTGCGGGCTAAACCATGTGATTGTTTATAGTCAATTACAAGAACTATTTATTGCTACTAAATTTTATGATCATATACTTATGTACAATTGTTATGTACTTTTGTATAATCTTTTACCTTGATGATTGCAATAGGAGCATCGAGTAAACTGGCATTTTTTTGCATCAACAACATCATCTCTCTTCCATAAAGATGAGACTACATCAAGTCAAATGAACAGTAGTAAGTAGTAATGAACAGTAAGTCAAATAATTTTACCATAAATTTTAAATGTATAAATAACATCGTAAAGAAGATGATTTGATGACTTCAAGAACGTAAAGAGATACGTAAGATCAAACACAAAACTCTCAAAACACTCACAAGATCTCCAGTTTTTGATAAGCCATAATAAAAAGTCGTTCCATTTTCTTCCAACTCTACACCGGTCACGTTCCAGTTTACGAAAAGATCATCAGCATCACTTAAAGTGGCCCTGGCATAGAAAAATTGATTTTAGACATCAGACGAAAAAAACGTCCGATGATTTGGTGAAAGAATTTTTTGATTTCATAACGAAAAAAAAAATTGGAGCTGTTGCCTTTCTAATGTTTGACGTACGTAAATAGTGCAGGTTGATACAATATTGTACTTACAAGAGTGATGCATTTGCTGAATCACAACGGTTTGTCTGTCCGGAACACCAACAGTCCAAACAACCTTTCTCATTGTTCTCGTTCAGATAGAAATGGCCAATTTTACATATGTTACATTTTTCACCGGCAACATCTTCCTGGAATGAAGAACATGATAACTTTGAACTTAATCGTTCCATGAAGGCTATCCGTTTATTTTAAAAGATTTCCACGTATTGTGTAGGTTAAAGCTGATGATGAAAAGCTTACACTTAGCTTGTGTAGTTAATGTCAATAAAAGTTGCAATAAATTTAACAAATTCCTGGAAAAAACGAAATTGCTTTACTCAAGCATTTAAGGCTTACCTTACAAATACATGTACCAGTATTCGTATCACATCCTACAGAGCCCCTCTCATCACAATCACATTTCTGACAATTGGGATAACCAAAGAAGCCAGACATACATTGATCGCAACGGCGACCAGTTCTGCTTGGCAAACATGCACACTGACCTGAGTCAGAATTACACAGGCCAGCGCTTATGGAAATTCCAGACGAATCACAATCACAAGGTAAACATCCTTGAATAGGATCGTAGCCATAGGTGCCTTTTATGCACGCACAGTTCTCACCAGCAGTGTTCAGAGGACAGGAGCATAGTCCGGTGTCGGGGTCACAGAAATCACAGTCGCATTCTGAAAAGAAAGAGGTCGAGTTGTAAGTTTTAAGAAAAAATAGAATGACACCATCATCAAAGCATCCCAGGGGGGTGTGCGTATTAGTTATCCTCAGATAAATAATGGGGTTCTAACCTAAAATAAGAAAGCTCGCCTTATGTACGTTTTCAATAGCGTTCGTTACGTGCGCTATCACGTGACTAGTGAAAGAATTTATGAAATTATCAAATGAACTTTGAGAAACATTACTCACTTCTACAATTTGGAAAACCATAATAACCAGTTTTACAACGTGTACAAGTACGGCCAATGATGTTCTCGAAGCAAGGGCACTGTCCACCAAAAGTGTCGCATGTCTCACTGCGGGATCCTCGCGTGTTACACGCACAAGGCAGAGTACCATTATTATAGAATGTGGTGAGAGAAAAAACAGATTTTGTGCAGAAAGTTCCATCATCTTTCGCAACATACAAGTTATCTTTAGAGCACAACTCGACAAAATCGTTGGTCCGATCTACTGGTTCACCTTCGTTTAATGCATTACTGTATGATGATTTGGGAACAAAAAGAATTTTATCCTAGAAAAACGTTGAAACAACTCATTAAAGAATGTTTTATGCAGTGCGGTGTTTGAAATTAAATGTAGATATGATCTTCGCACTTTGCTGGACAATTTAAGCAATTGTCTCATGAACCTGAAAAATTCAGGTGACTCAACGGGATTGTCTCATGAACCTGAAAAATTCAGGATCCCGTTGAGTCACCTGAATTTTTCAGGTTCATGAGACAATTGCTTAAATTGTCCAGCAAAGTGCGAAGATCATATCTACATTTAATTAGAAACAACTCATTGTTAATGAAGCATGTTTTACAATGATTCACTGATTACGTAGGCATAATAATACAGTTGAAAGATTATGTGATGAGCTCTAATGTGTGAGGTTTCCTTTATCTATCTGGAATGTTCATCTTGTTAAAAATTAATTGGTAGTTTGATGAAAGATGAATTGCTTTACTTACAATCCAAAGTTTTTTATCTTCTGGAACTTTAAAACTGAAAGTAACTTTATTGCCTAGGGTGAACATTTTTCCACCGTCAGAATTTTCAACAACAGTACGACATCCAGACGTATTTGGACAGTATTTGAAATTAACTTTTCCAAGCTGCGTACGGTCACTACGAACAGCGGTTTCAGTTTCAATGGTCGCATGATAAGGTTGGTAATAATGAATAATTATTGCATATTCTCCGGCGGTTTGAATTGCCACTTCTTTTTCAAAGGAGTCCTAAGAAATGAGATAGAATGCATTTATTAGCAAATAACTGTTTCGTTTTAAACTCAACTTTCTCCAGCTCTGCTTGTTAAATAAGTTTGCATGAAGGTAAAAGCAGGAGCCCTGCCTTTCTCTATGCAAAAACAGATTTTCAAATAAATCGTTCCAGTTATTACATCCAGAAAAACTAAATGTGATAGAGATAACTTGGTATCATAAAATATATAAGTTTCAATAGTGGTTCAAAAAAATTTTCACACACTATTGTTTTTAAAGTACTTTACATTCTGTAAAGTCAATACTCGAGACTGTTTATTCATTTATAAATTTAACATATTTCTATGGAAATGGTCAATGAAACAGGGGTGAATAAAAAGCAACGTAATTTTCGATGCTCCTATTGCAAAGCGATATATGACAAGAATTGAAAGTATAAAAACTATTGAAAGTACCGTTCATACCTTTTCTTTCAAATAAGCAAGTCGAGCGGATGCATCAAAGATATTTGGCGGTTTCTCGGTGCTTCCGTCACCAAAATCTTCAGCTTCAACATTTATTGCATCTCCAGGGGTGATGTAGTTTGTTCGAGTGCAAACCTCTTTGCGCGTCGTGCAAAGCTTGCTGGGAATTATATAGTTGACAGACCATTTTTCGAGCGGGATGAAAATGAACGAGTCCTAAAAAAAACAGTATAAAGAGTTTATGAAGAACTAATAACTTCTGAGGACACAATATATGATTAAGATGGAAACAAAAAAACAAGTTTGAGAAATTTTGATGACCAGCAGAAATTATAACATTACGTATATAGCATGCTAGAGTTTTATAGAAGATCAATTTTTATAGTGTCCAGTCTATGGTTTGGAAAACCTGGTTTTGAAAAGATTGAGAGGTCATTAAGATAACATACCACTGCAATGTTCGCACGACTGACAGAAATAGCGTTTAGATTGTACTTCACAGCCTCGTCAAGATCGTATATTCGAATTTCACCTTGAACGGTAAGACCAACGGTCCGACAACCAAACGTGAATTTACACGTGGGCAGGTGGAATCTCGCGTGACTTTTCGCGGAATTATAGGGTGATAAGTAGAAATCCATATATTGAGTTGTAGGATGGGTAGTAAAGTACTGAAGTAATACAACATATTTCCCAGATTTTGGTATCTTTTTATTGATCTCGAGATTGGTCTAGTAAGAAGAATATGTTCATAAATTGATAAGAATATACAATTATTGTAACGTCTGGTCTCTTTCATATGGGTTTTCATTCTTAAAAAGTAATTTTTAAAATCGATGTTTACATTCTTTCTGCCAAAGATTACCTGGTTCCTATTCAAGAGTGCCAATGAAGAAAAATCGAGCTGTTTAAGAATATTGTTGTCTGTGAATGCCTGTGTGGGTACTGGCCTGCGGAGGACTCGGTTATAAACGAAGCCCTCTTTTTCTGCATCAGCCTTCACAAAACCAGGCTTGTTCACGCTCACATGTGAATATTGCACACATAAATCCTCCTCTTTATTTTCTCTTTTCACTTCACATGCACGTGTCACAGTCTCACGAAGCACGTGCACATTTCCTATGTCCTTTGTATCATCGTTGCGTTCTGGACCAGGATAAAATACCGGCACAATAGTGACGTAATCCTAAAAGAAAAAATGATAAAACGTTTTTGACTCAGAAGTTCTCTACGGCTTTTTTCATTAGTTCCGTTTTATGTATCTACTACATATGATACTACATCTCAAAACCAATTTCTTGCAATTTGAAAACAATTTTCCTTTGAAACTTTGAGTGGGTAGCAAAGAACAGCGTTGATGGGAGAAATTCGCGGGGAAAAAACTTGCTAATTATAAAGTATTGTACGCATTATACAAAAACTATATTTTATTACAAAGTTTGTGTTGGTCAATAGCTACGACAAAAACTTGCAAAGAACTGTATCGAAAAGTATGTTGTCGAATAATATAGAGAGAATAATGCTGAGATATTCTAGAATTTCAAATGAATGCCTCTCGAAACAACATGCATGCAGTCTCATCAAATCTTGTTTAACCTAGGGGATGTTCCAATATGTACAACCATGTATACAAACAAAAAATATGTAGCATTTAAAAACACTTCAAATACCTACCAACAACAACTTATTTGAATCAGTGGTGAACTGAATATCATATAACCCATCCAACATGGCGAACTGAGTGGAGGTGCCATTTTCCCCAACGACGACAAAACGATTGCTAGCATCGCCATTCTCTTTAGTCGGTTTAAACGTGACTTTGCCCCTTTGTGTAACACCTTGATGGCTACCAACACGACGAACAATAACTTCGCCATGTGCATTTTCGCTACCATTGAGAACATAATGGAACACCATGTGATAGTTCTCGCGCCACTTTGCATTCACACGGACGATGACAGACCTCTGTGAAAACATAGCGAAAGCATACCTCTCATCACGTGCAATAATGTAAGTTTTCAGTGAAAAAAAAAAGATTGTAATGAGGAAATAGGATTTCTTTAATCTTGTTTGAATTTTTATATGACACAGAGCCATAAATCAGGAAAGCCAAAAGCTGGTATGAAGTGTCATGTCACAAGGCAAGGGAAATAAGCATCATGGGAAGGATAAAAAAACTTTGAAGGTGGCGTACATCCGCTTATTACCTGAAAGTAAGAGAAGACACCATAACCCCTCCACGAATAGCCTTTAAACTCTTTCTCACTATATCTAAAGCGAACTGATTTATTTTCAGGTGTGCGACCGTCCTCTATCTCAGCAAATTGTTGAAACAAATCAGCGTGATAATGTCTCGGTGAGGGTCTATAGATAATATCATAGGATATATGAATATCTATTATTTCATAAACATCAACACAAAGGCAATCAACAACATCACATTGTAGATTGTTACATGAGGAAATGATCAAATTTTAAAACTCTTTTGTAGACGTTCTTTTGTTGTATTTTCCAGTTACAAAACAAACCTGTCACATTTTCTTCCTTCGACATTAGGAAGACAGTCACATTGTCCGACGAATTTATCACAAATTGGACTGGAAGATCCACCAACATTGCAATTACATCCTGTTAAAGAAAATAAAGTAACTTTTTAACGAGAAATCTCTCATTATTTGGTCACTCTTTCATGACAGGTTAAAGCGAAACTGTACTTAATAACAGTTTACAAAATTCATACAATCACTTCAGAACTTATCAACGTACATTACAATGTGTTATTTAGTCTGAACAACACGATTAAAATCACCCAATATTCTTAACATTGTTTGATCTCAATAACTTCACCTGAACATCCAAAAGCATTTGCCCGTCTCAACGCGTAATATCCATCTTTACATATCTCACACCTCTTGCTCGTCACGCGTTCCTTACATGTACATTTACCAGTCTCCTGATCACACATCTGCATTCCAGCAAGTACTCCTTTGACGTCACAACGACATTCTTTACAACCATACGGATTGCTGGCTTCCAGTCTATAGGTTCTTGGCTTACATTTACTGCAATTTCTACCCACGACAAAACGTTTGCAAATGCACTGACCCTACGAGAAAAAATATTATAAGAAACAAATACACTTTTCTACAGATATTTCACGGGCACAGTGAAAGTAATAAATGTCATCTCTACACAGCCAGTTTTGGCAGAATGTTATACTTAAAAAATTATAGTCTTTGTTTTGTCTTTCACTTAATATAAAGAAAATGGTGAATAAAAATCAAAGTGTTTCATGCCTAAGTCTTTGTCATTATGGAAATAATCGCACAATACAAATTATGGACTTTCCAATTCGAACGTTAAAGCCGACTACAGGAACAAAACAGGTAAATTTTCATAAACTGCATAGTCTTTTCAGTCACTACCATACTCAGCATTAGCAATTATTAAAATCGTAAAGAGTAGATTGAAGTCATTCATTTGCATTCTAACCTCGTTAATGCATTCACCGTTGGGTCGACCTGAGAGCGACTGAACACCCGCAGGATTGCATCTACATTTCTGACATTCGGGAAAACCATAATAACCAGATTTACAAATGCTGCAAAAACGACCAGCGAAGTTTTCCTTACATCGACACTGCCCGTCGTCTGGATCACAGTAATCACTCAACGATCCACGTCGGTCACATGTGCATGGCACGCAGTTTGGATATGCATAATAACCAAGCGCACAACGATCACATTTCTTACCAGCATATTGTGGCTTACATCTACAGTTACCGTCTCCATCACAGTTAGGATACAAAGAACCATCACCAGAGCATTGACATGCTGAAGTGTATAGAAATATTTTCTTTCATAGTTCATCTATTAATGGTTTATGACATGTAATTATAGGATTTTCTGTAAACAATTGACAGCATATACAAATCTTTATACGCAGACAACTACAACAATCTTTCTAATGTTTTTTTCCTATTGCAAAGGATATTATCTAACCATAATCTACTGAAACTGTCACTAATTACCTGTGCAAAATGGATAATTATAGTAGCCTACGGCACAAACATTGCAAAGAGGTCCGCTGAAGCCAGGTTTACAGAAACAGGCACCACTACGTTTATCACAAATTGCATTTGTCACGCCATTTTCATCACATGAACATCCTGAAGTTTCAAAAGAATGGTCGTTTCTCATCTTATAGGAAGTGCAGTGTAGAAAAATGGAAACACTTACGTCGACAGCTTGGATATGCGTAATGACCATCAGCACATTGATCACATCTCCTTCCTTGAAAATTACCAAAACACGAACACTCTCCACTAGAAATATCACATCCTCCAGAATAAGATCCCTGCTCGTTGCATTCACATTCTGAGAGAAAAAAAAATCCAATTACACTAATATCGTGATAGCTTTACTTTCTCTCTTTCAAAAGCAATTTCTACCATACTTGAAAGGCATTCTGATTTGGTGTAATTCAAATAAATAGACAGTTTGAACAAAATGATTGTGTTTCTATTCTATATGTAATTAGATCTGGATTTTTGAACATTGTGTCTTAAGTAAGACTCATTGGATTTTGGGTTCTTTTATGTCATTTATTGTTCATTGTGTCGAGATCTGAGATCATAGACATTAGAGATCATGATAATCATAAGTTTTTCCATTGAAATTCATAGTCATGGATCATTTGGAAAAGTGAGAGTATTGTCACTTCTACCCAACATTATTTACTGGAAAAAGGTGTTTTTTCACACTATAGTCTTTCCTCACCTACACATAACGGAAAATTATAGAATCCAGGAGCGCATCTGTTACACTTAGGACCAGCATAGTTGTCTTTACATGGACATTGATCACCATTGGCTTGACATAAACGATCTTTTGTTCCAATAGCGTTACACTGACACGCTGTTATATATAAAATAAAAGCACAAAATTTCTATACATGTACTACAAAACGTGATTTAGGTTGTTATAAACTTCGTTAAATAGAATTTGTTTAGTATGTTATACACTTCGTTACATAGAATTTGTGCGATTGTAAATACTGACGCTGCACGCGATGAGATTGACAAATATTTCTAAAGAGCAAAGCATAAACTTTATGAGTGCAAAAAGTTGATTATTTACAAGCAAAAAACCGGCCAACAGGCACACACATGACGCAATGACTTTAAATTAAACCGTCAAAATACTCACGTTTGCAATCTGGGAAGTCATAAAATCCCAAACTACATTGATCACACTTTTTTCCTGCAAACTTTTCTTTACATTGACACTGTCCATCACCATTATCACATGCTCCCGTTGAAAAGGTTTCATTGCAGTTGCATGCTGAAAAAAGTTAATGAAGAAATCACTTCTAATTACATGTGTTAAGTATAGAGACTATCAATCAGCATAAAAATTATTGATCTTCACAAATACTACCAATCTTGTAGTATCAATCTTTTCTAATTATCATTTGTATGCTATACATAATTGCTATTAATCGGAACAATTAAGTAGTAAAAATCCTTTATAGCATTCTCTATAAATAGCTAATTACTATTCTTAGTCTCGCATAAGGTGGAAATTGAAACTTACGAATGCAAGCGTTTTTGTCGGTGATTGGTACACCAGTGGGATTGTAATATTTGGGTTTGCAAACTTCACAATTAATTCCATCGGTATTGTCCTTACAGTCAATACACACACCACCTCCACTATATTCACCAGCAATATTTATACTTTTGTTTTGCGCATCAATATCTTCTCTGTATTCACATTTATCTGAATGACCGTGACAATTACAAGCTGAAAAATAACAATGATTACATAGTTAGTACCGCGCGTAAAGCATTTAGAAACTTCTTGTTCAAGCGTTCCTCAGAAGACTTTCTATTTTGCGATTTTCGATCTGAAACGATATCTGACAAGGGAATGACAGTCAGCTCAGTTCATCCATAAGAGTACATTGATAAAGATGGAAAGAAGTTGATGCAGGTAAATTCTGAAGAAATATTTCTCACCTTCACAACCTTCACCTCTCTCAAATCCTGACTTCCACTTGTATTGGTTGTAACCTGAACAGCATTCAGAGCACGTAGCTCCACAAGTGTTATTCTGACATTGACAGTACGTACGCTCTCTGCTTGGTCCAAAAGCACATTGTTCAGCGTAGCCATTGCAGATGCACAAACCACCGATAGTTAGATCTTTTATTGAATAAAAATACTAAAGACAAAAAAAGTTGAGCACTCATCAGAACTAAAAACAGATTTTTGGATGATGCTTCCAGTCATGTACATAACAAGACGAAAAGGATATAAGGGGATCACAAGGTGAATTGTAGATACTTCCGATCATGCACATAGGCAATAACTCTAGTTCTAGCAATAACTAGTTCTTAATAGAATAATAAAAAAAAACCAAAAATACTAGGACAATAACCAAGAAAGTTAAAAAAAACCCAAAAATATCATATGCTGCTGTATAGAAATTTTGAAAGCAATGGCAAGTGGCATACTTATTTCATTAATTAGTAATGCCGATTCATATAATAGTGATTGCCAGCAACACACTTTGTTGTTTTGAGATATCAGAATATTTATTGACATGAAATTGCGTCGCAATGAGTCTAAAATGACGTAGCTGCTGAATTAAATTTACCCTTCGCGTGACAGTATCATCTCCTTTGGCCAGCGGTAAATATTCGCCTAAAAGAGTCTTGGTTGCCAACAAACGTAAGCGAACATTTGTGGCTTCCATCCAGTCCTGTTTATAAAATGAAAATAAAGTTGTCAATTAAATGAGGCTTCGAATGAGGCAGTGCTTATTTGTTGCAATTATTCTGTGCAAAAAGAAGTGTGTCAAATTTTCCATCCTGATAGAAAGGCTACATTAAGACTCCTTTAGAAGATGCATGATGATTTATGGGTCTATACATCAAACCAACTCGTAAAATATAATTTTGCATTACCTGCAACGTGGGGCTTAACTGATATTGCAATGCACTGGGCCGGCCGTTTACAAGGGATATGTACATCTCGCCATTCTCAAATGGTGGTATTTCAGAGTATCTGCTTTCACAGAGAACTTGATTATCCCTTTGCAATGGCACCAATGGGTTAATATTGAATAACTCGAGACATTCGCTACGCGAGGGCGCAAAATAATACCATGGTGTATAGGTAACACCAAAGTCACGTGATCTTTCCAGAATCCATGTGCCAGGTCTTGGAGAGTTGGCTGTTTTGATGACAACATACACAACGTGGTAAACCTAATGAAAAGAAATGAAAATAGAAGCATTGTTATCATAGGGAAGTTTCCGTCTGATACTTTCATTTCAAAAAATACCCTTTCAATAAGTTAATCAGTCTACGATAGGAAATTCTTGCTACGCGCACGAAAATGATGTAGGCTCAAATTATAAATATGCTTACGATTGTATGAAATCCATCTTTCCGACGGTAAACACACATCATAAAAATACGAGATCAAATTACAAAATTCGGACAATCAAATGGTCGGACATAGTATTGTATACGTAGAATAGAGGCAATAAAATAGAAAGAAGATGCTCTTGGGGCATTTGCAAATCTTTTTTTAAGAAATCCAGAACGACTAATTATAAAAGCAGAAGGTGAAAGAGTGAATAAAAATCATATTCCGTCAAATCAAAGGAAATCTTGGATATGACATGCAACATATATCCAGATACAAAGTTATCGAAAAAAACAAAAAAAATTCTAAAGTTTTCCCTTATATTACAAGTGCCGTAACAAAGTGTTGATGAGTTTAATATAAATTTGGCAAAACAAGGTAAAGAAGACAAATAGCATGCCAAAAATATATGATTGAAAACTTGCTCAGCGCATCTACAAGCACCAATTTCAGAGCTTGCTCTGGCACGAATTAATTGAGAATCAATCTGAGCATGCGTAGTCAACTCCACCAAATCTCTAAGTTCATTGTAATGGCAACAACCAATTGAATGTACTAGAACCGATTATTAAGTAATTAGCTCGCTCAGTCACAAATTTTCAGATAAATCTTCTGCGCATGCGCAATCTGCTTGACCATGCGCAGTAGAATTGACCAGCTGCCCAAGTTCAGGGTCATGCATCTATCAACTGCATCTATCAGATCGATTTTAAAGTAAATTGCATGTTTAATAACAATTTAATAGAGAAATCATCTGCGCATGCGCTCGAGAAATCATCTGCGCAGTCCACTCGACTAGTTGTTCATAGTCATGGCAACGACTAACTATATGTACTTGCACTACATTTGTGGCAATTAGTTCACTTAGTCGCAAATTATTAAAGAAATCATCTGAGCATGCGCAGTAGTTACTGTAATAATACCATAACTTTTTTAAGCCTATGAATTTGTGTGTATATATATATAAAGCTAAAACTTCATATAGTAGATGTCAACTAGCAGTGGAAGCTGGGTGCGATGTAGTATGCAGTGGCTTAGGAGCCCACACTTCGGTGGCGACCGCACTCTCCCCGCGTACCCCGAGCAAAGCCTATCGCAGGTGATCTCGGGGTCTGATGGGCGGAAGCTTGCTATTGCATCTCCCAAGTAGGATAGCGTGGAGGGGCCGAAATCTTCTACCGAAACGTTAACATGCGGCGTTCTAGTGTCTTAAGATTAACAAGGTATCGGGAAGCATGGACCGAAAACGGGGTTTTTTGCTTTTGAATTTTATCTTTTTAAAATAAATAAACCAAGCAATGCTTCAATTAAATTCTTATGAAACGTTGCCTTTTATAATTTAAGACAACCTTAAACATGTTTTATACAATTTTTATTGGTTTATAACTTTCTGATTTAACTCTCTCATTTATTTCTTTCGATCGACATTTACAAACATGTTACATCTTTCTTGTTATACTTGAGAATTTGATTTAAATTGAACAAATAAATCTACAGATGTTGAAGATGATACAACATTAATATAAATTCTTTGACACAAACGTCATCATTGAACACCATAAAGATTTGTCCTCGTTTGCTTTATACCCAAATCTTACAATTCACATGATATTCAACATACCTGACCCAAGTTAATGGTAACATTGATTTGGTTGTATTCAAGCCCTCTAGACAGCGGTGGACTCTGCCACCATCTTTCAGTTGAATCAATTGCGTAGCGTATGTCATGATCTTTGACGTCCTTTGCGGCACCATGTCTCAAACGCGGATTACAATAATCACACTCAAGACCGTTTCGTCCAAATTTTCCGGGTACTGTGGAAAGTTTACAAAACAGTTCTTGCTTTTCACCTGGAGGTAAATCATAGCCACAAGTTGCGCTTGCCGTTATTTCTTTTCCCTGCGCAATATTTATGGTGCTTTGTGACAATTGCGCTTTTACAGATCGTAGATACACAAACGCAACGCAGAAGAAAAACGGAATGATGAATTGCGTGTTGAAACGCATTACTGGTGTTCTAAAGACCGCAAATATATAAAAGTATGTCTGACGGAAAAATATTTCAGTATCTTACCTAACACGAACTACTTGCGGAATGCGTTTGGAATTTTTTTGTGAGGATTCAATTACAATCGTCAAACTCTGCAGGATATAAGTAGAGGAAAGGTTGGGCGACATTGAGCTGAAATCTCGTATGCTGATTGGTGCATTGACTGTACGACTTCCCAAATGAACCAATGGTTTTTGATTGGAAATTTGATACTGTTTCAACTCCCATAGGAAATTTGCATCTGTTGCATGAAACCATAGATATAGTAGTCCTACTATATCTATGCATGAAACAAACATCTTGAAGGCTTATATTAAAGAAATTAATTCATCAATATGACCAAATATCTTGCATTGTTGCTAAGTGATATGATGAACATAAGGAAAATGGCTTTGCCATTAAATTTGCATTTTTTTTTTGTAAGTCTATTGATCAGCTGGGTTTTTTATTCAACCTTGAAGGCAGGCTTCTCTCAAAGCTTTGTAACAATGCTGATGACATTTTTCTTAACCAATAGGTGGTCAGCTTGGTGACCTTTTACCAGCTGTGTGATGGCCACATTTCAGTCAATTCTTTGACAATTTACGGGTGAATTCATAACCATGTTGAATAATTATAACTTCCCTATAAAGGAATATGTGCCAGATAAAACGAATATGAAGGTTTAAAATTTCAAAAGTTGCAGTTGACTTTTCTAAATTCTAGACACCAACTAGCACTCCATTAATTTACTGCTTGTTTTTATAAGTTCAAATATTTTCATAAATAATAGATTTTCATCATTCACAAAGAATTTTAGGAATTGCTGATTGTACACGGGAGATTTATACTCACCACAAAACTCATAGTTTGATAAACTTATTATTAGTGCATAGTTCACTAAACTTAATCAACCACCATGAACCATCATTTGAAGGAATTGGGATGGTCAGTTGGTCACCATACTTCGTGTAAATAACAAATATATTGGTTCAACTTAAGAAATGCATCTTGTGAATCTATCAATAAATTCCCCTATTTTTTGCACTTTCTTCGCATATTCAATGCAAATTTCAAGCACATACAGTCATGCAACTGTCCAAATCATCCAGCTTTTTCAAAAGTTTCTAGCAAAATAGTGGACAAGCTCGCAGTCACAAACGTTGCTTGTTTTCACCAATGGCACGGTATATCCACACCTCAACAAGAATTGCATAGAAAAGTTTTGTCACATTCAACAAAAAGCTTGCTATTCTGATTTTGAATTGTTGAACACTCCAATCCGTCATTTTTATTTTTGGGGGTCTTTGACTTTTGATTCAATAGCTGAAATGTAATGAAGTAAAATCAATTAATATCGTCCGCTGACCAATCGTATGAGAAAGCAATTCATTATTGAACTCGGTTGGATAAAGTGAAAGATCATTGGAACATCTACCATTTTAAATTTTTCAAAGCTTATGTTTTACATTTTTTTTATAATCCGTTAAAAGTTCTGGTTTGTTTATTTTTTTCTTAATATGGTGTATATTGATTCATGGGAAGAATACGTAAAAGCAATCGAGCAATTGTGTCTTGAAGAGCCAAGCAAGGTAGTACTTTATAACCAATGGATGATATTTCTGTTGGCACTATTTAACGCGTGTGTTGGCAATGCGTTCACTTTTTTTATGTTTTTTTTTCATTGAAAAATCCAGCGTTTTTAGCTAATGGATTTATTATAATATATTTCCCTAGTTTCGATTTGTTGTGAAATATCGACATTGTGAAGGAAAATTGGTCATGAAAGGAACAAACGACAAAATAGTACGTAAATTATTGTTGATGCCATGAACATGGTTCCAAAGAATCGTATTTAATTATTTCATAAAAATGCAAAAAACATATTAAAAATGTTGCAATTTCATGCTAAAGATCTATGGCATAACAAGTGGCATAGTGATGGAAGATTGGGCCCCATAGGCATATTTGGTGCAGGGAGAGAATGTTGACTATTGTCATGGTTTGACTCAACTGCTTTTTTCAATTTTCCATTGGGTCATATTTTGTAATGTTTTGTACTTTCAAAATGTATTTAATAGAATATACTGCTTACGTACATTTGGCCATGGGCAGAATGCAACTGTCTGAAGGGCTTATAGTATATACAAAAAGTACCACGCTACTGAACATAAGGGTTACTGAATACATGTTGTATCAATCACTAGCAAGACCAAGTAATGTTGTTTACTTTATTTTTTTCAGTGCTTAAAATACAGAACAGAACAGCAGCAAGACTTGAAAAGACTAGAAAAGTTAAATAACATACTATTGAGACACATGGCTTGCAAGTAAATGTCTTAACTTGTTGAGATGGATTTGAAAATTGAATATAATTTATTGCAATATGAGATGCTTTCTAAATAAATTCACATGATGAAGGCAATTTGAATCTAAGTGTTCAAGAATGCTCCACTAGAAAAAGTACCTTTATATCTTGACATTTTGTTGAAGTCCATATTTTTTAAAGCTGAGTTGCTATTTTGAGTCTTCATATAGTAGTAGCATGAGTCATTGGTTGAGAAAAATATAGTAACAACTGGAATTTGTTTTTCATCTAATTGAAAACATCCCTGTACAAAATCCAGTAGATCCAACAGACAAACTCCAAAATGAACGAAATCAAAACTATTGTTGTCATAAAAATGCTAGTATGAACCAATGAGATCACTTATATATGAACCAATAAGATCACTCAAATTCAAACCATTTTCAAAGTTACATACTCTCACATTGGCAAATGTTGTTTGCGTGATTTCTTAAACCACTGTTCAATCTGCCATAGATGGTACTTTTAAGAATAAACAGTACTAAAATAAACATAACTTTATGCCAAACAAAGCACTTAGAATCTGCCGCAAAAATATATATTTGTTGAGATATATTTTGCTATAATTTTAAAAATTTATTTTAGTTAAAAATCTTATCTGACGCAATATAATATATTCTTTGTATATTTATATATAATTATATATTGAGTTATATTATAAATATATTGGTCACCCATAAACTTTTAACCAATTTGGAATGCTGAATTGTACTTTCTGGTTAAACCGAAAAAGGTTTTTATTATGTTTTGAGTAATATTCCTGTAAATATTTCTTGGCTTTTTCACTGATTTGACTGCAATCTTCATACACATTTCCATAACAACCATTCCTGTTAGCATTTTGAAGGCAATATATATGCAATCTGCTATCATATCTATAAGAAATTAATTCCTCATTTACTGAAAAGCACTGTTGATAATGACAATATGGCATGTATAAATTTCCTTTTAAAAAATAATCATAGCAGTTAGCATTCTCACACAAAATTAATAAACTGCAATGATTTGTAGAACGTCAATTGAAATATAATTTAAGTAACGAATGGTTTACCAAATGGGAAGTGTTTGTTTCATCAAAGGAAAGGAAACCTTAGTTATAAAACAGATCAAAATTAAGTTTTATTTTAGGTACATAATTGTCAGACGGTTAAGCTCGTCAAAAGCGTAACTCCCGACTTAACAGTATCAATTAACAAATAATATGTTAAACAAACTAATCACGATTATTTTCTAATTAATAACAACGTAAGGATGTTTCAATTCACAACCTGATAGAACAATTAGAAGCTTGTCCTAAAAATCTAAAGAGGACAACAAATACTGTAAACATACCTCAGTAATTGATCGTAGTCGATAGGTTTCTCTATATTGATGAAGTCCTGAATGTTATTTAGCACTCTTCTTGTGTGATTAATCAGTTCGTCATCCGTTATTATCATCACCTACGTTGAAAAACATAACGTTCGAAAAAATCTTCAGATTGGCGTACGTACATGCATTTATTTTTGATTATTGATTCTGTGGGAACTTGCAACAAAGACAGTTATTTCTTTTCGAAATCACTATGACCGTAGTGTTAGTTTAATAGTACTTCATCCTTAGAGTTCCTTTATTATAAAACAAGAAAAGATGATAGGGACCGACCAATAAAAGTTTAGAAATAAGGACAGGAAAAAACATAAAAAGGAATGCTACAATTACACGTAGCATATAATGGTGACATAGATATGAATTATTACATTTCAAAACACAAATCAGAGACTGGATGTGTTCGATTGTAACATTGGAAACTGTTGAAAACATTTTAATTTATTTCAGCGTATTGCTTTACCTGGTTTGGATTGTACAACGCCATCCATTTAGTTAAATGTTTTGCATAATGACCCGAACATAATATTTGTTTTCTCAAGTTTCTTCTTTCCTTCGATCCAACCTTTTTCGTTATAATATCCTCAAACGTGTACTGTTGAGCTAACCTGTTTACACGTGTGGTCTTCAAATGCTGAAAAGTTAACAAAAACTACAAACCTTCACACCGTGATTAAATATCTTGAATAGATCAAAAAATAGAACATGGAGAAATATTTAAAATATGTTGGCGTGGTTGGTTTGAAAACTAAATAAGAAATTTTGAAAAAGACACGTCACTAAATATAGTAAAGAGAAGCCTTGAATCATCTTAATACGATGATGATTGTCGACAATGTCCAAGTTTAACTCGGGGGAAAGGGGCCTAAGTACGATTAGTAGAAGTATTTGTTTTTAGATTACTCGCAGAAGACGAAATCTTGAGAGTTAAATCTTTCATACACGAGTTTTCATAAATCAGACTTGTTTTGTGTTGATAAAAACAGTGCACATTGATTACCATATAATGTTTGTATGCTCTTCGTACAGGATTAGGTAGAACAATGATAATTTTGGCAATCTTGAGCAATGCATTTGCTCGATCACTTGCCACTCTGCTTTCAAAATACGTGCTGCTCACTTCGTATAATTTTTCGTAAAGTTCCGTATGTTTGGGAAATAGATCCATGTACCTACAAAAACATATTTTCTAATGACATCTTAAACCTTCCCTACACCAAGTTTATGTTACGGTATGTTTGGGAAATAAATCCATGCACCTACAAAAACATATTTTTTAATGACATCTTAAACCTTCCCTACACCAAGTTTATGTTAATAATCTTACCTATAATCAATAAATCTAAATATTGCACTGAAATACACAATATAGCTACAAAATATTTATTTGCAAATCTTTTTTAAAACCTTTTCCATGCAACTTACCTTTCCCTGTTTCACATATGTTACTTTAAATAATTAATGAATCTTAAAAGACTATTCCCGTATAAAGGATGGGCAAAACATCTCATACATTTATGGAGTCACCAACTACGTAGTTTTGATGATGTACAATAATCGTCGTGACGTTTTTCGTGATTTTAAGGCAAAGCTAAGTGTTATTTGTAAACCTACCAATCAAGTCCATTTAAATAGTTTTCGCTGCTGAAAAAATTAGTTTCCACGTATCCATCGTTACCCCCTAAAGGCCCTTTCATTCGCGGATGCAGGCGCAATAACTTTGCTAAAAATTCCTGATCACCATGCGGTGGACCAATCACCAGAAGTGTCGGTAGACGGGAACAACTCTTGTCAACAGGCCAAATTGCCAAGTGGCGATTATTGTCACATGGATTCTAAAATATCGTGAGATGATCACGTTATTTTGACTTGACATGGAAGTCTTTTCTTTCTTAAAACCTTCGTGATTTTTGTCTTTAAATGCAATAATGTAAATATACAAAAAATGTAGTGCTTTGATGTTTTTAGAGAAATTGACGATTGGATATTTTGATTGACCAGTTTGTCAATAGTCAAAGTAAATGAATTAAAAATTTTTGTATTCTTATATATTTATGTTCAATTTTGCGTGTGGAAATTGCAGCAAAGGTAGTCGGCAAATTTTCACACAAATTGTTTAGAGGACACAAGTGAGTAAGACTTCTTAAAACTTTTTTACTGACCTGCCACAATGGAGTTACCTCCTCTGGAAATGATTCAAAATAAATTTCGGCCAATTTCCTCGGTGGCAGAGAGAGAAGTCTTAAATTTGTCCAACGTTGAAAGAATTTTGTGAGTTTTTTAAAAATATACGGAGCAAGTCTGTCACCTGCGTAGTTTGTCATATGGGTCATGAAGATTGAAATCTGGAATGTTAATACAACATCTTGAATCGTTAAAAGATTATACCCCTCTATAATAAGACCTTTTGAAAACTATGCCATTCATGTACAACAGAGAATAAAAAGTTTGGTCTGCTATTGGAGTGTGACCATATTTTTCAAACTCCAGCCTTCTTTGGGGAAGTGTGGGGCCACTTTTGTTACCTTTCATTTCATAATCTAGGACTTGCTTTTACTATTAAAATGTGAAAAAATATTTTCCTTTCCTGAGTGTATACATGATTTTATCGTTTTAGATCGACATACCGGATTCCTCAATACAGTTTCAAAAATCTCGCCACCATCGATCATTCGATCCAGTGCAGGCTTTCCACCGTGAATGTCACGAAAGAAATTTGTGGATGTGTATACATTACAAGTTTGTCTTGGAAGAACCTGTGTATGACAATACAAATTTCATTCATACATTGAATAGCTTTAGATTTTTCTTTATCGACAACAAAGAAGAGAAGTCAGTTACATACAGTCACATATTCTACCAAAATAATTCAATCATGATACCTTAATACCCTTATGTTGGAAACCTTTGCGTCGCCAAGCCGGTTTGAGATTAGGATATTCTTCTGTTGATGTCACGCTAATGTTGTACACATTCTTCCAGGCCTGATACAACGATTCTTGTACTGGATATACACCAGAGTGATGGGAACTAACTGAATAACCGCTATCCAATGCAATTTTATGACTCTAAAGAACAAAAATGATGTAAAAGGTCCCAAAATTCCATTGTTCCACAATGAAATAAAATGTAACAAAATTTTAACATCAAAAATAGGTTGGTGTTTTCTTTCGTGGGAAACTTGATTCATGATAAATGTAACATGTACTGACTGCTCACAACAGCTTACAGAGAGCTTAAAATACCTTGGCAAATTGTTTATTTTTTTTCATCAGCTTTGTCAACACGGACAAGTTATCATATTTGTGCGCTTGCTCGTGGTCCCACATATGACAAAACCAGGAGAAGAAAGACGCATGTGCAACAAGCTCTTTATCACCTTCGTCTTCTTCGTCTGAGCCTCTTAGATAACCTTTGCCGCTGAAACCAATTTGAAATTTGAAACCTGGAATTTTTCGTTGTAAAATCTTTTGTGTTTTCAGCAGTTCCTGAAACAAAAACAACAACGATACATTTTTGGATAGTGAAGGAATTTTTAGATAATTTTTTATTATCGACGGAAGAAACTAAGCGTCATATCTCAAGCGAAGAGCTTGAACCCAGGACTCCATGAGGAAATACGTAGAAACAAAAGAATAAAATCAAAAAATGGAACAACAAATCTGATCAAAAAAACGTTAAAATACCTTAACATCGTCTTTTTTTAATCGAAGTCCTGATTTTCCAATAAAAATATCATCAATATCAACTTGTATATATCGCTTTAATGTATATCTAACAGGAAGCTGAGATAAAAACTTTAAGGAGTCAAAAAATAGTAACTCATGAAGGAACAGACCAAAATTTAGAGTGCTAAAAATTCTTCTCACTCCAGATTTACTACCATGATCCAAAAGAACTGTAAATTTTCTCTCTTCCTCGCCACTGCTGGTCTTTGAAATAAACCATGCTACCGGCTCGTATTCCATATCTGATAAATCATTGGCTAAGTACGTAAGTCGGGTTCTCTGTGGTACAACGACCTCTACACCTGCTTTTGTCATCCATAAAAGCTTTGACGTGGAATTCACCCGCAGTGTATGAGGTTTAGTCTTTGCTAAGCGCTTGATTTCCAAGTGAAACTCTGATATCTTTCCTAAGTTGTTTCCTGCGAAAAACATCTGTCCCACATTAAACTTCACACAGTATTTATAGATGACTTCCCGAGCGAGTCGGCTTAGCGTTAAATAAGTTCGAAACTCGTAAAATATGATGAGCGAATATTTTGCATCTACTACATCTTTCTTCATTTCAAATTTCAAGTTCACAAGGAGACGATCGTCCGTTCGTGTGATTACATAACGTATTCGGAAACTTTCGAGGTACCTCGTTATGTAGTTCAACGTCTTGGACGTGTATGGTTTGGTATAATGATGAATTATAAGAGTTACTCTGTTGTGAGCATCGTTCTGATCTTCCAAAGGTCCATGCTTGTTACCTCTAGACAAATACTTTTGATTGTCTTCACTGCCAACCGAATGCTGTTTGTTTCTACCTCCTTCGTGTTAAACAAAAGAAACAAAAAGTCACTTTAAAGAATTGGTTCTCAATATGATTTTACATTGTATGTTTGCACAAAATTGAAATCGAAGAATAGTTGAAAAATGAATTTTAACACAGAATAAGTTAAAAATCGGAACTTCGGCACAGAATAGTTGTAAAATTTTAGGTTCGCGTGCTGTGTAGCTAAATAGCATGCGATAAATGTAATTAAATGTCATTACAAGTTTATGTAAAAAAATCATTTAGTCCAGCTGTGAAAGTGTTTGTTTGCTCACAGACGTGCTGCGAAAACAACATATTTTGAAAGCAATGAAATGTACATGTAATTAATTTTTCATTGATTTGTGAAATGCATGATAATACTCGATACCAGCTTGTGTTGCATTTGCATCGTACAAACGTCATAAAAATATGGCTTAAGTCTGGTTCACACTTCTCTCAAAAATTATAAGTAACAGCAAGTATTATGCGCTTCAAACCTTCTTTATAATTCGTTTGCAATGATATCCCGTATATTGGGAAACTCATAAGTAAATAAAAATATTTTCTATTCTAGTCATGCACTCTGTCATATGGGACTGACTGGATTGGCATGTCTTTAATGTCCACACTCTCTTAGAGTGTACCGCTTTATGATTTTTACGATAAAAATGAACAATGCAGGATACAAGGCAGTTTGCCATGCAGCTTCTCTTGCAAAATCATTGCCACACGATTTATAGGTCAAGTATGCACTTGGGTTAAAGAGTAGTTAGGCATTGTTTACGATTGTTTGAATAACCCCAGCACAACCATATATAGAGTAAACCCCCATTGAAAGCCAGAAATAATCACTGCAATCGTTATCAAAAGTAGAACTGATGTCTACTTTGTTCAACATTTGATTCAAACTGTCTTGTAAAAACATTCAAGACATCACACAATGGCTGCCCATATGGTGCAACGTCCATGTTCCAACGTCATGTAGTAAACTCGTACAACAAAGCACGACACTTTCCATTGCGCACAAAATTATTCTGGTTTTCAACGTGATGCAAGCGAATAAGTTAATAATAATAATAGGCAGTAAAGCGTGTCTTATTAAGGATAACTGCAATCAAAATTAAAGCGGCTTTTCCCGTACACTTTTCGATTATAAGGGCTTGTATTATTAAAGTAATTAGTTAAGCCAAACAAAGCCATGACTAAACGCATCACTATAATGTTTCCGAAACGAGCAAAACGTTGTACCGCTCAATCAACTCAATAATACTTCTGCAAGCTCAATGGTATTTCAGACATACACATCACACAAAACTTACAGAAACCTCACGATTGATGCTTTAAAAACAAGACAGTGTGATGTCGCCGAATGAATAAAACGTCTTCCGACAACTAAAATGTGTGTGTCTGTCTGGAGTAGGGTTCATTCCCATTAGAAGTGACATACTTATGTTCAATAGACCTCTGTAGATAAATGACGCACTTGTTGCATACCTATGAACGTCGAACTGTACGAGAGTATACTAAGAACGACAAATACAGCAGTCCATACGACAATCATGAAGCCATAACAACGAGGTTGTTTTAGCAAACGACGGATCCTCGTAAAAGAACGCGGCAAAGCAAACATGTGTTGAATCCCAATACTCATAAAGTCGTAATGTCGACTTCACATTAAGTTGCTTGTTGATCGTCAATAGTACAAAAATCAATGCACGCAAATTTTCCCCATGATCACATCTTTGCATTTAAAATGACAAAAAATCAAGACTTTTCCCATAGATGGGCCACCTTGGCAACTCCAGTCGAGATACTTTAACGAGAAAATCCATCAATTTCACGTTAACTTGACCAAATCTTAAATTCTCGTCCATCATTCACTTGTCGCGGTATCATATAACTTGTCAATTGGCACAGCATATTTTCAATGCAATAAATGATAAATACTTTGATTGGTTCGCACTAGGGCGCTTTCTTTGTCATCAGACAAACAAGAAACGCAAAGAAGGATGCGGCTAAAGAAACTCTTCACAAAAGGAAACTACAAATTGATCAGCGGTTCGTTGTACAAAGTTTAAATAGAAGGATATATGACATCCGCTAATAGTCATTTATTGACGCCTGAAATAAATGCTTGACTTGAGTATTCCGTAGTATTACGAAATATTAATGTTAGCCAACTGTTTTTTGATGTTTCGTTATATTGATTGACAATTTTTTGTCTTTGTCTTATAACAACTGTTGTCAAAACAGTGAAATTGAAGGGGTAGAGTAGTAAAGCAGTTCTCTAAGACGCTAACCTCTTCTTTGTAAACATTGCCTTTAAGTGAAAGAGCTATCGAACGCCATGAATTCGTCATGGGCGTTGGTAGGACCTATGAAAAGGGGCACAAGTTACTTAGACGAAATATTCATTAAATGAAAAGCCTTTCTGTGTTATCTGTTATTATGATAGCATCAGAGAAAAAACATTTGGCTGTATTGTTGTGATATAGAAATTGTCATAAAAAAGGAGGCCCAAGGCTACCCTCCTGTTTATGATTAATATTCATCAATAAAATAGTTATAATTTTTTTGCTTAAAATTGCCGCAGTATATGAGAAGACATTGTTCGTATTAAAAGCTTTAAATCACATTTACTTTGCTTACTGACACTGTAATCTATGGAACCAATATGAAACGTGTTACCCAACAAATACATTTCAACAACCTTCATAATTTCATTAATTTGATTTATCATAAATTTGATTGTTTATTTATTGTAAATAACAGCGTAAATTCTTGCGCAAATTGAAAACACATGCATGCACATGCTCCGCATCATACATGCACATGACTCCGCATCTGCATGCATGCACGTGACTCCGCATCATGCATGCGCATGACTCCGCTTCATGCATGCACATGACTCCGCATGCATGCATGCACATGACTCCGCATCATGCATGCACATGACTCCGCATCATGCATGCACATGACTCCGCATCATGCATGCGCATGACTCCGCTTCATGCATGCACATGACTCCGCATGCAGATGACTCCGCATACACATGACTCCGCATCATGCATGCACATGACTCGGCATCTCACTTTTCTAGTATCAAATTGCCATTGTACTTAGAAATCATGTCATATTGAATTTTTATGTGTTCTTGAGCTTAACATCATTACGCTTTATTTTTTTTTTCCAAATTGCTCTAGAAATCGTCCGTTATTACTCTTGATATAATTTTTTTTCTCTGTGAACATGATTAAAAAGCACGTTTTACCCACCGTCATCTTTCGACCTAATTGGTCTTAACATTTTTCTAGCTTCTTCTCTTAAAAATCGCCACTCTTCAGAAGAGTAACAAAGAATTTAGAGTGAAGTTGACATATAAACTATGACTAACCATCCTCCTACGAACGCTCCCCAAAAGTTTGTACCAAGACTTTGTAGAATGGTCGGTGCAATACTGAAAACATACCAATAAACATGTTAATAATAAGCAAGATGACTTTACCAACTTGATGTTACGAAGGGCATTTCGTTTTGTGTTATTATAGTCCTGGACTATTAGTCCTTCTTGTTTTTGCAAGTTTTGTTTTGTCACTGCAGATTATACGTCTCACTTGATTCAGCACCAAACCTCCAACGCATTTACTGAAATCATCCCCACTTCCCAGCTAACAGCTTGGTCAGAGATTTTTGTGACATAGCTACGAGTTGAGGTTGTTCTTACGCTCAATTCAAATCGCTGATATCAAATCTGCAGAAACCATGCAAACATGACTTGCCTCAAGCTCAGAAACTAAAGTTTCTTCTGACAACACCTTCTTTGCGATAGTTTAGTTTGGGAGTAGAATTTCCAAGATATGAATGGATATGATAGATTGTAGTTTTAAGATGTTTCATATTTTTGTTGTTTTCAATGATCCCGATGATCTACTTAAACATGCAACGCAGTCAGATCGTACGTCGTTCGGATAAACATTTAAATTTACAAAAAAATGGGCTGATTACCCTATTGACACAGCAAATATTTTGTATTGGAACGAAAGAAACGCAAACTTTGGTAGAGAACAAAAAATGAAAGACGGCAGAGTGTTAACAAAAATTTCATTAAGTAGACGAAAAACGAAAACGAATAGCAGCCATATATAAATAATATGAAAAAATTATTAAGTACGTACGAGTTGACCAGTCACCTTTCATTAACAATGAAAAATGAAATGACCAAAGTAACGTCATGACTTGCATAAAAATAAATTTTGATATCCGCTAGACTTCATTCAATTCAAAATTTCTATATTGCTTCATTAAGACCTTCATTAATAGCTGGCTTTCACTCGTGCGTTTTGTCAAAATATTTAACATTTGTGAAAACTTAGTTTTACGGAAATTTTTAACGGTTGAATTTGAAAAGGTGCCATACTGATAAACATTATGCATAACTTAAGTCGCAAGTTGGAATCTTCAATAAGAACGCTTGTTTCTTGGTGCTTCTGTCTGACTTAGTCGTTCATTCACTGTCCAATTAGTAGGCCTACAGATATAGCTATAAATGACAGCATAAGGAATGAATAAAAACAGAAATTAAATATATTGAAAAGAACAAAACTTTTATAAATGATATCCAAGCGTTGTCTAGGTCAGTTTGATCCTGGCGGCTTAGTCGGTCTCTTCGTTTAGAATTTAATTTGTCCAAATATTCATTGAATCTTGCTGTCATATCTTGCTAAAGTTAAGGTTAGAAGAGGGTTTAAGGGCGTTTTGGTTGGAGTCACCAACATCTTAATTTTCATAGTCATAATATTTGCGTTATTTAATATACTGAATAAAGTTAATTACTTTAAGATTTGCGTAGTATCACAGAAAAATGGTCAACAGTCATTTGCATTTTACATATACTAACGAAAGGAGACTGGGAGAGCATAGTTCTTTTGTTTTGCAACAATACCTTTTTGTTTTTAAAAAGTAGAGTTGATATCCGGTTATTTGTTCAAGTACGAACAATGAATGTTAAACATGTGGAACAAATACATATAATGACATGCTTAACACCATGTATAAAGATGCCATTCACTTCAAGTGCTGAAACATTAAGCCACGAAGCAAGATAAAGTTGTCGCCTTCAACTGTCATTGATGACAATTTACCGAAAACACCTCATTTGATTTCAGATGGAAGTGTAACTTGCATGGTAATGGCTGATAATTTGGGCATAATTCGCTCTACAGCAAGAGGCCTTTTCCAATATTTATGAGAAAATTCTGTTGATAAGATACCGCGCAGAGAGGAGAAACCAAGTCAAGTGAGTTTGGAATACTATGAGTATCACATCCAAAATGTTGATAGCAGCTGAAAAAAAGGAATTTGAGCAAGAAAAACCCTTTTGAAATGTGTTACACACTTACTTGTTTCGATATCATTAGTTACTTTAACGTAGTAGTAAGAAAGATAGCTAAATACTGTCTTTTACTGAAGAAGTAAGTATGAGTTACATGCAATAATAAACTAGCCTTGTAAAATGAAAGCGTTTATTGTAAGAGGCTTTGACCACGATGTTAAGCCTTTGATCGTGTGAAACTTGTTACATCGTTCAAACTCAACTGACTAAAGCTATTCGTGCAATGTAGGTGAATGTTTTACCATTTGGATAGTCAAACAGAAAACATTTTACAATATGCTTATTCTAAATATATCTGATTAAGAATTTAAAAACGCAAACTAACGTCATATGCAGAGTTATTCGTCATGAAATCTCATACATGTGTTTCATATTTTCTTATATTGTAGATCCCACAAGGATGGAGTTGTGAAAGTCCCTTTACCACCTGTGTCATTCTCTTCAAATACTCTTACTAGTTTGTCATTACTCATGTGTCATGGTGATTCATGGCCAAGAATGTTCATTTGTAGTTTGGATTCTCTGTTGATGTCAGTTGTTTGTTCATATAATGATGATGGGCCCCATTGTTATATGAACCCACCTAAAGGTGGTCAGCTGATACTCACTGAAGATCAACTCCGCATTAAGCATTCTTTGAGTGATGATATAACTGGGGTATTGAAGTGATCCCTTTTCCTTCGCTTGAAGTTACCATAAGAGTGCATCGTCGAAATGGCACACGAATGGAAAAACACGATTCATGTCTTGTGGTTTGTAAGTTGAGAAGATAAGTGTCATAATTAACTTGCATGAGTAACTGCACGAGAAAGTTTAAAAAGGATCCTGATGGTCTATTTTTATAATTTGAACCTAAATGATGAAAAACATCCAAATTAAAATAATGTTAGTAAAAGATATCATTTGCTGTGAGAAAATAGCTGGCTTTCACTCGCTACGTTTTACGAATTTTATTTAATGTTTATAAAGAAAATTGCAATGCTGCAAGTAGGGTACATTGAATTCCTAAGATAAAAATGTTTACACTAATTTGAACTATACACACGTAAAAACTGTGCGGTGAAAAAAAAAAGGAAGAGACCAAGTCGCCTGGATCAGACTGACCTGGACAACGCTTGGAAATCGGGTATTAAAGTTTTGTTCTTTTCAATATAGTTTTGTTATTGATCGTTCATTATGCTGACATTTATAACGTGTTTTTTATAGAGTAGCTATGTCTTTAGGCCTACTAACTGGACAATGAATGAACGACCAAGTCGGACAGAAGCACCCAGAAGCACAATTTTCACCATTACAGCACATTTTCAAATTCAATCGTTAAAAATTTCCGTAAAACTAAGTTTTCACAAATGTTAAATATTTTGACAAAACGCACAAGTGAAAGCCAGCTATTAATGAAGGTCTCAATGAAGCAACATAAACATTTTTAATCGAATGAAATCTAGTAGACATCAAAAATGATTTTTATGCAAGTCATGACGTTACTTTGGTCATTTCATTTTTCATTGTTAATGAAAGGTGAATGGTCAAGACGTACGTACTTAACAATTTTTTCATATGATTTATATATGGCTGCTATTCGTTTTCGTTTTTCGTCTATTTAATGAAATTTTTGCTAACGCTCTGCCCTCTTTCATTTTTTGTTCTCTACCAAAGTTTGCGTTTCTTTTGTTCCAACACAAAATGTTTGCTGTGTCAATAGGATAGTCAGCCCATTTTTTTGTAAATTTAAATTTTTTATCCGAACGACGTACGATCTGACTGCGTTGCATGTTTAAGTAGATCATCGGGATCATTGAAAACAACAAAAATATGAAACATCTTAAAACTACGAAAAATTTAAGGAAATTTTTCTAAATTTTCGATCTTTTCTTTTATTGGAGGGTTTTTTACCGGATCCACCGGTTTTCCCTCCCATTTCGTTTTGGTTTGGAAAAAAAACAGTGTCCACATTTGGGGCCAAGCGATGTCATTTGTCATAACATTATTTATTGTAGCTATCATGAATATTCAGGTTTCTTTTTCATTTCTTGGCCTTTGGGTGTATCTCCCGAAACACTGCATTTATTAAATACAACAGCATACATTTAAAAAAATTGGTACGCAGTTCGTACATGTTGATAACCTGCAAGTATGTAGCTACTGAATGAAGTACATTTAATCAACATAGTTATAATAAGATTATATGTTTAATATTACTTACGTCAAACTTGTTCAAGATTTGAAAATGCTCTTTACTTATGACCAAGTAATTTCCTTACCCTGGAATCGAAAAATTACCAAGTAACTGCAACTGCTGAAATCTTGATACTACAATCGTTGAAGATCGAAGGTGCAGAATTCCAGAATATCTCAAACATTTTCTTGTCTTATTAAGAAAAAAGCCTACACCGAAGAAAGTCATTAAAATGATTGATGCATCTCCGCAAGGTGACAACGAGCACGTAACGTTAGACCACTTGACCAAATTCTTAAGTCTCTTGGAAGGAACGTCATTGCATTTCTTCAGTCAGTTGCTACTGAAGCCAGTGTGTTTCTGCTAGAAATGAAGTAGAAGATCACATTCACCGACTTAAAACATTTAGCCCGTCGTCCTGTTGCGTGAACTTGTGGTCCTTTACTTGAAGCTCTAAGCACCTGTCAGTGCTACAATGAATTAGTTAAAGAATTTTCTTCATTCTTTGCGAGAAAAGTTCATGGACGTTCGATATTGTCTAGTGGGGACGTTAAAGTCATATATTCGCATCTAAATATTATATGACATTGCAATATTATATTTGTTGTTTGTGGTGAAATCCATAATATACAGTTGAAGCAATTATTTTACCAGCTGATTGTTTCTTTAATTGTATTATGTAGAAACTATAAACATCTGCTTTAGTTGAGCATTCAGTCTGGGTTTTTTTGACAACAGCCACGTAGGATTTTTTCATTACTTCCTTAACAATATGTAACTATATCAGTATCTAAGACTAGTATCCCGAAGGAGCGAGTTCAAATCTCGTCCAAGTCACATGTTTTTCATGTGCATATTAAAAAAACCGTGTTAGGATTAATATATTATGTATATGTAACTATTGTAACGTATAAGAGGAGTGCTTGTAGTTTTGTTTTGATAATTCCTGTATCTAATCTGATCTAATCCTAACTAGATACCGCTGATCACATTGATCTTCAGTTGTAGTCACTGGAGTCACACATGTACATGGCATTTGATGGGATAGTGGTCATCACTTATTAACATAAGATGCAGTTAAATGACAGATCTTTTCTTGGACAAAGTGCGTAAAATATCTTAATTTAGTGCAGAGCTATGAAGCATGAGGTTTCGGAGACGCCATTTGAGTAGTTTCATAAAAAAATCTCTTGTCGTGTGCGTTGTGTTTGGTTTGCTCAAGATATGGAAATTAATTATGGAATCTACTCAAACGAATGAACTGAGTAGATCGAACGAATACATAGCCTTTCCTGTTCAAATCTGCAGTCCTGTGAAAGTAGAAGAGAACAGAACCTTTCTTTCTGAGGGATGTCCGTTTGCCAATAAATCAGCCGTAGTTAGGCATCGTGTGCTAATTTTATCATCAAGACCGTTGTCTTTTGCGCATGATTTAGTGACTATTTTAGAAAGTCATCGGATGTCGTATGGAATTCATAATCTGAACAGTGAATCAATCGATGCTTTACCTTCTTTGACTGATCAAAATAGGAAATTATGCGGTTGTAGTGTTCACGAGTTTTACTGATTATTTTGAACTAAGCCCTTGGAGGAAAAGGATCATTGATGGATATTGTAGGGATTATGGTGTTGGAATGGTTTTATTCAATGACGTCAAGGTTGCTCCACCACTTATCCCCTCCAGAGATTATTTTCCTTTTGAAATTTATTCTGGCCAATGCAATTCAACTTGTATCATGTTTCTGCCAATGCTTCCATGTTGAGACTTGTTACTGGAAATAATATGTTGGATTTTGAGGAGTCGCACATGTCCAGTGGAGAAAAATGGTCAATATTTTTAAGACAAAATGCACGCTTGCATGAACATTTTGAGATTGTAGCTACCTCTAGCTTTCATTCTACAATACCTATAGACAATTCTATGTATTCACCAAATCTGAAGTTCCCTGTTGTGCTTCATGATTTGGGACAACTAGACAAAATTCAGAGAATATATTTTGGTGCTGGTTTGTCATTTTGGCCTCATAAATTGCTATTTCTTGATGCTCTTGGCTATATGTCTTCTGGCAAACTGGCCAAGTCTTTAGATCGATGGATTCAAGTAGACATTGATGATATATTTGTGGGTAGAAGTGGGATAAGAATGAAGGCAGATGATGTTCAGGTATTTTAATGAGCTTTAATAATACATAGTTCTTTGATATTAGATATATGTTTTGGCTTTTAGATACTTAATTTAGAAAACTAACCATGCCCCACCCACCCCTGGTTCATGACTTTTTAATGCAGAATTTAAAAGATATGTATTAGTACCATCATAAAGTTGATGAATAGCCATATAAATAGTAAAATGTTCAGGCATTATAATCCTGGATGTGTAAACGTTGAACTGCCACTTCTTCATAATAAATTTTTATACGTGAAGCTCTGTCTTTCTAATGATTTCTTCCATTTCTGGTAGCTACACTTCTCATATTTGATGAAGGTCCTTCATCCAACGCTGTAAAATGCTTTAATTCCCAGGCTTTGGTAAGTGCTCAAAAATCACTTCAAAAGATGGTGCCTGGATTTCAATTTAATCTTGGCTTCTCTGGTAAATACTTTAAAAATGGTAATGAAGAGGAGAATGCAGGAGATGAAGAATTGATTAAAAATGCCCACAAATTCAGATGGTTTTGTCACACATGGGCTCACAAGCAGCCACATAAAGTTAATACTCTTGATGAGATGAAAAGTCTCATTAACCTAAACATGGAGTTTGCAAAGGTAAAGCAAAATCATCAAATCATACATGTTGTTACACTTGAGGAAAAATTTCACAAACTTTGTATAAGTTATTGCTTTTTATACCATTTTGTGCTTTTTCATTACATTTCTTTTGAAAGTTTGCTAAATATTTTGTTTTGTCTTACATTATATCTATCTTGCAAGATTTTTATCACCTTTTCTAAGAAAAAACGACTAGTTTGACATCATTTGCTTTCAACTCATAATAATGTTTTCTTAACGCCAACATGCAATGTGCTTTCTGTTTTCTTAATAAAAGATTTTTTAATGACGTATTGTTTTTTATCATCCAATAGAAACATAAGATACCCGTCGACAATGCTTACTCAATTTCACCCCATCACTCAGGAGTGTATCCTGTTCATGAAATACTTTATGAAGTATGGGGTAAGACCATTGGTGTACAAGTGACCTCCACAGAAGAATATCCCCATCTTAAGCCAGCATGGCGACGGCGAGGATTCATACATCGTGATATTATGGTAAAAATAATCACCTTTCATTTATTTCACAGTTTTTCAGCATCCTAAATTTATTGAGAAATTGTACTTTTCACAAATCAAGGTTTTGCCTCGTCAAATGTGCGGTCTGTTTACGCATACTCTCCATTTGCATGCGTATCCAAGAGGAAAGGAAGTACTTTTGAAAAGCATATATGGAGGAGAGCTTTTCAACGCAATAGTGTCAAATCCTGTAAGTACAAAAAATTTTTTTCTCTTCAGCGAGGTGCACAAATTAGGCGACATTTACATACCTGTCATATATTGCTTCATCTTTTCCATACGAAAAAATTTTTTTATAAGTTTTAACGGAATACTCTGAACTGCTGTTTTAATTTATCTTGAAAAAACTTCAATTAGCTAACTCTTCCCCACACACACACGCTGGAAAAAAGACAAGCTACGTTTTTACCTTGCCAAATACACACCAGTAAAGAATACGTAGCTACTTTGTGTCAGCTACTGTATTTTCAATACAGCATGACATACATTCTACATTTTTATCATTCCTTCATAGATCAATATTTTTATGACTCATCTTTCGAACTACGGTAATGATCGTTTGGCCCTCTACACTTTCCACAATGTAATCAAGTTTATAAAATGTTGGACGACCCTTCGCGTTATGTCCTTGTCGCCGTTAGAACTTGGCAAGAAATACTTTGAATTGTTTCCTAGCGAGAGGCAACCTGTTTGGCACGTGAGTTCTTAACTTTCTGGTATGAATATATTTCATGTTTGATTACAAAATCATCATCATGGTTGTTCGTTGACTGTCATTTGAAATTCTGTTTATTCTTAAATGAAGCTCGTTTTTTTCTTGAACATGAAACATGTCTACCTCTATTAATACAAATAAGAGTTCGCGCTTTAGTGAATTTTGTATTCTGTATTATTGTGTGGTGTGATTGTGAATCGCTAAATCCAGGATGATTCGGGTTGAACTTCGACAAGATTTTTCTCACAGAACACAAAACAATAGCAAGAAATAGTGGAGGGCGAAAAATAATTTTAAATCATTTGCTTTAACTGCACACGAAGTCACGAACGAATTCATTAGAAATGTACATTGTTTATTATCAACAGTATCGTTTAAGTAAATGCAAATAACGAAATTTCCAAGAATTGCCACTTTTTAAAGAAAAGAATCCTATCCACTCCACTCATGTAAGTCCGTGAAAGTTAGAAGAAAGCAAAACTCTCGTTTTAGATGGCTATATCCTTTGGCAATATTTTTTCTCAACAGTCTATTGGGAGACTTTAAGAATACAACATGATTTCCGTCTAGAATCCTTGCAAAGATCCTCGCCATAGAGAGATTTGGCCTTCATGGAAGTCGTGCAGCAAATTGCCTTCTTTTCTTATCGTTGGTCCGCAGAAGACTGGAACGACCGCCCTGCACATGTTTCTCTCTGTCCATCCACAGTTACGTCATAACAAGAAAAATGAGATTTCTTTCGAGGAAACACAGTTTTTTTCGTCTGTCAATTACTTAAAAGGATTGGATTGGTAAATTACTTGATTCTTGAATGTCTTTAACTATTGTAGCTATAAATATTTTTTATTATGTTTTGTTTTGATTCACGTTCGTGGTCATACCTATTTTACTTGTTGGATATCTAGAGGTACATTTAGACATTCACCAATACCTTCTCTCTGGTTTGAGGAAATATCACTTACGTAATATTTCCCAGAATTACGTTAAATGTGCTTTCATTGTTTCAGGTACTTGGACAACTTTGATGATGTTCACGAAGACAATTCAACTTTGTTGTTTGAGAAAACAGCCAATTATTTCGACTCGAGGAAAACGCCATCAAGAGCGTTCGCGCTTTTACCTCAAGTTAAGATCCTTATTATCCTTAAAGATCCCGTAAAACGGGCGTACTCGTGGTTTCAGGTCGGTTTACTTTTCATCATTTACGGAATACTACATTTTTGAACCATGCATTAGCGGCATGCAAATCCAAGGGCAATACCTTGTACGTAAAATAACATCTTTATTCTCAAGCATATGCGTTCACATGATGATTTTACGGCAATCAACATCAATTTCTATGATCTCCTAACGTCTATACCTCATGCATATGCAATCGGCAATCAATATCAATTTCTATGATCTGCTAACGTCTAAACCAAGGCCATACCTTGTATGTAAAATAACATCTTTATTCTCAAGCATATGCGTTCACATGATGATTTTACGGCAATCAACATCAATTTCTATGATCTCCTAACGTCTAAAGATAATACCAGCTCCGCTGTGAAAAATTTAAAAGCTCGCTGTTTGACACCTGGACTTTATGCGGAGCATTTAGAAAGATGGATGCAGTATTATCCAGCTTCACAGGTAAAACGTCATGCATGAAGACAGTGACTACACTGCTATATGTTTAGCCAAAAACGTGAGATATTGACTAAATATAGAACATTATATTGAAGTTCTTGCGTTCAATTATAAGTACATTAATAACATTAATTATTAACTCGATAGATTTTAACAATTGATGGAGAGCAACTGTTATCTGACCCAGTCTCCTTGCTATTGGACGTACAGATGTTCATAGGAGTGACAAATGTACTTGATTACAGTAATATTTTAAAGTAAGTCTTATACAGAAGTCAAACATTGAAATTACGATTTAAGATAATGTAAATCTTTATACATTCATGCAGATACAATAATCGCAAAGGTTTTTTCTGCCTAACAAAGCATAAATACAACGGACACACTTGTTTGGGAACGTCAAAAGGACGCAGATATCCTCCAATGGCAGAAAAAGCTGAAAAACACCTTCGAGGGTTTTTTAAAGAACCAAACAGACGTCTCGCTGAAATTCTTCATAAAATACGTCAACCTTTACCTCTCTGGTTACGTTCTGACGTTTCATGAAACGCAAATATGGAAATATTGAATTGAATATTATGTTAATATATTTTATGTATTGTTTAAGAATAGATGAATATGTAATAGTGCTTATCGTTTTATGATTTCTTAAATACCACGTTTCAGGAATGCATTTCTCTAAAATCATCCTTCATTGTCAAAATTAAATAGTTCAAAAGAACAACTTTTTCTTCACAGTCATATATCTCTGACACAGTTTATCTTCAGCAGATAAATGAACTATAGAAAAAAAAACAAAAGAAATAGTTAATGGTACTACAAGGCATCATCGTAAGCAATCCCTTAACATTTGGGTAACAACAAACGATCTCGGTGTTGCCTACCCTGTTTTTGTGGCAAGATATACTCGCTAATCATCATCAAATGCTGGAGACCAACGTCCTAGAGCGTCCAATGACTGTTTTGCAAGGTTCGCCGCTTCATCATCGTTCTCAAGTGAATCTGAGGGATGGGAACTCATAGCCGCCTCTGTGGCAAACAATAAAAATAACATACATATATCAAACATAGTTGTTCAAAAAAATTAAAAAAACTACATTTTCATCCCATCGAAAAAAATCGATACCACATGATGCCGAGAGCCCACATATACGACCTGTACCTATTCAAATCATCCTTACTCAGAATGAAAACCGGAACTTGATGATACCCTTAATGAAAGTGGTACCTGATCTGGTCAAAGACTTGTTGTCAACAAAGTTTTTTCTGTCACTTTCATCCATAACAACAATGGACCAATAATGTGTCAATCAACAACAGCAATGTTTTAAAATAAAATGAAGGTTTGAAATGTTCTCGTTGATTACATCCACCTTTCAAAGTGAAGGTGCTAGAAGATTTTATATATTTATACTGCTTCCATAACATTAACATACACGTAAGCCTGCTGGGGTTGATTACATGATGACAAATTCTACACGATGAATAATATCAAGTATGCTTTCTTACCAGCACCGTCTGGGTTACTGTTTCTCACTTTAGCCAAGAATTCCTCGAAATCTTGCGTATCCAAATCATGACTGCGAGTAAAATAATATAAAAAAATGTTTGGAGTGTGTAAAAAAACGCCCAACGATGACAAATAAATTCTGACATCTCTAGATTTTTTTAGGTAGATGGGATTTTTTTGCTTTCTACGGACTGATGTCAGACTGAGTCCCTGTACTAAGAGGGTCTTTTATAGAAAAATCATTGTCGAGATTTTTTTATATTTTTAAATTGTTCAAAAAAACTCACTCGCTTATTTCGTCATCATCATCAGACAGCCATGACACAAACGCCGATTCGTCTAGTAACTTCTTTATATGTTCATCACTCTTTCTTGCCGTATTTCGATTTTCTCTTTTGGCTCTTTCTTGCCTCGCTACTCTGGCAGCCTCTCTTTTCGCCTCGTAAAATTCCTTCAGACCAAATAAAAATCCCAAAATGCAATCGTTACTGATAAAGTTAAAGAGCAATATTCAACTCATAAAAAGTAATCGTCAGATTTCAAGTTCTTGACGTATTGACTTGTTATATTAACCACACTCTGTAAAAATCAGCTCAAGCAAAAATGCCTGTGCACACGTAAGATACTGCCTACTATGATGTGATTGATTTACATTAAATGATCACTGTCCAGTGAAACTGAGCTTTTTATTTTTTGTCTCACTAACCTCTTCTTGTTTTCGAAGATCATCTTCATGTTGTTGCAACTGTAAAACATTAAATTTCATTTTGTAAAATACACAAATGTCAATAATCAAATATCAATAATCAATTCCATTGCAATCTGCAAGGAACGTAATCCAAATTTTCATTGAAATCTGGGTAATACATATGTTAGAAAATTTATATAATGTGCAATTTAACCTTTTGGTCGATTTGCATATTGACAATTTCCTGCTTCTGAACTAAATCACCATATCTCTTTTGTTTCATAAATGTTGCTTCTTCATCAGTAATAACTTTCCTATTGAATTTTAAATACAGGAGAACATTAACTTAAAATGGTGATGGAAATTTATTTTTAAGAGGGTAATATGTGATATAACTAGTGTGAGAAACTTGTGGGCCCTCAGTCAAAGGAGAATATCACTTATCTCTGAGAGAGTGTTCTCAAACAACAAAATAATGGTCTAGAATGTAGCATTTTCCAACATAACAGCAAACTTTACCTATCATTAAACTTGTAGGAATAATGATAAAAAACTTACTGTCTGGGTTTTGTTTGAATCTCATACTCATCCTACAAAAAAAATATGTGCAATTAGGATGTGAAAACGGTCCATATTTCATCCAAATTCAAATCAGTAGAAACAAAAATTAGATGGTCATCATAAACAAACATTGGTTAGCAATTTCTCCTTATTTCAAAGCTTGAAAAATAAAATCACATTTATCTTGGCAAAATTTGGGTTACAGAATGCTTTCATCTTACCTCACTTAGCAAATTATCAAACTACAAAAAAAAAGTAAAATATACATGAGGCAAATACTAATTAACAAAAATCATTGAACTTCATTGCTTAACAAGATTGAAAGCCACAGGCAATGTTTAACTTGCAAAGGTTTGCAATGTTTAACTTGCAATGGTAAAATTGCCATGGTAAACTTGCAAAATGCTTTATAAGCAGTAAAATCATGTTGTACCTCAATTCCGTCTCCTCTATCTCGAACATTGTATCTTGCCGATCTTATTTGACGACTTCTAAATTCAAGGAATGTAATATAAAATAAACTTAAAATAATCAGGTAACTTTGTGGTGATTCTTCAACTTCAAAAATATACCTTTCAACAAGGAGAAATGGCACTAGTAAGTACAGTCAAGTACATATATAATTGTGCTAACATGATGAATGAATTCACAAATTTTCAAATTATCCACGAATTGTGCTTTTTATATACACAAAATAACATTCAAAATTATGATATTGAAGATAGAAGTAAAAATAAATTAAATAATCCCATGTAAAAATCACATGACAGCGAGATTTGAATTTGCAAAGAGGAACAGTTTATTGACGTAAAAAATCATTTCTGTATCGTTAATTGAAATACGAATAGCAAATTATAATAGAGCAAGCTCAATGCTCCATAACTTTTGATTATCATAGAAATTTGCGATTCTATCATCCACCACATTAAAATACAAAACAATAACAAAAGTTAAAACAATGGTGAGAAGATTCAAGTAAAGATCAAACCTTTCAAAGTAATCAATAGGTCTTCTTATCTTCTGACACTCGGCCAGAAACCCACTCCAGCAACTACCCATCGACACTGACACTATCTTATCTTATCTAAATCAATCAGCTATGACAAATCCTAAATGTCGACGAGAAGTAATTGAAAAATGTCCAAGTGTCATATTGCACGAGTGTCATACATTATAATTTGTATTCATTTATATTCAATTCAACTATTTAAGCATCATTGTCATGCACAACTTCATGTAACAAAATAATAACTTAACAAATGTCAGTGTTTTCATAGAATGAAGAAGTGTAATTAGATAAATAGGGAAAACCTCTTCACAAACACAGAGAAAAACGTGGCTATCGAGATCGACCAACATTGTGCCGTGATGTTCTCAGGGCAAATGTTACAATGCAATGAGATAGATCATGCGTTGGAGACACTGGTGGGAAATAGAAGACGATATGGGAACATTCGGGACCGCATGTTGAACTTTTAGGCTATCTATTTGACGTAAAAAAATGAGTTTTTGTTCCAATGAAAAACGGAATAATGGTAAGGTTACTCCATAGCATAGAAACAGACTAGACAACTGTGAACATTTACACTGGATAATAAGACGACCTTGGTCGATATTTAAACCGTCGAGAAGACAACCTTAGACATTTAGTCCTTGTACAACAAGACAACTGTGAATCATTAAACAACCGTAGACAACAAGCAACTGTCAACAACCGTAGACAACACGACAACTGTGGTCCGTGGACAAGGCAACCATGGACAACAAGACAACTATGGACCACAAGATAACCGTGGACATTTAGACCGTAGGCAAAAGACAACCGTGGACATTTGGACCGTAGACAACAAGACAACTGTGGACTTTTAAACCGTGGATAACAACACAACCGTTGACATTTACACCGTGGGTAACAAGACGACTGTGGATAACAAGACAACTGTTGACATTTAGACCGTACTGGACAACAAGACAACCTTGGACAACAAGGTAACTGTGAACATTTAGACCGTACTGGACAACAAGACAACCTTGGACAACAAGGTAACTGTGAACATTTAGACCGTACTGGACAACAAGACAACTGTGGACAACAAGGTAACTGTGAACATTTAGAACGTACTGGACAACAAGACAACCTTGGACAACAAGGTAACTGGAACAACACAGATAACTGTGAACATTTAGAACGTACTGGACAACAAGACAACTGTGGACAACAAGGTAACTGTGAACATTTAGACCGTACTGGACAACAAGACAACCTTGGACAACAAGATAACTGTGAACATTTAGAACGTACTGGACAACAAGACAACCTTGGACAACAAGATAACTGTGAACATTTAGAACGTACTGGACAACAAGACAACTGTGGACAACAAGGTAACTGTGAACATTTAGAACGTACTGGACAACAAGACAACTGTGGACAACAAGGTAACTGTGAACATTTAGAACGTACTGGACAACAAGACAACTGTGGACAACAAGATAACTGTGAACATTTAGAACGTACTGGACAACAAGACAACTGTGGACAACAAGGTAACTGTGAACATTTAGAACGTACTGGACAACAAGACAACTGTGGACAACAAGGTAACTGTGAACATTTAGAACGTACTGGACAACAAGACAACTGTGGACAACAAGGTAACTGTGAACATTTAGAACGTACTGGACAACAAGACAACCTTGGACAACAAGATAACCGTGGACATTTAGACCGTACTGGACAACAAGACAACTGTGGACAACAAGCTAAGCGTGGACATTTAGACCGTGGACAAAAAGACAACTTAGACAACGGTGGACATTCAAATCGTGTGCAACAAGTTGTAGGCAACTAGGCGATAAACGGTTGTCTTCTTTGATAACAATTACAACTAGGACAACAGTTACTTAATATAAGTCTATTGATCATACTAATCACTATGAAGCATGACAATAAGCATGATAATGACATATGCAAGGTACGTTTAACGCGTGCGTTTCTTCACGTTTTTGCTTGAACGTCACGCCTTACGTCATTTGGTCTGTATAAATAATGCCATGCTTTAATATAGCTTATTGCGTTGTTCTGTCCGACACTTGTCTGCAGTAAACATAGCTAAATATTCCGCACCCTGTTGAGGCTAACAGAAAAAACGTTGTCAAAATGAGCGAGCAGGTGAGAATGAATTGTACATAATTACTATTATTGTCCTTGTAGACCGAATAATAATTGGTCGACAACTGTTACACCGGAATAGAGGTAAAGTTAATGGTCCGCTTTAGACAAGAGATGCCGGTAACAGGCAAAAATTTGCACGATAAAGAATATTTTTTATGTTTAGCCCTGTAATATTTCTCGCACGTTTTGTAAAAGATTAATCAGAATGACTTTTTGCACTCACGAAATCATTTATTATTATTTTAAATGACATTTCTTCCTCGCCAAATTTCTGTTCATTAGAAATAGCCATGAAATACAAGCCAGTTCCGTTACATATCACAATTAAAAATGTCACTTGATCATAAACAGCCAATTACATAGTTTTTATTACCATTATATGCAACTTCTTAAAATTTACAGTTCTTGGCCTTTATGCTGTATGTATTTCACATATAGAATCCAGTAAAAGTTGCTGTGTTGGGAGCCACTGGTGGTATTGGTCAACCACTGTCTTTACTTCTTAAATTGTCCCCTTTAGTTGATCATGTAGCACTTTATGATATTCTTAATACTGCAGGTAATATGTTTAGGTTTTTCATTTGTTCCTTTTAAGTATAGTCAATAATGCCATCGTGTCTATTGCTATTGCTTTCAGATACTTTTACTAGTTGAGATATTTAACCAAAATTCAATTATTTATGCAGTAATGAAGCTTACCTTAACAGCTAACAATTAAATAATTGGGGGAGTTGGTCTTAAGTTACAAATTAGTGAAATTGGTAAATTATACTTTGGAAAGAATTGAAAAGAAAGAAATGACCAGTTAACAGGACCAACTGTTGTATTGTATCATTTGGTAGTGTAATAATTCAATGTAGAACTGGGCTTTGCTATTAAATGTTGTATTAACCCAGGTGGATAGATCTGATAGTATAACATATTGTACAGACTCACACAAATTTTTTTAGCAGTTAGTTGCAGTCTTATTAATTCCTATGTCTTTTTCCAGGTGTTGCAGCAGATCTTAGTCATATCACATCAAAAGCTAAGGTATTAAAACTGCTCCAACATTCACTTATGACAAAACTGCTGTCCTTTTTTCAGTTGCTCTTTTATGAGATGTTGAAAAATAAACATTGCATTGAATAAACGACCTTATAAAATACAACGCTGTGATATTCGCAAAGACTAATTGATAAGTTGATCAGTTCTTTTCATACAATCCATTACATTGGCATTAAAAAATGTTGTGATGATGCCCAAACTATGCAAGCTTCAACGTCCAAGGTCAAATGCTGTAATTGACCATTGTAGGTGACACATCATCAAGGTGCTGAACAACTTGAAGAAGCTTTAAAAGGCTGTACTGTTGTTAGCATTCCTGCTGGTATTGCACAAAAACCTGGTCAGTTTGTTTTCTTAATTTGATTGTAAAGAGCTAGTCTTCTTGCTAGCCATATGAATGATGTATATGTTCTTTATTTCATGTCCAATACTTCACTTCTTGTCCAAATTTGAACAAAGAAAAACTTTGCGTATTGTAATGATTATAATTTTTTCCAGGCATGACACGTGATGATCTTTTTAAAGTTAATGCTGGAATTGTGAAAGCCTTAGCAGAAGCCTGTGCCAAATATTGCCCAAAAGCTATCTTGACAATCATATCTAATCCAGTTAGTAATCATATACAATGAAAACATTGAGCAAATTGAATTGACTAAGTTTGGAGAACAATTGTGTTGTAATCATTATGGACGGATTTTCCTGTTTTTATAGAGGTGGTGTTAAAAATTTTAAGGGGTGGGGTTTGTAAGGAAGTGATGCAAGACAAAGTAAGGGTGTACATTTTAGGGTGGTCTGGTGTTGCAGCCACCAATGTTATTGTACAAAGCTGAAACACAACTCAGAAAAACTCAGTTCAACTTTACTTCTGTTTTGTTTTACTAAAAGTTGAAGGAGTTAAATGTTTCTGAGGGGGGCGAACAGTTCATTAAGAAGGGGAGTAAAACCTGATGTTGGGCTATGTGTGTCACCCCCTCCCCAGAAAATCTGTCTATGAACATCATAATTCATCAATAACTGTCCATACTCTTTTCTCTACTCTATAGTTGAGCGTGCAGTCTCTCATTTCTAAATTATTGTGCCATTTCATCATTTTTTTTACTGTTACGCAGGTTTCGTCATTTCATAACTTTACTTCGTGTTATAGGTAAATTCCGCTGTACCAATTGTTTGTGAAGTATTTAAGAAGGCTGGTGTTTTTGATCCTAAAAGGTAACGTATCACAACAATTTTTTTCTGTCTAAGTTTTTCCTTTAGGAACTTGGTGTTTTTCGTGTCGTGTTTAACTCGTTCACGTTTACTTTTACCTATGACAGAATCCTTGGTGTGACAACGTTGGACGTCGTGAGAACGACAACTTTTGTTGCCGAGATGAAGAAACTTGACATGACAAAAGTAAAGGTCCCGTCATTGGTGGACACTCGAGGAATACCATTCTGCCTCTTTTGTCTCAAACTGAACCAGAAACGTCATTCACGCAGAGCGAAATTGAAAGTATGACAGACAAAGTTCGATTTGCAGGAGAAGAGGTGCTCAACGCCAAGGCTGGTACCGTAAGTGTCAATTATTTACACGATGTATTTTTTCATGGAAGAGAGAAATTGAGTGATCACTTGATTCAATTTATCGTAATGCCTGTAAGAGTTTTGTCACTCTACAATCAATAAAGAAATCTTTGATGGATTTTTTTGCCAACGGTTAAACGATGCCAACGGTTAAATTTTTTCCACTTGTAATCAATTGTGTTATCATACGTTTTGGATTTACAGCAGACTATTATTTCCAGGGCTCGGCTACGTTATCAATGGCTTACGCTGGAGCAAGAATAATCTTCTCGGTGAGACGCATGTGGTTTTTAGTAATTACGTCACTGCAAGGTCTGAATGAAGAGAGATAAAGGTGGAAAAATATCACATCAATCCTGTTTTACTATACAGTAAAAAAGAACATCGTACAAATTTAATTACTTTATACACACAATTATATAATGAAAAATTGCGAAGATCTTCGTAAAAAGGAAAACTTTCTTTTCATTGTTCATCAGCAATCAATAGTCTTGTTGTAACAGGACGTAAAATCTTTGTTTCAGCTACTGAAAGCATTACAGGGAGAATCTGATATCGTTGAATGTGCTTATGTTTGTTCTGATGTCACCGATGTGAAATATTTTTCAACGCCCTTACTTCTTGGGGTAAGTTGTAAACGATCCTTCAGTCTTTTGTAACCAAACCTTAAGCATATAGTTTCCGTAGTTATTCCATTTTTCAATTCTAACAATCAAACATTTTGTCCATAGTCAACGTTTACCTCACATAAATGAATTAAAATCACCTTTCTCCTAGGTACTGCTAGGGGTGTTAAACAGGAGTGCTAAACAAATGTCCAGCGCTGTTGAACTCTAGAATTATAAAAAATTTTTGTTTGCTTATTTACTATTTTCTTGACTCTTGCTCAATACCACAATAAAAGCTAATGGTTTTAAACAGAGATATCCTTATTTTTTAGGGGAGACATATTCTCAATGTTAAGATTGTTTTAGTTACAAATTGATTTCTTCTCTAATTTTCCTAGAAAAATGGCTGGGAGAAAAATCTTGGGCTAGGCAAACTATCTGAGTTCGAGAAGAAAAAACTGTCGGAGGTATGCTATGAAAACATTTTCTTTTTTTTTTTTAGATTTTGTTGCTTGCATTTTTGCATAGTGTGTTAATTCCTCTTCATCCACAATGCATTTTCACGTTTGTAAATGTAGATCATCCAGGTTTGTAGAGTCCTGAGAAGGACTGTTGTTGTTGATGTTAACTGACGTTTCAACAACCTTAGCGGTAGCCATCTCCAGAATCCAGTCTTTTCAGTAAACATCAACACCAACAGTCCTTCTTTAGGACTACACAACTTAGACGATCTACACCCACAAACATGTAATAATTCTCTCGGATTCAAACCATTCTTTCACTTTAATTCATTTCTTCTTAACGCAGCTTTTACCAGAACTTCAGAAACAAATCAAAAAAGGAGAGGACTTTATGGTCAGTCACTAGACGTGTGTCAATACTATTGTAGACTATATTGTAGCTGTATTCAAGCAATGCTTTTCTTAAAAGTAAGGGATAATATCAATACGATCATTTTCAATGAATATGAACTAGACAAATAAATTAGTTTACCATATCAATACAACAAAGTTGCAATCAATGTGTCAATTTTTTCATTCTATCTAATTTATGTTGTACTCTTAACATGATACGCCGTGTTGTCTGGTAATGTTCGTATGCCAACCAACATAGATGATTTCATCAACAGGACTTTTGAAATTTCTTCCGGCAAAAGCCTTGGTTTATTAAACAAAACGTGATGGTAATTACCTTCAAAACTGCACTACCCAGTGCACACTGAGTGTACCATAGTACAAACTAGTGGTACAAAAAACGTATGAGGTCCACTGAGCAGTGGCCTCGCTAGGTTGTTGTTCAGACTTGGGGTAACAATGCAACCGTCAAATGTGTGAGAGACGTCAATGGGGTTCAGAGGCATGTTCTCTTAAATAAATTATTCACTTTATGTTCTCTATAACGCTATTTCTCACAGGTGTGATTTATGATAATCTAAAAGCCACACGTTCCTAGAATGATAGCATTTAGTTGGATGTGTCAGCAGGTGTATTCAAGCCGATCTTACAGACAACAATGCTTGAAGAGTGCTGTTTACCATATACACTCTGCTATGTACACGTTTACAGAAAGTAAATTTTTTATTGCTGTTCGAAGTTGGGTTTACTTCACTTCCTCCTTCAATCTCAAAATTGGTCTTTGGAATATGTTGTGGGGAGCATGTCACCTTCAGTTTCCTCCCCGAGGACGCCCCTGCCACTGGTGAAATCATGGCTTGTATGATGATTCTTTATCTAAGCTGGAAGCACAAATACAACTGGAAACACTATTCGTACTGTTACTCCAGTGCAGTGGTCTAGTGCAGAGTGTTACCTTCTTTATTCTGTTCTGTACAACTGGTAGTACTGAGCTAGTAACTTTTGTAGTTGTGCTTTATAAAGCTTTATATCTTTACAAAAATGATAGAATTGAAATATGAATCGATCTGGTTCGACCAAAGAAACTTCGAGGAAGCTGAAAGTCGATATCAAACGTTCCTTGTTCAGAAATCTGATCAAAGTGGAGAGGCGAAGGTTGTATCACTTGTATTGATATTCATTTCCATTTTAGACTTACGTCCTTGTTATTATCAAGTACTTTATATGTTAGAAAGTAAAGTTCCATCCAATTTCAGTTATCAGTACAAAAAATTTCATTAAAAAGTTTTTGCCTGGTTTGGACTAGACAACAATTTTCTAACAAATTAAACGTGTGAATTTACGTAGGATGAATTTAAAAATGCTCTAATTTTAGAGCAAATTTTTTTGATAATGGTAAAGTACAATTGTAGACACTACATCAATATAATCTATTGTGTAGAAGCAGAATAGCAATATAAATCATTAAACTTATTTATATTCTAGGGAATTCCTTCTCGCTCAAGTTTAGTTGACCAGATTGCAAAAGCAAGAGAAACAATTAAGCAAACATTGGAGGAGGTTGGTAGATACTAAAGTATAAACTAGAAGAGATATATTTGCTGTAATTGCACAAAAGATAAGACCATTCGGGTGAAAACTTTATGAAGAGTCTAGAATGAAACATAACTCAAGTTCAATGTAGACAATACATGAGTGAAGTTGACAAGTTAGTCATCTTGTAATGCAAGTAACAGTCTGTTTAAAAATGCTTGAAAACATCACACTGATAAATATTGCATCGTAGGAACTTGTTGGTTCATCTGAACACAGTGGTGTTAGTGAGCGAATGAGCAAGCTTGAAAAAGAAAACCAGGAACTTAAAAATGGTATTATTGCATATTGGTTGATGTGATTATAAGAGATCTTAATGGTAATGACTAGATGTTTTGGAGCACAATTTTACATGATTTTGACCTCAAAGTACTTTGTATTACATAGCCAATTTCAAAAAGCAAACCTTTTAGAAGTGTTTATGAAATGATGATTGTTCCTTCTTGAATGAGAGAAATGATAAAATTAGGATGTAACTTTTTCATAATACAGTTTGTTTTGTAATCTTTCATGGTGCAGGTTAACAAACTACAAAGTATCAAACAGCTTTCAATGGTGAATTTGTTTGTTTGAAAAAGCTTTATTATGTAGTTCTAAAGCCACCATCTTGTTATTTCTAGTGATCAAAGCTATCCAGGATAATCTTAATAAACTGGAAGCAAGAGTTTCCTACCTTGAAGGAGGTAAGTGTACATGACTTGTCTTGACATAGTATGTCATGTTTTCTGCAATTGTATATTTTTCAGACTTTATCCCTTTTCTATTTCATTGGTATTATGGGTAATCTTAATGAAACTGGTGAATTTAGGATATTTTAAATTTATGTGTTACAAAGGATGTAGATTTTATAGAGTTGACATATTCTCTGAAACTGTAATATATCAGTGAAATATGGTGAAAGCATTTGCACAGCATGCGTTAAAGTATAACTGTTACGTGCGTGGTTCCGAAAGAATAACTATTAATTTTGGTTCTATTTCCACACGCAACAAAGATAGTGTGAACCAGTTATATTTCTCAAACAATTTATTAATCAAGCGTAAATATAAAAAGTAGATAAGTGTCTTAATAATAATATCAATAAGTATGAGCAAAACTTATCTCCTCTGTCTGAGTACAACCGCAAGTCTTTATTCTTGAGCGTTCATGAGTCCAACAATGACTCACAATAGTTTTCCAATAGATTAAAGCACAGAAGCCAAAAGATAGTTATGACACAGAAGCCAAGATAGTTGTCTGGTAGATTGTAGCTTGTCAACCTACTTCGGTAGGCTATGCCTCCTAAGTTTCTCCGGGTAGCTTGTGCTAGTAGGTTGTCCTCGTAGATTGTACTCAGTGGTCTAAACTACTGATATATATATAATATCTAATGGGAAGTATTGTGGTTTTGTGACCTACATAACAATAACACAAAGCGCACGTATTAGCAAAAAAGATGTTTTCATGTTATCATGATGTTCAATAGGAAACTTTACGTGCCTTTCCTTGACATAAGTTGTGCATCTATCAAATGGATCAAATTGAGAACTAAGTGGGTTTTCTATAAACAAGTAAAAAAAATTTCTTTTTTTTAACTGGTCTAATTTTTTCTGTTTAGGAAGTGCTGTTGCTTCAAAGGTAAACAATAAATTTCTTCATTGCACCCTTGCCAAAGATGTAACTGTTTCATTTCAGATAGTAAATTCAAAGAACACTCATGAATGAATCTTATTCATTCAGTGTATCAATAAATGTCTTGTGTTGATACAGTTACATTACCATTCATAAATTAATTCAACATATTTTTATGTCAATGAACTGTAGCCTGCAAAACCTGAGCCTGCCCAAAAGAAACATGATGATGAGAAAGATGATGAAGACGATGATGACGATGATGATGATGAAGACTTGTTTGGTTCAGATGATGTAAGAAATGATTGTTTGACTGCGTTATTAGTTGTCTATTGTTGTTACAATTACATTTAAACTATGTCATTCATTGGTTGGTGTTGAGATTTGTGTTACCAACATACATGCATATATGATGTTCCAAATTATCGAGAAAATTTTTTTTCTCTTTGGGTGTATTGTTTGTAGAAATTTAGACGTTTAGCCCAAATTTAAGACCCATTTTTATCCCACAAATTTAAAAACAAAAATGTTCACCAAGAATAAAATCACCGTTCAAATTGTGCACAAACGAACACACTTGTGCAAAGTTTAGGGAGCTCTAATTTTGAGCTCAGTCTATTGGAAACGGTTTCATATGGGTGCAACCTAACCACTCAACTATTGACGTATGTTTCCAAGAGATTTGTATTTTTCTACTGTGTTTTCACAGGAGGAGGAAAAGGAGAGAGTAAAAGAAATACGGCTGAAGATGTATGCTGAAAGAAAGCAAAAAGTGAGTGTCAAAATATTGTTGCTTTTTCTAAGGACATTTGAACAAATATGTTTAAGCAAACTACTGTATTTCTTTATAATTCAGAACCAGTTGTGGTTGCGAAATCCAACATTATTCTTGATGTGAAACCGGTACGTAAGTTTACGTTGACAGTATGAGAAAATTTTTCGATGTTTTTATTTACTTATGAATGTACAACATTGATTCTCTATTATTTTGCCATTTTAGTGGGATGACGAAACTGGTATGTTCTCTTAAGGAAACCTTTTTTTTTGTTAATTGGACTAGTTGAAAGTGGTGTGAAAAATGTCGAGATAAAGAAATTTCAAAAAAGATTTTCAAATATAAACTCGGAATTTTTCATCCAAATTTAAACGTCCTTTTTGCAATATGGTTTTTGATGAAAAACTTCGATGAATTAGCTGTGTTCTGAAATTTTTAGATATGAAGAAGTTGGAAGAGTGTGTTCGCTCTGTTCAAAAAGATGGTCTTGTCTGGGGAACTTGTAAGTGGATTCGGCAGTTATTGTTCTATTCTAATATACAACCTTTTAGCGATAATGATGTCATAATGATGTCATCAAGCATCTATGTTGTCTGATGAATGTGACTTCGTTACATCTCTTTACAGCAAAATTGGCTCCAGTTGGTTATGGAATAAAGAAACTTGTCATAACTTGCGTTGTCGAAGATGATAAAATTGGCACTGATGACTTGGAGGAAGCCATCACTGAATTTGAAGATTATGTGAGCATGTATTTTTTGCTTGTGAACAAAACTTTTTGCATCCATACTTCTATTAATACATTCATATTTCTCTAACACTGAATTTTTAAACGTGTTGGATATACTCAATATGCTTAATTGTTTTTATGTAATGTATATTTTCATGGAATTTTCCCAATTGTTCATTTTGTAAAGAGAGTTGGTTTAATCTACTCTATTGGTTTAGTAACAAGGGGCTCGTGAGAAGTGAAGATCCTTCATAAAACTTATTTTTGTCATTTCACATCTCTGTTTTAGGTTCAAAGCGTTGATGTTGTGGCTTTTAACAAAGTATAAACAAATGATATTGTAATAATCAATAAACTAAATTCTTAACTGAATTAAATTATAAAAATCAACGTACATAATGTTCTCGTTTCTTATTTTGGACGTTCTAGTTGGCCCAACCCAAAAACCTAAATCTTTCCAAGAATTTTGCAAAGATTTAAAGTTTTGTAACACGTAAGCCAAACTCCCAAGCCGTCTTCTGCCTTCGGTTTCTGCCATAATATGATTATTCTTATTAGCTTTTGCAACTATCAGGGCGCTACCCCTTTCTTAAACTGAGAGAGAAACATACAGTAATACATCCACTAATACAAAATTTTTATGTTGAGCCGGAGGTGTGCAGCAGGGATGTGGGTGAAAGGTCAGAAAGGTTAATATTTCTGCTTGGGCTGGAGCCTGGGGTATATCACTCATTATTCACGTGCTTCTTGCACTTAAGAGGATCGAACAGTGTGGCAAAGTCGAAGAATCCCAAGTTTAGCTCATGCAACCTCTGAATGCGATTACAAAGATAGTAGAAGCTCAAAATGGTGACAACCCAAGGCAAACAAGTATCCACCTTGTCGAAGGGATATCTGTTTGTATACAATGTGATACAAACTCTTGGGTATGTTGCTATACATGATAACAAATCCAGTCTCACGTTTTGGTCGTACTGTGCAGATATTCTTGTTCATTCTTTACAAAAATCAGTTTTATTAATGTTGAGTTTACCTAGAAATTTTGCTTTTCAGAAGTTAATGTAACTGCTGGTTTTTTATTATTTTGGAGCATCAAGTGAACTGACTATACTTGCAGTGTCGTCCCATCTCTGTGTTCATTCACTCATTAAAAACAATTGATTTTTTTGGAAGAGATTAGTACAAACAATTTAATTCAATAATTGCAATGGAGTAGTAATTGAATCGGTAGTTTTGCAATGTGCAACTGATGACTTGTAAAATTCATGAACAAATGAACCTAGTATTTACTGTTGTATATGCAATAATGTTGTTGAATTTTATGTTATGAATTTTTAATTTTAGGCTGTCATAAACCTTTTGTTTTACCCATCCATGCTTTTTCAAGTGTTCCATAAAATTTAACAATTAGATTCTTCCATCCATTTAGTTGGTTCTACATATTTGCGGTATCATGTCTACACTTCATGGAAGAGAAAAGCATTACATCTCAAGGATTATACCCTAAAGTGGAGATTCCACTCAAACTTTTCCAAACTGCAGCAGTCTTTGAGGTATTGAACTACTTCATCTTGTTTTTACTTATGATGGAGAATTTTCTAATTACATACAAAAGCCTGCCATTACTCTTATTTTCAAAAGCCAGTAGCATAATCCTTTTCATGCATATCTAACTGTGGACTGCTCTTTTTGCATGGAATATATGTGATATTTATGTTAAATGTGTAAAATACTTATGTATGGTACGTAATATACATGTTATTATTTTTAGATAATTCATTGCGCCATTGGTAAGTTTACACAATCATTCATGTACGTAAAAAGGAAATATGTTTGCATGGTAGCTGGTATGTGGTTATTTGAAATAATTTACAATGTATAGGTGGGGTAGAGAACTTATTAATGACTACCATTATATTATTCAGAATTATTCAAGTAACTGACATTTTCAGATTATATGACATTATTAATGACATAAATCCATCACATTCTTTTTCCACCCATGATCACATTCTTAGTAACACTATCACTTTACACTGTCTTCATCACAACAATTCTAATGTTTTGCTTTTCCTTGAGGCGATTTATATACATTTCAAAAAGCCTCAGCTAAATTCTGGACTTCTAAAGAACTTGCTATTTTTTCTTAATTTCATTGATGTAATTCTAGACAGTAACAACTCCTTACATCTCCTTTCTTTCTTTTCATTGCTTACGTCATTTCCTTGTAACAACTATTTAAGATCACGCATGCTTGCAAATAATCACTTAGCTTGATAATGACTTTGAAATAAAGTCGAAATATTGCCTTGAATCTTATCTCTTGCTTTTGTAACTCGAAGATGATTTTTTTTTGGAGTGTGTTTTTTCCTTTATTCTTTGAAATTGTTGGCTGGAAAATGATTTTGGACAAAATACAATATTGATGAAAAATCAAATTTTTACCAATTCTACATGCATGTGTATGTTTAATGAAGGAAAAATTTGAAAATCTTGCCAGACTTGCCAAATCTTAGGAATTCTGAAATCAAGGGTAGTTCAAAGAGTTCATTAAGTCCTTCCATTTTTTGTAGGTATAGTCCCATCGTCAGCTGCCACTACAGCAATGCAAGTTTTCTCCCGTTTGTGTACTGTTTGGCTGTTTACTATACCTGTCAGCCAGGTTAGAAATGAATGAATGAAAGAACATTCTGTTTTTGTATATTTTCATGGACTAAAGAGCTCAATCACATTTTTATTAGTTGTTAGGTATTGTGCATTATCTTTGCTATTGTTCAATTAATATTATAGGTGCAAAACAATTTTAGTGTTTTGCTCTACTTGTTGGCGTGGTGTATCACAGAAGTCATACGATATTCATTTTATGCCTGCAGCTTGCTAAATTGTCTACCATTCTTCCTTCAATGGTGCCGGTAAGACTGTTTTTAAAGCTTTCAACTCTGAGGGGCCATATCAAGTACAGGGCTAAATAGTAGCACAAGGAATTTTACTACTAATTTGTATTTTAATATTGCGCTTCTTCATTAATGCTTCGTCCTTTGTTTATAGATATACGTTCTTCATCATTCTCTATCCAATTGGTGTTACGGTTTGTACTCTTGAGCTACTGTTAATTTTAATTAAAAAGAATTGTCTCGCACCAGATGACTATCAGCTAGTTCGTAACAATCATCTCATTTATAGATCACGTCAACTTCTGTAGCTTTATATTTAACGTTGAGTTTTGATGTTGTTTCAGGGTGAGATGTTGACCGTTGCTGCAGCCATACCATTTGTGAAGAAAACTGAAATGTATTCTCTTTCGTTACCTAACCAACTGAATGTCTCATTTTCATTGCTGTATTTCATGTACTTTTGTCTTTTGGTATACATACCAGGTAGGTAAAGGTATTAATAAGAATTAAATGTAAAGGAGCGATCTGATTTGTTCATATTTTGTGCAATGATGTCGAATATGTATCAAAGAAAAGTTATACACTATCACACTATTCATTAGTTATAAAAATCTTCTTATCGTAAATAATTAAGTATTGAAGTGAATCGTTTGAATTCTTGAGTGGCTATCATTACATGTTTTAGAGTTGCTGTTGTCTTTATTGATGCATGACTACTAAGGTTCTCGAAACGCCAGTCAATATTACTAACACCACCATTCGATTTTCTCAGTACTGCACTAACCTTGATGATCGACTTTCAAATCAATTGAAATGTACTCCGTTCAATAAGTTATTAAATTTAATTTTTTATCTTTTTCTATGAATTAATATATCTACCGAGGACGTTGTAACATTTCTCCCCATTTCTTTCCTTTTCCTTCATCTTCACATAATTCGGCAATATTTTCGGCAATTGTAACTGAAGAAGACTAAAATGTTTTCTCATTTCTGTTAATAATAACATATATTAACACATCAAATCTATAAATATCTCTTTCATTTTAGCTTTTCTCATGCTGTACAGCTATATGTTTCGTCAGCGAAAAAAGGCTTTTGGAAGAAATACTGGACGTTCAACGAAACATGATTGACCATTTTCAGGCTATATTTGAGAGATTAGCAAAAACGTTACATTTATTAAAAATAATAAATGTTTAAATACGAATGAATTAATTGCAAGGGTTGTAATAAGTTGCTATCTTTTCTATAAATTTTCTCTTTGGTTTGAATACGCTGCTTTACTTGAGTATAATTTAGTAAATTAAAAGTTATCATTTAAAAAATATTGACTATTTTTAGAACACTTTCTAATAAACGTATTAAATTCATTAGGAAAAGATGCCAATTTTCTTTTCAAATTTGATTATGAGCAATCATGAAGAATGCAACCGAAGTCGTATCCTAATGTTGAAATTTGAAACAAAACAAAAGAAATAGTCATGGAAATAGTTGGACGTGAACTAAATAAAACTAAGGTAGAAAACTGAAAAAATGTGGTTCATTGACAGCCTAATTTGTGTAAGAGCTGTTTATTTCATGTTTTACCCAATGAAAGCGCTTTTGGAAACTTATAATATAATATTGTGCATTATCAAATGGGTAAAAATACAGAAACTCATAACGTTTAATTTGAATTCATACGATACTCAAATGAAAAAGACAAATAGACAAAGTATTTTTATTGATTTACTTGTGCACACATTAAAAATGTTCTTTTGCATCAAACAGATCTGTCAAATTTTTTTATTATACAATCATTGTCTTCATATTTTACTGCAAGTACATGAGTGCTATGTTAAAACAAAGTAAGTAGCTTATAAGTTTAGGATAAGAATGACTGGACAATAAGTCAAAACTATTGTGAATGATCTGTCGTTGATTAAATGGCACAAAATATAATAAAAAGTCTATAAGACTTCCTTCTTTTCAAATTTATAAAATATCAAAACAAGTATTTATTGGACGAAATCTATTCATGCCTAAAATAAAGTGTTCTGTGCATGTTGTATTTGTCCATACACTGAAAGATTGAGATTTTCATTTGCCTACTATTTTGACATAAGAAGTAAGTCAAAACAATAATTAAAAACGATTTATCTGAAATCATCGTTCAATGACGTATAAAGAAGTCTATACGACTTTTTCCTTTAAAGTGTATTAAATATCTAAAGAAATATCTTTGGAAGAAACCTACTCATCAAATTAATGTAAATGTTTTAAAAATTTTAAAACAAATGTTGCTTCATTTATATAATGAGGTTTTCTAGACAATAACTAAAAAATTATTCTTGTGATCATGTTATCTCTCCAAATCCCATTTCGCACAGTTTAAGCAATAACAGCACTTCAGATAAACTTGACGCTGGAAAAGATCAAGAGAGAAATCAAAATGGCTGTGATGATGGAGATGAGTATTTTGATTTGATGCCCAATCCTTTCGGCTACGCTGAGAGAAATTCAAGACTTCTGAATGAATTTGAGGTGTTGCAAATGCTTGGAAAAAGGAGGTTTGTTTCAGTTGTCAAGGTAAATTTTTATTACATACATCCTTTAAATAGACGGTAATTTGGTCATGTGAAGGAAACTTTATACGTGATTTGGAAATGCTTTATATACGCTTAGGTATGTAATAAATTGTATGGCTGTCTTCATGCGATCAAAAGCATTCCTTTGAATTCGAAAAGTGTGCTGTTTAATCGCAAAATTACTCAAGAAGAGAAGTTACTTTCTAAATTGAATCATGAAAACATTGTAAATTAAAAAGAAATTTACTATCCAAAATTAATCAAAATTTTATAACATAAGGGTTGAAAGCGAGGTTTAATTTAGAAGTTACAAAGTGCTTGGCTTATTAAATGTTATCTTTGTAGAAAATATTATAAAAATTCAGATAATCCCTTTTTTCCATGAAGCCCATGGATGCTTTCGTTCATGATGAGTTATAATAAGTAAGGAGGCTCTCTTTCATCACGAGAGAGTTATGAGAAAGTTACGAGAAAGTGTAAAACGTTTGAATTATAATTCAAAAAGGAAGAAATTGTTTGAACCCTTGCAGTATCCTTGGATGTTCTAGTTTTAAAAAACACTTGAGAAAAACGACGATTTTTTTGAAAGCAAACATGTTTCGACATTATCAGAATGCCATCTTAAGGTGGCATTCGAAACATGATAATGTCGAAACATGTTTGCTTTCAAAAAAATCGTCGTTTTTCTTAAGTGTTTTTTAAAATTGCTGCTAATTAGAAATTATGTTCTAGTTTCCTTTATGAGAATAATTCTTGTAAAGAAAAAAAAAAAATTTTGCCTGAAAACAAAAATCCCGTTTTCGGTCCATGGCTCTTGATACCCGAGATAGTTTAGCACTAGAGCGTCGCATGTTGAATTAAGGGAACCAGATAATCCTTGTTTGCCATGAAGCCCTTGGATGGTTTGCTCGTGATACACGAGAAACGATAAATGAGAGAGTTAAATCAGAAAGTTATAAACCAATAAAAATTGTATAATTTAAGGTTGTCTTAAATTACATGTGTCGTAAAAAGGCACAGTTTCATAAGAATTTAATTGAAGCATTGCTTGGTTTATTTTATTTTAAAAGATAAAATTTGAAAGTAAAAAACCCGTTTTCGGGCCATGCTTCCCGATACCTTGTTAATCTTAAGGCACTAGAACGCCGCATGTTAACGTTTCGGTAGAAGATTTCGGCCCCTCCACGCTATCCTACTTGGGAGATGCCAAAGCAAGCTTCCGCCCATCAGACCCCGAGATCACCTGCGATAGGCTTTGCTCGGGGTACGCAGGGAGAGTGCGGTCGCCACCGAAGTGTGGGCTCCTAAGCCACTGCATACTATATCACACCCAGCTTCCACTGCTAGTTGACATCTACTATATGAAGTTTTAGCTTTATATATATATACACGAATTCAAAGGCTTACGAAAGTTATGGTATTTTTACAGTAACTACTGCGCATGCTCAGATGATTTCTTTGATAATTTGCGACTAAGTGAACTAATTGCCACAAATTTAGGCAAGTACATATAGTTAGTCGTTGCCATGACTATGAACAACTTGTCGAGTGGACTGCGCATGCTCGAGCGCATGCACAGATGATTTGTCTATTAAATTGTTATTAAACATGCTATTTACTTTAAAATCGATGTGATATATGCAGTTGATCGTTGCCATGACCCTGAAATTGGGCAGCTGGTCAATTCTACTGCGCATGCTCAAGCAGACTGCGCATGCGCAGATGATTTATCTGAAAATTTGTGACTGAGTGAGCTAATTACTCTATAATTGGTTCTAGCCATGACCATAATCTTGGAGATTTGGTGGAGTTGACTAGGCATGCTCAGATTGATTCTCAATTAATTTGCATTGGAGAGAGCTCTGAAATTAGTGCTTGTATCTGCCCTTAGCAAATTTTCAATCATATATTTTTAGCATGCACTTTGTCTTTTTAAGCTTGTTTTGACAAATGCATATCAAACTCATCAAGACTTTGTTATGCCACTCGTAAGATCAGTGTTATTTTTGAAGATGTTTTTATTTTTCTCCATAACTTTGTATCTGCATATTTTGTGCATAAAAATGTCGTAATTTTTTGCGACATGTTCTATAATTCGTGGATTGAGGTAGAAGAAATACTTGAAAAAGCAACTTCCAACAGTGAAACAAACTATGTAACTGTAATAAGTACTCTTTACTGATAGGATTATATTACTACTTTGTATTCTAACATTGGTAAATACGATGGTATATCCCTGCCTTTGGGATATAGGGCTTTACTTGTGGTTATAAGGGAGAGTGCCTTCACCTTGACACCTGAATGTCCACCCACCACTGGGACCGACTATTTTGATGGCTCCTATCTTTAGTCGTGATGTCGTGATAAGTATTAAATTATGTAAATAAAACAAAATGGCGTATTATTTGAGAAGTAGAGAACAACAGCAAAATTCATTTCTAGACTAATTTAACGTTTCATTATGCAAATACCTCCTCGATGGTTAAATTGTCCTAGGAAAAGCAATTTGATTGCAGGTACAACGTCTTGTTCACTCTATCGCTGGACATTATGTACACATTTACCAGTCTGTAGCATTTCGAAGAAAAATATTACAATATGCTTTGCCGTTGTACATATATGATGTATTATTGAAATTTCTTTAGGTTCGATTCTGTATGTAATGTTATCATCACTTAGTTGTGTTTTGTGGCCTGTAGATTTTCCTTATGGCTGGTTTATTTGTTAGTGAGATTTTTTATACTTTGCGTTGAAAATTCTAAATATTGTTAATATTAAATTATTGTACCTTCGAATTTAGTGTCACAAGTGTTCTCAACTTTTCTTAATCTTGAAAAAATGTTAATTAGTTTCCATCCAATGTTCATGTGTTTTTGTTATCTTATCTTACTTAAATTAATAACCTTCAGATCGATTTCTTGCATTCAAGACCTTTCTTGATTCTCGATATGATGAGCAAGTTCCTGAAGAAAACCGATGGCAGCTTCCTATGTTGTTGGGCTATTTGACTAGGTACAAGGTAAGATATAAAGTAAATGATTTGAACCTGGGAGTATTGTACATGTTTGTTGGTGAAGATGGTCCAGGTTAGTAGATTCCTGTGAAGGACTGTTGTTATTGATGTTAGTCTTCCTCAATACCAACAGTCCTTCTCAGGACTCTACTAACCTGGATGATCTTCATCCACAAACATGTAAATATAAAGATGCTAAAATAATATTGACATGACTTTCATGTTTATCTGCTTTGCTTTAGTATTTATACAAAACATACAATGATCTTGGCCTTTAGTTACTATGGCCTTGAGTTTTTTCAGAAAACTCTTGGCTTGGTGATAGACTTGACCAACACATCAAGATTTTACAACAAAAATGAATTGGAGGTTGCTGGGATACAATATATCAAGATAAACTGCAAAGGGTATTATTTTTTGTTTTATTGTAGAAGGTAAACTTAGAGCACCATGATGTAGTCATTATGTTAAAGTGGATTACGTATATTTGAAATGATAAGTATGGTTATCAAATACTATGGTGGTGAAAATCCTATCAAGAACCTTTTTCTGGACTGATAGTTCCAATTTTGTAAATTCTAAAAATTTATCTTATCCAAGAACCTGCAGGATCTTTTATGATTTTACAGAACCATTCTCAGGAATTTCACCTGGAAATTTTAGTTTACCAGTAAAGTATTATCTAGTCCATTACTTTTAACCTTTTTTTGCTATTTTTTTCTTTTATTTGCACTAAGAAATTTTTAATTGAATTTCATCAGTTTTGACTTTTTGGTTGTCATTTAGTCATTGTAAATTTGAAGTTTCAACGAGAAAGTATTTATTTCAAAAACCTGGTGTTTTCTGTATTGGTGTTTTTAAACAAAATATTAAGAAATTTATTTTCTGTAGGAATAGATCAATCAGCTTTGGTTATGCAATTTTTTTCACCAGTGATTCTTGTCATGCATATACTTTATTTTAGACGATCTGAAACACCAACAGTAGAGCAGGCGGATGGCTTCATTAGACAATGCTCCAAATTTTGGCATGAGTTCCCTGACAAAATCATAGGTAATTTTTATGAATTTAGATAAAGAAAATTTGGAAAGCTATAAAAATATCTCTGTTGTTGTTTACTGTTGTCTGAAGAAAGTGGAGGACTAAAGCATGTTTGTGAATGATTGGACACTTGAATGCTTTATAGCATCATTTGTTTTTGAACATTTTTGTAGGTGTACATTGTACCCATGGGTTCAATAGAACAGGTTTTTTGATCATAGCATATCTGGTACAAGTCATGGAATGGAGGTAAGACTGTATGCACTATCAGTTGCATGTATGCCAAATTGTACTGAACAATATAAATCTAACATCAAAATTTTATTTAGTTTAGAAGCTGCTAATCATGCTTTCGTGCAGGTAATTTGAATTTATGTTTACAATGGCATATCAACATCAGATAACTTACAGCAGTTTTAGCATTGAAACACTTGATTGGACTCTTTGCCATGCATAAGGACTCAAGTTTTACCATCAGATCACTTCTGATAAAGACACTAGACTGGAGTATATAAGAACTCGAGTTTCAACATCAGATCACTCCTGATGAAGACACTAGACTGGAGTATATAGGGACTAAAGTTTCAACATCAGATCACTCCTGATGAAGACACTGGACTGGAGTATTTAAGAACTCAAGTTTAAACATCACTCTTGAAGATGACACTACGTAGATGGTAATTACCAAATTTCAAAATCAAGTCTACAAATTTTAGAGTCGACCTTCTGGAATATACAAACAACATTACCTGGATGACTTGTGTAAACGATATGACGAGAGTGAAAAATTGAAAGCTCCGCACTTACCTGATTGGTGCTTGGATGAGGAAGAAGGAAGTGATAACGAGGGTGAAAATGGTACCTATGACAATAGAGGTTTGCATGAAGGAACTAGAGCTAAGAGACCTCGAAGAGAATTCAAGACTGGAGTAAGTCATGTTTATAACTTTTAATTAGATTACGGGTGACATTGTGCTAAAGTAATGATCACTAGCTTATTCAAGTTTCTATGAAAATCGTTGGATAAATTTACTGCAGATTACTGTGTCTATTTTGTATTTGCTAATAAATCTGGCCTTTATAGGATCCTAAATTTATGGATGGCGTTTCGGGGATAACAGTCGCGCAACAACCAGTTTTTGGTGATATTCAGCGAACAGTTCAGAATATATGTGGATGGGATAGGTTCGCTTTCTGATAAATTTTTGTTAACATTTACTGTATTTAACCTGTTGACGTACACGTATCTATTATATTCATAGTTTCCTACTTCATTACTTATTTTGTATTTGTTTTTGTAAGAGTTTTATGGTAAGTGCATGATGGTCATCATAACTCAATATTTCTTCATTCCGTTTGCATTCTATTTTAGAGGTGGTTTTCCTGGTAGTCAACCAGTTTCTATGGATGTAAATAACATTAGATTCTTAAACGAGAAACTTTATCGAGTCACTTGGAAGGCAGATGGAGTAAGGTTGGTTTTTCTTCCGGGCTAAAATAATTTATTATAAAAAAAGAACTATAACATTGCTACGTTGCAAAGCGTTGAGGATTCATCTTCTTTTTAAGGTACATGATGTATATTAAAGGAAGACATGAAATCTATTTGATAGATAGAGATAATGCTGTTTTCAAGGCACCTCAACTTACTTTTCCTCAAAGGAAATCGCCTCATGCTCACGTTGTTGACACTTTACTTGATGGTGTAAGTATAAATTATATTTTACCTTACCTTACCTTATTTTACCTTACCTTACCTCACCTTACCTTACCTTACCTCACCCCTTACCTTACCTTACCCACCTTACCTTACCTTACCTTACCTTACCACCTTACCTTACCTTACCTACCTTACCTTACCTTACCTTACCATACCTTACCTTACCTTACCTTACCTTACCTTACCTTACCTTATCTTATTTTTTTTCTCAGGAGCTGGTTCTTGACAAAAATGAGGGGGTGTTGACTCCCAGATATCTTATATACGACATAGTTCGCTTTCAGGTAATTTCTAAGTAAAAACAATTTTTTCATGCATTCAGTCTTATTCTACAGCTTTAATTGTAGAGTCTTCGTAGGCATACAAAAATGTGTTTTAATCTTACCTACTCAAGTGTTCATGTCCGATGTGATTTAATCTCTTAATTCTCATCATGATGATCGTCAATATTTAGAGTCAAGAGTTGTGTAAAATGTCTCACGATATCAGAATGAAATGTATCGATATTGATATTGTTCAGCCGAGGCACAAAGCTGTTCAAAATGGTGTTTTGGACAAGACGAAAGAGCCTTTCAGTGTTCGTAGTAAACAGTTCTTTCCTGTGGAAAAAGCAGAATGGGTCTGTTTTCAACAATTGCGATCTTTTATAAAATACATGTTCAAAGTAAAGACATTAACATAACCATTTGCACTACTTTGCTCCTGCAAGCTCAAATCTTATTTTATTGTGGAAAACGGTCTGATCAGCTTACTTACGTAATGACCGACTATAGCAAGTGAAGGCGAGGAAAATCATTACAAAGTTTTAGCTTAGGTGGAATTTCTTTGCTGCTCTTCATAGTGATTGTGCCGTGAACGTCAAATCGGCGTTGAACATCAAATGTATATATCCATTTGATTCCCATGTTTTTTCTTGTCCAAAACCTCTCTGTTTATAATATTGCCTGAATCCTTCAAAAGTAAAGCACACTCATCGAAACCTTCTAGTTTCCAATTCTATTTTTAACGATGATTTTCTTGTGCTTTTGTTTAGATTCTGAAAGAATTTTCGCCTAAACTGACACACGAAACTGATGGTTTAGTTTTCAATGCTGTTAATGAGGTAAATGGAGTTCAGTTGATCTGTTTTAAAAGTTGTTGTACTAAGTCAAAATGAGAGATCAAACACAGACAAACTTATAACAGTGACTCCTTTGCCATGTTCCACAAAATGGTTTAATGTGAATTAATTTAAATTTCTAGGCTGAAATTAGGAAATACTCATTCTTAGATTACTTATAAGTATGCACTCTGATTTATAATTTCAAACCATATCTTATGGCAATTACGATATCATGCAAAGGAAAAACATTTAATGCTGTTTTTGCTGCACATGTAGACTTTTTTAAGATATGCACCTTTGAGGAAAAGCGTTTGTGTGTATTTCTGATTTTACAACTTTGTAGGAATACATCCCTGGTCAATGTCCGACTCTGTTGAAATGGAAACCACATACTTTAAATTCTGTAGATTTTCAACTTCACATTACCACAGTTCAAAAAGAAGGGTAAATTTTGTTCTTTTACACGTAAGTCGTTTTATTCCAAACAATAAGTATTCCTTTTTTATGCTTTCTCCATTGAATTTTCGAATGATTTTCCGATTTCTGTTCGTGTAAATGGAAGAAACCATTATTATTTTCGATATTTTGTCACATGCTTTGAAAAAAAATTGAACAGTTATGATTTTCATACTTGCATGCCAAAATATGTGATTATATGTAGCAAAACTGGACTACCTTAGCTTGATTTTTCCAATCGACAAAGATATATTTTTCCTTCAGTTGTTTGAAAGAGAAAGTTGGTGCGTTAAGGGTCGGTGGTTTTGATCAACCTGTTGGCATTATTAAAGTAAGTCCATGAACACGATTTCTTGACGTAGACTGTCATAAAATAACTTTTTGAAGCCCGTATTGTAAGCTTTTTGTTTTTTTTTATCATCTCTGTCTGTACAATCTTGTCTCCTTTTGCTAATTTTATTGCCTTTAGACAGAAATGTTAGGATCTTTATGAGATCTCTATAATGTGTTATTGTGTTATTTTTCTTCAAATAATTTTTCGTACCAGTAATCGTGACGTCAAACTACGTTATGACTTTTCTATACAATTTAACTGTGTGAAGAATGATTCAGTGAGATAAAACATATGAAATCTACACGTCTTGCCCGTTTGAATGTACATCAGTCAATGAATGTATCTTGTGAATCGCTTAGGTAACTAATGAATTGAAAAAACTGGACAAAAAAATCATTGAGTGTACTTTTGACGGTAAAAATTGGATATTCATGCGACATCGCGAGGACAAGAGCTTTCCAAACAGCTACGCAACTGCTCAGAGTAAGTGATTTGAGAAAGAGAAAGCAATTTCCGTGTTTCGATATTTTCCCTTGTCATTTTTGAAGAAAAGAATTCTTTGGCGGAAAATAGACCTTCAAATGAAGCGCAGATAAGCTTAACGATATGAGGGAAAGCCATTTGCTAAGTGTATACAAATGATGTTTATTTAAAGAATTGCTGATTGTTGCCATCACATTTAACCAAAGACACAAACAAGGACGACTTGGTCTTTTTCCTCCATTCAATAGATTTGCAGTGGGTAAAAAGGGGTTTCCCCCCTTCAACAGTAGCTCGTGTGACAAGTTCTTTTTACTTAGGGGTGAAAGTGATGTTAGTATTAATCAAGCAAATCAACAAATTATGTCATTATCATCAAGGTGTCCAACAATTTTTATATCACCCACTTCAATCCAAAGCCTTCACATTACCTTGCATCACCCCCTTTAATGCAAAAACCCTCGCAATACCTTACGTAAATCACCCCCGTCTCCATCAATCTAAAGACCATACGTTAACTTAGATGACCCCTATCAATTCAAAGCACTCACAATCCCCTACATCACTTCACTATCTAGCAGCACAAACCTAATGCTGGGTGGACGCCTTTTGTGAAAAGCTGTCTTATATGTTTTGTTCTAAAGGTGTTTGTGAAAGCATCAAAACGCCAGTAACAGAGCAATGGTTGCTTGAAGTGATTCATAAACACAGATATCGACCTGAAAGTCATTCTCATCGCCATAACAACACAGAAACGAGATAAGATATCTTTTTTATTGTAGTATATTAATTTACTCTCATCTGATATGCATGCCAGCATGGAAAAGCTACTATATATAAACTTGTATAGTGAGCATTCACAAAGATCGAGCAGAGATTTTTCTGCCGATCAAAGCCAAAAACTCGCGTTGACATCATAATTCAAGACTTAATTGCATATTTGATTTCATGTCGCGAATTGTTGTTCCTGTACATCAACTTGATGGCTTTTTCGGTCTCTTTTAGAGAGTTTTGGCAATAAATAACAATAACTTTTAGTGAATAGAACTTTTAAGGACTTCGGTAATCTTGTTTACAGTTTTTGCTGTTTTTCACCAGCAGTTTTCTTTCGCAAAATATCTCGAAGTAAAATCATGTAAATAGCAAATAGAAATAAATCGCCTTGATTGATTGTTTATATAAAAAAGTTAAACTTAAACAGTATAAAAGTACCATGCAGACTGCCTATCGGAAATTCAACAGTTACAGTTTGGGAAAATACCCACAAATTATCATTTAGGTTTTTACTAGATACTCCATAAAGAAGACCTTCATGAGTGTGAAAAATCATGAAAAAATGCAGCCAAATGCTCAGGACAAATTTTCAATATTGTTTTTGATAAAATATGCACCTTAATTGCAGTAAATATAATGCAATATATACATGTATATATGTATAATACTTTCTCATATACTTCACATGTTAATGAATTGACAAGACAGCTTGTTCTGACAGCTGGGACCATGCAGGTTTGTCATTTAGTTCTGCGTTTACTCGTCAAAGAACTGTTAGGAACGGCGCTGTCAACGAGATTTTCAATTTTTCTTTGAAGATAAAGATAGCCAAAAGGGAAGTAAGCAAATTATGGGTATTTATGGCTGCAAATTAACGCGTATCGTTCACTTCGTTGCCGTAGCTCAAATTATTCTTGCCATTCTCATATTTGGTAATGGAATAGCTCTTCGAATTCTCGTGTGTGGTTGGGTTTCAGACGCCTCCTTTGGTTTCTGGGTAGGAACTTTGGTAGGCCTACGTATATTATATCTTCGACTTTTTTATTGGTAAAATTTTGCTAAACGAGATGAGATTTATGACCTCAGTTGTGTCTTGTGAAATATATATGCATATTTTTACCCAAAGGTACCAGAAAAACATTTTTATCGGCGTTTTTATTCTCCAACCGATCACATATGACTTGAACTCCTGTCAAAAGATCGCACGTAATGTTTCAGAGAGAGATTTTTGCATAATGCTGCGTGTCTGTATTATAATAACTATATTTTCTAAATAACATGTAGTTGAGTTCTTTTGTTGAGTCGTTACGCGAATCCTTTTTAATGCAACAAGAATCCAACTTTTATAAGGAATTTGCCGAGGTCTTTAAATACGTTTAAATTATGTCAAAATGCGGCTTAAAATAGAACGTCACCAATCAAAAAAACAGCTGGAATGTTTTTTCGTTTAAGATAAGTTGCTTGTCATAATATTTCTGCCATTTTCAACATGGAACTTGGGATCTCTAAGCTAATGAGGTATAGGAGCTAGGGTTAGTTGTGGAATAGTATTGCTACTTTATTTTGAGTGGACGTGTACTTTCATGTTTAGTATATCTCGTTTTGTGTTGCTTACATCACGTGATAAAGTTCTTGTTTTGTGTTGCTTACATCACGTGATAAAGTCCTACTTAAATATTCCTCTTTGACAGGTTTAAACTTCCATATGCACGTTATCACATTTGTTTTTTTTTATCAGTTTCTAATTGGAGGAATTGTTGGATATGTGAGCACTCGAACTGACAATTATTCTGTTGTAAGTACACGCCATGTTGGACTGTTTATCCCGTTAATATTTGTATGTAGATGTAGTTAGTTCCCTTTTCAACCGATTTTAAACTCTAGTTATCCCTATACTATACTTAACTGTCCTAATCCGTGATGATTTAATGTCGAAACATGAGTACCTAGTTATTTGATGTTGAAACTTGAGTCCTGATACATTCCAATCTGGTGTGTTCATCAGGATTTATCTGATGTTGAAACTTTAGTTCTTATATACTCCAGTCTGGTGTCTTCATCAGGATTTATCTGATGTTGAAACTTGAGTCCTTATACACTCCAATGTAGTATCTTCAGCAATAGAGATTTGTTGACGATACTGGAACTCTACAGCCTATAACGTCATCCGCGAGCAATTGAATGATGAAGATTTTTAATATTATTTATCAACTCTTTCAATAGATATATTTTCTTTCCTTGCATACAGGTTGGTTTTTATCTTGGTTTGAATTCTTTTTGCATCATGTTTGCATGTATGGTCATATTTTGTCATTTCATCGCCACGTTTCATTTCAACGACCAAATGCTCGTAAAACCTACAAACATTTCATCGGCAAACTCCACAAGCGTTAATTCCACAAGTAGTAGTTCTAATGAAATAATATCCAGTTCTGGAGGGAGAAATGATGCGAATGAGGCATATGGGCCAACAAGTATGGACTGTGTAAACATTAAATGAAGATATGATCTTTCATGATATGATGTACATTCTTTCATGTGTAAACATTGTTATCTACTTATCACCTTATTGTTCATGTTCCTTATTGTTCATGTTCCTTATTGTTCATGTACCTTATTGTTCATGTACCTTATTGTTCATGTTCCTTATTGTTCATGTACCTTATTGTTCATGTTCCTTATTGTTCATGTACCTTATTGTTCATGTTCCTTATTGTTCATGTACCTTATTGTTCATGTACCTTATTGTTCATGTTCCTTATTGTTCATGTTCCTTATTGTTCATGTTCCTTATTGTTCATGTACCTTATTGTTCATGTACCTTATTGTTCATGTTCCTTATTGTTCATGTTCTTTATTGCACATGTTCCAAACAGATTCGAGCGAAACTACCAACACCTCTTCACAAACACTCAATGCTACGTCCTCAACACCCCCAGGCTTCAAAGACGAAAGGAGTTCGTTGCTACTTGCATCAAACCTGGAGTGACTATGAAAACGGTCATCGTGGACTCCTACTTGGAATAACGATGATGTCGTTGTGTTTTATTGAGATTCTAACGGCTTCGTTTGCAATGTTGATTTGCTGGGCAGCTGTTAATGTTGAGCCAACAGGGGTAAATTGTTATCTTTGTTTGCTGTGTAACTCTTGCTCTTATATTTCTTACTTTAAAGATTATAGCTTAAAGTGTTTTATTCGTGCGTGTCATTTACTACTTAAGTATTTTTCATTTTTACATATACCATCAGATAAGAAGAAAGAAACTGTTGGTTCAAGGGACTGCCTCTGAGATGCTTGCTTTGTACAACCGTGAGGCGACTTTGCGACAAAGAACTGTAAGTCTTCTTGTTTTACTACATCTTCTCTTTGATGACATGAACTTGTCGTGAACACTTGCCCATTGCTCTGTATGCTCATTTCTATGTGGAATTTGGAACCTTCAGCGTAATCGATTTCTTTAATTGACCCTTCATTTGCTTGCGAACAATTATATATACTGAATGAATATTTTTTAGTCTCATGAATGTGCATTAAAGGGATTTATGCAGGAAAGTAAAATACTAGAGTTAGTGCACAGTTAAGATAAAAAGTATCATTGCACTAACTGTTATGATTAACATCATTTTATTATCTCTTATGAGAATCTTATTAATCGCGTTGCAACTACTCTGGATAAAATACAGTGTTTGATGAATTCATATAAACTAGTACAGTATAAATATTGGAATAAATTTCTATGTGCCACTAGAAATTTTTTATTTATGTTACCATTTCATAATTTACCATTGAATACACAAATTTTCCTCCATATAGGGTTTATCATCTACTTCAACCTCCTTAGCTACCATAGATGAGCCATTTTCAAACTGGAATTCTACTACTACCTGCTGATTACAAGGTGATTTTTTCAGTAGTAATAGTCGGTGAACTGTGCATCAAAATCATTGTAGTATATATGAATAACAATTAAAAACAATGAAAGAATCAGTTATTATAATAATTTATTGATGAATGGAATGAGCTTGCTATATATATATACCAAATATGAAATAAACTTAACAACTTAAGTATAAAAAACTTAACTTGTACAGAAATACACGCAAGAAATTAACGTCTCGACGCATCCCTCACAGTTGGCGCAATTTTGTATCAAGATTACATACAGACGTCCTTTGGATTTAAATGTTCATGAATATTTACTTTAGTTTATTCGAGTTATAGTATTGAAGCCATAAAAATGTCGAAATGCGTGAATATATTGTTATTTCATTTCATTGCTTTGGGGGTAGGGGTAAGGCTAGGGGTAGGGGTAGGGTATCTATAGTTGTTTGAAGGTCGTGAACGGACATAAATGTTGCCATAACCTTGTATCGTCTGCACATCCACATAACTGACGCCATGAATTGGATAGTCACTTGAGGAGAACGACAGGCCAACACCGAAACCAATGTTTGGCAACGATTCACAACCTACAAATTGGAATACATCGTTATGAGAGTCTTCGCTCAATATCCGTGCAATATTCGCAGTAAAATAGTGGGTAAGAGAATGATGCGAGTCCAAAAATAGAAGGGTTGACAATTTATTAGAATTTTAATCTTGTTTTATACTCGCTAGTTTATATATATATATATATATATATATAGGAAGTTTATAATTTATGATTTTCCGTATAAAACAGTGCTCGATGCCCGAGAGCAGAGCGTAAATATGTGTAGTGGTGTAGAGAAAAATCACAGAACTACAGATTCATCCCGACAAGCCTGTTTCGTGATTGCTCACTCTTCAGGGGATTTAATGAATAAAATACTTAAATGCTTAAAATATATATACAAGATGACGGAAGTTAGTGTATTAATCTTGTTTCCTCTTGCCGCCATAGATCTAAAACACTCCTATGTAATTTGTAACCATACACCTTAATTAATACTCTAACTTGCGTCATCTAACTTGAAACTATACACCTTGATTAACACACTAACTTCCGTCATCTTGTATATATATTTTAAGCATTTAAGTATTTTATTCATTAAATCCCCTGAAGAGTGAGCAATCACGAAACAGGCTTGTCGGGATGAATCTGTAGTTCTGTGATTTTTCTCTACACCACTACACATATATATATAAGTTTGAAAATTTGTAATCCAGGCATTGAATATATAAAAGATAAAAGTTTCTCCGGATTTTAAATGATTTTTATTGAGCTTTCGACTCGTTGCTTCGAGCCTTCATCAGAGCCTTCAATGCCTGGATTACAAATTTTCAAACTTATATATATATATATATAAGCTAGGTGATTTAAATCTCCTGAAGAGTGAGCAATCACGAAACAGGCTTGTCAGGATGAAACTGCAGTTATATATATATATGTATGTATATCAAACTTAAAGCCCTATAGTTGTGGTCTGGTATACATGAATTTGTAATGTATGCGATTTATTGGTATTGTTTTTTGATCATCAAGTGAGATATTTCACCATTCTTTCATTCGTACCTGTTATGTTCTTCTTAACGACTCCAATACGAGCAGCTGCATATTTAGGATCTCCAACGTTGAAGCCGATTTCATAGCATTGGGGAAAAAGTGTTATTGGTTGTAGATCCGTGCGATTTTGTTCGCTTAAGTTTGTTGCATTAATCCAAGATGCAAGCGATACATTAATCAACCTCTTCTCAAAAAAGAGGCTTCGCAATGATGGCGCTTTCATTGAGAATTGAATTTCCAATACATTTTTCACAGTGACGCATACTTCACTGACGTTGGCGCTCCAAAACAAGTCGTTTGTGACAGAATTACTCATTTTTGAAGTCCAAACTTCTGAATCATAGGCTGCAGCCTGTATTTTTTTATGAAACAGAAGGTTTAATGTTTATATCGTGCATGCCATACCAATATAACGCCTTTACTCAGTTGATAAATCACACATTACGTATCCTGAGATATGCTGCGTTTTCATGACACATTGCGCGCTCAAGATGTAAATACTTGGCTAAACTTTTGACATTGGCCGAAAATAGCTTTCGGAAAATTTAAATCTGTTGAAAATGAAAAGTTTGGTAAAATCTGCATCACTGCTTGTCCGCTCTTGATTTTTGTTTTTCTTCAAAACTTTTCTTTTTTCCTAGTTTGTGTTTTCATGCAGATTCTATTTTCCCTAAATGATGCACTCGTATATATGGCTAGTTTCAAATTTAGTTCAATTTGAACAACTAATATTGTGCGTGCTTAACATGAATAATACAGTAAATTTGTTTTACTTGCCTTGGTTAAGGGAAGTGATGCCACTTGTGTCCATCCATTTCCTCGACATTTGGGTTCACGACTGAAATAAACAATTCAACAAGTTTGTTGAGTACTCGAATAAAAAACTCCTAAACACAAGCATAAATCTAATATATGGTTTTATTCGTGTTTGAAAGAAAGCAATTTAATAATTTACTATGCATGTTTGTCATTTTAAACATTCCTTTTGAGAAGGCTTCAAAATGTCACGATAAAATGTTGAGAACGCATATTTTTATCACTTCTATATTAAAATATTTATTTCGTTTTCATAATTGCCATTGAATATAAAGCATCTCTATTTTACTTTTACCATTTTGGGCAGCCATTTAAGGTCTTCTCATCGCGACAGTATTGATTCATGTTATATCCATACTTGTTTCTTGCTTTAATTAAATAGGAAGATGCATTTGCTCCACGCCTGCAAAAAAATGATGGAAGTGTGCTCATCCAGATTGCACGAATAAACGTTTAACCGATCGATCGTAATGAACTCACGGGTAACAGTCCTTGTTGAAGTATGAAACACAATCGTCATACAAAGGTCTATCTACAAACGTAAAATCATGGTGAGTTCACACTTGTCTTGTGCTTATCATACATTTATCGACTCTAAGACCACAGAAAGTCTTTAAAAACTCACAGAACATGTGATGGATTTTTTGTCCTCTAAAATAATTATACATAGAACATCATACTTTTATACTTACTTGGTTTAGAAGTGGGACGAGAGAGTACTGTGGAGCCTGTGAAAAGTACAATGTTATCCGATAAAGAGAACAATCGCGATTGGCTTGATTATGGTTAAAAAATGAATACTTCAATAATATTCTTACTTCGCCATGGCATACTTTGTGTAGGATAAGGATCTATTATAATGTAAAAAAAGGGTCGTTTGTTATTTGTTGGTACAAGTGTAAGTTTACCGATTCTGTAATGAACATGAAAATCTATAGAATATTTTTTGTTGCTGGAAGCAGACTTCACGCATCACATATCGTGTAAAAAGTTTTTTATGTTTTTTTGTGATATACTTCTTAAGAGTTAAAAACGATGATCTATAAATTTGTGTATAAAAATCTCGAGCATGTGCAACTTCGACCTTCGGTCTCGGGTTTGCACTGATCTGCTCTCGAGTTCTCCCAAAGTTCTCTTCGTTATGCAATAGCCCGTGCGGACACAGTAAACATCTTTTTTTGTAAAATAATTTAAATGCAAAATGTATTTAAATTTTCGTTTTAACCAATTTTCGCTTATATAATTATTGCCGTTTATATTAAATTTTTACTGATGTAGAAAAAGTCTTAGAGCATTGACGGTTTTTGTCCTGCAAAATAATTTCACAGCATCATGGTCTTATACTTACATGGTTTTGAGTTGGGATGAGGAATTGGTGAGTTGCCTGTGAAAAGTATAATGTTTTTTATCAGTTAAACAGACTAATCACCATTTGCTTGATTATAGTTGAAAACGAATACTTCAATAATATTCTTACTATGAACTTGCACTGACATACTTTGTGTACGATAAGGAGGATCTACTATAAGGTATAAAAGAAGGTAGTTTGTTATTTTTTATTGCAAAGTTTGTATTGATTATGTGATGAATATGAAAATCTATAGTACATTTTTTACCTTGCATAGGAAGATGAATTCACGCAGTTTAAAGTTCTGAATGATATATTTAAAAATATGGAATAACACCTTGCTTTAATACTTACATGGTTTCGAATAGGGGTAAGGGAATGCTGTGTGGCCTGTAAAAAAGTTTTACGTTTTTTATCAGTTAAACAGAATAATCACAGTTTGTTTGATTATATGGTTAAAAAACGAATACTTCGATAATATTCTTACTTGGAACTTGCATTGGCGTACTTTGAGTACGATAATAAGGATCTACTACAAGGTAAAAAAAGGTAGTTTGTTATTTTTTACTGCCAAAGTTTGTACTGATTATGTGATGAATTTGAAAATCTATAGTATATTTTTATGTTCCACAGAAAGCAGCAGAATTCACGCAAATGAAAGTTCTCAATGGTATTTTTCTGGAATGTTTTCTTTTGATGTACTTCTTAGGTATTATAGCCACTGATCTATAGATCTATGGTATCAATCAACTGCCCGTTGTAGCATAGATATTAGTCTGATGCATGCTCATAGTCGCTGTGTACTTTCATATAGTAATAATTTGAATCATTAATTACTAAATTATTATATTTAAATGTTCGTTTCAACCAAATTTCACATGATGTTCTGACGTTTTCTCTGCTGGAAAATTCTATATGACATGACGTCATCATGACGCAGATGTCGTCATGTCAGTGAATTTTTGGTTAAAATTTTTGTGATATTCTTACCAACTTTAGTCATTGACTCATAACCACTTCTGGTCGCATATGGGTCTTAACAAAAAGAAACAAATCTTTTTCACTTGTGTTTTACTTTTTCTTTCAGACATTTTCTTTCAAACTGCACATGACATGATATTGTCTGAACTTAGCCACTGAGCTGAATACATATTTCTTTGTATATGTTTATAGATCAAGAAATTTAGCTGTTTCTGTGTACACCTCCGTGTACAAATTGTTCAAGTTTAACCATGTCGAGTGTAGTGAGGTGGATAAACAACTCAATCAACAACACAAATGAAACAATGAGTGTCGGTATGAATATAGGTATTTGATATTTGTTGGTAATATAACGTATAAATTCGTTTATCTGCCCTTGAAGTTCATTTTCATCTTTATGTCTTCCTTGTGTATAGAGATACACGAGAGAATGAGACACAAAACGTTTTCTTTCATAGTGAACAGTTGGTTTATGACAGCAAAACCTGTCGTTGCTTTTCTATTTTTTATTATTTCACACGATCGACTCATTTTGTAGTCATTGATGTTTTGCATGTCACCATGTTAGGTGTTTTGTGCAAAAAATATTTCATAAATGCTATTGTGAGCTGAAGCCAGCGTGGGTGAACGTTAATGGTTAAATATCAAGAATACTTTCACACAGAAAATACTTTCACATTCGTTTTTTAGTAATAATAGAATGAGTTAAATCACATAAATGTTTTATAATCACTCAAAAAAGTTAATTGAGTATAGAAATAGATTGTTTTCCTTTACTTTCGTAATGATATGTTATTTAGCGGATGTGGATTGTAAATATTCCGTGTTCCCTCACTTAGGTTTTATTTCAATGAAGTGTACTTTTTTATACACCCTTTATAGGATAATTAAATCATTAATTACTCCATACTGCAGGAATTTTCACACGAAGGAGAATAAAAACAGACTTTAATAAATAATTTTGGCGAATATTTTTTGTGACATGGAGGTCAGTTTCATCAGCAATACATTAGAATCTTATATTTTTTTGCTAGATTATTCTGTGAACCATAAAATTATAATCAAATAATCGTTTTGTTCTACATTATTGACCGTTGTATCTAGTCAAGCGTGCTTTGTTGTCTCGTTGTTATGGTTGAATGTAAACAGAAAACTTAAATTACAGTGCCAAAATTAAAATTATATATTTATAGTTAATGCATTAATTTACGTGATCTCATTGCAATGTTACAAAGTCAACAGGACCAAAAACTGCCTTTTGAGAGTTAATCTTTTTTAAACTGCCATTTGATCGATCTTTATTTTTGTTTTTTTTATATACATTTTCATTTACGTCATATTTCTGCTTCATCACTAACATTCATGAATTATTTTATTTTACCTTTCCATACCAAAGACTGGGTCGCATAGTGGGGAATTTTCGATATTTGCTGGTAACATTAGGAACTAATTATTTAAAATATTTTTTGAATATTAAATTACAAGGGCTCAGACACAATTTGTCTTTTTTTTTGATAATTTTTGATGTTCACAATTCTCGTCTACTTTCAAAAAGTAAAATTTAAATGCATATTATATTTAAATTTTGATTTCAACCAATTATCACCCAAATATTTATCACCCCCCTACATGGAATTTAAATGTTATGACATTATCTCTGCATGAAAATTTCACGTGCCCTCATCGTGATTTGGAGGATGACATAGCAACATTTGCTTTTCGTTAAAATTTGTGTTATGGTTCTCACCTAGTTTTGACGGTGTCAAGTAAGGACTTTTAGTTTCATAGGGTCTCCTATAGCAAAATATTGAAATGTTCAAGAATTTTAGCCAAGTCAACTGTGAATTTTACTTATGGCTGCTGAAGGCAACATAAAAATTATGTAATTCGTCACTATTAGTCAATGATTGCATACAGGGAGTTTTTCACAAGACTAAGCTTTATGTAAAAAGGACACGATGTCCGCTTTTGAAATTTTGCTATTCTTCTGCCGGCATGAGGTATGACTTCTGCCTGTATGGCATTGATCTACTATTCTTACCTCCAACTAGTAATAATGATGGTGTAGCTTGAAGTTCACCTGTAACACACAAATGCACAAAATCTGAAGGGTTTTGTGTTTTTTTAAAACGAAGTTTGAAATGTAGAACTGTAGAAAACGTCAGGAAATTGATTAAATTTGTTTCGTAACTACCCAAAATCGAAATCAATTTCATCAAAACTTTAGTTTTATCAAACTTGTTACGAATTAAAATAACTAAGTTTATGTTTTTTAAGTACAGAAGAAACAGGAAAAAATAATGTTAAACAAAACACTTCAACAAAGAATTTTATTATTTGTTAACATATAAGTATAAAATTTCCCTTACTTGTAGAATATGTTGTTTCCTGGACGGGCGCTATACTTTGGACATAAAAAATGCTTGCGAATCCGACGATAAAACTCAAAACTTGAAACATTTTCGTGGTTTTAAATGTAACTTTTGCAAGCTTCTTCTACCGGCAAAGTTTACTTATTCTGATGAACAACTATCGGTTTCGTGGTTATTTTAAAGCGTTTTTTGCATAACGGAAACTGTTGTGCGTATAAGGAATTTGGAGTATTTAGTGGGTGTCAATTATCCAGTCCATGTTGCTAAGGACATGTAACTAAAGATTAATACAATAAAAGCTCTATTATGACGTGTAGTTTTACATACAGTTCGTTTGTATCCGTACTTAAAAATACTCAGTATTCCAAACATTTCGTACGCTGAAATGCCAAAAACAAAAGCAACCTAATGAGCAAGCGTATAAAATCATAAAATCATAACCTTATTGGAGGTGAAATATTCAAATAAATACCCAACAATTTGAAAGCATGCAATGTAGTGGTTTTCCTATTTTAAATAATTGATTTTTTGAAAAGTGTGAGACTGTTCCATCTACTGCAGACAAATAGCTATGTACGATAGCATTTTATGACACAACTACATACAGATGTAGAATTCAATCTTCTATTTAAGAACTGCTCATTTAGCAAATTTCCAATGTTGGCACCAATGGTAAAGTGGGATCAAAATGATACGTTTGCTAAGTGATTGTACGTTTGATGGTAACGTACAAGTCTTTAGAAATAGCTTTTCTTTAGCTTTTTTTCAGAGTTGGCTTTAGTCATGTTATTACAGTTATCAAACTGTTGTTGTTTAGTCATAAAAGAGCTGTTTTACTGAAGGGGAGAAAATTGCCCAAACGCAATCGGAGAAAATGTTTTTTCGGAGGGGACAATTAATTCTTTCCAAAAAGGCTATATATTTTGTGAGATATTATATTCTTGTGTTTCATCTTAAATCTTCCAAAAATGTCAATTTACTTGAATAACTTTCAAATTCAACAAATCCTGGCCTGGCGAGAGTATGTGTTTAGAGATAGTGCATCTTTAACAATACTAATGTTAAAGTGGTGTTAAAAGTACATCTCATACTCTATGTATGTATGTACAGCCGAATCTTCTTTGTTCGTATTATCTTCGACTATTATCTTATTGCTTAATACATTTTGTGCAGGTTAAAAACAAAACTTAATTATGTGCATATATTCTGGTGCATTCTCCGTGCAATCATTGACATGTGAAATTCACTCAATGTTTTAACCTGATACCTTGCAGAATGACGTTTACAGTAAAATTATTGTGTGAAATAAAACTTGCCAAACACTGTATAGATGTACACAACATAGGAAATATTTTAAGAAACTGTAACTGAAGACCGTATGATTGCATTTATATGTGAAATTGAGAAAATCATTACTATAGAATTAAAAAATAGAAATCATATGCTCTCCATAATAAATAAGACAAGAACATTTAAAGTTGCGATAACCTTGAAGTTCTGTTGTGTTGTGTTGTATGGAGATATACTTGTTCTATTTTCATATCCTTGCAAATGTCGGTATTTTTGTTGTTTGAGTGGGTACTTGACAACCCATCATTTACAAAACGTGTGACGCATGTAGTCAGAGGAAAGATGACGCTTTATAAGGCACGAAAATTCGTTAAGTATACAGTGTACAGGTCCTAACTAAGTATACATCTCCGAGAATATTCCATATTAAATACGAAAGGCTTATACTTTATTTATTTATATGATAAATGAGACTAAATGTATTAGCAATAGACGTGCGAAGAGAAATATTACCATGGCATGTGTACTTCAAGTAAATCTACAACAAATCATTGTGAGAATGGTAAAGCCTAAAATTGTCAGATTTCATGCCATTAAACTTTTGAAATAAAAACATCTTCCTCCAAATCTTCGTTTCTCAGTTTCAGAGCTTACCACGTGGTTGTCGCGTCTTCATATGAAACAATGAAAGCTCTCTTCATTGTTGTTGTAACATGGCTGGCATTAGTGAAAATCTCTTTGTCATTATGTTATGCTTTTTAAAGATAAACTCAGGAAATTCAATGCTAATATTCTCGTATTTTCATACCACATATGAAATTTGATTTTCGTTATTTCTATACGAAATCGAGAAATGCTTTTGTAATATTGAAAAAGTATGAACGTCATAGGAAGTAGTCGAACACTATTTTTACCATTCGAGATAAATTTTGCAAAATCTTTTCTTGCGTAATGCAAGTTTCTGTGGCGTTACCTTGGAGAGTCTACTCAGAGAGTTGCCCAACATTATAACGATTCCCGTACGGCATAAGTCGAACGTGTCCCGATCTTCCGATACTCAAGTGTATTCAAGTATATTAATCTCATTAATCTCGAGTGCTGTCATTGTGTAACCCTGGCCTTTCCTTATAAAGCGGATGGGTGTTTGGAAAAGCCGTTATTATTCACAATTACCTCACGAAAGCGCATATTAGACATTCATCAGTTGAAAACGTATTAGTTCCATTTCATGTTGTGAAATTCTCAAATGGATAAGTTAAAAGAATTAAGTTTGACCGATTGTGACGAAGAGTTGTGTTGGAAACGAGACTCAGTAAAACAAGGATTTGCTGTGAAATTTCAACGCGGCCTCTTGAAAGCACCCAAAATGCAATATTTCGTTTTGACAGCTGATGGCTTATGGACATTCGAGGGTAAACCGAATCGCTTCGCAAAACCACTCTCGTTTCTACCGTTTCAGCAGTTATCCTCGATAAAACTTCCCAAAGATGATGTGAACAACTCTAAACTTTCATGCATGCAACTGACCAGTAAGAATAATTCTACTTTTACTCTTGGCTTTTATCGCAAGGAAGATAGAGACAAGTGGATGTGTGGAATGATGGAATTATTCTCACAGTCATTGTTGACCACACATGTTTTTGACCGGACTTCCAAATGCTGGGACGAGATTAAACATGACAATCTAAATGATTATGTTATCCCAAAGAAAGATAAACTTGCAACTGAACATTGCAAAGGTAAAACCCTCAGGAACTTCCAACCCGCAAGTCTCAGTGTTCATGACAAATTATCTGTTACTGGAGACTGCAGTCAGCTAGAACAGCTGGATTTCAATATGTCTGGAAAAGAATTGGTCGAGCGCACAACAAGCTCCGGGAGTAATAGTAGTGGACAAAATTTGAGACTTAAACGAAGAAAGGACGATAAGGGAAGCATAAAGAAGTCAAAATCGTATGATTCTCTCGCTCTGCATGATTTAACAAACAACAGATGTGTTTTCTCATCAGACGACTCAACTTTGTTGAGGTGCTCAAAAGACCAAACACAAAGCATTTTGTCAGCAGACACTAGTAAACGAAAGTCTGTGCCCAATATCAACGTCATTTCGAATTTTCCAAGCGCTTGGCTCGCGAAGAGCAAAGAACAACTTTTTGGCAATTCTTGTGATTTTGAGCACAGAGATTCACTTGTTGTGAAAGCGAAAGCATTATTTAGGAATAAGACTGACTCCAAGAACAAGACCACACTCTTCTCGAAAATTCGTTCGAGGTTTGAACACGCGACCAAATACGTACATTAACAATATACGACTATATCAAGTCCTTTTCAATAGCGTATTTGTTGATCAACATGTTAATTAGAAAATATGACAGAAAGAGTTTTGCGCGCTATCTCTTTCTTGAATTGTCTGCATGTGAGAAAGATCGCGTTTTAAATTAACTGGGAAAATGGAACAGTTGTCTTAGCACTTTTACTGAAGCATTCTGACGATATAATGAATGAATCAATGACCAGTGCTATGACGTGCAAACAAAAAAGCCATGCAGAGGTTTCAAGCAAACCGTAATTTTCGCAGACATTTATTGGCACACCGGACGACGAATCAATACGTAATTCAGAGAGCAAAGATCATCGTGATACTGTGGAAGACGAGTACAAATTACAACCTAATGCATCAAGAGTCTAAGTTAAACTTAAAGAATTCCATGAAATTGTGGCTTGCCGTTTGTTCTCGTAACCTAGCCATGAGAAATGTTTCATCAAAGTTGACATGGGAAATGTCTCCAGCTGCTACATGAATGTACATGCTTTTATAAATAACATTTTCATACAATAAACCAATGTATTATCTTTGGGATTCTGATGTTAATGCATTGAACGAAAATTGCTCTGTGAAGTACAACTGCTTCTTTCAGTCGATGAAGTAATATTCTAATTATAGTATAGCAAGGAGTCACTTCATTATTGACTACTTGTGCGTAGCTATGCATATGTATACAGTTCCCTTTATCTGAAAAGTAGGAACTTTTTTTCTCTGGCACATGGCAATCCGTATGTAATATCCATTCACTTTCCTAATGTCAGATTGTAGTAGATGGCGTCCAGTCGTTAATTTATGTTAGTAACTGATGCCTTTTAGATTTAATAGCACCTGTATCACCTTATCTTTTGTGACGTGTTTCGAAATGAAATTCCTTTCAGCACGTTTCACTGTCGTCATTAAATTACACTAAAGAATAGTTACACTTGGAGATGTCCAACTTTCTTTTTCTTGGACGGCGTTCGCTGTATGCCTTAACTTGAGAACTAAATCGATATGATAAAAATCGTTAAACTATAATCGTAGCCTATAATCGTCAAACTATAATCGTAGTATTTTTTTGTGTTGATTATTTCTTTTGATAAGTTACAGCTGGAGCATCTTGTATTTTGATAAATTTCATAGTAACGGCGCTCAAAGTCGTGAATTTTCATATTTTGTGCTTCCCAATAAACCAAAAAACCTAATTTCGAAAGACCTGTTCAAGACATGTTATTTGTCAATGGTCAAGACTGTTCCACCCCACTTTTCATTTCAAACCTGAGTATCAATTGGACAACATGTCTATTAGAATTCTTTAGTATACATTAATTGAAACCATTCTTTCTCTGAATACTGTTAAATATCTCAGACCTCACAGTGTTATGTCGTTAATTTTGCTTATAAAATAGCTTGCGTAACAACAAAAGTCTGTTAAGACTCATTTACTTAACTATCAACACTTCGAACAATTATAAATTGTGCGTTTTATGGTTTTTTCGTGCTAAAAGCAAAGAGCACCTGTTACATTCAAATATAAGTCAGGACATGACGTCAAGATTTTAAGTTGACCACACCTTGTAAACAAATGTGTACTTGTATTAATTGTTCTGTTGGAGCCATGTGATCGCTTTGTCATGTTTTATGAAGGCAATAGTTGTAGAAAGGTCAAGCAAAGTCACATAAGTTTATTGTCGTTATCTCCCGTTTGTTGCGGGTGTTAGAGTCATAATTTGTATTTAGCATTTTTATTGCTAGTAAATGTTAATCGCATTCATCATTCCAAAATCATGTTGAAGTCTTATTTTAAATGTCAAAAAACAACCCTTATTTGACAAACATTTGGAGGTGAAAAGAATTATGAAAAGTGAAAGACCTACAGGCTTTAGATATTGTTCCTTCAGTTGTAGACCACACACACAGACAGACTGGAAACTTCTCAAATGAGATTCGGAATGTAATTGTAGTCAAGAGCTGTTTAAACATGCCGCTGAAAATTATTTTTATACAAGCTGTTTCCGTTTCTTCTGCTTGTCGGAAATCATGGATGAAAGACCTCTCATAAAAAAGAGTATCCTATGTTTAGAAGTATCATGAGACTGAATTTTTATTTTAGGACTTTGTGTGTGTAATACTTGCTGTTAGCGCCGAATGTCCAAACTGTTGGCTAAGAGTTGAGTCGTTCCATGTATTTTTCTCTTCACGAAAAATGTGTATTTGACCGTCTACTCTGCATGGTTAATTCTTAACAGCATGCTATTCTTAGATATATGTATTTATAGTTAGAGTAGCTGTGGTAACTTTAATTAATAATGCTTTTCTAAGTACTAAAATGTCGGGTGCAGTATAAAATGCATACCTAAAAACTTTTTGCTCAATATAATATCACAATAAATATACCATTAAAAAGGGTGTCGATTTTATCAATTGCACTGGTACTAATATGGAGTGTGCTAATCATTTAAATTGCCAAGTATGTGGACAAAGTTACTCGTGATTGTTGGCTATTCCATGTAACTGCGAGGTTGCCATGGTTTCGAGCGAACGTATATGTCAAGATGTCCAACGTGAGATTCGTTTACTGGCATTCCACCTTGAACAAGACCATGGAAACCATATGAACCAACGTTGCCAATTTTTAAACCAATACCAATGCCAAATGATGGTGCCCATTCACAGCCTTAAATGAATACAAAATAAAGTTTGATGTTTTCATAAGTTGGAACAAGGCGGAAATGAGATTAACCAATTCCAATCTTACCAGTTCCATTAACGGTGACAGCTCCGAGACGAGCAAATATTGGATGTCTGGCATATGAGTCTCCAACATTAAAACCGATTTCATAACAAGATGTGGGTGTAGTGAGTAGATGCATTTTGGTTGCATTTGGCACATTTAGTGAATCGACCCACGTGGAAAGTGGTACATTTGATAAGAGTTTTTTCTCGAAAAACAGACTTCGCATGGAAGGTGCTTGAACATGAAATTGTAGTTTCAATCTGTTTCGAACTGCAAGACAAACTTCAGTTACATTTGCACTCGAATATTGTAAGCTGGGACTTTTTGATGTCCATCTCTCTGAGTCGTATGCTGCATGCTGGAAAGATGAAAAAAATATTGGAGCTTATTACGAATCTCAAAATCGTGTTTCTTTGTGAAAGCTATTGCGGCAAGATTGAAAAAAAGCTTAAGTGAGTAAACTTGCAGTGGATGGTGAAAGATACTATCTGAGTGATGTAGCACCGATCAACTTGTTCGTTTTTTACAAAATTTCTCCATGAAAATAATTTATAAATAAAGGGCCCTGTCAAACTTGAGAACTTTTCTTCTTAGTTATTATGATGATCATATGTTAGTCCTTATAAATACTCCAGTCTAGTGTCCTCATCAGGAGTTATGGGATGAATGATGTTGAAACTTGATTCCTTATAAATACTCCAGAAAATGTTTTCATAAAAAATAATTAGATGTTGAAACTTGGGTTCGTAAATTCTGCACAGTTGTTATTCCTTGAATGATCTTTGATGAGTTTTAGACTAAGTTCTTTACCTACCGAATTGTTCGGATGAAAATGTGCGACAAAAGTCCATCCATCTCCTGTGCATCCAGAACCACCGCTGTTAAGAAAAAGATCAAAGTTAAGTGAAATATCCTTTATGGGACAAAATATCTCTCAATATCGTACAATACAATCATCTTTCATCCTAAATCATCGTTTATGTGTATATTCTTGATAATGCCTAATAGGATAGAAAACACTTGTAATTCCAGGTACAAAGATAAAAAACACTGGTAATTCTAATCATATTTATGAAATACTACACAAAAACTAAACATGCGTGATCTTTCAAATTTATCAACGTTCGTACAATCAAGCTGTGTTGAAAATACGTTAATGTATCATTAGAAATGACTTTGGATTTAAAGGTGGTAATTTTTTTATAAAATACCACATACCATTGAGGGCACATTGTGAGATTTGCTTCTCGTTTGCAAGGAGATCCAGAATCAGATCCTGAGGAATTTCTTGCTTTCAGTAAGTAATGACCAGCTGCTTTGTCACTTGAAAAGTTAAACTGCAGTTGCAATTCAACTATGTTACGCATTCCATTGAACTTTTATTGATAACTGTACTTAATTTGAAGAACTCGGATCGCATAGCACTGCTTGATCAATCACTGACCTGTAGCTCTATCTGAAGTGACAATTCTGACAAAAATATCGAAATGACCGAGTAAAAAAACACTCTGATGATTTACTATTCATTCCAGTTTATCTTTTGGTGGAAACATGCTTCAGAGTCCCATGTAAATAATTCTACATTTTTTTCATAAATATGCATTCATATTTTGAATGCAATCTCTATTGCCGATCAATACGGGTAAAATGTTTGACAACCTAAGATTTTGTAACGTATGAAAATAAAAGCGTATGGAAGATGCGTTTCATTTAAAATCATCTCTTCATCAGTATAAATTAACAAATTTGGTTTATATAAGCAAACGTATTGAAACTATTATATTTATGTTCAAAGATTTCTTCTTCACTCCCCAAACGGTTGTTCTCACTTTTTCACCAAAATTTATAAATTATGAACTTACGGATTGCATGCCTTCTGGAAGAACGTGACGCAATCGTTGTAAACAGGTGTCCCTAGTAAAAAATGTGAAAATTTTGAACAGGCCAAGAAAATAGGTGCTATAGTTGCCATTCAGCATAGAAAAAGCAATTATTTTCTTAATGATTACGAAATCCCACAAATTAGCTAAATCAATTAAGATTTGAGTTGGGTATTGAGAGGTAAATGTTATTTACAAGAATTGACGACGTCATGTTGGCTAAATTCTGACTTTATAACATTTTGTGCTTGTGCCCAAGTATTTGTGATACATTTTAATGAAGTTACTCTTTCCATCGTAATTACCACTTCATTCATTTAAAAATTTTTCAAGACAAAACTTTTAAATCTGTTATTGATATTAATTTATACAAAAATGAAGGCAAGCATTAGCGATAATAAAACAAACAAAACATTTTCATCAAATTTTTGTTGAAAGTAAGTCAGTGGAATTTACGATGTCTCTGGTGTGAACCCATCTTGAGCTATTGAGTTATTGATGCTTCTGAAGCATGTCACGAACGAATGATGGTGCCAAAAAGTTTACAGTTTGGTTAAAAAATGTAGCTACGTTAGTGTATGTATATATATATATAGTACGGATACTTACGGGCTGTTATATGTGCTTTAACTTGAAGTACAATAACTCCACCAATAACGGCAAAACAAATGTTCCAAAATGAAAACATCGTTGACTAATTTCTGTTTTTATTTTATTGAAATACTTTCTTTAAAATGGTTGACTGCCGTCTATACTGTTGTGTGTTTTCCTCTGTATGTTGTCTTTATTAATTTGTGATCGAATAGCAAGCATACCTTTGCTATTTTTACTTAGATGTTTTCTTTGATATATATGTAAATTAATGGACCACATAGCATGCATTGCAGTCTATATATATATATTATATATAAACATGTACACGTGATTGGTTTAGAAAAGAAAAGTTATGTATTCACGTGAATAATGCACTCTGGGTGATTAAATTACAAAGTTCCGCGATGAAAAACAACACACAAAGACAAGAACGAAATGGTTCTCTATTAGTTGTATCCAATCTTTTACTACCATCAAACTATCTAATATTCCTTATCATAAATCCGTAATGAATTGTTCATTGAATAAAGGGAGTACATTCTACATCTGTGTTGAGGGCGTTTTCGAGATAAGTTAGAAACTTTGCAAACACATTGTTCCGTTTATTGTGTTTTATGGCATTTTTAAGCTTTTTTTCTGCCTCTAATTCAATTGAATCACGATGCTCAAAACAACAAGAGTTCAGTAAAATGTTAGGTGTTTTTGCAGTATCATCTTTTCTTGCGTGCTTTCCGTTGCTAAGATACATGGTTAGATCTTCATAAATCTCTGGTTCCGATTTACGCTTTCTTGATCCCGGTGACAAGTTGTTTTCCTTGCTGTCCGCTGGAGTACCACTGTTTATCTGTGCATTGTGAATAAAAAGTGCCGTATCTGTTACTTCAGGTAAAGCTAAAATGTCTAAAGATTTTGAGAGTTGAATGCTTCCTTTCTCTTCTTTCCATCGTTTGTGACTCAGATTCATTTCATCGTTGCTTTTGCATCGCTTCAAATCATTGCACGAACGTTCTTCTGAAATTGAAACTTGCTCATCGGATTTCTGAAATGCTTTCGTTTGTAAAAGCATTTCAGAAACATATCTCATGATAACCATCATCCAATCATCGCGATCTTCTTTACATTTAAAAGCAAGTGTAGACATGGTTCCCGCTTTACTCATCATTTGCATACAACTTAATTTACACGAGTCTAGTTCTATATAGTCGAGCTTTATCGACAAGATTTTCTCGTACGGCAGGAATCCAAGCAGCTTTGTCTCGTCTTCAATTTTCCCTGGTCTCTCCTTGAACGCAAGTAGTCCGCTGTCGACAATTATGAAGTATTGTAGTTTTGGCGATTTTAAAAGTCCTTTTTGAAAGTTGATCAAATAATCTTGTCTAAATATACGTTCTGTTTTATAATATTCTCCATGGTCTGTAACATTTCCCCCCATTGTGTTTTTATTTAGATTTTGTTTTCTTTAAGTCGTGTGATCTCAATAACTACTTGCTGTGAATGTTTAAGTTATTCAATCACTGTTTTATAGTTGAGCTTTTTTACATCACTACGTTGATGGAATGCTGTGTTTATGACAACGAGAACATTCATGAATTGTTTACGATTAATCTAAAGATAATCTCTTTTATTTGCAGTGGAAACGCGTCATACGAAAAGGAAGTTCCTCAAAGCTCTAGTGGTGTCCAATTCTAAACTATAGTAACTTCAATTGCTAGAAAGATCCATTTCAAAAGACGTTACCTCTTCGATTAGCATAATTTGGATTAGCATAAATTTTCTTTTTTCGTGAGATATAACATTGACATATGTGATTGTCTTGTCTCGTATCTATCTTCCTCGTTCTCTTCTACAGGATATTTGAACTCTTCCAATTATAAAAGTGTGTAACACATAAGGGACATTAAACTGCTAATGCAAATCGCCACCCAATGGCAGGAAATTTTCGAATGCGGAAATCATTCTAATTTACTATAATGCAGCACGTAATTTGGTTGTAATAGTCTCAAAGAAAACATTATCTCTTTAATACTCTCAAACATTTCTTTTGATCAGTCTGTTAGTAATACTTCTTTGGAAACACTACTATTCTAGTGTTCTATTTTGAAGTTTTGAAGTATGATTATAAGGCTGTTTTTCTCGTGAATATCCTTTCGTTTACTCTAAGGAATAGCGGTCTGGAGCAAATGCTTAATTATTTAATCTATTAAGCTCATTTAATTGTGTTTTTACTAGGACTTTTATAATACAGAAAATTTGTTTTATTAGCAATCTCGTATAGCGTAAACGAAACATTCAACTCACCTACAGTTACTACATTTCTTATATGTTTACTTGAGCATACAGACGTCATAAGTTGTAACTTAACTGTTTACTCTGATCAAACAGCATTTTGGGTAAATTATAGCTATATGAACTCAACTTCATGTGTAAATGGATGTCTGCCATCTTGTCGCTAAGCTTTGTAAACTAACTTTTCAAACAAATGGGATATCTAATCTCCCACGATAAGATTTGCTTTTCTTCGGTGTTCTTATATTTAAAGTTTACCCTATCAATGACCGTATGTTTTATCATACTGAAATATTAAATACTCTTCAAAAAATTATTTCTGATTCACAACAAATTTCTTCCAATTTCTTGATTTATTAACTTGATCTAAAATACTATTCATAACTTATAACTGTTATTACAATTTACAAAACTAGAAACATTGTCTTTGCTATGGTAAATCTGAACTTAGCAACGAACTTGAGAACTTCACGACGAAGAATTTCAAGAACAATGTCATTTAATATAAGAAAACGAAGTTGCTTTTGTTTTCAAGCTCAAAACTTCGTGTATTCCTAGCTAATTTTGTAGTTAGTAAATCTATGTTCCATCTCTTATTTCGACATAAGAAGATATACTATCATACAAAAAATTCCAAACTAAGTGTAATTTTTATAGTATAGATATAGAGTTCGTTTTACCGAGGGTACTCAATTTGATGAAGGATTCGTGTGTAACCGAAATCTTGAGCTGAATCGCTTGAAAATACTACACTTTTGTTTTGACTCGTGCGTCTTGCTTTCGTCTGTTGAATAATTAATGTTTCTTTGAATAGACAAAGCTTTTTTGTTTTCATTAAGATTTTGAAAAAATGATCTATCACGGGAAATCGTGTTCCTATGTTGATTCGACTTGCGTTTTCTTCCATTTCTCGTGTTAGATTTATTTTCTGTTTCCATGAGAGGCTTCGTTAATGTATTTTCACTATCATTAAGCTGAGTTCTGCCGTTTCCATTCTCCACTTCCAACGTGTTATTCAACTTTGACGTTCTTATGCTGCCGTTCGGTCCTTTTCTTCGCTTTAGTCTACTATAGTTTTGTGAACTATCCCTTTCTTTCTTGTGTTTGCCAATTTCCTTCTCTTCATCTCTCTCAACATAGCTTGTGTTTGTCACTGCTAAAGTTTCTAAAAATGATGTCATCATCAGCATGAGCCAATCATCGCGTTCACTTTTGCAGTTGAAACAAAGTGTAAAGCCAGTACTTCTTTTGCTCTTCAAATAAATGCAAAACAACGTTATGCTGCTCAATTGGAATTGTTCAAGATGTATTGTGGATAACTGCTCGTAAGGAAAGAAACGTAACGGTTTTGTCTCTTCCATCGGTTGCTGTTCGAACGAAATCAATCCACTTTTTGTGAGAACAAAATAATGCATTTTTAGTGAACTTTCTTTGCCACTTTGAAACTCGATCAAGTAGCCTTGTTTGATTGCAAATTTTTTCCATCCAATTTGATCGTTGTCGTCATTTACTACCCTTTCTATCAATGGATACATTTTCTCTTTGACTCTTCTTGAGCTGCTCTCTAGATATCTTCAACTTGCTATAACTGTATGAACTTTTACAAACAGAATTCGTCCTTATATATTGTCTTTTATGGAACGAACGTGCTACCCATAAATAGCATTTTGCGCAATCGAGATTCGTCTTCCGCAAATTTTCGTAGCTACAGTGGATGCAAAGAATTACTTGGAACTAACAAATGCATGCATGTAATTATGTGAATGAATATTGTTGCAAAAGGACATAACTACGTAAGCTAGCCTCATCCAAACATTTTTTGTACATAATTTTTTTGATGAAAAGCATCACTATGAGTAACTTCTTGTTAGCGCACATATCTCATCATGAAAAGCATCACTATGAGTACGTTAGCGCACGTATCTCATCAGAAGAATTTAAAGAATGATGCTCAATGACGATTTTAGCGATTGTGTATATGTAAACTGTACAGGAAAATGTAAATTTGCTTGGTTAAATATTCTTTGTGAGAAATATTCTTTGTGTTAAATATTCTTTATTCTTTATTCTTTGTGGGTGTTTACATGAATCCGGAATGACTTTCAATTCCAATCGGAAACGTGATGTCAATCCACGTTTACATGGAAAATCAACACAAGGATTGACTTTTCGCAGGAATTTTGAATTTTGAAGATAACGAACTTAAACATTATAACAACCCTTTTCTTTTCTTTCGTTTCTGAGTTAATATAGCTTAATGCTTGCATGAAACTAATTGTTGCTTTTTTTCGCACTCATTTTAGCCCATTCAGCTTACGAGCTTCAATTTCCCAGAAGACAATACGCATGGTGCATGCGTGCTTTGTCATTAATCACAATCTCATTCCAGAATGAAACTCTATACGCGTTTACATGAGGTTAAAACTAAATTTCGATCCTGATCGAGTTGTAACTCATTCCGGATTCATGTAAATATGTAATAGGATTTCTCTTAAATTGGAATGAGTTCATTCCGGATTCATGTAAACACCCCCCCTAGTGTAAACATTCTCCATTTTTGATCCTTCTGTTTGAATTTTTCTGTGTTCACAGTTCACTCGCTCCAAAACCAATAGTGATAATGTTTTGAAATTTACACGGAAAGTCTAAAACTTTCGAGCTGGTTGTGCTACTGCTGTCGGAAAATCTTTATCTGTCATGAAATGCATCAAAACAACGATCTTTTACATTTTTACTGCTCTTGACTTTGAAAGCAAAAACGAGATTTGAGGCACGATCATGACCCCAACCGTGACTTGCAACAATCTCAAGGGACTCACCAAACAATGTTGCGCGCTAACTTCGGCTGGTGCTCAAAGTAACACTGATATAAATATTGTTATGTATTAGATAAACAACATGACTGAATTGCAAATATGGTTATAAAGTGAATTTCAGAACCACTATTTTACATTTTTAAGCTCAAATAACCAGAAAAGAAGGAGTGTAATTTCCTTAGCCCTTGAAATGAATTGAAAGAAAAAAGAGCCGTGAAAATCTTTAGGACGAAAATTTCAATTCCGTATCACGTTTCTTGCGTAAACACATAATTCTGTGGATCTTAAACGTTCGTTAATTAAAGAAAAATATGAAAAGTATAATTTACGAATAAATTCCAAAATGCTTGATATTCTTTATACTCTAACTCTCATTGTGTAAACACACATCAGCTTCGCATAAAGTTATTCTCTTATACTGTCCAAGAAAATGTCCTGTTAATTCAAGGTCATTAATCTTTACTTCAACAGCATCACCAACTTCGTAGGTCCGTCTAAAAAGCATTCATATTTTTCTTCGTTAGTGAAATACACCTGTAAATTCTACAGGAGGGATTTCTTTTAACTTAAAATTCGCAGGATGTGACGTCTTAAGTTGTACAAATTGCTTTTCAAATCAAGACGTGTCGTAAGAAACATGAAAGCCAAGGACTTTAGTCAACTAATAATGAAACTCAATCAATCAAAAATCTGTACACATTTCAACATAATGATTGTTGAATACTAGATCATATTCACTTTGTCTCACAAAGGTGCACATTGACGAACGACATTTGCATTGAGATGATAATCAGATTATAATCTATATAGATGACTGTAGTTTTACTTTGTTTCAAAGAAACATCTAGAAATGGCAGATGAAGATGAATCTGATGTTGAAAAAAGAATCTCAGATGCACCCGAGGTGCAGTAGAAACTTGATTGCAAATGCATTGTAACTAAAGTTTTATCAAAACAACTTATGCAGGCTCAAGCTTGCAGAGATCTGAGACAACTAGAATGTGTTGAAAGTTTAGTTATATGATCTAGATTGCACATCACCCATTAAACAGTACCTATAAGATTTATTAGATGGACGCTTTACTACAGCGTGAAATTTCCAACCAAAATCGATGTACAAATCATCTTTTACAATATGTATAATTTTGCCGTCCACAATCTTTCCATAGGGCCGTCCTAGTTTGGCAAATGCAGTTTCTTTAAACATTTTGCCGAAACACTTATCCTCCTCGACTACACTGCTAGATGAACTGTTCAGCGTCCTTGACAACAATTTAAGACAATTATAACTTGGTAAAAGTTTTCCATAAGTGCATGTTTTTAAAATATTCGCCATTTTCCAACATCAGCGCTTCTTGACTGTAGTCAATTTGTTTGGAGAAACCGCTATAGGTATGTACGTATGTTCGGAGGCTCATGTGATAAAATTTCAGCTTGCTTTTACCTTTGGGAGAAGACGAAGTTTATTCTCGAGAAGAAAACAAAGTTTTGTAGACTCGAGAGTGCTTTAAAAATGGCTGAATCCACGCAAAATATAATGCAGTTCATGACTGTTGTTAGCAAGTTGAAAGTATGTTATAGTGATTACCATAATTACTTTAAAAATATTTCCAGTTCCTTTGATAATTTCATTCAAATAGTTTCAGGCTTATGGTAAATTTGGGTTTCTCGAATTCATTCTGTGTAAACCTACCATGTTGGTTTTTCTACATAGTCTTTAAAGAGGACAGGATGGGTGAAATCTGGTATTGCAAATCCTGAACATGTTGCAGATCACATGTACATGATGGCTGTTATGACATTTTTCATTGATGAAGAAGATCTCAACTTGAGCAGAGAACGGTACGAGATAATGGTTCATTATTTATTTTTAACCAATAGAAAGTCCTTTACATTTCAAAGTACAGTTTTACAACCTTTTGATGGATAAAATTTGCCCCAAAGTTATTCAAAGAAATTGACAATAAGTCGGTTGAAGAGGCAGAACTTTTGAAAAGTTCCTGGTTACTAAATCAAAATTTGACTGTATAAATTTTGAACAATAAAAGAGTGCTTTTTTGAGCCATGATTTGGAAAAGTTTAAACTTTGTAGAATCGAGACATCAATAAATTTTTAGGTCTCATAGTAATTTCTTCCTTTTTTCTTTTTGCTATTTATCTCATTGCAAATTGCTTGATTTTGTTCCAGTTGCTTGAAACTTGCATTGGTGCATGACATGGCAGAATGCATTGTTGGTGATATAACGCCTTTCTGTGGAGTGAGTAAAAAGGAAAAACATGCCATGGAACAAGTTAGTACATAAATGAATGAAGTCTTTGTATCATTTGATCATGCTGTTTAAAGAACTTTGGGGCTACATGGGATACATTACAGGAAAATGTAAAGATTATTATTGTTTTCGAATATATTTGAGTAATTGAGATGCACTTTCAGAGCTTCATCTTCAGATAAAAAGATGGGTTTCCATTCTCTTATTTCAAGCATTATATCTTGTTTAGGATGCCATGACTAAAATTTCACGACTGGCTGGAAAGGTTTGTTTTATTTAATCTTAACTGACCCTCTTTTCAGCGTAAATCAACCAACACCAGGTTAATGGATCACTTTTAATCGCTTCTTTTGTAGATTGACCTTACATAATTTTGATTATGATCACTTTTGTTTCAATTGGTTCAATCAATGTCTCAATGAATGAAATTCATATGTTATAGGTTGGCAAAGAATTAATATCTTTATGGGAGGTATATGAAATTTAATGGTTTATTTTGTATTTCTGTGTGAGAAGAAAGTAACACAGGTTTCATGTCATATCAAAGCTTCGTTTTTTCCTCAGAAAAATAATGATATAATTCTGAGAAAGTGATACTTCTGAGTTGCCCTATAAACAAATGTGACGGATAGTTCAAATGGCAGAATTTATGTAACTGTAGAAAATTGTTAGCCCATATTTTGATATTTGCTGGACTGCTTGCTTGCTTTTTTCTCTGCTAGATAGAAATATGACATTTTGAAATGTATCTTTGAAATGTATCGTTGTATTGTCGTCAGTTGTAAAATGTGTCGTTGTATTGCTCTTTAATCAATTTTAACGTAGGAATACGAATCACAAAGTACACCTGAAGCAAAGTTCGTTAAGAATCTGGACCGTTTTGATATGATCTTGCAAGCCTATCAATATGAACAAGGTTTGTTTCAAAAACTAATTGCGAATGGTTTGGTCATCATAAGCGAATAGGTAGTTAAAGATTTTTAATTCTACCCAGCGTAATTCTAGGAGGGGGGTGTTAAACATACAGCATTAATAGTTTGGTAATCCCATAGCGTTTGTACATTGAACGTAAAGACATCACGTAAAATAAACGATTTTACAGCAATTTCCAAATAAATTATGTTTATATTGTCAAGCAGGAGGAGCATTTACTATCAAGTATTGCTCCGTGTATAAAACACGTAGTCATTTATTGTAAGATGATGGAAAAATCATATTTTGTCATTTTCTTAAAAACTGTGCATGTACATAACAAGAACTTGTAACTTTAAGGTTCGTCATTCACGCGAAGCTTCCCATCATGAGTTGACTTAGAGAAATTGTCGAATTATTGTGTTCATTTGCTTCGGAATGTTTGACATAACAGTTTTTGGTTATTTTTTTATCAAAATACAGAATCGGTGAATGTTTGTGATCTTCAAGAATTTTTTGACTCTACAGAAGGTATAAAATATGGCTAACCAAATCTGTTTACGCAACCTTCTCTGTGTCGCCCTGAAATATGTTGAAATATGTGGTCTTTTTGTCTTTTCTTGTCTCTGATATCATTTTACATTTGTGTGATTGAGTGTTTGATTGTCTGTGGGGATTTTTACGTATCTCTGAAAGGCACATTGTCGATAACTGTCTACGTATGTCTTCATATCTGTCTAGGCATATCTTTATGTCTGTTTAGACCTGTAGTAGTGTCGGTCGAGGTGTCTTTATTAATGTATGGAGTTTAGTGATGTGCTTTTCTTGTTTGTTTTTGTCTGCTTGGAGGTTGTGTTTTGTGTCTGCTGTTACAAAATTATTCTGGTTTTTATCTAGGCAAATTTGATCATTGTTTGGTGAACACTTGGGTTACAGAATTAAAAAAACAGCGCGTAAGGTTAAGAACTGATCAAAACGGTATTCATCATGACAAAACAAACCTTAATTTAAATGCATAGTCTTCTTTTGTTTATGTAGAATTTTTGAATTCAAAAGAATAAGTTTTTTGTTTCTGCTAAATATTGAATGTACGAGAAGAATAACTGTCATCTAAAATACTCAAAACCATTTGAAGTTTTTTCTTTTTTTCTGTTTGCATGGAACTGCTTTACCTTTGTGTTCAATTTTCTGGAATGAATGAAAACGTTCTTTCGATAGGATGATTTTTGCTGCGCATGCATAAAGTTGTGTGACGTCAATAAAAATTAACGTGTATGACGTCATACCTTTCACAAGATGCCCATCAATGGCCTTTCTCTGTTCTGCAATATTAATGTGTTTTCAAGGTATCAGCTCCGTGGCTGCCAGGTTTGTGGCAAACTGAATCTTTTATTTCTCATAAAAATGTTGAATTGTATTAGTTTGCACAAAAAAAATATTAAATACTTATGTGATAGTTGTTTTTATACCTAATATTATTCGAACGTCAACATTTTGTTTAAATATACAATGCATGGACAGACTTCACCTTTGAAAGTTTTTAAAACTACGTAGGCATTCTTCTATAAAGATATATGATTATGGTCATTTGGTTTCATTTTATTTTTATTTCAATTTTTTATTTCAACCAGGCGAAGTTACTCTTCGAATAAGCGTAAGACAGTTAAGGACAAGATGGGCTCTCAGAAGATAGATCCACGAAATAAAGTTAAACTGCCACTACAAAGAAAAGGATACAAGATTAGAGAACAATACGAGAGCAAACAGGCTTCCTTAAGGCGTAAAAAGAGAGAAGCAATGGCAAAAAAACGTAAAAAATCACCTCAGCTACTCCTTCAAGAAAACACAGCTAAGCTCAGGGAAACTTTAATGAAAACTGCAGGGAATGCTATGAAGCGATCCAACGCCATTGTCAATACTAACCACGGATCTATCAACAAAAATACAAATCTGAACAAGTCGCCCAATAAGGCAAAAGTAAATTTTCAACTGGCGTTAGATTTTTGTCATTTTGTTTCACTCACTGCTAATTATGTTTCTGTTTCGGTTTTTTACTATTCAGATCATTCATGATCCTACTAAAAATCAAGACTCTCCGAAATTGAATGATCGTCGTCGGCAACTTGTGAACATCGTAAAAACTGACGAACCAAACAAATGCAGCCCAAAAACGCTGACCAAAAATGACCCTGCGGTCAACGTTGCAGAGAAAATTAAACTACCTAAACGCAAGATTTCACAGACAAATGTGTTTTCATCCAAAGCTGAGGCCCAACCTCCGGTATCTCGAAATCCTCTTGTGAAGTACCCGTCCATTTGTTCTAAAGGTCCCGGTGTAGCTGCTTTAAGGCAACGTTATATAAATTTGCAAACACTCCGTAAGGTAGAGAAGAGAAAGATGCCATTACCTTCTTCTCGATCTGATGGAAGCGTGGCAGAATTATCTCGTTCTATTGAAGATAAGGTATTTGCATACATCGATAAAAGATGCCAGCTTTGGTTTTAGATACGTTTTTCACTTTTTGTATTCATCATTATACGTTCTCTGTTTTTAAATAAAAAAGATATAAGAGTTGAATTTGTTGTTTATTTATTTCCAAACAAACTAAGAGAGAATTGATCTTATTACTATTTAGCTTTTCAAAGAAACAGAACTCGCTCCAACTCTCTTTCCGAGGTTTGACAAGCCAAAGAAAACCGCTGTTGTTGGTCAAATAAAAGCAGATGGAACATCGAGAGTAGTGAAACCAATTCCTCAACGCTCACACTCTATGGGTAGCTTTAATTATGATCCTGTTATGTTTGAGAATTTTTTCAAACATTGACCATCAATGAATTTCACTGAAAAAAATTGATCATGTCTTGGTTATTTTATTGAGGAAGTATAAGTAAAAAGCTCATTGATTTCTGTTAGAACAAGAATAATAGAAGTAAGACTTAAAGTTTGAAATAGATGAAAGACGCCAGAGTGAGTACTGTGATTAGTGGACTACATGAGAACTTATGTTTTTATTTCAGATTTCTTTTATCAAAGACACTAATTAAAGACACTAAACAATACACAGAAACAACACAAAGTTCCTCCTTTCACCGACCCCCCTGATTTTAGTTGTGAGCAATCGTGCTTACAATTAGTAGACTGGTAACTAATGTTACTATTCTAAGTTACGAAAGTTCTTCAGAGTTGAAAACATTTTTGCTTTTCTAAAGCTACCAATTTAACTATATCCATTTGCTTTTCATTGATGAACGTATTAAGCCATTCCATTTGTTTACGAAGTTTCTATTTATCGTCTTGTCCAAAATGAAGCGATTTTTACAAGGATTATCTGGTACATCGAATGCGTTTGTCGGCAAGACTTACAGAATAGGACGAGTTGAATGTACTATTGACGACCAAATTGCTGAAGGTAATTTTTAATGTTTTTGAGCACAAAAGAAAAATTATTGTATTGAAAATACCATAATTTTTATCAACCTACTCTATATTAATGCCTTTGATGCATTGCTTTAAGCACAAATATTTTGAACTGTTTAATTTCAACACGAAAGCAATTTTACGTTGTTGCTCGTTATGGTCGATAATTTAAGCGGTTCAAATTTCAAATCTATTGAGCAATGCTGTCGGAGTTATAATTTTTACAGAGGTAAACTTCAGAGATACGTCGTCATTGGAAGGAATGTTGGTAAATATTTTTATAAATATGCTCGAACTCAATGAATTGAGACATTGACGTCGACATTAACATGTTTTTTAATTAAGATTAGATGATTTGCATAACTAAAAGTAAGTAGTCCTTGAAGACTAAATACTTGTATTTATAAATATTATATAAATCATTAAACTGCACTGTTCCCTGAATTGGCATGTTCTTATTTAATCTCAAAGAAATTCTTCGTTGATTACTAGCCTTCAGTGTACAAAAAGATCTGTTTCTTATGTACTTACACTCAATTTGCTTACATTATATAAACTTTTAAAACTATTTCCTAGACTATTAAAGTTGTTTAACATTGTATTAATTGCTTGCTTTCTTCCTCAATAGGTGGTTTCTCTCTTGTTTTTGTTGTCAAATCAAACAATGGCAAGCATTATGCTTTGAAGCGTATATCTGTAAATAATAAAAAGGATCTTACCATTGGCAAATTTGAAATAGCAATAATGGTTTGTCTTTAATTTACAGTGTTCATATTTAATTTGATAAACAATTTGGTTGTCAATAAGTGATGGCTTTGTGGTACATTTTATGCACCATGTCTTAATTTTCTATCAGGCAAGCATATAGGTTACCTTGCTAACAAAACAAGTATGCTATGTAGATCCTTTTTTCTTTAATTGAAAGATATTGAAGTTGCTTGTATTAAATTATCTTGAGTTATGAAGGAATAAAATTGCAAATAACTGGGTTTTTTTTCAGAAAAAACTTTCACAACATAAGAACATTATTACATACGTTGATTCATCCATCACAGAAGTCAATCATGGTATCTTTGAGCTGTTGATCTTAATGGAATATTGTCGTGGTAAGATTTGAGTCTTGTAGTAAATTATAATAATTGATGGTATTAAAAAATATGAACCAAAATTTTAACTTTCCATCTTTCCCATGAAAGTAGATAATATAAGTATATATACAATGCAAGTTTTAGTATCAGATCACTTTTGATGAAGACACTAGACTGGAGTACATAAGGACTTAAATTTTGACATCAGATCACTCCTGATAAAGGCGATAGACTGGAGTATGTAAGGATACTCATGTTTTATCATCAGATCATTCCTGATGAAGGCGATAGACTGGAGTATGTAAGGATACTCATGTTTTGTCATCAGATCACTCCTCATGAAGGTGATAGACTGGAGTATGTAAGGATACTCATGTTTTATCATCAGATCACTCCTGATGAAGGCGATAGACTGGAGTATGTAAGGATACTCATGTTTTGTCATCAGATCACTCCTGATGAAGGCGATAGACTAGAGTATGTAAGAATACTCATGTTTTATCATCAGATCACTCCTGATGAAGGCAATAGACTGGAGTATGTAAGGATACTCATTTTGAAGACACTATAGTGGTGTATGTGTATAAAGCTCAAACATTATACAGAGTGTTAAATGTCAAGTCTTACATTCAGATGGTCATGTTATTCAACTGATGAATGAGAACTTTAACAAAGGACTTAGTGAAGACATTATCTTGAGGATTTTCACTGATGTTTGTGAAGCTCTGGCAGCATTGCATCATTCACAACCCCCAATTGTACATAGAGATCTGAAGGTACGTAGACAACATTGTGCCATGTAGTATAGGTTTATGCCTATCTGTTTGAAAGTTTACATGGAACTATTTGTTGATGATAGACATCTTCAAATACCTCGTTTTCCATATTAATATTCAAGATAGGAAAAGTTGTTTTCACATCTTTTATTAGTGTAGATAGTTTTAGTTGGGATAAGCTTAAAAACAAGTGTGCCAAGAAGCGCACTCTAATGAAAACAAAAATGATTTAAACCATAGGCAAATGAATCAATCAAGTACATCATTTAATGATAGACACACTTTGTCTTTGATTTTAGTTTACAGCTTGATCTACGTGTAATTGTTGTCTGTCACTATTAGGTTGAAAACATTTTAAAGAATTCATGTGGAGATTTCGTTCTCTGTGATTATGGAAGTGCCACAACAACGCCTATTAACCCCAAGGTAAAGTTGTAGTACTTCTTTGTCAAAAAGCTATATTTCTGGAATTATTATAAATCATGTATTCATGTAACATAAGTTTGTATGAGTGGAAGAATTTATTGTTTGTTTATCTGTTATGTATATTAGGAATGCAATTTATCTGAGGTTGAAGAGGAAATACAACGGTAGCTATGGATCTAAGGATATTGTCAGATAGTGAAGGATTATATTCATTGATATGACACGTGTTTTATTTTACAGTTTTACAACTCAGTCGTACCGTGCACCTGAAATGGTCGACTTGTACAGCGGAAAAATTATCTACACAAAGTCTGATATATGGGTACGAAATAGCGATGTTTTAATATTTACTGCTAATTGGTATACGACAACTTAATTTGATTAAGCGTGATTGTCTTTATGTATTTTCCAGGCTCTTGGCTGTCTTCTCTACAAACTGTGCTTTTATACAATGCCCTTTGGTGAAAGTGTACTTGCAATCCAAAATGGCCAGTTTACTATTCCCGAAAGCTCTAAATATTCCAAGGAAATACACAATCTCATACGTGAGTGACGACTTAAACGTTATAGACATGTGGTAACATGTACGACGTCTACATAAGATACCTACGGCTATGAAGACTTGCATTACATAAATATTTAGACAGTGGAAACATTTGTTTTGACAGGTTACATGTTAGAACCAGATCCTGATAATCGACCAGACATTTATCAAGTATCATATATTGCATTTCAACTTCGTAAAATAAATTGTCCTGTACATAATCCATCGGTAAGTTTTGAAAACATGTGCTGTTGTTTGATGAAGATTATCGTAATTACAAAAACATTTGGTACCAAGTCAATCCCAAATGTACCATGGGAAATGTACACAGGCCATCTTCATTATTTGCAAATTGCATCATAAGTCCATAAGTTGTGCATGACAAAGATGAAGCGATCTTTTCATGAAATGATACGAAGTGTAGTAAGCTGAAGTTGGACGACTTTCGAAAATTTTCTTGTCGAGATTAACCAATATCTGAGATATTCTTTATAATTGTTTGATTAAAAAATTATGTTTTAACCTTTCAGCATTCGTACGCTCCAAAACAACTGACGGAGGATGTTAGTAAATCTGCTACGACTGGCAAGTCGAGTGTAATCAGGTAAGATGTTTTACATTTTTCAAATGTATTCAATATCGTTATGGTTATTTAGCTAGTTACATTTGACTCTGAAGATGACTACCGCCAAGGTTGTCGAAACTTCAGTCAACAACAACAAAAACAGTCCTTCTCAGGATTGTACCAACCTGGACGATCTACATTTACAAACATGTAGTGTTGCAAAGGTCATAAAACTTTGCATCGAGTACATAGATGTTTTGATAGTTTAAGAATATTAGTTGTTGATTATTGGATCCTTTCCTTACCAGTTTTGTTGGCAATCATAGATTTTTGTGTCTACTGAATGATAGATTGTGCATTCTTCAGTGGTGAGAGTGCTTTGATGCAGACCACGCCCCGCTCCTCATCTTTATTTTTATAACAAATTCTTGTATCATCATTTCACGGGATTTTTTTCTCGTACACTCTATTTTAAAATCACAGAAAAACCAAATTATTCATTTGCTGTAGACCAACCCTCGAACCAGTCTCCACCTCCGTAAAAGCACGAAATCGTCCGCGTGCCGGGGCAGTTTCTCCGGCTACCGGTAACACTGATGTGTCGTCACGTGATGCGTCGTCAAGCGTGGAGTCTGGGACTCTCCTACAACAAGCCTTGTCTTTCGATAAGCCCGACTCTTTAGGTATAAAAAACCAACCTGTGCAAGGCACCTACTCGAGCTCGAGCTCCACGTTATTAACTACATTTGACCAAAGGTATATTAAAGACTCCTCTCCTGAATTTACACACACTCGTTCTCGCTCGGATCCCTCGTCTATCCAAAAGAATGTAAATATGACTCAAAGTACTGTTGGGTTTGCCGTTCATCAACCACATGTTAATGCAATTCATCATTCAAATCATTACCAACAACCGCACATGACTTCCTCTCAAACACAATATGAAGAAGAACGAAAGTTTCCCCAATGGAATCCGTTCACTAACGATTTTGTTTTAAACACTGAAACATGCGATGAAGATTTTGCTGCTCTTCGGCCTGGTCCTTCGCCTGCTTCACAATTTATTGCTGGTAGTTCTCAAAGACATTTTCCAAACAATTCTGTGAAGATTCCAATTGATGCTCGGGTTTCTGAAAGCAACAAAAATACTGGTGAATTTGAGGTTTTTGACTCGTCACGACAGAAAAACGCGTTTTTTGACGGATCATTTAACGCTGGCTGTGATACTGACGAGATGTCAGCTAACTTTAATCGAGGTACGACGCTTCACAAAACGTCTCACAGTGCTCACCGGGAAGAAAACGACGGTTATTGCGTATTTGAATCAGCACCGTTTAGGAAACCAATGACAAATACACCATTTTCAAAGACCGCACCCCCCTTTGTTGACGTGGAAAGGGATCCATTTGGTGCTGTCCCATTTAAACAAAAGGAAGCTGCAAAATTAGCTCGTAGACAAGCTAGAAGGAGCCAAAAGGAACAACAATCTAGTGGAGAGTCCCGCGGGCTTCAACAGACCGTTCCTAATATGGCACGCAGGTAGTGCAGGTTGGACTCTTCAATAACACAACTAATGGAAAAATTACAGTTTCATCGAAACCGCTAAACTTACGAACCTTTGGCTTAGTGAAACGGAATTACACTGGCATAATTTCTTGTCCAGTCAAAAATATAGTATGCTTCCAAAATATAATTTCTTTCTTTCACTTTGGGATGTGTATTAGGAATTCCACATCTCGTTTTGAGATACATAAAATTATTCTTTATTCCTTGAGATTTGAGAATATGATTTTTGTTCCGAGAAATACTGTAGCCAACTAAGGAGGTCTGGTAACGAATAAGTACTCTGTGGATAATGTTTACAAAGGAAGTTCATATGCCTTATTATTCGTAAATTTGAAAAGTTGTAAAATATTTTCTTTAAATATCTCGTCTGTATTTTTATGAAGTTAATAAATGATCGATTTTAATTTGCACGAAAACTTTCAATTGTATGTTTGCTTCTTGCGTGACTAAACAGTGCAAAGAACTTCGTGTTTTGTTCATTTTTGTTATGCCGGACGAAGTCATGTTTTGAAAGCTGTATGTTTTATGGACAGCGAGTTTGTTGCCCATCGTTAGGCTATTATTATGTGTTGAGATAAAAAATTCATTTTCTTTCTTTTGCATTTGACAGCTTTACGAGTTTTGCCAAATATATACTTTTTGCAAATGTAAATTGTTGAAAACAACGCCATTTTTGCCACATTTAACTGGTATTTGCGTGTAATTTGCATGATGCAGGTAGACTTAACAGACGCAGTTGTATTTTCAAAATTGATGTTTCTCTTTAAAAGGAAAGAATTTTTGTTTTTATGATATGAACGTCAAAGCTTCATTTCATCATATGTAAAGACATGCGTGTAGAGTGTTGCTTGTAAGAAAAAGGAGGAAATCAGTTGAAGATTTTTCCTTACATACAGTGGTTTATGCATCAATGTTGAAAATAAAATGTCTGGGATTTCATCATCCGATATTCAATTATTCCATCACGAATTGGAAAGAGTGAAGAAGGAAGTTTGTCGTTTGCGTTCTATTTATGGTTTCACTTCAGGTTTACTACGTCCAAAAGGCGCTTTTACAGGATATTCGTCGGATCACAAGCCCAACATGAAAGTTGGAAAATTATCATCTGATGTTGATGCGTTTCTTTTGGGTCACAATAATGATTACTGGGAATCCAGCCATATATTATGTCCAGAATTACTTGTGGTGCCGTTCTTTGCCGTATTAAAAACATTGAAAAACAGAACAGAGAATTGATTGAAGCTGTTAAAACCATTAAAGAAGAATTATTGAAATATGAGCGTGATTACCCGGATGGTAATCGGAAGTTATTGGACTTAATAGGTTCGCCTTGTGCGACCAAGGGAAATACCTCGAAACACTTATATGATAGCGGAAAACCTCCTGTAGGTAGTCTGAAAAAGTTGGAAACTGCTCAAAACCAATTGTGGCTGTGTGGATTGGAAAAAAATGAATTGATATCGATGTTGAACACTAGCTACAAGAGAGAGCAAGAAAGTCGGCTGCGTTTGGAAACCCTTCGGAATGAGTTCGCCGTTAGCGAAAGAAAATTAGAAAAGAATGATATAGGAGAGGGGCTTTTTCAACATATTCCTTCTGAACGAGTTGCTCATACCTATTCCAGTCGCGAAATGTTTCTTGAAAATCAATTGCAACAACAACAACAACTTGCAGAAAACTATGCTAAGGATTTGACGTTGAAAAGCAGACAACTGAGCAATCTTACAGCTGAGAAACACAGCTTACAATGTGAAGTGACTTCATTGCTCTCCGACATCGAATCGTGTAGTCTAAAACGTAAGGAAATGGCAAATGAAAAAGTAAAACTTCAGGAAGTTGTAGAAGTTTGTAGACAGAAGATGAGCAATCTGGAGAACGAGCTTACCTTGTTGAAATCTGGGAATCGACAACTTAAGTCAAAATGTAAGGAAGATAAGTTTGAATGTGCTTCTCATAAAGGCAAAAAGTTGGAAAATGAAAAGTTGCAGTTATTATTCGAAAATAAACAACTGAATTACGACTTAAAAATAAAAGATATGGAGTGTAGAAGACTTGTGAAAGAGAATGGAAAGTTGGCTGAAGACATTACTTTCATTCAACAGCCTTCTTTTTTTACTAAACGGCAACTAGACAAATCCCACGATCGTCTTCAAAATTTTGACTATGAACTTGAAAAAACACCATGTTCTTCGTTAGAGTTTGACATTAATAATTTCAACTCAGTGCAGCAAATCCCTAATTCTTGTACAACGAATTCTCTTTCTGAAAATAAAGAAGCGTGTAAAGAACCAGTTGAGTTCTCTGCCCTTTCTGATGATAGACAGTCGGCAGAAATGAAGACAATAAAAAGAATTGTGAACGAGCGAGACGAACAACTGAAGAAGTTTGAACTGGAGTTAAACGAGCTTTACAAAAAGCAAAACATTTACCTTACACATTTTCTTCAAAAAGATAAAGAGATTGCATTTCTAAAAGCTAGGGTTTTATCATCTGAGAAAAACACACAAGAAGGTCTTGCATACGAGCGCTCTCTCGGCCAATCGAATTTTAGCGCTCTGCAACATGATTTTGGGCAACCAAGCAAAGAGACTGAACAAGGTGCATACCTTGAGTGCAATGTGAAGTTTAAAAATGAATGTGAAGGGCAACATATTGAGCAGCAGACAGTAGAAGAGTTCAACTCGATCAACGAAACTCAATGCTGTGACTTGATCACAGTTGATCAACAAGAAAATAAACTGCAAGAATTTTCTCATTCAAAACAGGTGGGCATTATTTTTTATCTACGTTAATTTTCAAAATCGATATCAGTAAAAAAGAAGTGTAGTATTTGAAAATTTTCTACTTTGAAATAAGTTTAGTTGCCATTACCCCTGGTCGTTCGTAGTCATTTCTTTAAAAAGGCAGAACCGTGGGGTTGCTTAACTTGTCAAATGATTAAAAATCATCATTTAAAAAAAATTAAAACAATTTATGCTTTTATACATTTCCTTTCTTTAAAATGTAAAATAATTTGACCTCAAGCTCACCTTGCTACGTTCCTGGTTGTTTATTTTCATTCCCTTTAGACAATAGACGATTCACGTGTCAAAGAAAAGGAGTTGAAAACAAATGAGATATTGTGGATAAACAAGACTAATGATAATACACAGCTAAATAAAGACTGGGAACAAAAAGATGAAGAGATGAAAATTTTGAAACGAGCGTCTTTAGACGAACACGAATTGAAAGTTCTCGAGCTTAAAGATAGGTAAGCACAATGATAAAGTATTTAAATTGAGAAACTCATAACGCCATCTGTATGATTTTCAACGTTATTGTGAGGAATGATAAGTAATTATAAATCATGTTGAATTGGCTTCAAATTCTTTTTTGGCTATTGTGGTATTTTTTTCGCTATTGTGGCATTTTTTGGCTAGTGTGACATGTTTGACTATCGTGCAATTTTTGGCTATTGTGGTATTTTTTGTCTATTGTGGTATTTTTTCGCTACTGTGGCATTTTTTGGCTAGTGTGACATTTTTTGGCTACTGTGGCATTTTTGCTATCGTGGAATTTTTGGCTATTGTGGTATTTTTTCAGTTTACTCTATTTTTTTAATAGTTGTCGAAAGAAAGATATAGAGATAGAAGAGCTTAGCAAGAAAATAATCGCACTTCAGGTGAAGACAAAAAAGTTCTTTTGGCAGGATTCACATGTTGAAGATAAAATGGGGAATCTCAATGAAGAATATTACACAGATTTATACGAGAAAGAGAAACTAAGTAGCACTTTGTCATCTTCAGAACTGAAATGTTTTAGAACTAAAGAAGAAGTCGCGCAACTTAGGAAAACATCTAGGGATTGGGAACAAACATTGGAGGAGATGAAAGACAACCATTTTGAGAGGGACGAGGAAGTGAATAAAGTTTCAGATGTGGGTGAATTAATGAAGAAAAACAAGCCGAAAAATCAGGAACTTCAGCAAAAGGTAAAATATTTATATAGAACTTATACTTCACGTCAATAAGTAATAATAAAAAATCATGAATAGTATTTATTTCGACTTTGAAGTGTAATAATTCAAAAGGTCCTGTCAAATTCATAGGTGCAAAAACTAAAGGAAGAAAATGAGATCGCTTCATCAGAAAACAGAGAACAAAAGGTCTCACAGGATACCGTGAATAAAACTACACTGGAGGAGTCTTTGAAGAGAAGTATATTTAATGTCCGTTGTGGTGAAGAGAGTGTCCTTGAAAGATTAGTTGAAAGACTAAACACTTTAGAAGATGAAAACAACCAATTGTTAAATAGACTGGCAGAACTCGAAGACGAGCTAAAGGTCACAGAAGATAACGCAACAGACTTGAGAAACGTGTTGAAAGGAAATTACGATAATATGAACGAGCTGCACGCGGAAATAGACGTGCTCAAAGAACGTGTCGATGATTTTGGCGAAAGTGCAGTTGAGTTAGTTTATGAAAAGGATTTGCTACAACAAATCAACTAATAATGCTGAAATTAACAGAAAAATTAGGCAAAACGATTTGAAGATGTCAGATTATGTTTATGTGGCTTTTTTCATGTATCTTTAGATTTGAGTAATACCAGCCCAGTGGCTCTTTTATTGAATTATTCATTTCATATAGAAAAGGGAATGTCGTCTTTGTAAAGGAATTCACAGAACATGGAAGTTCTTGAATAAACGAAAGGAAAGTGCGCACCAAATTAGTAGCAAATATGAAAAATATTCGAGGATCTTGCCTGAAGTCCGTAAAAAATAGATGAAATTTGCATGAAATAGATTTGAAGATAGAAAATATTATATAGATGAAATAAATGACAAAGCAAAAATCAAAATTCTTAGAAGTTTTTCTGGCGTATTGAGAAAGATCTTACTGACGTCAGGAATTTATGTAAGAATGACGTACACGTGGGTGGGAACAATTGTATCTCTTATGTTATATGTAGCTACTGACACAAACGGTGTTAGTGCGAAGCTAATTCCGATAAAAATAATGTAATTAGGAAGTACTGAATCATCCGTTTATGTAAAATATCTTATTGTATTATTTTGATTCATTTTCAATGATGGCTAACTGAGTTTTTATAAATTTTTTATGTTTACTACGACACGTACACATTGACGACATAACGTTGCCTGCATTTAGGGAAGCTACTGCAATGCACATGGGCTTACAAGCCTACAAACGTTTAAAACAATTTCGCAACAACAACAAAAACGAACGTTAACATCCTCCTCCCGTTGTGCTTTTTTCTTATTTATTCATGCTTTTTTTTGTCTTTGAACGTAGTTGACATTTCAGGAAACAAAAAGTCAATGACTTTCAGTGTTTTTCTCAAAGTAAAAGTATCGATAGTACAGAATGTATTCTTCAATCTGGAACTGTAGTTGCTTTTACGCGCTTGTTTAAGCGGAAGTTTTGGTCAGCTGAGACGTAAAAACGTGAAATCCCGACACTAATCACAGGATGTAGGTTTGAGAAGGAAATATAGTTATAACATAAATTTTGTAAGCATGTGCAATACCAAATTAAGACAATTAATCGATTTTTTATTTCAAACCTTGGCAACTTGTCATATACTGTTGACAAAGAAGAGCATAGTTTCTTTGGTAAAGATTTGTAAATGGCAAGATAAGCCACCACTGGCGGTAGCAAATAGTTTGTTCATAAAGATAAAACGTCTTTAATTGCTTTTACTAAATAAATGCTTACGATTTTTTCATCAAATGCAGTTATGATTTAATGCATGACTAGAGAGCTATTTATGTATGATGTAAAGAAACTCGTCTTCCGTTGATAAAATTCATCAATTTATAACTTAAAAACTAACCTTTAAACAAACATTAAGCAAAGCTGGTTGACCTAAATGAACCTTTGAAACGGACCATCTGGGAGTTGTTGTTGAGCTTTAATATTGGCCCAAAAACTTTCTATATTAATCCAAGTTAGCTTCCAGGAAGTACTTTTGTCAAAAAGTGAAAAATGTTCGTTTTCTCATGTAATATTGTCTTTAACACATTAGTCGATCAAGCTAGTTGATTTATCTAACTAGAAAAGTCTAGAAAAGTCTCGTTGACAAAATAGTTAATTACTCATGTCCGAGTTTAGGTACACATCAAGTGGTTGAAGCCAGAAGGATAGATCAAAATTTTGCGTGGTATCTACCTCATGCTCCGACAGTCGGTGAGCTTTAATTAATTAAATATGAGAAAATTGTTCATTCGTACTTCCTTTTTTTTCCAGATTTGCAAAGAAATCTAGAGTACAGCACGTGTCATTATGCACCCTCATGATTTTATAATCTCATTAAACGTATCCTATATATGAATACATACATGTATATTACCCTCCTCATATTTCCTTTAGCGTCATCTCTTACACAGGGATTGCGTCGTGGATGTACTGAACTTTGACCTTCAGTTATTGCAGACAGGCTAATTCATGGCATCTAGCACGCGTTGATGGATTGCAAAACCTTTAAATTGCCGGAAACTCATTGCATAGCTTCATTCTAAGGTATATATTCAATTGAAGAAGACTAACACCACCAAAAAATTTATAAACATTGTGTGCGTGTATAAACATCACAAAAAAAACTTGCAAGAGCAAATATTGGAAAGATTATTTTGGAAAAAAAAGAATGCTGGGTAGAAAATTGACCGTTCATCATTCCGTCTTCCCAACGCATAATGGCGTACTATCTCATGTGTTTGCCTTCCTTGTTATGGTTGCATTTGTGTTGACTACAAGCTCTGGTAAAACAAACAGTGACTTTTCGATAACGACGAAGAATATTGTTCACTTTATTCATCTTTTTTCATTCTCCACATGGGTGGGAATTCAATGTTGGGTCCATGTTTCAGGTGAGAAGGACAATTCCAACATATCTCTCTCTGAATCCCGTATGAATCTGTAGTTTACAATTCTGATTCTTGACCTAAATTGATCAAATCCTTGATCAATTTTAACTTTATATGTTACTTAAAATGTAAGCACATCAAACTGAATCATTCCTGATTATTACTCCGGAGGGAAGTAATAAAAAACTCCAATCACAAAGTCATAATAGCTACAAATGAAGAGCAAAGTACGTGTACTCTATACTTGTTCAGTATTAAAACACCAAAGTTCCCAACACGACTTTTAATTATTAGTGGAATGTTGAACAAAATTTCACATAAGTTTATGTATTGCAATCTGTATTTTCAGGTTTTACTCTTTACAAGACGTTAAAAAGAACTGATTTTGTAGCTGTGCAGAGCAAGTTATTCCCCATGTACTTTAAAGCTGGCTTTTTCTTGAGTTCCATCGCTCTTTTAACACATATTGTCAGCACTGACTTATCCTGGCAAAATGACAGAGTAACTTTTTATCAGGTGAATATTCAGCCATGTTTAACCTTAGATTTTATTTCAACGAACTCTGTAGACATAACTTGGACTTGAGCCAGTCATTATACACAAAGTGTGCTCTGAAATTTTAAATGTTATGTTTTCTGCTTCCTCATCATTTGTCAAAAATAAACAATCAATAATATTTCATGGACATATAAGGTAACTGAATCTCGCTTAACACGATGACGAAGATGCAATCACAAACCTTATTACGAAAATGTCGCTGGTTATTTTACGTGTTGCGTCAGAAACTTTGGATTTTAAGACAAACAAGATCCAGTTACGCAAAACTGAGATTGAATTTAACATACGATAATTGATACGTTGAATAGGTCTAGACATCACAAAAATCTCTCTGACGTTAACTGATCAAGTTCTTCGTACATATTTTTTAGACCCTTGGTTTAATGGTTTCCCTTGCGTGTTGCCTGCTTAATTTATGCTATCTTGGACCACGTACCATACAAATTGTTCAAGAGAGGGCTGCACGTGTTAAAGCTCTTGGAATTAAAGACGGCGTTGGTCGCGTTTGTCTCAACCTTGTTAAAAACGATACAGAGTACATGAGGATAAGAAAATCTTTTCTTTTTTTACACATGTGGTGCTCTTTGGTTAACTTATTCTGCTATGGAGCATGTGGAGTAAATATCTGGTGCTTGACCACAAAACATGCTTTGCTTTGACACGTGAAGATTGTTGGGAAAATTGTAATATAAACCAGGTGTTTGACTTTGATAGGAGAAAAACATTTTTACAAGTCAAACTGAACAATGGAAGATTTTATGGTGCATGCATGTTGTATTTATAAATCTCTTTAATGAGATGAATAGTTTTTTAGAAACAAGTTTTCAAATAGCTTATCATAGTTGAAATTAATTTATTTTATAAATGATATTTGGGTAATCGAAAAATTATAAAATGTTGTATGTCACGATTGTCATGTTGTATATACAAGCGGTACTACTGTATAAGTTATTGGACAGATTATGAGCAAGAGTCAATGTGAATCAATGTATTAAATAGTTCAAACTTGAATCATATTGTAGTCGTAAACATTTAAGTTTGAATATTCTGGTAAAGACTGGAATAACAATCAGATCATTTCTTTCTTGAAGATCAGAACTCACTAGATTACTCGATCTCGTGTTTCTTATTTGTTTCTTATGTTGAAAATAATGAAATAGTCACTTATATCCAATCAAACAAAAGCATAATTAGTTTAAGGAAGATCTTTTCTTTCAAAGGCTTTCATTCATGAGAAAAATGTACAAATTTCTTAATGACATAGATTCAATTCAGAAGAAATATTGTTCACATTTACCGAAAATTACAGTTTTATCATCAAAGATTTTTGTTATGCCTTTTATTAAAGCCTTTATGACATAATAAATAGAGAGATCTTGCAACACATCACGCCACTTTGATTTTTTGCGTAAAACAAAGTGTCGGAAGTTAAGAAAAAGATGAAGCCAATCATATAATTTAACTAAGCAGATCCTTTAATTAATACTCCTACGTAATTGTTGATATCATGAAATAAATCTAAAATTTTTTGTCCATAATGTCGTCGTTTTATGATCATGAAAGCCGTCATATATTTACTTCACTGACTTACATGTTATATATAGTATTTCAATATTTCAATAGAGTTAAAAAACGTCATCAACACTTTTGGTCCATTGGGTCCGCAATTCCGGGGGCTGTTCTCGGCCTGGCCCAGTGGCCTGGCCTGACGGTCTTTTGATAGGAAGCCAACATGGCGTATGTTTTGGGTCTTTTAATGACTTTTGACAGGAAACAGTGTCCGTGCAATAGATAATATTGCTACTTTGCTAAGCTGAGAATTTTTCAACTATGGATGAGAATTCTGATAACAACCATAATGGAAATGGTAAGTTTAAAATTTTCATTTTCTTCAGTTATTACAAATGCCGAAATACTTCATTCTCTATCAATTTGTCTATTGCTTTGAAACATGAATTTAATCGTTTCTACCATCTACTTCATTAAATCAATGAGGTATTTCCTTGCACTTTTCCCAGTAAAACGAGAAAAGAGTTAGCTGTTCAGACGAATGAACTGTAACTGTCAAATTGCATTAATTTTTGTCAGGGAATACTAAGGATAAATGGAATCTAAAACGGGGAAAACCACCGGATAAACGTCGATATAATGTGGAAATAGACTATTACACTAATTTGATTGAAGAGAAGGAGAAGTTATTGGTATCTTTTACGCTTTCTAAAATCTGTAACTGCTGATATTATTTTTACTTTATTCATCTTGTCAAATTGCAATTAAAATTATCTTTGTTTATTTACTTTTGTACTGCCTGCATAACATTGTCGCTACTTATTACATATAAATAATGGACTAATCTGGGCAAAGTTTTCACATCTAAGATCATACTTAGAGAATATCTTCAGTTTATTTAAAATATTAACATCATCTTCCAAAGATGATTGAATTTACTTTTTTATTGTATATAAGTGCCTGAAATACCTCAGTAATAAGATGAAAAAATGTTCACAGATCTCTTCAATTTTCTCTCTGAGCATTGCGACTGTGGAATTTGTGATTTTATATACTCTTAAGTTATTTTCTTGACAATGAATTTTAAGTCATTCGATGTTTCAAAGACAACAAAGTTAACACCCTCTTTGAATGCCAACCGCGAAGAGCTTCTGGGTAAAATTCAACTCCTGAAAACTAAAAAAGATGAAAAGATGAAGCAAAAGCAAGCCATTGATGCTGAAATAAAAGTTGTTAATGAAAAAGTCAGGAAAAAGGTTTACAAAACACTTTTGATAAAGTTATATACATTCATGCATATGATCACACTAAAATACCCTATAAGAAAGACACTAGATTGTAGTGCAAAGTGAGCCATGTTTCAACAAAAAGTTGTTAATGAAAAAGTCAGGAAAAAGGTTTACAAAACACTTTTGATAAAGTTATATACATTATTGCATATGATCACACTAAAATACCCTATAAGAAAGACACTAGATTGTAGTGCAAAGTGAGCCATGTTTCAACATCAAATTTCTCGCGATGAAGTTACTAGAATGGTGTTGATAGGGACTCAAAGGTACAGATCAGATCACTTCTAATGATGACATCAGTCTGGAGTTTAAAGGGATTAAGGACTTGAGTAATAACATTAGATTACTTCTGATAAGCTCTAGGTGGTTTCTTATAAAGAGCTGTGTCAATGTTAGGTTGCTTTTTATAAAATATGGTATTAAATGATAGTATAAAATAGTATACATTTATGTTTTTTTATAGAATGAAGCTTGTATGAAACTTCAAGCCAATATCAAGCACAAAGATGACCAACGATTAAACAATGCAATCAAGTACGAAAAACAATCATGTCACTAAATTCCTGTCATATTGACCAGCATTTAACTTTCTCTATTTTCAGTTTTCTACCCCTGTTGACCAGCATTTAACTTTCTCTATTTTCAGTTTTCTACCCCCCCTGCCTCACCAACACTTTTTTGTAGTTATTTCAGTTTTCTACCCCCCCTGCCTCACCAACACTTTTTGTAGTTATTTAATTTGTATCTCATGGTCTTGCTTGTACAAATTGTTTTTTTTCAATTTCACGGAAAGGCATTTGGAAACACATTTAAGCACAAAACAACTAAAACTTAGTGAAGAGAAGAAGTTAGTAAGCGAAATAGATGCACTGAAGAGATCAAAGAAAACACTAAGGTTAAATTTCCTTTTTATGTTCTGAATCGCTGATTGTTGCATTTTTCCTTCCTTTGAATGCATTTTTAGTTCGTTATCTGTGACTATTTACAGTGAATATTTAAATGTAAAGCAAGAAGTCGACCAATTACGTCAACAACAAGTGAAATTCAGAAGTGAAAGAGACGTAAGGCCATATCATGGATTTTTCTTGTAGTATTTTGTAATGTTAAGGACAACCTTTATGATTCAGCTCAATTCGGCATTGGAAAATTACTTGTGGCTAAATAAGTTATTCTATAAGGAAATATTTGTGAAATAAATTTGAATGTTTCAGGATTTGATCCGACAAATGCGAGATATCAGAGCAAAGGAGAATGATATAAAAGTGTCACTTGATTCAATAAAAGAAGAAAAGAAAGAGTCAGAAGAAGAACATCTGACAGAAAGTCTTGATAGAGACGCATTAAAGAAAGGTGTGCTTTGCTTTTGGTTTTCTACACCAACGCAGTAATGACAATTGTTAGCCTAGTAAAAAAAAGTTTAATTTTTTATTAGCACAAAGCCTACTTCAAAAATTTTTAATTTGCTCTTTTGGTGTCAACTTCTTTGCTTCTGATAATTTTATTTTTTATGTGATAAGTTTATTTTATCTCATTAAGCTGATAAGTTAATTACAAAGTGAAATATTCTTGAAGTGACGTTCGTATTTCGTATTTACTTTGTTGGAACAGAAATTGATAGTTTGTACGAGAAGAGAAGAGAACTTCAAGAAAGTTTTCAGAAAGCTTTGGCTTCGTATCATGAAGAACAGAAACAAACTGAAGCAATGGTTGAAAAAGTTCGAGCAGAGAAAAAGCGCGATGAACAACGCTTAGCAAAACTTTACAAAAAACGGTGTGTTTGGTGTTTTATAATCCTCTTAAATAAATATCTCCATCAGAAATAATCTGATACTGTCATAAAAATCACTCCTGCACAGTCAACTAAATTTTAGTTCATTTTACCAGACAAGGGAAAAAGTGGAATTTTCCAAGCTATGAAGAGGAAAGGAACGTCTGTGTTTGCTTGATCCAATATTTGCAATCTTTCAATTCACAGTACACAGGTATGTTCTTAAGCAGATCAAGTACACATCGAAGTATTTCTTGCATCTATTTGCATTTTAACTCAGTATTTAAAAATTTCTTTTTGACTGATGAACGAATCACCATTTGTTGTATACGAGTACATATGTTGAAGTGAGAAAGTAACCTTAACCAACCGTAGGTTGCTTGTCAAAAAATAATATCTCATTTTATTTCAGCAATTTTTTTGTCTTTTGTTAAGATATATTGTGAAGCGAGTTAACTTGTAAATTCTCTTTTTGATTTGGAGTCGAAAAAAGTTACAATGTTTTTGAAGAGTTTTAAGCTTGTTTTTTACAAACAACAGTTACAATCCTACATTACATTTTAAGCATCAAAATATGAAGATGTACCTGAAGAAGAACCATATAATGTAAATCCTGATGATAATCTTGGTGGATTGTTTGTGCAATCTAACCGTAGTATGAAAAGGAAAAGCATTAGAAAAGGTCGAAAGACGAAGGACGTTTCAGCTCAGGTGGGAATTGTGCCATTATGTTCTTAATGGTCACAGATATTCAGTATTGTGTATTGTGTGAGTACTGATTGAAATGGTCGTATAAAGGAATATAATTCGTAAAATGTGACTGAAAAACTTATTATGATACCATGATTTTTTATTGCGCAGAAATTTTGCTATACTTGTGTTCTTGAATATTGTAGTCGAGCGTCCTTTGTAGCGTAACGATTTTGACCATTTTTTAATGTAGTGCAAAAGTGAAAAGAAACTTTTCATAGTAGTATGATTGGTTGTTTTATACTGATTTTACAGAAACTTGTTCTGCATCCCGATGTATTCCAGAAATTTGAAAAGCTTTCCCTAGATCCACCGTTATATTATGCTGATATCAACGTTATTCTGGAGAAACTGAAACATAAAAAGGTGAAAAACAGCTAAACTTTTGTTAGCTATTACATCTGTCATTCAATGGGTTTATTGTTGATAGTTTTGCACATTTGAGGTTGTGAAATTGGATTATAAAATAATTTCATGTACGTTGGCCTGTAGGAATTCTACCAGAGAGAATCCGAGAAGATGTATGAGAGAGCTGTGAAGAATGACATACGTCCAAATGAAGACTATGTTTCTCAAAGTGAACATCGTTTTCAAGAAAACGAGAATAATGATGTTTTTCATGGTGCTGAGCTCTTTGTGAAAGTCGAACGTGAAGGTAATGTATTGAATAACCAAAATAAGATACTTGAGACAGTTTCACCAACTGAACAGACAAATGAATATGTGAAAGACGACAGTGAACAATTTCAACTCAAGCATTCACACGATGACAAAGATTTTCGTCATAAGTATGAAGTAAATGAAAAACAAGATGACGCTAAACACATAGAAAGCTGGCGAACAAATGATTGTTTGGAACAAAAAGTACAAAATAGACATGAAATGAACGATAAAATCACCACCAATAAAGATACCATCAACAGTTCTTCTTGTTTAAACTACAGCGCAGTTATAGCTTTGGACAAGAACGAGAACATAAATTTTCAAGAAATTGAAGTCCGTGTTTCTTGATGAATTTTTACTTTTTAGCGTACATATGTACCAGCGTTGCATGCTTCGACATTAGTTAGACCTTCGTACATTTTTTTGTGTAGTTTTTGTATTGTTAGTGGCTGGATCCAATGAATTAAACTTGTGCTGTGCACAATAAAGAAAAGTAGAATTGTATAATTTTAAAATACCGTAAACTATTATAAAAATAGTTCAAAATGTGACGTTTTTTGACTGGCAAACATTTTCAGTCATTTCAATTATTCTGTCTGATTCTAATTCATCGTGATATTTTTTGCTTAAAAAAAATCATTTCTTTGTTGGAAAGACAGCTCTCAATGTCGTGTTTTAGCAACAAATCAACGAGGATATTCTCAGTTGCGGTTCATCCTTTTATTTTTGCATTCGTGATAAAATTGAACAAACGGTTAGCTAAATGAAGTAGTATAGAATTATACATGTTGACTTCGTGTAGGCGTCTAGTCAATATAGCTATCATTAAAAAAGTGTTGTTTAACCAGAGGTTACAGCCTCACAGCCTACAGGGCATTGAAATTCCCCTATGGTGTTAGGTTGTTTTTTCATGGTTTTGTAACGTTTTAGCAGTGCATGCTGAAGAAATCATCTATACCCTGGTTCGTTACTGGGACAAATCTTGCTGAGAAGACTGTTGATTGTGATGACAAATGGCTTTTCGATTTAGTTATGTAATCCTTTCAAAAACCATGTGCTCCTTGTCATATTTACAATTCATCGATAATTAGATATTTTGCATCAATTTATTGGCAAACTTCTAGTTTTTCTCCTATAGAAGTTGAATGTTAAAGTAGTTGAAAGTTGTACTCTTAGGTCCCTTGATGTCCTTCATTAATATTTTTATCATGTGACAGGGATCTTTCGGCGGGAAGAAAGTTCTGTTCGAAATGCCGCAGCCATGTTGAACCAGCGAAGTTATACTTTAAATTTCCTCGTGAAACTCGTCTTTGAAGATGGAATTTAGCTAGAAATTGGTAAGCAGACCATTGTTAAGATGGAAACTCGTAGTATATAAGAGATAAATGCCACTTGGCTTCTTGTTTTATGAGTTTAAATCGTGTTATAAATGCATTTTTTGTTAAAACAATATTTTGTTGTTTACAAACATTTCTTATTCAGCTTGTGAGCCTTATTTTTATTGAAGAATAATGTGTCTATTGTCTGAATGAATTCAGCATTAAACTTTCTTTCGTTTACGAGCGGTATTGCCCCTAAACTTTCAAAATATGGACAGAGTTTATTGAATATTTTCACTCGATTATTTTGCCCCTTGCGAGGCGCGTCGTTGTCGTTATATCAGTTCATCAAAATTTCAAATTAACCGGGCTTGTTTTCACGGCTATATTTACTTCGTCTGTTCACGGAAATGAACGTAAATACACAATTCTGTAATATATTTGTTTGAATGAAAGAGTAGAACAGTGGCCTTAAATATAAGCACTAAATTCGTATTTCCAAGTTGATTACGCAAAATTATTTATTGCACACAACTCAAGCGTTTAAACCAAATGGAGGCAATTCTTCATCACAATAATAAAGAATTTCACTATAAAATCTCAAGAGGTATCATCTAATGAGGTAAACCTTTCCTCAATTTCAATTGAATGTATGAAAAGCACATTTAAAATGAGATTTTTGTTAAGAAATTATTTTGTATTTTATTCTATCATCTTGGCAAAGTTGCTGTATAAATGCTTTCCAAATTTATTCATTGGCAATGAAGACAAAAAATTTATCAATGGTTTCATTGTGTGCCTAAATTTCTTGCAATTGTTTTATTGTGTTAAGCCAGCAAAATTGGGAAGTATCCTATGTAGCTTTTTATCCTTTTCTTTTGCAATGGAGTTTTCATTGCATTGCATTATTGTGGTTGTTTTGCAATATGATGAAGGTAGAGCAATTTTTATAACTGAATGTTTTATTTTGTAATCTTTTCGTTTTAATTTCAGATCTAAAAGAAAAAAAAAAATTTGCTGGTTTTTCTTCCTGTTGAAAAATGTTCTATGCAAACTTCATTCTCTCCAAGAAGGGACCATTGGCTCGTGTTTGGCTTGCTGCACACTGGGAAAAGAAGTTAAGCAAGGCACATGTGTTTGAGACAGATGTTGAGACTTCAGTTGAGAGCATTATGTCGCCTAAAGTTAAAATGGCTTTACGAACATCTGGACATCTCCTACTAGGCGTAGTGAGGATCTATTCACGAAAGGCTAAATACTTGCTTGCTGACTGTACAGAAGCATTTGTGAAAATCAAAATGGCCTTTAGACCTGGCCTTGTTGATCTTCCAGAAGATGGCAGAGAAGCTGCCATGTCTGCTGTAACACTTCCCGAAGTTTTTAATGATTTTGATCTTCCTTTGCCTGGTCTTAAGTAAGAATTGAATTTCAACCAAGGAAATTTTCAAAACTTATAATAACCATTGCAATGTTATGCATCCCATCATATATAAGAAAAATTCCATGAACCTATTCATTATCTTTTGTACGTTTTCACAACTTTTACATTTCTTAGTTTGGTTACTATCTTCTTATTTAGTGATTTTGATGTCCATGTTCAGTTCAACCTGAATCAATGTCGTGCTGAAGAGATCACAATGAAAGATGATTTTGTCATTATGCGTTCTTTTGAGGATGAAGGTTTTGGTGATGATGTTACATTTGGTGCATCTAATGAGAGAGACGAGACGCTTCGTGATGGTTCTGCACTGGATGACTCTTCCTTTGTTCAATCAAAGGATCGCTCAAAGATTTTGATTGATGAGTCTGGTGATGGCTCCAAATTGACCAAGAAGCAAAAAATAGGTACGTATATATACTATGTAGTACATCAAGGCATGAAAATGACATTATGTTTTGACAAATTGCCCATTCTAGTTTGTATAGGCACTGTATATTGTTACTATAAATTTTAGGTTTCCATGCAGAAGATCCCCTCAACAATGACATATTTAATGGATTACTTGGTGGAGATGGATTTGGTGATGAAATGGGAGAGGGTGTGCTACCTCCCCTTGAAGATCTTCCCACACTTGCCGAAATTGATCTCTCATTGGATCCTATACAGGAGTCGGACAAGAACAATGATGAAAAAATGGACGTGGACGAGCCACTTGAAAAGACAAAGACAACTGATGTGAATGATGAATCACCTGATCTTACAGGTTTGAAATGCCTATTTGTGTTGTCTGGGTCATGTGATGGTTGTTTTCGGGGTTCCTTTTAAAGTCTTTTTAGCGCTAGACTAGATTTACATTATGAGGCTAGCAACTTTAAACCCTTTTTAGAGTGTCTTTTAGTGCTAGACTACATAAATTTACTTTCTGACGAATACGCAAATTAAGATTGGCAAAGTGAACGGTGGCAAAGTCTAAAAATCAAGGACTGCATTTATAAGTCTGGTTGTGACGAGTTCAATGAAGTAACCATTGTAAAAAAGTAGTCTGTTCCAAAAGTCCCCCGTCTTTAGCGTGAACTAGGGTTTTTGTAAAGGCTCGGTTTAGTTTAACGTTCGTATCGTAATTATGTAAATGACTGAGTGAAAAACGGTTTGGAAATTTCTATAAAATTGTTTTGGTAATTGTTAAATTTTTACGGCCGGCAAATTGATCTTCGTGTGTATGTTTCTTCCCTAAAGTGGGTGATGTTGAAAAGGGTAATGAAACGACAATCGTTCAAAATAACGAAGAAGCTTTTGTTTTGGAACCCATCGAAGTTCTTGGCAAAGAAAAAAAGAGTAAACGAAAACGAAAACTGATTGTCGATGTTGAAAAAATACTTTCGAGTAACATCATCAGTAGTCAACTAGCTAGTACGGAGGATATTGTAAAACCAGCCACACTTGCTCCTCCCACGAAAATGAGAATGAAACTGAAAGACTCATCAACGACAGATAAACTTTTCAATAATCCTAATATCAACAATATCGCGCCAGTCCTACGTAAAGCCCTCGTGCACAATTTGACGTCGAAAATTGTCGATGCTCCAGAGCCCCAAGATGTTGGTGAGAGAGTGGAACTAGAAGAAATTGATAGCCCTCGAGAGGAGGTTCACCAAGAAGAAGTAAGATTGAATTGCTACTATGTTAAGTAAATGCATTTCCAATATTAATTTTTTAGTTTGAGACTGAAACAAATGACTGAAATTTTAGTGTTGGTGTCTGCTGTGCTCGGAGCCAATCACAAATTGTTTTCATTTAAGCAGGTGACGCTGATCAATCATTAGGGTTTTTAAAATGAACTACCACTGTTGCTTACATTTTGCTGCATAAACGTGGATCTGTGTTCAGGATTTCTGTTGTACATTAGAACAATATATTTTGCACAAAGAATGATTCTTTGATGTTCAGTCGTTTGAAAAAGTGAGTAGAAAAGTTTTCACATCGTATCTTCCACACTAGAACATTTTTTGTTTGTTTTAGACTACCGAAGAAAAAATTAAGAGTCCCATTTCTCCTCGCAAGCGTAAATCAAAGCGTGATAGTACCTACTCACCTTCAAAATCAGTGTCATCTGTATTTCAAGCTAATATAACTAACGATGGCGGTTATGAGCAACACGGAGAAATAGAAGACCCTATTATTCCAGAAGAGGAGGTTCGGGTGGATTTTGATAATAATATCGAAGATGAGATATCTCAATCACAAATGGACGACGAGCAAATGACTGGAGAGAAGTACGAAGAGTTGCAAGAGAGACGATGGACGAAACGAACTCAGCAACTTATGTACACCCTTAAACGTGAGCTGAAAAAACGAGACAGTATTGCTCTTGATGTCTTGTGTAAACAGGAAAATCGCAAGAAAGTTGCTTGCAAATTTTATAGCTGTTTGTTGCTTAAACGAGATAACGAAGTGGAATTGACGCAAGACAGTGCATTTGCAAAACTCTACATCTCAAAAGGACCCTCGTTTTATTCCAATTAAACAAGTCATACAAACAGAGGATGTTCGAGACTCTTATTTTTTGTTGCTTCATTAGGCCACATTTATTAGTTTTTAGAATAATTTAATTGTTTTATTGTATATTCCATGCTATGAAATGTATATGTATTCAGCACTAAATTTGCAACATGTAAATATGACGTTGAAAATGACATAAAGTTTTGCTATAGTTAAATTGAGATCAGAAATTAAATGAGATAGATCTACAATTTGTGAGCACCCTCCCCTCCCTGTGATCATTTTCTGAAGGCGTCATTTTGAAAAGTTAAATTACAGTTGGAGTTGTTTTCGTAAATGAAAAAATAACGACGTTTGTCTGGAATTCTGTAAATGTATGATATGAAATTTGGAGAAGCAAGTTGATATATTCAATTATAATCTAACTACAAAAGAATTTAAACAAACTTCTTATCGTTAAATCAAAAGGTAGGTTATATATATTAAAAGAGGATTGTGGATCGGAGATGTTCAACTTTTGAATTTATTTGCTAAAAACCACGTGCCTCCTTATGTATAATGTAACTAACCAAAGTTGTCATTGTTTGTGGCGAAAAAAAATTTTTAAATCCTTGTTTCATGCATGCAGTTCCTGTATGTCAATCATCATTTTAAAATCCGTTGTTAACATTTTGCGACATAAATTGTTCAATTCTGGTCTTCGAACTTTACAATCCATGGATCGAAATAAATCAAGACACAAATCAACGTCCCAGTACTATGTACTGTGTACCTGAATTTCTTTATGTGTTAATGCTTAAAAAACGTGGAAAATACAAAAATGGTTAGTCTTAAAACTAACCGTTTAATTGATGTGCATGAGGGAACATGGTTGGGACATTGTAGTTTACCTGATGACTTGTAGAACTATCTATTTTGATTGATCTATTCTGGTATTTGACACTTGATATTAAAAGTTGCTTTTATCCTGAATCGATTAAAGTTTTGCTTTAAGATTTTGTTGAATTTCTCAAAGAATATTTAATAAGTTGAATTGTCTTCTCAGGGAGAAATGTCATCCTTCCATTATGATTTCATCCTCTCCAAACGCAGCTCGCTTGCAAAGGTATGGCTTGCAGCACATTGGGAAAAAAAACTTAGCAAAGTTCAGGTGTTTGAGACAAACTTACCAACTATTGTTCAAGACATTATTCATCCAAAAGTGCCAATAGCCTTACACACATCAAGTCATCTTCTTGTTGGACTTGTTCGTATCTACTCTCGAAAAGCCAAATACTTGCTGAAGGATTGTTCTGAAACTCTGGTCAATATCAAGGTGGCATTCAGGCCTGGCTCATATGAAATTGACAACGTGGTAAAGAAACAGAAGTCATCCACTGGGAGTGAATATGTTGAATGCTCACTTTTCATCACTAAAAAATTGGACTTGCTTGATCATTGGATCCCGGATGTTAGGTAGAAATAGTTATTATATTATTCTATTGACCAAGAGCCAAGCCTGCCTGATTTTTTGTTCAAATTAAGTTGCCTTTAGTTATGTGTAGTATTTGTAAGAATACATCTCAGACAACAATAACTTTTTCAAGGTAGGGTCTATGACATTTTCAATATATTTACCAAAAAAATTGTTTTTGTGCCTAATTATGCTTTCAGATATTAATCCTATCCACATATGATACATTCTAAATATAAGAACCATATAATAAACAAATGTGACAGTATCAACTTTATCTTGCGATCACTGTTGCCCAGGGGTATCAAAGTGGAGGAGTGCTTGGGGTGGAACCCCCTCTCCCCTTAAGTGATAGGTTTTATTAAAGTTTTTGGATGATCTTGTCATGTTTCAGGAATCAAAGTTTAGTGAGTATTAATGCAAAAATAAAATAAACTTATGAAATATTTTATGGCTGCACTATTGTTTAATTCCTTATTTTGTTACAATTTTTTTAAAATTTCTGTACCCAAGAATTGAACACTTTTGCTGAAACATCATGATATTAGTTTGTTTGATTTGAAATTGTTTTCCACAGTGCCGAAATAGATTCTACATTGAATCAAAGCAAGCATGAAGAGATCACACTTCGAGAAGAGTCAATGAAGTTGAACTCACTAAAAGATTATTTTGATGATGATGAGGGATTTGGAGAGATGGATAATGAGGGATCAGGTTTGTGATCACAGAGTATTTGGCATTGTTTTATGGATTATGCTAATGATTATATCATTTATTCTAGTCAATGCCTTTGACCAGGCAACAAGTTATTGTGTGTCAACATTAGAACGAGGTCAGAGTTTGGCTGACTCAGCATATGGTACAGAAGATATAGGCTCATTGGAAACTTTTTCATCAAGTGATTATTACAGTGATCCATTCTCATCTGGTCTCACTCCAGTTAAGAATCCCAGCAGTCCAATAAAGATAGCAAGAGATCATCTAAACATACGTAAGTAATGTTTAAGTTCATATTTTTAAAGCGTATAAAAAGTGTGTTTAGCGATGAAACATAGGATCCCGCCCATAGATCTCATTTTCTGCCTATTGAATTGTCATGTTTGATTTTTTATGTAAAATTTTGTGTCGCTTATGAATAACAAAATGGAAAGCTATTTTTGCGCATCATCAAGGATTATGGTGACATTCCTTGATTATTTTCTGGTTGACAGAAATTGCTACGTCACTTGAAATCTAAAGTCAATCTAAGCGACTAAATATTTTTTTCTTGCAAGAGTTGAACAAAAACTTCTACTATTTAAATTCTCCAATCTGATGTTTTCTAAGTGCCATTGAATGTTGACAATTTGGATAATGATATGGAATTGTGCTCAAGCCCCATAGCAATTACTGACTTTACCTTGACTGATGAAGAAACAAAAACTGTTGAACCGGAGCTAGCTGTTGACAAATTTGTGCAAGCAAGGGAAAATGAACTCGAAAAGAACAGTGCAACTTTTGAACTCGATGAAGCACAAAGATTAAAGAGGAGCTTTGGGGAACGTGAAGATGGAACTGATGTTATTCTTGAATCAATAGAAAGCATCAATAAAAATGTGCGTTCTCCCAGAAAGAAACTGAAAAGAACTATTTTTATCGATGTGGAAACATCTTTAAACCGGGAAGTGATTGTTGATAACATTGCACATCCTGAAAGACATTTGTCTGAACCAAAATTCGCGACGCCACGAAAAAAACTCATGAAAGAAGAAAGAAATACAGCGTCTCTTCTTGCAAAATCATTCAACAGAGAAATGACACCAACTTTAAATAAACTTTTTTGTTCAAATTTCCATCTAAAGCAATCGAGGGATAGTTTGCAAACCTTTACAGATGAAAGCACTTTACCTGAAGATTGTACCGATTTTAATAATCTCTCAAACGTGAATGAAACGATTGCTCAGGAGGAAGGAGTTGCTTTAACTCAAGAGTTCATTCCTTTACATGACGAGGAATATTCATCAGATGAAGAATGTTCTTGGAGTAGAACATATGAAAAGAATGAAGAACTTGACGTGAGCAGTTTTAACAACGCTTTGACGATGGATGACGACGCGATATTTGATGAAAACATTTTGAAAGATAGATTTTGTTCATTTGTTGAAACGAAAATTCAAAATGCTCCTAGCAATGAGGTAACCTTTCAGCAAATTGTTGGCAGCAATGTCGTTAAACTTTCGCGAAAAATAGTGGCGCAACGATTTTTAAAATGTTTGATTATGCAACGAGATTCGAGATTGACTCTAAATCAAGAAGAATCGTTTGGCGTAATCACTCTTAAACCTCCGTCAGAACATTCATGAAGTTTTTAATGTGAAGAGTCTTATCACAATCCTTCAAATTTAGATAAGAACTGATCGCATTTGACTCTTTCGACTCTAGCCAATAAGCCCAAAAAAATTATTGGATGCGATTTAGGAAGATGTACAAGAAGAATTTCTTCTGATTTCTTTTCAAGTTAGTTGTTGTTATAGGGCACAGTTCACTAATTCTGCCGTCTTTTGTTGTGTTCTTCGTATTTTAGTCCAAGTACTCTGTAAGCCATGCATGTAAAAATTTTATTAATGTAAATTATATCATGTCATTTACTATACATTTTAAACAACATACATATACACATTGTAAAAGATATGGGTTTTAACAGTTTAAAGTTTTGATCGTACATCTCTTATTATATAACAAAATAAAAAGGTAGATGAGAAAGTTTTTCTTTGGAGGACTCGTTATTTTGATTTTTAATTTTGCCACATCTGTAAAGTTTAACCCATTAGGTCGAAACGCAAGTCAGATCGCTCAGTAGGTAACACTTATCTACAGGTGAACATTTAAAACATATGTTATATGTACATTGCTCTACTGACCTTTTGTAGATTTAACGAAGTCGTTATTAAGTTAGAATATGTATGTAAGAATTAATGGTATTTGTTTACCATCACAAACCACAAATTTCAAACTGTATAATTGCTACTTCAGCCTAGATATACAGTATTTACACGAAAAAAATATCAACGTCTTTATACGTAGTGATATTGTGAGAATCCTCACTGACTTTAGCCAATGATGTTATATTTACATTTTTTAGGTTTTTCTTTGATAACTCTATATTGCATGTGAGGGGGGAGGGGAGAGTATATTGTCTTTGTTACACCGTCGTACTTGATGAGCCTGCTCCCCCGCTTGTCGGTTTACTTGGCTTTGGGCTGGCATGTTTAATATGTCTCTAAAAAGGAAAAATTAGGTGTTCATGTACTCTAGTTTGGTGTCTTTTTTAGACCAAATGTGGTCTGATGTTGCAACACGTGTCCTCGTATACGTCACTCCAGTGTGTTCATGTACTCTAGTTTGGTGTCTTTTTTAGACCAGATGTGGTCTGATGTTGCAACACGTGTCCTCGTATACGTCACTCCAGTGTGTTCATGTACTCTAGTTTGGTGTCTTTTTTAGACCAGATGTGGTCTGATGTTGCAACACGTGTCCTCGTATACGTCACTCCAGTGTGTTCATGTACTCTAGTTTGTTGTCTTTTTTAGACCAGATGTGGTCTGATGTTGCAACACGTGTCCTCGTATACGTCACTCAAGTGTGTTCATGTACTCTAGTTTGGTGTCTTTTTTAGACCCGATGTGGTCTGATGTTGCAACACGTGTCCTCGTATACGTCACTCAAGTGTGTTCATGTCTTTGTTGGTGTCATGCAATCTAGTGCTGTGTAAACTCTGTTTTTTTTCAGCTTTGGCTTAATTGCAATATTGATTGTGCAATTCTCATATACTCTAAACTAACGCTTTATCATAAAGGATGTTGAACTTTGTTTGAGCCTTTGAATCTAGTGTCTACAATCTAGTGACGATGAAAATTTTGTCCGAATGTTACCACGTCATAGTTGAACACCTTACCCCGGTTGGCGGAGATGTTCCCATTGTAGGCAGACTCTGTGATGCTAGGCTGCTGGTAGACGAGTGAAGACTGGAACGAGGCGAAGACGACGAAAACCCAAAGGCTACACAATGAACTAAAAACGCGTTACTTTCTACGTATTGCCAGGCTGAGGTAAGTAATCAGTACTTGTGACAATAATAGAGAACATGATTGAACTATACGGGCTAGCTTTTTGTAACACCTCTAAACTGAGCGCAAACTGACCTGGGGATAGTGACCGCGTTCTTTCGCGATGACTGTATTGAGCTGATGTGTACTCGTTAAAATGTCTAAAATAATCATAAATTTAACTTTATAAAGAAATGAACTAATAAATGTGAATTTTTCTGCATTTTGATAAAATCTAAAAAAGCTGACCTCTCGTCTTCCATCTCTAAACTAGATTCGCTCTCTGACAACTGCCTTCCCAAATTCTCTCTTCGCTCTTGCTCTAATAAAAGCCTTCGTTGTAGACGAATATTCTCTTCTTTAATCTGTCGTTCCTCCTTTTCCAGAGCAGCCATCTTTTCAGCATCTTAACAATAATAGTAACAAACGCATCATTATTAAACTTTTCAACAGTGTTACACGTAGGGTGGTGGTGTTGATGGTAGTGGTGGGTGAGCATGGTGGTGGTGGATCAAATAACATTGTTGTGTCACCATTTCTTAATCCACATTTTAATCTTACGTTGTTTCTCTGAAGCAAGCAGTTGACCTCGAAGACGTCGAACTTCATCTCTTAATGACTTTATTTTTGATGTCATTGTTTTTATGGTTAGGTCATTTGGATCATCAATATCTCTTGGTGACGGCGGCTCTGAAACAGGTTCTTCAAGTCTTTCTTGAAGATGTCTGTTAAAACAAATGTTAAGCAAATAAGATCATCAATGGTGCTCTAACACTTGTTTTGAAACTACAGTCTTCCTGTTAACATTTCTTTTTTGTGGAATTGGCCACTTCATTAATCGAACAAATTATTTCACTCGCCTTTTTTGTGATTCAAGTCTCTCCATTTTTTTCCACAATCTGTTGACAAGAGACTCCTGTTCTTGTTCTAATGTGTTCTCCAAATCAACTTTTTCTTTCCTCAACTGCAAAACAACAATTTACTTAAAATTTACAGTAAGTTTTGGTCATTCATATATCTCTGGAGTACCCAATTTAGAGCACAAATTTCTTTGGTTTCAAATCACTCAGGAACCAAAAAAAACCCCATCAAAATCTCAATAAAAACTCTATTCATAGCGATTTATTTTTGTAGTGGGATGTTATGCTTATTTGAAATTAGAATGCTTGCTTTCTTTCTTGGAATAAAATTCTGCTGGGTGGACCATGTCACTAAATTATAGCACATTATCAGTCACTTGCTGAGGCAAAAATATTTTCACAAAACAAAATGCGATATGTAATTGTATGAATGTAAACATGTAAGAAAGAAAATAGAATAAAAACCATTGAATAGTAAAAACCTGTTCCAGGCATGTCTGCTTTGAAACAACATCAGCTTCTAGTCTTTCAATCTTTCGCATAAGTTTGTTCACTTGAAATTCCTGTTCATGTTCTAGTGTTTGTTCCAGTTGGAATTTCTCTTTTCGTAACTGCAATGACCATGTTCATTCAGACTAAAGCTTTTGATGGCTTGCAAACATTTACACATCATAAATATTGATGTCATCCTACCTGCATTAGTTTTCTAGATAAATCATTGGTCAAATACTCTTCTTCCTGTTCATAATTCATTGCTAATGATTCCTTTTCCTTCTTGAGTGATTGTATCTTTTTCATCAAAGTATTTGATATAAACTCTTCCTCCTGCTCTGCTTTTACTTGCTAGAGAGTGAACAAAAACAATAGATACAAAACAACTAAACTCCATGTTTGTCCTTTTATCAAATCAAAATGTTCAAAATCGTATTTCAATGAAATGTAAGTTACTTGTAGCAAACTGATGTTGCGTTTTAGTCAACATAATAATTGACAACTGTAAAAAAATATGACTACAAAACAAGACATTCTATAGCAAACAAAAGAAACGTGAATAACTGAGAATACATTACTATGAAATGAAGCATATACTTTCGAGGACTTTTTCAATGCCATTGTTTCGGGCAATTGTATATAAAAACGGCTGCAATAACGCCCATTGCAAATATTTCTTCTCGTGAGAAATGTTAAACTTAGTCAAACTGTTTCCAACTGTTTGTTATACGAAAGGTTGTACCGATTTGCATTCCCTGGAATAATATTGTTTCGAAAACAGTATACTACACGAGAAAATAAATCTCTACACAATATATTTGCAAAGCATACATACTGTAAAATACATCCTTAAAGTTAGCACGATAAAGCGATCAATACCTTGGGAAATATTTCACGATTACATTTATAATATTTTCAATGTGTGACACTTTCTAAACATATCTATTATTGCTTTGCAGAATAACGATACAAATTGCTTCGTAAAAACCCTACTTACAATGTTCACGCTTGCTTTTCGAAGCGCTTTGTTTTCCTCCACAAGTTGGTTGCATTTCAATTTGTATGTTTCGAGTTCGACCATCAGAACTCGCTTTTCTTGCATCAAACTCGCCATTCTGCTTTTATCAGACGGGAAACTCTCGTCAGCGCTCATGTCACTATCACTAAAGCCAGAAGGCCCCTCAGAAGACTGATTTGGGGAAGAGTTCTTCATGTTATTGCCTTTCTTCATCTTTTCCAGACTTCACAAAGTTTTTTTGGCAACCGCGTGATTTTAGAGAAGTTAGCACACGCGCGCGTGATTCGCGTGATTTTATCTTGAAGATAAATAAAACAGGATCTTCCGGACAGAAAGAGAGCCGAGAGCGATTAGAAAGAGAGGTTTTACCATTTTTTACTCCATGATGATACTCGAACGTATGTTGTACTTTTGGAATTTATGCATTTTCTGTTCATCAATCAGACAGAAAACTTAAATTTTAATTTAACAACGGCCAATGTTGCCATATGGAAGTGCTTTAGCCTGCGCTAAGATGAAACGAAGTATCGAGGATCACATTTTTCTCCTTATTCCCGCCATTTTCCCATAATATTTGAAAGAGAAGAACTGGTTTTTTGTTAAATTTGAGGTGCGTTTATGTTTTGACATCGCAGTGATATTGATAAGCATTGAAATACTTTCTTTTCTTTGTATAAAGTTTTTCATATGATAAATTCATGTGAAATACTGAGTTAAGGTATCACTTATGTAATGTTTATATGCAGAATCAGTGTGATTGTTTATTGAAAGAACTGGGTAAATTTGCTATCTCATGCTATAGTGCATTAAGAATGTGAGACAACATATTTTATGTGTATTACAACTACTTATGCTAATTTCCATAATTTCGTAAAAGCACTATTGCCAATACACATTTAATATACACGACAACTTATAGCGACAAGCACTATAAAAAAGTTGTCGTGTATATTTAATGTGTATTATGCTAATTTCTTGTGAAGTTGATGTATGTATATATAGGAAAACTAAGGATGAAATTTTTAAGCTTTTTCAAAAAATTTACGGCATAGACATTGCACATAAGTATTTATTTACTGGAAGTAACATATTTAGCCTGTATTTTATAAAAGGAAGGGCAGACAGTTGAAATGGAGTCGAGAGAAGTGTGAGAAAATCCCCCCTGCTTGGCGGTCCCTTTACATGTAAATGCTCACGAATTAATAGTTTTCTCATTCATGTCAACCAATCTAGGTAACATTTAGACGACAGAAAATTATTAAAAGACATTGGTTTTTACCTGGGGTCAAGAAAATGGCATTTACCTTTGTTTTGGAAAGTTGTTGTATTCTATATGGAGCTTGGTACTTGAAGAAGGTTGCCATTTGGTTTTCGAGGTGACAAGATTATTTAAAATAAATGGTTTGAACCCGGGAGTACTGTTACATGTTTGTAGATGAAGATCGTCCAGGTTAGTATAGTCATGAGAAGGACTGTTTTTGTTGTTGTTGACTGACATTTTGACAACCTTAGCGGTAGTCATCTTCAGAGTCAAAATGTTGAGTCAAAAAGACAGGTTTAAAATGCATATTTCTGGCATTTTGAACTTTGCTTTTTAGCATGGGGCAAGCTTTAAAGCATTTGATTGGCTGTTTGAATGAGGTTATGCAGTAGACACAAGTAGGCAGGGTTAATACTATAAAAATTATGTGTGCAAGCTAATAATGAGGAACATATATCACATTATACGAGTGTACTTTACTCTTGAGTTTGAAAAGAATATAACACGAATTATTTATTACAATACTCTTTATTTGACTCATGGTGATAAAGTGTAGAACAATGAGATCTCAATGATTAGGATAATTTCACGACACGAATCTAAACTCAAAGTTATTTAAATACAAATTGGACCCTTATGGGAAGAGGGTTAAAATTTATTGGCCAAGTTAAAAATAATTAGGTGCAGGAAATACGAATTAGGAATGACAATGCATGGGCAAGATTTAAATGGGTCAGTTTCCAATTTTGGTTATAACTGTATACATTTTTTTGTCAAAATGTGAAACGCTTATCAGTAAAAAGTAGGTGTATCTTCACTTATGAAAATTAGTCAATCTACCCATTTGCAAAATTATAAGGAAAAATAGATGAAAACTCTATTCACATTTAGTTTGCAATCTGTATGACTATCAATCTCAAAACACAAGAAACTTTTCTAAGGTTCCAACCAAAAAAAGCGATAATAACAATTTAGGTTGCCTCGCACTGTAAAGGTACAACTTTAAAATCTGTGGAGAAGACAATAGCCTCTTGTTCTCTCAGTAACAGTATAGTGTAAACTCGACCAAAGTATTGAATATTGATATAGTCTCATAAATAGTTGCTTTTATCTCGACCAAAGTATTGAATATTGAAGTAGTCTCATAAATAGTTGCTTTTATCAGCATAACATCGGATATTAAGAAGAAAAGAAACGGGTCTTTGAAAACTGCTCAAATGGCAACATAAAACAAGCATTTATTGCAGTGAGAAAATAATACTTGTATTCATTACAATTCTATAAAAAGGCCCGATAAAAATTACTTGGCCAAACAATTTAAAAGCACAAAAATTTAGGAAGCCAGTTGTTGTCCATTTCTACATGAGTTAAGCCAAAATCAACCATGCAACCAAAGGCAAAAAAATGGATGTGAGTTTTGCTGCAGCATTGAAACCAGTGGACGACATCATAGACTCTCTAGCTTCATGGAATCCAGAAATTGGCCCATCTTTTGCATCCTGAGCTGCAACTGCAATTAAATACACATAACAGATTTAAGCTACTTAATATAAAATGGGATTTTAACTTTAACAGGATTTCTCAAAAAGGGTTTTTTATGTCAGCAATGTTTGTAACAGTTTAAAATTTATGTCGTCAGGCTGCAACTTGTTTTCAGTCATGCATTTAACAAACAAGCTTACATAAGCAGACACATTTACAATGGCAAGGCAAAGCTAAACAGTGACGCTAGTAGCAGATAACTCATAATACGACTGGCAGGAATGTTGTAGACATTGACTTTTTTATTTCCAAGTAATCATATGTGGATGAAAAATTGTTAAAAATTGTAGTGAAATTGCATTTTCCTTACCCATGTTAACAATAGTCAACAACATTGCAAGTGCTAAGAAAAGTTTGGTATTCATTTTATATCGCCAAGTCTTCAGAGGATAAATCTATGGTGAAATGTAAAATGATGATTATTATTCGATGTTTCTTTAAAGCGAATTGAATTTGCTGAGGTCATTCATGAAACATAGCAAATTTCCAGCTTTCATGATCACTGTTGAACGATTTTGCTCGCAGTTCAAGAATTCAGCATTCGAAATCAAAACAGAAATGCAAGGTTGACTCTGGGGATATAACTTTACGTAAATAGACAACTTGTTTTGTTCGTAGACACATTGTTGATCAATGAAGGTGAAATGTGTGAAAAACTTAGCGTAAAACACGTTATTTGAAATAGCTTCATGATGTTTTAAGTGCGCACAAGATGTATTGTCACTAATGTTCATGAATTTTGTTATAGTTTTTAACATGTCTAAACTTGAGTCGTGCTGTTATATCACATGACAAAAAGTTGTTTCTGCCTCCATACAACTTTAGGGGACAAACCACGTTCATGATGGGATGATAACTGTAATCTTATATGACAAAGGTTTCCAGGGGGTAAGAATGTGTCGATTTAATTTTTTATCGAAGAAATACTTGACGTAACTTGTATATGTAGATATTTTCAACCATATAAACTGGTCTGGTCCTTGTGAGATCATTATACAATGAATTGTATCTGGAGTCATAAGAGAGCGTTATATGCAACGAGTACCAATTACATCAACCACGAAAAGTAATTCACGATTTTGGGTGGAGATGATTTTGGGTGAAGTTTTTTAATACTCCATTGTTTGTATCGTTAAAAAGCTTCACAAAGATCAAATTTATGATTAAAATCGAAGATTCTGTTGGTTCATAGATAAATATGCGATCTGCTATTGAAGCAAATAAACAGCACAAAACTTGTTAAATGTAAAATATTTGAAGAACCTCTGATTTCCATTCTCCGTGGCAATCTTACTTGTTGTTGGTTTTTGGCTAAATTTCGAAATATTTGTAGGATAAGAATGACATAAAAAGCGTTCATTTAGCGGCAAAAAAGCAAGAAAATTTGCTGCTCAAATATTGAAGTTAGTGTTACACGTAAAACTGCGTAAAAGCAATCTTCAGCTTTGTTATGGACTGCGTATGTTTCAAATTTCGCCAATTTTTTTTTTATTTACAAAAAAGGACAATAAGAAATAATGCAATAATAAGAAATGAAAGAAAGAAGTTCAAGTTGTAGTTAAACTTTAGCAATGACTAAGTTAACAAAAAACGTCTTTAAAAAAGACCATTGCATACCTTGTTGTCTTGAATAGAAACTGTAAGTCGATCCAACGACTGTGTGCTGGTGTGTGCTTGTTTCTGGCATTTTAAACTTGACTTTTCAGCATGGGGCCAACTTTGAAGCATTTGATTGGCTTATAATGTACAAGAAGCTGTGTTCAAATACACTATGGAAGAGAATAAATCATCATTTGCGTAATTAAAGATAATCAAGTAAACTTCAAGGAAGATTCTTTCATGAGAATACTGTGATGGACAAATTCTTGAACGACCAGGCTGCAATTTTCTACCGATGTAGATTAATCAGAGATTTTATGCTGTTTGAAAATTGCTGACGCAGTTTTCATAAAAAGAATGATTTAATTCGATGTTTTTTAAAAGGTTTTATCAGTCAGTGTTTGTTGTATTTTTATTTAAAAACTTGATAGTGGCTTTAAGTGACCTCATTTCAGCCCAGAGGCTCTGCGTGCTTCGTTTATTCATTAACACATATGATTTGATTTTCTTCTTATTCCCTTTCAAAAATGGTATCCTCAATTCATAACCAGCCAATCAAAATATTACCTGTGAGACCCATGCTGATTAGCCAATGCCATTAAAGATATAGTGCAAAGTGAAAAACAACACACATCGCTGGTAGATTGATTGAAACGATTTGTTTTCAAATTATCAACTTACCAAATACCAAGTTATGTATTTCTCGGTGAGGACGTTCTTACTGACTGTTTTATGACAAATGAAACTTTTCTTACTCTACAAAGACTCTCTACAAAGGTTTATTTAAAGCTATCTTCTTGTACTGGAATACGTTAAAATAATAAAAAAAAACCCAGCAATTTATAAGGCAAGTAAATAGTTTTACTTGCATCACAACATTATTAATGCTAAAGTCTAATGATAAAAAAGTGAAGATTACTGTTATGGGTGTTGGAATATGATGGGAAAATTTGTTATTTAATGTCGTGCGCGCATTTTATGTAAATGTTACACAATGCCAATTTGAGGAAGTAATTTTTAACCATGTACAAATAGGTGTTGTAAAATGGGGAATGAAATCAACACATCTCCCGCAAAGCTCTGACATTGACATCACCACCTTTCTTCACATCTTTAGTATCATAGATATCCTGCTGCTGGATTGACGTCACAAAAATTGATCATTTAGATAAAAAATAGAAATTGTCTGACATACAAGTTGCTTAAACAATATTGCAGACTACATGTATTTTTCTTTTACATTTGACGATTGAGAGAAAATTTTCTTCTATGGACAAAAGGCTTCTTTTGTGGCTATTTTCCTCACTTCGCTAGTAAAATAGACGAAGTTTGCATATTGAAGTTTTGATTTGTTGAATTCACTTAAATGAAAGAATTTTTATCAGAAAAAAACAATCGGTATATAATTTAATTGCAGGTTTATCCAAGAAAGACTGAAGACTCGGTGATAAGATGAATGCCAAATTTTTCTTTGCACTTGCTATTTTGTTGGCTATGGTTAACACGGGTAAGGAAATCGCTAAGCAAGTTCGCTTACCATGTATAAGATTACTGTCGTCTGTCCTACTATTCAGAGGAGTTTAAACTTTATTCTTATACATTAACTCTTATTAGAATGTAACTGATTTCTTTCTAGCTGTTTCCTTGGCCGAGGAGATTGATGACTCCTATGACTAAGGTGCAGATCCTGGGCATCAGGACCTTTAAGACAGAAAGAGAGCCTAGAGAGGTTTACCATTTTTTACTCCATGATGATACTCGAACGTATGTTGTACTTTTGGACTTTATGCATTTTCTGTTCACCAATCATACAGAAAACATGAATTTTAATTTAAAAACGGCCAATGTTGCCATATGGAAGTGCTTTAGCCTGCGCTAAGATGAAATGAAGTATTGAGGATCACATGCTTCTCCTTATTCCCGCCATTTTCCCATAATATTTGAAAGAGAAGAACTGGTTTTTTGTTAAATTTGAGGTGCGTTTATGTTTTGACATCGCAGTGATACTGAGAAGTATTGAAATACTTTCTGTTCTTTGTATAAAGTTTTTCATGTGATAAATTCATTTAAAATACTGAGTTGAGGTATCACTTATGTAATGTTTATATGCAGAATCAGTGTGATTGTTTATTGAATGAACTGGGTAAATTTGCTGTCTCATGCTATAGTGCATTAAGAATTGGAGACTATATATGTTATGTATATTATAATTACTTATGCTAATTTCTTGTGAAGTTGATGTATGTATATATAGGAAAACTAAGGATGAAATTTTTAAGCTTTTTCAAAAAATTTACGGCATAGACATTGCACATAAGTATTTATTTACTGGAAGTAACATATTTAGCCTGTATTTTATAGAAGGGAGGGCAGGAGTCAAGAAAAGTGTGAGAAAATCCCCCCTGCTTGGCGGTCCCTTTACATGTAAATGCTCACGAAGTAATAGTTTTCTCATTCATGCTAACCAATCTAGGAAACATTTAGATGACAGAAAATTGTTGAAAGACATTGGTTTTTACCTGGGGTCAAGAAAATGGCATTTACCCTTGTTTTGGAAAGTTGTTGTATTCTATATGGAGCTTGGTACTTGAAGGAGGTCGCCACTTGGTTTTCGAGGTGACAAGATTATTTAAAGTAAATGGTTTGAACCCAGGAGTATTGTTACATGTTTGTAGATGAAGATCGTCCAGTTTAGTATTGTCTTAAGAAGGACTGTTTTTGTTGTCGTTGACTGACGTTTCAACAACCTTAGCGGTAGTCATCTTCAGAGTCAAATTTTGAGTCAAAAAAGCCAGGTTTAAAATGCATATTTCTGGCATTTTATACTTTGCTTTTTAGCATGGGGCAAGCTTTAAAGCATTTGATTGGCTATTTGAATGAGGTTATGCAGTAGACACAAGTAGGCAGGGTTAATACTATAAAAATTATGTGTGCAAGCTAATAACGAGGAACATATATCACATTATACGAGTGTACTTTACTCTTGAGTTTGAAAAGAATATAACACAAATTATTTATTACAATACTCTTTATTTGACTCATGGTGATAAAGTGTAGAACTATGAGATCTCAATGATTAGGATAATTTCACGACACAAATCTAAATTCAAAGTTATTCAAATACGAATTGGACCTTTATGGGAAGAGGGTTAAACTTTATTGGCCATGTTAAAAATAATCAGGTGCAGGAAATACGAACTGGGAATGACAATGCATGGGCAAGATTTAAATGGGTCAGTTTACAATTTTGGTTATAACTGTATACATTTTTTTGTCAAAATGTGAAACGCTTATCAGTAAAAAGTAGGTGTATCTTCACTTATGAAAATTAGTCAATCTACACATTTGCAAAATTATAAGGAAAAATAGATGAAAACTCTATTCACATTTAGTTTGCAATCTGTATGACTATCAATCTCATAACACAAGAAACTTTTCTAAGGTTCCAACCAAAAAAAGCGATAATAACAATTTAGGTTGCTTCGCACTGTAAAGGTACAACTTTAAGATCTGTGGAGAAGACAATAGCCTCTTGTTCTCGCAGTAACAGTATAGTGTAAACTCGACCAAAATATTGAATTGTAGTCTCATAAATAGTTGCTTTTATCAGCATACATCGGACGTTAAGAAGAAAAGAAACGGATCTTTGAAAACTGCTCAAATGCCAACATAAAACAAGCATTTATTGCAGTGATAAAATACTGTATTCATTACAATTCTATAAAAAGGCCAGATAAAAATTACTTAACAAAACAATTTAAAAGCACAAAAATTTAGGAAGCCAGTTGTTGTCCAGTTCTACATGAGTTAAGCCAAAATCAACCATGCAACCAAAGGCAAAAAAATGGATGTGAGTTTTGCTGCAGCATTGAAACCAGTGGACGACATCATAGACTCTCTAGCTTCATGGAATCCAGAAATTGGCCCATCTTTTGCATCCTGAGCTGCAACTGCAGTTGAATACACATAACAGATTTAAGCTACTTATATAAAATGGGATTTTAACTTTAACAGGATTTCTCAAAAAGGGTTTTTTATGTCAGCAATGTTTGTAACAGTTTAAAATTTATGTCGTCAGGCTTCAACTTGTTTTCAGTCATGCATTTAACAAACAAGCTTACATAAGCAGACACATTTACAATGGCAAGGCAAAGCTAAACAGTGACGCTAGTAGCAGATAACTCATAATACGACTGGCAGGAATATTGTAGACGTTGACTTTTTTATTTCCAAGTAATCATATGTGGATGAAAAATTGTTAAAAATTGTAGTGAAATTGCATTTTCCTTACCCATGTTAACAATAGTCAACAACATTGCAAGTGCTAAGAAAAGTTTGGTATTCATTTTATATCGCCAAGTCTTCAGAGGATAAATCTATGGTGAAATGTAAAATGATGATTATTATTCGATGTTTCTTTAAAGCGAATTGAATTTGCTGAGGTCATTTATGAAACATAGGAAATTTCCAGCTTTCATGATCACTGTTGAACGATTTTGCTTGCAGTTCAAGAATTCAGCATTCGAAATCAAAACAGAAATGCAAGGTTGACTCTGGGGATATAACTTTACGTAAATAGACAACTTGTTTTGTTCGTAGACACATTGTTGATCAATGAAGGTGAAATGTGTGAAAAACTTAACGATAGCGTAACACACGTTACTTGAATAGCTTCATGATGTTTTAAGTACACACAAGATGTATTGTCACTATTGTTCATGAATTTTGTTATATTTTTAAACATGTCTAAACTTGAGTCGTGCTGTTGTATCACATGTCCAAAAGTTGTTTCTGCCTGCATACAACTCTAGGAGACAAACCACGTTCATGATGGGATGATAACTGTAATTTTATATGACAAAGGTTTCCAGGGGGTAGGAATGTGTCGATTTAATTTTTTATCAAATAAATATTAGGCGTAACTTGTATATGTAGGTATTTTTAATCATATAAACTGGTCTGGTCCTTGTTAGATCATTAAACGATGAATTGTATCTGAGATCATAGGAGAGCGTTATATGCAACGAGTACCAATTACATCAACCACGAAAAGAAATTCACGATTTTGGGTGGAGATGATTTTGGGTGAAGTTTTTTAATACTCCATTGTTTGTATCGTTAAAAAGCTTCACAAAGATCAAATTTATGACTAAAATCGAAGATTCTGTCGGTTCATAGATAAATATGCGATCTGCTATTGAAGCAAATAAACAGCACAAAACTTGTTAAATGTAAAATATTTGAAGAACCTCTGATTTCCATTCTCCGTGGCAATCTTACTTGTTGTTGGTTATTGGTTAAAGTTCGAAATATTTGTAGGATAAGAATGACATAAAAAGCGTTCATTTAGCGGCAAAAAAGCAAGAAAATTTGCTGCTCAAATATTGAAGTTAGTGTTACACGTAAAACTGCGTAAAAGCAATCTTCAGCTTTGTTGTGGACTGCGTATGTTTCAAATTTAGCCAATTTTTTTTTATTTACAAAAAAGGATAATAAGAAATAATGCAATAATAAGAAATGAAAGAAAGAAGTTCAAGTTGTAGTTAAACTTGAGTAATAACTAAGTTAGCAAAAAACGTCTTTAAAAAAGACCATTACATACCTTGTTGTCTTGAATAGAAACTGTAAGTCGATCCAACGATTGTGTGCTGGTCTGTGCTTGTTTCTGGCATTTTAAACTTGACTTTTCAGCATGGGGCCAACTTTGAAGTATTTGATTGGATGATGATGTACAAGAAGCTGTGTTCAAATAACACCATGGGAAGAGAATAAATCATCATTTGCGTAATTGAAGATAATCAAGTAAACTTCAAGGAAGATGCTTTCATGAGGATACTGTGATAGACAAATTCTTGAACGACCAGGCTGCAATTTTCTACCGATGTAGATTAATCAGGGATTTTATGCTGACGCAGTTTTCATAAACAGAATGATTTAATTCGATGTTTTTTAAAAGGTTTTATCAGTCAGTGTTTGTTGTATTTTTATTTAAAAACTTGATAGTGGTTTTAAGTGACCTCATTTCAGTCCAGAGGCTCTGCGTGCTTCGTTTATTCATTAACACATATGATTTGATTTTCTTCTTATTCCCTTTCAAAAATTATATCCTCAATTCATAACCAGCCAATCAAAATATTACCTGTGAGACCCATGCTGATTAGCCAATGCCATTAAAGATATAGTGCAAAGTGAAAAACAACACACATCGCTGGTAGATTGATTGAAACGATTTGTTTTCAAATTATCAACTTACCAAATACCAAGTTATGTATTTCTCGGTGAGGACGTTCTTACTGACTGTCTTATGACGAATGAAACTTTTCTTACTCTAGAAAGACTCTCTACAAAGGTTTATTTAAAGCTATCTTCTTGTACTGGAATACGTTAAAATAATAAAAAAAAACCCCAGCAAATTATAAGGCAAGTAAATAGTTTTACTTGCATCACAACATTATTAATGCTAAAGTCTAATGATAAAAAAGCGAAGATTACTGTTATGGAAGTTGGAATATGATGGGGAAGTTTGTTATTTAATGTCGTTCACGCATTTTATGTAAATATTGCACAATGCCAATATGAGGAAGTAATTTTTAACCATGTACAAATAGGTGTTGTAAAATGGGGAATGAAATCAATACATCTCCCGCAAAGCTCTGACATTGACATCACCACCTTTCTTCACATCTTTAGTATCATAGATATCCTGCTGCTGGATTGACGTCACAAAAATTGATCATTTAGATAAAAAATAGAAATTGTCTGACAAACAAGTTGCTTAAACAATATTGCAGACATGCATATACATGCATTTTTCTTTTATATTTGACGATCGAGAGAAAATTTTCTTCTATGGACAAAAGGCTTCTTTTGTGGCTATTTTCCTCACTTCGCTATTAAAATAGACGAAGTTGCATACTTAAGTTTTGATTTGTTGAATTCACTTAAATGAAAGAATTTTTATCAGAAAAAACAATCGGTATATAATTTAATTGCAGGCTTATCCAAGAAAGACTGAAGACTCAGTTATAAGATGAATGCCAAATTTTTCTTTGCACTTGCTATTTTGTTGGCTATTTTTAACACGGGTAAGGAAATCGCTAAGCAAGTTCGTTTACCATGTATTAGATTACTGTCGTCTGTCCTACTATTTAGAGGAGTTTAAACTTTATTCTTATACATTAACTCTTATTAGAATGTAACTGATTTCTTTCTAGCTGTTTCCTTGGCCGAGGAGATTGATGACTCCTATGACCAAGATGCAGATCCTGGGTTTAAATCTGTAAGCCGCGTAGGTTTCGTGGAAGCCGCAAAACTCACATCCATTTTGTTGCCTATGGTTGCATGGTTCATTCAGGCTTAACTTGATGTAAAACTGGACAGACAACTGCATGCTCAATTTCTCTATTGTGATTTATTCTTAGATTAATAAATAAAAGTTATTGGGGGTTTTCTTATTGTTCCGTTCAAATGTCGTACCTTGCACTGAATGTTAAATTAATTCAGTGATAAAATTTTGGCATTTTGATGTGTCTATTCGAGGGGTCCATGTCACTGACATACCATTAACATACGAATTTTCAAACAAGATACTGTTTTACCATTTCCCCAAATCCTAGTTGCATATAGTTTACAGCCATATGCCAAGATAACGGGGAGACGCAATCCTGGGTAAAACAAAAAGCTCCTGAGTAGAGCATGCGCACGATTTTCTTTTCGTCTTGAAGAATCAATTGGAATCGTTCAGTTGATTTTTGGGATAAAGTAAGAAAATGCAATATTATGTACATTTTTGTACATAATTTGTGACATACACTGCTTGTACACATTTCACCCTCGTCCAACACTGTTTTCAATGTTCAAACCCACAGGTTCAAACCACATGTTACGATCGTATCGTATTCAATTTTCGCAAACATTTTGAATTTTGTTTGTGTCAACAGAAGAATATTCTCTTACCATTCACATCACAAATTGTCTCCTTAAGATTTTGTTTGATAAATGCCTGGCACAGCGGGAAAGGTTAGCTTACACGAGTGGAAGACATATGAATGTTATAGCTCAGACTGTATTCGGACATTTTGATCTGTTCTGGTTTTCGATGAATTATCAACTTTATTGGAACAGTGAAATATGCGCGTTTGTACCATCACAAAAAAACACCATACGCTAGATGAGTAGCTGTGACTAACAAAAAAGAAAATTCAACGGAAAACATGATTGAAACGAAATGTTTGTAAATCCATCCAAGATGGTCACAATTTTTAGATGTATGACTGCAAGTACATCAAACTTGCATTTTCTTAACATCTTGTTCTTACGTTCTTCAAGGTTATTTATTGCAATGCTGCAGTAGCTTGGGAGGCTAAACAGCCACTTGTGGTTGAAACAATTGAAGTTGCACCACCTAAATCAGGAGAAGTTCGTGTTCATATTCTTGCTACAGGTGTATGTCATACTGATGCGTATACTTTGAGTGGGGTTGATCCTGAAGGAGTATTTCCTTGTATTCTTGGACATGAGGGAGGTGGCATTGTGGAGAGTGTTGGAGAAGGGGTAACCTCTGTCAAACCAGGTGTGTATGGTGAATTGGTTTCTAAGTAAACACAGTATTTATTTGTAACTTTTATTTCGCTACAGGTGACCATGTTATTCCTTGTTACATTGCTCAATGTCGTAATTGTCAATATTGCAAAAGTGAAAAAACAAATCTTTGTATTGCTGTCAGGTAATTTTGCTCATTATTAACTATCCTTCAGTGTATTTGATTTTTGTTGTGTGTAAACTAAGAGATTAAGGTCTTGTGTGATTTTGTATTGAATATTTTATATATTTATAGGTCAACTCAAGGCAAAGGTTTGATGCCTGATGGTACAACAAGGTTTAAATGCAAAGGAAAAAATATTTTTCATTTCATGGGATGTAGTACATTTAGCGAGTATACTGTAGTTGCTGAAGTGTCGATTGCTAAGGTACTACTTTTATATTTTATAACAACTTGTCTGTTAAGAGCATTTATGTATGAATTCATACATTATTTAGGTGTCTGAAGCTGCACCACTAGAGAAAGTGTGTCTACTTGGTTGTGGCATATCAACAGGTTATGGTGCTGTGGTCAATACTGCCAAGGTAGGGAAACTACTAGCTTTTGTTACTTAATGCTCATTCCCAGAGCCAATAAAGAAAATTAGCAATGTCTGCACAGGTGGACAATGACAATTTTTCATTTGTGTCAACCTATTTAATCATCATTGATCCATGAAAAAAGTTCTGAAGCAAAGGAAGAGGTGCTCAACATGTAAAGTCTTGATTAAGGCTATTGGTACTAGGATTATATTTTAACTGTAGCTGAGACAATGTGAACGAGGAGATGGTACTCCATACATAAAAGTATTTTACTTTTCCCAAAGCTCTGCCCTATAATGAATGCTTTAATTGATATAATCTACCATACAACGCTTGAACAATGCATTTTTTGCTAAGGTTGAAGCTGGTTCAACTGTTGGTATTTGGGGTCTGGGAGCAATAGGTCTTGCTGTTGCTATGGGCTGTAAGATTGTTGGTGCATCTAGAATCATTGGTGTAGATATAAATCCAGATAAGTTTAAACTAGGTAAGTTTTTGAAATCTTATTAGGATTTTTTGAGTTTTGACTTAAGACCTTAATGGAAAATCTCTTCTCTTTTAAGGTACAAAATGTACATTTCATCATTTTGTATTTTTGTCTAGCAAAAGAGTTTGGCTGCACTGAATGCATTAATCCAAATGATTTAGATGAACCAATTAACCAGGTTTGTTTGGTATAATTGATTAGGATTATAGGCAAAACTTTTTGTCTACATCTTATGTGCTAATAAAATATAACCAATTGCTCGACTTTAATGTTGTTAAAAAAGTGCTGGTTAGCATTGGAAATTTGTTTTTCACATATTTTTTCTTGATATTGTTTGGCAACAGCAATTCGCATATTATATCTGTTTTAAGATGACAACAAAATAATTTTACAGTTGCATTTAATTTGATCTTGTGTAAAAAGTCATATTGATAACTTCTTTTTTGTTTTGTGAATTTGATTAAATGTGCGTTATCATTTTATGGAGGTTGAACAACTAGATCTGTTTTGTTTTTTCCCTCTCAATGAATGAATAGGTTTTGTCAAAAATGACAGATGGTGGTCTAGACTATACATTTGAATGTATTGGTAATGTTAAAACCATGGTGAGTTGAGTATGAATTTTATCTTGAAACTATTGATGTAAGCTATGGTTTAGAGTCAATTAATCGTGTTTTCTTATACAACGTTACGAACAACGTATGGGCAACTTGATAAGTTAATACAACATTTCGTGCTTGTAATCATAAATTAGTTGAATTACAACGATCAAAAACTGAAAAGAACAATCCTGCAGGTTTAAACTGTATTGGCTAGAGATATGTTTCTTGCTTAAAACTGAGAGACAGGTGTTCCGTTTTAGCGTTTTGCCTTGGAGTCTGCTCATCGTGGCTGGGGGACATCGGTTATCATAGGAGTAGCCCCCGCTGGAGCAGAGATTTCCACTCGACCATTTCAACTGGTCACTGGTCGAGTGTGGAAAGGAACTGCTTTTGGAGGTTAGCTCTGATCGAGTGGGTTTGATTTAGGTTACAAAAACACAGACAAACCACGGTTGAAAACACAATTGTTAATACTTCAGGTTGGAAAAGTCGTGATGATGTTCCAAAGATTGTTGAGGAATATATGACTGGGAAAGTAAAAGTGGACGAGTTTATTACGTCAAAGATGATGTTGGAGCAAATCAATGACGCTTTTGAATTTATGCACCACCAAGTCGGCAGGAAGTATGTGAATTATTGGTATAGTTATCTTAAAAATGCAAGGAATAGTTACCTTAACTTTCAACATCAGATCACTCCTAACAAAGACACAATGCTGGAGTATATAAAGATTCAAGTTTTAATATCACATCACTTCTTACGACACTAAACCGAACTTTCAGTGATATCGACTCAATTTTCAACATCAAATCGCTTCCAATAAAAACATGAGAATTAAGTTTCCGTGATAACTCGCTTATGATTAACTATTTTTACATCTTTTTCGTTTAGTTTACGAACGGTGGTTGCGTTTCAATGACATTCAGAAAATGGAATCTTAAGTACAGTGAAGCAGGTCGTCTATAAACGATATCGTAACTTTACTGCTGTACAATATATTTTTTTCTGGAGTCATTATCACATTCTGAAAAATTTCTGTCATGTTGAAAATATATACTGTACAAATGTTGAGGTCTTAGAAGAAATAGCTTTGGGTGGGTAAAATAGTTTGGGTTGAGTATCCTAATTGACTTAATCTCCCCCTTGAGCAAATGAAAATGAGCCCAATGCTTTCTTCTTTTTGGTTACTTTTGATTTATAAAGAAACTTTAAAAATCAAGGCATTTTAGATAAGAAATGAAGTCAGAAAACACTTCTTTTCGTATCTTTAACTTCTACAAAGCAAACGAAAATTCCGAAGGGGTGTTAGTAGTTAATGATATGATCGCTGGGGAGGTCATTGTATTGCTATTTATCCATTACTTTAATTCTAGAATGTTACAATAATGTTATCATGTGATGGTCGATATTTGTGTTTCAAAGTATGGTGCACCATTTGAGTCCAGTCTTCTTGTCAGTATATCACATCCTGTGTCGGTGACAAGTAGCGTTTGTTCAAACTGTGCCGATCTTTTACCATCCTAAATATAAGCATGAAAATCTAAGTGAGTCATGTGACCACATATGTATGTATATAGAAGTGCATTTGACTAGCAATGATAGACAAGAAGTTTTTTTCACCAGCATGTACAACTCATTCGTCTAAAATGGCCTTGGGCATGCCATGTAGATGAGAAGTGTTTTTAAGGAGTTTCGTTGTATTTAAATTTAACTTTCTAAACTAACTTTTTAATGATAAAAACCTACTTGGGTGACCGCTGTCCAGTTATCTGGCCATACATCATCACGCCATGTACCTAGAAATTACAACATTATAGATTTCTAAAACTACATCCAACGTAATTTATGGTTAAAGTTTTCATGTTCAAGCACCTTCGTTAATCATTGGTTCGATTGTGAACACGTGACCTTTCTTCATCACACCAACAGCCTTGTTTTCTGGGAGGGTAATTGAGTCAATTTCTTTATGTCAGAATGTTATTTTCTATGCTACAATAAACACTCATCATTTCTTACTTGAGTAATGAGGAACATTTGGTGCTGTGTGAAATAATCTAAAGAAAGGAAAAACTTAAATTTCTAATTTAGGTATCTTCATCATCTACAAGATTTTGAATGCAATGAAACTCATTGCTCAATCTACCTGTGTATGCCATGACCACAATATGTTCTAACAACTGAAAAACCATTACTATTTGCATGTTTTTGAATTACGTTACCAATCTCCCTGTAGCGAACACCAGGTTTAACTGAAGAGGAACAAAAAGAGAAACGTTTACTTACTTGAAAAATTTTAAGGTGTTCAAATTATTTGCATTGCAATGACAAGATAGGTCAGTTTTCAAACCTATTTTGATTGCTTCTTGCAGACACTCGTGTGTAATTTTAACCAACTTCTTGCTTCCCTCATCAACTTCGCCAACAAATAACGTCTCGTTCAGATCACCATGGAAACCATTGTGGTAAACTGAGATGTCAACTAACATGAAAAACAAATTTTAGGAAACAATAAGAGTAAAATTTTGTACAAAGACTAAAATTTACATACTATTTAAAATATCTCCATTTTGTACAGGTCTTGCATCAGGTATACCATGACAAATGACTTCGTTTACTGAGCTAAATTTTTAAGATAGATAAATAAAAACAAAGTTTGAAAATTTTTAGTGCAGATACAATGTGAAGTTTTCCAAAGCACAAAATTCTTTAAATTTCTGCATGATTTTTATTTTGCAAAATATTTAATAATTGAAACACACCAATCATCCTTTAAAGCAACTTAAAACAAAACACTTTTAATTGTAAATTACAAAAACCCAAAACAATCAAGAACATGACAAGTTATTCATACTTACGTACAACACGATTTTGGAAATCCATGATAGTTCAAGGGCGATGGATAACAATCTCTCTCGATACATGCCTAGGACAAAGAATGAATGGAACTTAAGTTTTTTTTTTAATTTGTTATATTATAATGTAGCTATGAATATAAACCTCGTGAACAATTCTGTCAATTTCATCTGTTGTTATACCGACTTTTACAGCTTTTGCTGCTTCATCAAGAACTTCTCTTCCTAACTAAAAGAAGTTGTGATAATCAAATATGAATTTGTAATAGTCCATACTCTACATTTCAAGTAAATGTTTCTAATTGATTCTATTTTTGCAGAAGAAATACCTTGCAAGCGAGATGCACGCCACTGATTTCTTCATTATTCAGTATTTTGATCATTGTGTTACCACGAAGTTCCATTTCACTTATAGGATTGCCTTAGATATAAAGAGAGAAAGAATGGTGTATTGCCAATGGTGTTATCTATGTTCAATAATATGTATTGATTTGTGCTAAATGTAGTTCAAACCTGTCTCAGCATAGTCTGGTCGTTCTATATGAATGGGAACCTCTCTTCTTTCACTCTAAAAAATAGTAAACTATCTTCACTTCTTTAAGTTTCTTGGTGACAAGTGAAACTTTCTATCAAGAAAATTCAATATTTGTGATAGAAGTAGTTAATTTTAGTTATTGTACCAATTTTGCAGGTCGTATAGTGCCAGTGAACCTATAGCCTGGCCATGGATTATAAGAAGATACTTTATTGCCTAGTAAATTATAAAATTATCAGAATGTCAAAGAGCAATGACTGAGTACGTAAATACGAAAGAAAATATGACCCTCCGAGCTACCTGTTTTTTTGTGCTTTTTTTTGTGTTCATTCCATGCCTTCTTAAAGCACTCCTGATTAAAAAATGCGAATATGACGATATTATCTAGTGCAGCAACTATCAAAAACAATTGTTAGAACGTAATAAAGACGTACGACCAATGACACACCGTGACACTCGTTTTAAACACATGAAAAAATGAAACATGTCACTAGAACCTGTGAGCAAAAATAACTTCCTTCGATGCCTTGCTTCAAGCAGGTCGGACACTGAAGTTTAGATTGATTTTCACAACCAACTCTAGTGCAAGAATGAACATTCATATCCAAGACGGTAGCCATATTGTTGTCCAGTCAGCATTTTTTATATTATTGAGATCAGTTTGAAAGTTTCAAAGTTCGTGGTGGTGGTGGGTGACACTTGTACAATGATGTGGATCTAAACAATTTTATGGGTATGGGTATTGAATCCTTTCTTCGTTATTAGTTGCATATTTTGATTGTGAAAGGGAAGATGGGGGATGGTAGACGCGATGGCTTTTTGATAAAATATTGTTTAAGTTGTGTTTCAGCTGCAGTCGCGGAATCGGGTATGTAACTATGATATTGTTCTTGTGGTAAATTTTTGTCTGCCTTTGAAAGATGATTCCATGGAATTATTTAAAAGTTTTTAAACTTAATATTGGTTACATCTAGTGACTTTTCCATTGGACATTACAAAGACACGTCTTCAAATTCAGGGAGAAAAGACATCAATGGTCACAAATGGGAAGCAACAACCTTACAGAGGAATGGTAAAAACAGCTTATGGAATTGGTAGGTGTATACTTTATATCATACTTGATTTATTTTGAGCATTCAAGTTTTTCCTGTGCTGATTGAAAACAGTCCAAATTAATTTGGGGAACAGAAGCTTTAACATGATTTTGTTGTCATGTGGTATTTACCCAAGACATGTTAAATGTTGGTTTTCTTCATTTCCTGTCTCATGTTTTCACACATTTTTTGTTCATGTCAAAATTTATACTCAGATAACATGCTTATTTTTCATTGATTTAGTAAAAGAAGAAGGTTTTCTTTCGTTATGGCGAGGCATTCGTCCAGCAGTGCTAAGACATTTAGGTTTGTAAATAAATTATTTATATTCGGCAAGCCAGCAAAAAATCACGCTTTTTTAAAATTACATTTCCAGGTAGCAATAGTCACATTAACATTTGCATGACATTGCTCAATGAGCCTTTCCATGATTCGTGACATAGTGCATTGTTAAGATTCCATTTCGTAAGATCAAAAGGGGGGCATGAAAGTCATCTTGGTTCAGATAGTCATGCTAAAATTCTGGCATCTTCAAATTCATTTCTTGAAAATATTTAAAATTTTTATTTATCATTTCCAGTTTACTCTGGATCACGAATGGCTGCATATGAGATGATTCGTGAAAAAGTTTTGTTAAGAAATGATAATGGTTCTTTTCCTCTTTGGTAAATATATACTGCTGTAACTATTTATCTTTTCCATTTTTTCTATACTTATTATCAATAATTATTTATCAAATCAGATTAAGGCAAATTGATGAATTGGCTGCAGAAAAATGTTTTAAACTGTCAGTGTAGGTATTGATGAATGCAGAACAACAGAAAATAAGAACACTCTTTACACACAAAAAAAATATAAACTAAGATAACGTGTGTCAGTGTAGGTTGTGATGAATGAACAACAGAGAATGAGAACAGTCTTTACACACAAAAAAATATAAACTAAGATAACGTTTGTCAGTGTAGTTAGTGATGAATGAACAACAGAGAATGAGAACAGTCTTTACACTACCTAAAATATAAACTAAGATAACGTGTGTCAGTGTAGTTAGTGATGAATGAACAACAGAGAATGAGAACAGTCTTTACACAACCTAAAATATAAACTAAGATAACGTGTGTCAGTGTAGGTAGTGATGAATGAACAACAGAGAATGAGAACAGTCTTTACACTATCTAAAATATAAACTAAGGTAACGTATGTCAGTGTAGGTAGTGATGAATGAACAACAGAGAATGAGAACAGTCTTTACACTATCTAAAATATAAACTAAGATAACGTGTGTCAGTGTAGGTAGTGATGAATGAACAACAGAGAATGAGAACAGTCTTTACACAACCTAAAATATAAACTAAGATAACGTGTGTCAGTGTAGGTAGTGATGAATGAACAACAGAGAATGAGAACAGTCTTTACACTATCTAAAATATAAACTAAGATAACGTATGTCAGTGTAGGTAGTGATGAATGGACAAAAGAGAATGAGAACAGTCTTTACATTTCCTAAAATATGAACTAAGATAACGTGTGTCAGTGTAGGTAGTGATGAATGAACAACAGAGAATGAGAACAGTCTTTACACTATCTAAAATATAAACTAAGATAACGTATGTCAGTGTAGGTAGTGATGAATGGACAAAAGAGAATGAGAACAGTCTTTACATTTCCTAAAATATAAACTAAGATAACGTGTGTCAGTGTAGGTAGTGATGAATGAACAACAGAGAATAAGAACGTTTTTTACACTACCTAAAATATAAACTAAGATAACGTGTGTCAGTGTAGGTAGTGATGAATGAACAACAGAGAATGAGAACAGTCTTTACACTATCTAAAATATAAACTAAGATAACGTATGTCAGTGTAGGTAGTGATGAATGAACAACAGAGAATGAGAACAGTCTTTACATTATTTATAATATAAACTAAGATAACGTGTGTCAGTGTAAATAGTGATGAATGAACAACAGAGAATGAGAACAGCCTTTACACTATCTAAAATATAAACTAAGATAACGTGTGTCAGTGTAGGTAATGATGAATGAACAACAGAGAACGAGAACAGTCTTTACACTATCTAAAGTATAAACTAAGATAACGTGAGTCAGTGTAGGTAGTGATGGATGAACGACAAAAAATTAGAACAGTCTTAGTCAGACTATTGAACAAGAGGACTATAGCTATATTGCTATTAAAATTAAAATGATCTTTCTCTCCAGCCTTATAACTCTAGGAAAGTTTTTCTCTTTAGGAAGTCAATAATTGGAGGTATTAGCTCAGGTGCCATCGGTCAATTTCTGGCTAGTCCAACAGATCTTGTTAAAGTTCAAATGCAAATGGAAGGAAGACGTATTCTTGAAGGAAAACCACCAAGGTAGGGTGAGGTCTGCGAATCAGAAGTTTAGTTTATGAATTTAATGAATGAATTTATTTTGATTTGTACCAAACCTGTAATAACCGTTCTATTTTGTTCATTTTTGTTAAATCAGATACCGTGGAACGGCTCATGCGTTTTCAAGTATTGTTAAGCAGAATGGTGTGAGGGGACTGTGGCGAGGATGGCTTCCTAATGTACAAAGAGCTGCTTTAGTTAATCTTGGAGGTAGGTAGCTAGTTGCTTTGTACCTACAACGATTGTGTATTCAGATTAAAAAATGCATGTGACTTTTGTTTCATATTTAGTGAAGTAGTTTTACGTACGATGAAGAAGTAGTTTTACGTACAATGAAGAAGTAGTTTTACGTACAATGAAGAAGTAGTTTTACGTACAATGAAGAAGTAGTTTTACGTACAATGAAGAAGTAGTTTTACGTACAATGAAGAAGTAGTTTTACGTACAATGAAGAAGTAATTTTACGTACAATGAAGAAGTAGTTTTACGTACGATGAAGAAGTAGTTTTACGTACAATGAAGAAGTAGTTTTACGTACAATGAAGAAGTAGTTTTACGTACAATAAAGAAGTAGTTTTACGTACAATGAAGAAGTAATTTTACGTACAATGAAGAAGTAGTTTTACGTACAATGAAGAAATAGTTGTAAGCTAAGAGTAGACTGCCTGATGTTTTTCAAAAATATGCTATCATATAACATTCCTTTCTTAATAGATTTAACGACTTACGATTCTGTGAAACAGATCCTAATCAGTAATACAGATCTTGAGGACACGGCTATAACCCATATGTTGTCAAGGTAAATAAACACTCTTTAAAAATGAGCGAACTATGGTGGATTGTTGGTTTTACTCTGCTGTACTGTAGTTGTAAAAATTGTCCAGCTTGTTTTGATGGAATTCTGCACGAATTTTGTACAATGGCAATGGAAAAAACAATAGTTAAAGCATTAAGTTAGATCATACCTTGTTATCAGTTCATAATATAACTTTTTTTTACCGTTTTTGTAAAATTTACTTTTTCTCTGAGAAATTTTGCTAAGAAATATGTAGGGAAATCTTGCCACGGTAAATCTTCTGGAAGTTGACACAAAAAGAACTTGGCTTATAGCTACAGTCGACACTTTGTTCCCGTTAGGATTAGAGTTATGTCTTGGCTTTGAAGATTCTTGTTTCTCGTACACTGATTAAACATAATACATGGGAAAACATTTCAGGTGTAATCGCTGTCCGCTGATCTGATTTCTTTAGTTATATCTTTAAATTCTCGTAGTATATCGGCTGGTTTGGTTGCTGCAACAATGGGAACACCAGCTGACGTCATCAAAACTAGAATCATGAATAATCCTTCGACGTATAAAGGAGTGATCGATTGCTTTATGACTGCTGTAAGTTGCAGCATTTCTTAAAATTTTTCGATTGATGTTTTGAACTGCGTTGTACGTCGAAATTAAAGCTTGGAGAAAAGTTTCTTTTTTCTTGATATATTCATAATAATTTTGATGGGCTTATTTAAAAAGTTTGGTTAAAAAGCCTAATGTCAAAAGGCTTTCCACCACACGTAGTGTTATTAAACCATTTCGTGTTCATGAAAGTACTTTTGAAAGTACTCCTCCATCTTGTTACTTCCTCTATCCACTTTCTTTAGGTATAACCACGCTCTTTACTCCTGAGCACTGTCTTTCATACGCCTAATCACTAAACATCGTTACTCGTAACCACTGTCTACACCTATAACCATTTCGTTACTCCTAAGTCCTCTGTCGTTTCATTTTGTAGGTAAAAGAAGAGGGTTTTTTTGCACTGTACAAAGGATTTATTCCGACTTGGAGTAGAATGGTAAGTCAAATTATAATGATATATGTTACAGTAAATTGGATTATCAAATAAAGAATTGAGTATTAAAACATCAAATAACTCCTGGATGAAGACTTTAAACTGAATTTTTGTCGTGTAAAGTTTTAACGTCGCTGCTATTTATATCGTCATGTATTCCCGATAAAAATATTGAATGTTTGTTGAAAAATGATGACAGATGAACTAATTCTTCTTTACTTTAGGCACCATGGTCGATGACTTTCTGGTTGGTTCACGAACAGATCCGTAAATTAACTGGAATATCAGGATTTTGACCTTCATATTTTATCTCATTTCCCATTCATTAAATGAATGAGAAATGAGACAAGAATGAGCAAGACACAGTCAATGAATTAATTCAAATTTATATTTTTGCAGTGAATGCATGAATGCGCAAACACTTTGGTGACCAATCATCAATCTTTGCATGCGAAGAAAATTTATAATTATTAAATTTAAATGTGGTAGAACAGAATTTCAAATATATTTGTGAGCAGCCAAACGTTTCGTGTTGCTCAAAGTGTGACAGTGTGTGATCAATATCGATATTGATGATAAATTCACCAAGTTTATGTACGTCACAACGGTATGGTATCTAATTTATAGTCACACCACACACACACGTTATTTAAGTTTGCTTTTTTTAGTTTCTCAATGGCAAATGCTCGTGTTTTTGTTTTCTAAAGTAACATTCATGTACAATGTAGCTATAATTCTTATAGCCAGGAAATGCTGATTATAAAACCACAAGATGTCTAAAAATTTTGAAGCTTTATTACGTGGGCTTGAGTGCTTTTTCCGCTTTATTGAAAATTTAATCAAGCAAACATTTAGCGTGTGAACTTACTCAAAACTATTCTCGCATCTTAGAGAATATTTAATCAATTTCTAAGAATAATTATAAGTCCAGGAACTCTGATAGAAATGGCATTTCACATCTTGTACCAGTTCTGTTTGTGGAGCGTCTTTTCAGAGCAGTTGTTTGCCGAAAAGGGTAGGTTTAATATCATAGGATGGTATTCATGTAACATGTTGATCATTTCAAAGCACTTTTAATAAAAAGTTTTGAAACTAAAAACATTTCACTATTCCACCATTTTTCTCTGATCGCAGTCATCCTCAAATCAGCAAAATGTGCCGATTTATTTGAACAAAGCATTGAGCATCCAAATCACAGAACCACGTCGGTATGTAAAAACAAAATCAAAATATAGTCACCAATGTTTTCTACTACGTCACATGTGACGTAAACATTTACCATTACTTGTGCCTTATTTAAAGTGAATAAAGATTTTTGTTTGACCAAACTAAATAATAATGCGTAATATTTTGTTACTAGTGGTCAAGAAATGTAAATCAAACCAGTTGTTCTATATGCAATTCAAGAGATTCTGCAAAGTCATTTCTTGTTTCGAAATCTATTTCAACAAATGGTTTTGATTTCTTACAAGTCGACATAGAAATGAAAACGGCAGAATGTGCCGTCTGTAAGAACCAAGCAATTCAAGTTTTTATTATGAACAGAAGTTTGTCAGGGAACCAACGTCGCGAGGCTTATCAAATTTTAGATAATTTGACATTGATTAAAAATTTCCCAAACAAAGAGACGAATAGACAGAAAATCGAACATTTTAAGTATGAAGCAAAGGGGAAGAAAAATTTGTCTATTGTGTTACTCTCAGCCGGTAGTTGCACAACTATTAATAAAATTACAATATCTTACTTTGTTTGTGAGAAAAATACAAGTACATTATTGCACCTACCACGTACCGTTGCCCCAAGCAATGGTACATTACGTGTGAACCTCAGCTGTCCATCAAACGCTTTGAGCCTTGGTGGTGAACAACCTTATGGACTATGTTCAAGCAAAGGAAAATGGACAAAATTGTCGCAGTGTATTTGCAAAAAAGGATACACATTGAACTCAGCTGGTGTCTGCACTGGTAAACTATTTTGAACTATGCTACATAACACTTGTTTATTTTTTGTCGTTCTGAGTGAGTTAGCTTGGAAAAATAACATGTCTTTGAAAATAAACTCCCAATCAGCGATCGTAAACTTCCCATCAGCGATCGTAAAATTCAAGTCAGGGGGAGAGAACAATGATTAATGAGTAAATTTTGTACAGTTTTTGGTACATTTTATGTTGACATTACGTAAAATTGTACTATAATCCTGTAGTTTTCTGTCAGAACGTTTTGTCTAATATGTACGGGAATTTTTGTTGTGTTTTGGCAATACAAACATCGCGTGAATTGCATGCGAATTGCATAGAAAATGTTAAATTGTCTATATAGCTACTTGGTGAAATAAATTAAAATTGACATTTCATAATTTCTTTTAAAAGGATTACCAACACTGTCGCCGACTGTTACATCAAAAAAGAAAACAAGCTCTTCTCCTAGTGGTATCATTTCTTCCAAAGGTAGCTAGTTTTGTTCCTTTTCAAAACACTCCGAGGTTATTTTTATAAAGTAAATGGTTTGAACGCGGGAGTATCGCTACATGTTTGTAAATGTAGATCGTCCAGGTTGGTATAGTCCTGAGAAGGACTGTTTTTGTTGTTGTTGACTGACGTTTCGACAACCTTAGCGGTAGTCATCTTTAATTTTATATTCAAAGTTTATATATCGTTGATATTTTTGTGTAGATACATCGTCTGTTCACTTCGATGTTGCAATTGGTTTAATTGTCGGAATCTCTGCCTTTGTTTTGCTTTTTACTATTGCCATCGTCTGTCTCGTTTCCCATTGTAAGTCGAAAAAAGGTAAGGTGGTATGATTTTTGTCACCTTATGATCTGCAATTGAATTTTAGTTCAGAACACAACAGAGTTGAAACTTGAAAATTTAGCTAAGCTTTCAAGCCTGCAATAACTAGGTTTTTCCTGGTCACGCTTCAAAATCAGCATAAACTAATCAAGTTTTCAAGCTTTAGTTCCAAGATGTAAAGTATTTTTTTCTTTTTAACTAGAAAACATGGCCATTAATGTCTTTGTCTCATATATTTTTAGCCAAAGATAATTCAAAGCTCGTCAAATTCATTAGAGCCAGCGACGAAGATTTAGATTATGCTTTTAAAGAATGAGAGTTTACGGGGCTTTTACAATTAGAAAAGACTATTTTTCGTTGACTTAATTCGGTGACGCCAGAAAGGTGGAAGGTGGGCATATTCTCTTACCCAATTATGTTTTTAAAACTATTTTCTTCGTTTGTACGACAATAACCATGACTGATATCAGAGCCATTTTTTAGTTTTGCTTGTTTAAAGGAACACCTCTAAATAGGGATCCATTTCTACAAGGAAAAAAGGGGTAGAGCAGAGCAAGTATAAAAAAAACTTCCTATTTGCTAAGACAAATTATCTCTTCCAAGTTATACGAAGTGGAAGCTAAATTTCGAAAGAAATAAATCATAGAAAAATTGAATATTAACACGATCTTTGCGACGTGTACAATAATGTTCAATACATTGTTAATTGAAGAATTGTTAATTGAAGAGTTGTTTCAATATTTACTTTCGATATAAAAGTCCATTGAACAATTTCATATTTCTGAATTACATCAACAGTAAACAAGTATTTATAATTTCCCTCTTTTATAATCAGCGTTACAGTTGACGTCACATATTTTTGGCATTGGTAAAATTCTGTGTTTGCATCGTCGGTATTATTACAAAAGTAAACACAGAAGCGCTACGTAATCATATATTACGATTGCTGAGATTACGACGCATTGGAAAACCAATCACATTTAACGTCAAAATATTACCAACTTGCGTATTTTCAATTTATTTGTGACTATGTTACTATTTTATAAAAACATTATCAAGTTGCTTTTCTCTCCTTTCACTTTTTGTGTGAAAAACCTGTGAATTTAAGGATGTCATATGAGAGAAAAACGTGCTAATGCCACTTAGCCCGCCCCCTTACCAATGCTCACGTGATTGTGTGATTCCTGCAACGTCAGCTTTGTGCGTTGTGTTTGCTCTGCTGATGAGTTCTCGTGGTTCCCAAACGCTCTGGCGACGTAACGTTTGACGACGATGTTAAATGCAGTATTCGTTGTGAAATCACCAGAAAGCTAACTACAACAGTATTTTCTCGTGTTATGAAGGATTTATAGAAGCAATTGAAAGCGACTTTTTCTGTCTCGTATAGTTTAAAGTTGGATTATTATTCTTTGTCTTTGAAATCAAAATTTCTTTGTTTCACTCAAATAACAGGTAAAGTGACCTTTGATCGAACTGTTTACTTGTTTCTTTTGTGAGAAAAATTTCTTCTTTAATTTTGCGAACAAATTTAACATGGGGTGCACTTATGGTGCACTTTTTACTCCATCAAATAAATCGATAGTTCACTCATTGGCTGTAGAAATTTTATTTTACACTATGTTCAACACATTGACCGTGCATTCCTTCGAGATCATCATAATTGCAACTTATAGTGTAAAGAATTTACAAACTAATAAAATTTATTTCCTGCGATTTGTGTTCAAAACTTCTCTCGTTTTGCGTGATTGCGAAATTGTATTAAAAGTTGTTTTGCCTCTCAAAATATTGATTATATTTCTATTATGTACAACTGGACTATGTCATACCTGTGGGTAATATCCGTTTTATTCAAATGATCAAATGTTAATCGTAAACAAAGGATATGTATTTACATATGTTTGTCTTGAGTTGTGTTGAATTCAACTCGTATAATCTGCCCAAAGAAATATATCTTAACAAATCGAAAAATATTGATCTTCGTTACATAATGTTTATCTGAAGTATGCATTAAACCGCTTCTATAACAATATTTTTGAATAGAACTATAAATACCAAGCATTCTTATCAACTTCGATTCTTTCAAATGTACGTATTGAATTTATATTTTTTGAATTAGTTTATATACTATATCATAGCGACATTTGTTGATATTTTTACAATGTTCTTATGGCAAGTGAAGTCTATTTGAGTTGTCTTTTATTAGCTGTTGTATAACTTGGACGTTATGTCATTTATGGAGAATCATCATATATATGAGTGAAATCCGGGCTTTAAATACTGAGGGGGGAGTAGGTGGGTGCAACGCACCTCACAATGATGTAATATTGCAGTTTTGTTGGTTAGCAACACATTCATTGAGCAAATAAATTGTAAAACAGCAAAAAATACATTGTTTTTTTCCTCCCTTTTTTGTGTGAAAGCAATTCAGTTCGTTTAAGTCAATAAAAGCTAAAAAAAAGATATTAAATTTTGCTGTTGAGCCACGTCCCTTTCATTTTTTACGTCGGGAAAAACTTTTCTATGTTTATGGACTTTCTATTAAGCTCTATTTTTAACTAATAGCTTTATTTGCGAAAATTTGTTTTTGGTATAAGACTACCATACAAGAAGTAAGAACTCTAGATCTTATGTTCACTTGTGTTCACTTGGTCCCCAGTCTCCCTATTACTACATTCTCTCTCCGTCCGTCGGTTATCCTTTGTCAAGTGGAAGTCATGCTCTCGTTTTGCACTCAGCTTGCTGTTTAGTGTGAACAATCCATCGTGTAAGTCCGAAATCCTTTTTGAATCACGATTTTTGCACATCTTATACATTTTGCTTGTATTTAACCTGTAAAATCGTCATTGTATTTTTTTTAAATATGCGAGAAAACCTGTAAAAATAAACGTGAAACTGAAGCTATTTGGCACACCCTCGTTATGTTGAAAGGCTTATTAAATGTTGTTGACGTGGTTCTGACTTGTTTTTTAGCTTCCTTCGATGAGTTTTGTATGTGTTCTTAGCATGCACGAAGTTGCTTGGGATACTGAAAGACACACTGCAGTGGAAAAGAATGTTAAACTGGGCAAAACGACGAACGATATTTCTCCTGTAACGACTAATGGCTACGACTTACCCAGTGTGAATGGTGTGAATGGAGAGGTTGCAAGTTATTTGTTTGAAAGGCAAGGTGTCGCTACCAGCTTTACTAAAAGCGTTACGATGGATGAGAGTTCATTTGCTGGCAAACACTGGGCTGTGAACGACAAAGCTGAAAATGTAAGTTGCTAAAAAGTAATGTTGCTTATAAATTGAACATTTGCGATGTTTTGAACGTGTGTCTGAAATAATATTTAACCTTTGTGGGCGAACACATGCATACTGTTTTCATTCAAATTAAATTACAAATGCTTATTGATCTCCTAATTTCAACGACCTGCTTTCTTAATGTTGATTTTGGATATTTTTTAGTACTTGAGTATTTTCGCAATAAATACCACGGTATCATGGAAGCAATTCTTTTAGATAATAAACGCTATTGTAAACATGAATTATATCTCCATATGAACTTCTATACAGAAGAATGGCAGTGTTAGAATGATGCTGTGCCCACAGTATTGAATGTTCGCTCTGTTGTTCATTGAATATTTTTTTTATGAACTTACAATTTCGCATTTATTAATAATGATTTCATTGAGTTTGGACTCAATTAACGGAAGCAGTTCACTTTGTATTCAATTATTAGCATACTAGATATTTTTGTTTCATTTGATTTTAGCTTGAAATTGCAGCATCTTAAGTTCATATGTTAATTCGAAAATGAACGTCTTTATGTTCTTGTTTCTCAACCATAACCAAAGTCCAAAATTCAAAGTTTTTGTGTATCATTGTGTGTCATTTGACTGATTCGAGTTTTGACTAATTATTTGTCTTGACAGTAATCAAAACATGTTCAAACATGCTTTATTAGACAAATTCAGAGAATGTCAAACTAATAAAATGAATTTCGTTTGAGAAACATGAGTGTGTGAGAAATTATATATTGTACATGCATATGTGCATTGTTTGTGTTTCAAATATATGTATTAAAAGATTTGATTTTTTTTACTTACATGATTTTATAAATTAGGACCAGGTATTAAAAACGAACAACATATTCAAATGAAAATACACAAAGTCCAATTAATGTTTTCAATAATTCAATATTCATTTTTATTCAACATTCTTCAACATTCTTTGTTTGAAAAACTTGTACTGTTTGTATTTTTGAATTTTTTATTAAGTAATTGATAATTTATTTCAAAATTCATGTTTTCTAATTTTATATCTCATTTCTTTAATCTTGAACTTATTGAAAGTTGTATCTGTGTGTGGCAAACACAGGCTTACTTGAAGCATGAGCAATAAAGTTTATTTGAAGGAAAAACAATTTTTTAGACCAACAATAATGTTGCCAGTCTGGAAGAGGATTTTCAAGGAATAAGCCTTGACAATGATCAAGAGCAAAGCTCAAGCATGCAAGAGGTATGGCTTTATTTTTGCCTATTAAACTTCATACATTAATGATGCAAATAAATAGTTCTGGTTAATGGTTATTTAGACCTTACAGGTTTCAAAATCCTGTGTTATTTCATGTTAACCATCTTGTCTGTTGCATAGTGTGTATGATTGAAAAAGAGGGGTATAAGTACCTTAGTATATACAATAAGGGATGAAGGTGCATTCAATTCTATGGTGGGAGAATATAAGAACCTAAATGTTCCCTAGTGTATAACAACAGTTAGATGAAGATGCTCTTGTTTGTATAATGTGAGGAAATCCTTAAAATTTTAGTGATGTTTTCAGATTGCATCTCAAGCAAAGAATCTTTGGCCAGAAGATGACAATGATGATGACAGAAATGGCATTTTTCATGGTGAACCATGGGACTCAAATACATTATTACCTTCAATGCCTCGTGTAACATCAGAGCATGCAGTCTCACAACCCATCAACATGGCTAGGTCAATGAATATTCGTAACTACAATGGTGTTGATCAACATGGTGTCTTATCTCCAAGATCTACTGATGGTGTTGGTATGAGTGTTGCTGAGTTTGTTCTTGCTTCATCTCCTGTTGTCGATATTGATGCCCAAATATCAAAAATGAAAGCAAGAATGGTAATTAAATTTTCTCTTTTACATGGTGATTCTACATGGTGGTTAAATTAGCTATGTTATTTGTACAAATTATATTTGAAAAAATAGGCATGTTTTTAAGCTGGAGTTAAGTGTAGAGTTTCTTGTGGGCGGGCAGTTGCATTTGTTTAAAGCCTGTACAAAAACTTAAAAACTTGCCAATATTTTATGACCATTGATAATAGGTCCTGCTACTTTGAATTCTAAAACATCTTAATTTTGTGTTAGAATCAACCTGAAAAAGAAGAGAAAGAGTTAAAAATACCCATATCAAATCAGAAAGAACATGCATTTGAGGATGAAAATGCCGAGGAAGTGAGAAATACTCTGAAAAGAGAACAGTCAGACAAATCACCTCAAACTGTTCAGGGGGTGCTACCCGACGAGAAACCATCGCATAGTTTCAGGTTGGTAGAATTTATGATACCTGCAAAAGGTTTATTTTCAAATAGACCAATTGGAAAGGTGGGGACAGGTATTTTGTAAACATTTTATTGATTCTTGTCTGTACAATTCATGTACACTATATTAATTTGGCAAGCTGATGCCAGATTGTCTATTGATAAGTTTTACCATGAAGCTTACTTGAACACACTTCCTTAGATCCACTTCCAGAATGTATTCACTTTATGTGATGTCACTCAACAGCTTTTTGCTGCCTTATTGGAAGTGCTTGAGTCATTGGTGTGTCACATAAATACACCCCCATATGTTTGTCTTAAAGCTGTGTCTGTGTATTGTCCTTGGTGTTTTATATACTTTGAATGATTGAAATTGTTAGACTCATATGTCAGACAGCATTGGGGACAATAGTTTATGTATTGGATTTTACAATGTCCATATGTATTGAAGTTACATTAACTTTAATCTCAGGTTTGATATATTGTATGTAGTACCTTCTATGATCATGTTACTGTATCCTGTGTTTGTTTGATATTTTTAGTCGCACACCAGGAAGTCGACAGTCATCACCTGCTGAGCTGCAGGCTTATGTTGACACCACACAAGCTAACCAAGTAACCACTACAAAGCCAACTACACCTGTTAAACAACGACTGACAAACCCTGTGGATGCAGACCCAATTATGATGGATCCTTTGGATAATAGCCACTTTGACAACTTCTCCGTCAATTATGCAAACACATCGCAGAATGATCTTTTTGTTGGTGGATCATCTTACTTTAATGGACATCCATCAGTACAAGTTGTCACTGCATCACAGCGATCTCAACAGCAGATGTCAATGGCTGCACAACAACAGCAACAGCAGCAACAGATAAACATGCAATCGGCAGCCGCACCATATCCTGGCAACTCATACTTTATTACAGCTTCTGCAACACCTGACCCTTATGGTGGTGGTGTGCCTATGGCTTCAATGACAAACCCTGGTCAAGCCCAACAGGTGGTACCACATCCACAATATCCAGCAACATACAATGTGCCTTGGGGTGTATACCAAACATCTAATGCTGGACAGTTTGTACAACAGCAACCAGTTTTGAGAACCAGCTCAACTGGTCGTCCTACTGGCAGTGAAATAATGTCGCAACAGGTTAGTAATGTTCATTGCAAACCAATGCAGATGTCGAAAGTCATAGTTTGACAAAGGATGCAAAATGACACTCTTATGCATTTCAATCTTTTACATTATGTTTTATGATAGTTGTTTTTAATCATTGTCTCTTTTCATCATCAACATATTTTCTTTTTAGCAGAATACACTCTCACTTGGTAATTACCAACTTCTTGCTGCTCCTGGTGCTTCATTAAACCTTGGAAATGCATATTATGATCAATCGGGAAATGTCGTTGTTGGCACACCACAGGGTCTCACTCCTGCACAATTAAACCAATCAGTTCGCATGATTCAACCTTTGATGATAAACGACATCAGTCAGGCAAGTGGACGTGTTGCCAACACTACCAACGGTCTGAGAATGTTTGCTCAACCACCGGGACAACAACAGATGAATGCTATAGGTAGTCAAGGCTCTCTAGGTTACCTTCCACAAAACTCAGCTACGAGTTCTATGTCTGGCTTGCAGATTGGCAGTGGTGGAGTACTTGGTAGTGTAGGTGGGTCTTCAGGAACTTTGGGGACCATAGGAGGTAATGCAGGACAAGATGGACTAATGAGTGATCTTAATAGACGTCAACCTATTCCCATGTATGGTACCTCAAACTCCATTGGTGGTTTATCAATGAACTCTCAACAACCAACTTTGGGTATTCCTGAATTACAGACACCTCCCTTAAGTGGTGGCTTCCATGTTGGCAGTCCAATTGGGAGCAGCATATCGCAGTATCTTCCATCTGCTGCGCCAGGGGCTGGTGACCGTAAATATACGAATGCACTTAACGGTCTGTCAAATGCTGGTTTGTACAGCGGTAGTCCGTTGTCCTCGAGCTCTTTCCGTAGCAGTCGTCTGAAGGAGTCGAACCGCAGTCGACTGTTAGAGGATTTCCGTAACAATCGCTTTCCAAACATCCAACTTCGTGATCTTGCCAATCATATTGTTGAGTTCTCTCAAGACCAGCATGGATCTCGTTTTATACAACAGAAACTGGAGCGTGCTTCTCCCAGTGAGAAACAGATGGTTTTTAACGAGATTCTTCCTGCTGCATACAGTCTGATGACGGATGTTTTCGGAAATTACGTCATTCAGAAATTCTTCGAGTTTGGTAATCGTGACCAGAAACAACATCTTGCAAACTGCATTCAAGGTCACGTGTTACCACTTGCCTTGCAAATGTACGGATGCCGTGTCATACAGAAAGCTCTTGAGTGTATACCATGTGATCAACAGGTATTAAGTCATAACTATCGTAGTTTCTGCACCTGATCTTGTTTTAACTGGAGTTTTGGTTATTTTTTATTTTAAATATTTGTCTTTGTTAATAGAAAGAATTAGTTCGAGAATTAGATGGTTATGTTTTAAAATGCGTCAAAGATCAAAATGGTAATCACGTGGTTCAGAAATGCATCGAATGTGTTGATCCTGGTTATCTACATTTCATTATTATCGCTTTTAAAGGACAGGTATGAAATGTGTTTATTGTGTTTCATCTTTTGGGGACTGAATTCTATCCTTTTTACGATACACTTAGAATCAACGAATTGTTTGGATGTAAAGTTTGTATTTGTGTTGGATGTGCTTTATTTCTCTACTAAACATACTTTTGTTGTGTTTGTTTACGTAATTTTGTCCAAGGGGTTACCCTTATCAAGACAAGAGTAGACTTTTGTTTATGTCATTTGAATTGATTGGAAATTGTTGATTCTAAGTGCCAACAAAGATTCTGTTTTTTTTCCAGGTTGTTGCATTATCGACGCATCCTTATGGTTGCCGTGTAATTCAACGTATTCTTGAGCATTGCAATCCTGAGCAGACAATGCCGATTCTTGTCGAGCTTCATGATAACATTGAACGTCTGGTGCAGGATCAATATGGTAATTACGTCATACAGCATGTTCTGGAGCATGGTACCTATGACGACAAGAGTAAAATTGTGATGCAGCTCAAGGGAAGTATCGTAATGTTGAGTCAGCATAAATTTGCAAGGTAAAGCGCCATCTTTGTCTCTTATGTTGTTTTTGTGGCAACAATGCCGTGTGATCGATATGTGTGTTGCAGACATATAATTACGTCAATGTGGGTTAGATTTGCATCTGTGAGTGGAACATAGAAGGCATTTGTTTACCAATGATACTGAATGACTAGGTGTGGCGAAAATGAGTCGTGACCATTTTTTAGAATAATAGCTCAATTTTTATATTATTAATTTGCTTACAGCAAATACGTAACTTGTTTGTTTTTTTCTCAAATTGATCTCCCCAATGTCCTCAATGTTACGCAATGCTACAAACAGCATCGTAGTCAAACGTCAATGTCTCATTTTGCCATTTTGACTTTGTTTTGTAGCAATGTTGTTGAGAAGTGCATATCGCACGCGTCACGACCTGACCGAGCAATACTTATCGAGGAAGTTTGTAATAGCACTGACGGGTATGTTGATTTTCAAAATACAGTTGTTTCTTTTTGTTATTTGATGGGTTTGAAGCGTTATATGAGGGTGAGATTACTGGGCTTAGTGTCTGGTTTTACTCGCACCAAGTTTGGAAGCAAAAAAACGTAAAATGGACTAGCAATTGTTTCGAACTACGACGGAATAATATATGTCCGTGAAAAGCTTGCTTCACAAGCTACAAGAACAACAACTTGCTTTTACATTTTCGATTGTTTATCCTTCATTGCAGACCACAAAGTGGCTTATTTAGCATGATGAAAGATCAGTTTGCAAATTATGTTGTGCAAAAAATGATCGATGTTGCTGAGGCCCCGCAACGGAAACTTCTCATTCTCAAAATAAGACCGTATGTTGCTACGCTCAAGAAATACACGTACGGAAAACACATACTGGCGAAACTCGAGAAATACATGATCAAACCCAGCTTGGATTACTCGCCATTTGGCACGACGCTGCTATGACGTCACCCTCGGGAGGGCCTCGGGAAGTTGATAATTTCCACCCCCTAAAAGTCGATCATTGCTCAGCAAATGATCTTCACTGTGTCCTGAAGCGAATGTAGCTGTAGGATATTTTATGACTTGACACAGTTTTTATTGCGTCTATATTGAATAATGCCTGTCTTGCGTATCTAAAAATTATGTTCACATATTATGAAATCTATGTTTGTATCTGGTGTGCACGTGGGATGATTATAGCTTTTAAACCCTTCGATTAAAATCTCACCCATCTTTGAAAATTTGTACCTATAGTGTAAGAATGTAAAAATAATGCCTGCCCCATGTATAGAATAATATTATGTAGTTAGCGTGTATCTCTTCAGTTAAGGAAGCGAAAATCTTTGGTTTCAAAATTAGAAAATAGCACATTGTGCTCGTGATTTTGTTCTCGTGGTCTTGAAGTGGACACACGTGATGTACACGGGGTAAACTCGTGATGTAAAAATATTTTCACGCGAAATGATTTTATAACATTAGAATTTAAGGTATTTTTACTTCGGTGATGTTTATAACAAATGAAAATAAAAAAAGGTTTTCTCAAACCGGTAAAAACATAGTATATTTTTGTAATATTTTCTTTTTGCTTCTGTTAGTTGGAAAGAACATAGCGCTAAGTATTCAAAATGATTGCCAAAGATTTTTTAAGCCTTGAGAGTAGAGTTGATCCAACTCATCTTACGAGTTATTTGATTGCAATGTTTTTCCCTTGCTAAACTGTAAAAGTGTGGATTGTTAATATTACACCCTGTCGATGAAAACTTTATGAAAAAAAAATTAAATTTGTACAAACGATGTACATTTGTGCATAACTTAGGACTTGTATGCTTATGAACATCTATGTAAACTATGTATTCAATTGTGTAGAGATTTAAAAACTGGCTACTTGTACAGAGCGATGTAATAGACACTCATCACACACAAAAAATGTCTCATAAAGTGATTCTCAGTACATGAAGATTTATTGAATTTGCTGCATGACCATAAGCAGATTCATCAAAATACTGTACTATTCAATGTGTTGCTGGGTGTCTATAAAATTCGTGTTTCTGTAGTTACGGGGGATTTTTGTAATAAATTTCATGATAGAATAAACCCTGTTCATATGTTAAATTGATGAAATGGTAAATATGATGATGTAAAACAATGTGAATATCGATAAATTCTGTAAAACCTTGATATGTATGGTAATGTTTTAGTTTGTGTGACAATGATTTTCTTTTTAAAAGATTTGCTTGAACTAGAATCTTGCCATTTATTGAAAGTCTTTTGGCATGAGATGTTTAAAAATTTTTGATGCAGTATTTCCGAAGTTCATTTAGTGCTCAATTCGTAAGTCTCCATTTTTGAGTGAAATGGCCTAAAAATCGAGAAAATATGCTAAAATTGTGGAGTTTATCGTTCTTGGCCAAGTCTGGTGTAGCGTCAGGTTATTGTTAATTTGATACAATTGTCGTCCCGTATGAATGGACATAGTAAGGTAGGTAGACACAAAGGGTAGGCAGGATAGACACCAAGGTAGATAAAAAGGCAGACAAAGCACGTTGAAAAGACGACTCCTATATGACTTCGTTAAATATCTTTTCGTTAAAACGATGACTTTCAAATGTCGTTTTAGGCTTCAGTTCAAAGTTGTTTGACAGTAGACGACATGAACATCATTCCGAAAAGGCATGTAGTGAAAAGGCATGTGGTAAGTAGCGAAAAGAGGCTTCAATATTTCGAACTTTATTCATGATTCGTACCAAGTATTCCTCTTGCCTGTCCTCTCTTTTCTTTAGCTTACCCTTCTTTCTCTCTTCTCTTGTCCTCTCCCTGTTCTGTAGGTTTTGATGTATTATTAATTTGTTAGGAAGACCAATTTAGCATTGTTGTGTTTATGTAGTAAAATGTAGTTTAATATTGTGCTTGGATCGTCGTTAGCAGGAGATAAAGCACTATTTTATGTATTAATTTTAGACATTTGGACCAATTAACTTAAAACAGTAAATAAGAAGATATTTTTACTAATCCAAGGGAGTTACCTTGGCCCATGGGAGTGACTGGTGCTGGGCACTCCTTCCATCGGCATTTTTAAATTTTGAAAAGATTGTTATATTTTATGCCGAATCAAACTGATTGGTAGCATCGCAGTGAGTTTAGCTTGTATGTGACATGACTATTTATTTTGAAGCTACTGGGAAAATTTCTTCACGTACTCAAAAAAGATGTTGACGTCTTGATGACGACTGTCAAAGACTCGAAGAGTTTAAAGATTGTAGTAATCAGTATCACACTGTATTGTTACTTTTAGGTACCTACCGTCTTCTATGAAATAACAACTTATTCACATGATTACACGATTACATGATTTCATTGACTACATGATTACATTAAATAACGACTTTTTGAAATGTCGTTCATGTCGTCTTTTAAGAAATAACAACTTTTTGAAATGTCGTTCATGTCGTCTTTTATGAAAAAGAACTACCTTTGTTTCTACCTTTGCGTTTATCTTTATTTCAACCTTTATCTCTAACTTTATGTCTATTTTATATCTTCCTTTATGTGTCTACTTTTATGTCTACCTTTGTGTCTTCCTGTGTCTGAGTAGCCTTACTATGACTTTTGGCGACATTATATAAGTTTCACTAATATTCTTCAAAATTAATAGCATGTAAACACAAGGCGTACTTTTAAAATTTTATCCATATAAAAATGACATTTTTAAAATATTTTTTACAAAAGGACTGGTACGACCATTGAATTGACCTGCAAATGCACGTGCACGCCTCATACAGCTGCAATAATTTCAACCCTCCCCCCTGACTTATGTTTCAGTTGCTTCACAAAATTCACCTTGGCGACAGGATTAGCTTCGTTGTAAACTTGAGGATACTTCTAGTTTATAAACAACAATTTCATAAAAAAAACATGTCTCGAAAGGCAATGAAGTGTGTTGTGGAGCTGGATGTTCATACAGTAAGGTTTCCCAGGGTTGAACTATTTGTTTCTTAAGTTGTTGCTACCGACGCTTTAGGTCGAGAAAGAATTCGAGTAATCGGACTTTGCAAACTGCTGAAATGTTCAATGTTTTTCAGGTGTTATGTCCAGGGACGTATCTGCGAGATTACGGCTACGTCTATCTACGAGTCTACTGCATGGGCTTAGAAGTCAGTACAAAAGCTGTTCCACCGACATTTCCACTATTTTTTCATGAGCGGCTTCGTTTTGAAAGGGTATTTTAATAAGTTGTTGTTGTAATAATGAACTGTTTATTATAATCAAAAGCTTAATGCAATGTTTTGTTTAGCACAAATAAAATTATTTCTTAAAGATATTTTCTAAATGATTGATTGAAATGATCGATTGGTTTATTTTGTAGACATTTAGGAATTGCCAAGATCCTGCTTATGTTTCTGTATTGTTGAAAGGTAAACGTAGTTTCTATGGTGTAATGTAAATTTTATTTTGCTGTCGCTGACATTTGCCTTTAAAAATTTAACCAGGAGAAGACTTGACAATCGAATTAAGACAACATGACGACTACATTACTGGTAACGAAAAGTTTAACTACTTTAAGTGTGTTTTATTTAATTTTAGCAACAGTGTTTTTCTTTTTAATGTCCTTCTTCTTGGGTAAATGCCCTTCTTCAAATTGTAAGGAAACAAGTGATGTAAATGACATTATTTGATTATTTCTATCATACTCAGATGGGTTCGTCATTGCTCATTACTCATCCAATGTAAAAGATTTTCTATATCCGACATCTGTTTCATCTTATCTGCCTGGAAGAGATATTACATTGTATAAAACATCTCTCTTCAACCCAATCAGAATCACTGTAAGTACAATAGTATTATTTTCCCATTAAATTAAATAGGAGCTGATAAAATATCTGATAGATTGTTTATATGAGCAAGTAGCAGTAAGGCCACTTGCCAAGAGAACACTTATCTTAGCTTTTCATTGTAAGAAATTATTGTGTTACTATCATGGCCTATTTTAGAAATAGCCATTTTAGTTGTTGCTCTTCTTGTTAAAAGTCAGTTTGTTTGAACCTTTGTCTTCATGCTGTTTTGTGAATAGTTTTTGTCCTTTAAGGGAGAACCTGTACGACTTGAGTTTGCAACCAAAACTACTTTGAAAGAAGTTGCTGATCCAATTGACTTCACTCAATCAGTAAGATGTCTTTTATTTTTTATGCATTGCATGAAGCTTAACATGAGTGTTTACTTTTTGCTTGTGTGAAAGTTCAATTTTTTTGCAATTGGTTGAACCCACCATATGACATGCAAGTCTACAAAACATCATGTTCACATTTTTGCCAGAGAAGGGTTTTGGATCACAATGAAACTATCATAAATAGGTCAATAATTAAATGGGAATTTTGCTGTAGTTTGCTGTAAAAAGATGAAAAATGGTTTAAAAACCATGGTCAAAAGCTTTTTACTCGAAGTTATTGCAAACGTTTGTTTCAGAGCGACTCTGACGAAGAAGTCGTTTCCTTCTTAAATACGTCCAAATCACGGTCGCCTAGTAACCGCTCTAGATCTCCACCCAAATTGGGGCAGGCTGGGGAGGACTCTGCGCAGCATAACTCTGAGTTTGTTGTCCGACATAAAGATGATAAAATGTTGGAAAATCGTGACTTTTCTACTTTTATTAACCCCAAGCCAAGAAGGTCAAGATCGCCGACACGAAGGTCAAGGTCATTATCACCCTCAAAGCGATCTCAGGGAAATGTGACTTCTGAGTCAATACCTGGTTTGTATCTTTGTAGTATCATGTTTCGTCATATCCCCAAGTGTCCCACAAGTTCCTATTTATCTCATATTAAAATGATATATATCTTATCTTTATGTAGCATGGAAGTACTCAGTTGATTTCCCAACCAGCACCCCGCTGACGTCACGTCGTCGTGGACGTCACAGTCGTTCTATCACTGAACCGACTACGTTCACTTCGTCTTATCGTTCTACGAGTCCCACACGCAGTTTAAGGTTTGCCCTTGACGATCTGGACATCACTTCTGGTCTCTCACGATCCTATAGCGACGCGACTCTACGTCATCGTACGCGATACTCGCCCCATCTCTCTGCTGCGTTGTCCGCGTCAGATAGGATACAGTCACGTATAGACAGAGTTGTTAGGGTGGGTAATAACTTATAGACTATAGAAATGCAGTGATTTGAACTCCTGCTTTGTAAACTTTTCAATTAAATTATCATTTATTTCTTTAAAATAATAATTTGTCTCTTCAATATTGTTTTTTTGTTCCTTTTGATTATAATATTTGATAAGCAGCGAGTAAAAAACTGACCTCGTTTCACCACTGTTCAAATATCACATTTTTTGAGGTGTGATTTGTACATCCAAAAGTTTGAACATGAGGGAACGAGTTTTTTTTTGTATAAAATGTGATAAATCGAAGATTTCTGGGCAAACCATTTTGCACCTTTTAATCGTGATAATCATCTTTTTTTCAGAATGGTCACGAATCCGACTCGGACAGTGTTGATTCTTTAGATGTATTACGGTAAGATGTAATGCATTAACGTTTAGTAATTCGTTGTAGTTTGATTACAATGACTTATCTTGTATGTTCATATCTACCAGGGATTCTTTACGCGAAGAACGTAAAGCATTAAGTGATGCAATACGAGAGGCAGATAGAAAGTATGTGCTTTCCTTATATCGTACATTTATAGTCTTTACTGTTTCCAATACGAGAGGCAGATAGAAAGTATGTGCTTTCCTTATATCGTACATTTATAGTCTTTACTGTTTCCAATACGAGAGGCAGATAGAAAGTATGTGCTTTCCTTATATCGTACATTTATAGTCTTTACTGTTTCCAATACGAGAGGCAGATAGAAAGTATGTGCTTTCCTTATGTCGTACATTTATAGTCTTTACTATTTCCAATACGAGAGGCAGATAGAAAGTATGTGCTTTCCTTATGTTGTACATTTATAGTCTTTACTGTTTCCAATACGAGAGGCAGATAGAAAGTATGTGCTTTCCTTATATCGTACATTTATAGTCTTTACTGTTTCCAATACGAGAGGCAGATAGAAAGTATGTGCTTTCCTTATATCGTACATTTATAGTCTTTACTGTTTCCAATACGAGAGGCAGATAGAAAGTATGTGCTTTCCTTATATCGTACATTTATAATCTTTACTGTTTCCAATACGAGAGGCAGATAGAAAGTATGTGCTTTCCTTATGTCGTACATTTATAGTCTTTACTGTTTCCAATACGAGAGGCAGATAGAAAGTATGTGCTTTCCTTATGTTGTACATTTATAGTCTTTACTGTTTCCAATACGAGAGGCAGATAGAAAGTATGTGCTTTCCTTATATCGTACATTTATAGTCTTTACTATTTCCAATACGAGAGGCAGATAGAAAGTATGTGCTTTCCTTATATCGTACATTTATAGTCTTTACTGTTTCCAATACGAGAGGCAGATAGAAAGTATGTGCTTTCCTTATATCGTACATTTATAGTCTTTACTGTTTGCAATACGAGAGGCAGATAGAAAGTATGTGCTTTCCTTATATCGTACATTTATAGTCTTTACTGTTTCCAATACGAGAGGCAGATAGAAAGTATGTGCTTTCCTTATGTCGTACATTTATAGTCTTTACTATTTCCAATACGAGAGGCAGATAGAAAGTATGTGCTTTCCTTATGTTGTACATTTATAGTCTTTACTGTTTCCAATACGAGAGGCAGATAGAAAGTATGTGCTTTCCTTATATCGTACATTTATAGTCTTTACTGTTTCCAATACGAGAGGCAGATAGAAAGTATGTGCTTTCCTTATATCGTACATTTATAGTCTTTACTATTTCCAATACGAGAGGCAGATAGAAAGTATGTGCTTTCCTTATATCGTACATTTATAGTCTTTACTATTTCCAATACGAGAGGCAGATAGAAAGTATGTGCTTTCCTTATGTCGTACATTTATAGTCTTTACTATTTCCAATACGAGAGGCAGATAGAAAGTATGTGCTTTCCTTATGTCGTACATTTATAGTCTTTACTATTTCCAATACGAGAGGCAGATAGAAAGTATGTGCTTTCCTTATGTCGTACATTTATAGTCTTTACTGTTTCCAATACGAGAGGCAGATAGAAAGTATGTGCTTTCCTTATATCGTACATTTATAGTCTTTACTGTTTCCAATACGAGAGGCAGATAGAAAGTATGTGCTTTCCTTATATCGTACATTTATAGTCTTTACTGTTTCCAATACGAGAGGCAGATAGAAAGTATGTGCTTTCCTTATATCGTACATTTATAGTCTTTACTATTTCCAATACGAGAGGCAGATAGAAAGTATGTGCTTTCCTTATATCGTACATTTATAGTCTTTACTGTTTCCAATACGAGAGGCAGATAGAAAGTATGTGCTTTCCTTACATCGTACATTTATAGTCTTTACTGTTTCCAATACGAGAGGCAGATAAAAAGTATGTGCTTTCCTTATATCGTACATTTATAGTCTTTACTATTTCCAATACGAGAGGCAGATAGAAAGTATGTGCTTTCCTTACATCGTACATTTATAGTCTTTACTGTTTCCAATACGAGAGGCAGATAGAAAGTATGTGCTTTCCTTACATCGTACATTTATAGTCTTTACTGTTTCCAATACGAGAGGCAGATAAAAGTATGTGCTTTCCTTATATCGTACATTTATAGTCTTTACTGTTTCCAATACGAGAGGCAGATAGAAAGTATGTGCTTTCCTTATATCGTACACTTATAGTCTTTACTATTTCCAATACGAGAGGCAGATAGAAAGTATGTGCTTTCCTTATATCGTACACTTATAGTCTTTACTATTTCCAATACGAGAGGCAGATAAAAAGTATGTGCTTTCCTTATATCGTACATTTATAGTCTTTACTGTTTCCAATACGAGAGGCAGATAGAAAGTATGTGCTTTCCTTATATCGTACATTTATAGTCTTTACTGTTTCCAATACGAGAGGCAGATAGAAAGTATGTGCTTTCCTTATATCGTACATTTATAGTCTTTACTATTTCCAATACGAGAGGCAGATAGAAAGTATGTGCTTTCCTTATATCGTACATTTATAGTCTTTACTGTTTCCAATACGAGAGGCAGATAGAAAGTATGTGCTTTCCTTATATCGTACATTTATAGTCTTTACTATTTCCAATACGAGAGGCAGATAGAAAGTATGTGCTTTCCTTATGTCGTACATTTATAGTCTTTACTATTTCCAATACGAAAGGCAGATAGAAAGTATGTGCTTTCCTTATGTCGAACATTTATAGTCTTTACTGTTTCCAATACGAGAGGCAGATAGAAAGTATGTGCTTTCCTTATGTCGTACATTTATAGTCTTTACTATTTCCATGACTACATTTTTATGTTTGAAGGCAGTTTCAGCACAGTTTATTTCCGTTCTTTTATTTTACCTTGATATTGAGTCACGTTGAACTTGCCGTAGCATAGACATCCGCATTTACACAGACCAGAAGGAATTTGCAAATTTAGAAATGAAAAATCTTACTTACAAATTGATGACTGAAGATGCATATATTTGAAACAACACGCCAAAGTTCACTCATATTACAATGACGTTTAATTGTTGATTAAACTTTTTTTTTAATGTACATTTTATGTTTTTTTTCAGAGCTTATTACAGGTCATTAGGAATAGATCTATAAGACAGCTATTGATGGCAAACTCCACGTAAAAAAAAGGTATCAAAACAAGATTCTTCATTGCTTTGCATGTGGTAGATTTCTTAACATGTTTGAAGTAGTGCAAGCCGACTTTTCTGTACTTTCTCCCTAAGCATTTATTGCCTTATTGAACGATAAACATAGTTATAACATGGCGGTGCGGAGATCTTAATTAGACTTGTTAAAATTTATTATTCACCCTAACTATCTTACATTAAATCCACACATATTTGTATGCATTACACAGTTTTAAGTTTTATTTTGTAGTTATACCAAAAGTTTTTGAGATATATTTAGCCAAACAAATTGTAATTTATATAATCACACTGTAGGTATATTCTTATTTTATAGTTGTTTTATTATTGATATGTTATGGATAACTTAAAAAAGCTTTCGTAAAGTGTGAAATTAAAGGAGTAAAATCAGTAAATCATTAACTATAAAAATCTATTACACTTAACTACTTATTCCTATCTACATCAGCGTTCATATGTTAAATCTTATCAATATATGTACATATTGATATCATTTTTCAAAAAAAAAGAGTTCATTTCTGGCCAAACCATCTTTTGGTCACAAATTACTCTGCATAAGAGAACTAAGTACCAGGTCTCTAACGTCTACAGCACATCCCCAAAACAAACTCAGGCCTCCTCCACCATGACCGTAGTTGTGGACGACCTATAAAACATAGTTTTGACGATTGAGTTTTTGTAGTAAGTGGTTTGGTTCTATTTTTCAGTGCATTCTTTTCGTGTTTATCATTGCCGTTCCTAGTTACAGGTAACATTGCTCCTGTTCATTAAGGCCATTTATATGACTTTATTTAGTTAGATCCTCACCTGTAATTTCATTTTACTTCCGTATTTTGTTGAAACATTGATGATCTCATGTTCCAAACGAACAGAATCTCTTACTGGTCTCAAACCAGCCCAGGCTTCAATGATAACTGCTTCATTCTACAAAAGCAACTTGAGTTCTTAAATACTTCAGTCTAGTTTCTACATCAGGAATGATGTGATGTTTAAACTGGAATCCTTACATCTACAGTATATGTACTCCCGTCTAGTGTCTTCATCAGGGTGATGTTAAAACTGGAATCCTTATATACTCCAGTCTTGTATCTTCATTAGGAGTGATCTGATATTGAAACTTGAGTGTTGAATGTAGTGTCTTCATCAAAAGAGAACTGTTTTTAAGCTAGAGACCTCATATATTGCAGTCTAGTGTTTTCATCTGAAATGCTATTTGACGGCGTTTTCACGTGAAATGATAACCTAAGCTAAAGGAAATCGATGCAAACTTTAAACAGCTTTAACCTTAATTGTCGGTTCAAGCTCAGATGCTCTTTCGATGATTGCTTCTGTTTCTTTGTCGTTGATAGTCGTATCCCAGTTATTTGGTTGAAGTGTTCCACCAACGATTACATCGTAAGCTCTGTTCACACAGAAAAATTGTTGAATCGTTATTTTTATACGTAATCGGATAACAACTATATATACATGAAAAAATGCGATTCTAACGTATAATTGTATATGTATAGATTATAAGAAAAGTTTATGGTTAAATCAGGAGCACTAGGAAAGTGTATCAGCATTTTATTCACACATTAAAAGTGCAGAAGTTCTGGTTATAACCTTGGGAAAATATATGTTGTCAGGAATTTCTCCTTATTCTTTTTTCTTGTGAGAATGTAACCGTTTTTTATCCACGGTGCCTTCATCTACGCGCAGAGATAATAAAAATTTATTGACTGGCACTTCTATTTCGCAAACTAATGATAAAATATTCGTCACAACGGCTATTTCATTGGGCAATTAATTACATTGAAACATAAACATATAACTATGTATCAAATTATCAATATTTTACTTGTGAAAATGTATAATTTACTTTTACAACTTGTCCTCTGAAAGGCTGGATAGTGTCGTCATTGCACAACTCGCGTGCGCCTAAACCAGCACAATTTATCACAATATCATATTCTCCTGCAAACTATAAAGATATAAATGCTTATGGACAGATAAAAAAATATTTACAACTGCAGTCTCTAACTACCTCATCAAAGGATTTTACTTTTCTTTGAATGATCTTGCCTCCTTTTTGTTGAAACCTGTATGGGAAAATAAATACAGACTGTCAGGGGATGGCTTGAAATGGGGCAATTTCTAAATGCTGAAAATATGATATCTCAAGAGAGATTTGCACTATATCAATTGTAATTTGACATTTTTTTATGCAAACATAAGAATGAAGAATGAAGATGACATAAAAGAATACGTACTTACTCGGACATTTTTATATTGAGATATGGTGTTCCAGGGATGATGATTGACCTCATAACAAACCCAGTTCTAAATGTACGATTATTTGAGCAAATTACATTCATTTACTGGCAATTTCTCTTAGCTTTAAATTCAACTTATCAACTATGTTTTACAATGCAAAAGTCATACACAATATCTGATGGAAAATTCCTCCTTATTTCTTTGTTGGAGAGTTGTTCATATGATATGAATATGTCACTTAATTCTGATTTCTATACATCAAAACACATAAAAAAACAAGTGAAGGAGACTTTGATTCAAAACTTTGGATGATTTTTTCACTTTTCACCTCAGCTGGTTGATCATGAAGCTCATACACTGTGAGGTATTTCATTTGATATTTATGAGCATCATTGCTATCCACAATGGATTTCAAGTACTTGAATGTTGTCTCTCCCCATTTTCTAAAATAATAAACGAAACATAAAAATGAATAACTGCTTATAACTCTCAAACCCATATCACATATCCTTCACACAAAAACAACAATTCATTGCTCTGCACATGTTTTGACGGAATTCAATAATGGAGCACCCTAATTTTTGTAAAAAGCATATTTTGATATATCTGCGATCTTTTGAAATAAAGTAGGTAATATAGCCAAAAGCAAGTAATATGGTCAAGACGAACTGAGGAAGAGATTAAAGAGAATGGCTTGCCAACAGCTTACAAAAAGAAAGAGGATGCATGTAACATGTAGGTCAACTCTGTAATATTTGGAGTCTTTCAAAATACACAAAATAATCCTGTCTTCTAGCATCCCTGAGCAAAGTCAAATTATCCAAAATCTGCTGCTATTGTACTATTCACTGATATTATACTTCGTAATTAAGTTTAACCGTTTAACCTTATTTTAGTAACCGGGGTGTTTTTCAAGAAAACTGGATCCCAGAAACCTGCAGCACCGTTCGAAGTAAGATTAGGAGAGAATTTCTCGGATATCAGTGTTATATCCAACGACGGATCTGCTTTTTGGAGACAAATTGCGCTGGAGATACCACAAATTCCTGCACCAATAATTGCAACTTTTCTTCCGGAGGCGGACATTATCAATTTTGTTGCTATTTGCTAGGTAATTACCATGTCTTGACTGCTGCCTATGTTCCCGATCTTTTTGAAGTTTTTTTTCCAAACTGAAAGGATAAGCCACAACTTAGAATGAGTTGGCAAAACAAAGCATCGTATTAATCATAAAACATCGTGAATTTATCTTTTAAGTCTAATCTAACATTGTCATCGTACATTATCCATTTATAACTATCTAAATTTTTTTATTGTGATAAGGCACACAAGAAAAGACGATGAAACTTTTTGCTCTATAAAATTCAAACAACGTTACCTGCCATCATGACTAGAAAAAAACTTATAATAAAATACCTAATATTTGCGGAATTTCTGTTGTTTTGCGCGTTTAACAAACTAATCAATGGCAGCCATTGTTATTGATTGTGTACAGTACACATGGACTTTAAGAAGCCGTGACTTAAAATTTTCATATTTGGCTTATTAGCAATTTTGCCTCGTGACTTACTAAAATCAAAAACTTGCCAGGCCAGCAAAGTTATATGCTGCCTCGCTGTACAGGCTACAGTGGTATATTTCTTTGTTTTCTGCTACACTGCAAATTATGCAATGATCTACACATCAGCACATGGTGTCTGTTCTGAAAAATTTAAATTATATTTAGGAAAAATAGACGAAAAATGAAAGCGTTATTGCAATTAAAATGTGTTGAGAAGTTATTGATTTCATCAAGGTGTTTTTATAATGTTTCAAACGCGAATGTTATCAAGTCAAAAATCAACAAAACAAGCAAAGAGTTCCAGGTAAAATCCGTTATACATTTGAAATCAAATATTTTGCTGGTAAATATGGAAATTTATGATGCAGGAAACAAAACAAGCATGGAAAAATTGGTTAAAGATTTGAGGGAGCTAACACGACAGATAAAACTGGGTACTGTATTTTACTACATCTAATTGGGCACATTTATTTAATTAATTGGACCTTCTAAATTATTTTTGTTTTTTAACTGCCAACAGACATGAAATTTTGTTTTCAAAAGCTATTTTCTGATAATTTTTTGGTGCACTTTTTTCATAACCTTTTTATTGGATGAATTGAAATAACTTAAATAGCACACCTTGATGTAAATGACGATTTATGTAGGTGGTCCAGAAAAGGCACGAAAAAGACACACTGAAAGAGGAAAACTATTGCCTCGTGACCGTGTAACAAATTTGTTGGATATTGGGTAAGAAACAAAATGTTGCATCTTAATGAGTTGAATGGAGTTCTTCATGTTTTGGAACATAATCTAAAAAAAATTTAACAGATCTCCATTTCTTGAACTCTCTCAACTGGCAGCATACAAGCTCTATGGTGATGATGAAGTACCAGCTGCTGGTATTATTGCTGGTGTTGGACGTGTGTCTGGGTAAGATGGCATTCACTTTTGAAAACATTTTTACAATGATATGATGTGATTTTGAAACCCAGTGTGGTAATAGTTTTATTTGTTTTCAATGAAGCATACCTTTATAGATTAAACATTTTATAGAATTGAATGTATGATTGTAGCAAATGATGCTACTGTTAAAGGTGGAACTTATTATCCAATGACTGTCAAGAAACATATTCGAGCTCAAGAAATAGCTAAGCAAAATAATCTTCCTTGTATATATCTTGGTAAGTTATGTTGGACCACTGTACTTATAATAGTATGCAGTCTAGTGATGCGTTATCCAAGAATATTTTAAGAGGTAAATTTGAATAATATTACTTAGTTTATTTTGAATCTTGACCTTGTTTAGTTGATTCTGGTGGTGCCTACTTGCCTTTACAACATGAAGTATTTCCTGATAAATATCATTTCGGGAGAATATTTTATAATCAAGCAAGAATGTCTGCAATGGGAATACCACAGGTAGCAAAATAAAGAAAAAGCATTCCTTGTTTTATCTATTTATTGATACTGTATAAATCATACCATTTGTAATAAAATGTTTATTTTGCATTCTGTGTATTATCTTTAACATTGTAGATAGCAGTTGTAATGGGCTCTTGTACAGCTGGTGGAGCTTATGTACCTGCCATGGCTGATGAAAGCATCATTGTGAAAAACCAAGGAACAATATTTCTTGGTGGACCTCCTTTGGTAAGTATACAGAGGCGTAATTATAATTAATTTGGTGTATATTCATATATTCAATTGTACCATACTGATTTCTTTTGAAATTCAAATTAATTTCAAAAGACATCAGGAGGGCACAACGGAATATATGAATATACACACCCCCCCAATTAACGTTCTAGTTACGCCACTTTAAGTATATAAACTTACTGTACATCATGTAATTCCTTACTCAAGACTTCCGGGGCAAGTAAAGACTCAATGCATATAGTGAATTGGCAGAATAATCAATTCATATTTGAAATGATTGTATTCATTGTAGGTGCAAGCTGCAACAGGAGAAGTAATTTCATCAGAAGAACTTGGTGGAGCTGATCTTCATTGCAGGTATGTTTTTCTTCCTCAGCAAATATAGCATGTTTTACATATATATGTAATGGTCAAAAATGTCTTATGATGACGTCATATCCTTTGCTTTAAGAACGTCAGGTGTACAGATCACTATGCTATTGACGACACGCATGCGTTGCACATCGCAAGACAAGTAATCCGTAATTTAAATCGGTCAAAGAAATTGACGGTAAAAATCCTATGACGTTGTATTGTCTCTTTTGATCCTCGTAATTTTGAATGAAAACTTTTTACTCAATTTTTCCTTGAGCCAATTCTTCACAGCATTAGACGTTCTTTGCGTATTTTTTCATCTTAAAATCACCAAACTTGTTTTCTTTTGCGACTTTTCTAGTTTTTCTTTATGTCACAATCTAAGTCTAATTTAATGTCTCAGTGCATTTGATAAATATTTTTGTAGACAACTGTTGAAGAAACTGAAGATCCCGTGTATCCAGCTGATGATCTTTATGGTATTGTTGGTGATAATCTGAAGAAATCCTTTGACATAAGACAGGTTTCTCTCTTATGCTACCATATGTAGATTAAACATGTTTTTCGGCTAATGCACAACCTAGTACACAGAGCAATTTGAACAGTTATGAGGCCTAAAATGTTAAATTCCGATGAAAACATTGTCCAGAATATGTATTTAGTAAGATATTTGAAGGGGTAGTTTTGTTAAACATGTGGACGTGATGAGCACGTGATGAAAGAGATTTTGTAGTTGTGTCTTATTCACAGTTCGTCTGTTGTCATACTTTCATTTGTTTTGTTAAAGTTTTTTTTCAATTGAATCTATAAATTTCTCAACTCTCGACATGAATTATCATTCCAAAAACTTTTAATACGATTTTGTGAATTTTTCAATAGGTTATAGCTCGAATTGTGGACGGAAGCAGATTTGATGAGTTTAAAGAAATGTACGGAAAAACTTTAGTCACTGGTTAGTTGGTAAATTTTCTCAAAACTTTTGTTATTTCTGTGTTGTGTTTCTGTTCATTTTGGTTTTGTTTCTCTTTACCAGGTTTTGCTAGAATACATGGCTATCCTGTGGGTGTCTTGGCTAATAATGGCGTCTTATTCTCCGAGTCTGCGTTAAAAGGAACACATTTTATTGAGTTGTGTTGTCAACGCAAGATTCCTCTTGTTTTCTTACAGAATATTACAGGTAAATAGACTTGGTTTATTAGCAATTCGTTTAACAGTCCCTATTATGGATCTTCTCGCTTTGCCAAAACATTCAAACTGTTCAATAACTTTGAACGTGTAATCATTTTTTAAATGGAAGCGAATACAGCACTTCATTTTCACTATGATCATTTTAAAATGCTGTGATTGTTATGAAACAATGTATTTCATGAATTGCGCTAGGTTTTATGGTTGGAAGAGAGTTTGAAGCCGGAGGAATTGCTAAAAACGGTGCTAAGATGGTGACGGCCGTTGCTTGTGCAAAAGTTCCTAAGTTTACTGTCATTATTGGAGGAAGTTTTGGTGCGGGAAACTATGGCATGTGTGGAAGAGCTTACAGGTAAGAATTTTTAGGGGATTGTGGTTGATGACGCTTAGATGACTAAACTAAAGATGTTTTGACCACGTTTTGCTATAACGGTTTAAACACTGACCTTTAACATTTGTACACAGAATGAAACTTTAAAAACATCTCTTTCGTATTTCATCAAGCTGTCTATCTTGAAACTTTTGTCTTCCTTTTAAGTCCCCGTTTTTTGTACATGTGGCCAAATGCTCGGATCTCTGTGATGGGAGGTGAACAGGCCGCAACAGTCTTGGCAACTATAACAAAAGATCAACGAGAGAGGGAAGGGAAAGAGGTAAATAATGGTATATATAAGGATACAAAGGATTCTTATACCCACGGTTTTTTGTTGGTTGTGATGGTAGTGTACAGCGAACGCCAATGTTGCAACTGGGAATAGTTCTGGTTTTTAGAAGGAATTTTTCATAGCATTTAAAATATTTGAAATATTGTTCCTTGGTTTTCAGAATGATACTTTCATCTATGTAGTTCAGTTTAGATCTGCATGTTAGTACGTATGACTTTTTCGTGATATGATGTACAATGTGCATGCTTAAACTACCTTGCAAAGTAAACCGTCAGAAAAGCATTCGGACCATGCAAAGTTATTCCTACACTGGTAGATATCTCTCACTCAATCGATATATCATGGTTTAAGTCAATGAATTTTTTCAAAACTGATATACTAATCATTTTTTTCAATGACTATCGTTCGTCTAGAAGTCCAGCATTTATTTACTGTGCTTGCTATAATGTAGTTTTAATTTTTTGTCAATAGTTTACTGCTGAAGAAGAAGCCGCTTTAAAAGAACCTATTTTGAAAAGGTTTGAAAAAGAAGGACACCCTTATTTTGCTAGCGCCAGGTATTAACATGAGTAATGTGTGTATTTCATTGCAAAAACCTAACCATATTGGCTACTATTGCAAACAATTTCTGTTTTTTTCATGTTCTGTTTCTTAGATTATGGATGATGGTGTTATAGATCCTGCTGACACAAGAACTATTCTTGGTCTTAGTATTAGTGCTTCTCTGAACGCTCCCATAGAAAATACATCATTTGGAGTGTTTAGAATGTGAGCAGTCGATGTAAAATTATGTTTTTCTCCAAACGAAGTAATCTTCATTCACTTCACAAATCGTCATGCCAAGCAAGAACGAAAAGTAGCATAACAAATAATTCTGCTCTCTGCAAAAAGCAATGAAATGATTTGTTCAAATATTTTGTTGCGGCATCTTCGACACCCCTCTGATATATTTTTGAATTAATTCTAAGAATTCTTTTTATTTCGAGGACTTAATATATTAAAATTTATCTAGTAATTATCAATTGACAAAGAGCAATATAATCATTATAATGGTGTACCATACATCGCTGATACTCGTACAAGTCTTTATCTCAAAGTATTTTTTGCTTTCGTCTTTTGTTGTGCATTTGTGCTTGTAATTCTTTTTTATGCAAACAGTTTATGCGGTTTCTACGCAACCTCTCCCAAACATGAAGTACCCCTGCACTCATGGTGGTTTCTTTACGAAAAAACTGCATGGCTTCAATCGATAGTCAAAGTGAATGGTTTTTAGTGCTTGGCCTGTTGACCATTTGAAATATTTCTCTGACCGCATGTACACCGAAAGTCTTGCCACATAAATATTTATTCATTGTTCAACTAACATAAGGCTTGTTTCCAGAAAACTGCTTTGTTAGCACTTTCCGCTTGAGTGCAAAAATATCGAAAGCTTTTTCGTAACGTCACACGAAATGCGAAGAACTTATGCATAAATTTTGCTGCGTTTTAGATCAGCATTATAAGTTTATAACCTTATTTATCGTAATATGCTAAATTTCTTCATATACCTAAGTTTTACTGTCTTTAAAATAGTATAGTGATAGTTTAGAAAAGCTCTTGGAAATACATTTATTACTGATTTCTTCGCGTGTATAGTTTGACATCATTTGACCATTTTTAGTAAAATGAAAGTGTCGAAGTCCTTCCCAGCTGCCCCCGTCTCTCGGTTAAAGATGGCGATGGATTTTAAGGGCAGGAAGAGAGATTGACATTTTGATTTTGGACGTATTTCAACTACGCGGCCTAAAAATGCTCAGGATTGATTTTGAACAAAGGTTTAGGGATCATAGAAGTATTTTAATCTTCGTGAAAAAACTTGGAGCGCTTGCTGAGCTGGAGTTCAGCCAATTGTTTGAGGACATGTCACAGCTTCGTACAGTTGAACTACCAGACGGCCGCATTATTCACTTAAGGTACACGAGACATATTTCTCATCAGTTTATTGAGTGGGGAAACTTTCATATGCACAAGAAACTGATGGGGATTTTAAGTATTGCGAAGATGGTAGATGAGGACATTGGCGCCATCAAAAAAGCTCACGAAAGTTTAAAGACTTGGTACGAAAATACTGCTCTTGAGTCTCGTTGTTTTATTTTGGGATGCGACAATTCTTCAGGCGATGCTAAACCAGATAGAGAGTTTGTTTTCTTGCGTAAAGACAATTTTATGAAAGAAATTGCGAAGCAAGTCGCGGACTATGCGCTTTCGCTGTTTTTAGTACTGGAAAGCAAAAGAAAGGATAAGTCTTTGGAAAAACCTGATAAGTTTTCCTTTTTACGCTCTCCCCTGGATGTAGAATTGTTGGTGGATAATGATAGCAGGTGTTTAAACATGATACTTACGTTATAATAGATTAGTCATGATAAAGATACACAAACAAGAGTGTCAATACTTATTAATTGATCAATCATGATAAAGACAAACAGACCAGACTGTCGTACGTTTAACTTTCCACAGATAGTTCTCAGCAAAGACAGAGTTCAAACACAAAGAGTTCTGATTTTCAGAACTCAAGTTTCAACATAATATATTTTAATATTGGCTAGTTAATCATTTATATGTAATTCAACATCAGGTGACTCTAAATGGAAACTAGACAATGAAAGAAGTGAAGTTTCATCATCAGATCATTCTTAATGAATACATTAGACAAGAGTGTATATGGACTCAAATTTCAACACTAGATCACTTCTGATGAAGACACTAGACTAGAGTAGATACTACATAAGGACTTTAGTTTTAATATCAGATCATTCCTAATGAAGACACTTAACTGGAGTCTGTAAGGATTCATGTTTCAACTTCCATACAAACAATTGTTACTTAAGTTATAGATTACATAAAAGTTAAAGATAATGGTGTTTCATTATCATACAGGAACAAAAAGCAAAATATTGGTCGTATGAAGAAATATTTTGGTGATCTTTGCTTGGTAACTGGGGTTGCTGAAGAGGCAATATATTACTACAGTTTTGCCATAGATATCCTGCGTTCGGTTGGGGATATTCTTTGGATGGCAGGTGCTTTAGAGGGACTATGTGCGGCATCATTGCTTTGTCGCAACAAGCACAAAATTGTTTCGCCAGAAAGGGCATCATTACAATTAGATATTAGTCAATTGTCAACAACAGGTCCTGTGAATGGCGGTAGAACTGATGGAGAAGATTCCAAGATAACTTCTCTTATTCCACTGATTGATGCAGAAATTATTGATAAATCAGAAGAGATTATTGAAGTGTATGAAAAGGTGCATTTTTACGTGTTAAATTTCTACTCAAGAGATATCCTTGCTTATATAGATTACAATTATCATTTTCGATCCAATATTGCATGAAAATATACCTTGTTTTTGTCTATTTCAGCATAAAAAATCTATAGTTCTATCTGTGGAAGCCAAATTTAAATATGCCAGATTCCACTTGTCCAGAAAGGTAATGCTCAAATTTCTAATGATTACTCATCAGATTAGAATCCTGATGAATTTCTACATTACTTGGTATGTTAATGTTAGCTTTTACATTGAAAGAATACTGGGAGAAAACAAATGATTCTATTGGCTGAAGCTGCAAATACATATTATAACTGTGTGGTTGCTTTAGCTATTATTTTTTTACTCTGCTGTCAAGCAGTTGTCAAAGATCATCTTTCTGACACGGATAGCGAATTGAAATATTGTTTTTCACTTTTTTACATAGAATTATAAAAGTGTTAGCAACACTTTGCAAGGGATTATGATGACTGAAATGATTTTAAAACTTTCGGACACCGAAAAGGTACGACGTTTTTTACACTTACTTTTTTTTATAACTCGCTTTTAACTATCGCCATTTCTTCCATTCTTTAGATTCAGATGTACAGTGCCATGTCTATGATGTACGAAGATATTGGATACATTAGAAAGGCAGCGTTCTTCACTAGGAAGGCAGCTCGTCATTGTACGTCACAGCATTTACCACCTCAGGGATGGACAGCTGTAAGTTTTCAAATAGACAGTTGGTGGATTCTTGTAGCAACTAAAACTGTTGTCATAGTAAGCTAGAAAGACGTAGGATATTTTTCTATTTAGAAATAGAATTATTTTTGTAGTATGACTCCATGACTTTTAATCTTTAATCCTGTCGTCATCGTACCTATGATGCAAGATTGTGCGATGTCTTCAAATGGCAATTGACTATTTATAATGTGAATATATTCTATAATTATTCTATAATAACTGTATTTAATTGCATTACAGTCGTATAACTTGATGAGGAATGCTTTGGAAGGATACAAAATTCAATTCAGCAACAAATCACCAGACACTGAAAGAGGTAGGCTTTTTGCAGAATCCATTTGCTACGGTGACATGACTGCTTAAAGATTGACGCCATATCTGTATGATTATACGAAGCTGAGATATTTTCTTTTCTTTACAGAATGTGAGCAGGGCTGGCCTCTTTTAAAAATTCAACTGATGAAAGAACTTATTGAAATGTCCAAAGGATTACAGAATCCAAACATTCCAATCAGGTGTTTACAAATTTTCTTTAGAAAACCATGTCGCGGAAACCATTAAACTATTCATGTTAGAAAATTAAAGTATATATTTTGTTTTGCATTTTTGTAGGCATATTTCCTATCTCCTGCAATCGATGCATCAATATATTGATGAGAACGATCTACAAGGTTTAATTACGTCACTTGAAAAATTAGCATCAACTTCCGATGAACAGCATAGTCTTGTTGATGATCTCGTTGTGGGTAACAACGACCTGCTTCCACCTGTAGCTTTAACACACCTGCCAATTGTAAGGTGAGACTCCCTGTATGTATTTTCCCCTTAATCAGGCAAATCAATGTGATCTGCATGTGTGAAAGAATTAATATTTTTACGTCAAAAGTTGCTTGTTGTGAATATATAGGTACTCTATGTGTATTCTAGGGATTTCAAAGTGAATGGCCTTCCAAGTCACCTTAGACCCATCCTTAGTCCTTCAAGTCCACCACCGGTCAAAACTCCTTTCATATATACCACGATAAAGAAAGGATCTCGCAGAGCTAAGAAAAATAATCCAGGTATGTGAACATTGTCAACCGAAAATCGTGATAACATGTTAATTATTGTTTCTTATCATCCACAGCTTCATTTAATTAACAAAAAAAAACACACGATAAAATATAGTCCCAATGATTTTTTTTTGATAAATTTACCAATGGTGTATCCTAAATATTTTTGTATAAAATTCACAATGATTTTTACTTGTTTACTTGTATTCGTTTGTCTTGATTTGTACAGTGAAAAATATGAAATAATCAATCACAGTGTTGGAAGTAATGTTTGAACTGAGGAAACCCTTCCAATTGTGAAACACCTCTTGTTATAGTTTGTCTAAATGATGCGATGTCAAGTGATAAGCTTACTTTTATTTATCCGCTTAACGATTTTGAAACTCGCGGGAAAACTAGCGATTAGATTACTTCACGGTTTAGTTATGGACTTACATTGATGATTCTTTTAGTTATTCGATGGGTTGAAGGCGAAGTTAGTGAAGTGTCAATGCAAGTCAATAATCCTTTGCCGTTTGATATCAAGATTAGTAAAATGGTAAGTCTAATGATGAGATAGAGGATTTGTTTATTTACTCATGTGTTACTGAATTTATGAAGATATGTTTATTATGTCATAGGCGGTTTTGGCGCCAGTAATCTTGCATATAGAACTACGTGTTGGGCTTCGTGTTTTTTAATTTGTCCTTGTTTTTCAATTAGACCTTGCTGACTGATGGCGTCCCTTTTGAAGCTTATCCCTCATGTCTTGCTCTATCCAACGATAACATGCCACATCCTTTCATGCTTCTTGGTGTCCCTAAGGGTTCTGGACAACTGGCAATCACAGGTACGCTAATTGGTTTCATTCAAATGTCGACATTGGAAAATCTTTCAAATTTGAATTCTTTATTATTGCAGGTTATTCCGTTGAACTTTTGGCATTCGGAGCAATTGTCCTATAAGCGAAACAATTTTGGACAAACAATACACTATACCGCTGATAGTTAACGTTACTCCAAAACTGCCATTAATCCAGTTCCAAAATCGGATCAGTGGTGTGCAATCGTTCCTTAATAGTAGTCATAAAGGTTCATCTCTTGTCTTGGAAGTGCAATTATACACAGGACAATGGTAAGCTATGAATAGTAAGTATTTAGTGTAACTGTACATTTACACATATGTAGAATTTTGTAAACAATTTAGCATAAATGGTCAAATTTTGGTGGAGAACACAAGTAAAGTTCCTGTTGAGCAGTTCACGCTGACGCTTTTGAACGGTATGAATAAAGGTCAGATGGCTTAAACAACTTTATTGAAGTCTGTCAATATCAGCTTATACATCATTTTCTGATGTTGAACATTAGGTGATAAGTAGAAGAAAAGTTATACGAGTTTTCTACAGTATCGGCAGCGTTAATTTATTCTTGTATGATAAACAACATAAATTACCATGAAAGCTGCGTCAACCTGTACTAAATTGAAAAAAAACATGATTTGTACTTTATTCACAACTGAACTCATGATAAAAAATCCATGACTTGTCGAGCGAATGTCATTATTTGATTATGTCGTCATCTCATGACACAAATTTTTTGTTCCCTTCGATTTGTCTTTTTTATGAAATTTATTATTTGTCTTCTTTTCTTTTAGGAGCTATGAATTTAGTAACTTTAGATCAAGACGAAATATCACAATGTTTGCCTCTCGAACCTGGTGCAACCACGTTTTTCAACTTAACGTTTAGTGGGCAGTTGCTCGATTCACTTCAGGATAGTGATACTCTAAATTGGTCATGCAAATTGAAAATCTTGTACAGTGGTGGGGAAGCGGGAGTACTGGGCATGAGTCGCCAAGCTGCTGTAGATATTAAGGTCGAAGTTCTTCCCAGTTTAATCTCTACAAGCTATTCGTCACTTCATGTTGGGTATGTGTGCAAGTAATAAGAGAAATTACAATTCGTCATGTTTACAGAAACTACCATTGATCAGCTTTTACAAAAATTGCCAGTTGTCAGGTTTTACATTAATTACCATTGGTCAGGTTTTATAGAAATTGCCATTGGTCAAGGTTTGCATTAATTACCATTGGTCAGGTTTTATAGAAATTACCATTGGTCAAGGTTTGCATTAATTACCATTGGTCAGGTTTTATAGAAATTACCATTGCTCAGGTTTTATAGAAATTACCATTGGTCAAGGTTTGCATTAATTACCATTGGGGTTACCATTGGTCATTTTATTACATCATTGGTCAGGTTTTATAGAAATTACCATTGGTCAAGGTTTTAATTACCATTGGTCAATAGAAATTACCATTGGTCAGGTTTTATAGAAATTACCATTGGTCAGGTTTTATAGAAATTGCCATTGGTCAGGTTTTATAGAAATTGCCATTGGTCAGGTTTTATAGAAATTGCCATTGGTCAGGTTTTATAGAAATTACCATTGGTCAGGTTTTATAGAAATTGTCAGGTTTTATAGCAAGGTTAATTGTTCAGGTTTTATAGAAATTACCATTGGTCAGGTTTTATAGAAATTGCCATTGGTCAGGTTTTATAGAAATTACCATTGGTCAAGGTTTTATAGAAATTGCCATTGGTCAGGTTTTATAGAAATTGCCATTGGTCAGGTTTTATAGAAATTGCCATTGGTCAAGGTTTTATAGAAATTGCCATTGGTCAGGTTTTATAGAAATTACCATTGGTCAGGTTTTATAGAAATTGCCATTGGTCAGGTTTTATAGAAATTGCCATTGGTCAGGTTTTATAGAAATTGCCATTGGTCAGGTTTTATAGAAATTGCCATTGGTCAGGTTTTATAGAAATTACCATTGGTCAGGTTTTATAGAAATTACCATTGGTCAGGTTTTATAGAAATTGCCATTGGTCAGGTTTTATAGAAATTGCCATTGATCAGGTTTTACAATAATCAATGGTAGTCAGGTTTTTATGCGATTTTGTTTCATGTAGGAATGGCGAAAAATTCGAGTTGAAAATGAATGTATGTAATAAAACAAAGTGTAAAATTGAATGGAGATTTGAAATGAACTCAGGTAGTTGTATATGCATATTATTTTAGATTGAAGAATGCCTAAATAGATTTTTTGATATTTGCGAACTTCATTTGTTTTATTAGGAATCAAATATCCCAAAGAGTTGATGGAATTAGATGCTGGTGCATCAGTCAGGTTGGTTTATTATATGAACAACGCTTCATTAAATGACCAATACTTTATGCCCACCCCCCCTTCTACGAGGCATGGAAATGGTCAAACACAACTTATATAATACAGTTCATTGAAATAAAAGAAAATTAAATAAAGCTGTTTGCTTGCGTCACATGTATTTGGTATCCGTTTACATGAAACGCAAATTGTAGTTTCGTTTGAGTCAGTTTCTCTGCTAATAATTTTTTTCATATAAATTTCTTACTAAAGTAAAATACCACAGGTTTTTTGTGTCAAAAGGTTAAAATTTAACTTTCATTATTTTTAGGACATCTCTTGAACTGGATACCATTCATGTGCCATGCGATAAGTCAAAGGTGATATGAAATTTATGAAAATATATTTAATTAATATGAAATTAATGCGAAATTACAACCAGGAAAACATTCAATCGAAAACAAGGTTATCCTTTAAAATTTCAGTTTGGAAGTTTTATAAACTGAATCCTTTGTTGATAAATTTGAAGTACAGGCTGTTTTTATGTTGTAGACTGTGTTGTAGAATGTCAAATGTTTGTTGACATTCCATTCTTTTAGACTTTCCAATATCTTTACTATCAGTTTTTTTGCACTACCTTCCAGCGAGAAGATCGTGATGTTTGCACGGAAAAGATCTTGGATTTATTGAAGCTGCGATGGGAAATAGTATGCTTTCATTTGTTTTTTGTCGTACATAACTGGAAAATATCAACTTGCACCCAGCTCTGTGGCTTTGTTTGTGTTTTGGGATACCTGAAAGGGAAATTTTAGGTGGGCTTAAGGCGACGTAGGTGCAGCGTCCCTTATTATCCAACGGCTTGTAAAGAATTTATGCAAACATTTGTTTGGGACCAGATGTCCGAAGGGGCTTAATAACAATAATAGAACCGTAAAATAAGTCGTTGATTATTCAGTTTATTATGTAGAGCGTATCCATTACTAAATTGAATTGTTGTCTTTAACAATATGTAGCCTGAACAGAAGATTACTGGTTTAGTACAACTTGGGCACTTCAAAGTTACTGAGGAAATGGTCAACATCATAAGAAAACATCATCTTGCTTTTGGTAAGTTCTTTTATGATTTTCATAAATAGTTGCCAGTTAAAACTCTATCATCAAATGTTGCGATTTGACACAACCACCCCATTACATGCGATCTTCCTCACTAACCATTTTGAGTATAATTTCAATCTTTTGTTGTTGTTATTTTATTGCCATTAGAAATGTTTATGGATGGCAAGAAATTGAAGGAAGGAGACAATGTAAATTGCCCATCCGCGAAACCTGTGTTTTTCACCATCAAAATTCACAATTCCAGCGGTAGGTTCATTCAAAGACTTAATCTTTTCAAATCAGTTGGATTACATACATTTTATATATGTACAGTATGTATTAACCATTGTCATTGAGAAAGGTAAAGAACAGCTGTTTTTTTACATTTATCCTTTTATTTATTGTTACAGAGAAAGACGTTGTATCTTCCATTCTCAATGTTGAACCATTTGAATTGGTTGACAAAGACTGGAAAATATTTGACGTAAAACATAAGATTTGTTGGCTTGGAGCCACTAGCACCTTTCTGCCTACGGTACGTTTATTCATATTACTATGCATTATTTTAATGAATTATGTATATCGTGTCAAAAAGGTTTGATTGTAGCGAGATTCAGAAGAAAGGGACACTTGTACCTGGGTTACATCTAACATCCATGTAGTTTTGTGTAAAATACACATGGCTACTTGTGACCTGTGATTTGATTTGATTGAAAGATAACCAAACATATCATGAAGTTAAACTTTGTGAATTTAATTCGATCCATTTTCATTTCAGATCAAATCCCATTCATCAGTGGAACATGGTTTCGGTCTTTTATTTCTAACTACTGGCCGTTTTTGCATCAATTTGAAATGTTTTGAGCGATCTAGTTCCGGTGCTCAACAGTTTCGCAGTCGTACGCAAGTCATAAAACGCCAGTCATCCAGTGAGGGTCGGCCTCGATCATCAAGATCGGGTAGCTTCACTGATAGTTTACTGTTGAAGCAAAGGACACAGTCAACACCATTGGCTCAAATATCTTTTTCTTGCCAATTTAACGTGAGCGAAGATCCTACGCTAACAATAAATACAAGCATCTCAGTACCGCTAAAGAGTCCCACTATGTCAAAAATAAGTACTCGAGTGCCTGCAACAGTTCACGAGGCATCTGTAATGGATTTCGCCAATGCCAGTGATGCCAATGATAATTCTGGAAGAAAAACTCTTTTGTCGGTAGCAGAATCCTTCAGATCAAGTAATGAGTCTTCAAAATTAGTAGAAATGCCTCTAAGAACAGAATTTTGTACCGAACAGGATTTTGAAAGTTTGAAATGGAATCGGGACAGTTCTCATGCCAAATATGCTGATAAAACCGCTATTTCAGATGGTGAAACATTTGATACATTCGAAAGGACAGTAGAGGAAAATAAGAGTTTGACTGAACAGCGTGTTATGAATTTTAATGTCACTGCTAAATTTGTTGACCATTCTCACATTGAAAATGGTAAAAATTATGATGGTGAATTAAAAACGACTATAGATGGTGATGCTGGTTCCGGTAAAGTTGTAGATGGTGTAGAAGTTGATGAAACTCAGACGAAGACCGCTTTACAAAAACGTGTTGATGTGTCTTTTATGCGAAATCCTGAAGAATCTCATGTTAGTAGAAATGAAAAACGTAACGATGATTGTGAAAAAGAACTTAGGACTACTGGGATGGAGTTGGAACAAATAGAAGAAGGTGATACTAGAGATCCATCTGTTGTACAAAGTATTTCGTTTGAAAATACAAATATCAACTCTGTAGAAGAACAAAACACTATTGTGAATACGGAGTGTAAAAACTCATTAGAAGACGATGAATCTGACGAAGATGTTGGGAAGAGTCCCAGTGTGAGGGATAGAATTAATTTTTTTACTTCAAATTGATTCTCGACTGAGTTTTGACAAAAATTTTGTGTATGTATGGCTTGTCGAAGTAAAGATTCTGACAAACGTGACAGCTTTTTGCGCACATTATTCATAAGTTGGAGACTGTAATACCCGCTGTCCAATGACAACACGGGCTCATAGGCTAGTTCCGTTAAATGAATGATAAACAATTCGGCGAATGCACTAAATGCTTTCAACGTCAACATCGACAACCACATCCCACAAATTTTTGTTTCGCATGGCTTGTTTGATTGTTTAAAAAATAGTAAATAGAGAAATGGCGTAGTTACTCTTAAACATGCCTATTAAGTCGTTGTCTTGGACGGGGCGCTCAAAATCGATCGCATTTCTTGAGGCTCTGGGAAATAATGGACATTCGTTTTCAAAGAAAACTTATCACAAACCTACTTACTGTCATCATTGTACCGATATGTTGTGGGGTTTTACTAACCAAGGATTTCAGTGCTCAGGTATATAATATTTTGTATTATCTGTTGGGATTAAAATTTTCCCCATAAGTTGTCGTTTATGAGAAGTGTGTGTGTATTTAACGTAGATAACATTTGTATTTACATTTTCTACTTCACTGTATCGAGTAAAATATTTTTGTATGTTTGTCATTTCCGATATGTCTCTAGAGGAAAATAGCAATTTGCTATGTAGTAAAATATATTGAGTACATGTTTTCACGATTTCAAATCTAACTTTCTTTGTAGAAATTACTTTTGTGAAAACTTGGCAATTTGTTTTTAATTTAAAACGACAGATGGCGTTAATTATTATAGACATATCATATTTTATGCGCTCAAACTCGAGTTTAGTTTGAATTTAAAATTTGGGAGGTTTGGAAAACAACGTACTGCAGTATCAACATTCATTTTCAAAATATATTTATTGGGTTTTATAAACTTTGACGAAAGCGTTGTTGTATAATTTGCAAATAGTAATTAAAAGTCGACGTCAATATAACATTCTGTTTGGTTCACAAAATTGATTTCCTTTTATATATACTTGTAAATTCGTGGATAAAGCCAAGAAATATTTCATATGTTGCTGGCTTTGATAGGAAAACTTGTCGATAGTTGGAAGACGTCATGTAAACCTAATCCACCTTTCCGTTATTTTATTCTTTTGTTTCATAATGAGTTTTCACTATCTTAATATGATCTTATTAGTATTCAAAATAGTTATCCAACGCCAACACATTTTTGGTATACTCTCATGTACTATTTAATAAATCCTTGGATATTTTCTTTTCTATGAATGTAAAAGTTTACTTATAACAGCTTGTTTTTTTGATTTAACATCTAAAGTTTGCAAAGTTTTAAGGATTTTCAATAAGGCCGAGTTCCAAAAGGCATTTTACTTGTTTAGGTCGGAAAACTTAGTGAACTAATTATTGAAATTTGGAAAGATGCACCTGCCTAATGTCAAATATACATCATTTATGAATTTTAAGATGCTTGTTAAACAATATTGCTGTCATTTAGAAAAGAGAAAACATTAGCCTAGGAAAATTCTAGCACAATTTATCCAGTGTTTTGGGTCAATTGCAAGGCTTGTTGTTAAGGGAATATTGCAAATTTAGATCTATTATGAAAAAGTTTAAAGTTATTTATAAATTGTAATGTTTGTTTGTGATATTCATTTTTTCTTGTATGTACCGGTATATTCTTTTTTGTCCAATGTTAAATCATAATAAACATTCTTGCTATATTTTTATCAATGTTTCATTTAGTTTTTAGCAATTAGAAAGGTACTTCCAGGTAACAAGGATTATTATAAATAAAATTTATACTTTTTTTAAGTTCTCTCCAAGAATTAACTATTTTGTGTAGACAGAATATTTCTGTGAATTATAGTTAAGAAGTCCATTTGTTTTGATAATTTCTGTGTATTCAATAGCTCTTGATTGTTTTTTAGTTTGCAACTTTGTGAGTCATGAAAAATGCTTGGCCCTCATTACAATACCATGTCATTATCTTGCTTGCACGCTCATAAAGGTTTGTCGAATATGATGAATTCAAAATCAGTGAAGATAGTTTCTTAGGCTTGAAGTGATGTTCATCTCTTTATTGTGTTTCATTAAAGGATCCTGTGGGCCACCAATGGTCACCCTATCGTATGTTGAAAAGAAAATATTGCAACGTTTGTCGAAAGCTGTTGAATGATTCGTCTGACTTAAGTTGTCAAGGTATAAAAACAGGCTTATGTTCATTGACGAACATTTTTCTGGGCAAAGCCTAAATTTAATGTACTTCTCTGAACTAGATAATTAAGCTGCACTCTTCTGTTTATTTTGACTTCTCACCAGAGTTTTCATGTCATGTTGTAAAAATGTTCTCATTATTTGTGATTTATAAAAGCTGAGCACAACCTTCTTTAGTATGCGAGTACAACGTTCATTATGCTTGCAAAGATTCAGCAATCAACTGCTGTAAACGAAGTGCAACATTCACTATCAAAGAAAGGAAGGTATATTGCTTCGTTATTGTCTTGTTAAATGTATAATTACAATTTAGTTTACAGCTGTTACGTCATAATGTTTTTTTCCAAAGTCACATCTGTTTATTCATGTAAGTTGAGTTCTGACATTCAATGTTAAGAATTTTTTTTCATATGCTTTTATGCCAGTACAAGATATATGTCAACTTTTTAAGTGTCAAATAAATAATTTAAACCACAAAACAAATTTTATTACACACTAGTTTTGTGTCATATAAAAGTTTACTGTTGCCCACTTTCCACTGTTAATACAAATATAGGATGTATCCACTTTACTTTCAAATTCAGGATTTTTCAATACGAATCTGTTTGGTTAATTTTATCTTAATGTATTTTAAGGGTGAAAACAATCACCATTGGCAGGAGGGAAATCTTCCATCAGGATCAAAATGTTATGTATGTAAAAAGTCATGCTACTCTTCTGAGTGTTTGGCAGGTGTAAAGTGTAAATGGTGTCCATTAACGGTAAATTTTTAATGAATTTGAACTGTACTTGATCTGATGTTGAAACTTCCTCACTATACGTATATTCCAGTCTAGTGTCTTTGTCAAGTGTAAAGACAAATGACTTTTTCATGAGCATTGTTTTTTGTTTATCTTACTCTAGGCGCATTCTGGTTGCTATCGACGTATAACTAGCAGCTGTGATTTTGGATACTTTAATCATCTGATGTTACCGCCTTATGCATTGTCCATTCCAAATCTTGCTGTTTGGAGAAAAATGACCCACGAAGTTAAAAAGACCAGTACGTTTCTTTCAATGTAATTAAAAGCAATATTACATGATTTTTGCAAGTCTTATTAGCGTGACTCATTTACGTGTGTACACATTTACTAACGATACATCAACCATGAATCTTTAATGGTAAGATTTATTTACAATGGTCATTTTCAAGCTTTATATTTTCATTGTTTCAGGTGACAATATTTGCTTGGATAGTGAAAGTTTGAGTGAAATCTCACTCAGTGAACACATTGACTCTGAAGACGAGTTATTAGTGAAGTCCCCCACTGACTCAGGTAGAAGACACTTGTTAAAATGTGTCTTATGAAACAAACGTCTTGGTACATACATTACAATTGCATTTAGTACAGTTGTCTTAAACTTTCTTCGTTTCAATGTTGAGCCAGCTATCTTTGCTGCAACATTGATGAGTCTTTGTAATAAAAGTTAGTTGTTTTCTAAAACTATCTTGAAATATCGGTTGTTGAATTGGTATTGGACTTTTGCCATGGAAATGCTCAATTCTAAAGCTTGTTTCAAAAAACGAAAATATTGCCATAATTACGGAACATTGTTGCTAAAATGAATGCATTTCGACTACTGTATGACGTATGAAATATCATTAATGGTATTTCATTTTTTAATGATTTGTCGAATTTTTCACTTTACGTACTTTCTTCATAGTGAATGATCGTCGTGATTTAATCGTAAAATGCGCTACTTCATTTTAGCTCATGGTTCTGATGTGACCAATTCTATCAAGATTTACGACGGAAAATTAGATGGTCCGAGAATGTTCAAAATCGTCCATGCTTCCAGAACAACAAAAGCATCCCAAATTTTGGTATGCAAATAATGTTGATTCCACGAACTAAACATTCAACATCGTTTCATGCAAGAAGTTAAATTTTTACATCAAATCTTGATTCTTCAAAAAAGAGAGACGGGTGTATGCAAAGATTAAGTTTGAACATACTTTCACTTCTTGATGAAGACACCAGACTGGGAGACTTGATTCTGTCTTAGGATGACTTTAAAATAAAATCGAAAATTTACAGTTCACTTCTCGTCTTGTTTTGATGCATATTTTGCAATCTGAAGATGTCTTGCTTCTTCGGAATTTGTTTTATACTATATTTCTTTAAATTGTCGGCTGGAAACCAGACTGGAGTATATAAGAACTCAAGTTTCAACATCCGATCACTACTGATGAAGACACTAGACTGAAGTGTATAAAGACTGGACATTAAACATCACATCACTCGTGATAAAGAGACTAGAGTGGAGTATTTTAGGATATTAAACCGTTAAGATGTAAGACTGGATGATAAGTGCATTAAAGTTTTAAAATTGAATGATAACTATAGACGATTCTATTGCTCGGCTATATAATTTACAAATGAATAACCATTGTATCATTAAAGGTTGAAGCATTAAGACTTTATCAAATCACTGATGATTCCGAAAATTATTACCTCACCAAAACTATGGATAGATGTAAGTATTCATTCCACTATTTTATATTCAAGATAAAGATGCATGGCTAATCATATATTGGATAACAATCCACCTTTCCGACGGTAAACACACGTGTCAAAAATACGTACGAGACCAAAATACAAAATTCGGACATTATGTATATAGAATAGTGGGAATAGAATGGTTAGGAGATGCTTTTGAGTTTAGGGCTTTTGTGAAATTGTTCTAGTTATTCAGAACGATTATTTATAGGGAGGAGGCATAACAGTAAATATTAACCATTTTGGGTTGAAAAAAAGCACAACGATCGAAGGAAAGCTTGAATTTTGGCATGTTGTCGCGCTAATGACTTTTTTGTAAGGATTGTCACGGGCCTTTACGGCGTGCCTTAAGAATATCCAGGACGGATTCCAGCTGCATAAAGCGCAAAAATGCAAGCCATACAAATTTTTGAACTGTTATTTTTATTACATGTTGGTTTCGTTGTATTATAATCACTAATCACAATAATATTATTGATGGATGAAATCTATCTGAAACTGGCTTTTCAGATTATTTTACTAAAGCTATAAATTTAAATGTATGAAATTACTATGACGCTAAATGATAACATAAACGTCTTATTATGAATATGTGTTAATTGTATTCAAAGACAATCATGAATCTCATCTGGAATCTCATGATGCATCGAATCATAAATATAAAAATAACTGTTAAAAAAATTCTATGACTTCCAATTTTCTTCGCTCCATGCAGCTAAAATCGGATAAGGATATTCTTTGAAGGGTGGTTTCTTACAGCGAAATGCATTCTACTTGCATTTACGTGATAACTTGGACGTAATAAAATGAATTATTTTATGAGAACTCTTGTAAAGAAAAAAGACAAATTTTGAAAACAAAAAATCGCATTTGTCCATGCATCCCGTTACCCCGATATAGTTGAGTACAAGAGCGTCGCATGTTAATTAAGGGAACCAGATAATCCTTGTTTGACATGAAGCCCATGGATGGTTTGCTCGTGATACATGAGAAACAGTAAATGAGAGAGTTAAATCAGAAAGATGTAAACCAATGAAAATTGTATAAAACATTTTTAAGGTTGTCTTAAATTATAAGTGTGATAAAAAGGCATAGTTTCAGAAGAATTTAAGTGAAGCATTGCTTGGTTTATTTTGATTTAAAAATATAAAATTTGAAAGCAAAAAAACCCCGTTTTCGGGCCATGCTTCCCGATACCTTGTTAATCTTAAGGCACTAGAACGCCGCATGTTAACGTTTCGGTAGGAGATTTCGGCCCCTCCACGCTATCCTACTTGGGAGATGCAATAGCAAACTTCCGCCCATCAGACCCCGAGATCACCTGCGATAGGCTTTGCTCGGGGTACGCAGGGAGAGTGCGGTCGCCACCGAAGTGTGGGCCCCTAAGCCGCTGCATACATATCGCACCCAGCTTCCACTGCTAGTTGACATCTACTATATGAAGTTTTAGCTTTACATATATACACACAAATTCAAAGGCTTACAAAAGTTGTGGTATTATTACAGTAACTACTGCGCATGCTCAGATTATTTTTTTGATAATTTGCGACTAAGTAAACTAATTGCCACAAATGTAGTGCAAGTACATATGGTTAGTCGTTGCCATGACTATAAACAACTAGTCAAGTGGACTGCGCATGCGCTAGAGCATGCGCAGATGATTTCTCTATTAAATTGTTATTAAACATGCTATTTACTTTAAAATCGATATGAGTAGATGCAGTTGATCGTTGCCATGACCCTGAACTTGGGCAGTTGGTCAATTGGACTGCGCATGCTCAAGCAGAGTGCGCATGCACAGATGATTTATCTGAAAATTTGTGACTGAGCGAGCTAATTACTCTATAATTGGTACTAGTACATACAGTTGGTCGTTGCCATGACCACGAACTTTGGGAATTGGTGGAGTTTGAGTACGCATGCTCAGATTGATTCTCCATTAATTTGTGACGGAGCGAACTCTGAAATTGGTGATTGTAGATGCGCGGAGCAAGTTTTCAATCATATATTTTTGGCATGCTATTTGTCTTCTTTAGCTTGTTTTTACTAATGAATATCAAACTCATCAACAGTATGTCCAACCAATTGAATGTCCGAATTTCGTAATTTGCTCTCGTATTTTTGACACGCGTGTTTACCGTCGGAAAGGTGGATTGCATCACATGGCTGTCCGCAACATGCTTGCAGGAATGCATGTTCTAGTTTACTTACTGAACGATGTCATTGTCGGAAACAATTGTTGAAGTTCATCCACTAGTTGTATTATGAAACTTTGTCTTGTTGTTTTTGTAGATAGCGAGCGTACAGTAGATCCAGAAGAAATGCCGTTACAATTTCCCAGTCGGAATAAACAAACCATGATATTTTTACGCATTAAGGTTTGTACGACTTTTTAACACGTATTCAAAGACGTGTTAGGCAGTGATGGTCTTTCATACGTGTTAATGGTCGTGTACCCTATGTAGTCAACCGGGATTTTAAATATGATTTTGAAATGTCAGATTATTTGAACAGATTGCTTCTTTTTTTTCTTGGAACTCCATACTTTCCTTCCCCCAGCATTCTCCTGAATGTTGTTTAGTAAGTTAAAAATTATACATAATTTGACTTATAGAATGCAGAAAAAAGTGGAAATATTCGTGTTTACTTGGCAATGGATAGGTAATGCTATAATATTTCGAACCTTCTCCACTCCAGTTTCTTTGTTTTCTTATGTTTTAAGTCGATATTATTATACACACCTTTATTTAGTTCTTACTCTGTGTAGGAAAACTTATAAAAAATAATTTAGGAATTGTGTTATATAACGGACTTCAGCGTCGAGCTTTGTCATTTTAATTTATTTCCAGAGCGACATCTTCATTCAAAACTATAAAAGTTCAAGCATCTACAACTGTTAACGAAGTTATTTCCAAGTCACTCCTAAGATTTTCATTGGAGGTACATTATTTAAATTCTTGTTGCGTGTTTACCTTTGCCCTTGTTGCGTGTTTACCTTTGCCCTTGTTGCGTGTTTACCTTTGCCAATGTCGCCAATGCAATCTTAATTTACTTAGCTCATAAACCCGCAGCTTTGTCAACGGATTCTCCTTGGGCTGCGTTTTGTGTTGGCTCTAAATCATAGGGCGCTATATTTATACATTGTTCTTTATCCCAAAAAATTTAAAGATTATTTGCCATCATAAGCACTATCCTTGCTTTTAAGGAAAGTTGTTGCCTAATTGATACATACGCATGTTTTATACTATTGCATATCATGATGCACACGTTTTGCTTTGGAGGCTAGCGTAGAACTGTTATTCACTTATTTTTGGTGTTTTACGCCTGTATTACAAAAGCCTACTCACAAAGCCTTGTCACTGGGTGCTACACAAATTGTACATAGAAATTGCTCTATTACCAATTAATAGCAAACTTATTTCTCCATCAATGGCAAAGTGTTTGCTAAAATATTTTATGTGAAGCAATCACTGTAAAGATAGTACCGTTTTTTAATAATTGTGAGGTTATTTTTAGGCCGTACTCTGTAAGCGGGTGTAAACCTTTAGATACAGTCGTAATTGTTTGAATATTTTAGGAGAAAAAGCCTGAAGACTTTGTCCTCATTATAACGACTCTTTTTGATGGAGGTAAATGCTGGCATCTTTTAGTCATCCTTGCATGTTCGCCCTATTTCTTTGTTGTAATTTCATCTACCATTTCTGCATGTTAAAGAATAATTATACATTCTCGTGACGACTAAAGACGAATGAAACACCAATGGCATTATTCAAAATAACAATTGAAATTGAATCTGTCGTTATCTCACCATGACTGACAGACACATCCTCTATGCTATATACTTTGTGTTATTTTCTAACACTGAAAGTCTTCGTGTCAATTACAATCACGGCTATCGTTCATTTGAATTCAGTCGATTTTTATTTTAGTTAAGGAACGTGCAATGAGCGGTGACGAGTTTCCTTGGCAAATTCTCACACAAATGAAAAGGGTTCGTGTTTTGAAGACGTAACATTTCTCGTGAGTGAATTCTATAATTTTAATGATTTTTTTGTGCTAATTTATAGAAATCGATACGCGAAATGAAATTTACTCGTTTCTACCTTCGACCAATAGACGAGCCTTCAGGCAACGTGATTCTATGTGTCAGCAACCTCCCAATGATGTTAAAGAATGAGTCATATCTCAATTTTCTCAAAGAACATCTACAGCACGGTAGAATAAACTATTAGAAAATATCTTTTTCTGTCTTTAGTTTCTCAAGTACGAGATATCCTTGTCAATAAAACCTTGGTACTTATATGAATTAGGAGTAGGAATTTAGAAGTTTGTACAATGATTGCGTGAATTATTTGGGTTCAACTTCTTTTTTTCTTACTTATTATAACTATTATTTGTTTAAACCCAATGCAGTTTCAACATAAGAGTTTCGTTATACTTGTAGTGTAATGTAATATTGGAAGTTGACTTTGTATGTACTATTTTGTCATTTGATTTGTTTTTAGATAATTTTATCGTTGAAGCCTTGTACCCAGCATCAGGTAAATATTATTTGATAAGTTTGTGCTTCTTTATAATTTTAGAAAAAAATTCGAAGCTTTTTAATAATTGTAGGAACGGCGTTTCTGTCGTTTCCTTCAGCCGACGTGGCTTCCTATGCAATGGTTGAATTGGAATCAGCAATTTTGAGCGGGAAAAATCTGTTTGTGAAACTAATTCCAAATATTTACGTACGTATGACATGTAAAATATAATTGATGTTGAAATTTGAGTTATTAACGCCAGTTCAGTGTTTTCATTGGGTGTCGTCTGATAATAAAACTTGAGATTTTATATACTCTTGTCAAATGTCTTCATCAGGAATGATGTGATGTTGAAACTTGAGTCTTCATATACTCCTCTCTGGTTCTTTATTAGGAGTGATCTGATGTTGAAATTTGAGTCCTTCTGTTATGAAAGCATTCTATTATGAATAATTTATGCAATCCAGTTAATTTATATGTTTTCAGAGATTGCATTATTTAATTTCACATTTATTCATCACTGATCAAGATACTCCATATGAGTTTTCAAAGACGATGAACTAGTTTTGATCAGTGTTGCCTCAATCTGTTTACTTTATTATCATAATTTATTTGTGCAGCTTTTATTGCAGGAGAACACTTTGAATGAGAAGAGTAATCCAGTGTTGGTAATGGTGAATGTACGTAGCGGTGGAGGTCAAGGTGGTGATTTACTTATAGAATTTCAAAAGATATTAAATCCTCATCAAGTTTACTCTCTCACTGACGGTGGACCTTTACCAGGGTAGGAGTGTCCGTCAATTTTTGAATGCTGTAAATTGTTATGTGACTTTAGAAATAAGAAAAATCTTTTGATTTGTTGCGAAAATGCTGAAATATACAGGGTTCTGGTCATTTAGAAGTTGCCTTGACGAATTTTTTGCTATACATATTATGTTGTCGTGTTGTTATTTATAGTTGATCGTTGACCCAAACTTACTTAGCCAAAGGCTGTAATAATGATTTTCAACAAGTAATGTATAAATGGGAGCTTTTCCTATTATTTTTAGGCTTTATGCTTTCCGTAATCTTAAATCATTTCGCATTCTTGTGTGTGGTGGTGATGGAACTGTTGGTTGGATCCTATCTGCTATTGACGAATGTTCTAAACATTTGAAGTGTCGTGATCCTGCTGTAGCTGTACTTCCTCTTGGGACTGGTGAGTAGTGAGTCATGTATTGTTTAGGGACTGGTGAGTAGTGAGTCATGTATTGGCTGGTGAGTAGGGAGTCGTGTATTGGCTAGGGACTGGTGAGTAGTGAGTCATGTATTGGGTGGTGAGTAGGGAGTCATGTATTGGCTAGGGACTGGTGAGTAGTGAGTCATGTATTGGCTGGTGAGTAGGGAGTCATGTATTGGCTGGTGAGTAGGGAGTCATGTATTGGCTAGGGACTGGTGAGTCATGTATTGGCTGGTGAGTAGTGAGTCATGGATTGGCTAGGGACTGGTGAGTCATGTATTAGCTGGTGAGTAGTGAGTCATGTATTGGCTAGGGACTGGTAAGAACGAGTGAGTCATGTATTGGCTAGGGACTGGCGAGTGGTGAGTCATGTATTGGCTGGTGAGTAGTAAATCACGTATTGACTAAGGACTGGTGAGTAGTGAGTCACGTATGACTAAGGACTGGTGAGTAGTGAGTCATGTATGACTAAGGACTGGTGAGTGGTGAGTCACGTATGACTAAGGACTGGTGAGTAGTGAGTCACGTATTGACTAAGGACTGGTGAGTAGTGAGTCACGTATGACTAAGGACTGGTGAGTAGTGAGTCACGTATGACTAAGGACTGGTGAGTGGTGAGTCACGTATTGAATAAGGACTGGCGAGAGCTAGTCTCAACCTGATTGTTCTGAGGACTAGTCTTCAACTGGATTGACTCAACTTGACTATTCCAAGTCTGTATGTCATGTCAAATACTATTTTTTGAATGTTTGAATTTTAAAAGGATTAACTCCTTTTAGGAAATGACTTATCTCGTGTATTGCGATGGGGTTCTGGTTACAGTGGCCATGAAGATACTTCTGCTTTACTGTTGTCACTTGATGATGCCAGTATCGTTCCTTTAGATAGGTTGGTTTTGCGCAGTTGTTGACTGTTCTTTGTCTCTGTTGTTCATTATCACCACCTACATTGACACACGTTATCTTAGTTTATATTTTAGATAGTGTAAAGACTGTTCTCATTCTCTGTTGTTCATTTATCATTACCTACACTGACATACGTTATCTTAGTTTATATTTTAGATAGTGTAAAGACTGTTCTCATTCTCTGTTGTTCATTTATCATTACCTACACTGACATACGTTATCTTTGTTTATATTTTAGATAGTGTAAAGACTGTTCTCATTCTCTGTTGTCCATTCATCATTACCTACACTGACATACGTTATCTTAGTTTATATTTTAGATAGTGTAAAGACTGTTCTCATTCTCTGTTGTTCATTTATCATTACCTACACTGACATACGTTATCTTAGTTTATATTTTAGATAGTGTAAAGACTGTTCTCATTCTCTGTTGTTCATTTATCACTATCTACAGTGACACACGTTATCTTAGTTTATATTTTAGATAGTGTAAAGACTGTTCTCGTTCTCTGTTGTTTATTCATCACTACCTACACTGACACACGTTATCTTAGTTTATAGTTTAGATAGTGTAGAGACTGTTCTCTTTCTCTGTTGTTCATTCATCACTACCTACACTGACACACGTTATCTTAAGTTATATTTTGGGTAGTGAAAAGACTGTTCTCGTTCTCTGTTGTTCATTCATCACTACCTACACTGACACACGTTATCTTAGTTTATATTTTAGTTAGTGTAGAGACTGTTCTCATTCTCTCTTGTTCATTCATCACTACCTACACTGACACACATTGGCTTTGTTTGAATTTTAGTTAGTGCTGAAACTATTCTTGTTTTTCTGTTATTCGGTCATTACTACCTACACTAACACACGTTATATTTGTTCTCTGTTGTTCATTCATCACTATGTCGTGTTTTCAGGTGGACAATAATTTTAGAATCGTCACATATGTCAAATGATACACCTACTATCGAGGATCTACCAAACAGTTTTGTAATGAATAATTATTTTGGCATTGGGATTGATGCTGCTTTGTCGCTGGATTTTCATCTTGCCAGGGAGGAAGCACCAGAGAAATTCACAAGCAGGTGAAAACTTTTCGTCATTTCCGTATCTTTTTACTTTTTTTATGCAAAGATTTTTATTGTTTAAGCTACGAAGATAGTAATTTTTTCTAAAGTAAAAACAAATGGAGTGCCATGCTGCAGTCACAAGCTGGCCAAGCTGATGATTCTTTTTAACTCTGAATGTTTTTTTTTTCAACGTAAGATTGCACAACAAGAGCGTGTATTTTCGTGTTGGCCTTAGAAATATGGTCAGAAAGTCAATGGAGTTCAATGAAAACGTTTCACTGCAGGTATTTGAGAAAAATAAATAAATTGTAGTTAGGAGTTGATAATCAAATTTTAGAACTTTTGTTCTTACAGACTCTAGTGAAGTGTTCATCTCAGGAGCGTATGATTTGAAAAGTTAAAATTTGAGTCATTATATACTCCAGTCTAGTGTCTTTGTCCAAAAGTGATCAGATGTTGAAACTTATGTACTCCAGTTTAGTGTCTTTATCAGAAGTGCTCAGATTTTGAAACTTGAGTGATGATGTAGCTACTTCAGTCAAGTGTCTTCATCCAGAAGAGATATGATGTCAAAATTTGAATTCTTATATACTTCTCTCATGTAGACACTTTGTAATGTTAGGATATTTACATCGACGTCATCCATCATCTCAACTGTTTTTTAACCCACTTCTTTTGTCGAAAGTCTTCGACTGACTTTCAAGAAATGAATCATTGATTTTCATTACACTTTATAAACGAGTGCATAATTTATTTTTCCAGATTGATGATAAAGATGTTGATATGCCTGTTATAGAAGGAATCATTATCCTAAATATTGCCAGGTATTTACAAATATTTTTATTGCAATATAGTTTATTGTGTTGTGATCATTATGCAATTTGAATGTTTTACATAGTTGGGGAGCAGGATGTGATCTTTGGGGACAAAATAATGATGACGTAAGTATGTAGTAAATGAATAGATATACGCACCATCAGATGATGACAATTACTCTTGCGTTTCTGTGACATAAACATGAACACAGACATATTTACTCAAATGATTCTGTTATTTATTTTTAGAAATTTGCAGTGCCCTCATGTTATGATAATAAACTGGAGGTTGTTGGTGTAACTGGAGTTATGCATATGGTACGCGAATGTTAACATTACCTAACTACATACATGTTCATAAATGATCAAAGTTTTATGTTAATAGGGTCAAATCAAGAGCGGAATGCGTTGTGGTTTAAGACTTGGTCAAGGCTCTAAGGTATATTTGTACATGTATGAAGAGGGTATAATAACATTAACCAAACAAATATAGAATCCATTTGTATGCCTCATTGATAAAATTTTGACCATGCATGAAGACATTTATTAATTGCTACATGGTATCCATTGCTTTAGATTAATCTGTGCTTGAAATCAGAATTACCTGTTCATGTGGATGGTGAACCGTGGTACCAACCCCCTGGAAATATTATCATACGACCCACTCTCAGTCAGGTTAAATATAGCAACTTACTGTTATAGAAAGGAAGGAGCATGTGTATTATTTTGGAGTATCTTTTCTCCATCACATATATCGTGCTTTCTTCTTTTACATATTGCTGCTTAATGGTCATAGCAATATCTTTTGTTTCTGTTCAATGGTTTAGTGCCATATTTAAGTTACATCAATATTCCTAATGCTTTGTCATTTACATTCAAAGTTTTGTCATTCTCTTGTTAGGCAAAAATGTTACAAAAACGTTCAAAGACATTGCGGTCACCCAAAACAGAGAAGTCACGCAAAGGTCTCATGAATAGCAGATTTTATAGTTTTGATGCAGGTGGTGCAATTGTTGGAACATCCAAAAATAAAGAAAGTTTATGATTGCTAATAGCCAGCCATTACCTAGTTCTTGCAAAGTATATTGAATTTTGATCATTTCCCCTCCTGAAAGTTGATCAAATCACATGAAACAGTTATGAATCCCTTACATGTAAGGAGGGAGATACATTAAAGTCATGTAAACATTTTTTATCCAAATTACACAGGTGTAACAATATTGTATGATTTAATTATTTTAACCAGTATTTATTATGTAGAAATAATTTGTGCTAAAACTTCTTTATTTATAATTTCTGTAAAACATTTATTGATGAATTAACAGCTAAGGAGAACAGTTATTTGAAGAATTCTAAAACTAAAATAAATTTTCCAGTCCATAAGTCTTTACATTACCTAAAATATAAACTAAGTGAAACTGTAGTTAGAAATTTTAAAAGTAGTAACTGCTACAAATACAAGTCCACTGTTATCTTTTTAAATTGATGTTAAAATTGTCTATGTTGCATATGCTATTGTTTCTTTTTTCTAATTTTTTTTCCGGACCTTTCATGTTTAATCTTTTCCTTGTGTTCTGAGTATCTTTGATATAGAATGACAACAATTAAGATGATGAGTGCTGGCCAAATGGCAAAGTTCAAGAACTTTCCAATGTTCATTGTATTAAGAGATGAATATTTTTCAACATTCACCAACTCTGTGTCAAATACCAAAGTTGCATGAGCTATAAGGGAGGGAAAAATTGTCGTTCAAGGTACATACCCTCTATTAATATTTCTTTTATGACCTCTTTTTATGGTGCTATTCTGTTGTACATGTTTTCACTTAAATTTATGTTCACTGGTCAAATATTTCAGCATAATATTAATAAATTATTCTGTAGGCAAGCATGGATGTTGTCAGGTCAGTTGAACTTTATTACTAACCTGGAATAACTCCTTCAACACCATTGGCTCCATAAGCGAGTTGTGATGGAATGATAAGTGTACGTTTTTCTCTGTTGAATGAAATGCTTTACTTTGTTCACTAAAATCCTTTAATTCATTTCTATAAGTTAACAATTGCTTTTATAGAAAACTAACTCACCCCACACACATTCCACGAATTCCCTGGTCCCAACCTAAAATTAATGAGGTCTATTAGCTGGTATGACTTTTTGTAAATTATGATTATGTGTTTGGACGTATGTATTGACTGTACCTTTGATGACCTTGCCTTTTCCTAATGGGAATTTTATAGGGCTTTCTTTTGATGCATCAAATACTTGACCATTTTGCAGTTTACCCTGAAATGTGTAATTGCAACAGGTCAAATCATGTTTGTGTCAGAATGCCATTTGAGTATATTGATTTTAAGTATGTAGTTACAATGTAGTGTACGGCGACAATGTCTCCATTCTCAGCTGTTAAATCACATCTTTCTGGTTTGTGCTACAAAGTATGAAAATATGAAGAAGCTTTAGCATGCAGACTGACATTTGATATTATACAGAAAATTACTATGGACTAGTACAATAGAAAAATTACCACAGATATAATTTGTAAATCTTTCTTCTTGGCTGCAGAAACACTTACTAGAAGAACTACTAATATATTAAAAGTACCAGAAAATCTAAGAAATAGCATGTTGAAAATTGGTCGCAGTTGTACCACTTGGACGGAGTAGATAAACCATAGAAATAATAGAATGGTAATTTATTCTGGATATTTTGTGGATAGAAATGGATAAATTCATATAATTGTTGTATTTGGTTTTCCTCGGGTTTTTGAATACAACAAAGGAAAAATGGAAAATGAATTTTATGAGAAAAAGTACAACTCAAATTTTTAAAACATAATTAAAATTTCACACAGGTCATAACCGTCTTCTATTAAGTTTTGACTGTGCAATGTGAAAAATTGTGCACGAAATCAAGGTGAAAGTGCAATGAAATCCCTGCTTCTATTTTGGCAATGCTCCTAATGTCCCCCAAGTCCCCTATGGACAAAAATGGCGGCCGAATTTGAAAGCGAACAGTTTTCTCACTCCGAGTTTATGGCTTTGGCATTAAATATTATTTCGGAGATTGTAAAAGATCCTTTGCTAAATGACCTACACAGTGAGCCGAGTGTTGAAGAAGTAAATTCTCAAATAGCGCTGGAGCATGGACGAGCTATTGTCGTTAATGTAGTTCAACAAAACAAAGAGAAGTCAGTTCTACGTATGTTGAATTGTTTTACTTTGTTTATCTCGGACAAATCAATGGAACGACAATTAAGTATGTTGTCGGCTTTATATTAATATTAAATAACTTCTTTTCTTGGCGTTTAATATGATCAGCTGTTGTGGTTCCATCGACTGCCAAAGTAAAGGATTTGAAAAGCTATTCAAAGGCATGTTACACTTAAACAAACGAGAGAAAGAGGAACAACATACATAAGTTGGTAATAATTTATACATCAAACAAAGATAGTTCTATGTGACTATAAATATTGTCTGATTATTGTATATTGCGTGATTCAGGAGATATGTATGGAAAACATATTGGTTGATATATGAGGGAGAGAAATTGACTGATAATGAGAAAACAATAAAGGAGTAAGTATGAAATGTTAAAGCTGATTAATGAATATAGAAACTATCATATATGACTTATGTTTCTTAATTATAATGCAACAAAAGATTAATTGCAAGATTGTTATGATAAATGCACTTCACACTTGTTTTTAGATTAATGCAATTTCTATGTTTGTGCATGTGCAAAACAAATGATCAATTCATTCATCAATTGTTTATGTTGTTGGATGAAAATATTGTGCAATCATTCCTACCATAAGTAGATTCTCTTGTGAGCACAACCAAGTGTCTGCTTCAGAGAGGTGACTGTGAGTAGAGGTTCAATTGTAGTTGATATTATACAAACTAGTTGTATAACTTGTCATGAAGTGTGAAATCTTTGATGAAACATTTAAAGGATTATTGTCAAGGGTTTATTTTCAAAAAAATTACTGTTTATTCATCTTATTTATTTTTAGTTATGGCATCAAAAACAAAGCTATATTGACATTTGGAAAAAGGCTTCGACGTAAATAAAAGGTTTATTGCATGAGTGAGAAAATATGCTTGGATGACTTGATTAGGTCATTTGCAAATGATAAACAAATATATAAATTACCAAGCTAATAATGAGGGGGCAAACTAATGAAATTAAGACAGACAGTGATATACTCCACCATATCTAGTCACATGCACTACCAAAAGCATTGCCAATTGAAGTAATTTATGTGGCGCAGAATTATAAAATGTTTACATTACAAATAAGTTTGTGTGAATCTTATTTGAGGAGCTATTCCATCAATTATTGGTGCATAGCATTATCCATTTTCATGCATACTATTAGAATTTCTATGCTGATGTTTTGTTTGTTTCTAATTCTCTTTCTTCCCAAAGTGTCATTCCAGTACAAGCACATATCTTCTTCCTGTTCTGAAACAATCCAGCTGATCGAGCAATAATACCACAAGCTAGCCTACAAAAGTATAATTCATTACTTTATGTTGAAAATGGCAAAACTTTTGTCAATAGCTAAGCATGCACAAATGACCCAACAATCAAACCTCTTTCCTGAATTTCCATCAATTTTTGATTGCAAATCACCACCTTCCAAATCATCTTCTTTCTCTGTTATTACCACTGACCTACCAGTGACATCCCACACCTGAAAATATCAAATTTGTTTGAAGCATTATCAATCATTGAAGGCTTAGAGTGTTCAATTACCTTAATATCATGACTTTGCAGGCGAAATTGTGCACGTTTTCTTGTATCTGCATTGATGTTGCCCAAATCACCAACATGCTAAAAAATGATCAGTTCATAAACACTATTTCAAGGATTACTAAGAAATTAGGCTATGTCTCAAGGATTATAATTGGTATGTAAGAAAACAGTTATGAAACCCCAATGACTAAGTTTAACAAGTTTCATCATCTGAATTAGAAAAATTCTAATTCTTCAAAAATTCACCCTGCTTGCAATTGCATTTTCATTTGATCTAATTCCAAATCCCCTCTTACTTTTTTTTTGATATTTGGTCCTCCATGGTTCTCGTTTTGAGGATTGTAAATATTTCCCACACTAAAAGAATAGAAGTGAGACACGTTGCTTCTAACAACGAAATAATCAATATCAAACAAAGTTAATCACTTCTTTTCCCACTTCTTAAAACCTTCAAAAATCTACTTGTTATGCTAGAAATGAACACTAATATACTCTTGTTAGGTCACAAATGACTACAATAAGCCAACCTATTACATCCATCTGAAAGATCACCAAGTTCGTGAATGTGTAAACCATGTAAGCCTGGGGCAAGACCATCTATAGTTCCATCAATTATGCATCTGTCTTTGTCAACCTGCATTTGACATATGAAATTATATGTGACCTCTTAATTATTTGGCTGTAAAATAGTATTGGCAATATTTTATTGATCCTTTTTCCAATAAAAATAAAGCCATGATAGACATGAATGATATTAACCTTTAATATGTAATATAAAAATGTAAAGATGTGATGAAATTTACATATGAATAATTATACTTGAACATAACGTATGACTCCTTGAATGTTATTTTCACCAGACACAATTGAAACTGCAGCTCCAATATGATTTGCAAAACCATCTGAAAAATGATTATTTAAAAACATCCTTTTTGGGAAAGGCTACACAATGGTGAAAATTTAAACCATTTAAATTCCTACAGAGTTACTTCTGAACAATTACACCAAATTGTGTATCGTTCACATTGAATCATAATGCATTCATTCAATAAAACTCTACCTGCTAACTGTGTTCCACCTTGTCCACGTAAAATGACTTTTCTTCCAGTTTCTTCCAAAATCTGTTGAATTTTGCCAGAAGGAATGTTTGTTATCAATGTGACCTGTTCATCTTGTAGGTTTATGTTATACTCCTTGATACCTTTATAAAAAATATGTAATAGTTCACATAACGCTGCAAATTGCAATGATTTGCCTAAAGTTCTAGCAAAAATTAACCTTGAACCTGTTGAAGACAGTCATCAATAACACGAACACAATTCTGGCTCGTCATTTCTACAGCAAATTCCATCTTAAATGAAAAAAATCATGAAATATTTTTTCAAGAACTGAGATTTAGTCCGTTCAGAGATTGAGCTGAACTTGGTAAGACTTCTTACCTGAGTAAAGGCTGTTTCTGATTCATCCATTGTTAATTTTATATTTCAATAAACATTGAATACACAATAGTTGAAAAAACCCATTTTGTTTTTTCCACTAATTTTATAGGACATTTGTTTATATGACTGTCAATTTGTAACAATATTATGTATTGATCAATGTAATTGTAGTAGCACTGGTATTCTATGTATAAGCCTACGATCAGGATTTAGTAGGAATTTTGGACATTTTCAAAAGGATTTTACAATATTATTTTATATTATTTTAGCAACATAAATGCATGCTAACCGCTAAATTGCAAAGCAAGTGAAGCGATTGCTAGTGTTTGTTCTTGGAGGGAAATAAAATCAGTCGGGACGATCTTAATTGTGTAACCTGACCAATTTGAATGATTCCTCTCTAAAACAAAGACTTATTATTCATTGCTTCATTTATTATAAACAAAAGACATCTTAAGTGGAAGTACGATGACGTTGACGCGGGAAATATTAAATACAATTGAAACAGGATGGCTTACAACGACTGCGAAGGAGATGTACCTAAAGATAGAAAACAGTTGAATAAAATGTCGGAAAAAGCTTTGTTTATTTTTTACGATTGTGAGGCAGCAGGTAGTGATACAGTCACTGCAGATATTGTTGAAATTGCAGCGCGAACTTATCCCGAAGTAGGGAAATATGCATTTCAAAGTCTCGTTCACACCTCACAAAAACTGGAAAAATTTAGTATGTCACATTGTGTGTGTGCATAATGTACGATAAATTGTTGCTACGTTTACTAGAATCATAGACCACATATATAAAGGATATTGTATAAAACGTGTTACATTTTTATAATTATTTTTGTAAAATATTTGTGTAATTGAGTTATTTGTTAAATTTTGTTTCATGCCCCCTAAACTCCTGCTTTTGATTATATTTATAGCTCTATTACATGACTTCAAAATTACACAAACATGCACAATTTGCGGTATACATGCTGCATGCATGATTATTTCACAAAATGTTACAATATCTTTGACCAATTAACATTAAAAATCAACTTGCAGCAAAGATAGCTTGTTGTATTGTCTTATAGCTATTGAAAAATGTGGCATAGTGCCTTCAGACTTAGATGGAAAGCCAGAATTTGCTGATGTTATTCAAAGATTTTTTCGATGGATTGCAAACCGAGTAAAAATCCAAAACAAGAAGACGGGATGCAATCATTTTCCAGGTAATCTAATGGTATCCATTCTAGTTTTGGGGATGACCAGCATTATTAATTTTAAGGAAAGAGGAGTTGTTCAAGAAATTTGAAATCACTTAAATTTCTATCATTCTAACAAAATTTTATGCCGCTATCAAATCATCATTTTTGTTTTTCCGATTATAAAAGTAAGGAATATGCAGTCCTTTCACAAACTTCACTTTAAAACCATGGTGAATATCAAATTGTGTTTGTGTAACTTTCCATTGGCTTCATGTGAACACATTATGTTACTGGCATGTGGATTATTTTTATTCCAATGTTTTTTAGTTCTATGTGCCCATTATGGACTTGGGTTTGACTTTAGAATCTTATTGAATAACATGAAAAGACATAATGTTAAAGATCATTCTCTGCAACGTATCAACCTTCATTTTGCTGATACTTTGGAATTTGTTAAAGAAGTGAGTTGTATTGCATATGTTTGTATACCAATTTCAATTATTTGGAGTGATTTTATGTGGGCATATCAGTTTGAGAGAACCATGCCCCCAGAAATATTTAGTATAACTGTCTGAAAATCCTCGAAACTATTTTTTATAAACACTTGCAAGTTGTCTTTAATATGCTCAATACATATAATTTATGAGTGCAGTCTGCCTTCAATAATCCAACTGACCTATTTTTAATCACTCACACCTCCTCATCATTTTCTAAAAATTTTCTGAGTATAATTTATCAGGAAACCTTTGTATGTATTTAACAACAACACAAACAACATTTGTATACCGGCCAGTATTAATCCCCGCCAGGGGGGTTGACCGGTCCATGAATTTTTCTACGCCAAACGTCTCTATCTCTCGCCATATCTCTCGTTATACCCATCGCCTTCATATCACTGTTCACAGCATCCATCCATCTCTTTCTCGGTCTACCTCGTTTGCGGACTCCATCCACATTCATATGCAACGTATGTATTTCTTTGTATGTATTTAAGATGCAAGGAAAACATATGAAAGAATTGGAAAAGACAAAATTGTCAATGGATGCTTTATTCTCAAGATTTTGTCCAGGAAAAATCTTTTCAAGTGAGAAATTGTGAATTTTGATTAATTGCATTTTTCAAGATCTTCCACAGAAATCGTCCTTTATAAAGAAATTCCTTATTGCTTTAGATCAGCATCGTGCATTGGGAGATGTTAATGCTATGATTGAAATATTTTGTAAAAAACCGTTAAAATCAGAACTAAAAAACATTCACATCCTTTCCGCAAAAGAATTGTAAGTACATCTAACTGATCAATAATTCCACTTATAAAGTTTGATTATTAATTATTACTCACTGATGATGTATAGAGACACCGCTAAATGTTCCTTCTTACTAAAATTAGAATCAATCTTCTGCCTGGTATAACATGAAGAACGACTTCTAATTTTTTTCTGAGACGCTCTTCTTCTTTAGAACGCTTGTCTTGTGATTGTTTTATGACTTTTACCACAGGTTCACACGTTGATTTTCGTAATGTGTGTTCTTAGGTGAACGCTAAAACGTACTATTTAGCTACCACAATACAGGAATTATTTTCAAACGGACATAATGCTCGTGCTTTTTTAGATGCGATTGGTTTACTGCACAATTCAACGAGAAAGAACAGTTGGCGATTCTTGAAGGTAATCGGTCATTTAGTTGAAGTTTAACCAGATTCAAATATTAACATTCAATCATTCCTGATGAAGACACAATACCAAAAAATCACGTTTGCGCATGAATTATTCCTGGTCAAACATCAGAACTATACATTTCGTGCTCTATGTTCCATGTTTATATTTTCTTTTTGATGCATATTTTTAGAGAAAATGTCCAAGATGGATTCATTTTCAAAGAACTATTATTCCAAGAAATTGTTCAAGCTTCAACTAACTTACGACGCCCTCAAGTCAGTTTTCGAGAATTGCTGTTCTTACATGGACTTTTATACGTTTCTTCAAGAAAGAGGGCTCAATCGAAAGACGGCAAAGTATTTTGCGTGTCAGTTTAGTGGCATGGGACTAAAGAATCAAGGAAGTGAGCCATATAGTGATATTTCTCTGTCAGTTGTCCCTTCTGATGAAACATATGACGTAAGTAAAGATGAAATGGATGAAATCGTCATAGTGACGAAAGAATCTTCTTACGACCCGCAATTACCTTACGACAACACCTTGTTATGTGAAGGCGAGGAGAACTGGGAAACCGAAGTGGACAACAGTCGTTCGTTTACCATCTCGTTGACAAAACCACCGGCTCCCCTTAGTTTGACTATTGACGACTTTGTATCAGATGTTTCATCAAAAAAGACTAAAACGTCCACCCTTCGTTGTAGCAAAGGTATGATAAATATTGGGCAAACAAGATTTAGATTCGCAGCCATGAACTAGTTTTCACTAACAAGCTTTCTGTCAATCTGTGGCGTAACTGTCTCTGTCTAAAACATGAAAAAACAGGAGTCTTCTAACTTTAATAAACGTTCCTAGACAAATATAGCCACATTTTCCTATTAAAACTACGTATTTAGGAGTTGATATTTTGATGCAAACATCAATTCCAATATTTTCATTTTGCTTAAATTGCCTGCTGAAATGCAGCAAACATAAATATTTATGTCATTTTAATTTTCTCAAAAATTTTTTTGGCTCCTTCGAGTGTCATGCTTTTTGATTGATTGTAAAATGTATGTCCATAAAAATAATACTGCATTTCACAATAGGTACTTCCATCCTTTCATCGGACGACAGGTTTTCATGTAAAATGAGAGAGAAGAAATTTCTTCGAACGATTAAAGAAAGTATTGTGAAAGGCGCTAAAAAGAATGCTCCTCGGAAAGAAAAAATTAATGTTGAGAAAATAGGAAATAACGCGAAAGACGATGAACAGAATTTTAATATTGCAGCTATGAAACCTGGAAATTCCGACGAAACATCGCGTATCAAATCTAAAAAGGTTTGTAATGGATACCAAACAAAGGTTGCCGTTAGACATGACAAGAATGATGTTTGGAAAGTGAATGATTGTAATGAAACAAAAACTGATTTGGGAAAATCTTCTATGAAATCAAATACTCAATCCAAAATACAGAAAAAGAATTCAAAAAAGAATAATAAGCTGGTTAGAGATGACGGACTAGTAGAAAATTTAGCCAAAGAGAACTCTGCATACGACAAGGAATCTAAACGTATTCGTAAAACCTGTGAAATTAAACAGAATAATGATAAGCAGATAGTGAATGTTAGTAGAAACTCGCTCAAAGATCCTGCAATTGTTGTAGACAAAAATATTGTAAAAGTGAAAAGTAAAGTGAAAGTAAAGCAAGGTGATTGCATCCATGTTGAGTCAAAGAATGGTTTGTCAACAAGTGTCGAAACACAAGTTACAGATGATTCTTCTGAAAAAAGTAAAATGATTTATGATAAACGAGAGAAGGGTTTTCCTACAAAAGATGCATCAAAATGTGACAAGCAATGTAGAGTTACAAGAAAAGGAAGAAATAGTTGCAACAGTAATGAACATCTTGTTTCGTTGAATGATAAGAAATCCAAGAAGAAAAATATGAAAAAACCTGAAGTGTTTAGAAGATATCCTGTTGTTTTCCGGAAGGATTTATTTCCTCCGAAACAAAAGACATTACCTCACATGGAAATATTTGTTGGGGATTTCCCCATTTATGTTCCAATTAAGACAAATTTTGAGAACGGTGCTGGGAGCACTGTTGATGATGTTAACAAGGAAATTTGTTCTACAACTCATAATGTCGAGAAATCGTGCAATGGAAACGTGGAAAATGGCAGCACTTTTTCAGAAAAACATGAATATTCAAGTTTGCCCATGCTCAAGGAAAACGGGATTGTCGTTGACTGTAAAAAAGTTGAAGAAATTGTTCATGACGAGAGCAATGACGAAATTAAAGAGCTGGAAAAAATTCCACCCGACATCAATCGTGTTGTTGTGCATCACTCCGCGAAATGTGAGATTGTTTCTTGTTCAAACGAGGAGCCAGCTGTAATAAATGATGCTTCTCAAAACGTACGAATGCTTCGTATTGAAACAGAGAAAAGTACCGGGGTTTTGAAAGCCTGTGAAATAGACAGTCGTCAACTTTCCATTAAAAGTACCACACAAAATCAAAGCAAAAAGTCGAATGAAATTTCCGCAAAGAAACTGCAAATCCTTAAGAGAAATAGCTCAATGTCTTCTGACGAAGTTTCAGCGAAGGAAATTTCTGTTTTGTCTTCAAAAATTGCGCAAGCTTCACAGACTATCGATAGTCAAGAATTGTCCGAAACTTTTGATCAATCTCATCGACTTATTACAGCCGAAGAGGAAAAAGTGGCAGAATTTAGAATAAAGAAAATGACAGACTCTTCACAACAAACAGATCTTGTAAAAGAGAAAGTGAATCAAGGACAGCAAACTGATTTTGCTCTTCCTAGCTTAAATCACAAAGAAGCATCTTTGCAATTAATAAAGATGCAAGATAGGAGTACCATCACTGACTACCCTAGACTACGCCAAGTTCAATCCTCTTCATCTTGTGATGAAAATCCATCAGAGTCCCTTAGTTCTTCACCCACAAGCCCAATACTGCTATCTCAAGGATATGCACGTCCGGATATTTATCCCACTGATGAGAATGTCTGGGCTGACGCTATTCCAGTTGTGACCTTAGAATCTGCATTATGTCCAGAGGATGGGAATGAGAATCATGATAAAGATTTTGATCGATCGGAGATTCCTTCCTCTGATATTCACTACCTGGAAAAAGATACCCGGTATATAGAGGAAGAGGGTATACTTCAGAATGAATATCCTCATCATCTTAGGAATTTGCATAATGATATCAAAAATCTGCAGTACATGAACGATTATACCAGTTCTGGATATCAAGACCTCTTGCGAAGGAATAAAGATCTTTCATATACGAGAGAAGATTCTCGTTATTACGTTCTTCAAGATGGCCGATGCCAGGTAGAAAATGATCATTGCGCTCACGAGGTTACCAGACACCCAAATGAAGGTGGGCACTACATAGGTTTATTGGATAGACGATGCGAGATACCTTCCTCAGAGCCAAATCATTACAATGATATTTACTTCAATCATGAATACATACCACAAAGAGAGTTGTATGGAAATCTATCCAATAATACCAGTGAAACATCTCACCTTACTCTTCCTTATACCCACTTTCCTACACGTTTGTACCATCATGTAAATCCCACTACTGTTACCTTGTCAGCACCATTTCATCATAGGTACTCGCGACAGTACTATCAAAGATTACCGCGAAATAGCTTTGTCTTAAAACATACAAGTCCGTCGTACAGTCAGTGATAAATGATAAATTTTTAGTATTGATGTGTTTTGTGACGATTATGGTGTGAAACATATTTTTGTTCACTTTGACGTTAAGGGTTTTTTGGGTTAAATTATTTTGTTTGCTTGCTTGTTTTTTTCAAAGATAAAAAATTTTAGGGTATTGTGTCCCGATTTGTTCGTCAAAGGGTAATATGTGGAGAAACTTTACAATAGAGTGTGTAATGTTGTGTCATTGTTTTACTTTATGAATGTTTCATTGTTAGATTTCAAATCGATTTTAATGGAACTGACGAACTCGAAATAAAAATTTGTTATGAATTGTTACACAAGGGTCTAATTTTTGTTGATCTTTGGAATGAATTGAGCCTGCAGTCCTTGTGATGGTGATGGCTTTGCACTGTGGCTTAGTCGCATTTATTCATTCTGTTTTAGTTGTTAGATTCACCAAAATATCAACCATATGATTTTTCTCTACGGTTGTTAATTTTTTTATCATTTGTTTTGCACGATAAATTTTTGGAAATGTCGTCAATGTTTCTCGAAGAAGATTATGTAATTGTAAGGTGTAGTGTCGAAATCTTATTTCACTTCGGTGGTGAAGCAGCAAGCAAGTATCTCTCTGATAAACGGTAAAATTGTTTTAACTTTTTTACTTCCTTGCTTTTCGGGGTATTTCAGCCCTGTTTGTTTTGTTTGTTTTTTTTGGGAACAACCGATCAATATTTCCATGCCATCTTTAAATTATACAAGTATCGGCTCTTTCACTAAGCGTTATGCGTGAACATGTGCTAGCATATTTTGTTGTGAATATATTTTATTTCTAACAACTTGTATTATTAAATAACGTTTTCCTTCTAAAGAATCCTGCAATTTTTATAAAGTGCTTCTTTAAAAGGGCAGTCTACTTTTTTACTTTGAAACTGAAACAATGTTCTGATATTGTCAAAATGGTTTACCCAGCGTTGTTCAAGCTTGTTTGCCATTGCAGTTGTATAGCATTGGACATTTCGTAAATTGATTTAATTTACTTCAAAATAAGTTTTTGTGTAACGTCTTTGCATTTTCAAAATAAAGAAGACTAAGTGTCAAAGTATTTGAAACGTCAAAAATACAAAGATTTTTTTCACACTACTTTTGAATTAATCAAATCAATTCATCGAACAAAGATAAAAAGTTTGATAAGAAGAATGCATTATTGAACCTTATTTTGCATTATTTTACATTATTAGATATTTGCGTGGTGGAACATGTGCCTGACAGTATTTTTTTTACAGAGATAAAAGCCCCCTTATTCATTCCACTTCAAGTTTTATTGATTTCTTGGTGAGTTGTGAAGATTTGTGAAAATATTGGTGTAAATTCCTTGCTAAATGTTACATTTTTTTATTGTGCAAAATATTTTTTCATCTAACGTATGAATTTTTCAAGCCATCTACAGTGATAAGATTTAGATGGAGCATAATGTTAAGACCTGTAATTAGAAATCAAATATATATTGGTATGCTCTGCAAGAAAACAGCTTCAATGCTATTTTTTTACAAGGAAAATGATTTCAATTGTGATGTCAGTGCATAGTTTGTTTTTCTGTTGTGAAAGGTGACTTTCACTTTTGCAGGAAATTCCAATTTACCATTAAACATGTCATAGGAACCAGTAAGGATTAACTCATTTGTTTATTACAGAAATCATTACTGAACTTTGATGAGATTAATGAGGGAATAAAAAGCTTGAAAGAAACTCAAAATTATTGTCTGACAAAGAAGCAAACTTTAAGAAGAGAAAAATGCAATGGAGATGACTTGAGATTGTTGATCCTTGACATATTTTGTACAGATGCTGAACTTTTTGAGGCTATCTTAAATTTAGCAAAACAAGGTAAAGTAAAATTTTTAAATATCAAGTTTATTTGCCTGAGGAATTATATTACTTTCTGTTTAACACAACATACTACAATTTGTTGCTTACGCTTACTAACAAAGAGACAATGAAAATTGTTTATTAAGGTGTTTTCAAAACATTAGTTATGATATTTTTAACTCTGCAACAAACTTGCATCAATCTGACTGTAAAATCAAAAATCTGCAAAAGCAATTAAGATTTAAATTGGACAGCTAAGTCTTGTTTGAATGATACAATACTTTAAAGATTTTGAAGTTTGTTCATTAATTAGTACTCAACATTCAATGTAGAAACAAGTTTAGTGTGTGATGCTTTATATGTCTTTTGGTTTGTTTTAGGTTTCAAAGATTGTGTTAAAGGAGCATTCCTTATACAAAAATCTTGGAAGCAATATAAAAAAATTTATCAAAAAGTTGTTAAAATTGGAGGAGAGTTTTTAGAATTGAACTGTAACGGTACAAAATTGGAACATTTAAATAATAGTGTTGAAGTTTCTGAATCATTGGATGCCAATCAAGAGGCATTTAAGTCGAACTCCATAAAAGAAGTGCAAGCAGCCATTGCTTTTGGGTATGGATTGTTCAATATGGTTGTGTCGCTGATTCCCCCCAAAATTCTTCAGCTAGCTCATTTCTTTGGTTTCAATGGTGACCAAGAACTTGGATTGCAATGTCTAACCTATGTTTGTAATAGTCAAAATGGGAAAGCAGAGATGTCAAGGTGATTTGACTTTTTATTAGTATTTATTAGCATTTTTTTGAGATTAAGTCCTTGTACATTCCTTGTCTACTGTATTCATCAGATATGATTTGATAATTCAAAGTTTTAACATATGTTTTTTTTGCTGTGCTTAAAACCATTGTACGTATGCTTTATTGTTTACTGAACATTTATTGAACCTTTATGGTTATCTAGACTTGGTTTGCTTTGGTATCATGCCATAATTCGACCTATGTATGCTTTGGATGATGATATTGATTCGGGTAAATATTTATTCATGCACTGCTTTTGATCTGAGTTTGTCTGGAGTATCAAGAAGAAAGTTTGAGAAGTACATACATTATTTTCTACTAGGTTTGAAGGAAGCAAGTAAGCTGTTCTGTGCACTCAATGAAAATTTACGAACATCAGCTGTTGCATATTATTTTCATGGTCTCTTGCTTCGTTGCAAGGTAATGTTTATGAAAATATTAGCCAAGAGAATGTTAATATAATTTCATTAAAATGTTAAATGTACATGCAGAGGTTTGCAGGTCAGACAAAATAGGAAATGTAGTCCCGAAGGACTTCTCTGTCACACACTAGCCAATGTTGCCTTATATTTACCACAGAAATGTTATTGGTGGACAATGGGAGATGTGCATAAGGAAACTGCTGTTAATTTTTCCATGAGGTCCTTATTTTATTTCATTCTTTTTTCACTTCATTCAATGAAGGGGGATTTTAGCATGGCACATAAATTTCTTAATATGGCCTTGGAAAAACCACTTGCTTTTAAAGAAGTGAGGATGTTTTGCGATTATGAAATAGGTTGGTGTCATTGCGTGCACACTTGCGTGTGAGAACGTCATAAAAATACTTTATCACTTGACTTTAATAGCCGTAGTGTAAATGTTTAAAATTATTCCAATTTCTGACCGACTGTGATAAAGTAGTTACATTAATTTGCTAAGGTTGGTGTCATATTTTGGAAATGAATTGGGATGGTGCCATTGAAGCATTTTCAAGGTATCAACATTACAATGTATTGTTTAGTATAGTATTATTATAAGTATAGATTTTCGTACACTGTGTGACAAAGTTACCTTATAGCACCATTTTATTGGATTTCAGAGTTAAAGATGCAGCACCCATGTCCCAGTATTTCTATGTATATCTTCTTGCTGGTATGTACTACGGCCTTTGCAGCTTTTGAATTTCATTTTGTACATGATGTAAGATTTTTTTCTTGTTGTTTTTTCTATAAAAGTTCTTTATGGTGTTCAAGACAGGGCAAGCAAATCATCAATATATTATCGTTTTGTTCCGAATATGATAAAACAAAAAACACCTTTGACTGTTTTTCTCACTAGGAAGGTATTGTGTATAAGTTATGCATTTTTGTTTTTGTGTATCTTATAAATCAATAGAGAATGCATGAATTTTTAATGATGCGTGAATACGTGAGTACGAGAACAGTCTTTGATAGCATGTGTCAGTATATGTAGTGATGAATAACGAAAGAGAACAAGAACAGATTTCACACTATCTGAAATGAAAACTAAGATAACGTGTGTCAGTGTAGGTAGTGATGAATGAACAAGAGAGAACAAGAACAGTTTTCACACTATCTGAAATGAAAACTAAGATAACATGTGTCAGTGTAGGTAGTGATGAATGAACAAGAGAGAACAAGAACAGTTTTCACACTATCTGAAATGAAAACTAAGATAACGTGTGTCAGTGTCAAATATTTTATCATCTTTCTTTAGGCCATCAGTTGTTATGAATCGCCTCCTGACGTGACGGAAAGTCTTGTTTTACTTTTGGAAATCATTTATCTTTGGGAAAGCTTTTCATCATACAACGAAGCTACATTGTTTTGTTTCATCCCACGTAGGTTAAGTCGTTACAAAACCATCGCCATCACGACACTATTAGGGAGTTTTAGCAGAGCCTACGAGTACGATTTACGTCATTTTGGCGCGAAAACATTGTTGCGACAACAAAAACACGTAGCCGTCATCAATCTGAGTACGATGTTTTGTAAAAAATTCGTGTAAAAAAGTTGTTTACAACTAAAGCAAAATTTTGACGAAGCGACAACGACAACAACCTTCCTCGTGCCATTCCCTTACACGGTCAAATTTCGTACTCGTTCTCGTAGTCGTACTCTTGCTAAAACTCCCTATTGCCATCTAAACTACCACCATCACCATCATTATACGTGCTGGTAATTTGCTTTTGTTTTAGACTTAGAGAAGTCAGTGAAAGATGAATATCTTGGCTTAAAGCTATTTCTTAGTGCTTGCATTTATCAAAGAATGGGAAAATTAACAAAATCAGTTGAGGTGAAGTATACTTTTTCTCCGTGCTTTATTTGATTTGAATTTTAGGTATGCTCAAGTCTGTTTGTTTTAAGTTTTTCGTGCATCGCTACGCTATCAAGGCACATATTTATTCAATGATAAATTTTGGCAATAAGAATTTATTCGTGTCATTTAATTGATGTATTATTTCAGTGTTTTAAAACGGCAATGAACACAAGTGTCAATGGTGACAAACATGTGTATCCTCATGCATCTTACGAACTAGCAATAATTTCTTTAAAGATGTGTCAGGTATTGTTCATCTGTCGTATGTGTTCTGAAACAAGTATAAAATTCTCTGAAATCTTACCTGACACCAACGAAAGCGATATTTTTTTCTAGTTTCAAAGAGCGAAAGAATATTTACAAAAAGCAAAGGTAGATTTTCAATTTGTGAAATTGGAAAAATCTTTTTTTTCTGCTATGATTTATATATTGTCTTTTCAACATTTTTAGGAAACTTGCAATGGTTGCGACTTTGAGAACAAAATAAAGATGAAGATTAATATTGCTACGAACAAACTACAAGTGAAATTAAAGAATAGCATCCACTCATGAACTAATGTTTAACACATACATTTTTCTTAGACCGGTACAATCGCTTCATATCCTCTATTATGAGCGAAAAAATATTTATATTTTATATCACGCAATAACAACGTTCGATCATTTCCACTATTTATTTTCATCTTGCAGTTCTTCATCAGTCTGTACTTGGTATATAGACGAAACGTGTCATTTTTTATTTATTAAATTATTTCTTTACTGCACTCAAAATCTTTTGTGAAACTTTGCTCTGATTTGATAAACGGCATAAATTCTGCATCAGTCAGACACTCAAACAGTCATAGTGAAACCTTTGGGGGGATATTCGATGCATAAGCAAATAATTGTTAGAAACTTAGCGTTATAAATAACTACTTTTAATGACAGTTAAACTGTTGTATCTGCACAATTGATTTTTTTTAAATCGCAAATGTTTTTCTTGTCATGAATCTCTTTTGCTTTAACTTTTTGTGTCGGACAGTTTGTTTAAGAGACATGAAATTTTGTCTCTAGGTGCTATAATTCATCTTTAAAGTGTTGTTTAATAAACTGCAGCAATGCTTCTAATGTCATCTCTCCATTGTAACGAAAACGAGATCCATTCTTGAACAAAATCAATGTTGGATGGTCCGCTATCTATAACATTGGATAATGAGAACTGATTTAGCTACAAGTTATTACTAGGGTAAGTTGTTAAGTCAACGTAAATACGGAAGTGACAGAGTTCACCCTCCCTTCCAAACTATGTTTTGAGACCCTACTGCACCATAACAGAGATTCGTATGTGCATTATTTTGGATGATAATTTTCTATATCTTTTGTATTTTCTATGTCCATATGTACGGGAATGGAAAATCCCAAAAGCATTACTTCTCAAAGGTAATTGTCATTTCTGATTTCATTTTTACCTCAATGTTGGCGCAAAATTCCGAATATCTTGTGCAGTCCATCTGCATCAAGGGAAAAAAAACTTAAGATAGAAATAAATGTAGGTGTCGCGACAAAAAGAATTATGAAATATTTCCGTGTTTACCTCTGCAATGTTGATAAGATTACCATGTTCATTGAGCTCCGCTAATTGTTTCCAAGTTCCTTCCATTTTCTGCGATTCTTTGGACCTAAAAGTATAAAAATACCAAAGTAGAACTGTGAAACTGGCACTAAAATTACAGCTATGTACAGGTAGTCTCTTACCACGGCACAAAAAAGTTGATAAATATCGGCCCTTGCTTAACCAATGCATCAAATGTGCTATCTTTCACCTTCAATACATCGCCTTCGTCCTAAAAAGAATAAATATTTTTTTATCATTAACGAAGCATGTTATAACTCACATGTGAATGCAGAAAACTGCTGAACAATGTTCTATCTTATCTCTTAAATTACTAAAATCTGTTTTTGATGAATTGCGTAGAACGGCGGGAAAAAATTGCGTATTAAGTTGGACGAACATCAAATGTACGTCCCAGTAACGATGTGATTGTTATCAGGTAATATTAAGTGACATAATTCTAGCATCGGAAAGCTTTCCGTTGAACATTAAAAAGACAATTATTTATTTCGATACCTGCGCAGGTTCTTCATATGGATTGGTACCGATGTGTATGACGTTATCAGGTGATGGTGTAGGTGAATCATTCATTAGATCTTGTTGTTGTAACATTTGATGAATGTATGACTTTAAGCTCTCAATATCTCTGCTGTTATCGTAAGTATCCAACTATAGTCACATGATGTGTAAAATTTATTTTCATATGTTGCGTATTGTCACAATATGCAATATAAAAAGTATACAGTTTTGCCTTTTACAAGCGATTGTTCCGAAATTTGGTAAATGCAAAAATAATTGCTCTAACAACTTTTACTTATATTTGTATTGCATAGCTAAGTAAGTGAGTAAAATCTTACTTTGAATCCCTCTTGAAACATTGCAAGTGTTGGAAAACCACTTACTTCCCACTTTTTGCAGATATCAGTCTCTTTAGTGCAATCAATCTATAAAACGGCATCACAAAGGGCAAATAAAGGCTTAGCACGATTTGTGCCATCACGTTTTTTATGCATGTGTGTTCTGCGCAAAGCAGATAATCTGTTCTAATGCTCTTTGAGACAAAATTATCATGCACTGACGTTTACTGAACGAAATCTGAATCTTCAGTCATCCTATGCTTAATTAAATTTTCATTCATAGAAAGATTTGCAAAGCGTGACAACCTATCGTGTATAAACATCTAATATTTTTTCTGCAGGTTTTAGTAGTTAATTAATCTTAGTAATACTTTGCCTATCGTTATTGCTTCATTGTCTTTGTAATATTCAGCAATCACTTTCCATGTTGGCTCAAAACGTCTGCAGTGAATGCACCTTAAACAGAATACATACATTTTACAATTGTAGCTAAGTTTGGATAACGTGATGAAGAAATATTAACATTTTTGCGATATTTGGTTCTAGCAAATGTCGAAAATATTCAAAGCAAATGTATCGAGAAAATATAAAGATATGCATCGTTTACATTACTCTAAAATAGCCATGAATTTTCATATTATGGTGATGGTCATGACTTGATTATGTCATCATGATATGATGATGTCATTACACGATGATGTCATCATGATACAACGGCGTCGTCATGATATGATGATGTCATCATGATACAATGGTGTCGTCATGATATGATGATGTCATCATGATACAATGGTGTTGTCATGATATGATGATGTCATGATATGATGATGTCATCATGATACAATGATGTCATCATGATACAATGATGTCATTATGATACAATGGTGTCATCATAATGGTATTGAAGTAAGGATATGGCAAATTGTCATGATTGGTAATGCATTGATAATGAATGAGCCATGTTTACTTTCATAAAAGAACACAAGACAAGCTAGATATGCAACTTCAAGCTAGGTTGTCAAGCTATGCTCCATTTTCTTGTTTCAACAGTTCATTATCAGTACTATTTAGTTTATTAATGTCAACTTTAAAGGCTCTACCATGGAGCATAAAAATCAATAAAATGCAAGCCATTTCCTTGTTTGATATGAGCATCAAAATTTTCTCTTGTTAATGTTAACAGTCCATTTTCTTCATGAATGTTGATGTTCTACATATAAATAAAAAGTAAACTATGTAATAACTATTGATTATTATCTGTCACTACACTTACTCTTCAACCTGGCAAACACCAGATTTGCATTTCCAATGTAATTTTTTTAAACAATACGTTTGTAGCATGAATGGGGGAGGGGGGCTACTAAAAGGCCAATGCCCCAAAAGTTTGTTGCAGGTAGAGGACCCAGGAAAAAGTTTTAAAAATTCAAAATTGAGGTAAAATTATTAGTAGGTTTTAGGCCTTCACTCTGCTGTTCCTGAAAATGAGTGTATTTCAAAGTAGCTCATCTGGTGCTACACAACTTTGATTATACACCAGATCCAGAGGCGTAACTAGAACGTTAATTGGGGGGTGCATATTCATATATTTCGTTGTGCCCTACTGGTTTCTTTTGAAAGTGATTTGAATTTCAAAAGAAATCAGCAGGGCACAACTGAATATATGAATATACACCCCCCCCCTCCCAAATTAACGTTCTAGTTAAGCCTCTGGCCAGATCACAAAGATAAATTAGCTATTTTCAACTAACATAATTGAGTGTTTGGTCAATAAAAAGCTCAAATTCATGGAGATTTCTTCTGCCATCAAATCTTGTCATGTCACCATTGTGATACAACTTCATTCTAGAGTTTTAAGCAAAATAAGTTCATCTTAATCGTTTGTCATATGGGAAATGCAAGTTAAAGCATTTTTGTAGTTATTGAAAGGTACATTAAAGACATTGTGGATACTTACGTAGGATATGCAACAATGTTTTCAGATGAACAGAATTCTGTGTCTTCCAAACAGTTTACCTGGATGACAGAAAGTGAGAAAAAAGGCTAATAGGTAAACTGAGATTTCCAAAAAAGTATTTTACAAATCTCAAACTCCCCCTTTATGACACTTACCTTTTGTATTTGTACTTTTTTCCAAGAATATTCCTGATGATATTTATCTGCCAGTTGGTTCCATGTTTGCAGCAACTGTTTACAAGGTTTACACCTAGGGATGTGAATATACTTGATGACTTTTGTAAGTGGCCACTTAACAAACACAAGTCTAGTACTGTATTTTTTACTTAGAGAATGAGGCCTATGTCACATTTGGAGTGAAAGCTGATTTTCAACACATTAGGCCTATTTACAATCGTTTATGCACCTATTAATATACTGTATCATCAGCTCAGCGACATTGATGATTTAGACACTCAAGACACAAACGACTTTCTATTCTATTACCCACCAGGCAGCGTAAAATAACACGAATTGCGGCTTGCCAATCCTTCGAAATGTTTGGACATTCAAAAAGTCTGCAAAACCTCGAGTTTCTAAGATGTCATAAAAAAACAATACAGAAAGTAGATGCAGGTACTTCTTCATGTTTATATTATGTTGAAAAGTTGTATCAACGAAACATTTTGACGTTTTTTCCTGATTTGGTATTGTGTACTAACCGGGGTAGGGAAAGTAACACATTATTTTAACTTAAATTTTTTTGAGATACTTCAGTAAATGATATTTTTTTGAAAAGAAGAATGTTTTTAAGACTATTTTTTCTGTATGAATTGCTTTTTGATTCAAAAACTTGCCATCCTTGTGTACAATTTCATTTACTATATTTCCCCCTCACTCCTTCCCCGGCTAAAGTTAAGTTGCCAGTTGCCAAGCACGAACCGCGAAAACGACATTGTTTTAAATTACAGGATCTTATTTCTAAGGCTTTCTTTCGAATTATGGACAAAGAAAGAAAACATTTAGGTTGTTTTTATGCAGTAATTTTGTTATGAAATATCTCTAAGAAGTAAAAATATGTAATGTGATGACTGGCTATTGACGTTATTAAATAAATTTTTCACGTTTCAAAACTCTAATGGCAGATGTTGAGTCAATTTCTTCTTCTGTTGTAAGAGAATATCTCAGTCGAAAAGTACGTAAACTTACCTAAACCTTTACTATTGAATTTACGGCCACTGGTGTCTGGCATCTTTTGTATTAAAGGAAAGGTTTTAATAATAATATTTGATTTTCTGTTTTTGTTGATAACAATTCAATAACTTGATGATATTTTTTAAAACTTCAGGGTTTAAAGAAAACATTGGAGATGTTAGACGTAGAGATGCCACGAACCAAATCTTGGTGAGATATTAAATCATAAATATTCCTCCCTATTATCATAATGGTTTGATGCGATTAAGGCACAAAATGTTGACCTTTCTTTCCCCACATAGCATAAGCAATAGAGCTCTTCTTGCAAAGGTGTTGCACATCAACAGTTTGATGAAGCAAAACAAAGAAAGTGAGCAGAGTTTTCGTGCAATGCTTGAGGTTATAGTGCAATTCATGATGAGCAAAGTGTGGCAGGAAAAAACTACAATGAAAGATTTAACATCCAAAGTTGATGGAGAAAAATCAAAAGTCCATACTAAATCTTTGACTCGGACCAATAGTTTGAAAAATTTGAAGCCGCAATCACATGAGCATTTTGATTCAAAACTTGGAAAAACTTGGTCTGGTTTTGCAAATGACTCTGATACCATGACTAATGTCAGTAATGTTAATGAAAACTTCAGACCTCAATCAAGAATACTGAAAAAACAATCTTCAGAAATTTTTGCCAAGAAAAGACAAGAAAGAGACACACCTTTGAAATCAGTTGGTATGCTTACAGAAAACCAATTTTCCACCTTTTCACATTTCTAAAAATGCTTTTTTGAAAACAGGTAAAGACACATCATTAGTAATACCAAGTAAAAATGGTAATTCCCAAAGCTGTTTTTCACCAGAAGTTGACAAAGAAAGTTTAACAGATGGACATTTGCAAATCAAGGCAAACTTATCAACAAGGTCATATCCTGTGAAACACATTTCATCTCATGTTAAAAGTACTGGAATATTTGTCTCACCAATAAGAGAAAAGATTAAATTATATGGCAAAGGGGATTTAATTCTGGACTCCAAACATGTTGACGGTGATCGATTTGAACCCGAGAACAAAGTTTTTCAAGAAACTAGACAAAATTTAGAAGAAGATGACCCAGCAGGTTCTAAGGCTATAGTTTCTCATCAAGCCTCATCTGCTAAACAAGGATCCGATGGAGATTTTAATCAATCTAGGATGTTAAAAACAAAACAACTTTCACATCTTAATAAAGGAAATGCGATTCAACATCCTTCTAAACGAAACGAGTGTATGAAAAACGTTAGTATGGTTTTTCACTCTAGGTTACGTTTTATAACGTTTTTAGGAAAAATATGAAGCTTATATAGTTGTTTTTGTTTGTTACACAAACAAATATTCTCATAAAAACATCTGACATAAACTTTGAACAGTTTGTAGCAAAAGTAAATCGTTTATAAAAAAAAGAAATTTCGTCAAGCTTAAATGTATGTTGACAACCGTCAAATCACCCTAAGGATTACAATCACACAGACTTAGGAAAACATATCTTTTGTAGGAAGAATTAGTGTTTGAAGACATAGATGAAGATTTTAACTGTGATTTAGGAAATGAAAATGCTTGTGAGTATTGATCTTGTTTTATGTCTCGTCCTCATTCAAATAAACTTTGTGGTTAGAATATGAAACTTTGCTCATGTGAGTAAAGTGTATTTAGCATGAACCCATACTATATTCGTAACGATCTTTTACTGTTTTTAGATGTGCCATCACCAAAGTCACTCATTCTCGCACACCCATGTCAGCCAATAACTTTACAACAAGCTAAGGTTTGCGTTCATCTTTCTTAAGAAGTAACTTCTTTGCTATGAGGGATACTTTATATTTGTGAAGTACGACCTGTCTGTATTCTTGTACGTTTTAGGATTTAAAATCGATTATATTTGGTTCGTCTGCTGGCTGTTTCAATCCCGAGTGGCGACATCAGGGATTTCCGTTCTGTGATATGAGTCGTTTAAACTATGGAATCATCCAACATAAGGTAAAATTAAAAGAAATATCACAAACATTTCTACCAAGGTATGAACTGAAAAGTTGAACTTTTTACTGTTAAAGTTTGGTTAGTCTTTTGTGAATTATTTTCTTCATTTTAATGGTTTCAAAGTTTAATCATTTTACTTTTTTTTAAATTAACTTGATGACGAATGATGTAAACGTCCTTCCTTCAGGGTGGACCTTGTGGTTTATTGGCGTGTGTACAAGCTTTTGTTTTGAAACATTTACTGTTCAATAAAGACATCACAGAAAGTAGAATGTATGTTTATAGAAGATGCAGGTTAAAATACACTTTGATATTTGATTTTTATCGACCTGAAAGTCGAACTTATTTTTTTAGAGATCTTCATTTTACTTCAAAGGAACGGGACCATGCTTTGTGTTGTGCTTTGGTTGAAATACTTTGGAGAGCGGGTGGTAGTAGGATTTCTTGCGTAGCCATGTAAGACATTTTAATGACAAAGTTATTATCAGACGTTCACATGATAAATTCTTGATTAAAGTGATAGAAATTAAATAATCTTTTTATTAAATATTCACTTTAGCCGTTCCAAAGATGTCGAGTTTATACCCAGCGTTGGATACAAACCTGACGGTTTGACTGAGAAAGTAAGAATGTTATTCTTGGAATTTTAAACACATTTCGTTATCATTTTATACCATACACATTTACACATCGTTCCTAGAAAGGTGTATACCATACACAGTTACACATCGTTCCTAGAAAAGTGTATACCATACACAGTTACACATCGTTCCTAGAAACGTGTATACCATACACAGTTACACATCGTTCCTAGAAACGTGTATACCATACACAGTTACACATCGTTCCTAGAAAGGTGTATACCATATACAGTTACACATCGTTCCTAAAAAGGTGTATAACATACAAAATTACACGCTGTGGTAGAAATGTGTAAATACCAATAATCCCTTACAGGAATGCATATATGTTTGTCTTTTTCAGCTTGTCATTCATGAAATCATCGATAAAACAGAATTGGACCAGTTTATTCATTCCAATCTTAAACAGGTAAATCAGTAACAGATGCAGGGTACCTAGGTAATATATTTCCACTTTAAAATACTTTGGAGCAAATCCTATTGAGAGTATTTTTGTCTTAATTATTCTTTAGAAATTTTTAATCAAAAGCGTTGTTAAAAAGTCTTTTAAGTTTGAAATGAACTTTATAGTTTATTTTGACCTGTGCTAAATCTATCATTGAGGTCAATTAAAGACTGTATTTTCATCTTTTAGAAATAAACACTTTTTCTCCATAACCATGTTGTTTCTTTATGTCATGTTGAATTTGAAATGTTATTTTTTTTGCTTTTTGCGTTTGCTTTTCATCTGCTCGTTGTTTAAGCAATTTTTTAGGCAAACACGAACAAGCACACAGCAGTTCGATAATTTAGGAATTTTTTAATATAGTTTTTTAGTGACGATGCTGGATGTATTTTTTTCTTGTATTCTCTGATACTATCAAGAACATCACAAAGGTAAAAAATGTTTGTTTAATGAGTTTATATGAGACAAGCGTCTTTAATCTTTCCATTGAAAGGCTTTAAACGGTTAGTAACTGTAGGCTTTTGAGCATTGCACACATAACTATCTATATCTATATATAAATGGTCTTGTTTATTAAAACGTTAGGTGAACTATATGGTTTTTTATCTCAAGTATTGCGAGATATCGTGTTTCTGGAGGTTTAAAATGGTCTTTTGCTCTTTTATTGAAGAGACTTAAGTTCGTGTTTCAGTTTGACAGTTGTGTTTAGAAAGATAATTTTTTGAATACTACTACTCTCCCTATTTTACAATAACTTTTGCATTAATATTCTACAGGATCAAAGAGGATATGGATGATGAAAATGGTACGCTGATGGGTGCTCATGGATACTGTACACAGGTAGAAAGTGTTTGCATATAAAGACGAGCAAGCTTCGTGTATTGTGGATATTACTTATAAGTTAACAGAAACAAGTACAAAACACTTATCTGAATAATTGTTCACTTATCGCAGTAAATTTTTTTCCTGTCGTTATTTTGCGTGGCCTTAGCAAAGACTTTGTCCACCTGCCAATCCAATTATTTCTTAGAAAGTACAAGCATGTGGTATTTCTTAGAAAGTATAAGCATGTGGTGTTTCCTAGAAAGTACAAGATTGTGTTGTTACCTACTTCGATTAATGTCATTGTTATTACAAATCGAGCTTCATTGAAAGTTTAAATTCTAAGGGATATTTATGATTACATGATTTTTTAGGAAATGGTCAATCTTCTTTTGTTTGGTAAAGCAAGATCGAACACATTTGACGATGTCATTGAACTAGATACTGGTGGTGAGACAAAGGTTAGTTGTAAGATATTTTGCGAAACATTTTAAACGTTTGAGAATGTTTGTAGTTGTCGTTTGTTTTGATTTCCAGTTTGTTATGTATAGAATAAACGCATACAGTGTTGATTTCATTTCAGAATCTTCTCAAAGGAGTGGATGAACAAAGTGAAATTGGACTTTTATCATTGTTTGAACATTATAAGTCATGCATGGTAGGTACATTGTATACATTGTAGGTACATTGTAGGCACATTGTAGGTACATTGTAGGTACATTGTAGGTACATTGTAGGTACATTGTAGGCACATTGTAGGTACATTGTAGGTACATTGTAGGTACATTGTCTTTATATGTATGAGGAAGATTTCAACCTGAGTATTTATATAACATGTTATATAAAGTGGAGTAAACTAATCTACGTCTGACATATTTTTATGATTCATTGCATCAGCCATTGATGATAAAGTCATTGCAATAATTGGGTTTCTGAAGATCTTTATTTCTGATGCATTCTTAATTTCATTTATATCCTGCTGTTTACCAACAAATTCAAATAATGAGCACAAATCTGTTACTCTCTTTCTGATAGGTTGGCGCTAACTTGAAGTGCCCCAAAAATCCAATATGGGTTGTGTGCAGTGAAAGCCATTTCAGCGTTCTTTTCTCAATGAAACGGAAAATTCTTAATGAAAGGTAACTCTAAATGAAGTATGGTGAATTATTTAGGTGATTGCAAGAACGGATGTAGTTTTCAGTACTTCTGTATATTTCACACTGATGAACTTTTTACTCTCATCTAAGAACTGAGACATACGGTTAACTTCTATGGAGTTTGTCTATTTTGCATAATGCTTTTATTTGCTGAGACTTGGACTATGCCTCCTGAGTAAATTTTCTACATTGAGTAAGAGCTCTGTGTCAATATATGCTCATAGCATTTATCTTTACGATCGCTCAATGTCTGTGTAGGATTAAGATATTTTTGTATGAACATGCTCGATTTTGTTTAGAAGAATGCCAAAGAAGTTTGATCTGTATTATTATGATGGTTTGGCTCGACAGACTGAGGAAATTAGGCTGACAATTGGTAAGAATAGTCTAAGTAAAGATTTTATGTGTTTGAAACTTATGAGAATACTATGATAATACTTGACTGGAGTATATAGCTAAGGACTCAAGTTTTAACATCAGATCACTCTTTATGGTAATACAAAAGTAGAGTATCTTCAAGGTAAAATATAAATACCAATAAAGAGACACGTTGTTAATTTTAGATATGCGTGGTAACGTTCGAACGAAAGATGAATTAGATGAATTAATACCTCCACTGGAACATTGTATTAGAACAAAGTAAGTATGAGATAAGTAATAGATGATTTATGGAATATTTAATAACTCAAGTTCAACAATCAGATCATTCCTGATGAACACTAGAGTATATTAGAACTCAAGTTTCAACGTCAGATCACTACTGATATAAACACCAGACTGTAGTATACCGCGACAAATGTTTAAAATTATAGTTTTTATTGTTGAAAGTGGTTATTCAACAATAATAGCTATTTTTGTGGGTGGGTGTGTAGGTATCATCCCAGGTCGTTATTGCTTCGAAGTTTGAAACGTGACAAATCAGAAGAGAGAGTAATAAGTAGTCATTCCTGTTGTCCGATCGACACATTAAAAAACTCTTTTATACTTAGTGATTTTTGTTGACGGTGCATTTCAATTATTCTAACTTGTTAATTTTACATACTTTAGATGGAAAAATGCACACGTCGACTGGAATGAAACAGAACCATTACTGTGAATGTCGACATCTTCATCTTTAAGATAAGTCATCTTATTATGATCAAAATCTCTATCTTTAAAATATTTGATCTTATTGTAAATATCGACTTCTGTATCTCAAAGATAAGTTGTCGTATTGTTATGGACGTTTCTATCCATAAGATATCTCATCCTGGCGAATGTTGAACAGCGTGTTTTTAAAACATCAATTTTAACATTTATAATTCAAAATACTTGATAATTTTCTCTCACAAACACATCAAAAAGCCTTTGGTACTTGCATTTAATGGCAGTACAAATGAATGGAGAATTTTATTATTCAAACAAAAATGTGCAAAAATCATCACTTTACATGAAGTACCAGCAGTGGGCAACGGGTCGTGCAACTTTAAGACAGGTGAAAGTGTAGGAAGAAATATATTTCATAAATTTCTTCTTTTTCTTTTGCGTGAAATTTCGTTGCATTCCATTCGATATTTTTAAGATATATCCTTAAGTCTATAGTTTACTTCAATGTATTAATTCTGTGGAACAAATTGTGTTTCATGTTGTTAAGTTTCTATAAGAATCATTGGACCATGAGTAATAATACGGAAAGATTCTCTCAAGCATTACAAGATGATCTAATGCTTGAAGATTCCGCCATTCTACAGCACAGACATTATTTTTGAAAACATCTGTAGAACGTCGCTATTTACACTTATTTTCTGTTCCTCTAAACATTTATCCTCAAAATGGAAGAACAGTTTTTAAGTCGTAGTTCAAACGTCGACGATTTTCTATCTCATCATGGAACAGGGAATGCAAAATCTAAATTGAAATATTCTTCACCCAAGACGACTTTGGCTTTCAAAGATATACAAACTGTGAAAGAAACTGTAAATTTACCTGACTTAAATGTTTGTGAGCTATCAAGTCCTGAATTAGAGAGATTAATTGTTGGTCAAACGATCAATTTTAATCAAACAACAACGTTGGGAATGAGTAAAGTTGTGACAAACAGTATTTCTGACTTATGCTCAATTACTGATCTCGCATCTCCTGACCTAGAAAATTTCTTTTCAAATTTTAACGATAAAGAAATGTTGAGCATCAATGGAAGTAAAGAAAGCAGTGTTGGAAAGCAACACGAAGCTTATGCACATACATTTTCTATTGGCAAAATACAAGATAAAAACGGCAACGATATTCGTACGGAAGATGTTGATTTGGAAAACCTGAAAGAAAAGAAAACATTGTGTTTTGAAACACTCTTTATCTTCAGGGGTGCGTTGATAAAAAGAAGCGTCTATACGGACAAAACATGCAAAAAATAATGAGTTAAGTGTCATGTCAAGTCAAAGAAATGACATGGGTTATGAATATTCTAAAATTTTACAAAAATGTCATAATATAAAAAAGAAAGAAGAAAAGAAAGACATGATTTGCCTTACAAAATTAAAATGAATTCAGATGGAACTTATTTGCGCGAGTTTGAATTTTCCATCGAAGAAAAAAATAGAGGCACGATCCCTGTAGACAATTTCAATACGAGATCTTCTGGTCGTAAGAAACAGAAACTTTATACTTATAAAAACATAAACAATCAATATTCGAATAATCACGATACTCGTCAATATAATGTTGATTCTATTCCAAGTAATCATTGTCCAGTTGCAAATGAAGAACAAGTAACTCCAAGTAATTCCAATTTGTTTGAAAGTTATGAAGTTCGTCATCATACGACCGAAATCCCTATGGAAATGATCTTTTGTCTATAATTAATGGTCAAAGTTATTCTCAAGATAATTTAAATATTCAACTAAACAAACGTTTTCAATCTGACGAAAATTTAAGCGAAAGCTCTTATCAAGAACGTGCAGACCTACTTTGTAATCCACAAATGCTCCCCATTAACACAGACCTACTTTGTAATCCACAAGTGTTCCCTATTAACATGCATTTTCAGGAAATTGCTAAACGTGAGAGAAAAAAGCAAAAGAACAGAGTAGCGGCATCCAAATGTCGAAAGAAAAAGCTGGAACGAGAAGCAACCCTCGAAGTACGGCTAAAAGAATTGAAAACAAGAAATATGAAACTGATTAACATTACTAACATTTTAAAACAACAGCTGAATGACCTTAAGAAAAATTTAATGGAACATATTGTCTTTGGCTGTATGATGAAACCTTATCCTTAGAGAAACGATCTATCGTATATTTTGATGTTCTTGTATGTAGAAAATATGATTATATTAATTTGTAATTTGTTGTATATTAAATGTTTAAAATAAGCGACTTATGAATATTCATTCACTGGAATTGCTTTTAATCAATTTTTTCAAAGGGCGCGAAGAAAACATTCGTATTTTTTTGTAATAAAATGATTATATATGTTTCAAAACTTATGATCTTTCACTTACAAAAAACTGCCACCAGATCTTTTGTATGTAAAGAAATTTTCATGTAACAACTGCAACTGGAATTATTTTCTTCTTCACGTCGACTTCCGTGACCTTTCGCCACACATCACATCATTAAACTAAAGATTTTATTTTCATAACTTAACGAAACACAATATTTGATGTTTTGATAAATGTACATTATGTTGTCTCATTGACACAGTATTCAAATCAATTCTGAGTTAAAATTAATTTTGCATCGTCCATTTAAGGTTTGCCATTATCCTTAAACAGTGGAGTCCAATGGTGTAGACACACAAATAGAGCTTACCATCTTTCGCTGAATGCAAAACACTCAATGAACCGTGGCCTAAAAACAAAAGAAATCATATTTTACGTTAGAGGAATCAAAATATTTTTTTCCTTCTAGCTAAAAGCAACTCAAAAACGTTAATTGTGTTGGAGTAAAGTATCGCTGATATACAATGGAAAAGAAAATTTGAGAGGTGGAGCATTTAAATTTATTATTATGAATTAGCTAAAGACGACTTTGGCAAGTTTATTCTTTTTGTGTGTTAAATGAGCTGTAGTATGAGTTAGATTGTTTACGTTTTGTTGGCAGGCAGATTTATCCCAAGTTAACCATTGTTTCTGGTGTTGTTTAAAAACACGCGACAAAATCTTCGAGAAGACGTAAACAATCTTACTCATCTAGCAACTGTGAATGTATAAATGAGTAGATCACAAGTGGTGTACCAGAATCGTTCATTGGGGGGGTGGGCCACAAATTCATTTATGCATTTCTTAATCCGTTGAAAACAATGGATTTTAAAGGAACTTAATTCAGCAGAACGTGAATATATGAATATGTTGCCCACCCTCCAATTAACGATTCTGTACGTCACTGCTATGTCGTGCATTGACTCACAATGCAAGTTGTGTTTTGTGAGAAATGAATTATAGTTCATGACCAAAATATGCATGGAATGGTAATATGATGATATTTCAACCTCTGTCATAACTAAGATTTTGTCACATTTTAATGACTTGGTTCTTTTTCTACTTATCCGAAAACTACTTTCTACATCGAAGTAAACGGGCATCATGTCATAAAAATTTTTGAAAACCTGTTAAACTTGTTATTGAACTTCCTTTTACCATTATTTTCAATATGGTAATTTAAAACCCCGGTGTTGTCATACTGTGACCTTCAGCTGCTGTTGTTACTGCTTAAATTACTGTTAACTTGTCCTTTCATGAGTATTGTCGTGAGGTCGTGAGGTGGCTTAAAACGTGGATTACATCATATTTATCGTGTAAAAGTATAACATACAAACCGTCTCACTTGTTGGATAAGAAATTTAACGTAGAAGTAAAAAAAACCTGCGAATGATGGGGCTTATCTCGAACTGTCGTCAGCTTTATGCGACTTTGGCAGCAGTATTTTTTATCACATTTCCTTTGTTAGTAAGTGTTGCATGCTACGGTATATTGTGCTCTATCAGATTGCATTTCACTTGATGAGATTTTAAATTGCATGAAAAGTTGCAAACGAAAAGGAAAGTTTGTATTGTTTGAATATTTGTAATTTTTGTGTGTGTTGTGAATATATCAAACGAAGTGTTGACATTATTTTTGTCGATATAAATTAAACAACACATTAGATATTAAAACTCTTCCGAAAGTGAGATTATCCATTATTCAGTTTCTCTATTATTTATGTTTCCTGGATTTTAAGAACGATCATTATTCTTTCATCTTGGTTTGCATGCTTCGTCACATGATAGCTATGTAGGAAGATTTTGACAAAAAATTTTAGTTATTTTACTGATTTACCTGACGTATGCCCTCCAGCATAGGAAGATCTATTATATCCTGAATGACGTATGTGGTAACATGAATGGATAGTGTTCGCCTTTATGTTTGTAAATTTTTTTTTACTTCGCTAACATCTAATATTGTTCATCAACAGCCTATGATTAATTTTCGAAAATTTTTCTTGAACCTCTCTTTGTTAGTCCTATTTTTTGCTTTGATTCAATTTTTATAGTTCATTGTTGGCATCAAATACAAATTTTTTTTTAAAGTTTATGTTGACGTCAAATGGCAAACCTTTTTTAAAGTTCAAAATTGATTTTACGTCACAGTGTTAGTCAGACGACTTTCATATGATTTAATGATCGTCTGACGTCCATATCATTGAATTTTGTGTCTTTCCTGAATAAACATCCCTTTGTGTTTTTAAAGATAGCTGAAGAAAAACAAATGCAAGCTTTGGATTAATTAACATAAGATCTTAATTAAGCGGTCAGCGTGGGCATTCAACACAATGAAATATTTGTTATATGTAAAATAACAGTTACATAATATTGTCCTCTCAATGATGTCTGTTCTTCCGGAAGTATAGACGCGTCGATTTATTGGTTGAGTGAATAACTTATTATGTTTTCAACAAAAGACAACAATGAATTTGTCTTGGCAATGAATTTGTCTTTAAAATATGTGAGATTTCTTGAGAGGGTCTCTACTATTTTGCCATTTTAACAGCCTTTATTTGCGCGATGAGCACAAAGGCACAAACACAAACACATAACATGCAGTTTAAACAAGCGCGTTGGAACGAAAGAAAGAATAAAAACTTACGGTAAATAAAACTGTGAGCACTGCGAACATTTTTTGCCCTATAGAAGGAAAGCTTTTTTGTTGTCTTTACTAGTCAAACCTTTTTTTTTTCATCATAATGAAAGAAAATGATTTTAGATTTTATCACTAGGTGTTTTATAACTATACATATATGGTGTATTTTTATGTACGTTAAATATATATTATTTGAATCGTGTTAATACAAAGCTACTTTTATTAAGGCACTGCGTACCTATTTTTAAAATTTATCGTTGACGTCAATGTTGTGCTTTTCAAAGTTCCTTATGTCGTCATGTGTTAAGCTTTTTTAAATTTTTTCGCTTGTATTGCGTAAGTAAAAAAAAATTGTTTTGTTTGTTGTATCCGCGCAGAATATTCTCATAAAGTCAATTTAGCGTAAACTAAATTTAGTGAAAGATTTTGAAAGACACGATTTGAGCACTCAGTGATGTTGATATAACTTGAAACGTTCTTGAGTCAATTGGTGAAATTGTTCAAGGTCAAATGAACATGTCTTGAGCTAACAGTCACTGAAATTAAATAGTAGAAAAAGCAAACTCTTTGCAGAATTTGGAAAGTAATTTCTTGTTCATGTTGTATCTTGTTATAAATAGGAAAATATTAACGACATTCAACTATATAACGACATTCGACATTCCAACTAACACATTCCAACTATTTAACGACATTCCAACTATTTAACCTTATAAATAAGCAAATGTCTTTATTTTAAACTATTCTCAGTTCAATGAGTTTGATTTCAATCAGTCGTGAAAATGATTTTAGCATGAAATGAATTCAATGAAATGAATTCATTTTTCATCTTTTACTTGTATGATTTTTGAAAAGTGTCGCGTAATGAAGAATTGAATTCTTTGATCAAATACCTATTTATAGGAGGTGAAATGTGCTAGCATTGAGAAAAAATATCCCGCGGCTAAAGGTACATTTATTGTTATATGCGTCGATTTTAACAAAAAAATTTTCATAAAATCTTATTTATTTTTTCTATTTAGTTGATAAGGAAACCATCTTTATAACCATATGGGATTTCAATCACTTGAGTCAATCAGGTCAGCTCCAACTTCGTGCGTTTGGCGAAGATCTGAGTCTAATATTAAGAAGAACCAACCATCTTACAACACCGCTCGCCCAAATTGTACGCCGTCACGATGGAGAGACGGTGTCTCAAAAGAAGCTTGGACTTTATTATTCAGGCTATATTTCACAAAAATCGGGATCAAGTGTTACATTGAATGTTGCAAATGGGACTTTGGTACGTTATGAAATATTTTGGTTTGTTTTTACATCGAAGCACATTTATTTTAATTCATATTTTAGTGACTATTCTTATTCTCTGTTATTCATTCATCACTACCTACACTGACACACGTTATCTTAGTTTATATTTTAGATAGTGTAAAGACTGTTCTCGTTCTCTGTTGGTCATTCATCACTACCTACACTGACACACGTTATCTTAGTTTATATTTTAGATAGTGTAAAGACTGTTCTCGTTCTCTGTTGGTCATTCATCACCACCTACATTGACACACGTTATCTTAGTTTATATTTTAGATAGTGTAAAGACTGTTCTCATTCTCTTCATCCATCGATGACTCATGTTATTTTTGTTTATATTTTTAGGGGTTAGGAGGGTATCTACATGTGTAGGAAGATCAATAATTGGGAGGAGAATTTTCATACGTGCATACTTTAATCCGTAGAAAAAAATGGATTTCAAAAGGAATTAATTTAGTATACCATACACATAAATAGGAATATCTCCTCCTCTCCAAATATCGATCTTCATATACCGTCTCCCATGCATATAAACACTACTCCAACATTCATTTCAATGTCGTTTGTTATATTTTTAGTCTGGTATCCTATTCGTCCCCGGTTTCATTATGAATATTCATCCTTTGAATGATGGCAATCTTCATGTTATTACTCGTGAAAAACACGAGAATGCTACTCTTGGAACTGGTAAGTCGTTAAGAATCACCATTCCTTATGATTAAAAAGTCTTCAAAAACATTCTTTATGTATATAAAAGTTATTTGACTTTTTATCTATATACGTTTTTAAGTTGCTGAACTTTTGTATTCATGATCGTTTTTCTAGAATCACCCTTCTTCACTAGCTTTCTTCGCTCGAAACGTACTAAACGGTTTGCATCAAGTACACGATATGTTGAGTTGATGATTGTCGCTGACCGGTATACAACGGAAGCTTTTGGTAATTTAACGGAAAATTATCTTATGTCAGTTGCATATCTTGTAAGTATTAATTCAATGCGGAACTCACATATTATGGGAATTTTATGATCGATACAACACTAATGTGTCACAAAAAACAAATTTTGCAAACAAAAATTTTTTTATTTTGTCTTAACATGTTGACGTTTTCAGGTTTTTTTCTATAACTTTTTTCATAACTTTTCCTGATTCTCTTGCCTACTATAAATTCCATTACATCATGAATTTGATGTGTTATTAGCTACTTTATTTGTAGAATCATTTGCATGTGAACAAAAAATTATTTTCATCCAAGATAATTGAATTTACTTTCACGAGGTTTTTAACATAGTATACGTAAATATCTTTACTAGTTTACAAAGTATACGTAAATATCAGTAGCTTTGTTATACGGCTCTTGTTTGTTAGCTAAACGCTGTAATGCAAGACAGTTCTATTGGAACGACGAAATTTATCTACAAGGTTGTAAAAATCATGGTTATATCGGGATATGAGGTAATAAAATATGTTTGGCTGTCTTATCCTGTATGTTCCTCTGTACTGCATATGTGTTGGTAGATGAATGTTAAATTCATTGAGTTTTAAACTTGCCTGTATGAAATGGTTTTTAGAAAGGTTTGGACTTAACGGAGAACAATGTTGAAAGCTCAGCTTCCTACCTCAATCTATTTGCCACGTTTACAAAGAACTTTAATCCCAAAAGTGACGATGATCCACTACATTTTGATCAAGCTATATTGATTACAAAGAAAGTTTGCGGGCTCGCTACCTCTTGCCAAGATAACGGACGCGGTTATTTGGGTACTATGTGTCATCCAACACACTCTGTTGTTACTTCAATTGCCGCTGGCTTCAGTGCCGGTCTTTCTGCTGCACATGAAAGTGGACACACGTACGTACTGTATACAACAATAGACTTCTGAATATCATTTTATTACTGTTGCCTAAATATGTTTAAACTTATATTTACATGATTACGAAAGGAAAAGTTTTTTGAAATTTTACAAAGGAATATTCCTGTAAACTTTTTTCGTTTTTCCTTTTTCTATGCTCTTCACCAAAATGACTTGTGGTTTTTTTTTTTTTTCTTGTAGTTTGGGTGTATATCACGACTCGGGTGTTTGTGCTACTGGTGGTTATATAATGAATGAGGTTCTATCTTCGGGAAGTAATGCTTTTCGGTGGTCACCATGCAGTAGAAAAACTCTTGAAGCCTCGTTCAGTGATAGGTTAGAAGTGGCATTCAGATTTATTTTCTTCATTCATAATGTACTTATAGAAACTTGAAATTCTCGATCTTTTTAATATGAACGTGTGGTATCTCTTTCAGAAATAAATTTTCATGTTTGAACGACAAGCCTGCTGGCATCGATTTGAAGGAGGAAGTCAGTGTTCTTAATCTAGGAAGGAATTACTCTGGAGATGAACAGTGTCGCTTGATGTATGATAGAAGCTTTTCACATTGCTACGCACTAAGGGTTCGTGCACATATATTTTAAATGATCCTAGAACTTCTTTTATGTAAGCTTTTTTATGAGGGGAATTTCCCTTCAGCGCCTATCTTTATATTTTGGCTTACTACGTTGAAGTGTTGATTTTGCTTTTATTTTATGAAACATAATTTGCTTTTATTTTATTAAACATTATTTTATGAAATATAGGGAATTTTATATGCAGTTTGGTTTATTAACTTCGTTATTTCTTGTCTCTTTAGAGCAACTGTAAAACTCTTCTTTGTCAGCAACCTGGTAAAAGTTTCTGTATACATCGTTTATCTCCACCTTTAGAAGGGACTGAGTGTGGAACATACAAGGTAGACGAAATTTTAACACCCGAACAAGATATATTGTTGTTGTTGTTGATAATTTTTACGTGTAAAATAAACATATATAATTTATGAATTTAATTATTCGTTTCTGCTAAGTTGTATATTGACTCTTTCCTGTAGTGGTGTAGAAATGGTGAATGTGTTGATCGGCCAATTCCTGCTCCCATAGACGGTCAATGGGGCTCCTGGTCAGAGACTTTTTCTAACTGCACAACATCTTGTGGAATGGGAGTGCGCTACAGGACCCGAGCATGTGATTCACCAAAGTATGTTCACGTGTTCAATTTGTTGTATAATAATGAGTATGGTATTGAATGGTAGGGATTGATCCATTCTTATGTATAATTTATGAAAACATTTCTTTCTTAGATGTTCACCATGAAAACATTTCTTTGTTAGATGTTCACCATGAAAACATTTCTTTCTTAGATGTTCACTTTCTGATTTCTGATTCTTTCTATGTCTGATTTTTAATCGTTAACTTTGTTTACATGTAGTATTCTGATTTTAAAACATTCTAGACCGCAATATTTTGGTAAGAATTGTGTTGGTGATAGTAAGGGACATTATGAGACGTGTAATACTCAAGATTGCCCCTGGAACTCCTAGTTTTCGTCGGAAACAATGTCAAGATCATAATCCATCCTTCGTTGATTATTTTGATGGTAGGAAAAAATGTTGCAAGTTGAACAAAGTTGTTTAGGACCGCATGCAACAGACTTTATTTGCTTTTGGTCACGACTTGTGACTATGTAAAACAGTTCATTTGGTATTTTAAACGTTGAGCGTTTCTAATACAACTGTTGCACAGTTATTTTAAAACTGTTGTTTCATGGTCGTTCAGGACTTTTGCATTAATATACAGCCGCTGTAAAACTACAGTGGAACTTTTTGAGATTGTTGATTAATCTACAACTACTGCATCGTTTTATTTTACTGTAAAACTTGTAATTCAGACTCTATCGTTGCATTGATTGCAAGTTTGTTGTTGAAAATAACTTCATTATACCTAGAGCGCTGTATTTAACTTTCATTTTACGATTGACTTCTTTTCATTTGAAATCAGAATTATTTATATGGACATATTCACGGCTGTATCTAGGATACACAAAACGATACGTTCGCTAAAAATTTCTTCAAATTAAGGTTGCATGCGCTTAAAATACTGTAAAAGACGAAGTCTTGTTGCATGTTCTCAATCCTTTATCTGAATTAACCATTCTATCGTCTCAAATTGCTTTAGAAAATTGGCCTTGTAAACTGCAATGTAGATCTGGTATTCATCTTATGATATATCAAACGACGCTAAAAGATGGTACGTTATGCTCTCGTTATAAAGACGTGAAAGATGTCTGTGTCATGGGAAATGTAAGGTAAGTTAACATATATCAAATAATCGTTGTCAAGTTAGTATGATTATTTATAGGAAAATTATTTTACTTGTTTCATTTGGTATCTTTAAACGGCAATTGAAATTTTTTTTTCATTATTTCTTTTCTCTTCCCTAGCTATTCTCCTGTTGTCCTTTCTGAATCTATCTAATTGAAAACGATGTACAATTTTTCGGCTACTGTTTTTGTAGAAAGTCGGCTGCGATCGGACGTTTGATCGTAAATTTTACGACCGTTGTCGAGTATGTTCTGGAAATGGGTCAACGTGTCACTTAATTAAATCATCTTACAAAAAACGGTTTTATGGAGGTAAGTTACAATTATCAAGAACCAAAGTTTTATGAAAACACGAATGACGCTTCACGATAACCAAAAAAAAAACACGATTATACAAGCAACGTTCTATATAAACAATTCAAACAACGTTCTATAAAAACGATACAAGCAACGTCCTATAAAGACCATACAAACAACGTCCTATAAAGACCATACAAACAACGTCCTATAAAGACCATACAAACAACGTCCTATAAAGACCATTCAAACAACGTCCTATAAAGACCATACAAACAACGTCCTATAAAGACCATACAAACAACGTCCTATAAAGACCATACAAACAACGTCCTTTAAAGACCATACAAACAACGTCCTATAAAGACCATACAAACAACGTCCTATAAAGACCATACAAACAACGTCCTATAAAGACCATACAAACAACGTCCTATAAAGACCATACAAACAACGTCCTATAAAGACCATACAAACAACGTCCTATAAAGACCATCAAACAACGTCCTATAAAGACCATACAAACAACGTCCTATAAAGACCATACAAACAACGTCCTATAAAGACCATACAAACAACGTCCTATAAAGACCATACAAACAACGTCCTATAAAGACCATACAAACAACGTCCTATAAAGACCATACAAACAACGTCCTATAAAGACCATACAAACAACGTCCTATAAAGACCATACAAACAACGTCCTATAAAGACCATACAAACAACGTCCTATAAAGACAAACAACAACGTCCTATAAAGACCATACAAACAACGTCCTATAAAGACCATACAAACAACGTCCTATAAAGACCATCAAACAACGTCCTATAAAGACCATACAAACAACGTCCTATAAAGACCATACAAACAACGTCCTATAAAGACCATACAAACAACGTCCTATAAAGACCATATAAACAACGTCCTACAATAACATTGACCTTACAAATAACTTCCTATATAACATTTTAAAAATACAAAACAGACCATCTTTACGCTGAGTATTCTTTCTGAATATTTATTGTATTTAGGTGCTGGGGCTTCCGACGTTATGTTCATTTTACCTGCAGGCTCAGTTAATGTTCGTATCCACGAGCCCAAACCAACCTACAACAATATAGGTTGGTGAAAAGTTTATTTTCAAGGCAGAATTCTTTCTACCAATTGTGTCATCAAGAATCTTAACGATGATTCACAATGTTATTGATCTTTTTTCTTGAGGTTATTCTGCAAATTATCGTCTTCAGTAGATTTTATAATATTTTGTCTCTTACCACCATATGAAAGCTTTTCTTTCTAAGAACATCGATATTCTATGGATTTTCAAACACATTCCCCTTTCATATTGATGGTCAAGAATTGGTTTGTTTTAGGTTTGAAAGATCAAAAGGATAATTGGATTATTGATTCCAACACTAGGACAAGTACTCTCTACTTTGCTGGATCTCGTATTATGTTTGAACGACCCGGTTCTCTCTCAGCTGAGAAAATTGATATAATTGGGCCGACCACTGAACCCCTCAAAGTCATGGTAATATACAGTATTTTCTTGCATCTAAAATTTTAAGTTGGGTAGCACATACGCATTGTTTCTCATCAAAATAGCGTTTATTTATTTGGGATTGTACATCAGCATTTTTTTAGTTATTAACAGTATCCTATTCACAGTAACATCAGATCATCTCTAATCTTAGCACACGAGCACCTGTGCTGAACTATTTTCTTAATTCGCGTAGTATTTATACAGTTTATACCTGTTCTTTTTAAATATGAAATGAATATTATCTATTTCATATTGAACCGTTTTTTTACCAGAGAAAATGGAGTTAGCCCAGACTTAAGTTTATCAGTTACTAATTTTTTGTACAACTTTATCCCTTACGATTGAAACATTGCCCAAACTTTTGCCCGTCATAATGCAAATATAACTTTTTTAGTTCATTTACTGGTACGAATTAAACGAAGGTATTCCTTATGAATATTACCAACCGTTGACCACAACAGATTCAATACATCGGGAGCGTGCTGTTTCGTTTGTCTGGAATCATACTCTAAGCAAATGCAGCGAAAAATGTGCTGGAGGTGAGTAAATTGAAGACCACGATGTCAAACATTAGTTGGTCCTCAAAGGACATCGGAATAAAACGTTTTAGCATTTACAAGTGGAGTTTTCTGATATTTAGTCTTGACTTGCGTAAAACACACCAGACTACACTGCATTTAGTTGTAAAACTTTGTGCACTATCGTGGATCAACTGGCATAACGTTTCTTGGTGTTTATTAATTTTTTGAAGCATGCCCTGTTTAATCCATGTACAAAACCTAATGTCCTTTTCTTCCCACCTATTTGACTCTTTATTGTATAGGTGTGAAGACAAAGATAACGACGTGTCATCGAAGTGATGATTACAGCGAAGTTGGATTAAAATATTGCGATCCAGCAACAGAACCAAATGGTACCATCGTATGCAACACACAACCATGTCAACCTAGGTATATTTTATGTTGAAACTTGTGTCCTTTGATGCTCCTGTCTAATGTCTTCTTCAGGAGTGATTTGATGTTAAAACTAGTGTTTACAATTCCTTCGTTCTTGATGACTCTTTATTGAAAGCACTATGTCGATCTTCAATATTTATGATCAAAGGTTGCTTTCCTCGCCCTGGTTTTTCCTTGGCCATTACTCTGAAAAATTTGATATCGTAAAAAGTGGGTTTTTATCCTCAAATATCTTTGATATTTGGAGTTCATATTTTTTCTGTTTTTACGTAGTTGGCAGTACGATATGTGGAGTGTATGTAATGTATCATGTGGTCCAGGTGGTGTACGCTCTAGAAAAGTTGAGTGTCGTCAAAATGTTAGTAGTCAAGTTTCTCGTGTAGTGGCTGACAATTTATGTACTGGGAACAAGCCTGCTTCTTCTGAGGCTTGTAATCTCAAAGACTGCCTACCGGAATGGGTTCCTTCTAATTGGTCTGCGGTAAGCGAAAGTGTGGTAATGCTTTTAAAATTTTTAGGCTACAACACAGAAGTCTTACCAAGATAACGCCTTTCAATGTTTCTTATAATGAAAGGAAAATTTCGAACATATTCAGAAAATTGTAAAGTTTTTTATAGTTTTTGCGCTATTTTACATAAAATTGTAAATTGTAAATACAAGAAAAATGGCTTTGAGTTGGTTTCCTGAAGTAATCTTTTCTTGTAGTGTTCCAATGAAAAATGTGAAGGAATTCAATCAAGATTGCTAACTTGCAAACAAGTGTTTAAAACTGGACTAATCTCAGTTCGTGATGACGCAGATTGTCCTAGGGTTAAGCCTATAACTGAGATTATTTGTAATTCTGGAGTATCGTGTTTTGAATGGAAGTTCGTATATCCTAATTGCACAGAATGTCGAGGTTTGCTAACATTTTTGTGATTCTATGCTAGAATAAGAAAAAAACCTTAAACTACTTACTTATTTTTATGAGTAGCTCGATCAGTGTTTCGCTTATTTCATTTAAACTAAAATTCCAGATATCTATTGGGTTAAAGTTATAATTTGTTCCTTTAGGGCATTACACTGGTGGCTTACGTAATTCAAAAACTACTCAATACAAATCAGTAGGCTGTTATCGAATAAAGTCAAAACCATTTGGACCGATGTTGTCTAAACTTGTGTTAAACACGCGCGACAAAGTGAAGACTGTTGCTGAGTGCGCTCGTCTTGCGTGGAATCGTGCAAGGCGCGTGTTTGCTTTGGGGGGAAATGGTGAATGCTACGGTTCAATGGACGGTCATCGAGTGTACCATAAAGATGGTGCAAGCTCTGATTGTGTCGACAATTTGATTGGTGGACCTAATTCGGCTTATGTATTTGCTTTGACTGGTGAGTGATGTGTGTTAGTATTTGTATTTGTTAGTGTTAGTGTTAGTGTTCGTGTTTGTGTTACACTGGAATGTATAAGTTTGACCTTGAGGTTGCTTTTGATGAAGACACTAGACTGGAGTTATACAAGGATTCTAGTTTCAACATCATATCACTCTTGATAAAGACACTAGACTGAAGTATATAAAGACTCAAGTTTCAACATCATGTAACTTTTGATGAAAACACTAGACTGGAGTTATACAAGGATTCTAGTTTCAACATCAGATCACTCTTGATAAAGACACTAGACTGAAGTATATAATGACTCAAATTTCAACATCATGTAACTTTTGATGAAAACACTAGACTGGAGTTATACAAGGATTCTAGTTTCAACATCAGATCACTCTTGATAAAGGCACTAGACTGAAGTTTATAAAGACTCAAGTTTCAACATCATTTAACTTTTGATGAAGACACTAGACTGGAGTATATAAAGACTCAAATTTCAACATCATATCACTCTTGATGAAGGCACCTGAGTTGGTTATCGTTGCAACATTGATTTTGAATAATTTTCTGTTTTTAAACAATAGGAAAGGTCTTGCTGTCCACGCCAATGTGTAAAAACATTGAAAATAACACAAATGCTGATATCTCAAACTGTCAAAGTGATAAACCACCTCCGGAAATGAAAGTTTGCTGTGAAGATACTTGCAAAGGTATACTGTATTGATTCAAACACAATCACTATGTATCTTTCAACTAGTGATATATAAATTATATATATTATTGTTTTCTTAAATTCAACTAATCGAAGCATTTGTTTCAGGAAATTATTACATTTTTCCTTGTGCTTAAATCTATTCTTCGTATCTTTAGATCAGTGTTTTCGCACAGTTAATGGGTCCTATTGTTCTATACCATTTGTATATCGCGGTAAAAAGTATTACGAATGCATACTGAATGAAAATGGTCTTAAGTGGTGCGCGACAACTTCTAATTATGATGTGGATGGTATTGGAGAAAATTGTGAAGGTAGCTCAACGATACATACGTTATCTTAGTTTGTATTTTAGATAGTGCAAAGACTGTTTTCATTCTCTGTTTTTCATTCATTCCTACCTACACAGACACACATTATCTTAGTTTATATTTTAGATTGTGTAAAGACTGTTCCGTTCTCTGTTGTTCATTCAACACTACCTACACTGACACACGTTATCTTAGTTTATATTTGAGATAGTGTAAAGACTGTTCTCATTCTCTGTTGTTCATTCATCACTACCTACACTGACATACGTTATCTTAGTTTATATTTTAGATAGTGTAAAGACTGTTCTCGTTCTCTATTGTTCATTCATCATTACCTACACTGACACACGTTATCTTAGTTTATATTTTAGATAGTGTAAAGACTGTTCTCGTTCTCTATTGTTCATTCATCCCTACCTACACTGACACACGTTATCTTAGTTTATATTTTAGATAGTGTAAAAACTCTTCTATGTTGTTCATTCATCCTCACTACTGAGCTATAGATCATACCTGGAACATAATTTTTTCGCAGAACCATGTCGCTCACGAACGGCTAATGGCAAATGCTGCTCCTTTCCTTTCATCTATCAAGGACAACTGTATAACTCCTGTATAACTACTGCTGGTTCTACGCGTGCGTGGTGTGCTCTTACCTCGAATTATGATCGCGACCGTTTAAGGGGAAATTGTACGTAATGTAAATGATTGGATGGGACATAAAATTATGTATCAAGCACTTTATTAGGATTTGTTGGTTTTATTGGCCATATATCAATTCTTAAATTGCCTTAAATTAATCGGAATTATGAAAATATTTGAGTGCCATGGCATGAATCACTGCCGCACTGCGAATCATTAAATTTAACTATGTAATTTATAAACATTTAATTATGTAATTTATAAATATTTAAGTTGCATATCTCGAAGGAAAATTTTTCATAAGATTGTGTTAGTTGTTTATATCATTTTACAATTTTTAAAGTGTTAGTGAAAATCGTAAAATAGAAAATTATGATAAAGTGACAGTTCTTAACAGCTAGAGAGAGTAGTTTTTCAAATTCTGTTGCAGTGAGTCCGTTGAAGTACTGGTGGTTGTTAAAAATACTTTTGGATATTATGTGGATGGTTTCGTCCCTATTTACTAACATACCTGTTGACGAAACCATCCACATAATATCCAAAAGAAAATTATGATTTGTCCATTGTGAATGATTTTCTGAGTGTTACAGTACGATACAAATCACATGAATTCATATGATATCACGGTTCTCAATATAAATATTACAGCCCAACAAATAATTTCAAACATAGTCATAAACAATTTGGTTTTATGAAATTTATTAAAAGAGTGACGTTTCGTCTTTACTCAAGACATCTTCAGACTAATTAGGAAGTTAACAAGAATATAGATATATATAGAGTTATTTACATAGTTTGAGGTATCAGGTTTGTTGGGTGTTAGGTGAAGGTTTTAGTTTGGAGATGAAGAGGTTTTCGTGGAACATGAGGTCGAATGTGTCGGAGCAGGACGAGATGATTTTAAAATCGTCTGGTGAAGCAGGGTGGTGGGAGGAGTTACTATGAGAAAGAATACTTGACGTTAACGGGTTAGTATAGAGTTTTCCAGTCAAAGGAGAGATCCCCAAGTGTTCTGAGATTCTGGTGTGTAAGTGGCGTGTGGTTTGACCCACATACGACGCGGAAAAGCATCGACACGTGTATAAATAAACAACACCAGATCTCAGAGACTTGGGAATTTTGTCCTTAACGGGAAAAAATGAAGAGAGTCGTTTGGGCGTACGAAAGATGAATCTGACATTGAGATGAGGGAAAGCAGCGTTGTAAAGACAGAAATACACTATTTTCTTTGGGACACTAAGGACAAGTGGTTTCTGTTCGAATTTTGTGTCAAGGAAACGATGGACAATGTGGTCGAACAAATTAGTTGGATAGCAATTGAGTTTGAGTAGTTTTCTGGTGGTTTCAATTTGGGCATGAAAAGTCTCATAACTAGAGCAGAGTTTGAAAAAGCAGTGTAATAGGCCAGAGATTAAGTTGCGTTTGTAAGAAAGTGGGATAAAGCTGTGAAAGTTTGTGAAAAGACCGGTGAATGTGGGTTTACGATATACGTAGGTGGTATCGAGGTGAGTAGTTTCCAGTCTCCTTGTAAGTAATCTTTCTGAACAGGTGAGCAAGATGGATACCAACGCACCTCCAAATGCAGCTTCCCAAAAGCAAGCGATGATTTACATTTGTGGTGGTAAGAGTCCGTAGAAATACATGTTTTTCATGTTCTTTGAACAGGCTAGATTTTAGAATACCCGTCCATTCACTATCCACTTATATAATATGCCTCGTTCTTTATACTTTGTTCTTTATATTGAACATTAAATGATACTAAATGATACTGGATAAATAATAATTCAGAACTGAATGATATTTTAGTTTAAATTAACTATTATGTTTTACTATGTATGCGGTATCCTTGAATTTGTAAGGGTGCCTTTGAAAATGGACGGGTATTCTATAATCGCTTATCGCTCAATGTCTTTGCTTTTAACTGTATTTATAAGTTATAACTTAATATATCAATGATTATAAGGCGCAGGCAAATCTTTTGTTTGTATTAATTGACTCAGTAAGGAATGGAGGGGCGGTTATGCGTTCATTAGGCAAAAAGAACTTTCCTATGCGCTTTAAAACGTGTATTTATATTATGTTGTTTGGTGTCAGAGTGCCATGCAGAAAATGAAATCAAATCTCGAGACCCAATTAGATGTCGTGAATGTGGCTATAGAATGATGTACAAAAAACGCACAAGAAGAAGTATCCTTTGTTTTGATAACTGCTGTTTAACTTCTCACTGTAGAAGTTCACTTATAACATACAAGTTTCAACCCTAAACAACTTCTTATATAATGTCTTCTTTCATTTGTAATTCTTATTCAATACAGGATTTTTTATCTTGCCCAAGCATAGATGTAATAGTTAAATTATCAATGTTTGATCCTTGACCTACTTTATAGTGATTGTTTTTGATGCAAGGTAATTTCAAATAAAAAAAGATGGAAAGCAGAAGAGGTATTTTGGTCATATGAATGTGACTTTGACATACTAAATGTTATCACTAACATTTTGTACAAAATATACAAAAAATTACGCTTGTTTACAATTTATTTTATTTCTTACCATTAGCAATTAAAACAACTAACATTTATAACAAGATTATATACTCTTTACAATTTAGAAAAACTACAAGTATGATAATTAAATCACTATAGAATCGCTATGTTTTTACAACTTCACTTTTAACAACAGTAGGTATATTTTGATACATAACACATAAAGAATACTATCATGAAATGACATTTTCATTGTGAATTCATCCAAAAAGCATCAATAGTCACACAGATTGACTTCTTTTTACTTGCGTCTGTTTCCATTACTGTTGGCCATGATAATCAGGATACGAATGAAGATATTAATGGTATCCATATATATCCCCATTGACCTATGTCATAGGAAATTAGTTTGGACAAATGGAGTTGTCTGTATTTTACTATCATTGAGTGTTAGCCTTTTTATCAAATAAAAGAATGACATGCTATTTAACCAAATTTCTTCAAGATTCTTAATTGTCATACAATGATGCCATGCAGTTAAAGTTTTTTTAACATACTTTATCAAATTAATAGCAATACAAATTAAGCATTGTAAGCATTAGTTTTCATTTCATCAAATTTTCAATAATATATCCATTTTGAAAACATAATAATACACTTACGCTCTAATTGGATCATACACAGCTTCACCATAAACAGGGTATGTTTCAGCATTTCGGATTATTTTCTGAGTGTCATATAACATAAATCCTCCAAAGATAACCAGACCACCGTAAGTAACAACAGCTTGTAGACCAGCACCTACTGCTCCTGATGCAGGAAGAAATAGTGTTCCTAAATGGTAATATTGTACGTAGATGCCTTTAAATGCAGCCATCAGAGTAATTTTTTTCACATTCAATATGTATGGAGAAATAATAAGTATAGTATTTTGTGCCTGGATATATATCTTGGTATCCTCTTACCAATTGATGCCACAAATATTCCACCCAAACCCATGGCAAGGGGTCCACCCCATGCCAGAAATTTATCACTTGGAGCACAAGCAGCTGTCAAAGATAAAGAGGCAACAACACCTGCCGTGCAGGCTGCAGCTCGGACCACAAGAGGGCCACCAAGCAACATCAATGGAGCAATGACAAGGCCAACAACACTGCTATGAGCTATAGCAGAGAAAGTAGGATAGTTGGAACCATGAATTAAATGAAAGAATAATGGGATATTTTCAAAAATTATTGACAGTTTACCAAGCCATGAAAGATGTTTGGCATTAAAACCAGGTTCATAAGGTAATGCAGAAGATAGCATTGATGTTGCAATCATTGCAATCATCCCACCACCAACTGTCTAAATATAATATAGGAATAAAAATTACTTTTAATACTTTTTACTTTTAACTTAACTTTATACTCACAAGCCAGGGACTTGCACTCATCCATCGATAAACAAATGCAGATCGTGCAATGCTATATGCTGATGCAGCTGTCACAATCAAACTTCCAGCAAAGTAGCCATATGTTGCTTGAATACGGTCTTTGACTACTTGCGGCCATACACTTTTCAATAAACAATTAACTTTTTCATTTATATCAAATATTTTGACCTGTTGACATATAGTAATGTACTATACCTAGCTCGATCAACTGCTCCAATCTCATTGGACAATCCAAGTCCATAGTAGCAAAGTGCACCAATGCCTGCCAATGAGGCACCTCCAAGAATAACTCGTCCAGTTGCATCAGCTACAAGTCAAAAATATGTTTTTACCAGAAATAAATGTACTAAAAAAATAGAAGTTTGCATAGCTCACAAACCTGTTATTCCCTTTGGTTTTGAAACTGATTCCCAAGTTCTCCATGCATTGGTCCTTGTTTGATAAAATCTTTTAAATGCTGATGTATTTTGATTTGGTTTTAGGTGAAACAGAACAGAACGACCAGAATTTAGGCTTGAAAGATCGCGTATTGTAATTCTCTGAACACCCGACTTTGATAACAAGCGAACAGCATACATGACTTGTATTTACGAACTCGATCAAATAAATTAATGATTGTAATGTTTTGACAACTATCGTGACCAAACTTTTTGTATCGATATAATGAGTTTGCACAATTGTTGATGAAAAATACAGACATGCGCAATTTCGAACAAGGTTGAAAGTGACGTCATTATTTATAAGTTATGTTAAAGTTGTGGAAGTGAATAAAATCTATTGTTATGAAGCTTTATAACGCAAATACTTGTTTATTGTCACAAATTCTCCGGCTTCTTGTGAGGATTTTTCTTGATAATCCTACAAAATGTAAACATATTCAACTTTAAAATCCTCAGAGATGTTTGCAAGCGTGAATGAACTGCGCCACCGGGATGAGCAGTCAGCGGAAAGAAAAAAGTTAACGTCAAAATGGCCGACGAGACATTTATAGACACTTATAGACGACGAGAGACTTTTATTCCTTAATAATTATGAATGAATTGGATTGGCGCATTTTTTTGGAGAAAAAAATCAGAATTTTGTGGTCAATTTGTTCAAAAAATGTTAGTTCATTTTTTGCTTTGTTGTTTTTCAAATTTACAAAATAATTTAGCAAAAGAAATGACATAGTCCCGCTGTGACCTGTGATGTTGCCTGCTTGCATTGTACAAAATAAGCGTGGGTAAGGCAGTGTCTCAATGCTTCGAATTTATTGTATTTTTCATTTTAGGTTTGTATATTGAAATCAATGTCATAAGGAAAAAATCAGAAAATATGAAAAAGAAGAAGTTTCAAGTTTCAACTTCAGGTAGATAGTTTGTTGTCTTATTTACTTCATTTTTATAATCAGTACAACAATCTTCTTCAGAATCTTTATATTCTTGCCTACAAGTATTTTGAATGTAGTTTAATATGTTGTGTAGTTATTCAATTTCCTGTCCTCCAACAAAACAACACTGCTTAATACTCAAAATGGGGTTAAAAGTGACACATTTGATTTCTTCAATTTGAAATTAATAATTTTATGTTATTTTCAAAACTCACTGTCATTCTGAACATCACAAGGACTAAATAGATCTTTGTTTCATACACAACATTTTATAAATACTTACTGAAGTACAGTGAGGGGAATAACTAATACTGTTGCCATGACAAGAAACACAAGTTGACTAAAACCAAGTTGTGTTGCAGCTGAATACAATGAATTAAATAGCAACGCACCAAGGAGTGTAAAAACTGTTTCCACTGCTATTACTCCAGCAAATAATGCCCCTTTAGAAGGAGAAGGATAAACTTTTTTGTTATTTTCATATTCCAACAACTAATTTATTAATATAATTAACATTCACCTTGTTCATTCTCGTTGACAATCCCAGACATCATTGATCGTACTTCTGGTGTTGTGACACCCCCAAACTACCAACTATAGGAACTTAAATGATATTTTTGTTAAGTTTGTGTTAACTTGTGTTGTAATTTCAAAACTGAACCAAAAGCCTGTTGGCAGGAAAGTTAATGTATTACTTGTAAATTGAAAAGATTTAAAATTAGATACCGTCCCAAAATTATAGTGCTTCAATATTGTTCAAATTGGTTTCTTCAACTTCAAATTTGCAAAAGATTATGAAATCCATATGTTGAATTTAAAATATTCTGTCATGGTTTTGAATTTATTGTAATGGAAATTGTAAAAGAGAATTACCTGCAAAAATTATATGTGGATCCTCAATGAAAGCCACACAGCACAATGATGCAATGACAGAAATTATTCCAATCTGAGCGAGAAGCGTCTGCGACATACACAAAGACATGTACCTCAAACCAAGGATAGTACCTGTTGCTTGAATGAAGAAACTTGTTGCTAAGAAATAACCAATAAGGATTGAGTTAAATTGTAATGGAGAGCCCAACGCGTACAATATGAACACGCTACCGAACCCTGTTGATGACATCATGATATTTGCGGTGGTAAAAGTGAGAAGGACCAGTCTCCATTTATCACCATTCCGTGGCTCTTTGAATAAACGTATTATCTCTTTTATGTGCTGAAATTGACATAATCCTTTGGTCTGAGGCTTTTCGTTTCCTTGTCTTGATTCACGTAGTATAAATATTGTGTAAAGAAAAGCGCTTAAATAGAGTGTTGTGATGAGATAATAAGGCGTCAAATATCCACTTTTCTCTATCCACCAACCGCTGGAGATTTGGCTCAACATCCCGCTGATGAAGGCAATTGCTTCTAAAATTCCCAAACGAAATGCACGTTTTTCCGGTCGGGTGATGTCGGCAATATACGAGAATACGGATAATGTTATGGTGGGGAAATAACCGCATAGTCCCCCAATAAAACTGGATAACATTAAGTAATATATGTTCAACTTAAAGCACATTATGATGAGAATTAACACGCTTTCTGTAATGCTGCCTAATATGGCGATTGCTATCACGGTACGTCTTCCAACGTTATCCGACCATGAGCCCAAAAGGAGTGTCATAAAAAGTGTCGGGATGGTTGAGCTGATTGTTGTACCCAAAAGGATAAACGAGGTTTCGCTATGCGTATCCTTTATTATCCTTTGTAGCTCAACATTACTATGGGAAGAGACTGAAGAATGGTTTGCGAAGTGTCTATAGTGCTCTGTCTTATTTGTTGCTAGACCTTTTGATTCGCTGACCCGGTAATGAATATACTGTTGAATTGTGGGTAAATGAAGTAGAATACCAAATGCATAACAAAATACTATGGGTTCAACTGTTATTTGATGGTGACAGTTGGCAAAATCATCATCCTGGTGTAAAGAATCTTCCTTTTCAGGTTCCAACATTTTTAGGCTTTGATTGTTTGCTTCCAACGAACTTGCCATTCACTGCTTACGATTAATCGTTAATCCTAAGTTTTTACAATATCTTCATTTTTTGATACGATGGAAATGTTTTTTATCGTAAATTAAACTTATTATTTTACGAATATTAGCTACCGGTCATGTTATATTTTTCTTTATACCTGTATTGTATGAATTTTCTGTTTGGAATCTGTGAGGCTTAGATTTGATAAATATCTTTATTTGGTGGCCAACTATTTTGGGGTTAAAGAGTTGTGTTAGCGCCAATACGAATATTCCATCAATCCTATTGTCGTGATGTATAAGAAAAATTACATATGTTGGTTGGTTTAACATTTTCCCACCTGTTGTATTTTTGATACGGTTTGCAGCACATCAATTTTTTGTACGCGTCGAGTTTGACTCCGTTTTTATGCTTTATCTCTCTCACTTTAGAAATTTTTATTGATATGTTGGCATCCAATCATTGCGTGGTAAACACGTGACTTTCTCATCGCTTTGGAAATCCTTGAGTGAGTTTTTTTGATTTCTTAATTTGTGTAGTTAGTCGAAATAGGTTAAACAACACAACATCATGGGTTGATAACACGATCCTGTTCATTGTTACACCAGTAAAAGTTTAGTTAAAATTTTCTCAAATCTGAATCATTGAAGATAGCATGTAGCACGATTATTAAAGCTACTTTAAAACAACAATTTGTTGTTCCCTGCGTGGAATAATCGTGGACGTAATTTAGAGATGAAATTTTATGAATGTTTACGTTGACCTGAAGTGGCGATTTTTTAAAGGGTTTCTTGCGTGTGGTATTTTTATTTCACAGCAAATAAACATTCCAATATCGTGAATGTATTGGGTTTCTCACCTGAGGAAAAATGAAAAAAACACACGATACTAAACATAAATAAAAAGACAATTCTCTGAATTTAAACTTCCGAAATCGATCATGCGTAGATGTATCAAAATCACCACCCAGAAAATTACTATGAAATTATCCAGTTCATTATTTTTATGTAAAGATTTTTCAACGATTTGTCGATATTAAAGACAAATATATCGTATACAAAATAGGACGGAGTAGACTTACATTCTTTTTCTGAATTTTAATTTTGTAGTAGATGAAAAACGTGTTTCATAACTACTATACAATCTTTTGCGACATCTTAGTTTAAATGTCGGATATTTAAATTATATTAATCAGCTACAGTAATACATTATTTTGTTCTTATTCACTAGAACAATTTGTCTCACTATAATAATTCATATTTCATAGAAATTTACACATATTATAGAAAAATACTACAATTAAAATTAGTTGACTTGTGGTCTTTCTTGAGGAAATGTTTGTCGTGCTCAGTAAAAATTCTTCAGGTTTGCTCCAAAACTGGCAATATTTATGTCGAATTTTTCTTTCAACTACCATTTGTGATAGACTGCGCATGTCCAAATATTCCTGCCCGCTCTTGCTATGGGGAGGCCATCTTGGAAGAGTGGAAACTAGTGGTAGCTTGGTTGTCCCTATGTTGGGATTTCTATTGTGATAAACAAAAATCGTTTGTACTTCATGTAATGACGTTATCAAAAATAATCCAAAATTGAAACTCGAAACAATTTAGCATATTATAAATGTTTGAAAACTTACCCATTTTTTGCAAAATTGGTGAAGTATAGTATTATCCTCTTTGACAATATTTTATCTTCCTCGGGATATGCAGAATTGTTGAGTGGTATCCCATAAACAGACTAAATACATCATGTAAGTTTTATTGAATTATCACTTATTGTTGTCATGGAGATCTTTTTGTTTACTTACCAATGAATCGGATCCATGAGCAGCAAAACCAAACATACCTCGGGGAAATGCCCTATACGGTACTGGAGAGGAGTACGAGTACCGGTATAGGTAAACATTCGAGGAATCGATGAACCTCGTTCGCAGGATCGCTTCCTGTTTTATAGGGCAAGTAAAAGCCAGATCAGATTGTAGATCGACCAGAGGTCGGAATGCTTCGATAAATGTTTGCGTGCAGTCTGAGGAATACAGACTTCGTGCCACTGTTAACATTTCAGAGTTTCGTGGGAATATTTTTTCAAGATTCTCTTGAAAAATTTTAGTTATATTTTTCGGATCACGTGTTCGATATAGGATTGCGTCATTTCTATAAAACATTTCATCTTTGGTCACACCGAGAATAATGGGAGATGGTTTTACTTGTCCTGTGGCAAACAATTTCTGTGGATGATCTTTTAAAAAGTCACCGTCCACTGTAGGGGCAGTCCACACTGCTTCAAAAATAAATGGTTTCCTTGAGTAAATCCTCTGTAGTGTTTGCTGGGTGATTTTTGTTTTTAAACATTGTAATACGTCCGTAGCGTTGGCGCAATTCACCGATTTCAGGAATGTTTCTGATGCTGTTTTTGCCTGACTCTAAATTAAAAAAGTACTGTAGCTGATTTATGAAGTGCTTATGGTGGTTTAGAGACGTAATCTTAGTTATTAACTAAACTGAATGTTGTTTTTTTTGTCTTTTCCTTATTTAATGTATATTTTGGAGGTTTGTTGAGTCAATATTGTCAGATGGCTATATTTAAGTAAATCGCTCTGCATTAGCTTCAATAAAGATTTAATCAACACGTGCAACTATGACAGAGCTGCTGCCCTGGTTACTAGATGTCTCAATGAAAATCATTTATTTCTTCCCTTACCTCAGTTGATAATGTCCAATTCATAAGCATGTTACCACTTTGGAGTATAACGCGATCAAAATATTTCCAACTGCCGGGAGATAAAGTATGAGCAGAAACACTTGCAGCTCCTGCACTTAAACCAAACAACGTGATTGCGTCAGGATTACCACCAAATGCTGCGATGTTTTCCTTCACCCATTTCATGGCCAGCCGTTGGTCAAACAGACCAAGATTTTCTGTTATTTAAAGAAATATTTCTATAGTTAGTTTCTGTTCCACTCGCTTAAGCTATGATTTGAAAGTTTCTATGACCCTACCAACTTTGCAACATCCCAGAATGATTTTAATCATATTGTATTAAAGCCTTTATTAACATAAAGCCTTTATTAACATAAAGTTTTATTCGTTAATATGGTAAAAAAGAACGTGGTGCTTGCACATGGTTTAGTTATACGAAAAAATTATCACCATAAGCATCACTGCACTAATCTTGACGATCTACATCTACAAACCACTAAAGATGCTCCCGGATTATAACTATTCATTTGATCGTTTCATTTGTTACCTTTGACTCCAGAATTGGCTTTACTTAAGAATCCCAATAAGGAAAGTCTGTAGTTTAAAGTAACTAGAATAACGTTTCCTATCGCGACAATATTAGCACCGTTTTGACTTTCTGAATCGTAACTGCCGCTTCTAAATGATCCTCCATGGATGTATACCTAAAAGTTATCACGTTTGACACTGTAGACAGGCGTTCAAAGTTTGAGCTGTCCTATTTTAAGTATTTCATAAGAGAATTGGAGAATTAAAATGTCATAAGTACATACAATTGAACCATTTGTTAATCGACCACTACACTCTTTAGTTTATCACGTGACTCTCTATATGCTTGGACTTAAGATAGTTTGGATTGATCACACATTACGTCAGTGTATCGTTTATAGTTACGAGTAAAAACTTTATAGTTACGAGTAAAAACTGTGCATTTCATACCATAGGAAATGAATGTTGACATGCACTTTGTAATGATTGCTAATGTGTTAAGAATTATAAACATCAAAATTTTGATAAATTTTTGGTTAAGAATGAAATAAATATCGTCATGAATTTATAAAATTTACTTTAAAGGACTTATACCATCACTGCGGCGTTTTTTGGCGTAGGATATGGTGACCAAACATTTAGTATCAAACAGTCTTCAGTCAAATTCCATCCTTTTATGAATCTCTGGAAGCATGCGATGGTGACGTCAGTTGAGTTTAAGATACCTATAATGTAGGAAGTGAAGAAAGTATATTGGGGGGAAATGAATATTTGGAAAGAAATTGTCGTAAAAATATACGGCGAAGAAGCAAAGGAAAGATAGAAAATATGTATGGAAATCCTACGATGATGTGCAGTATTTTCAATCATAGATGTGTCAAGGTGTTTTTAGAGATTAAATGCAACATGAAAATTCAGAGAACTTAGGGAAAGTATAGAACAATAGGGGACTGTTAAGTTGATGTTATACCATTCCAAGGTTTCTTTGGTTGGGGTTTTTCAAATCGTAGTTTACCAACTGGTGCCTCAGCATATGGTATGTTAAGGAATTTCTGTATTTTGATACCAAGGAAGCTGGACTTCTGCAGCAAACCTCGAACTTTTCCAGATTTTGTTTCAACAACTGTAATGTAACAAAGGGAAGAGATAGTCAATGTTATTGAAGATGTTTTAGTGTTTTGATTGAATGCGATGTTTTTAGTCGAGTTCTTTGAAACTTAAAGTTGATTGCCATTTATTCTTTTCTTTTCTTTTATTAGATGTTTATTTTCTGTCTGAAGGCCTACAGCAAAGACCTCAATATATTTACAGGGGGTGGACAACCCACATGAGTTGCAATATTTTTCATGAAAATGCTAAAGGGGAAAGATCCACCTGAACAATGTTCAATTTCATTACTATAGTGTAAAGTGTGCCACTTGTGCTGTACCCAATACAAAAATATAGAAACTTAGAGACTGGTGCGAGCCGAAAAAGCCTTGACACTGGATTAATACGTGTTATGTCTCAACATGCGACACCTTATCCCAAAGTTTTTAAGGAAATTTATGAAATCTGAAAAAATGTGTGCTGGTAGAAACTGTAGTGTGCTGGTAGAAACTGTAGTGGGCTGGTAGAAACTGTAGTGGGCTGGTAGAAACTGGTAGAAACTGTAGTGGGTGGCTGGTAGAGAAACTGTAGAAACTGTGAAACTGGTAGAAACTGTAGTGGTGGGAAACTGCTGGGAAACTGGGAAACTGGTAGTGGGCTGTAGAAACTGTAGTGTGCTGGTAGAAACTGTAGTGTGCTGGTAGAAACTGTAGTGTGCTGGTAGAAACTGTAGTGGGCTGGTAGAAAACTGTAGGCTGGTAGAAACTGTAGTGGGCTGGTAGAAACTGTAGTGGGCTGGGAAACTGTGTGTAGTGGCTGCTGGTAGAAACTGTAGTGGGCTGGTAGAAACTGTGGAAACTGTAGAAACTGTAGAAACTGCTGGTAGAAACTGTAGAAACTGTATGGAAAACTGGCGGTAGAAAGCATGGAATCATCGCACAAAAGAACATTAACAAAAGAAAAGATATCTTCGAATATTTTTATGCACTGTCACAATGTCGTGGTATTGTCTCGAAAAAGATTGTATCAAAACCCACGATATCCCATCGTGTATTAATTACGTAGCACTCGTCTTTTATAGCAACAGTGAACAATGTTTGTCAAGGTTTGTGGTGCCTTCCTTTAGTGTAAGATAAAACAATCATGCTTTAGGACATTCATTTATTTCTTTGTATCTCAAACATGTAAGTTCTCAGTAAAAGCTTTTTTCCACCATGTATCCTTGAGATTCTTACCTCCAGTGAAGATTGAATGAATTAATTCCATTTGAATGATCAACAAGAGAGACTGAATGATTCGAACGTTCTGAAAGAATAACATATTATTTTAACAATGCAAATTTAATGAACAAAGAAATGTTTCACTGTTATTCTTTATGGTTGATTAGGTGGATTGTTTTTTTAATATGATTTTGGTTTGAAAAAAAAGTATGGGTTTCATCTTCACTTTGTGCTAAATCAACAGATATCCGGCAGGTTTTGTGAACAAAATGTTGGAATTTAGTTATAACAAAGTTATGTTATAATAAGCTATGTTGGTGTAGCTATACACGCAAATAAAACCAACCATGCCATGGTTTTTAAAACAAAAATATTACTACAACATAAGTAAACAACATAATTTCTATATATATCTCTTTGATCTAAAAACATATGATATGAGAACATACACTTCGCGAATTGCCATTTTATTGGTTTTAGTTATTTTATCAGTGGTGGCCTTCCTCAAATTTGTTACCACAGTTTAATCGTTGTGGAGCTATTGGTTAGGTAGGTTTGCACCAAACGCTTTGATTTCATATTGCCTATTGTCAATTGTTTGTTGTTTGTTTCTTAATTGAATTGGCTATAATTAAAATCACTTGCTACTATCAATTAAGACATCTATTGAGACAGGAAGGCATCCCTCGAGGTAAATTGGACTCATTCATTTCACGTTTTGTGAATAGAGTCTATTGTAAATCACATAAATAACTATTATCTTAATAAATATAAACACTCGATCTTTTTACTGAGTTATGAAGATCGATGTTTCTAACTTCAATTAAACCTTGCTTGGTAAAATGCGCAAATTTTTCATCCAAGATCGTCCAATTTTGTTCTGTGATGACGTTGTCGTCGATTGACTATCGTTTCACCTGCTGATAAAGTTATTGCGTTTTTGATAAAGACTTCGATTGCTCGAGCTAAAATAGGCGCAATAAGCTTGCATTGCAGATATTTTGTCTCAGTCTGTCTTTTACTTTCTTCAATGGTGAGCGCGTCCTTTGAGACAGTGTAGACGCTAGACCGGATTTAATGTCTTAACGAGATTAACTTAACTCAACATTTTCATTACATATACGAAAAGTTATCTCTTTCTCGAAAGTCTCTTTTGTTACATAGGTACTATTTATTTGCAAGTTTAAAAGTTGAAGGTCGTAATTTATTCAGACATCAAAACAATTTAGAATTAAAAGTAACACATTTCTGTTGTCTGCATGTTGGGAAAATTATTTCACCAGTGTCGTGTGCAATTGTAAAATGAAAAACAAACACACAAATACTTTATCTGACTTTTTAATGACTTATTAGATGACTGCATTTCCTGATACTCAATTGGCTCTAAATAACACAGGATGCAGCTGACCATTAAGGAATAAAAAAAAGGAGTTTTTGATGATTATGTTTGCCTCTAAAAAAATGTTCAAGATGAGAAAAAGATTGCTGCTTGCTTTAATTGCATACCGAAAAATGCATACTTAAAATTGCATACTCATATTGCTCATCGCTCAGGTAATATTGCCCAAATTTTTTTATTATCTCCTATATATCGAGATGAAATATTTTCATATAGATGAGATCATCTATGTAGGCTTTCTAACATATAGATATAGAGAAATTTAACTTACCATGATGTGCTTATTTTCTTGCAGCAGCAAAGTTATCAAACCTTCTGTTTGATAACCTCTCACTTTTTATAAGATTCAAGTCAATAATAAAGAAGCTCTTGAGAGATTGCCTCTTATTTGGCATAATACAGCCAATCAGATTCGGTCTTGCTTGATAATTTTTGATCCGTTTCCATAGTTGCAGAGTTGATTTGTCAAGAGCAAATTTACATATCTAAAATATTGGATAAAATTGTCCCATTTTTTAGTTTCAATGTGATTTCATTTTATTACACTATTGATTATGTACTAGGTGAAACATAATAGCGTAAATACGATTAAGTAGTTTAAGTCACGTCTGACAAAGAAACTGTTCCCTGAAATATGTTTCTAGTTTTAGAAGATCTTTGTTATACTGTCAACATCTAATTTTTAAGGAACATTCTTATCTTTAATTAGCGAATTTTTAAATTGAATGATCAAGTTCTTCTTGCATGTTTATGTTTAACTGTCTAAGAATCTTTTCAATTTTCATATGCAGTTCCAATGAACTGACAAGAAGGTTTAGCCGCTCGGTGCTACATAAATTTGGTCGATAAAAGTTGCCAAATTTTCCCTATGGAATGTGAGGAATGAATTTGCCGATTGATTAAAGATAAATTGTCAAAAGTCCCAAGTTGCATATGTCAACAGTATAGCGTTTTATTTCTGAATCACAGAAATACAGACGTGGCTTTAACAAAACTAATAAGAATTGAACCATTGATTTGATTGAACAAAGAAACTTAATATTGATCATTTATTATCATTTGCCAAAACGGTCGAAAAAAGCCATTCGAGGTTGGATCCTACTGATATTTAGTATTATAATGATAAATGATATGGAGTTTTTATTGATATTGAATAGGTTTTAAGTCCTGTTTACCAAAACACGATGGGAATTATTGTGTTCGTAATGTTGTGTAATGATAAGAATTTAAAAGATATTCATGTAAGATGTACGTATGGATTACCGAGGAAAAAAACAGAAATGACATCAACCATATGTTGAAACTATAATTTTCTGGCTGAAAGCTAAGTCTAATAAATAATATTGATGCCCTATTGAATGCTTCTAAAAGAACCATCAAATACATAGGTATTGCAAAGCTGTTGAACAGCGAAACATTTCGTACTCTCAAGACGTCATCACACAAGATTAAATTACAAGTAATTTGGAATATTTAAATGTTAGTTATGAGTATTTAGAGCATACTAAATTACATAGGTAACTAACAGATACACACATATTATGAAAAGAAAAGGCGATAGAAGAAGGAGGATTCTGGAATACAAGATTACACGCAAGAGGCATACGTACACAGGAACAGACCAAAGAAGAATAATATAACTTAAGAGAAATGGAGTTTCCTGTGGCATTAATTAAGAGAGAGAGTTTTATTTGTCGATCAAATTCTTTTGTATTTGATGGCTCGTTTCAATACGGATTTTAATATTTAGTATAGTTTAATTTTAACATTACAGTCAATTTTATAATAGTTTAACACCTACGGTGCTTCCCTCCTTTCCAAGTTCATATATTATCCATTTTGTTGGCAATACGCTTGTTTGATATTCAAGCTTCACAACAAAACATTGATGTTTATTTTGTACTGTAAACATGCGACGAATGAATAACCTACATCAGCTAACAATTTTTGAGCTTGACTATGAAGCTACTTCATTATTTCTCCATGTTTGGTCAATGCCGGAATTTTCCAAAGGCTGTTTGATTTCTAAACTTTTTAATCCTCGAAACGAATCCTGTACACGTCAGTATTTCCACGTTGTATGTTTTCTTTCAAAATGTCCACATTTACTTTTGTTTAGAATTATAATGAATATTTGTCATTTGTAAATGAAATATCCAACATGCTTGGTATTTATGTTCACGCCAAGCGAAATATTTGGTGTTTACAAAAATTGTTTGTATAATCCCTCACATATTTCCGTACAGGCCATTTATCGACACAAATTGCGTACTAACTTTTTCGGCTTTGCACACACATCAAATATTTATCTTTTAATTGTAATTAAGAAACTTTAAGATTTGTGCTTTCACAACTTCCTGATAAGTTGTACTACCGTAAACCTCCACCTATTATCCCTCTCACCCCATCATATAACCTAACCCACCTCCCATCCTTTCGCCCTCTCGTTTTATAAGTCGATCGTGATCATCGTGATGCTCAACTCACTACAATTTCTCTTCATAGTTGAAAATAAAATGTGTTTGTCTTTTTCATTTTTTGTGTCCACATTTTGGTGTTTTTAAACGCTACCTCGAATAAGGTTCTCACTTAAAAAAATTTGTTCTTTGTTTGTTTGTGGCGGTACAATGATGGGGGCTGTGTAAGCAAAGCGTTGGTGACACTTTTCAGTTAGGGTGGTAAAGTTAACTGTGTCAACTATTTAAAATATATTTGTATTGTAAGTATTGCATGAAAATTGATCCTTGACACAATTTCTGCAATGTATAGCCACATTTTAACAACACGTGATTATAAAGAATTATAAACTAAGTAGGATTGGTATAAATAAACAAGGACGTATTTGCAAAATGGTCGCAACTTTTGTCGGCAAACATGCCTTGAAGCGTTGCTCCCTAGACAGTGAAATCTGAGTAGTTGTGTCATTTATGACTTTGTACAGTCCTCAAAAAACGACAAATACATTTTGAAATGACGAATGCTTTTATTTTGAAGCTTTCCATAACTAATCAGGTTCGAATTCATCAGGTTACGACTCATCATTCATCACGTTCTAATTTATTTTTTCATCCATTGACGTAAATTTGAACCTGACTACCCAGGTAGTACCCAGGTCCTTCAGGAGGAGACCCTTCCACAACTCTGACAACATCAACATTTTCCTAATAATCGTTAATAGAACACAATATAAACTTTTTTATTTATACACAGAAAAATACCAAACATTGCTTTCAATTTACTTTCAGGAACACGAATTCACCAATTACTTTGAATATGAAATTTCCAGTGCTTTTTTTCCCAATTTTTCTTCTTTATTTTTATAAATAATGCCGTTCAGGGTACCACTTGCAAGTTGATTGCTTGGGTGTCTGTTGCTCTGCCCACTTACAGCTCAAAGCAGTTACACCGCTGAATTCATTATGTTCTAATTTAACATGTTCTTATTCATCTTCTAATTTATCATATTACAATTTATCTTCGATTTCATTATGTTGTAATTTGTCTTCTAATTTATCTTCTAGCTCATCACGTTTTTGAGTCGATGGAACAAGACAAGATTCGACTTTGCTCGTCTCATTCAAAGCCTGTTCTTCATCTTTACCTGAATATGTATAGTGTGGACGCATTGACTCTAGAGATGTCAGGTTTATTCAGAAAAGTAATGTTGATTCAATTATTGAACATTAGCAACTATTTATCCTTGTTTTATTGTCGAAATTCAAGATAAAACTGTAGGCTGAAAACTCGCGATTTTGAAGCACTTCAATGTGCAGGCATTGAAAACGTCAGTTTGTTGATAATTTATGATTGTCATTCATTGCTTCAATTAAACAGACCAAGCAAACAAAAGCATCACTATAATGATAGTGTCTTTGATAATCAACACCACAATCAACGTTTTATCTGACTAACTTCAGATTTTTATTGATCAGATTCTATTAAATTCCATTCTGATTTATCACTTTCTAATTCATCAGGTTCCAGTTCATCATTTATTCATCATGTTCTAATTTATTCCTTACTGTATCATGTACTAATTTGTCATGTACTAATTTATCTTCTAATTCATCATGTTATAATTTGTCTTCGAATTCATCATGATCATGTTGTAATTCTTCCAATTTATCATCTTCTAATTCATCACGTTTTTGAGTCAATCATCCAAAACAAGAATTTACTTGGCTTGTCTCTTTCAAAGCCTGTTTCTCATCTTTATCTCAATGTGTGTAGTGTGAACGCATTGAGTGTGAAGTTGTCGAGTTTATTCAATGATGTATGCTTTCACCCTTGAAAACATTGTTTTCACTTCGAATTTAGAATTTTGTCAGAGAATTCAGTTGAGCCTAATGAAACATTTACAATATTTTAATTTCTATATAACTTTAAGGTTTCTACTTCATGGAGGCTGATGAAGCAAAAACACTACAATGTGCAGGCCTTTGGAAACGTCGGTTTGTTTGCAGGTACTTAAATGGGTTGGTGTTCTCTCTCATTTCTTCAGTAAAACTAACCAGGACAACAAAAGTCTCACGTAATAGTGTAGAGCCAATCAGCTATCATTGGAAACTGCTATTCAGCTTAGCGATCTGGGTTTTTTTATCTTAAACAGAATGTAAACATGAACCGTAAAGTTATAAAGTTTATTTAATGATATATATGTTTGCATTTTTAAAAATTTTCAACTTTTGTTTTGTTTTATTTTTGGTTTCAGAATTCTTATATAAAGTAAGGTGGATTCTCTTATTGAACATTAAAAACTTTTAAGGCGGTTTTCGTGTCGAAATTTAGCATGTTAATATTGCAGGGAAAAAATCACTTAAACAGTGGTGAACGAATCAGCGATGAAGTCAGAATTACTATCAACGTTTAATCTTACAAACTTCAGATTTTTATTAATCATATTCTATTACATTCAGTTCCAGGGCCGTAGTCAGACCTATAAGTTTTTACCGTGGCAAAGATCATCAAACATGATCTTATGAATGCAATGCATATTTATCCATATGAAAATCTTCATTTTTCTTAATTTTGACAAAATTTTCTAACGAGCTAACTGCCTCGTTCGCCTCGTAGCTACGGCCTTGAGTTCTAATTCATTACATTCTAATTCATTATGTTATAATTCATCTTCTTATTCATTATGTTATAATTCTTCCAATTTATATAATTCTTTCAATTCATCTTCGAACTCATCACGTTTTTAGTCAATCATCTAAAACAAAATTCGATTTCGCTTGTCTCATTGAAAGCCTGTTTTTCATTTTTATCTCAATGTGTGTGGGGTGAACGCTTTGACCGTGAAGTGGTCAAGTTTATTCAATTATGTATGTTTGCATCCTTTAGAATATTGTTTTCACTTCGAATTTAGAATTTTCACAGAATTCAATTGAGCCTGATGAAAACATTTAACAATCTTTTAATTTCTCTACAATTTTAGGGTTCTACATCACCATAATCATGCATAGAGCGAAATACTTCAATGTGCAGGCATTGGAAACATCAAATTATTTACCATTTTTTGTAATCATTCAACTAAAACAGACCAGGGAAACGAAAGTATAGCTAATGGTAAAGAACCAATCAGTGATCAGGATGATTGTATCATCATCTTTCATAAGATTCACCTTAACGTTGTCGTGATCATTCCACTCTGCGGGCTTGGACAGTGAAAACGAAATATTTCTTCAGAGTTTTTGTCACATTGAAACCACAGTTACAAGATGGTATGTTTTTCTTTCATTTTTTATTCCTTTGCATTTTACTTTGAAAATTTTTTTCTATCATAACTCACAACCATGACATATTTTATTGTGTTTAAAAAATGTTTTTTTAAATGTTGTTATCAATGACAAATGTCCTTTAACTATTCTGCGTACGTCTATTTTTTTACTTTAGTTTTATTTGATTTTGTGCTTTGGAAAGCAAAATGTTTTTCTTTTTAGACGTGACTTGGCTTTCTTTTGCTTACCAATAAACATTGAATAATATATAATAGATAAACAAGACATTTCTATTCTTTAAGCCAACAGCACGAAGCGAATTTTTTCAGCCTTTTACTTTAAATCGTCCCTTGTAACCATATAGCTAAAATGGACAAGATAATGCTTAGTGTAATGTAAACAATAATAATTCAAAGATAAGATGAACTTAAAAAGCCCTGATGCATATAGCATAAACATTGCTGCAAAACATAAACTTGGTGTCATCTTTTTCAATTGTACTTGTGAATAACATGAAAAGACAAACCAGACTTATTATTGTAAAATAGCTCCTTGTAAAAGCTTGAGGTGTGACTGATATTGTTAGATACGATATGGCTAGCCATATGTGAACATTGCTTCGTGTTTGTCGTGTGCATTCGGCAACACACGCGCAATAGTGTATAAGACAGTGTGCAGGGCTGGAAAAAATTCAATAAATCAAAGCCAATCTGAGAGAAAAATCCAAGTGTTATTACGAAAAAACAGACTTTTTAATTATTGCCAAGTTAACTAGGTATCTAATCTGCAAACTGCATGTCCATCAAAGCCAATGTTCGTGTTTCATCTTCATAGATAAACATGGAAGATTGCTTTTTATAAACCCATTAGTTGTTCTCATTAAAACGAAAATTCATTTCGATGTTATAAACTTTCGGCATTATTAAGTTGAATTTGAAATAAAGACCTGCTGTTTTATGGAAATTTTACCTTCCTCTACAAAAATTGCCTTACTTTGAAATGCCACGAATTGCTGGTACCAGGCTCTTGTTATAATCTTTTTTTATCTAAATGGTAGCATGGTTCCCGTGATAAATAGAACCAAAACTTTACCTATGTGCGTGTTTCTTAGAAAGTTGTTTTTTTTCAATCGTCTTGCATTTGTTTGACTTCTTTATTAGTAGAACTATAGTTGATGTTTTTTATTGAAATTATTTTCTAAAGTAATTGCTAACACGATAATTAATTTTCTTATATAGTACAGCAAGCTTATTCTTCTGCTGGTCATCATTCATATCAGCACAATTGACTCAAAGTCTACAAATGGTAATAACATGCATGGTATATAGAGAGTAGGAAGATCGGAGCCCTGTAGACACTAGACAGGGATATATTAGGATATATAAGGACTCGTGTTATAAAATCAGATAACTCTAGATGAAAATACTAGACCGCAGTGCATAAGGTCCAAGTTTTAACCTCCTGATGAAGACACATTTCTGGATTATATAAAAAGTAAAAACTTACATTTTATGCAGTATACCAAAGAGGGACTACAAGGTGAAATCCAAATTGTTTAATATTTATTTATATTTAGTTATATATACTACAGCATTTAGAATGAAAAAAGACAAAGATAGATATGTAGTTCAAAAGCACTTCATAAGCAGTCTCTTCCGCAAAAGGAAATCTTGTATTTCGACTGTAAAGCCAACCACAAAATCGTCTAAAGAACCTCTCGTATCGACTGCCAAACCTGATGATTCACTTGGTAAACTTAATATTTCATGAATTTACCATTTGAAAATTTCACTAGAGCACTTTCAGAAACATTCACCATGATTTCTTTGCTTGAATTGATTTTGAGTGATCAACGTTGTAAACAACAACTCTCTACATTTTATAAGTTTTAACATCAGATCACTCCTGTTAAGGAGGGAGTATTTACATAATGACTGAAGTTCCAACATGTGATCTTTCTTTATATATTGAATGGGGTATAATGCGATATATTTTCGTTGTAGTTGTTGAGACAAACACTGGAAACGTTCAAGGTTTTATAGAGGAATCCAGTTTCCCTGGTAAAAGGATACAGAAATTCCTTAACATACCATATGCTGAGCCACCACTTGGTAATCTACGATTTGAACGACCCAAAGAAATAAAGAAACCTTGCGATGGTAAAATTTGAAGAAATTATTCCGTGTTTTTTATGTGCAACAGTGTATCGCGTTCAAAGTTATCAAAATTTTATTCATCATATCGTTTTTTATAATTTTTACAGATAAAGTTTGCAACTCTCAACCAGAAGAAAAAATATCATGTCTGCAAGCATTTTTTGCGCAAGTGGACGATAACTTAAATCAAACTGAGGATTGTTTAATACTCAATGTTTGGACACCATATCCTAGACCTAAAAACGCCTCAGTGATGGTATGATATGATGTAATCAAATTAAAATATTTATATTAAATGTATTTATAAAAAAAACGCACAAAGTGTGCGCGGATTGGTCTATAGAAGTGTTTACATTAGCCTGTGTAAATCGGTATGAGCTGGACGAATTACATAAACCAATCCATCAATCAAAGAGAATGTGCTAGTCATTCATGATTACATGTTAGAGAAAAATATAAAACGCGTACTTTAAATTTGTCTGTTTCGCAGTATTGTTATTTTATGAGCTGTCGTGTTTGCACTGAATTATGCAATCCTCGGAGACGTTTGTGAGAACTCTCGAGCATGTGCAAACCTTTGATCTTCAATCTCGAACTTGCGTTGATCTGTTGTCAAGTTGTCCCTAAGGTTTTTATCGAGAAACATTTAAATTTCAAGTATATTTACCTCTCTAGATCTTCATTAATGGTTTTGGATTCATAAGTGGTAGTTCACACGAGGATATTTTTATTGGTTCAAATTTTGTTGCAATGGGAGACGTTATATTGGTGACTCTTAACTACCGATTGAGTGTTTTGGGTTTTCTGTCAGATGCGGAAAAGGAATCAAAGGTAATCGAATATCGACGACATATTTTATCGAAACAAATATTAAACCTCGACAAAGTTGTCAATAACTTTCATAAATACTTACTTTGATTTCACGAATAAATAATAAATGAATTTTTTACGAAACTTATTACATCAAAGGCCAATCCAAAGATATTTCTTTTATAAGAAAATACGCAATGAGATTGATGATGATTTGAGCCGTATTACAAAAAACTAAAATCTACCATTTTCAACCACAGGTAACATTGGTCTGTTTGACCAACGGTTGGCCATGAAATGGGTGAAGAAAAACATCGCAGCATTTGGTGGCAATCCTAGTAATATCACATTGTTTGGACAAGGTGCAGGATCAGTATGTGTTTCTGCTCATACCTTATCTCCAGAAAGCTGGGATTATTTTGATCGCGTTATACTGGAAAGTGGTAACATGCTTATGTATTGGTCAATGTCTCAAACGGTTTGTATACTCATGAAAACTTTGATATCAACCACTGCATGCATTATTAATTATATTTCGTGTCATGTGGTATTTAGTTGCATTAAAATTTTCTTTTCTGCGGTATTATTTGCTGAATTAGAAAAATTCATGTTTGAAATTAAAGTTTTCAGAGAAAAGTGCAACGTGATTTAAGACTAGCATATTTTCACGTAAATCATATTTAATCTTTTTAGAAAGAAAGGGAAGATAAAACAAGGGCATTTCTGAAAGCTGTCGGCTGCGACAACTGTGCGAATACAAAAAAATGTTTACAAGAAAACGTCACTTCAGAGGAATTGCAAAAGTATATTAGAACAGAAGATTTCATGTTCACACCGGATGTTGACGGTGACTTTTTCAAAGATCATCCTCGATTCTTGTTTGTACATGGTAAAGGAAAACAATGTCCCACGATTTTTGGCACGGTCAAAGATGAAATGTTTATTACCACCAGTCACATCATCCTTAATGAAACAAGAAGTATCTCCCAGATCAGTGCAATCTTTAACAAAACTCTCCGTGGCGCATTCAGTAATCATGCCCGTTTTTACGAAGTCGCCCATAAACTTTATTCATCCGAATGCACGTCGTCGCTTACTGAAGCCTACCGACCCTTGGTCAATTTCCTAACAGACTGGGCATTCACGTGTCCAGTAAAGGAAGAAGCATTTTTGCGAGCAAGATTTTTCCCAAAACAACCTGTTTATGTTTACCGGTATGCGTATGCATCAGCAGTACCACTTTTATATCCCAAAGGAACGTTTGGCTTTGTAGCGCACGGAATGGATTTACCGGTGAGTGTATAGAGCCTTTTGAAAATGCAAAATTCTTCATTGGGTCCCCAATGGCGTCGCCAGGATTTTGCATGTGGGGAGCACAAGCTAAAAACCAATTTTCTTAGGGGGAGCACATCAAAATTTGCCCTACGTCATTGGAAAACGAAATTGTAATAAAAACTGCCTCTGCAGTGTAAACTTTTTAAAGCATCAACCGCAACATAAGGAACTTGCATTTTTTAACTTCCCAGTTTAACCTGTGTGGATTTGTGCATTCTTCGTATTGTAACGTTACGTATAAAGCTCATTGATCCTAATCAAATGTTTTCATATTGTAATACTCACAGAATTGCAGTATTTCCATACTTAGCTAATTCTATTTGTGCGGTTTTTTTTGTCTGCATGTTTTTGGTCCGAGCGTACTTGTCCACAATCTCATATAGTTGAGTGAGATGGTGTAATGTGATTCACAACAAAGATCCCCAATGTCACTTGTTCTTCCTTCCAACTTGAATTTCTTTAGAAGTATTGTTGAGTTTTTGCATTTTCAAGCAGTTAACAACTTTAGAACTCGACTAACAACACAGAAAGCGTAAATGCAATACAAACTACTTTGCACAGCTCATTAAATGCCTCCCTCTACATTAATGAAGTTGTGCGAATTCCATAAGAGTTCCGTTAATGCCATGTGCCATTTTCTAAACTTCTATTGTTGCATCGTAAGACCTTTTTCCTTAATTTAAATGAGGGACGGCACTTTGGGGCCCAACAAATTTTTAGAGGCCACCCTCGGCTTCCATAAGCGACGTCACTGCTAATCTCTTTAGTAACATTAACAAGCATTACTTACAATTACATAAGACTCGTAAACTGAATAAGCTTCATACTTATTTCTTATTCTTATTTAGTTCGTGTTTGGTCTTCCTTTCAAAAAACCTTTGTATTCTAAAGAAGATAGGATTCTGTCTGCTAGAATGATTTTATATTTCACTAATTTTGCAAAAACTGGGTAAGTTTATACAACTATTAAATACTTTCGAGCATGCATTTTTATAAACTAAAGAAACTAAACTTTGATAACCTTGTACTTGTACTTAAGTATTGTATAGTACAGTGACGTAGCCAGCTCTGCAAGTTTGGTCGTACTATGTAACTATTTTGGTGTTCACTTCACTCTTTGTAAACACAATAGATTTATAGAGAAATGAACAATGCAAATGATTTGATGTTTATATAGCACGACCAAATTTACAGATTGGCTACGTGTGGTACAATATTTTTGTTTTATGATCAAGGAGCTACATAGAAAAATATTTGACTGAAGTTTTTACGATTCGTGTTTCACTCAATATTTTCATTATAATTTTGACGTTTCTTTGTAGAAATCCAAACATGCATCCAGCTGAGCTACCGAAGCATTTTAAGGACATCGATCAGGTTGATCTTCCTGATTGGCCACGTCATACCATAGATAAAGAAAAGTATATAAAATTTGAAGGTTTTTCAAAGGTGGAAGTGGAACATAATTTACGCCAAAAGTACTGCGAATTTTGGGATGCCCCTATGTATGCTATATATAGATCAAAGTATTTTTAGTTCTTTTTATTGTTTAAAGTTTGGGATCTTACATAAATATGAACATTGTCTTGTTTCATGTTAATGACATAAACATTTGATGTCTTGCAAATAAAATTTTTTCATTGTCCACTTCTATTTTATGGTTTTCGTGATAATCCACGCACACAACACGCGTGACGACTTGCAGCAAGTTCCCTTTTTATCTTTATTTTAGAATAGATAAGAGTTTCTTTCCACTTTCTAGTATTATTCAATTATTTACTAGTTATGCCGTCTGATGATGAATGGAATACAAAATTATTGTCTTTTAAGCCACACTTCATTGTCGAATGTTTCTAAAAGTGATAAGAATGGTATTATCTCTGCATCATTGCTTGCTGGTCCAAAAATGTCCGGAAAAACTAGTTTATTATTTGAAATGGCGTTTCATTTTGCAGAAAACGGCGAGTACGTGCTCTTCATAGGATCGAAAAGTTATACTAAACTACCTTTCTTCGTAAACGGACGAGAACAGCCAAGCTCTGCTCCCTTGAAACGGATAAAAATTACGTATTTACCAAATTATGACGATTTGATAAAGTATTTTGCAAATCCTCCTATATCAAAAGAAACGACTGATGAGATAGCTAATCCGTACAGATGCATTTTGGTGGATGATTTTGACAAATATTTTCAAAATAATGGAGGCAGCTTCGAAGATATCAAGAAGCTATCTAAATGCATAGCTTACATGGTAGACGCGTTGAGCTTTTGGTAATAATGAATTTATTTACAGTTGAATGGTGTGGTACAATACTTACATTTAAATGGTTGTATGACATCATGATGAAGGAGCCTAGTTTCAAATCATAAGGATATGCTTGCTGGAATATTTTGGAATATTTGTTTAACTTGTAGTCAATGATAAATACATACTATCATACAATATTTCTTCTGTTTTTCATCCTTCTTCGGTTTGTTCAGGGTCATATCATTCTTCTGGCCAGCTTCCTTCTGTAGGCCTTCCTTCTTTATAACTCTAAATCTTATTGAAACCTTGATACTTTTTCTGATTGATTTTAGGAAAAATAGTGAAAAGACCTTGTGTCTTATGTCATACTTGTTGAAAATACTTGTGACGGTTGAAAGGTTATTGAACATCGAAACATTTCGCACTCTCAAGACAACATCAGACAATATTAAATTACAAAAAATGTGGAGTATTTTTACTTTACTTATATATACTTTTGTATTTGATAGCACTTTACAACACTGCCTTTAATATTTAGTACGGTTTAATTTTTACATTACAGTCAATTTTATATTAGTTTAACATCTACAGTGCTTCCCTCCTTTCCAAGTTCATATTTTATCCATTCCAATAATAAATAGCTTTTAATTCTAATTTTGTTGGCATTATGCTTGTTTGATATTCAAACTTGACAACAAAACATTGATGTTTTTTTTCTAATAAAAACGTGCAAAGAAAAGCGGTACGACGAGGGAATAATCTACATCATCTAACCATCTCTGAGCTAAGTATGAGGCTACATCAATGTCTCTCCATATTCGGTCAATACCGGAATTTTCCAAGACTGTGCAATTTCTAAATTTTTTAATCATCAAAACGAATCCTGTACACGTCAGTATTTCCATGTTGTATGTTTTCTTTCAAAAATGTCCACATTTACTTCCGTTTACTTGTCATTTATCTGTGACATAGAATTATAATGAATATTTGTCATTTGTGAATGAAATATCCAACATATTTGGTATTTATGTTCACAGCAAGCTAAAATATTTGATGTCTGCAGAAATAATTTGCACCTTCCCTCGCATTTTTGCGAACAGGAAAACTATAATTCGTGACATATTGCGTACTAACTTTTTCCGCTTTGCACACACATCAAATATTTATCCTTTATTGACCCTCTCGTTGAATAAGTCCACGACGATCGTGATGCTCAACTCACTGGAAAATTGTAAATAGTCGAAAATATATGTGCTTGTCCTTGGCATATTTTGTATCCACCTTTTGGTGTTTTTAAACGCTACCTCGAATAAGGTTCTCACTTAAAAAAAAATTGTTCTTTGTTTGTTTGTGGCGGTACAATGATGGGGGCTGTGTAAGCAAAGCGTTGGTGACACTTTTCAGTTTGGGTGGTAAAGTTAACGGTGTCAACTATTTAAAATATATTTGTATTGTAAGTATTGGATGAAAATTGATCCTTGACACAATTTCTGCAATGTATAGCCACATTTTAACAATACGTGATTATAAAGAATTATAAACTAAGTAGGATTGATGTGAAAAAGAGAGCATTTGCAAAATGATCGCAACTTTTGTCGACAAATATCCCTTGAAGCGTTGCTCCATAGACAGTGAAATCTGAGAAGTTGTCTCCTTTATGACTTTGTACAGTCCTCAAAAAACGACAAATACATTTTTAAATTACGAATGCTTTTATTTTGAAGCTTTCCATAACTAATCAGGTTCAAATTTATCAGGTTACGGACGTATCATTCATCATGTTCTAATTCATCACATTCTTATTCAATTATGTTGTAATTCATCTTCTAGCTAATCACGTTTTTAAGTCAATCATCCAAAACAAGATTTGGCATTTTCAAGACAAGATTTGACTTCACTTGTCTCTTTCAAAGCATGTTCTTCATCTTTGCTTGAATATGTATAGTGTGAACGCACTGACTCTGGAGTTGTCAGGTCTATTCAGAAAAGTAATGTTGATTCAATTATTGAACATTAACAACTATTTATCCTTGTTTTATTGTCGAAATTCAACATAAAACTGTAGGCTGAAAACTCGTGATTTTGAAGCACTTCAATGTGCAGGCATTGAAAACATCAGTTTGTTGATAATTTATGGTTATCATTCATTGCTTCAATTAAACAGACCAAGCAAACAAAAGCATCGCTATGATGGTAATGAACTAGTCATTGATCAAATCAAGATTACAATCAACATTTTATCTTACTAACTACAGAGTTTTATTAATCAGATTCTTTCACATTAGTTCTAATACATCACTTTCCAATTCATCAGGTTCCGACTCATCACTTCTATTCATCATGTTCTAAATTTTAAGGCCCCGTTTACACTATATCGGATTGCTATAGTAGCAGGTTGAATATTCTTTGTATTAAAAGGCAGTGACATTGTTCAACGTCAGAAACACAATCAAATCGACTAATTCTATTAGCTTAATAAGCTTTTACTCCGAACAGTTAACCCTTTAAATCAAATGAAGATGTCGTGATGAGCGAATCCGGTATAGTGTAAACGCAGCCTAATTTGTCATGTTTAATTTGTTGCTTTATTCATCATGTTGTAATCCTGATCATCAAATTTGTCATGTTATAAGTTTCCTTCGAATTTGTTATGTTACAATTGATCTTCTTATTTATGTGTAGTGTGAACGCATTGACTGTGAAGTTGTCGAGTTTATTCAGTAATGTATGTTTTTACCGTTAAAAAGATTGTTTAACTTTAGATTTAGCGTTTTGTTACAGAATTCAATTGAGCCTGATGAAAACATTTAACAATCTTTTAATTTCTCTACAATTTTAGGGTTCTACATCACCATAATCATGCATAGAGCGAAATACTTCAATGTGCAGGCATTGGAAACATCAACTTATTTACCATTTTTTGTAATCATTCAACTAAAACAGACCAAGGAAACGAAAGTATAGCTAATGGTAAAGAACCAATCAGTGATCAGGATGATTGTATCATCATCTTTCATAAGATTCACCTTAACGTTGTCGTGATCATTCCACTCTGCGGGCTTGGACAGTGAAAACGAAATATTTCTTCAGAGTTTTTGTCACATTGAAACCACAGTTAGAAAGATGGTATGTTTTTCTTTCATTTTTTATTCCTTTGCATTTTGCTTTGAAGATTTTTTTCTATCTTTACTCACAACCATGACAATTTTTATTGTGTTTAAAAAATGTTTTTTTAAATGTTGTTATCAATGACAAATGTCCTTTAACTATTCTGCGTTCGTCTATTTTTTTACTTTAGTTTTATTTGATTTTGTGCTTTGGAAAGCAAAATGTTTTTCTTTTAGACGTGACTTGGTTTTCTTTTGCTTACCAATAAACATTGAATAATATATAATAGATAAACAAGACATTTCTATTCTTTAAGCCAATAGCACGAAGCGAATTTTTCCAGCCATTTTGTATAAACCGTCCCTTGTAACCACATAGCTAAAATGGACAATATAATGCTTAGTGTAATGTAAACAATAATAATTCAAAGATAAGATGAACTTAAAAAGCTCTGATGCATATAGCATAAATATTGCTGCAAAACATAAACTTGGTGTCATCTTTTTCAATTGTACTTGTGAATAACATGAAAAGACAAACCAGACTTATTATTGTAAAATAGCTCCTTGTAAAAGCTTGAGGTGTGACTGATATTGTTAGATACGATATGGCTAGCCATATGTGAACATTGCTTCGTGTTTAACTTCTTTATTAGTATATAGTTGATGTTCTTTATTGAAACTATTTTCTAAACTAACTGCTAACACGATAATTAATTTTCTTATATAGTACAGCAAGCTTATTCTTCTGCTGGTCATCATTCATATCAGCACAATTGACTCAAAGTCTACAAATGGTAATAACATGCATGGTATATAGAGAGTAGGAAGATCGGAGCCCTGTAGACACTAGACTGGGATATATTGGGATATATAAGGACTCGTGTTATAAAATCAGATAACTCTAGATGAAAATACTAGACCGCAGTACATAAGATCCAAAACTTACATTTCATGCAGTATACCAAAGAGGGACTACATTGTGAAATCCAAATTGTTTAATATTTATCGCTTATATTTACTACAGCATTTAGAATGAAAAAAGACAATGAAAGATACTTCGTGCAAGATTACTTCATAAGCAGTCTCTTCCGCAAAAGAAAATCTTCTATTTCGACTGCCAAACCTGATGATTCACTTGGTAAACTTAATATTTCATGAATTTACCATACGAAAATTTTTACTAGAGCACTTTCAGAAACATTCACCATGATTTCTTTGCTTGAATTGATTTTGAGTGATAAACGTTGTAAACAACAACACTCTAGATAGACAAATTTTATAAATTTTAACATCATGCAGGTCAATTCTGCTAAAGGAGTATATATAAATATAATGACTGAAGTTCCAATATTTAATCACTCTTCATATATTGAATGGGGTATAATGCGATATATTTTCGTTATAGTTGTTGAGACAAACGCTGGAAAAGTTCAAGGTTTTATAGAGAACTCCAGTTTCCCTGGTAAAAGGATACAGAAATTCCTTAACATACCATATGCTGAGCCACCAGTACGATTTGAAAAAGCCAAAGAAATAAAGAAACGTTGGGATGGTAAAGATTGAAGAATTTATTCCGTGTTTTTTATGTGTTACAATTTATCGCGTTCAAAGTTATCAAAATTATATTCATCATATCGCTTTTTCTAATTTTTACAGATAAAGTTTACAACTTAAATCCAAAAAAAGCAATATCATGTCTACAGAAAGATAATTTCCCTTACTTCGACGAAACCGAGGATTGTTTAATACTCAATGTTTGGACACCACATCCCAGGCCTAAAAACGCCTCAGTGATGGTATGATATGATGTAATAAAATTGAAAAATATTTATATCAAATTTATTTAAAAAATAGAAACAACACACAACGCCTGCGCGGATTGGTTCATATCTGTGTTTGCAATGGCTTGTGTAAATCAATGTGAGCTGGACCAATTACATTAATCAAACCATCAATCAAAGAGAATGTGCAAGTCAATCAATAATACACATTAAAGGATAAAGTAAAACGTTTGTTTTAAGTTTATTTTTTACATGATTTAATTAGTGAATAAAATAAAAGATATTTGTCGTGTTTGCATTGACTTATGCAAACCTCGGAGACGTTTGTGGAACTCTCGAGCCGGTGTAAACCTTTGACCTTCAATCTGGAACTTGCATTGATCTGTTCTCAAATTGTCCCTAAGTCTCCTCGGTTTTTATTGAGAGACATTTAAATTTGAAGTATATTTATTTGTCTAGGTCTTCATTCATGGTGGTGCATTCAAATATGGTAGTTCGCACGAATATCGTTATTCTGGTTCAAATTTTGTTGCAATGGGAGACGTTATATTGGTGACTCTTAACTACAGAGTGAGTGTTTTTGGTTTTCTGTCAGATCCGGAAAAGGGAATCAAAGGTAATCGAATATCATTGACATATTTTAACAAACAAATATTAAACCTCGACAAAGTTAATAATAAAGTCAACAACTTTTGTAAATACTTGGTTTAATGTCACGTATAAATAATAAAAGAATAATTGTGCCGTATTACAAAAAAACTAAAATCTACCATTTTCAACCACAGGTAATCTTGGTCTGTTTGACCAACGGTTGGCCATGAAATGGGTGAAGAAAAACATCGCAGCATTTGGTGGTAATCCTGACGCAATCACATTGTTTGGGGAAAGTGCAGGATCAGTATGTGTTTCTGCTCATACCTTATCTCCAGAAAGCTGGGATTATTTTGATCGCGCAATACTGGAAAGTGGTAACATGCTTATGTATTGGTCATTATCAACTGAGGTAAGGGAAGAAATCTATGATTCTCATTGAGACATCTAGTAACCAGGCAAGCAGGTTTGTCATAGTTACACGTGGTGATTAAATCTTTATTGAAGCTAATGCAGAGCGATTTTCTTAAATAGCCATCTGACAATATTGACTCAACAACCGCCAATACTATTCGTTAAATAAGGAAGTGACAAAGAAAATAAAAAAAACAACATTCAGTTTAGTTAATAACTAAGATTAGGTTTTAGGGGATGTTTTGATCGTGTTATAATCTACTGGAAAGTGGTAACATGTTTATGTATTGGACAATGAGGTTTGTAGGAAAACTGTGATATCAACCACTGCATGCATCAAATATTTATTGTATTTCCTATCATGTTGTATTTAAATGCATTAAAAGTTGCTTTGCGGTATTATTTACTAAATTAGAAAAATCATGTTTGAAATTAAAGTTTTCAGAGAAAAGTGCAACGTGATTTAAAACTAGCATATTTTTACGCACAATATTGTTGATTCTTTTTAGAAAGATAACAAAATTAAAACTATGGAATTTCTCCAAATTGTCGGCTGCGACAACAGTGCGAATACAAAAAAATGTTTGCAAGAAAACGTCACTTTAGAGACATTTGAAAAGTACCTAAATAGAAAAGTGGATTTCATGTTCACACCAGATGTTGACGGTGACTTTTTCAAAGATCATCCTCGATTCCTGTTTACACAGGGTAAAGGAAAGCCATGTCCCATGATTTTTGGCACGCTCAAAGATGAAATGTTCTTTACCACTTCTTTCATCCTCAGTAACACAAGAAATATCACCGAGATCAGTACAACATTTAACGAAACTCTTCGTGAAACATTAAGTCACCATCCCCGTTTTTACGAAGTCGCCCAAAAACTTTATTTATCCGAATGCACGCCGTCGTTTACTGAAGCCTACCGACCCTTGGTCAATTTCCTAACAGACTGGGCATTCACGTGTCCAGAAAAGGAAGAATCACTTCTCCGAGTAAGAATTTTTCCAGAACAACCTGTTTATGTTTTCCAGTATGCATACGCAACAGCAGTACCAGGTACTTATCCCACAGGAACGTTTGGCTTTGCAGCACACGGACTTGATTTAGCTGTAAGTTGAAAAATGTTTTGAAAATGCAAAATTCTCCGGTCTCTCTTGTAACTTACCATTACTGACCGTTGCATTACATTCTTTTGTGAAATACGGCTCACACTTATTTCTTACCCTTATTTAGTCCGTATTTGGTGTTCCTTTCAAAAAAGAGCTTCCGTATTCTGATGAAGATAACACACTGTCTGCTAGAATGATTTTATACTTCACTAATTTTGCAAAAACTGGGTAAGTTTATACAACTATTGAATACTCTAGTGCATGCATTTGTATAAACTAAAGAAACTAAACTTTTATAACCTTGTACTTGTACTTAAGTATTGTGTAGTACAGTGACGTAGCCAGCTCTGGAAGTTTGGTCGTACTATGTAACTATTTAGGTGTTCACTTCACTCTTTGTAAACACAACAGATTTATAGAGAAATGAATAATAACAATGATTTGAAATTTACATAGCACGACCAAATTTACAGATTGGCTACGTGTGGTACAATACTTTTGTTTTATGATCAAGGAGCTACAGAGAAAAATATTAGACTGAAGTTTATACAATTCATGTTTCACTCAATATTTTATTTTTCATTATAATTTTGGCGTTTCTTTACAGAGATCCAAACTCGCCTCTATCTAAACTACCGAAGGATTTTAAAATTTATACCACACCGGATCACGCCAACTTTTCACTTCCTCATTGGCCACCTCATACCATAGAAAAAGAAGAGTATTTGGATTTTGAAAGCTTAGAAAAGATGGAAGTGAAATATGAATTACGCCAAAAATACTGCGAATTTTGGGATACCCCTTTGTATGCTTTACATAGATCAACGTATTTTTAGTTCTTTTTTATTGTTTAAACTTTGGGATCTTACATAAATATGAACATTATCGTGTTTCGTGTTAATGACATAAACATTTGATGTCTTGCAAATAAAATTTTTTCATTGTTCACTTCTATTTTATAGTCGGTTTACAATCTTGTTGTTGAAATATTCACCATTAGCCATGTTTATTTACTGCTATAGATCACTAGGGGGGAGGAGAGGGGAGGGGTGCAGGAAAGGCTGTATTACAATGTGCCACGCAGTTAAGCGAAAACAATATTCATTAGGCTTTTCGAACAAGAAGCGAATCCAGCTCAAATTTTTACTCCTGGGTTTTCTGCTGTGCGCAAATATTTTGAGTTCACTCTCTAGAAAACATAAAATAAATTTTCTAAAGAAATTGATGACAATCGCCACAGCAAATCTTCCATCTTGATGTATTACTCCATCTGTTCCTACAAATAGCCAACAACAATCACGAAAATTGGCATATGTATAAAAAATGACATTACACTTCGAAAGCCACAAAGTAATCACCAAAATGTAATTTAAACTAAGCTGACTAAATGAAATCTTATCAAATTTGAAGCACCCCATCTCCACATCCTGACAAAGATCATTCTTGATCATCTCTGATCATATGTTTCATCCTGTTGATTTATTCTCGATTAATTCTGGATTATAAACATTCTTTTGTTCATTCATAATTGACATTTTCCTATTGAACTATGCGCCATAAACAGAAGCTTGTTGTTATATTGTACGTACGAAGCATATGAAGCCCTCCCAAGAACTATTAACTTACCGCAACTATATGACTTTTACAACGACGTAATTATAACTCATGATGTTTCTGCTTTCGTGCAATCCACGCACACAACACGCGTGGCGTCGTTGTCATAACTGCAGAAAGACCGCCATTTTTGGCTTCATTTTCTACTTTCATTATTTTGATGAGTTTCTTTTACCTTCCAGTGTTATTCATTTACTAATTATGCTATCTGATGATGGAAGCAATGCAATCTCATTGTCTTTTAAATGATATGCTTCATTTAAAAGGAGATTTTATGATGACTTCATTGTCGAATGTTTCTAAACGTGATAAGAATGGTATAATCTCTGCATCATTGCTTGCTGGTCCAAAAATGTCCGGAAAAACTAGTTTATTATTTGAAATGGCGTTTCATTTTGCAGAAAACGGCGAGTACGTGCTCTTCATAGCATCGAAAAGTTATACTAAACTACCTTTCTTCGTAAACGGACGAGAACAGCCAAGCTCTGCTGTGTTGAAACGGATAAAAATTATGTATTTAACAAATTACGACGATTTGATAAAGTATTTTGCAAATATTCCTTTATCGAAAGAAACGACTGATGAGATAGCTAATCCTTGCAGACACATTTTGGTGGATGATTTTGACAAGTATTTTCAAAATAATGGAGGCCGCTTTGAAGATATTAAGAAGTTATCTAAATGCATATCTTACATGGTAGACGCGTTGAGCTTTTGGTAATAATGAAATTTATTTACAGTTGAATGGTGTGGTACAATACTTACATTTAAATGGTTGTATGACATCATGATGAAGGAACCTAGTTTCAAATCATAAGGATATGCTTGCTGGAATATTTTGGAATATTTGTTAAACTTGTAGTCGCATTTAATAAACACGACAAGTTTTTTAAAATAGACATGTTTCGACGTCTCGAAACATAGTGCTTTTACAAAATTATGGAAACTTGTAGTCAATGACAAATACATACTATCATACAGTATTTCTTCTGTTTTTCATCCTTCTTCAGTTTGTTCAGGGTCATTCTTCTGGCCAGCTTCCTTCTGTAGGCATTCCTTCTTTTCTAACTCTAAATCTCACTGAAACCTTGACCCTTTTTCTGATTTATTTTAGGAAAAATAGTGAAAAGGCCATGTCTTCTATCCTACTTGTTGAAAATACTTGTGAAAATGTTTTGGACCATGAAAAGTTAAGTTTCTATAAGCATTGGATAAGAGAATATTTATTTATACAACCTTCATTGGGATCATTATTTCAAATACAATCAATGGAACTTGAACATTCTAACGAATGTTTCTCTTTGTCAAATAAATTTTTATTACATTGATGGAAATTCAATCAAGCTGCACTTTGGCGATTTGCCTCAGTGAAAAGGATGAATGAAAAATAATGTTAGGGGTGATGCAGGAACCTTTTTTTAAGCCAAAGTCATTGTTGTATTTGCCTCAATTTCGTTTCACGTTTTTCAAAAGTAAAAGTTTTAATGAGATGCAATTTTGCATGTGTTATAAGTCATATATATTATGCGTATTCTTGACATGTACAAACGTCTACATTATAAGGCAGGTGCTTCGGTGAACAATTAAGTTTATTGCAAATTATAGCACGAAGCTTTAAGATGATTCGCTGTGGATGCATTTGTTTAAAGTCAGCAACATATTGTAACTATGTACCTCAACAAATGTTCAACTTATGGATAACTTATTTCATGTTGCATCAAGGTTTTTGTCTTTTTTAAACAAGAGTAAAGTCTCACGTAGTGGAAATTGCTCGATGACAAATCATACGTTATTTCGTCAAAAGGACCGGTAAATGATCTGAAAAATCTTTAACGCAAAAAAATATTCCATAGGCTTCTTTAGAAAAATGATCCTAAACAGTAGATGATACGGTGTTTCGTCCTCGTTAAAGTGCAGTATTTCTTGAAAAGCTATTTCAAGAAATGATTATTTGAAATAGTGAAAAGTTTAGTTGTTTAATAATATATGAATTTACAATCGGTTGCCTAGAGAGCATCGTGTAGGCAAATCATCACGGCGTTATATTTGAAAACGACAACTATTAAGAACCGTGTATAATCATAGTAATGGAGAATTAAGCGATCGCTTCGACTAGCTTTGATTGAACGCAAGAAAATTTACGACGTTTCTTGTGAAAATTATCAGCTGTTTCAAGGAGCTTCGTAAATTTAATTTAGTTATACTAAGTGTATATTTAAGGACTTGGTTATTACTCGACGCGTGAGATAGTCGCGTATGTAGCTACGAAAACTTTTGTTTCAAGTTGCTTAACAGTTGGAATAAAAAAAGAGGCGTTGTTTTGCAATGTCGACTTTTGAAGAGGAAAAGGATGTAAGAGACCTCGTTTTGTTGAATGCTGAAATGCAAACAATTTGGAACAAGAAAGAGTGCGAAGTTCGCGATGTTTTAGAAAAATTCTCAGCTTATCGTGCGGCTGTCGACTCTGATGCTAAGGAAAAGGACGAACTTTTTGTTGAAGAGGTATATTGTATCAAAACGATGCAAGTTTACCCACTTATTTTTTCTTTTGATTGTATAAGTAACAGCTGTGTACAAGAGTTTGTAGCAAATAATGCTCTTTTCTTTTCTTGTGATGAAAATGCTACTACATAGCTGTAGCTACGTATCTTCATTACATCAGTCTTGCATTTTCACGATATCATGAGCCAGTTAAATGATAACCAGTGGATTTTGATTCTCATTTCAAAATATTCTTGGTGTGAATCATGGCAAATAATTTTAAAATGGGAGAATAACGAAAACATCATTGCCTAAATTGGGTTGGCTCGTTCAATAAACGAAATTTTAATTATAATCGGCGAGCAATTTTTATAATTGTTTCACTAACACTTTTCTTTTCTTGTATTTCAAGATAGGCAAACGAGAGAAAACGATCAAAGATCTTGAATTGAAAATAGTTATTCTACAAGATGAAATGTGTCGACAAAATGAAACATTTAAGGCCTTCATCGCCGACGTTCAAACTGCTGAGAAAGATTACATACAGCAGCTTGTGGATGTAATACAGATCGTTCAAGGTTTATCAGATTCTTTGGATAAATCCTCAGCTCAAATTATCTGTCATAATATCAGAGTTCAAATTGAGACTTTTGTTGCTAAATTCAAGGAAAGAGATTATAGAAGGTAATTTATGATTTTATTAACAAAAGGATGCACCGTTGATGTCAAAAAACAAAATTTGATGGAGGACGCGTCTTTACAGTATAAACAACAGCTAGCTATAGTTTGAGTTTCTTTTTTATAAATGTCTCTGCCACATAGATATATCAATTGCTGTGATGATAATGGATCTGAATTAAAGTCTGCAGATAAAGTAAAAACGAACACTCTGACAAACACTTTCTTATCGTCTTCAATGGATGAAGTTAAAGGTTTCTCTCTTATTTCTTCACCTGAGGGAGAACAACTGGAGAATTTCTATTCTGAAGACGTCTTTGGTCAAGATGGCAACATACTTTCTTTGGAGCAGTTTTCATCTGATATTTTTAGTTTTGTCTCAACTAAAACGTCCAATAACGAGCATCTTGACCACGAGGTAAGGCATGACCTGAGCGCAAGTAAAGTTTAGGAGATTTATTGGGATAAACATATTTCCTAGTTAAAGCAGGGGCTCAAAATGACAATAAGAGAATGGTCCTTTCTATTGCAAAAGGAAAACTGTGCAGCTATATACACTAATGTAAAGTTCTGTCGTTTTTAGATTTCTGAAGAAGACTTTTCAAAACTTTCGAATGAAGTCGATTCTTTTGAGAACGACTTTTGCAACTGGACTCCATTAACAAACAGGCAGTTGTGAAGCTATTTGAAGAGCATCGGGAAAGATATCGGCTCACTTTAACGGAGAAGAATAATGAAATTCAACATTGGATTCGGAAGTACAAACGGGATACTGAGGTATTACAAGGTATTTTGGAAGAACAAGAACGAGTTGAGGTGTGTATTGCTTTGTGTATAATGATATTGTGATGAAATCTTTCAACTGCTCTCAAAATGCTTACATTTACAGTTCATCAAAATAAAATTTTGCCACCAGAAATTTTTTTTACAAGTAAAATTTTGTTTTTGAGCGTCTTTGAATACTGTTTTTTGTGCGTCAAAATACATGGAAGAGTCATATTTTTGACTTTGCTTATTATGTTTATCCATTTAACTCTATATACTCGTAATTTTGGTTATTTGATTCAAGTACATTGAAAATTATGAAAATTAGCAGTTAGTATTTTAGTATTAAGATAATATAAACTACGTTATGCCACCAAAGGCTTTTACAAGAAAACCAAGCATTGACTGATGTTTCTCGTCCAATTCTTAATGTAAAAGAGAGTTTAAAGAAGAAATGCGAAGGAACTTTTAGAAATTTAAAAACAATAGTTTCTAGGAGTGTGGTATTTTTAAAACAAATCAAAATCGCAAAGGAAATTACCATGCAAAAATTTCAAAATTGGCTTAAACAAAAATTGGTCTTAATGCATGTAAACATTCATTTTCTTATTCTCGATTTTTTGTAGTCTGAAAATCGTGACTCGATAACTCAGCTTCAAAGTGAGATAAATAAGTTGCAACAGAGAAACAAGTTTCTAGAGTCAGAGGTTGAATCGGCCAAAGAACAAGGCGAAGTTGATGTCTGTCTATTAAAGGAAAGATTTCAAAAAGACTTGACGTCTCAACTTCGAAGACAGAGTCGATCATTTTTGGTTGCCGAGGAGAGTGTAAGGTATGTACGGATTTCTATATTCAGTCATCGTAACTTATTATGAAGATGTAAATTGAAACTTATGAAGAAGCATGTTTTAACATACCATCAATGGTGTATATAAGGACTCTAGTTTCATCATCAGATCACTCCTGATGAAGACACTAGATTGGATTATCTAAGAACTCAATATAACACTTCCGATGAAAACGTGTGAATTGGGTTAGTGCGTAAATTTCATGTGACACTTTATTGTTCTCTCTTTTCAACTAGAAATGAACTTACTGAATTGGGAGAAAAATATAATGAGCTGGAAAAGCAAAATCAACAACTTCATCAACAAATGGAAGAGCAACGTGACGAAATAAAGTCATGCCTGACGGGAATTCTTTGTCTTTCTGATGGTGAAAACACCCTTTCCTTGCCAGACGTTCTTGCTTTGTTACAAAACGTTTTAATGGAGAATAAGCGCACTATAGAAGAGCTTATGGAACAAGTGAATGAATATAAACAGGTGAGAGAGAAATTGCGTTCGCCAGATATCGTCGAGGAATATTGTGATGATAACAGTGATGATAACACTGATGATAGACAGAAGGATTATTACCACCACTGTAGACGAGCAAAATGGCAACGTGTCGTTAGAGTAAGTTATGATTTGGTTGGCGACGATTTAGAACCAGAAAACCAACTAAAAATGGACGGGTTTTTGAAACCTTTAGAAGTTGATCCGTGTCTACAAAGGAAAAAACATTCACTTAAAGATAGTTTGGAACTTGCCGACGAACAGCTTGACCATTTACATCGACTTAGTCGTCAAGGATTTAATTCTCTTGAAACGTTAGGTGAAGATAGCTTTGAGGAGATTTATCTGGATGATCAGATTATTGAAAGTGATAGTTTCACGGAGTCAATTACTTCTGACAATAATCGTACTGAAGAAGAAAAAGAATGGGACAAACAATGCGAAAGGAATCATGGCTATAAACAAGTTTTAACTTCTAATGTCCAAGTAAGTCCAAGATTGTTTAAACAATTGTCCTTGGTGTCTCAACCTGATCTTAATCCTACAAATGAAGAATTGGAAATTATCAATAATGAAACAGGGGGTTGTGTTAACTCAGAAAAAAAGGATACCGAAAATGACGAAGTTGATGCCATGATTGTTAGAAACGAACAAAGCATCAAAAATGCTGTTGATAACGATAAAGATATCGACAACAAAGATAAAGATGAAATACATATGATAAATCTATATGGGTCTCTTGTTGATCAGCAGTTTGGTGGCGTCAATTTTATAGGAACGAATGATGGTGGTGCTATTTCATTTGATCATTGTGCTCGATATGATGTTAAGGATAATCAAAGAACTATAGAAGAGGGGTTTCCCAATGGAATACCTAAGGTTATCCTTCAGAAGGATCGTAACCATAATTTTCATGATCTTGTTGGTCAAGACCATCTTACTTTGAAACAAGATATGATTGACCAAGGTAATTACCATCCATCTCAACATGGTAATGAAACTCATCATATTGATGATAATGACGAAGATTCTTGTAGAAATGACGACAATTCCTGTGATCTTAATCGAAATTATTTCACGAAAGACGTCAAATCTGATTGTTCACATCCTGAAATTGTTGTTGATAACGTCAAATTTGATGATTCATATCCCAATGCTGTGGTTGATAACGTCAAATCTGATGATTCATATCCCAATGTTGTAGTTGATAACGTCAAATCTGATGATTCATATCCCAATGTTGTAGTTGATAACGTCAAATCTGATGATTCATATCCCAATGTTGTAGTTGATAACGTCAAATCTGATGATTCATATCCCAATGTTGATAACGTCAAATCTGATGATTCATATCCCAATGCTGTGGTTGATAACGTCAAATCTGATGATTCATATCCCAATGTTGTAGTTGATAACGTCAAATCTGATGATTCATATCCCAATGTTGTGGTTGATAACGTCAAATCTGATGATTCATATCCCAATGTTGTGGTTGATAACGTCAAATCTGATGATTCATATCCCAATGTTGTAGTTGATAACGTCAAATCTGATGATTCATATCCCAATGCTGTGGTTGATAACGTCAAATCTGATGATTCATATCCCAATGTTGTTGTTGATAACGTCAAATCTGATGATTCATATCCCAATGTTGTGGTTGATAACGTCAAATCTGATGATTCATATCCCGATCCTTTGGTTGATAACGTCAAATCTGATGATTCATATCCCGATCCTTTGGTTGATAACGTCAAATCTGATGATTCATATCCCAATGCTGTGGTTGATAACGTCAAATCTGATGATTCATATCCCAATCCTTTGGTTGATAACGTCAAATCTGATGATTCATATCCCAATGCTGTGGTTGATAACGTCAAATCTGATGATTCATATCCCAATGCTGTGGTTGATAACGTCAAATCTGATGATTCATATCCCAATGTTGTGGTTGATAACGTCAAATCTGATGATTCATATCCCAATGCTGTGGTTGATAACGTCAAATCTGATGATTCATATCCCAATGTTGTGGTTGATAACGTCAAATCTGATGATTCATATCCCAATGCTGTGGTTGATAACGTCAAATCTGATGATTCATATCCCGATCCTTTGGTTGATAACGTCAAATCTGATGATTCATATCCCAATGCTCGGTTTGATAACGTCAAATCTAATGATTCGTATCCCAATGTTGTAGTTGATAACGTCAAATCTGATGATTCATATCCTAATGTTGTAGTTGATAACGTCAAATCTGATGATTCATATCCCAATCCTCGGTTTGATAACGTCAAATCTAATGATTCATATCCCAATGTTGTGGTTGATAACGTCAAATCTGATGATTCATATCCCAATGTTGTGGTTGATAACGTCAAATCTGATGATTCATATCCCAATCCTTTGGTTGATAACGTCAAATCTGATGATTCATATCCCAATCCTTTGGTTGATAACGTCAAATCTGATGATTCATATCCCAATGCTGTGGTTGATAACGTCAAATCTGATGATTCATATCCCAATCCTTTGGTTGATAACGTCAAATCTGATGATTCATATCCCAATGTTGTGGTTGATAACGTCAAATCTGATGATTCATATCCCAATGTTGTGGTTGATAACGTCAAATCTGATGATTCATATCCCAATCCTTTGGTTGATAACGTCAAATCTGATGATTCATATCCCAATCCTTTGGTTGATAACGTCAAATCTGATGATTCATATCCCAATCCTTTGGTTGATAACGTCAAATCTGATGATTCATATCCCAATCCTTTGGTTGATAACGTCAAATCTGATGATTCATATCCCAATCTTTGGTTGATAACGTCAAATCTGATGATTCATATCCCAATCCTTTGGTTGATAACGTCAAATCTGATGATTCATATCCCAATCCTTTGGTTGATAACGTCAAATCTGATGATTCATATCCCAATGCTGTGGTTGATAACGTCAAATCTGATGATTCATATCCCAATCCTTTGGTTGATAACGTCAAATCTGATGATTCATATCCCAATGCTGTGGTTGATAACGTCAAATCTGATGATTCATATCCCAATGCTGTGGTTGATAACGTCAAATCTGATGATTCATATCCCGAACCTTTGGTTGATAACGTCAAATCTGATGATTCATATCCCAATGCTGTGGTTGATAACGTCAAATCTGATGATTCATATCCCAATCCTTTGGTTGATAACGTCAAATCTGATGATTCATATCCCAATGTTGTGGTTGATAACGTCAAATCTGATGATTCATATCCCAATCCTTTGGTTGATAACGTCAAATCTGATGATTCATATCCCAATTCTGTGGTTGATAACGTCAAATCTGATGATTCATATCCCAATGCTGTGGTTGATAACGTCAAACCTGATGATTCATATCCGAATCCTTTGGTTGATAACGTCAAATCTGATGATTCATATCCCAATGCTGTGGTTGATAACGTCAAACCTGATGATTCATATGCCAATCCTTTGGTTGATAACGTCAAATCTGATAATTCATATCCTAATGTTGTGGTTGATAACGTCAAATCCGATGATTCATATCCCAATTTTGTAGTTGATAACGTCAAATCTGATGATTCATATCCCAATGTTGTAGTTGATAACGTCAAATCTGATGATTCATATCCCAATGCTGTGGTTGATAACGTCAAATCTGATGATTCATATCCCAATCCTTTGGTTGATAACGTCAAATCTGATGATTCATATCCCAATCCTTTGGTTGATAACGTCAAATCTGATGATTCATATCCCAATGCTGTGGTTGATAACGTCAAATCTGATGATTCATATCCCAATGCTGTGGTTGATAACGTCAAATCTGATGATTCATATCCCAATCCTTTGGTTGATAACGTCAAATCTGATGATTCATATCCCAATCCTTTGGTTGATAACGTCAAATCTGATGATTCATATCCCAATCCTTTGGTTGATAACGTCAAATCTGATGATTCATATCCCAATCCTTTGGTTGATAACGTCAAATCTGATGATTCATATCCCAATGCTTTGGTTGATAACGTCAAATCTGATGATTCATATCCCAATGCTGTGGTTGATAACGTCAAATCTGATGATTCATATCCCAATGCTGTGGTTGATAACGTCAAATCTGATGATTCATATCCCAATCCTTTGGTTGATAACGTCAAATCTGATGATTCATATCCCAATGCTGTGGTTGATAACGTCAAATCTGATGATTCATATCCCAATGCTATGGTTGATAACGTCAAATCTGATGATTCATATCCCAATGCTGTGGTTGATAACGTCAAATCTGATGATTCATATCCCAATCCTTTGGTTGATAACGTCAAATCTGATGATTCATATCCCAATCCTTTGGTTGATAACGTCAAATCTGATGATTCATATCCCAATCCTTTGGTTGATAACGTCAAATCTGATGATTCATATCCCAATCCTTTGGTTGATAACGTCAAATCTGATGATTCATATCCCAATGCTTTGGTTGATAACGTCAAATCTGATGATTCATATCCCGAACCTTTGGTTGATAACGTCAAATCTGATGATTCATATCCCAATGCTTTGGTTGATAACGTCAAATCTGATGATTCATATCCCAATCCTTTGGTTGATAACGCCAAATCTGATGATTCATATCCCAATCCTTTGGTTGATAACGCCAAATCTGATAATTCATATCCCAATGCTGTGGTTGATAACGTCAAATCTGATGATTCATATCGCAATCCTTTGGTTTATAACGTCAAATCTGATGATTCATATCCCAATGCTATAGTTGATAACGTCAAATCCGATGATTCATATCCCAATGCTGTGGTTGATAACGTCAAATCTGATGATTCATATCCCGAACCTTTGGTTGATAACGTCAAATCTGATGATTCATATCCCAATGCTGTGGTTGATAACGTCAAATCTGATGATTCATATCCCAATCCTTTGGTTGATAACGTCAAATCTGATGATTCATATCCTAATGTTGTGGTTGATAACGTCAAATCCGATGATTCATATCCCAATCCTTTGGTTGATAACGCGAAATCTGATGATTCATATCCCAATTCTGTGGTTGATAACGTCAAATCTGATGATTCATATCCCAATCCTTTGGTTGATAACGTCAAATCTGATGATTTATATCCCAATGTTGTATTTGATAACGTCAAATCCGATGATTCATATCCCAATCCTTTGGTTGATAACGTCAAATCTGATGATTCATATCCCAATGTTGTGGTTGATAACGTCAAATCTGATGATTCATATCCCAATCCTGTGGTTGATAACGTCAAATCTGATGATTCATATCCCAATCCTTTGGTTGATAACGTCAAATCTGATGATTCATATCCCAATCCTTTGGTTGATAACGTCAAATCTGATGATTCATATCCCAATGTTGTGGTTGATAACGTCAAATCTGATGATTCATATCCCAATGTTGTGGTTGATAACGTCAAATCTGATGATTCATATCCCAATCCTTTGGTTGATAACGTCAAATCTGATGATTCATATCCCAATGCTGTGGTTGATAACGTCAAATCTGATGATTCATATCCCAATCCTTTGGTTGATAACGTCAAATCTGATGATTCATATCCCAATCCTTTGGTTGATAACGTCAAATCTGATGATTCATATCCCAATGCTTTGGTTGATAACGTCAAATCTGATGATTCATATCCCAATCTTTGGTTGATAACGTCAAATCTGATGATTCATATCCCAATGCTTTGGTTGATAACGTCAAATCTGATGATTCATATCCCAATGTTTGGTTGATAACGTCAAATCTAATGATTCATATCCCAATCCTTTGGTTGATAACGTCAAAACATATGATTCATATCCCAATGCTTTGGTTGATAACGTGAAATCCGATGATTCATATCCCAATGCTTTGGTTGATAACGTCAAATCTGATGATTCTGTTAAGGAAATGAAATCCAGTGCTTTAAATCATGAGTTTGTTGTTGGGGAAGAAGAATTTGACGAATTCCATTCTGATTCTGGAGTAAATCATGACAGATCATGCAACGAAAACGTTCAATTTATAGATAGCCATTCCTTAGAAATTTTCCATTGCTCTTCTCCAGTTTTTGTGGTGAAGTGGACTTTCTAAACGTTTCAGTCAAGAATATAGGCCCCTTACAATTATCTCGTGTGATGGATAACAAAGAATTACAGTCTGAAGTAGTTTTTCCTGATTCTCAAGTGTGTAGTTACCAAGAAAAAGCAAGAGTATCAAATACTAACTCGGGGCTGAAGGTCAATGAAACTGTAAATAGAGTTATTGGAATTTCCAGCGATAGTTCATCTTCTCATGTGGAATGTACGCATTGCAGTGATAACTTTGAAAATTTTAAGAGCAAATTATTGAATAGTGTTTCGGCGAGCCATACCAAAAAGTTGAACAACTATTGCGAGAACTGTCTGCTTCTAAAAGTGAATTACTCAAACTTCAAAACGAAAATCAGAGATTGAATGATATTTGCAATGAGCATGCCGTTTATTTTGCTAAATATTCACAAACTTTGAAAAGTAAAAACAAAGAATTGCGTGAACTTAAGTTGAAAAGTCGTATTGTACAGACGGAAGTTGTGTGGTTAAGACACGCTCTTGGAATAACAAGAAATTACCCTGAAAATTAGAAGTATTTCTGTCATTAACGTGCATTGTTAATATCTGTATAATTTGTAAGTAAAATAGACTAGTTGTATAAAATATGTACAAAAAGTTTTCTTGTCAACACTTTATAGCTGTAAATATGTTTAAAAGTTCTCTCGCATGCACAATCATTATAAATATGTTCAAAAAGTTCACTTTAGCCACAATTATTTTCATCAAAGTTGCTGATGATAAAAGTTGTCAAATATCAAAATATTATTGTTAAATAAAGTAATCCAGCAAATAAAGTGAGTTTAGTTCAAATGTCTTTTGGAAAAAGGTAAGTGATATAATTATAAAACTGCATATAAAGTTAGTGTGACCTGCGTTTTTTTCTGATAAATTTGTAAAAGAACAATTCTTGGTGGATTGGATCTATTGGAAAAATTATTTAGAGCTATTAAAGTTACCATCTGTACTTAAATATGGTTTACTTTATAGGTTTCGTCCTGTGTTTAAATTGAAGCGATAAGGAATATTATGTTTGTGGACTTTTATCAAGTAATTTTTCCATTGTTAATTGACAAACGCTAGTATACGATGTATGTACTATGAGATGATAATTTATGAACAGGTTACTCAGTCAATAGTCTTGTATTTTTATTGTAATTCTTTTTCAACAGGTCTGTTCCTTTTCACACTCCGTTTATGGAGTATGTCAACAATTTTGTGTTCTTAATCGACATCACAAGCGTCTTGAACTCTCCCGCAAAAACTTGCCTTGAGACTAAAGCGTTGGGTGTTTGAAAACCTTTTAGAAAAGCAGATGTTTGTTTACTTGGTTTTCTGAACAGGTGAGAAAAGTTGCATCAAAATTTTTTTAATGCAAAAATTATTTTCCCATTTCGTATTATGTTATCATAGACAAGAAGAATTTTAGCATTTTTGAAAACTTTCTTTGTGGACTGAAGATGGAAAAGGAAATCTATGAAAGTTCGAATGCAATGTCTTCTCATTCCCAATCACAGGTGTTGGAAACGGATCTAGTAATGAAAGAAAAGGTATTTAGAAATATATATGTAAAAAAATTTTAACTCATAGACGTTGCAGCTCTTCAAACGTAGACAAACTAGTTTAATTGCTTTGGAAGAAAAATTTGGCAGGTTTGATTGTGATAAATATTTCAATAAGTAGTGGCGTCTCTTCGTGTAAAGAGAAAATTTTGAAATGTCATTGAAGTGAATAGTCATCGATTTTTCTTTGAGACCAGGTTGATTGCAATTCTTGTAAGTTTCATCCGTGTTTACTTCAATTATAGTAACGTTAGCAATATCATCCTGTTAGTTTTATTATGTGCAGAAGTATAATATCTGTATGATTTACGTTAGGAGAAAAGATTTTTGAAAGACAACACGACGAAGAAATCGAATAAAGTTGTTTTTCCAAAAGGTAAACTCAATATCAGGAGATATCTGATGTAGAAAAGATAAGGCTCTGATTGTTGAACATTACTGAAACACTTCTTTGATTATGTTTACTTAGATCAATGGATGAACTTCAACAAGAAAAAAGTGGAAATTCAAAAAAACTAAGTTCGCTAAAGGACCATCTTAAGAATGCAATGAAAAACGACGAAACACAAAACAATGTCAGAACTATTGAGAAAATTCGAAGAAAAAACGAACAGCTGTCAAAGTGTTTGAAGAAGAAGACGGTTCTTGTGGTCGCTTTGGAGGAAGAAAATACCATTCTACAGTTTAATTTTGACACAAAATTCCATCATTTAATGCGAAGGTAAATGCTGTCTGCTGCTGAGTAAAGTACTTAAATTCACAATTAGATTATTCCTGAAGTACACATGAGCTCATGTTTCAACATCAGATCACTCCTGATGAAGACACTATATTTGAGTATATAAAGATTCAAATTTCAACATCTGGTCACTTCTGATGAAGATACTACATTTGAATATACAAGGACTCAATTTTCTGTATTTATAGAAGTCAAGTACTCGCCTTTTTTACCCATAGATAGGTAGAGACCATTTTTACAAAAAAATAATTGTTTCTATTCCAACAAAGATTTGTGTGTTTCAACTTTTTGCAGACATTCATGCATTTTATAATATTTCATATTTTACCCAGGCAATAATGCTCAAAAGGTTTTCTCAAAATCTTCAACATTGGATTAAGTGGGCAGAAAGTTTAGGCTCTAGTTTGTTTGTTTTTTTTTGTTAGACTGAATGAAAGCCGACTTGAAAATAATAAAGAATTGAATGAAGCCAGACGCGCAATTGCAAACTGTGAAATAAAACTTGAAGCAAGAGATTGGCGCATAGCCATGTTAGAGAATGAAGTTCAACTACTCTCTACAAAGCAAAGTGAATTGGAAACATCTTTTCAGCGTTAAAAATGATGAATGTATGGTTATAGGATCAAAAATTGCTGCCAAACAAAAAACGTTTGAATTTGAAGCAAACTATGATCAAATGTATACTAAACAATGTATACTAAAGAAAGAATACCAAGAAAAGAATGTTATAGTGACTGAACTGGAAGCACAACTTGAGAATTCTGAAAAACAAAAAGAAGCACTTTGGAAAGAATTATATAATGCCAAAGAAGCTTTAAGACAAAGTAAACACGATTTTTTTGAGCTGCAAAAGAATTATTTTCATCACTTAGTGAATCATGAGGTATTTTTTCAAGAGGTACGGCTATATCTGCTATGTTAACAGAATACTTACATCCGTTGGATTAACCGAATAATTATCAAATGGATTCCCTGGGTAGTTGGATCGGTCATTTCAGATAAATGATTATGGACGAAAATTATTTTTTATGGAAAAACACTGATATTCAATGAGGATCATTTCTTATTCATTGTCACTGCTAAAGTAAATTTAAACATCAAATGTCATTGAAACACCATTTCAAAGTATTTTTTTTCTTTTTAGGTGATGATGAAAGATGAAGCCATTGAACGACTCGAATCTTCAGCTCAAGCTTTTCAATCAGAAATTAAGACTTTAACGAACGAGTTGTCCAGAAACGAGTCGGCAAGCGAATTACTTAAAAAACACAAAGACGCCATGGACAAAAAACTCCGAAGATCAGAAAACAGATTATTAGGAGTGGAAGCAATAATTTTGAATATCCAAAATAACTATGAGAATATCTTGAAAGAGCACAAAGAATTCCTGGATCAAATTAACGATAGAAATAAAAATAATTCTTTCCTAAACGAGAAGATGACAGACTTGGAATTGAAATACGAGGAAGCTTGTGAACAGATAATTGAGTTAAGAAAACGACTTGAGGCTGTTTCCTTGAAACTTGTGCGGTTTGAGGAACGTTTTGGTGAGAATTCTGACGGGATCAGGGAAACGGAGAAAAAGCTTATGAGAGTAAAAGAAAATAAGCAAGAGTCGAAATTGCACTGTGATGTTTTGGACGGAGAAATGAATGAGTTGTATAATGGGCTTCAACTTTCCGAAACACAGGTAAATACTAAGTAGAGCTTTGATTTAGGTAATTAGGTAGATGGAGGAAAGTAACAGCGTAGATTGGATTACGTGATAACGTGTATTGAAGAAGCTAATAGCGTGTATATAAATACCAATAAGTGGGGTAATAGCTCTTAAAACCTTACTTATTCTAGTTTAGTATTTCATATTAGTTATCACACATAGAAATGTGATTTTTTGAGTACGTCTAACCACATAGCTGCACTTCTGAGGCCGAGTCTGAAGCCAGACATTTTTATTCTTTTTCATAGATCTCTTCTGACCAAAACAGGAAGATGATAGATCTTGAATCAAAAAAAAATTTGAGCATTTTACAAATTGCAAACAAAGAACCTGATGACCAGCAGATGAGTTAATATCGTCGAACAAAGATCTTTTGTCAGATGAAAGGCAGTCACAAATGGCTGTCACTAAAGCACTATCTACAGTGAAGCTTGTTAAAGTTGTGACGCTGCAGGTGCAGATGGAACAAACCAAAGTTCATATGAAGATTACCTTCAAAAATAATAAACAGGTAATCAAAGAGAAGTCCAAAAAGATTGAAAACGCAAAACTTCGTCAAGAGGTGAATGTCAAGGACTTTTTCTGTTTATGATGGTTAGATCTGTTCCTTAACTTTCTTTTTAGGTAAAACAGGGGAGTTTTATACAACGTTGTTTCAGGCGTTAACTTAAACTAAGCTAGTGTGTTTTGGATCATTTTTATTTCAAACATCAGATCATTCCTGATTAAGATCTGGAATGGATTATATATTTTTGTTCACTTTTAAAAACCTGTTTATTCTCTTTATTGTTCTAGATTGAGGACAAATTATCTGTTGTGAAAGGAAGTCAAAATGAAACTTATAGAAAAAACTTTCCTCTCAGAAATGAAATACAACCAGTGGTGACAACAACTGTGGACACAGGATTAAACCCGTGTGAACATTTGCCGTTAAAAGCATTATTTCCAAAAGATATAAATGCATTTAAAAGAATGGAAAAAAGAAAAGGACAAGAAATAAAATCAGTACAAATAATCTTTTTTGAAATTTTTATGGGTGAATTGAAAAAGGATTCGCTCCATCGAAAATTTTTTTCCAATGAAATTCGTTCAAAAAAACTGTTACCCCCAAGAAGTGAACCAGAAAAAACGACATCCACGCAAACATTCATCATTAAAACAAACGGTCGATCTACGTCATTAAGTTATTATGATGTCATCAATCCCAGTCCATCAAAAGAGGGTCGCCTTATTCATCCATAATTGGAAGCTTTTCAATGGCTGAGAAAGTCCAACGCCCACCAAGGTTACATTTTGTTACGTATTTTTCAACATCATGATATTTGTTTTGTGATAATACATCAAGTCGTAAACTTTTTTAGTTCAGTTTTATCGAGGGTGACTTTGAACAATGAAGTACAATCGACTACATATGCTAAAAGAATTTTTTTCTTGCAGTAGAGTACAAAAGACTACGAGGAGCAGCGAAATCACTACGTTAGAGTTCGAGCACAAGGCGAAAACTCACGAATCTGAAATTGTTATAGTTTCGCCAAAGACTCCTGTGGAATGTTGCGTTAAAAAAATTTCAATGGTTAGTTTAAAATTATCACTCGCAGCTAGTAATACGACTACTCATCAAATTTCTCTCCTGTGAGACGAAGAAAAAAAATGCAATTTAAAATATAAAAAAAAAACAAAATTTGAAGTAAGCTCATGCGAAGACAAGAAGGGAGAGATGTTGATAAGATATTAATAAAAGACATACTTTTCATAGCGAATTTCTTAATTTCTTATTTAATCGAATATCTTAAATATATCCGATTCTTATCGATGTTTTTACATTAAAAAAATGTCGAATGTGATGTAACATATAATAAATTTTATTGAAACAAAAAAGTATCATTTCTTCCTAATGACGTCATCACCTATGACGATCTTTCAACACTGATTGTCATGTTTTAGACATAGTTATTTCATATTTCATTTTAACACAAGAAGTTTTTGTACTTTATACAAGTTTTGTCTACGTATTGTTATCACCGTATGAAATCGTCAAATAATGCTGCACAAACACATGTAAACCATGAAAACAACATTATAAACTAAACCATTTTATTGTTATTATTCCAATAAACAAATGTTTCCAGCTTCAAGAAGCTCTAAGATATTAAAGTAGCATTTTTTTAAGTACTCTAAAACTCTATAAGTTTCTAGTAAAACATAAAAAAAACTTCAGTGATCTTATATTGAATAGCGAACTATACAATAGAGAAAACAACCATTCCATTTGTTCACGAGTCATTCTTGTGTGTGGTGGATAGATTAAGCTAGAAGTGTTAAATTACAACGAAAATACGCAATACAGTTCATCATCGCTAACGTCACAGTAAGGAAATAATGCTGCGTCAGACTTACTTTGTATCATCATTTATGGCACAGTTTTCAAACGGCAAAATTTTTTGACTTACTATGACATCACCATAGTAAATATTCACACCTTGAGAAGTTCAGGCTATTAAGAAAACCTGGAGCGAATATATACCAAATATGGCCAACAGTCAGTTGTCACATGACCATTGTTTTTTAAATACGATGGAATTATCTTTGTTTGAAACTACCGACGAAGGACTGAACTAACTTCGGCTGCTTCATACGAATGGTAAGTAATTTTGTGGTTGAAAATGTGGATGAAATAGGTAGAGTATACGGTTTTACACAATTTGACTTTTACGGCTATTGATGTATTTCAATATTTATTATTAGATGATTTCGAAAACGTTTCATTTTCTCGATAGGCGCTATTTTATATACGCCGTAATCATTTCCTTTTTATTTACATTTTTCTGTTGTCCCTTAATTCGTGATTTCTTCTATGTATGTACAAAAAACTTTACACGAAAGAGTCGATTGCCAAGTATTTCGCTTTTGCATGTTGTAATTTCAATGAGTGTTTTAAATTTTAGCCAACTTGTAGTCAAATGAGTAGATAAATATCTAAAATTATACATTTCTTGTGGTTTTAATAGGGCAGAGAAATTTTCTGTGGGGGCGAAAGTAAATGTTTCATTGTATAGAATCACACAAAATCTTATCGTATTTTCGTTTCTAGAACAACGAACAACATGTTGAGAAGACGGCTTGCTTAAGCACAAGCGCCTGGCAACCGACATATAGGATAGTGAAAATTTAAAAACAGTGTTTCATTGTATTTTATGCACAAGTGACAATGTACTGAAGAGAGTAGTCTTGTGAACATAGCATTTGCAATGAGTGACACGGAAAATTCAAAAGCAGAAAAATCCATTGACAACAGCGAAACTCCGAAAAAACGTCGTTTTCGTGAGTCAGTAAGAAATGTCTTTGGACGGAATGGAAGAAGTAAAAATACTGAATCGACAACCAACGTTAAGCCTGTAAAAGAAAAAGATGGCAATCATGGATCATCATCTCAAACTGGAAAAAACAGTTCGGAATCAGTGTATGTTTGTCCTGTATGTTATGTAGTTAAACCTCAATCAATGTTTCCTGAAATTTCAACATGTGAACACAGAACTTGTGGTGAATGTTTGAAACAGTACATGACTATTGAAATCAATGAATCTCGAGTTAATTTAACTTGTCCAGAATGCTCCGAGAAATTTCATCCCAATGATATCATGCTTGTTCTAAATGATGCCACCTTAATGAATAAATATTACGACTTTACTCTACGTCGAGCACTCGTTTCGGACCCAGATTGTCGATGGTGTCCAGCACCTGACTGTGGTTATGCAGTGATTGCTACTGGTTGTGCTAGTTGCCCAAAGCTGACCTGTGAGCGTGAGAAATGCAAGACAGAGTTTTGTTACCATTGCAAACAAATATGGCATCCCAATTTGACATGTGATATGGCCCGTCAGAGACGAGCTTCAAACATTCGTAGTCTTCCCATACATGATAGCAAAAGTCTGTCCGGTGAAGAAATGAAGGCCTGTCCTCGCTGTGGTGCGTTTATCATAAAACTAGATGATGGTACATGTAATCACATGACCTGCTCTGTCTGTGGTGCAGAATTCTGTTGGTTGTGTATGAAGGAAATAACAGATTTACATTATTTGAGGTATGTAATATTTTGTGCACATTGTTTGTATCCTTGATCGAATACTCTATAACTATTACTAATGTAAGAGATAGAATTGTAATTTTAACTGACGTAGAGTGCATCTGCAGAATTCATATTATTATCCTCTATCATGCAATCAGTGATCTTAAAAATAATATCTCATTTATAATTTTAATATATTAAGGTAGTTTAGGATAAGTTTTTGGGCTTTCCTCATTCAAGTTACGTACTAGGTATGTTGTCAGTGACATGAAATGAACTCAAAGCAAACTAACTCAGCAATTTCTTGCAAATATGTAGTTACATGTTATAATACAGGGGCAATTTGTGATAATTTTTGTTGTTAACACCTGCTCGCTTCTTGGCCAACTGCTGATTGGTGTTTAAAAACAACATTCTCATTTCAGTAATGTAGCATAAGAATCAAGAATAATATATTCTTTGATCAATGTGTTTTTCATCAGACATTTGTTAAAATGAAGTTCAATCACGAATCAAAATTAGTGCCTCGTTAATTTTTTAATGATCAATAAAAAGCACCCCATATATAAAAGAACAAGCTGCTTTCATGTTGCTATAGTTATATCAATGCTTTACTTAACTGTGATCAATTACTAAAACTTTTCATTTCCTTTTCGTTTAACATCACTGCAAATTTTGTTGATATTTTTCAACTATTCCTTACCGTTTCTTTTGGTGATATTGCAATTTTTATGTTCATTCGAAATTATGCTATTACCAATGACAACGACAATATTTACGTTATCAAAAAGTTTTTGTTGAAGGAGGTATTATCGCGAAAAACGTATGTGTATCGTCTAAATTCTACAAAGATCACGTTGCTTGATTTAATGATTTGAAACTAAAAATATTGAATGTATTGTTTTGGGTATTGTGTGAACCGACTGGAAACGTGAAAGTATTTTAATTTATTGTGTAAATTTAGAAAGTAGCTAGAGGGAGGTTTTTCAATTTAAAGTTTCGAAACATTTACTGTAGTATTTCTCTTTAACAAATGACACAATTTTATTATGTACATCAGATAGTACAAAGTACTATGGAGAAATTTAATTTATTTGAAACTTTAAGTTCTTTGATTTGTTCTTCGATTTACTTTTATATTGCCCTGAATTACCTCCCTCGACATTTGAAAGGAAATATTATGGCACTCGTAATGCAAAAATTGTATTATTTCTCTTTCCTTGATTAGCGCTAGATTTTTTCTAGTTCTTTCTTTATTATTTGAAGTGCGTGAAATATTTTAGCGAGATCAAACTATTATGGCATGAAAGAAGAATTGTGCTATGTTCTATTTTTTGAATGCCAACCGCTACGGTTCATGGTTGGAAACTCAACACTCCCACGCTGTCATTATTCAAAAATTGTCTGTTGTTTTCCCTGATATACTTTGCAAACGTATACTAGAATTTTAACATTGATGAGAAATGATATTATGAATTATAAATACTCTATATTTCATTTATTTTATTCCTCCAACGTATTTAATGTGCGCCTACGTCGCTACGAATGATCAATTATATGTGTTCTGTCAAACTGACGATTCCATAAAAATATCAACTAGACAAAACATGAATGAAACATTTTTGAACTTGATTTAAAGACTGCATAGCTCTTTTGATTGCCACGTTTAAATTTCGTGCATCGATTGTTCGTGATGAAGGCAAAGTTTATGAACTCGTCATTGTTTTGCCTCAGGGTTGTATTTAATGACTACTGTGGGATAAAAATCACACCTCTGTATAGTCTGTAAATTTCACGCAAACTACTATCTTACAGTTGCGTTCATTTGTATGAAAATCTCAATTAAATCTTTCATTAATCATTAAAGACGTCAGTACTCAATATTGTTGGTCAAGCATTTAGGTGGTCTCAATAGACAAGAGTAAGGGCTTGATAGAAAGTACTAGCAAGATCATAGTTTTATTGCAATCTTATTGTGCTTTTGTTATTAAAATTCTCATTATTATTTTTATTATATTTTACTTTGTAATCAATTGCCTCTTCCTGATAGACAATACGACCTCCATGATGATATATTGGTGTAGACGCCCACTATAAATGTCTTGTGAATGTTGAAATAAGATTTTTATTTATTTTAATTCAAAGTCCGTCTGGTTGCACGTTTTGGGGCAAGAAACCATGGAGTCGAAAGAAAAAGATCCTCTGGCAAATGGGAACATTGATTGGCGCCCCTTTGGGTATTGCCTTAGCGGCAGGTGTCGTTCTTCCCGCAATGGTAATTGGGATACCAGTCTATGTTGGTCGTCAGGTTAGTCTACTTATAAAGAGTTGTGAACAAGAGGAAAATTTACGTTTATTTTTAAATTTTCATTAGTTACTCTCTGCCAAGATGTTTTTTTTTGATTGCACATTTATAGCAACAATATTAGAACTGTTCTGTTTTTACGTACTTTCCATTGTTGAAGACAGGAGTAATGTTGATTTACATCAAAATTGATTTCCCATTGTTTCAAATACCATAATATATTAATGAATTAAAGCAGAAGTATAAGGAATGACAAATTTATTTCAAACTATTCTCTTTATTCAAGTATTGTTATTAATTTTTGCTTTAAACTCATTTCAGATGCACGAGAAATACAATCGACCGTTACACACGAAAAGAAAGCGAAACATTGCTATCATCGGCGGTGTTACCCTCTCCATCCTTGTCTCCCCAATGCTAGCTGCCCTCACAGTAGGTGTAGGGGTACCTATTGCCCTCGGGTATATTTACGGAGTTGTACCCATTTCCCTTTGCCGAAGTGGAGGATGTGCATCCGTGACTACGCTTAAGAATGGTCGAGGTGTGAATCTGGAGCTGGACTCTGATGGTGACATTGTTGCCAATCATACAGATAGGTCTGTTGCAATGGAAGCAAGCTCTGTTGTGGAGGAAAATCATGATGGTGTTGTAACTGTAGTCGCTACAGTTAACACAAGAACACCAGGTTTGTCCAAAAAAGCATTATAAAGAATGATGAGTAAAACAATTAATAAAGTAAATGGTTTTAATCCAGGAGTATCGTTACATGTTTGTAGATGTAGATCGTCCAGGTTAGTAGAGTCTGAGATGGGCTGTTGTTGTTGATGTTGACTGACGTTTCTACAACCAATTGTTGTTAAGTGTATCCCAGTCTGTCATAACATCTCGGGCATTTATAGATACGATGGTTTTGTATCATATGATACGTTGGAAATCTTGGAGTTGCTTTGAAATTACAATAACGCATAAAACCGTACATGTAGAATATCAATATTGTATGGTTTTGAAGGAAATGTTGAGAATTTGTTATGTTAGAGTTCAAGGTTTGACTCACACTCATTCGTATTTGAGGTCAAGAAAGTATTTTTATTTTCTACCAACAGTTTTATCACACGAGTAGCTCTAACTTTAATGTAACTTCTGGTAACTTTTCAATCGAACTTTCAGACGCAGATAGTGGGAAGCAGCCAAGCGTTAGCCTAAGTCAAGAATGTTCTAGTCTCTCTAGTAGCAATATAGAACATGGAGGTCGTGACGATACTGGATCTATGATTCCAGGACCACGCAGCTGTGCAGTAAGTATAGCTAGCAGTATTGAAAACTTGAACTTGACGGAGAACCCAAGTCCGTCACTCGCTGAAAATGATCACGTGAGCACGAGCAGTAAGGCGTCTAGCCAATCATCGCTTAAAAAAGTTGTCCAACTGAAGGTGGCTAGTGAAAATGTTGATGGCGACCAGTTGTCCACTATTGTGGCTCAATCGTGAAAGAATTCTTGAAATAAAAGAAAATTTAAAAGATTTAAACTTTGACATTGAGTATTTCATAATGAAACGTGCCTTCATTATGTTAGTTGTGTTAAGAATACGATATACGTGTATTATACAGAAATTAACTATCTTAATGTGTAGGACTTTACAAAACCTAATGATTTTGTACAAATAACTCTTGTGTAGATAATATAAACTGTTTTCATTTGTGTTTATTTTTGGCATTGAATTAATGTAAATGCCTTTGGGACTGTATAATAGTGAAGTGTTGTTGAGTCAAGTATGAGTTCCTTGGAAAATGTTTTGATGGCCATTTAAGCATTCAGCATTATTTTTACACCTTAATGCTATGAAAATATTTCTTACCAAGAGTAAACTTGCCAAGTTTGTAATGAATGACTTTAATTCATGGGTATTGGCTTAAAATTTACGCAGGATTTTTAGTTACGAAATCTTAAGAAGTATCTTTTTACGTTAGAATGATTTGTGTTAAAAATTTTGAAACTTCTGATTTGCACGTTTGGAATTATAGCTCAGAATTCATTTGTACTAACCCCGGGTCTAGCTTTTCCACCTCTCACCAAACTCCTTCGCAGTTCTAACCCCGTCAATATGCCCCCGATATTGATTACCGGATTTTTACACCAGAAAATTATTCCCCAGGCCCAAGTACCGTAAATGCTCGAATAAGCGCCCGGGGCGCTTATTTAATTTTTGGAGGCGAGAGGGGGCGCTAATTCGAAGGGGGCGCTTATTGAAGGGGGCGCTTATTTCATTTTCGGATTTTGACGTGAAAATGACACTGGTATTTTTATTTCTTGTGACCTTAACTGTAACATAAGTATGAAAATTTTGAAAACGTTAACATTCTAGAAAGCAACATTAACATTTTGTGAAACTTGAAATGTTCTCCAAGCGATTTCCTGGTGCCCGTTAAAAGGGCATGTGTATTGTACAATGCGTTTAACATCGTGAAATGTTTTGTATATATAAAGAAAGCCTGCCGTTAATGTTCAGCGGTTGTCTTCAATTTAACACACAATGAAAATAGTACTGACATTGTTTATGCTATATCGCGTCTTTCGCTAACCATTTGATCCTTAATCAATCTCAATTTCTGTATCGCTGTCATCAAGCAATGTTGACACAGGAGCAGCATCTTCAACATCTGATAGCGTGATATCCTGAAAGGATCATTCTCCAGTGTTTGCTGAAGTTGCTGCTGAACTGCCTTCAGTTGTGCCAGGCCAGAATGACAAGGTTGACTCGGCTTTAAGCAGTGTATCAGCTCATCTTGAGAACCGTCGACAGCAAGTGTCAGCGCACAGCACTTGAAGGAGTTAACAATAATGTCCTTATCCAGATCATTCCATGCTTCAATGATCCACTGGACAATCTCGCCTAGGAGGAGCTCGCATGTTCCCTGCTGCAGTAAACGTGTGTTGACCATTTGCCATCCACTCGTCATATCTCTCAGTCACTTTGGCTTTGAATGGTTTGTTCCACGATACATCAGGCGCTTGGATATATTTCGTACACCCCAGGTATAATTACAGGATCTATCTTTGCGCGATTGAGCTCTTGTTTAACGCTGTCTAAGACGTGGCATCTAAAGAATCCTGCCAGCATCCGTCTGGTGAACGAAAACTGGCCCAAGACACTTTTAACCCAAGAAACGGTTAGTTCTTCATTCATCCATCCATTAATCGAGGACGCTACGACACACTTTGTTCTGAATTCCTCATTCAGTGCTTTCGACTCTCTTGGCACCTGGAAAACGATGAACGGCTTTAGTTTGGTACCGTCTCCTTTGCAGTCAAACACACTGAAACCTTCGTTTTTCATGGCCAGTTGTTTTCAATCGAATTGTGCTTTCGCCAATGTTGTCGACCGTGGTATTGATACCATATCTTGCCATACTGCTGTCTCATCCATTGCAATGATATCCCTGTCTTGGTAAGCGATTTTTACGTTGCCGGCGAATCTGCAAAACATACGCTATGAGTTTGTCTATCACTTTCTCGGGTCCTTTTGTGATTCAGTGGTTTTGCGTCTGATTGCCAAACCATGTCTTGACATGAACCGCTGTAACCAACCGGAACTGGCAAGAAACGATGGTGGCATTTCCTTCTCTTTGCATTTCTCGTTATCGAAAATTTTGCTTTGCTTGCGATCATTTTTCTGGAAACACGAAGGCCATTGGAACGGCGCTCATGTACCCACTGTAATAATGCTTCTTCTAGGTCTTCATCGAATGGCTTTCGTCCGCCTCCTTCAAGCCGCTTTCTTGCTGCTAGTATCTTCCAATTTGCTTTTCTTTGTCGCCATTCTCTTACTCTCTTGCGGTCGACACCAAACTTTGCTGCGGCTTTTCGGTTACTGTTACACTCTTCGGCAAATTGAACAGCCTTAAGTTTAAATTCGTTAGAATAAGAAGAGTTCTTCAATCCTGCGTGCGATGTAGATGCTAGAGTTATACTTTCGTCCATGATGTCAAAGGTAAGCATGCTGTAATGCGAGAAGGCCGGAAAAGACCTCCCATGAGAAGATCACATTGTATCACGTGCTACCAAACACGTGTGTGACATTCATCTGCTGTTTACAACATGGCGCGTTCAAGCTATACCTTTACTTGGCAAATGGTTTACGAAATAGAATTTGCGTCTGTGATAAGAGGACACCATGTTTATAAAGCTGAATGGTCACCACAGCTTGAGAACGGCTAGTGTGTCGGAAAGACGATCGAAAGGAGGCTAAAGAGCACGATGAATATGCGATTGGAACATTTATTCAAGACAGTGGCAAGCTGGTTGGACATGCGCCCATTGAACTTTCCTTCCTCGTGTTTACATTTTACGAGCTCATGAGGATAATGCGGTGGAGGTAAAAGTAACTGGAAAAGAAAACTTGAAAACGGCCTAGTTGTTCCAGGAACTTTTAAAGCAGTAACACGAAGCCGGCGACTGGGAGCAAAGTTTAACGAGGAACTTGATAAAGTAAAGCTCCTATGTGCCCACATGGATATTGAAATCAAGCAAATGAGAAGCAAACCTCTGAAGAACATTGATTTTGAGTTCTAACGAATGTCCGTTACCGATGTAAAAAATTAAAAATACTGTGTATCGAACTGAGTACCGAAGTTCATCTTTTATCGGGGGAAGGGTGGGGGGGTTGGGGGCGCTTATTTGAGAGGACGCTTAGCAAAACCCGTCTTTTCTCGAGGGGGCGCTTATTTCAAAATTTGAGTCCTAGGGGGCGCTAATTCGAAGCGGGGCGCTTATTGGAAGCTGGGCGCTTATTCGAGCATTTACGGTAATTATCAATGATGCAAATATACGAGTAATTGTTACCGCCTTAGTATCGCTGTATTGTGCAATAACTTAGCTCATATATTTTTTTTATTTATATTGATTCATGGCCAATTTAACGTTAACCGGTGAGAATTTATATATGAGTGTTAATGAAGAAGCTTTCATAAAGAGTGCTTTCATAAAGAAGCTTTCATAAAGAGTGCTAATGATAAAGCTTTCATAAATGCCCAAACACTATAGTTTTGTACGATCTATTTTAGGAAAATACCTCAATTTTTTGTGGAGGATTGTTAACTTGCAAACGTTTCCAATAGCTATTGGTTATCTGGTCATGATTTTCTTGTCCCCTGTGTGGAGAAAGACAGTGCGACCACTTAAGCTAAATTTGGTAAGACTTTAGTTAAATTTTTTGTTCATGAATCATGCATGCATAAGTTAGATGAAGGAATTGTATGAAATTATTATTAATGAAACTGATTACTGATGTTACCAATAACTTTTATTATTGTTTTTAGCTCATGGTAATATATAATTTCTCATGCAGCATATTAAGTGCATATACTGTTGCACAATTTGTCATGGTGTTTGTGAAGTCAAAGGATTTGTTTGATATGAACAACCATGAATCTCTGAAACTTCCTATGTTTGTGTATTGGTTGACAAAATGGATTGAACTATTTGATACTGTTTTGATGATTCTTCGACATAAGGAGAGGCAAATATCTTTCCTTCATGTATGGTTTGATTTCAATTTTGCATTTCAATAGCTATAAAAGTTTTTAGACGTTGGTTATTTTTGATCTTTTAAAATAAAAGTGAGGAAATCTTACATTTTGTGAAATATATACAAATAGTTATTCGTCTCTTTCATGTTAAATTTTGTAGCTTTTCCATCAAATGTAGACACTTCAAAAGTGAGTGTCAGCTCCAGAAAGTAGAACACTCTCTTTTTTGGTTGATATGCTAAACTGAGCATGAGGGGTGAAATTGAGAAATAGATCTTTTTAGGTTAAAATACATGCCTTGATTCGAATTAGTTTTAAGACTCAATTTTCTAATTTTGCACTTCTTGTCTAATATGAAGTTTCTGATTTTTTTCCTTTAATTTTTAGGTGTACCATCATTGCTCTGTTTTAATCTTAAGTGATATGGCATATCACTCTTATCAATGGCCGCCTGTGGGCTTTGTTCTATGCATGAATTCATTTGTCCATGTTTTTCTTTACATGTATTATGGACAGTCTGCATTATTTCCTGGTGAAAGACCTTGGTGGAAGAGGCGCTTAACACAACTTCAAATTTTGCAGTTTCTTGTTGGTTTAGTTCATCTGACTTATGGTTATTTTTACTATGGATTTTGCCTGTTTGGACCATTTTATGCCCTGACTATGTTTGGTTTGTTTTCCAATTTCTATTATTTCGCTTTTATTTCAAAAAAATCTTTAAGTAAAAAGAAAGTAAGTTGATATGATAAGTGGAAGCACTACAGTAATTATTACTTGAAAATGTTAAGTCGAAAATTACTATTTATGATGATCTTTTTAATGTTTACTCTTTGTACTCATATGATAAAAAAAGTTATCGCAACTAGTAATTTGCTATATTTTGAAGCATTCTTGACAAACTCAAAAAGTGTTGATCGCTTATTTGTAGTATTTTCAATGACGCGGGAAAATCTCCGCCCCTTGCAATTGGTTAGTTCCACTTAGTTCCGTACAACGGATATTCGTAAATTAAATTCCGAAACGGAAGTGCAAAAACGGGTGACAATATTCCATATAAAAATTTCCAAACTTCTGTTTCGACAATTTAGTTAAAAAAATTTTTAAGAGAGTTTTTTGTATGTTCACTTTGTCTTCTTAAACTGATTAGCTGATATGGTGTCTGGAAAAAATTGCAAATATGAACGAGAGTTATCATTCGACATGTTTTATTCATGTTTTTTTTCTAAGGAATTGCAGGAATTCTGCGCGAGGGGCGCTTCCTGGGATACGTTGGCGGAATACACAAGCATATACAAAACAATAAATAGTTTGTGAATTTAATATTTACACTTCGTGAAGATTGCTCTTTTTGTAAAGAGAGAGACAGAGATATGGCTTCTGATACATTCGAGGTTCTGCTTCAAGGTGGTTCTCCTTGGGGTTTTCGCTTGCAAGGAGGAAAAGAATTTGGAGCGCCACTTTTGATAGCAAGAGTGAGTGTACTAAATGGTGTATGTTTAGATGGCAGTAACTATGAGTCTAACCTACCTTAACCTTTTTAAGTGAACATATTGTAATACAGTTTTGATAAGTCGTGCTTGCTTCATTTAAATCTAATGTGTATTTTATCGCCGTGAAGTCATTTCGCTTAACAGCTATAGTGTAACATGAGACAAATTTAAACGGCATTTTTAAACTGAAAGGTTGATGTCTAGACGACTGTCTATGCGATGTTCTTATTTATTTTATCTTTAAGTTTTTATTTCGAAAGTATTGCCACCAAGAAAGACGAAAATTTCAAGGAATTATCCCAAATGTGTATTTATGTTAAAGCTGTAGTTACGGCTATTTAGTTTTAAAACTTTAAAGCCGTTATCCTAAATTTTGAACATTGGTACAACCGTATAATTATTTGATATTTCCACGGTAATTGTGCCATATTTTGTTTTTACTTTTCGATTTATTTGCTATATAAGTCTTAAGATGGATGAATAGTTCAAAACATCATAACATACAACGTCAGAAATGAAAAAATAATTTGATAAATTTTACGAACAAAATATCCAAGTACTCTTCACTTAATTGCTTTGAGGAATTTAGCTTTGATTAATATTGAGCGAGAAATGAGCGAACACTTGTTAATACACTAGCTTTCCCAACGTGATGTTGATATGACTATACCTTCTACATAGCTATAAAAGCGATAGTTGTTTATTTTCTTTCGTTAACAATTCTAAAAGATATTTTCTAACGAGTCATTGTTGAAGTTGAAATAAGACGCTACTATTTCTATTTTTACTTGTTCTTGTGCGTAAAACCCTAAATTTTCAGTTCATCGAAATAACACAAATCAGTTTTTGTTAAGCTGCATTTAATCCCAGGTCTTTGTAGGAATTATTTCATGGATTTAAATGAAGTGTTATTTAAATATGTTCCCCAAGTGTGAATGCTAAGTTCCTAACGAATACATAAAATTTTTCTTCTACCACAAGCTACGATCTATTCAAAAATCTTTCTTTTCCTAAAGTCTAGAAAATTTCGTTGTCTTTGTGTGTGCTTAATTGGGATATATAATTACATATATTGAAGTTTTACATTTCTTGTTTATCACAATGGCCTAAACTACACAAATCAACATTGGTAACTCTGAATATTCAAATCATCATATTTCCTGAGGAAATATAGTCAAATTTCTCATATTTAAAGTGACATGAATTTGTTAATTATATAACATTTGTGGAGATGCTTTTCTGTCTTAATTTTGGCTTTTGTTGCTAACAACTGTCTGTTTTTATGCTGTATTTTTGTTCATCATTTTCATTATATCAAATTTATGTTTTTCATCAAATTTTATCAAAAAATTTAGTTTTATTCGAAGTTATTTACATTGGCTAAAGTTTTGCTTGAATAAAGTTGGTGAACACAGTGTATATGTTCTTTTTTAATTATAGAAAGTTTTGACCTTCTGTTTATATCTGTGATTATCTTCACAGTATGTGCATCTCACTCATTACAACATTTATTTTTAGGTTACTGATGGAAGTAAGGCTGAAAAAAATGGAATTTTGGTTGGTGATGTGTTGATAAGCATTAACCATGAGTCATGTGAAACTATGACCCACACTAATGCTCTCAACTATATCAAGAAATCTGGCAATGAGCTTCATCTTACATTAGACAGGTTTGTTTCAACATTTCATGCTCAGTACATGAACCTAAGATGAGTTGAAGTATTCGTTTGGTAGCAAGACTTACATGGTCCGTGTAAAAATGTCTGTCAAATGTTTCTTACTTATACATTTGTGAAATGAATTATGATAAAAGGACTGAAGGTTTTATGTCAGCAATGATATATGTGTTGAGAGCTACATACAATACTGTCTAATTTGTTAAAGCTAAACTTTGAATTCTTGTCATATATCTCTTTGTCTTTGCTGAACCCTTGCTAAACAACATGTTGCCATAACTACATGAACATTCTTTGGCCCATGTCATTTTGAAGTGTGTTTTGTCAGAAAGTTATAAATTTGCTGCAAATGTTTAATTGCCTTGATTTCATTTATTTCATGGAACTGTTTATCGTAGTGGGTCAATTTTAAAATGAAGATTAGTGTACTGATGTTTTAAGTACCAAACTAATCGAAGAACTCCTTTGTACCGAAATCATCGTTTTTTACGTTTTTTGAGAAATAAATCGCATAATTTACAACGTATCATTAACTTCGTTTTAAACAAGTAAAGTCTAAATTAGTCAATTGTCTTTATTCTATAGTCAACTTCAAAATTGTTTGTGTATTTTGCTGGCCAATTCAAAAAGCGTCGCCAAAGGACGTCTTGTCATTGTCAATCTAAAGCACGATAAAACTAAATAACAAATAAAAAGTTAACTTTAATTTAAAGTTTGCAGTAAGCAGGTTAACGTTAAATAAATGGAAAAAACCCCAAACAGTTTAACATTTATAACATTTAATGTTGACGTCATCAGTAAAGAGGACAATTTTTTTTGTGCCTTATCTTAAAAATAAGAGTTGAAATTAAGCTCTATGTTGAAATATTACACCGAATTCTTGAGTTTGAGATTATTTGCGTGTTTACGTTTCATGTGCCGCTGTGAATAAACCTTATTGCAAACTCTGGAATAAAAATTTGCGTGTATATGTAATATTTGAACTTATAACGTTCCGACATTGCACATCCTGAAATATGTCAAAGAAAACAGTTTACACATCGCAAGTTGTCATTGGCGTTAACAGGTTGGAATTTTTTGTTTATAGCTACTGAGTTTCGTCTTCATATTGTGTGGCACATACACATAAGCTCACTGATATAATTATGTTAAAATGAACATTTATATGGACATAAATAATATTGCTAATCTGAGTGCTTAAAAAATAGCCATCTGCTTGAAAACTCAAGGCATTTTTATCTACATGTCATAAATTATTGTTCTTCGCGTTCTTCTCGAAGATCTGTTGTCACTTGCCAGTTTAGAAATTTAGTCAACTGAACGCTATTTTCTAGAACATCTTTTTGTCACTGTACAATTCGAACAGTTAAGTATTAGTCATATGGAAGTTTATTTCAGCTTTAATAAAACAAAGAAGTTGCTATCATGGGTAATTTCTTTGCTATACAGTATGAATCTTTTATCACTTACATTCATCTACGTCATAGATGTACGTACATAAGTCTTTAATTATTAACTTTACTAGCTAATATGCCCTACGTTATTACCATTATCATGACACGCAGCTTCTGCTGTTATCTCAGTTTAGTGAATCCACTTCATCAAGCTCAGTTTCCTTTCCTACAATTGATAGCTACAGTTTTTAGTTCTACAAGATAACTTAATGCAGGGATGCAGGCATGGAGCAGAATGATCACACGTACGATTTATAGTTTTCTCAATCAACAGATGTACATCGAAAGAATCTAGCTATAATGAACATCTAACGCTTGTATCCTGCTGTTTAGTTGAATAGGTGCATGGTGGCATGCTAATTGCTTCATAATTTTACACGAAGATCATTTGCATTTTGTCCATTTAACTTAGCACATGCATTGGCTGAAGCCAAGTTTCTGAAACCAATGATTAAAACGAAAGAATTTCCAATATCTTGTCATCGTCTACATCATATATATTTGGATAGTCAATTACGTTTCTAATCATCGAATTTGATATATGTACATATTGAAAGGGGGGGGAGGGTGGTGGACCCGAAGTGCAGTCGCCTGCGGCCAACTATGTTTTCGAAACTATAGTTTATATTTCTATACTAAAAAGATTGAATGTTCCTCTATGATTTCTCTATGTTTTGTAAAACTTTCTCTATGTTTTCTGCTTCTTTTGAGTATCTCTCTTCCTTTAATGTATCCATCTTTTGAATAAGTTTGAATTGTCGCATCATGGCTAACTTTTAAGTAAGTTGAATGCTTCTATGATATCTTTATTTGTTAATGTTTCGTTGGTTGTGTTTCCTCGATGCTCCAGGCTAGAACTTCCGGATTATCGCCACTATTGAGTGCATAGTGTTTGAGTTAATATTTTTCTGACTTTATGGCAGTTTGTTCTTGTATATAAAATGGTATCGTGTTTGTTTACCACTAATATTTGACTTAAGTATGATGATGTAAAGTGATCGCTTTTTGATGGATTTTCCAAGATATTTTGTTACTGTTGACAATTGATGTTTTAGGCTGTGATTTACATTGTTCTTATGTTATTTTGATAATTATAAATTTGCTTTACCTCTTGATGTATTAACTCGAGTCTTTACTTATTACTCTTGTATGTATCGTTCTTACGATGTATAAACTTCCGTCTTCAACCAATTTTCTCATGACCCGCATTATTTATTGATTTTGTCGTTCTTGCAACCTAGGCAGTTTCATTTCAAAAGTGAAAGTTCTTCGTTGAAACTCGAGTCTTTATATACTCCAGTCTAGTGTCTTCATCAGGAATGATCTGATGTTGAAACTTGAGTTGTTTGATGCTGAATTATGTTGTCATTAACATATTGAAATCTGGCTCCTCATGTTTTCTAATTTTAATCAGCAGTGTTTTTATCAAAGCTTACTCTTTTTCATTAGGCGCCCATTTGATAGCAATGATCCTTACGCATACAAGTCTCTGCCACGTGGTACGAAATTAACCAATGGCGACGTACTGAAAAACAGCAATTATAGCAACAAAACGGAATACAAAAGTGTTGAAAGTTATGCAACCCTCCCTAGAAAAAAACAGTCGAAAAATTCTTATGTGGAGCAAACTGATCTTGATGATCACGTGGATGGCGAAAGACCGGATTCTTTAGGTACACGCTCCTCATCGGGTGTGTCTTCAAAATATACTGAAGATGATGACGAATTGCTACCGAAAGGTATGCTGGGAAGTTAAAAGTAACGTGGAAATTTACTCAATTACATTCAACATTCATGTTTAAGCCAAGTTAAAAAGCGTCTAACAAGACATAATAGTATCGTAATTATATATTTTAAGCTATGCTGTCTAAACTTGACTTCTCTTTCTCAGTTGATATTAATTGACCACGCATCATTGTCTACCATTACTTATAGCTATTGGTGTTATATCACCCTCCAATGATCAATGGTCACCCGACTTGATATCAGATGCAGTACGACCACCTCAACCAATCAAGTTGATTTCCGAACCAGATTCTAAATCAATAAAATACTCTACAGGTATTGTTATAAAATTGTGTTTATTCCTTTAGCCAGATGGATGATGATTTTTCATTGGACACTGATAAGTTATAAAATTCTTTGGATTTCGTCTTTAACATCCATTAATAGGACTCTAAAATATATCTGATGTTTTCTGATAAAAAATTTACAGTGACGTAATTTCGTATATTTTGAACAGCTCCATTAGTTTGAAACGTCATGATCATCTAGAGTTAAACCTATAGTGAAATATATTGAAATATGCTCAATTATTTACATTGTGGTGTGGCCATTTACCAAAATAATTTCCATATCTTCTAGACGCGCGTATTAAATCACCAACAACCATTCGTGGTTTTACAGATAAACCCTCACCTGTGGGTCGTGGGGCCAGAAGGTAAGACATTTTTTATATTTCTTTCATATCTCTAAAGCTTTATCCTATGGAATTGTTTACATCAGGCTCAAAGCCATCTCAATCTGACGAACGTTTTCATGTAACTAATCACTAACCAATTTACTAATCATATTCTATACCATGGATAGATGCATAGTATTGATTGGTTAAACAAAGAATTGTCATTGATTTTCTTTAAATGATTTTTTACAGAAATTTTGATGAGGAAAATACGGATTCCGCCGATAATCATGAGTTGTTAGTACTCTTTATAGGCATTAAGTTCTTAACATTAATATAACACATGAAATTTCTATAGAAAGGCAACATTAGTATAACATTTGTAGAAAAGGATGTTTTTACTATCTATGTATATTTTACGTAGAAATGAAATTCTTATTATATATAGATATACAATCATAGAAATATTTTGGTTATTCGCATGGTTTTAAACATAATTTTCTAATTTACAGGCTCACTTCTGGTTCATCTTACACCGAAGATATCCCATCGGATGACGACGCAGGTAACGATGTTAGTTCTCCCCTTTTAAGCCCAAAATCTCCAGGTCGTTCAAGACCTGCTATAACCCATATGGTTAAGCGACGCGAATGCGTGCCCATACCGCTGCCCGATGCAAGCATGCGTTGCTGGTATCTTTATGTTGACGAAGAGAGAAAGAAAAAAGGTGACGAAATAAAATTACGTATGTTTGTTGCGTGTGATCCATTGAACGGAACATTCACGTGCAACGCTGTTTCTTGTTTATAATGAAAAATGAAGAAATCATTTCATGAATTGCTACACGAGATATTTTACTCATTTGACTGCCGGGGTATTTTCTAGCGTCTTTAGCTTAATATAAACTTTCGTTATGTAAACATTTTAATGAGTTCATTTTGATACTAAATGACTTAATGCCTAAATATTAACAGTGCTAATAAGATTTCATTTTGATTCAAAAAACCTAGTTGTGGCCTGTTAGATAATCACATTTGGTTTGTTCGATCTTTTTCTTCTTTGCTATTTCAAGACTTTGATGCGACATTTTCTCTATTCAATAATCTCCCCACTCAAAAAATTATTCCTCTCAATATACTGTATATATTCAACATGAAACATGATATTTTCCTTTTTGTTTAGCGGCTGAAAAGCCATACCGAAGATACTCTTATCACGGTTCTGTCTTGAAAGACAACGATGATCGTAAAAACAACGACACTACAGAACGTCCGGTATTAAATATAATTTCATCTTGTTTTAGAATATTTTTCATTTGTACATTGTTGCTACTTGTAAATTCAACAAAATATTTACGAGAAACAAAGATCAATGAGCTTAAATATTAGCATTGCTGTTTTTATTAATTTGAAATTTATTTTCAAACCGTATAAGAAGACTTAACCAAGCCACGTCCAGTTTACTTTTACAATTTGTAAATAATTACTCACAAATTACATCTTGAACCATATTATTAATGGCTACGTATGGCTCTCTCTCTTTCAAAGTTTTATTTCATTTTTACAGGAATTATTTGGAAGCGGTTGGTGGAATTTTGAAATGCAACTATCGTGTTCGAAATTTTTTTCAATGGCTGTGGTTTAAAGTGCTTCATTTTATAATGCAGTCGAAATGCATTTTATAATTTTACTTAGATCACACATTACATGAAGTAACGTTGCTATTTATAGATTCCACTGGCCTTTCATCGTTACTTGTGGGTGAATCGTCACCTCCTAAACATGACTCACGCGAAATGTCTAAAAATCATCGGGAACGCTCAGTCCAGGAAGCAAAGATAGGACGAACAAAAAGTCAAGAAACGAAAGCCGATCCCAGCTACATGATGGGACGTTTCGCACACCCCGAACCGACAGTTGAATTTAACCAACCACAGCGTTATTCCGTGTCTTCGTTTCCTGCTTCCGCCGCAGACGTCAAATTAAGGTATAACAGTTCTCGGTAAAGTTTTTGTTTAGCGACTGTGATGTTGACTCTTTTAATATAAACTATAAATTGTAATACATAATTGATTTCATTTAGTGAACATTCAAGTTTTATGTCAAAATATGCAAAAAAGATAAAATCGAAACGAGCAATACATGATAAACGATAGTTAAGTAAAGCGAGCGACATTCTTTAAAACACAACTATTTAAACAACTTCACCTTTCCGTATAGTTATGTTTGTTTGATTATTGGCTTAAAATTTAGGATATTAATGAACTTACTTTATCTTATGCTTCACACATGGAGGACACAAAAGATTTAGTTAAATATTAATCAAATCATATTTGTATAAATCATGTGACAAGTATTATTAACACCTGAAAGCACGGGACATGAAGAAGTTATCTCTAATTTTATTATCGAATTTTTCTTTCTATAACAATGTCCTTTTGAAGTTATGATAATTTCATATGACATCATCCATGTTTATTATACCTGAGCATATTCTGGATGGTAATGTGTAAAAACTAAACAGAATGAAATAAAGCTGAATTGTTGGCACTCTATTCAAATCATGAGCTCGGCGTAAGTTAAATAAATGAACAAATGTAAAAGAGGTAGTTGTTTGTTCATAACTATATATGAATATCGTTCCCACTTTGGAACAAAAAACTTAGCATGGTTTCTATCTTTCACTGTGATTGCAATATATACAACTTGCTTCATACGTCGTCACAAGATAATTTTTTTTTAAATTGGCTTAATTTTTTTGCACTGTCTTTGTGTAAATACATGAACGGACAGATTTCAACTATTTCTTTTCCGTATTTCTTTTGAAATGAAATCATGGAAAAATGTCTTGTTCTTATGTGTGTATATTGTAGATATTGTTTTGTAACGTTGAAGTCATTTTATTGTTTTGTTTTCATCCTTTCTGAAACGGAGTTGGGAATTGAGAATTGGTGTTCCATGAACCCTTTCCCTCTCCATTCTGTGTGACAGTATCCCTTCCATTCTGCGTGACAGTACACTCCCCTCCATTCTGCGTTACAGTACCCCCCCATTCAGCGTTACAGTACACCCCTCCATTCAGCGTTACAGTACCCCCTTCCATTTTGCGTGACAGTACCCCCTTCCAATCAGCGTAACAGTACACCCTCCATTTTGCGTGACAGTACAGCCCCTCCATTTTGCGTGACAGTACACCCCTCCATTCTGCGTGACAGTACACCCAAACCCTCTTTCTTCCTGCTTGACAGTCTATTACGCGGGTCGACATTTTGCGTTGCTTGAGAAAGAAATGAAAAGCGTTAATTTTCCTAATTTGATGTTTGTTTCTTTTTTTTTCAGGGATAAACCAACAACGCGAAATAACGTGCCATCTTGGTATAGAGAGTTTCAGAAAGGAAAAGAGGTTTCAGAAAAAGAAATCAACGAAGATGCAAAAATGCCAAAGAACAATAAAGGTTTGTTGAAATCATTTCTCTTTCTGTGAATCTAATTGTGCATGGTGAAATTTATGAGAAGCAACAAATTAAACCTTGAGCAGTTCTTCACGTTCAGACCGTGAAGAAAGGTTTCTATGCTTTACGTGTACATGTTTCCGGTTGTTTTTTTGTGATCGTGAAGAGTTCAATGTATAGAAGACAAACAAAACATTTTTTTCCATTAAGCAAGATTATTTAAAGCGATGTTTTTCCATCATTAAAAATGTGAGCTGTCAGGCAATGTTAGAATTTTAATTCAGAACTCTTAATCGTTGGGAATTTGTCGCCTTGAGAAAAAAAATCTTAAGTGTTTTTTAAAATTTTCAATCCAAGAGAAGATTCTTCTGTGGATTATCGGTATAAAATTTCACCTTTTTGTGTTTATTATCAAATGATTGTGCTACCCAAAACTGTCCATTTCCACCTGCTGTGTATGTAGCATTTTTATTTGTATTTCTTGGATAAGCTTGTATCAACGCAACAATGGAATGAAAAATATGTCGTAGCTAATCATTCTCATCAACATGAAAATATTCGAAATATTTTATTGCTTCTGTGGGCGAGTTACAAAACACCTTAGTTTTTTTACTGACGTTTCTCAACTCTTGAGGAAAATTGTAAAGTAAGACAAACATGCTTTTTTTTATATCATGAGGTTTTGTTTTACTGAAACAGTAAAAGGATTTGCTCATCATTATGGATTTATTTAGCGTGTGTACGAGAGAAAGTCAAGCGACAATTAAGTGACATAAATACTTACGTAGATGTAGTAGGTCGTTGTATTTTTTAATAAATAACAGCTTGTTACCTCGCTAATTATCTGACGTCTTGCCGGTCAGCTCGACTGCGCTGCATATTTTCGATCGATTGAACTGTTCTGTTGAAACGTTTCTGCGATATAAAAAGAATGCTCCGTAGCATTAGGCGATCGTAACATGTTAGTTAATTTTTCGTTGTGAAAAAATGGATTTTAACATTTACGTCAAGAAAGGAGGTATTCATTTATTATTTTATATTGAACTTCTTGACCAATTTTATATGTTATTTATTTATACCAACTCACTGTGTTTGTAACGCATTTGTTCATAATTATTTTGGATGAATTTATATGATGAGTTGACAAACATCTGTGTATCTATTCAGGCTATTCTCACATACCCAAGTATCTTAAATTTACACGTCAGGCCGAAAATACATTGATCGCATTCCTCTGTACGATTTTCATAATCTATGAATAATTTACACCTCTGACCGTAAAATAGCCGCACATTGATCGCATTCCTCTGTACGATTTTCGTGATCTATCAATTCAACGACGGTTACCTTTGGAATGTGAAGAGCGATTATAGAATGAATACCCGTCCATTGTAAAAGGCAGCCGTACAAATTCGAGGATACAGCATACATAGTAAAACATATTATAAAAGTTAAACTAAAGTATTATTTTGTTCACAATTATTATTTATGTAGTATCATTTAGTGGTCAATATAAAGAACGAAGTGTAAAGACCGAAGTATATTATAGAAGTGGATAGTGAGTGTGGAGGGGTATTCTAAAATCTAGCCTCCCCTGAGAGCATTATACAATTTAATAAGATTGAATGTCACCACTCGTAGTGAAATATTCATGACACCTGTTTATCTCATGTTATGATCTTAATACTGTTTTGTTTATAATAAAAGTATCTTATTTTTTATGAAATATGTTGTTACTTACGAAAGGTAATCATGCACAGCCATTCCACCATGGTAAATGTTAATTGTCGGACATACTTTCTATAAAGTCTTAATGTTGAACCTATATATTTGTTAGCTATTGAAAATTCTTTAAATAGTTATATGAGTAGAATGCAATTTAGCAACTGCATACCCCATAAAAGACATTAGTTAACAGGATAACTAATAACGTTAAAGTTTACCAAGGTCCTTGTAAACCGGTAATCTCTTTGTTTTGTACTCGCACAATCGGCTGTAGGCATGAGAATAACCTGAAGTGTAAGTCCTGAGTTAGAAAATATACATGTAGTGTTTGATGTGCGAGTTTTGTCTAGTTGACTCAAAAGTTTGCTATATGTTTTTGTTTTCATTGTATCTACTCATTGAAGTTGTTAGTTTCTTTATAAAGAATCCAGATTATTCCTGAATAGTGAATTAAAAACTTCAACTTTCTGTTTTGAATAGCAATGAGCACCACGCGTCTTCCCGGAGATGTTGGACCAGAACATCCTGTTGTACGAGGTTACTCTACCACAACACGATCCTCCTCTAATCCAGTCGTGCATCGTGGACCGCCAAAAAGGACGCACACATATAGCAATGAACAAAGAGCTTCATACCAAGCACCTACCGTTGTACAAAAGGAGCCCGATAAACCTTCAGCATCTAACTTATACGAGGACCATATGAAGAAACGACAATTTGTAAGCTCTCTCATTTTCATTGTAGACTTGTTCATGTAGCATTGAAACGAGCGATCAGAATTATCTGTCAATTAAAAACTTTCTGTTTCCAACGGTTCGGTATTGCTCAGAGACATTCTGAGATTCTGTGTTTTATCTAGTCATTGGAAACTTAAAGTCTTTTTTTAAAGTATTTTGTGTTAGATCATAGTATTATCATCTTAGTTGTTTTCATGCGGCTTCTGGTATTTGTTTTATTCAACGTTATTACTCTCGTACAGGTTCCACGAGAACAGAAAAAAGAAATATATGAACCTGTAGATTACATGAAACAATTCCAAGAGGAAGAAGAAAAAATTAAAGAAGACGAGAGGCGAGCAAAGGAAGATCTAGAAAGAAAATTGCGCGAAGAGGAGGTAAACGAAGACATGTTTAAATTTTTATTCTAATCGTTGCTGTATAAATGACGAGATTGTTGAAGTCGAAGAGAAATAAATATTTTTATCATGAATCTGCATGCGATACTATTTTAATTTGCTTTCATTTGAACGTGAGGACTGTGATAAAGGAAAATGTTTATAGTTATATCTTGTTATTGTGTATATTAAATTATATAATAAGTGAAGGTAGAGAAAAATTTCATTTTACAGGCAGTTTTATTACGTTGGTTCATTATAAATAGATAAATATAAAGTTATAATTGATTATTACCATCCCACCGTCAGTTTTTATTTCTACATATTTTATGATTCAAATAGTGATAACGATTTCTCTGTATAAAGGAAGCAGAGCAAAGACAACGTGAAATGGAGGAGAAAAAAAGAAGAGAAATGGAAGAAGAAGAAAGAAAACGAAAGGAAACGGAGGCAAGAAAAAATCCCAAACATGCAAGAGCGTTGTATAACTTCACTCCACAGACTTCTAAGTAAGTTGTAGTTGATGCATGTAGTCGCCGTAGTTGTGTTCATTCTTTGATATATACTGTATAGTATGACCTACAATATTCATGAAAATTATATTTATTCAAATGTTTTGGATAAAAAATATTTAAGATCGTTATTATTAAACCCGAACGTAAAATGAATAAAGATAACCTAGGATTATAACGCACGTACTGGATTACTTCCATGATTTTGATTTGCAACCATCGACCTCTCAAAGCATATTTGATATGTGAAAAAAACATCTTTGATTTGATAAATTAATAAAATCTGTTTTGTTGTATGCCTGTTCAAGCATCACACATTCCATAAGATTTCTATGGGTGTGCTTGTTTTCTTGTAGTCGAAGGCCTATGTATCTAACATAACTAATGTTGTCTTTGTTTTATCATAAATCACAGGCAATTATTCATCACTTGCTTTTGCATTCTTTTCCAGGGAGATTGGCTTCAGGAAAGGTGATATCGTTTTGTTCTACAGATCAATTGACTCGAACTGGTGCGAGGGAGAAGCTCAAGGACAGATAGGATTATATCCATTATCTTACGTAGAGGTACGCATAACCTGTGTATTTTCTAACCAAGGAAAATAATGCCTGTCGACTGAACGTTTTAACCAAGGCAATTACTATATCAACAGTTTTTAATTAGTTCTAGGTCATTTTGGACACTTATTAACTATAGCTCAATAACTTCATATACTCCATTTTCGTTAAATTCTAATTTCAATCTTCGATCTACTTCCACTGCTACACGTAAACATATTATTCTTATTTTAGATTATCGAAGAAAGTGCTCCGAAAATCAAAGGCGAGGGAAGAGTTAAATACAATTTTAAAGCTGAATCAGCCAGGGAATTACATTTACAAAAAGTAAGTCGTGAACTATAAGGAATGGTTGACCAGAAAGAAGATATTTCATCGTTATATTTTTAATTTAATCCTTTACTAATCTTTTGTCAAACAAATCAAATAATTTAATAGGGTGATATAGTAGCGTTAATAAGACAAATTGATGAAAACTGGTTTGAAGGAGTTAAGGATAATAAAGTTGGAATCTTTCCTGTTTCATACATCGAGGTATAGAAATACAATCATATGTTGTTTTTTTTTTTTGTGACAAACACTTCGACTTTGCTATTGTTAGAAACTTTCAATGACTTATTATTCGTCGTCATAATGATAACAAATCCCATCTCCAATGATTGAAAAACATAATGAACCAAAAACAAGTTAGTGATTTTCATCCGCATGTTTTTGTTTATGAAACATCTGTGAAAATTTCTTCTTGATTAATGAGGGCGTATAAGACTGTTTATTTATCTATAGACAGATAATTTAAATAGAATTAAAAATCGAAGTGACCATTTTTTGCATGTGATTGTGAGTTCGCAGCAATAAAGTATTCCTACTGAGTTAGCTAAACTGGGGAGCTTCATGAACATTTAAAAACTTATAATTATTTCTAGGTGCTACGAAACCCAGAGGAAAAACCAGGTACATTTCTTTTTTTTTGCAACGTTTGTCTTTTTATTTGTTGATCATATTTTAAAGTGACCCTTTTGTTTTTAAGCATCTCCAAATGTGGTGAAAGAAGAGGTTGTTAAAAAGCCAAATGGATATTCAAAAGTTGAAAGTAGTTTTGATGATTTCCCCGAACCGTTGAATACAGAACCGGATATACGAGATCTTAAAGGCGAGAAGTAAGTTTGGCAATCTGTTTTGTATTGCATTATCAGTTGTTGACTGTTATAAACAACGTATAAAATCCTGGAAGAAACCTTTTCAAAAGTTTTATTTGCTTTATTACGTATAGCTTCATAGTTCTCTTTCCATACGAACCACAAAATGAAGATGAACTGGAGTTATTGGAAGGTGATATAGTAAAGGTGGTAGAAAAATGTGATGATGGTTGGTTTGTGGGTATTTCAGAGAGAACAGGTGACTTTGGCACATTCCCTGGTAACTACGTAAAACTGGTGTAATATTTGAATAAGATGTCTCTTCCATGTATTCGCTACTTATTAAAGTAAGCAATGAGGATTTCGTGAATCAACCGTGAATACATGTATCATTGTTTGATAGCATTGCTAAGCTTCTGAGACTGCGAACACCTACAGGATACCAAAGTCATTTTCTTAATAAAGACGTGTCTTTAACATAAGATGTTGTGTTATTTAGCAAGTTCATGATAGCATAGTTCCGATACAGAAAATTTTCTCTCAGCAACAGATTAAATTAAATCGTTTTAAAGTGACTATAGATATATATATTTTTCTCGTACATTGTTAAACTGAACATACAATACCATCTATTGATATTTACTTTTATTTGAGCGTGGTAATAGTGAAAATGGATTATGTGTAATTATAATGTAATTAATATAGGTTTTTTCCCATAGTTTTGTGTATATTAAATAATATCGTATAAGGCAAAAATTTAATGAGGTATAGATAATAATAGACTCAAATTACCGTTTGATTCCTTTGGTTTCTAATAAGCGCACGTAGCTATCACATGTTGTCTTCATGTAGTGATGAATGAATAAACAACAGAGAATGAGAACAGGCTTTGCTTGCACCATATATAATATAAACTGAGATAACTTGTGTCGATGTAGGTAGTGATGAATGAACATTAGAAAACAAGAACAATCTTTACACTACCAAAAATATAACTTAGATAATGTATCAAAGTGTAGTAAGTGATGAATGAGCAACAGAGAAGGAGAACAGTCTTTACACTATCTAAAATATAAACTAAGATGACCTCTGTGTAGGTAGTGATGAATGAACATTAAAAAACAAGAACAGTCTTTACACTACCAAAAATATTACTAAGATAATGTATCAAAGTGTAGTAAGTGATGAATGAGCAACAGAGAAGGAGAACAGTCTTTACATTACATAATACAAAAAGACGTGTGTGTTGGTTTACATAAAATATTGACTTTTGTATTCCAATGTCACCTGTTAGAATTTATTAGTATATTATGATTTAGTTTTAAATATTTAGTTTAATTACAAGTATTTCTTCAAATTATCAAGCACTGCATTTGCAGATTCAACACAACCACTAAAATTTGAGTGCACAAATGAATCACCAGCCAAAATGAGCAATGGTTCCTTGCTAACAACAACAGCTCCAGGCTGACCTGGATATGGTTTGTTGACTTGTGAATATCGCCAACGAAGACAGCGAGTAGAAACAGGCTGAGGAACACTTGGAAAAAGTTCTTTAAAGTAGTTGTATATGGTAATTTCTACCTCCTTCATTGTTGCTTCAAGATGTGTTACCCAAATGAAACACTGGTATGGATTAAAATTGAAGGGCTCCTATCATCTAAATAAATTTTAGAAAGTATTAATTTAAATTGAACCATTAGAAGGATTAATAATCTTTCTTATTATTCCCGAGTAAAAACTCTACGTGAAAAAGACTGATATATAAACACTTACATATGCCTCTTTTAGCTGAATCAATGCATACAAATCTAATGCAGGGATGATCATTGATAAACTTTGCTGTCCAAGTGAAATTAATTTTAACATCGTGAGCAAAATACAAAGCAACTGCATAACGCGATGAGTATTCTACTTCCTTGAGGAAAGAATATAGTTCAAGCTTCTCTGAATTGTTCCTTCTAACTGAAGAATTTGTGGAGCAGGAATTGTAATTATAATACCATGATAGTAAAAAGAATTACCATCCTTTGTTGTGGCTTTCCATCGATTGTTGTTTTGATCAAGATTCAACTCCTGGCAATGAGTATTCAAGCTAATATTTGCATCTGCAAAAAAATTACAGGATGCTTGCTTAACATATTATAATAAAAAAGAACACATTTACTGATGTGTTACTTACCCGAAGAATTGAAGAAATATTTAACAATTTGGTTGATGCCATTTGGTGCCACAAAATGTTTAGCACCATCATCACCTTTCAATCCATCAATCACTCCTGTAAATGATTTTAAAACATCAGCTTGTATCAAATCATCAAAATATCTGAAAAAAACATTATGATAGTCAAGCTAAGTGCTGCATACAATAACTTCAGTGAAATATCACCGTAGAAGTTAGCTAAATGTATCTTTCCAAACCATCATTACTTTTTATGCTTTTTTTCATATAGTTGTGTGCATGTGATATATTGTGCACCAAGATCAACTGTTCCTAGTCCTTCCAATGATCGGTTTGTATTCATTCGACCACCAACACCACGTGACTTTTCCCAAACATGAACTTCTACAGTATCTTTAGGGAATGTGGTCTTTACCAGGGAAGATGTTACAGATGCAGTCAAACCAGCACCAACAATAAGTAATTGATAAGGTTTGATGCTCATACTTTCTTGCAGAAACAAATTGATGTATTATATTTTATTTACAGGCAATCAACTAGATTGTCACTGATTATGTAATTGTGATAGGATTTCATCACTGGAAGGCACAGACTGGAAGATGTTGGGAAGGGGAGGGGGAATGGTGGAAAAGGAAACATATTCATTTCATGAGCCTGCAATGAATCTGTACAAATCTGTACAAGCTTCCGCTCTTCGAGCGAGGTCAGTGGCAATGTTAGTCAATATTATGATTTTCAGGAAGGTAGGTCAATGTTTTCACTTCTTGTGCTGAAAAAAAAAACACGGGAACAAGGGTCCTTCGTCAATGAAAGTGATAACAAGAAAGTAGTACTTGTGTAATGTGAACATAAACAATGAATCCAAGAGGGGCTAAGGGAATTGTGAGGCTTTTATGGGGTAGACGTTCTCCTAATGATGACACCTCTAGCTCGAGTTTGACTGGAGATGCTGGCCTGAGTTTGATGCACCTTCGAAAACTTTTTATGGAGTTTATTCATTCATCAGTACCATTAACGCTAAAAGAACAAGAAAAAAAACTTTACGCCATGTTGCCTGTTTTCAATAATGTTTTTATGAACTCTGAAGGCAGCGACATGAGTGAACGTTTTGGCGATGTCCTACAATTTGCTGCCCATACGTCACGTTTAATGGTGAACGAAATAAGGCGGCATGCCGTAAACAAATCGAACAACAACGCCAGCACTGCGATAATGAACTTCTTGATTAAAAAGGCCGATACCAATACACAGTCTGGTTGGAATCTTCTTCAAAGTTTGAGCATTCTAGCGAATGGGCAGAGCGCAGTAATTTCTGACATGATTGCAACTCAGTTACCTTCAACCTTGGTTCATTGTCTGTATTTGTTTTTCGAATTACCAAAACCCTGTGCAAACACATCTATAGATGCTAGTGTTTTAGAGGAGTCGTACTTGACTGTTCAAAAGCTATTTATACAACTTCTTGTGCGACTTTGCAATCAAAGTATCACTGCACAAGAGCTTGTTAGGACAGATGACCTGTTCATTTTATTTACTGCAATGAGTGGCAAGTGTCTGCCACATAATACTGGCTGGCGAACTGGTATATGCGAAGTTTTGACTACTATAACAAGAAGTGGTTTACAGTTGGATGTCTGCAAGTATATCCATGGTGAGAACCAATGTTCAAAATCTATTAATTCAGCAAAAATTGATGACATTTACTTTGTTTACTTTCAACAAACATAATTCAATCAAACTGTGTCATGATTGATTGATTAATTTTATTTTCATTGTTCATTAAGACATTTTTTCCTTAACATGGTTTGTCACATATTCCTTTACCAAGTAAAACTTAAATTGCTTGTGTTTGAATTGTTAATAGACTTGCTGATCTTGCTTACTAAATCAACAAAAACATATTTGAATAGCTTGACTAGTACACTAGTAGACATTTTATTGTAACTTTGATTGTTGGGTAGGGAGCTTGTAGAAGGGGTTGTAAATCAAGTCTTGAGTTTTAAAATAAGTCATGTGACAATATGATAGTAATGTAAAATGTGGCTATTTGAAACAAGAATTCTTTAGTAATTATTTAATTTATCCTCTTATCTATTTCAGCAAAATCCTGCATTAGCCATTGCATATCAAGTATGCGCAGAATTCAGACTGAAAACCCTTTAGACCTCGTGGAGATGTTTGTCACTCTTTTTTGCATTCTTCGTGACTCTACTACTATCACCTCTATTTTAATGGATGACTTTCGTTCTTGTCATGGCTACCTTTTTCTGAAAGATTATCTTTTACTTCTTGGTCAAATTGATGACCACTCAGCTGCGGATGCTTGTCGCAACATGGTTATATGTGTCTCCAATTTCACTATGGTTGGATTTATCCCACTGAGACCATCACGGAGTATTGGAGCACCATTTCAAGATTCTGACTTCCAAATACCAGAAGCTGCTGAAAATGGTATGCCCTGCCATAAAATATGATCATGTGTCAGTAAAGATAGCTATGATTCAACCAAAGAGAATGAGAACAGTCTTCACACTATCTATAATCAAACTAGGATAATGTGTGTTAGTAAGGCAAGACAATGTGTGTCAATGTAGGCAGTGATGAATGAAGAACAGAGAACAAGAACAGTCATTACACTATCTAAAATATAATCTAAGATAACATGTGTCAGTGTAGGTAGTGAGTGTCAAATCAGCTAGCAAAGTGATAATAATACTTCCATATCCACTGTAATCTGTTTTACGTTATTTGTGTTTTCCAGGAAATACTGTGAGAAACGTTGAAGCTTTTAATGTTTTACAAAGTGTTTTTATAAAGGTTTGTTTGAACAAATACATGTGTTTATTTTTATTCAAACTGTTTTATCACCCACACGTTACATAGATTCAGGTTATTCTGTGTTGTTCAGTCTCTACCATACACAATTAAATCTTCTGTGAAATACATTGTGCATCGCGTGTTTCTCATAAAATTCGTTAAATACACAATAATTTGGATACTGATGTACTGATATACTTTCTTAACTACAAATGAATTTGTTTTATATATTTTAGAGTAAAGACAGTTTGTTATGCCAACATGTACTTGACTCAATTCTACGTATTTACACCTCCGATCATGTAAATTACTTCATATTAGAGCCACAAAGGACAATCTCTAATTTCATCGAGAAAGTGAACGAGAAAGAAGTTTTGATTCAGGAAAAAGTGTTCAAACTGCTTGAGTTTGTTGCTTGCAACCTCAACTGGACGCCATCACCCGAACTTATATCTATGAGCATTTTATTCAAGAATGCCAAGTAAGGACGTTTTTAAAAATCGAGAGTTGTTTGCTATGTGTTCCGTCATTGATGAATAGATTTGTAAAACAGAGGTATTTTGTTCAATATTGTTCTTCAGTGTAAATACTTCATGGATTTTTGCACTGGAATGCCTCATACAACTGGTGAATTACAAGGATCAGTACAAAAACGTATTTCGTGATGTTGGTTTATTGGAAGTCCTCTCTAACTGTCTTGTGCACTACGCTCTTGCTTTGAAAAGTTCAACCGACGTAGCAGGTATAGATGTTTTTCACCTTTGAACGGGCGACATTTTCATGAAGCATATGAAAAAATATAATCCGAGGAAATGCATCTTGTAAACTCAAATTTAAGTTATAAAAAAATACAATTGAGATTGTTATCCTACAGAATGATGATTTTCAAAGATAAGAAACATTACAGTCTCAATTGTGTCTTGTTTATAATTGGAATTTGAGTTTAAAAGATGCATTTTTGATTACGTCTTATCTTACATAGATGTTCTTCTACGCGAACTTTTTTAAATAGAAAAAATGCTTTCATTTCATGGCAATTTCTCTTGATATTACAGTTCTTTTCACTTGGTGTTTATTCTGTTTTAAACGGAGTCAACCAATTGACAAACTGCTGCCATTCATCATAAACATCACAAGCTATAATTTACACAATGCATTCGCATCTTGTAAAGCATGTGTGTGGGTTTCGGTGATAAATATCCGAATGTCTTATAGATGATAACCATTCAGTTGCCAAGAACGCCATGAAGATTTTAATGAATGAAAGAAAATCAATTCCTAAAGAAAACGATGTCACAAAGTTAGAGGATTACCCCATGTTACTTATGGAATGTCTTCGTATCATGATCGAGAAGTGCTCGGACAATAGCGTAATGTTCCGAAAATGCGGAGGAGCGTCATGTGTTCATAGTCTTGTACAATATGAGAGTGCTCGGACGCAAGCATTAAAAATTATTCAAGTATTAATTTTAAATCAAGGTCACGATGACTTAAGTAAGCAATCAAATACTTGATTTTACTTCACTAAAACAGTTGTTGTTTTAGATTTTCTTATGCTTTTTAAATTTGAAGCATTTTTACATTAGAAATTCTTCGTTACAAGTCCACTTTAGAGTCTTCGACACATCTTTAGCTCACTGTTTCGATTATATTACTATAGGAAATCTATTACGATCCTTACGTGAATCAACTGCATCTTCTGTATCCATGAAGGTCCACCAGCTGCATACAGTAATCCAAGTGTTTGCTCTTGAGCCTACGATAAGAACAATGTTCCGTGACGTTGGTGGCTACATATACGTCATGTCTGTACTCATGAGCATGGAGGGTTCTTTACATCCTAATCCTAGCGCTAATTGGAAAGATGGTGAGTCGACAAATCTTTATTGATTTGTAGCTTTGTATAAAGGAAGATGGGTTCCCTTTAGCTTTAATACTAGAATTAATACTAAAAGAAGTTTTCTGCACCTTTGTATGTTCAATTTGGCCATCATTCAGCAGTTATCAACGAATTCTCATTTGAGGTTGATGTTAAATGAATCTTGTAAAATGCGAGATGATTACTTTGTGATAGTCATGTTTTGTGATTGTTTTTAATGTACAAATATAGTGAAAAAGTCAGACATTTTGGAAATGCTTCGTTTCGTGTTGTACGTTTTCACCAGTGCTATGCAAGATGAGCCGGCAAACAAGACGTTCTTCATAGACAAGGTACTTGACTGGGTAGTTATTTCAAGTGGCTTTTCAAACGCTATAGCCGTGTTTATCTTTCTGAAGGGTAGCATTAAGTAATCTCTCTGATTGTCTGATAATGTAGAGGCATTTTATACAGTTACTGTACTTTACTATTGGTTTGATAGGTGGGTCATAAAGGACTGGTAGATAACTTGCGTTTACTTGGTTGTTTTGACATCAACTATACAACACTGACTACTGACAGATCAGTTTCTCCAAATGGTATGAAAACTCGATTGAAACGAACACAATCAAGTAGATCGTCCATCTATGTTGACCCAAAGGTAATGATACTTTGTCACAGTAATGGACTGAATAAGATTAGATCTTAAACACTTTTAGACACTCACGATTAAAACACCAAATTGGAGTTTATAAGTACTTGTGTTTCAACATCTAATCACTCCTGATGAAGACACTTGACTGGAGTATTTTAACGACTTACGTTTCATCATCAGATCACTCCTGATGAAGACACTAGACTGGAGTATATAAGGACTCATGTTTCATCATCAGATCACTCCTAATGAAGACACTTGACTGAAGTACATAAGAATTTAAGTTTTTCATCAGATTTCTTCCTAATGAAGAGACTAGATTTCACTCTAACAGGACTTCGGGTGAAATGTTGAAAAAATTTTGATTTAACGTTACTCTGTTACATAGGTACCTTGTTTCCATCCTGATTCATCACTTTTTGCTGCTCTTCATGTTTTTCATTGTTTACTCGATATGGCCATGGATTCCTTCACCCTTAAATTAAACACATCAATAACGGATGATACAGACAGTGCTCGAGTATATCCATTGGATGTCTCTTGTATTTGTCATCCCGTTGCTGTCACAGTGCTTGTGGAGTTACTTCCCTCTATTGTCGAAACAGAGCAGGATTTGTTGTTGCATCAAAATGGTGATTATCAGGTAATGAAAAGAAATGCGGTGATCAGTTAAGGATAGACAACCAAAACAATCTTTTCACTACACAGAACAACAATATTTATAACGTATGTGTGTGCGTGTGTGTGTTATGGAAATATTTTAACTGGTTACTATAAATTATTATTGTATTATTTTGTCTTGATATTTCAGGATGCATTGGACCTTCAGCTCTATGTTGCCAATAAAGTTCAATCTTGCCTTCGCTCCGAACGAAATCAACAAGTCATGTGCCAAGCGGGCCTTCCTCAACAAATGCTGTTGCATTGTCAAGCTGCTTTAGAAATAGAAGAGCATCCTTTACATCTTCCTTTACAAAGAATATTTGAAAGGCTTGCAACACAAGCCCTCACTCCAGTTGTTCTCAGGTATGTATTACAATCAGTAGTAAATATGAAATAGATACAGTGCTTTGAAACTATGTTTTAGATCAAGTTTGAGTTTTATATCGAGAAGAATTCTAAAACGCGCTGTCATTCATTTCTCAAAATCTAACTTGCTCATTATTACTTCCCCTACCACCTCCACGTACTTTCTATAGTTGACGTTTTTTTCAAGATGTCAAAGTCGTCCTTCTTTTTTAGAGATTTTTTAAGACTTGCCAATCCACTCGAATGTGCTGAAGTAGAAATTACTCAAGTTACTAAACGTGGTGAGCATCCACGTGTCAACGCTGTTGATGGTGTCGACAACAAAAACAACGCTAATGGCGTCAACAAAACTGTGTTACAACAATCAACTAATGTTCACAAACAATCCTTGCTAAAAGATTTTCATGAAACTCTATATTTTTCTGGCGCCTGTTTGAGCGAATCACGCTCGCGGGCTAGTTCTACTAATAGTTCATTGTCTGGTGGCGAAGATGCAAATGATGGTATCCAAGACAGATCATTAAGTTTTCTTATTCCGAGACAAAGCAGACGAAGGAAATCGAAAAATAAGTCACAATCCAAGTTCTATACACCATCTCCTAGTTCTTCACTTGACGAACTAAACAATGTTCATGGTTCGTGCTCATCACCAGCTGACTCTACTGTGTCACCTGAACCAAACATTAACACATTGACGATTGATAGCTCAACGTCTGGGTTATCTGCAGGTGATTCAGTGCAAAGTCCAGTAAATGTTGCAAACATAGTTACGAGCTGTACAGTTGATGATGCAACAAATGTTGATAAAAACGACGACAAATTGCGAAGCTGTGAAATGAACACTGCCTCCACTACATTTCTTCCTAAAACCGCATCAAACATAGATGAAAGTTCTTCTCATTGTGTTATTAACCAACAACCAAGTACATGTGAATTATCTACGGAAATAGAAACCAAGTTATGCAATGGAGAAATTTTGGATAATCATTTACCAGATACCGTGTTGTCTAATGATGATACATTATCCAGTAATGAACTGAATGACACGACTTCAAATACGTCATTAGTTGAAAACAAGACGTCAGAGCATATAACCTTGGATGATTCTAAACAAGGCAATTCCGTTATAGAAATTGCCACGCGTCAAGGAGGGGGTCCTGTGTCTTTGTCCCGCATTAAATGTCTGGTTTCAACTACCACACCACGGGACATGCATTTGTGTGGGACAACTACTCTACCCTCGTTTGTTGAGTTCAACATGAGTCTTGATGGCTTTGGATGTCTTTATTTTCCATCAATTACACCTCATGCCTCACCAGGTATGGAATATTTTGAGCATATTTGGTCATCTGTTGTAATATATATTTAGTGACAATTTGAAACTTATTTAATGCCAATAGAAATAAAACTTATTGACCTGATATTTATATTATTCATTTTAATATTAAATATGTGTACTGATGTTTTACAGCAATTGTCCATATGTACTATTGAACCTACGTACGTACATTGTTTATTTACAGATATAGTTGTAGAGTCTTCTTTGGAAGCCATGTTACATATAATATGTTCTGTTTGTACTTTTCTACTCAGTCTTTTCATTTTAGAAAAGAAAATTGTCATCAACACGAGATGGCTAATTCTTATTAGTTTTGTTTTGCTTCAGAAACAGCTTTTGCAAATTACATGGCTGGCGTATCGTCTGCAGTTATGGGTTCTGTTCCAAGCTCAACTGCTGGTGATCGTACATTCCCTCCACAAGCTGGAATGACGTTTCTCGCGTGGTTTTGCGTGGAGAGGTTTAGTTCTCCCCTGCAGGATCCACATCCTATTCGACTGTTAGCAATCTGCTTCCGTAGTAAAATGATAAATGGCACTTATAACGAAGAAACTTGCTTGAATATTAGAATTTCTGCCTCGGATATAGATCGATCTCTTGTGGTAAGATTTTGGTAGCAATGTTTTTAAATAAATATGTAATTGCAGGCAAATGTTTTACACTTATATTGCGGAAATAAGCTTTTGTTGTCAGGGTTAGCATTGGTAAAAAACGTCTTATCACTTTTCTCTTGATGTTTGTTTGATAGTGTTACTTTCATGTCAGTTATACATTTCTTAGTACAATCAAATAAATTTTATTTTTGGTTCAAATTTATCAGTACCTGAATTTTTCATCTTTTATTTGGAGATATCCACCGAGGAAGAGTTCTCGAACGTTTTAAAGGAAGAGGATAGGAGAAAAACCAGAAAGAAAAAATCTCGCAATGAAGCAAGATTTCCGCTCAGTGATCGACTGCAAGAAGGCTACTGGCATCATGTAACTGCTACATTGAAACCGTCATTGATGTCTAGGCACTGCACTGCTGCGGTGTATCTGGATGGATCTTCAGTTGGACAAGCAAAGGTTGTGTTGACTATGTATTGTTTTGAATATATGACACAAATTTTTTGTGAAGAAAGTTTATATTTTATCATGAAAAGTCAAAACTATCACGAATGTTATGTTGAGTTGAGTGTTGGTTTTGTAAATTTCATTTTTTTTTTACCGAAAATTTCACTTGTTTCAGATACGTTACATTCCAAATGTATCATTGAGTGTTGGAACATACACTGCGTCAACAACTGATGCGTACATTGGAACCCGACGTTCACAACGACGATGCTCGAAGCTCATCTGGCAACTGGGTCCTTGTTATTTAATGGAGGAACCATTATTGCCAATGGAAATTTCTTGCATACATAAACTTGGACCGAGTTATTCAGGGAGTTTTCAAGCTCCGATTGTCAAGAAGAATAACCACAGTGTAAGCCGTTGGTGCTGCACCAATAATATAAATTGCGAGTTACTTTAATTAAGGCTTGAGCATAAAAAACGTATTGTTTTTGAGGAATGTATCGAGCAATATTTAGAATTTGCAAAATTCAAATAGGACTGATTTAAGATTTTGAATAATTTGGTAAATTCGATAATTTCATTAATTTCAAAGTAATTAAAATTGAAATCCAATTCAATGCAAGGATTTGAAATAAAGTTTTACGTTAAATCTGTTATCCACCTTTTGAAATTGTAAGAACACGTCAAATTTTTATTATCTTTTAGGGAGATCGCGATGTTCTGGAACCTCTAGTAAACGAAGCGAACATCGTCTTTGGTATCAATGCTCACGCCACTTCACGTGTTACTATAAATAAGTTGAAAAAACATTTTTCGAAAAGTGAGAGTCGAGCTGTTGCTTTAAAGGTAGATTTTTTTTCTATTAATTTACAGAAGTGCATATGAGCTTTCCTAAACGTTAGATTTGTCGCATGTGCTTCGTCAAGCTGTTCTTTAAAACAAGCAAATTTTTTAGCTTGGCTTATCGAAGAAGGATAACTCAACCCCTTTTCGCTTATTCCACAACACGGCTAGCCATCTTCAAGGTCCATCGCGATGTCTTGGTGGCGTAATAGTGGGAATTTCAGGTAGACACATGTGACTCATTTTTGTTTTCCTAGAAATGCAATGAAAATCATGTAGTATTGTTTAGTGTTATTACAAGAAAATTTACACTCTTAAACTCGATATATATACCATTATAGTAGCTCTACTCTAAACTCTTGTTTTTATTGATCAGGATATATGGTCAGTAAATCACATATTTTGTCATTTGGTTTTCTAGGTGTTCGGACGTTCGTTCCCAGGCCGGTCGCAGAGTTGATCAGCTACGTTGGTGGTACTACTACATTACTTGGTCTTGTTGCCATGGCAAATGACGTTGAAATGCTTTACGCCGCGGTGAAGGCTCTCTGTTGTGTTCTCAAGTATAGTTTCTCTGCTAGAGAAGATATGGAAAGAATCAAAGGATATCAGGTTTGCTTTTTCAAAAGACTTTTTAATTGCTTTAATTGCTTTGACAAATTTTTTTGATTGAGTTCCTATATGGCAGCCAATAATCATCTTGGCTATTTGCTAGATAGGGAAACATTCCACGGTGTTTGAGCTATCTTTGTTTAAGGCAACTAAAAGCCATGTTGGGAGCTTTTATTATTAATTCTTATTTCTTGCGATTTTTTTCTGCAAGTTAAAAACATCGCATCCAATACATACATATACAAACAAGTTTTGATTGTGACAACATTAAATGTAACTGACTTTACGCGAAAGGATTTGAGCTGTTACTATCTTCACCTAGATCCTTGCTTTGTTGTTCAAAAGAAAACAGTTCCTTTTGAACACGCACATTCTCCATCTAACCTTTGCTCTCGTTGGAACAGTGGATAGCGAACGAGAAATGGCTACAATACCGAATGAGATTGCATTTAAAGATTTACTGTGTGATTTTGAAGTATGGACAAAGGCTCCCGAGAACCTACAGAAATCCTTACTCAGTCATTTTTTAGAGTTACTTAGTCAGTCAAGGTTTGTATACGATGATAATGTTGTTTTCTGAAAACTGTAGAATAATTTTGCTCCTCAGTCAGGATATTGGGGGATTAGATTTTTCTACATCATTGTCAGCAGGAAAAATCTAAGTAAACTTAATTTTATTATTTTCACCATGTGGACACACTGCAGTCAACTGCCATCAAACATATCGCTCATGCAAGATCTTGGCATAGTCTCAAAACTTCTGTTTGTATTGAAAGATGAAAGCATACCTATTTCCACCATTAACGTAACCTGTGACGTCATTACTGCTGTTTTACGTCATGGCAATGAGAAACGTAATATTTGCTTTATACTTCAGTAAGTAACTCGATTGTCGTACAATAGATAGTATAATTTTAGCTGATTTTATTTCGAACCACGAGTCCTTATATACTTCACTCCAGTTATTGACTTCTTCAGGAGTCATTTGATGTCAGAAACATGAGTGCTTATATACTCCAGTCTAGTGTCTTCATCAGGAGTGATCTGATGTTGAAACTTAAACTCATTCTAATGTTTAAAAGCATTTTATGTGTTTAGATTTGGTCAGTTTTTAACGTGGACGCTTTTACCCTCGGATGAAAACGAAACTGAAATTAATATGAGTCTACACGAGACTGATCTTGTTGCAAGTGATGGTAAAATTCAATCTGTTGAACAACGGCAGGCTAAAAGAATCCTTCTGAGAAATCATTTGTTGGAAATATTTCTCACTCTTGTTGGAGCTGATAAAAAATCGAATGCTCATGAAAGGTTCGTCATATCTTTCATTTGATAGAAATTCTTACAGCAGGATAGAAACGATGGGCTATTTTTGTTAATCACATGTTTCCGTAAACAATGTCTTACCTAAACATAAATAATAAATTATGGTTATGCAAAATTTTCCATACAAGAAAAGCGTTTATTCTACAGTAAGTCTTTTCTATTTATTGTAATGTATTGGATTTCGTGCGTGAAAGAGAAGTCAAAAATTGCAATAGTATAAATATTGTGGAAACGAGGTTGACATATAAAAATTCCTGCATTTTGGAATAATTGATTTTTGTGAAAAGTTTTGGTGATTTTTAAATACTGTATCGCAGACTTAAATCAGTTCATTTTAGATGTTTGTTCATTCGCTTTGTTCGTAAAATCATCAAATTATTGATGTCTTACAGATTTTCCGATGCCATACACGATATTCTTGGTTTTGATTGGATCCTGCTGTTTATGAAGGATAATACTCATAGTTCGACAGTCGTGAGAGCTCTTAGACTACTTGTTACTATCATTTCTTCAAGTGACGCCTTGGAGAAATTTAGAGAGGGATCAAGTAACGGTGGATGGCTGAAAGGAACTGAAGCTCTAAAAATTAGACTTGTCCATGTGGTTGGAGGTAATCAAAGACATAGAGCTGACGTATTAAAGACAGAATAGAAATAAAAGCAATCATCTACTTAGTAAACTACAACAGTTGCCTTAGTTAAATTCATTTTAAGTGCTCTTTTCTCATCTTTATCTCTTCTTTGTCCAGTGTTGTTAACAGCAAAAAAGTCAACTAAACTTTATTATTTTTATTCTATTGGTGGTGGTAAAGGCTTATTCCTAGAAATCTAGTAAATATTTCATAGAATGAAATGTCGTCTTTCTTCTATGTTCAGGTTTCAATGTCAAAGCTAAAGCAAATGAAGAAGACGTTTGTGAAGTAAATAGAAATGCTGTTAATGTTCCTGGCTTTGTCACCTTAAATCAACTGTTATCTAAGCATGTTTCAGTGCCAGAAATATATCATTTACTTATAAGCTTGCTCCTTAAACACCCGGTTGCAGGTAAATACTGTTATTCTGCATATATGCTTGAGTATTGTGAAGTTTTTTTGCAGCATTTGAACTGATCATTAACTAGACTAAAATTTGAAAGTGTGCTTATTGGATGATGTTAAAATACATTGAAAGTCAATATTTTTTGTTATCAACAGAGGCATCAATCTAATGTGATTTTGCACATCCCTCCCCCCTTGGTTTTTAATGTTTTACAATATCGCATGTTATATTGCTACTGATTTTTGGCATCACTTGTTGAACATAATGACTTCAATGGTAAAACTACTTTCAAGAGTATCTGTTTTCTTTGGGGGATAATAAAATTTGTGATAAAACATACACTTTTCTTTTCCAGATGTTAAAGCTGGCATACAGTTTGATTGGAATAATCTATATCATGTATTTTGGGTAACTAGCAACAGTATGTCTAGCACCAGTCCTCCTCCTTCTCCTCACGGCCCAGAAAAACGCTCAATATACTGTCCTGAAGCTGCTTGTGTCTTATTAAGTATGGCTAGAATGGTTTGTGGAAAGGTGTGTACTGTAATGTTTACAATTTTTAGTGCGAAGTTGCCTGGCAATTGTTAGCTCTACCTAAACCTTTATTACTATCAGCAAATCAACTTTTTAATTGATTAAGTGTGACTATGAAAGGAAATGGAAGCTATTTGAATTTTATTTCTGCTGCACAGTTACTTTATCGGTCTTTATTGGTTATGTTTACTCTCTAAATATGTAACTTTATTTAACTGTTAAGTTAAATAATTTAGTTAAAGAAACAGGAAATGCAAGAGTTGAATCGTGAAAGATATTAAAAAATATATAAAACATGTATAAGTTGAAACTTGAGTTACATGTTAAAAAAACGGCAGAAGTTGTTTAAAACATTGCAGTATCCTTGAATATTATTGCTTATTTTATAAAATAAAAAGATAAAATTTGAAAGCAAAAAACCCCGTTTTCGGGCCATGCTTCCCGATACCTTGTTAATCTTAAGGCACTAGAACGCCGCATGTTAACGTTTCGGTAGGAGATTTCGGCCCCTCCACGCTATCCTACTTGGGAGATGCAATAGCAAGCTTCCGCCCATCAGACCCCGAGATCACCTGCAATAGGCTTTGCTCGGGGTACGCAGGGAGAGTGCGGTTGCGACCCGAAACGTCTGGACCCCTAAGCCAATGCATACATATCGCACCCAGCTTCCACTGCTAGTTGACATCTACTACATGAAGTTTTAGCTTTATATATATATATATACACAAATTCAAAGGTTTACGAAAGTTGTGGTATTATTCAAGTCACTACTGCGCATGCTCAGATGATTTTTTTGATAATTTGCGACTAAGTGAGCTTGTTGCCACGAAAGTAGTGCACGTACATATAGTTAGTCGTTGCCATGACTATGAACAATTAGTCGAGTGAACTGCGCATGTTTCTGCGCATGCGCAGTTATTCTCCTGATGATTTGTGACTAAGCGAGCTAATCATTCTGATACTAGTGCAAGTGGATCTAGTTAGTCGCTGCCATGACTATGAACAATTGGTCAAGTGGACTGCGCATGCTCCTGGCATGCGCTGATGATATCGCTGAGACTAAGCGAGCTATTTACTCCAAAATTGTTTTTTTGTAAATACAGATGATTGTATCCATGACTATAGACGATGTTTCTAATAGTTTGTGACAGAGCATGTTATTCACTCCATGAAAATAGGGGCATGTCCCCATCTGTTGCACCCTCATTTTTTATCCATGCTGTCTGAATTATCTTTGTAATCTAAGTTGTTTTTTTATCCATGCTGTCTGAATTATCTTTGTAATCTAAGTTGTTTTTTTATCCATGCTGTCTGAATTATCTTTGTAATCTAAGTTGTTTTTTTATCCATGCTGTCTGAATTATCTTTGTAATCTAAATTTTTTTTATCCATGCTGTCTGAATTATCTTTGTAATCTAAGTTTTTCTTTATCCATGCTGTCTGAATTATCTTTGTAATCTAAGTTTTCTTTATCCATGCTGTCTGAATTATCTTTGTAATCTAAGTTTTTTTATCCATGCTGTCTGAATTATCTTTGTAATCTAAGTTTTTCTTTATCCATGCTGTCTGAATTATCTTTGTAATCTAAGTTTTTTTTCATCCATGCTGTCTGAATTATCTTTGTAATCTAAGTTTTTTTTTATCCATGCTGTCTGAATTATCTTTGTAATCTAAGTTTTTTTTTAGGAATGGCAAAACAATGGTGAACCCTCTTGGCTTGAAGAGTATCCAGTTACTGTTGTACAATTCCTGCAGTTTCTGTTCTACAATGTAGAACATTTCTCATTAATCTCATCAAGTCAGGATTTTATTGAACATTTAGTAGCTGTCGTTTTTCCTGAAATAAAAATGGTTCGTATTTCTTCTACGAAGGACGATTCATCTCTTGATGTAAGTAAGCGATGTCAATAATATACAAACTTAGTACAAACAAGGTGTTTTACTTCTTGACGATGGACAAAGATGTGGTGTTTAATGTTTCTCTATGGTTGAATATTTTTGTCTTAATGAATTGGAGTGTCTCGGTTCTTTTACCAACGTCATTGAAAATATTTAAGTGAAATTTTAGATGATAAATAATTAAGTTGTTTCCATTGCATTCCTTTGTTATAGATACTGAGTATGAGTCGTGGTACCGTTGTCTTATGCAATGAAGCTAAAGAGACTCTAATAAAACACCCAGCAAAGAAATTAGTGATGGATTTTTTACGAGTTCTCATCACAGATGCTTTGACTACTCCACCGTATGCTACTACGCTTATTGACACAATCCTTGAGGTAAAGGTTGTGTCCACGATTTTTTTTTGTCGTTTATGTTTCAAACTTCGGCTGATTATTGCCAAATTTGTTTTTGTGGTGAAACAATTGGAAGTCGATTTGATGTGTTCTTGTTTGCATTCTACAAGTGTTTTTTTACCTTTAAAATATGGGATATACAGCATAATTTTTTACATTCTCACAGAGCGTTCCTCCATCAAGTAAGATACATCAAACGCAAGAGTTTCAAACAGAAGTTCTCAACTCACAAATGGACTACCTGCTTGCGGGAAATCTGCTGTCAAATCCGGGAAAAGTTTTGACGTGTATTTGTAATTTTGTTGCCAAAATCGTGGACAAATTATGGCAAGGTAACGTAGTGTTTATCGTCGAGTGGTTATGAAAGAATTTCGAGTTTTATTTTGTGCTTCAAAATAAAAGAAAATGGAAAAAATGTGTTTGCTACATGGACCTGTTTACCCCATTAGGACATAATGAAAAGAAATGGGGGTATGGGGATGACTGCTTAGAATTTATGTAGCCTATTTTGTTCTTGTACTAATCGTGGTCTGTATGTAGTGGTGCTGTTACCTTTTTTCAGTTGTTCTGCTGTTTTTTATCTTTAGAGTACTTTATATTGGGATACAAGCCAATCTTTAACTTCGTCATAACCATCATTGAATCAAGTAGAGGTATTATTAATTATTGTTTTTCTTGGTAATTTTGTAACTGTTTTACTGGTGTATTGTTGTTATTATTATTAAGGTCATTCGATAGCTAAAGATGGTGCATTTCACTCTCTCAATCGTGTCATTTTATTTCAATTATCTCGAGCATTAAAAGAGAAAAGTGGTGGGTGTTTACATTATTGGATCTTTAATGAACTATAAGCCTGATGATGGCGCTTATAGGACTATAGTATTAAGATTATATCACTCTTGATGAAAAGGATCCAAGTTTCATTTCCAAGTCACTTCTGATAGATACACTCTGATAGATACCCTTGATTAGAGTATATAAGAACTCAAGTTTCAACATCAGGTCACTCCTTATGAAGACATTAGACGGGAGTATATAAGAACTCAAGTTTCAACATCAGACCATTCATGGTGAAGACTCTACACTGGAGTATATAAGAGTATATTTGGAGTCAATGCTTATTAGATTTATTCTTATAATCAGCATCAAAAAAATGCAAAATTGCGTTTGAATCTAATGCTGAAAAAGAAAAATGTATCTCTCTTTACTAGATTTTTCAGATATGCTGGAATTTCTTCATACTTTGACTATAAATCAACGTATCGTGTTTTCTTCCATCAATAACAATGCTGACTTTATTGCCAGTCTATGTTATCATCTTCTAATTCTGACTGGAGCAATCCTCCCCGAGCATTCAAATAACATTGAACTGACAGACCCAGATACAATAACTGGTACGATGGTTATGGTTTTAACGTATACAATATAACTATTAGCAAAGTTTGTTGTATGAATGGCTTGTTTATACCATTTTGTTTAACACCATTTTGATGACTTAAATGAACTAAGTTATATAAAGTATGTTTATCCAAAGCGTTGTGTAAACTGATGAGAACATATAGTGGGACTAATCTCGAAGAGCAGAGATTTTAAAACCGATCTACACAACGTAGGAAATTTACTGTCGTTATTTTTTTTTCAGGACCAAATGATCTCAGTCATAGTAGTGCATTATTGACTGCTGCTGCAGAACGAGTGTGGGAAATTTTTATTCAGAATAAGAAAGACGTAAGTTGTTTTTATACTCAATGTTGGTTCTGATAATGTAATGGAAACACAATTTTTTTCGGTTTCATTTTCAGACCATAGAAAATGTTTTTAAATTTGAATTTCCCAAGTCTACTTTTGTTTTATACAACTACGGTATCGGTGGAATGACTAACGTGTAAGTAAACATATTGTTATATTTCATCCTCATATTTCTTGAACTCATTTTTTCCAATACATACTATTTGATACTAAGTTTTTTCCTCTTCTTTCTATATTTCACATTTTTTCATATAAGGTGCAAACTTTTTAAAAATCCGTTAAATATCTTAGACGATTGTAGTCTTATGTTATAGTCAAGTGATTATTTTGTAAAAACTTTATCAATAGCCCAGACAAGAGTTTTAAGACAATGAACTTGGATCCTAAATCCCTAGGGTATGTTCTCGTTTTTTGTTTGATCAACAATTGATCGATTGCGTTTAGCATCTTCTGCATTCTTATGTCAACGAACTTCCACTATTTCGTAAACACTAAACGCTGCATTTATTTCAGGCCGAAGTTATTAGAACCAGCGAAAAAAATTTGGGATGCTTTTATTGTTTCTGAAATCAAACATAAAGGGGAAAGCCCCAAACCACAGGTGAGAAATTGAGTATGAATTGCTCTCTTTTGCCTTGTTTTAAAACCTTATTCCAACTAACACTCACTGAGTGGAGCTTCATTATCACGTCATAACTGTTCCAAGACTGTATTTTAACTACACTGATAACTTGTTTTGAAATATTTAAGGGAAAATCACGTGATCGATAGAAAAAATGAGTTTGCCATTGATTAGTGGGAGCGAGATTTCTGTGTGGAGGAGGGGGGGAGAGGCTTTAGAATACAGGCGTTCGTCAGGTGTTGAAGTAAATCTTATCGCCCTTTCAACTTTTATTTATCCCCTTGCTCTGTCTGTAACCCTTCTCTCACTGTAACTCTTTACCTTAACTATATCAATTTATTTTTTATGTACCCCCTACTTATACTGTACTCCTCTACTCTCACTGTACTCCTTCACTCTTATTGTAACCCTATTTCCTCTGTACCCTCTTTCACTGTATCCCCCTATTCTCATGCTTCTTTTTCATTCCTTCTACTGTCACTCATGTAACAGCTGTCATCATATTACTCGGCTAGCTGTCACTATCATACTAACACCTTTACAAAGATGCTTTGTATTTGTGCTACTTTGCTCAATTGAGTTACAAGTTATTTTCCTAATATGGACTCAACTCTAAGAAATCATTTCCACGAAATTCATAGCGTTGTAGAGTACTTTGTCATTTATCTTTTCTTATTCAATACAAAGATTAAAATAACATCTAGTGTATAGGATGTTTTTTTCTATCCTACTTGCAACCTTCATGTCCTTTATCATCCAATTTTTCACCCCTCCACCCACCCCACCCCCCCGTTCGTTTATTTATTATTCTTTGAGCTGATTTTTGCTCTCGCTCTCTCTAAGCATCCGTTTTTATTCAATTATCCCAAATATGTTTAAATATAAACTTTTCCCATTTCCCCCTCATGTTTTTGCATTTGTCTTTTAATAGAAACCACTTCGAAATCGACGGACAGTAGGCAGGAAGGAGAAGGTTGTTGATTCACCTTTAAAAGATAACACAGATGTTTTTACAAATCAACATATTGATCTGGTGAAGAAATTATTTTTACATCAAAATCGAAATTTTCATCAGGTGAGTCATAATTTGATGAAATCTACCTCGTTTCTCCATGGTTTCTATTTTTATTTCGAAATCATTTTGATATTCTATCGTTAACATGTTCTTTGGATTTTTTTCAGAATTGCAGGTTTATTGAAAGATCCTTAGACCAAAAGTGGGCGTCCAGAGAATATGATCTAACTAGAGTACGTGGTCTCTGGGGTCCTCCTACGGACTCACGTCTAAACAAGTGGATGCTTGATATGGTTGAAGGTATATTGCATGTTGTTCTCATTTTTTGTTCATTCATTCATCACTATCTACATTGACACACGTTATCTTAGTGTATATTTAAGATAGTGTAAAGACTGTTCTCTTTCTCTGTTGTTCATTCATCACTACCTACACTGACACACGTTATCTTAGTTTATATTTAAGATAGTGTAAAGACTGTTCTCATTCTATTTTGTTCATTCATCACTACCTACACTGACACACGTTATCTTAGTTTATATTTTAGATAGTGTAAAGTCTTTTCTCATTCTCTGTTGTTCATTCATCACTACCTACACTGACATACGTTATCTTAGTTTATATTTTAGATAGTGTGAAGACTGTTCTCATTATCTGTTGTTCATTCATCACTATCTACACTGACACACGTTATCTTAGTTTATATTTTAGATAGTGTAAAGACTGTTCTCGTTCTCTGTTGTTCATTCATCACTACCTACACTGACACACGTTATCTTAGTTTATATTTTAGATAGTGTAAAGACTGTTCTCATTCTCTTTTGTCCATTCATCACTACATACACTGACACACGTTATCTTAATTTATATTTTAGATAGTGTAAAGACTGTTCTCATTCTCTGTTGTTCATTCATCACTACATACACTGACACACGTTATCTTAGTTTATATTTTAGATAATGTAAAGACTGTATTCATCACTACATACACTGACACACGTTATCGTTTTCATGTTCTCTGTTGTTCATTCATCACTACATACACTGACACACGTTATCTTAGTTTATATTTTAGTAGTAAAGACTGTTTTAATTTTCTGTTGTTCATTCTTCACCACCTACACAACACATGTTATCTTAGTTCGTATTTTATGAAAAGTAAAATCTTGTACACATACGTTGTCAATACTAAGCCTATCACACGTGACATATTTTCTTATGTGAAAAGTAAACCATTTTTTACGAAAGGTCCATATCGTATGAGAAAGAAAATGTGCAAGAATGACAGTTTTTACGACAACTATTGTTTTAATGTTGAGTCAGGACAGTCTGGAAGGGTGAGTCATGCAATAATTTCGAATTTTACTTTATATTTTTAAAATATTTAATACAGTTATTTTTATAATTGTTACAATTCTATTCGTGCAGCCCACAAAGTTCAAGGTTCCGATGAGTTCTGATAGCAGACTTTATGCCATGTTATCGGATCAAAAAATTCGTGCGCTCGAAATGAAGAAAGGAAACAAATGTATGTACTCGTAAAATTCAAATTTTTAAATCAACAAATTTGTTTATCTTAGTATTCTGACGTTTTCACATTTTAATGGAAATCAAATAACCAGAGGTCAGTGCTGTAATAACGATGTTTTATATTGCAGATGAACGGTCTTTCAGTGAATATCAACCGTCTTCAGAATTTAGTGAAGTCGAAATGAATGAAAATAACGACGTGAGTTAATGTTTCTTTACCTGAATAGATGAGAAGAATGGATTGAGTGGATTTTGATTTACTGTTTATTACACTGTAAACTTTTGTCGTCATGTACATCATTCAATAACTTTAATTAATATAATTTGTTGTTAATGGACTTATTTCTTATCCTGAATTGAATTGTTTTCTAGATGGAAGACCAAACTATTTTGAAACTGTTAGATGCAGGCGAAAAGGTCAAATATCATCTTTAAAAATAGTTGATGAATAAATTTAGAGCAAGCTACGGGCAATTCAAACCATCCTAAGTTTCATTTTCAACACTTTGGTCAAACTTTACATGTTTTATAATTTGTATTTTAGATCCGCTCAATGTTCGGGCAATTCAAACTATCCTAAGTTTAATTTTCAACACTTTGGTCAAACTTTGCATGTTTTATAATTTTTATTGTTAGATCCGCTCAATGTTCCGTTGCGCTCGAGTAGAAGGACTGGATCACGCTGAAGGACTTTTCTTATTTGGCCAATCACATTTCTATGTTGTCGATGGCGTAACGTTATTGTCTACTAAAGAAATCAAGGATATTGAATCCTTACCAGCTGAGTAAGATCTTTCATAATGTTTCTCAAGAATAGTTAGAGAAATGTTCATACTAGTATCAGGAATAGTATAGTTGTGAGTGCAATTCCACATAAACTGAACTGCAATCAACAAATGACGATCGAGAAATCTCTCTCAAAGTATATTATTAGCAAAGAAAAGAATTGTTATGAATTTTTATTGTCATTGTTCTTCAACACAATTTATGTTCACTATTTTACTTTTTTATACTTTGATGTTCATGGTCAGTGCTGATGGTAAAAAGCGTGATTCTTTTGATTTTCATCCAGTTTCTTTTTCTTTAATCCAGTGCGCATGATCCGATAATTCCTAGAAGTTCTCACGATTCCGGAAACTTAACATTCAAAAAACTGTAAGGAAAATTTACATATTGTTTGTTTTAAATTTTAACCCAATTTCTGTGTGTTTCGTTAACAATTTAAAAACGGTTTTATTAAAACAGACATAAAATCATATAGTATGTATGAGATCATGTACGTTTTCGATTTGTTTAGTTGCAGTACATGGGCCTATGAGGCTGTTCGCGAAGTTCAAAAACGTAGATACATATTACAGGTGTAAATTTTATGTTATATTTTGATATACATTACAAGTGTAAATAGGTATTATGTTTTTTGTTGTATCGATCAAGAATTTTTCAAACCGGTAAATACTGCTGACCACCGTATTTTAATTTGAAGGATACTGCTGACCACCGTATTTTCATTTGAAGGATACTGCTCTTGAGGTTTTCTCCAACGATGGACGAAATCATCTTTTGGTTTTTCCCAAATCCGTTCGAGATAAAGTTTACAACAAGTGAGGTTTTTGTGTATTCTTACACTTTTATGGCTGACTAAGAGTATGTTTTATATAAGTAGGTAGGATTACCATAATTTCTTTACAACGAGAAACATTAATGTTGCAAATAAAAAAAGTACGAATTCATTCATGATGGATATGAGAAATTTTTCTTGGTTTTTAGAATGCTGTCGATGATACCAACAAGTCCTGTGGATTCCGTTTCAGGACAGAAACCAGACACAGAAGTTGAAGCGTACATATTACATTTATGTCTTAATCATAATATTGACGTTTACGTTGGCTTATAAATATATTGTCTTTCTTTTTAGTCTTGGTATTATCAACGCATTTATGGGTGAACGTTCTGTAACACAAAGGTGGGAGGTAGGATATTATCAACTCTCAATGCTATTGAGCAACATTTCATTTTATTGTATATATTGCAATGTTAGTTCTATGATCATATTTTACGAAAAAAATATGTACCATATTATGTGTTTTTATCTTTTGACCATCGCACTATCACTGTCTATTTCTCATAATACATATGTTTTGTTGCTCCTACAAGATTACATTAGTTGAAAGTCAGATAAATATCTTTGTTAACATTAACAAACTAGTATGAACTATATACTAAAGCTGTATCATCTATTTCATCCTTATGTACTCTAATTGTGTTTTTTTCATTATTCTTTAGAAAGGAGAGATTTCAAACTTTCAGTATTTAATGTACTTGAATACGATTTCTGGCCGATCATACAACGATTTGATGCAATATCCCGTCTTCCCATGGATCATTGCAGACTATGACAGCGAGGTATTAATGATTAATGATTTTGTATTGGCTCGCTGTAACCATTATTTTTTCCCTGATGATAGTGCTGATGACATGAATCATGCCCAAAATTAGATTATTCCTTATTACCAGTAAAAGATTGTTTCGTTCAGTGGAGACATTGTTAAATGCCTTATTTTTACTGTAAAGTTTCGTAGAGACTTCAGTCAGTTGTTCATCAAATATATCGATCAGATAATATGCTGTTATATTTTGTCAACATTACGTTTTAGGAACTTGACCTTTACAATCCAGCTACATTTCGCGATCTATCGAAGCCCATGGGTGCTCAGACGGAAGGAAGAAAGAAGGATTTCGAGAAACGTTATCGTGAGTGGGATGACCCGTCTGGTGAGACCCCAGCCTATCATTATGCCACCCACTATTCCTCAGCAATGGTCGTGGCCTCGTATTTAGTCAGAATGGAACCATTCACGCAACATTTCCTTCGTCTTCAGGTATTTCTCGCTTTTTGAAGAGGTTTAAATAAATATGGCCTTAGTTGTGGAAAATATCAAGTGTAATGGTCTTAGTGAGATGACAGCTCTTCTTTTTAAGGGTTTATAAAAGGTTGGAAAATTTTGAAGATAGATACAAGTTAAACACTTGGGCTTTTTTATGTTTTATCAGGGTGGTCATTTTGATCTTCCTGACCGCATGTTTCATGGAATGAAGGACGCGTGGATGTCTGCATCTGAGACAAATATGGCAGATGTGAAAGAGTTGATACCAGAATTCTTCTATCTTCCTGAATTCCTTGTAAATGATAATAGATTTGATCTGGGTGAGATTGAGATTCAGTAGATTTCATTATTGATTTTGGTGATGCTACAGAAGAACATCTTAGCCAAACGACTTTGTATTTACATTTAATTTTGTAACAACTTTAGTTCCTCATGTCTAGTTACGTATACAGTGATGATTGTTAACCCATCCAGTATATTTGCTTCAGTAAGTGTAAAGTAATCATAATCATGATTTGTATTGGGTTGCAGGGCAAAAACAAAATGGTGTTATTCTCGGAGATGTTTTATTACCTCCATGGGCAAAAGGCGATCCTCGAGAATTTATACGTCAACATCGTAAAGCGCTCGAGTGTGATTATGTGAGCAGCAGGCTGCATCTATGGATAGATTTGATATTTGGATACAAGCAGCGTGGCGATGCGGCAAAAGAAGCTGTTAATGTTTTTCATCATTGGTTTTATGCTGACAGTGCAGGTATTTTTACTCATCCATGATTGATGATGTGAGCTTTATATAGTTGTCTAAATTCATCAATTTGTGGCTGCTAAAATATGATTGTCCTGCTTCTTTAATTGTTGTTTTAATAGATATAACTAATATTAACGATCCTGTCAAACGAAATGCGAAGATAGGCTTTATAAATAATTTTGGACAAACACCAAAACAAGTACGTCTTGATAGGGTGAATTTTAGTTTAGATTGGAGCCTCATTACCGGATTGTCAACAAGATATTTTAATTTAGCTCTTCAAGAAACCTCACGTGAGCAAAAAGGCTTTTCTTGTTCAAGATCAAGAGCAATCAGGTTCTTCATTTGTTGTGCATACTGATAAAGTTTTCAATAACTTTACAAAGATGATGCCAAGTACACAACCAATAAAAGGTTACCAACAAAACAAACATTTCATTACCTTCAACATCAACATGTTTTACCGCGTAGTGTTTCGCAATTATTTTTTAGAAATCAACGGACCTGTCGGTGAAATTATTCAGACAGACAAAGGAATTAATGCACTGAAAAAAAATTACGTGGGTCTTCAACATTTCAATGTAGTGTGATACAAGATTGATGAACAAATTTTTTTGGTTACTTAGGCAATATTCCCTCATCCTTCCAATCAATATGCATCATGGGGCTTTGGTGATCTCAGTTTAAGAATTGGTCTACTGGATGGAGATAAAGTAAGCATTAAACATGCAGTTTTGCTTCTAAATAAAAATAACCCATATTCGATGGTTGATGTACTTGTAAAGACTAAATAAAGCTATCAAACAACTCCTGAAATAATGTTCAATGTATAAGTCAATGTTCAAGTGAAACTGGTTTATTTACGATTGTAGAAAACATTATGTTATTTAATTTATTTCATTTCATTATTGTTGTGAAAATCTTTAACAATATTTATGAAGGTTATTGCCGTTATGGAAGATTGCCAAGTTGGTCAGATTCTTTGTGCTGCTTGCCCAGATTCAAGAACTCTTATTACAGGAGGAAAAAATACGGTAAAGGAAGTATATTTATTGTGTTACATTTTAACAGCTAAGAAAGAGAGAGGATACTGTAGGTTTGTAAAGTATTAACTAGTATATATATGTGAACAATGGGATCATATTTTGCTCACGTGTTGATTTTGATATAAAGGATAAGAAAAATAAGTTTGATTAAAATCACTAAAAATCTATGATGAACGTTATTAAATTAAAACAGGCATCTCATAGAACTCATGAAAACACTATCAAATTTTAGTGAAGAAGTTAGAGTAGTGCAAATTTACTGACGACACTAGAGATGGCGGGAAATAATCCAACAAAATTCACTGGAACTAGTGAAATTTAAGAACCAGTATTTGTGTCAAGAATTAATATATCGTATTAAATGTAATGCAGTTCAAAATATTGCAAGAATTTTTTTTAGTTGGTTTATGTGTGGATTGTTGATCGTGAAAATAAAGACAAAAGACCTCAGATGACCATACATGAGGTAATTATAAATACTCATTGTGATCATTGTATGTACGTACTGATTGTTACACACGAAGCAACTATAAATATCCATCTTAATCATTGTATGTACATGCTGATCCTTCAGCGTGAGTTTTCCCAATAAAAGCGAGAAAAAAAATGCAAATGATTTCTCGGACTTTTGGGTTTCAATTTGTTGTAGCTAAGAATCTCTTGTTTCATTATTTGTCTCATCTCACTTCAGATTTTATACGGTCATCTTCAACCTGTCACGTGTCTTGCAGTATCTAGCTCTTATAATCTTATTGTCAGCGGCTCTGAGGTATGCCTTGTTCTGTTTCGTTTCTATTGGTGGATTTTATCATAAGTTATACAGGCAATCGCAATTAGCCAATCAAAATTCAAATCGTCTTTTAAATACAACAAAAACCTGTAGAACACAGAAATGATACATATGACTTTCATCTTCAACAGGATATGACTTGTATTATATGGGACTTGAACAAACTGACATATGTTCGACAACTACGTGGACATGTCTCACCTGTTTCAACTATTTCAATAAACGATTTGACCGGAGATATTGTTACTTGTGCGGGCACATATTTGTATTTATGGTCTGTTAATGGTGCACTAATTGTCGAGGAAAATACTTCACTGAGACCTACAAATCCAATATATTGCTGCCTGATGTCTGAGGTTTGTCAAACTCCTTTTCAAATATTTATTAATTACGTAATAAACTAACGTTATTCATCTGGATCTATGCATTGAATGTATACTATCCAGTGTGAAAATCTTTGATTGTTTTACAAGAGCTTGCCTGCTTCTCTTAGACATCCAAAGAATAATATATTATGGAAATAGTATCTTTACTGATTTGTGTTGCATTTTTTGTGTTAAAGTAGATGGTTTGAACCCGGGAGTATCGTTACATGTTTGTAGATGTAGATCGTCCAGGTTGGTATAGTCTTGAGAAGGACTGTTTTTGTTGTTGTTTACTGACGTTTCGACAACCTTAGCGGTTGTCATCTTCAGAGTCAAAATGAAGATTATGTATAAATTTTGTCGTACAAAATTGAAGATTTTGACTCTGAAGATGACTACCGTTAAGGTTGTCGAAACGTCAGTCAACAGCAACAAAAACAGTCCTTCTCAGGACTATACCAACCTGGTCGATCTACATCTACAAACATTTTTTGTATTATCAGGCACTTCATATCACAGAACTTTACTCATCCAAATTTTTTCCCACTTTTTTAAAGTTATCTGATTGGGACGAAGATGTAATATTAACAGGCGATCATGATGGTGTTGTGAAGGTGGGCCTTTGGTCAATGAAAAATAGACCTTTTTCCTGCTGTTGAACGTAGTGAGGAATGAACAACAGAGAACGAGAACAGTCTTTACATTGTCTAAATTATAAACTAAGATAACGTGTGTCAGTGTAGGTAGTGATGAATGAACAACAGAGAACGAGAACAGTCTTTACATTGTCTAAATTATAAACTAAGATAACGTGTGTCAGTGTAGGTAGTGATGAATGAACAACAGAGAATGAGAACTGTCTTTACACTACCTAAAATATAAACTAAGATAACGTGTGTCAGTATAGGTAATGATGAATGAACAACAGAGAATGAGAACAGTTTTTACACTATCTATAATATAAACTAAGATAACGTGTGTCAGTGTAGGTAGTGATGAATGAACAACAGAGAATGAGAACTGTCTTTACACTACCTAAAATATAAACTAAGATAACGTGTGTCAGTATAGGTAGTGATGAATGAACAACAGAGAAAGAGAACAGTCTTCACACTACCTAAAATATAAACTAAGATAACGTGTGTCAGTATAGGTAGTGATGAATGAACAACAGAGAACGAGAACAGTCTTTACATTGTCTAAATTATAAACTAAGATAACGTGTGTCAGTGTAGGTAGTGAGGAATGAACAACAGAGAATGAGAACAGTCTTTACATTGTCTAAATTATAAACTAAGATAACGTGTGTCAGTGTAGGTAGTGATGAATGAACAACAGAGAATGAGAACTGTCTTTACACTAAAAATATAAACTAAGATAACGTGTGTCAGTATAGGTAGTGATGAATGAACAACAGAGAAAGAGAACAGTCTTTACACTACCTAAAATATAAACTAAGATAACGTGTGTCAGTATAGGTAGTGAGGAATGAACAACAGAGAATGAGAAAGTCTTTACACTATCTAAAATATAGACTAAGATAACGTGTGTCAGTATAGGTAGTGATGAATGAACAACAGATAATGAGAACAGTCTTTACACTATCTAAAATACAAACTAAGAGGGCGTGTGTCAGTATACGTATGTAGCACAAACTACTGCTAATGTTGTGAATGTGTCAATAGATTGTCTTTGTCATCACTTTAGATGTGGGCTGTTGAATTTTACGATGAGAATGCAAAACCATTCAGAACAAGAGATGTTAGTGATGATGACGGTTGGTGACATATTTTGAATAATCATGAGTTGTGTTGTATGTGTTGATGTTTCATATTTTACGAACGTCCTAAATACTCCTAACATATTTTCTTGAATCTTCAGGAATTGAGACATCTACTGGTGATGATAGTTGTAACACACAATCACAAGATAATAAATCATCTTCAGAAGATTATGTAATTATCAATGACATGGAACAAAAACCAGTTGCGAAACCTGTCGAGCAAGGTTTATTTTTCTTCGTTCTTTGTCAGTAGGAATTATTTTTATTTATTTATAATAATCGTGTGAAGCACGGATTGAATATAATTTGGTGTTGACGGCACAATGTATATTTTTACGTAGCTGTGTGGAAAAGGAGACTGGTGATGAGATCCCAGTTAACAATGCATACAGCATTTGGTCGTGAGGACAATTGTTCGCCAGCAGCAGTTACTGCCATACTTGTATCCAGGTAAAACACGTATTTCATCAATATTGTTGAGATAATTCTCACAATGTAACATTATATTTGATTTTTATATCAATGGTCAATTGTTTATTTATTTGAAAGTTATTTTTAGCAAGCGATGTAAACCTGGTACTCAATATTATTGCTTTTTTATTTTCTTGTATCTTAGAGACCATAGGAAACTGTATGTTGGAGATGCGCGGGGTCGTGTCTACAGTTGGTCAATCGGTGATGCAGCAGGTATAAAACTAGATAATATACTATGTGTTGTTTTGTCTCAAAACTTGATCCATTTTTTAAGTTTTCATATTTAATCATATGCCTGCGCACGGTCTTAAAATACACAACTTGTCTTCTTTAAATGTCACGTTTGGTCACGTAACCTTGTGTGTGTGGTGAATTTATCCATGTCGTCTGCACAGTGAGCTCCGGGAAGTGGGTTTTCACTTGTGTCGTGAAATTGTAATATTTGAATCACTCTATTCCATATTATTTATAAATAAAATTTTTCACATTTTTTCCCCGTGAGGCCGCATCGCTGATCATTGGGAGCGAGATGAGAGCATTTTGTACTGTACAGCTTGTCATGTCAAGTTTAGCGCAGTCAGAGAAAGACGACATCATTGTCGCGATTGTGGGAGATTGTTTTGCTCCAAGTAAGGATTGTATGAAAATCATTGATTGTGTTGTTATATTGTTCCTCCAGGACGAAGTATTTACTACAAAACTACTTCATTTCAGATGCAGTGATTATCAATCACGTGTTCTCCGTTTGAACATCAAGACTCCAGTAAGGGTTTGTTTTTCATGTTATACAAAACTTAATGTTCCTTCTTCTTCAAAATCGAAAAGGTGACAGCGAACATCAACTTGATGGTATGAAAATGTCAATCTCACTTTGTGAGACAACGTTTGTTGATCAACGTGTGAATCAAGACGAGTGAATGAGGTCAATTTAAAACTTTGACACGTTATATGACAAGATCATTTTAATTCTCTAAAATGCTTTTAGTACAAATGAAATGGAAATATTACTTTGGAGTTAAATTATAAAGTCATTTTAATGCATTTTTATCGCCCGTGAATATCTTGTTTTTTTTTTAAGAAATTCTGTTAGAAAAGTAATGTAATGATCTAAATCTTAAAGTCTGTGAAGGAAAATGCAGTCAGTTATTTCTTTCACAACTCAAATAACTTTACATCGATGGACCTGGGGATGGATGGTGTTAACAATGGATTGGATAGTATATATAGGATGCACTAGAACATGGGGATGTCGCATTTTGTGATTATTATATAATAACTAAGATACTAACATAGACTAATGTATTTAAAAAATAGTTTTTATATGTCTTCGAGCTGTTTTGTATTTCGCCTCTCGATCTTCACCGAATTTCGCCTAGTTACAACGTCATATTCAACCAGAGAAACATTTTTTGTTGAAATTAATGTTTTCATTGATATGAGATAAAGAGTGATCATATGGACTATCTCTATGAGGTAAAACAAACTTTGATTATACAAAATCTCTTCTATTTGTCACTTTTCTAGTTCTCGACTATTTTATTGTCGAGGTCATTTCAGTTGATGGAAACTTGTGCTGTTTTTAGGTTGATCCAATGATCCCTGAACCTTTCATTCAAATTTCCAGACAAGGAAATTTTGTATCTCAGCAATTGAAATAATTTTTGGTTTTTGTATTTTTTTGTTAGAAGTTTCAGCTACAAGTAGTAATGTTGTCTATTCATCTAAATAGACATCTTTTAGGATTGAAAAAGATTTTCGTTCCAACTATATCTTCCTGCTTTAGTACAACTTTGGATAGGCAAAGTCCATTGAAAAATATTACTGTGATTGGTAGCGGCCTTATGGGCTCAGGAATTGCACAAGTATGGAATTTAACTTTTGTAATTTCTTATAATTTGTTTAAATATTAATTTGTTTTAAAAGCTTGCTTCTGGTTTATTAGAACGCCATGTTATGACTGCTTTCGACGCAAAGCATCAAACTTGACATGACTTTACAATATTGACAAGCTTAGCTTTGTCCTTAGTTATGACAATGTTCAAAGTGACATTTAAATATAGTTAAATATTTTATTTTCATTTATAGGTTGCTGCCAGCACAGATCATAATGTTGTATTAGTTGATCAAAGTGATGATATTTTAGGAAAAGCAGTGAAGTCTATTGAGAAAAGTCTCCAGAGAGTCGCAAAGAAAAAATATAAAGATAACATACAGGTTGTGTGATGATGTTTTCCAATTTTTTCATTTAATAGCAAATTTGAGGATTTTTAAAAGTTTTCCATAAACAAAGGAAAGTTATCAAATTTGTAACATGAATGCAAATTTTGTTGTAGTCACGATTCCTTGGCATTTATAAATGAAATTGCCTTCTTCAGTATTTAAAGATGCACTATTTCCAGTTGCAATGATATATAATATACCTTAGGGTGGTGAAAAATTTGTAAATGACACAATGTCACGGTTAAAAACTACAGTTGACATGACTGAGGCAGTTAAGGATTCAGATCTTGTTGTTGAAGCCATTATTGAGAATATGGACATCAAACACAAGCTTTTTACAGAGTTAGATGAGAAAGCTCCCAGGTGAGTTTTCAAAGTTAATGTGATCACTCCGTACATTGACAAAGACTTGAATTGAAACATCTCTTCATATCATGCTAACATGTTTATCAACAAGAATCTATCATGTTGTTTGTTTTTTTTTGGAAAATAGTTTTTTTTATTATTATTTCATTTTAAGCAATTTTATTCTGTTTTTAGTCATACTATATTTGCATCAAATACCTCATCTTTAAGTATTTCGGAAATTGCTGAAGTAACTAAGCGAAAAGATAAATTTGGTGGATTGCATTTCTTTAATCCTGTACCAATGATGGCTTTGGTGGAGGTAAATTACTACCCAAAATATACCAACTAAGATGGCTTCATATTACTTTATTACTGCATTGGCATGATTGTGTGGGCTCATATTACTTTCATTTAGGTGATAAGACTTCCTGATACAAGTGATGGAACATTTGAAAAGTTGATGGAGTTCAGCAAAAATTTGAAAAAAACTCCTGTATCCTGCAAGGTGAATTTAAGTTGTTTATGTAAACTTTTTGTTGCTCTTACAGGTAGCCCTTAGTTTATGTTTTAGGTAGTGTAAAGACTGTTCTCTTTCTCTGTTGTTTATTCATCACTACCTACACTGACACACGTTATCTTAGTTTATATTTTAGATAGTGTAAAGACTGTTCTCATTCTCTGTTGTTCATTCATCACTACCTACACTGACATACGTTATCTTAGTTTATATTTTAGATAGTGTAAAGACTGTTCTCATTCTCTGTTGTTCATTCATCACTACCTACACTGACATACGTTACCTTAGTTTATACTTTAGATAGTGTAAAGACTGTTCTCATTCTATGTTGTTCATTCATCACTACCTACACTGACACACGTTATCTTAGTTTATATTTTAGATAGTGTAAAGACTGTTCTCATTCTCTGTTGTTCATTCATCATTACATACACTGACACACGTTATCTTAGTTTATATTTTAGATAGTGTAAAGACTGTTCTCATTCTCTGTTGTTCATTCATCACTACCTACATTGACACACGTTATCTTAGTCTATATTTTAGGTAGTGTAAAGACTGTTCTCATTCTCTGTTGTTCATTCATCATTACCTACACTGACACACGTTATCGTAGTTTACATTTTAGATAGTGTGAAGATAGTTCTCTTTCTCTGTTGTTTATTCATCACCACCTTTGCTGAAATAAACGTTATCTCTATGTTTTAAACAGTGTAAAGTCTTTCTTCGTGTTTTTGACTTTGCGTAAATAACGTTGTACATAGGACACTCCTGGGTTTATTGTGAATCGTTTGTTGGTTCCATACCTGATGGAAGCAGTACGCCTGTATGAAAGAGGTTAAAGTAATATTTAATTATCGCATTTATTTTTCACTAAAGTATTTTTCCTGCATTACGATTTAGGAAATTCGAAGTCCAAACAATTATTTAGACTTCTGTCATAAACTCAATTGCAGGAATTCAAATTACGATTTTTCAAACTTTCCCCAGCATATTTTTTTACTTTTGTCAATATTTCTGTCTGTCTATGATGTTTTTCAACGATTTTTTAGGTGAAGCATCTATGCAAGACATTGATATCGCCATGAAACTTGGTGCAGGTTGATATTGCCATGAAAAAGGCATTTATAGATTTTTCGTTTTAATGTTGAGGCAGATAAACGGCACTGAAATGTTTTTTTCATTTTACAACGATTTGATATGGTTTCTTCTTGACTGACAATTTGTTTCGTTCGATTTTACTGTTTCAACGTTCAGTTTTTGAAGGCATGATTGAACTACTTACGGACCTTAATAGGGCGGGTTTATATGATGAAATATGAAAACTTTTTAGCAGTCTCTTTGCAACATTTTATAGTTCATTTCAAACTTCTTGTTTTAGGATATCCCATGGGACCTTTCGAGCTTATCGACTACGTTGGATTAGATACGACCAAATTTATAATTGACGGTATGAAGACAAAAATTCTGAACTTTTTACTCATAACGGGACCTGTGTCTACTTCTTTTACTTAGATTTATTTTTAATGTTGAAGTCTTTTGTTTTCATCAGGATTTATCTGATGTTGAAACTTGAGTTCATATATACTCCAGTCAAGTGTCTTCATCAGGAGTGATCTGATGTTGAAACTTGAGTTCATATATACTCCAGTCAAGTGTCTTCATCAGGAGTGATCTGACGTTGAAACTTGAGTTCATATATACTCCAGTCTAGTGTCTTCATCAGGAGTGATCTGATGTTGAAACTTGAGTTCATATATACTCCAGTCAAGTGTCTTCATCAGGAGTGATCTGACGTTGAAACTTGAGTTCATATATACTCCAGTCAAGTGTCTTCATCAGGAGTGATCTGACGTTGAAACTTGAGTTCATATATACTCCAGTCAAGTGTCTTCATCAGGAGTGATCTGACGTTGAAACTTGAGTTCATATATACTCCAGTCAAGTGTCTTCTTCAGGAGTGATCTGATGCTGAAACGTCTTACTTTATCAGAATTAGCTTTGCATAATAAGCGTCTATTGATCATCTTCATATTTTAGGTTGGTATACAAAGTATCCGAACGAACCGCTTTTTCAACCATCAGAGAAAGTGAATCAGTTGGTAAGCGAAAATAAACTTGGACGGAAATCAGGAGAAGGATTTTTTAAGTACGAGTAGGCTTTGTTGATAAAGCTGGATTATCCTTGTAAGTTTTTTCAATTTTGTTACGTTTGGAGGGGAAATTGGGTATGTGGTTTTTGCTACTTTCGGTGAAGATATATGAATGTTTTCATTAATTACTTTCAACTTGCTCTTGTGAAATACAACTGACAAACTTTCAACTTGCTCTTGTGAAATACAACTGACAAACCCGTATAAAAAAAAAACAACAAAAACGAATTAAAAGACTTTGAATTTTTTCTACATGTTAAACCCCAGTTTTTCATGATACGCTTTCGTTAAGCATGACCTAAGTTTTATATAGCGTTCGTTTATGTCTCACCGTCCATTAGTTATAAGTATAAAATAAAGTCCCTTAGTTATATTATAAACTTGAGGCAACTTTGATTTTAAAATGATGTAACATATACGTCCCAGTTTCTCGTTTTCTGTGATGTTTTCATGGAAAGTTTTAAGAAACGATCAAGATCTGTGTTACGTCTACACAGACGCTCTCCATTTCTCTCATTTTACTCTCCTCCATACGAGCATGCTTGTTTATTTGGCTATCGCTGTACGTTTTTCGTAAGTTTGAATGTCGTTTGGGCATAAAAGATTCTGAGACAAAAACCTCTGGGGTTGATGGTAGTCGAGATACTCGCGATGGATGCCGCGGTTTACGCTCTTGAGTGGACCCGCGCGAGTTTCTGCGAGATTCTTTAACAGAGCCACGCCCATTCCGATTAAGTGGAAAATCTGTGGAGTTGTCAGTACATGTTGTCGGACCGAGAATTACCTGAGAGGGACAAAGTAACTTCGCAATGCATTTCTGAAAACGATGATTTACCAACGCATACGCAATTGGATTAATGATGACAATGGATTTGGTTAGTAATACAGCAATCTCTTTAGCCTCATCGTTGAATAATATTCGACCGTGAAATGCCCTCGCTAAAGATACAATTTGGTACGGTGTCCATGTTACTATAAAAAAGATGATGAGCGCTGCTATGACACGAAGAGTTTTTACCGGTGTATTACGCATGGTATATGTACTAACTGGTCGTAATGACGTGCTCTGTATTTGCTTTGGTTTGCAACTATGTGTTTTGTGAGGCGTGTCACCTCTACGACCGCTGGCCAAAGACTTTCGACGATCTCGTAAAACTTTGTATATTTTCCAGTAATAATGAACCATAGTTGTTAAAGGAACGACGTAAAGCAACGCCGTTATGACTATAGCATACGTACCAGATCCGTACTTTGAGCTAGGAGCAAAATCTACGTAACAACCGCTGACATACATTCTAACCTCTAGTCCAGCTGGCGCATATAGTATTGGTGACGCAATGGTGAGAGTATAGATGTAGACGGCTAGTATGACGATGATTGATTTCGTTGTCGTAAGTCGTACTGGCAGCTTTGGACGTGAAATCACGTGGTAACGGTCAATGGCAATAACGGCCAGCATGACCATTGAGACACTGACCAATATGAAATAACTGAATGCATAAACGATAGCGAGGCTATTACCAAATAACCAATCGGAAGCGAAAAGGGAAGATAGTGAAAAAACCAAGTCCATTAACGAAAGAAGAAAATTACAAACTGCCAAGTTAATGATGAAATTGTTCGTCACAGTCCTCAACGATTTGAAGTTGGCAAAGAGAAATATTACAGAAAGATTTTCTACTATGCCACCGACGGTCACTATACTTGCATAGGCCAATATGTACATTTTTCTATCGCCCCAAGTATGGTAGTTGTCTGCTTCTATGAGTACCATCACTATTGGTTTCTGTAATATAACATAGATTAATGGTACAAAGTTTCTTTTTTACCTTTCACACCCAAACTTTGATTTGGCAATTCTATTAAATAAAGTTTAAATAACTTCCTTCACACCTCAAGTTACATAAGAATGGAAAATATTTATTTTTGTCAAACAGAAAATTGTAGTTCGACTGAATTACCGATTTGTTAAAATTACAGCTTATGGCTACTCTCATAGTGTCCCATGTTAAATTCATACTTACAATTAACACGCTCAGAAATAGTTTTCGTGTTCTCACAATTTTTTTGGATTTTGTTACCATTAGGTCACGAATTTTGTCTAGAGTTTGCCAGTTTTTACTATGGACTTATAGTCATGTTGTATGTTACTAAGAAGAACTGTAGGATCACTGTGTATTTATTGTTCTTAGTCACTCAATGACGCATGCTTTCAAGAAACTTTACGTGTCTACTATATACAGATGACTATAATGGGAAAATAAGGACATTAGGTGACGTTAGTAAGGTTTCCTTGAGGTTAAACACATTAATGTCACTGTCACGCAAGCTACGTATTATTTTTATTTTCTAGAAGACATCAATTCAATTGATAAATGCGTCCCAAATATTCAAACACATCCTTAGTTTGATACCTTGATTTTTCTGGCTTTACGTAGACGTACGTGTTACTAAAAGCTGGTATTAAAAATATGTTGCTATTTAGAGTATTTAGCTTGTATCCGGACGCGCACTACACAAATAAGAATGGTGTTAAGTTATCAATTTTATCTTTTTGGAAATCTATATCCGAAAATAGTCTAATTATCATCCTAGCATTGTAAGTTGATCATAGTAAAACTACACTAAGATTGCTCAACAAGGAGATTTTTTTTAAATACTTATTTTATACCTTGCTTCAAGTGTAGTATATCATCCAGCGAAATCCGATTGTTCAATTCTGTTTATCTTAACGTGAAGATGTTTTTGAAAAGTAATTTTTGAGCGATCCTTACGCAGGCAAATTCTCGTTAACAATAATACACTGGAGATTTCACCTTATACATCGATTTCTATTGTTTTTTAATCGTCATATTATCTTATGACCAGCATGGGTTTTGCCGTTTGATTCTTCTTTGTCTTGTGAATTGCATACCAAAGTTTATGTAATATAATACCCGTAGCATTCTGCAATTAATTGAACATAACACATTTTTCAAGGCTTCTCCAATGACATTCCAGCTTTTGATTCTGGCCAAAAAAAGAACTCGTTTTCTAAAAAAAGGAGTTTCCTAATAAACACTTTTTTTAAATTAAAAATAGGTGCGCACAGCTTACATGTAGCTCACCAAGACTATGAAAAAAAATGATCAATTTTGGATTTGAAACAACTATTAATTAAAATAGTGCTATATACTGCAATAGATAATAAGTAGCGTAGTCGTTGTTGTAACGTTAACGAAATTTTCGTCACAAGTGTAAGTTAGATGTTGCCCTTATGGTCTTCACCTTATACATAAAGAAGTCAAAGACGATTAAAAATTGAAGGAAGCAAAGGTAAATAAGGTGACATAGTACAAGCACATGTTGGGTATGGATGATGGCCATCTTCTGATAAAGGAAATGGAGTTTATTGTGTAAGAGGTAAGAGGAAGCAAGAATAACCAAAGATGTGAAGCTTGTCAAGAAGGAGAGCAAGAGTGTTGGTTTTGTGAAAAAAAGGAAACCACGAATCAAACGATATAGAAATTGGAAGCTGGAAGGGATTCCTGACAAAGTGGGGTGAATACGAATGAGAAAGAAAACTGCAAGGATCACTGAACAAAAACGTGTTTTCATAAGTATCTATGTTCATATCATTTGTTCAGATCAAGAAGTATGTTTTTTAGCTGGTGCTTACCCGACGATGTCTTTGGAATAAAGACGAAATATTACCTACTCATTGTGTAAACTCTAGTATTATCTTATATATCAAGAAAATGAGATGTCTATGTTCGGAATCTGTTCGACCTACGTAAAGTACAGTGAGCTTTTCCTTACAACTAGCAGTTTAAACGTCTCACGCAAGATGCTTCACGTTTTGGCAGGGCTGATGCTTTCACGTTTGTTTTTAAGACTTGTCCGTTTTGGTGCTTTTGGAAGTATTTGTGGTTTGGCGTAATTTATCTGGTAGAAACAATGGGCATTAGGCAAGAGGTTATACAAAATGATCACTGACATGTGTACTACTTTTTTATATTTTAATATAAATCTTACCAATGAAAAACACAGAGAAAAGTAAAACTAAAAACCAAAAATCAAAGAAAAATTACATCTTACCAGGAGTGGGGTTCGAACCCACGCGTGCAATCGCACATTGGAACTTAAGTCCAACGCCTTAACCACTCGGCCATCCTGGTCTGAATGCAAACTACTTGAAATATTATGTACTAAATCTTCCAACGAGTTAATGCAAGTACTAGAACAATCGCATCATTTTTGGCGTAGACTAAATATGGTGTCGACTATGTAGGGTATCTACTATGTTGGGTGGCAACTATGTTGATACGAACCAACATTATATACAACATTACACATGTAATCGTGTAGTGGAAGATACTCTACATAGTTGCCACCCAACATAGTAGATACCCTACATAGTCGACCCCATATTTAGCTACGCCAAAAATGATGCGATTGTTTTAGTACTTGAATTAACTCGTTGGAAGATTTAGTACATAATATTTCAAATAGTTTGCATTCAGACCAGGATGGCCGAGTGGTTAAGGCGTTGGACTTAAGTTCCAATGTGCGATTGCACGCGTGGGTTCGAACCCCACTCCTGGTAAGATGTAATTTTTCTTTGATTTTTGGTTTTTAGTTTTACTTTTCTCTGTTTCTTTCATTAGTAAGATATATATTAAAACATAAAAAGTATCAATTGTTTGCCAAAGTATACAATTCGTGTCGATTTTAAAGGATTACCAATTTGTTTTCTTTTCTTTCATCATCCCAGTCCCTGGAAATGAAATCGGCCATTTCATTGGAAATACTTCGTGTAGTAATTATGAAAGGGGTGCCGCCATTTTTAAATATCTGTAAAGTATTTGTGAGAAATGCTCAAGAATTGTTGTCATTTAGAATAAGTCAAGAAACACGTCATGACAAAGACGATTTGAAAATATTTGGGGTCAGTTTTTTACTAAATTTATTCAATTAAAATAATGGGAAAAAAGGATTAATTGCGTCAAGATAGTTGTAAAAAGAGTGAGTCATTGACTCTGCTAATGAAGCTTTGAAATTCTACATATCTATTTGCATCAATTTACTAAAGATGTTAACTTACTTTACCTAATTGCTGAATATCATGAACTACATGTTTTTTAAAGTCTTTGTCGCTTCTCGATTCATTGAAAACTTCATTTTTGTATAAAAAGGAATTGTTAAACTCACAATGCATAGATGAACTAATCATGGCTTTTGTAACTTTGTTGGATTCATAGTCAATTGTTTCATTTGGAAAATTGTCTATGGTTTTGGATGTTTCATAAATTTTGATTTGGTCATCATTGTTTTCTTGGTGCAGCCTTGCATATATCGTTTTGTGAAAAATAACTCTATCCTGTGTTGTATCAAGGATTTCTTCTTTAACTTCTCTTAAATCCTTCTCATCAACAGACATTCCATAGTTGATTTTTCCTGTATCTTCCAGGAATTCTTCCCTCATGTCACAAACAAAATTCTCTCCAGATATATTCAATTGGTTCATAGAAATATCTGATTTATAATTATTGTTGGACATGGGTTTGTGAGGAGATTTTGACATTCTTGCACTCATTTCTTTCAGTTCAAGAGATATTTTCGACTGATTTTGAACCATTTCTATTGATGTACAACAAATTTCCAAGAACTGTCGTGCTTGTTGAACTTTCTTCGATTCCTTTCCACTATTCCTTTCAGTGCTTGAGGAATTTTGAGAAATTTCTGCAGCTTCAGTTGTGAAATGTAATTGTGAGACTGCTTTCATTGAAGAATTCCGCGAAACGCCTTGCTCACTGACTATGGATTGTAAAACATCACCAATATTGCGCATGCTCGCGTTTGTCGCGTCCGTGGTGAACCGTAAACGACTATCATTACGGCACATGAAAGTCATGTGAAGAAACGCGGCACGGAAACGATGATTGATAAACACATACACGACAGCGTTATAAATTACGGAAGACTTTGCCATAAACAGGCAAACGTAAACGGCCAACGGAGACACGTGATAACCAAACGTGATTAATAATCCTGCAATTCGGGTCGGTGCCCATGTCAACAGGAAAAAGAACATAACTACAAGAATCATACGAGCTGTACGAGTATGATATAAAGATTTCTGCCGCATTCTTGACTCTTTGTGTGAAAATATCTGTGTCCTAGTATGCATTGAGCAACGTCTGGAACTCCTTCGCACTGATCTATATATTTTTGTGTAACAGCATACTGTGACGACCAATGGTGCCAGACACGTGAATAAAGTCAATATGATTGTATATGCTATAGAACCTGTGCTGGCATCATAGCTTTGAATATAGCATCCGGTGTTATAATGTTTATCTGGTACTAACTTACTCCAACCCAGCAGCAGAGGAAGGGTGAAGAAAAAAGCATAAATGTGGGTGGTAACAATTAGTACGCATGCGCGTCTCTTGGTTACCACCATAAGTTTTAATTTATGCACTGGCTTTGTGATGACGCAGAAACGATCAAAAGATATGACGGCAAGGGTTATCACAACAACGGTCATTAGGTATTGATGAAGGAAACCGTATGTGATACACAAATCGTGACTATATATCCATTCCTTTTGAAAAAACGATGGTGTTGATGACAGAAGCTGTAGTAGGGCCAATATCAGATTACAAACGGCTAAATTTAGAATAAAGTTGTTCGTTGCTGTACGAAGTCTTGCGTATTTAAAGTAGACCGTTAGAATGATACCGTTAAATAGTATACCAAGTATTTCTATGATAGCAAGGATAACAGCCAGTGCAAACACGAAGTCATTGGAATGGGTTTTGTGATCATCTTGTTGAAGTTTATCTCCTATTCTGTGTTTAGGGTACATCTTCTGTTAATATTAAACAGGATTGCCTCTTATCTTTTCAATTTCTTTCTTGTTTTTGCTTTATGGCAGTTCTCGACCATCCACTTTCCTCTTATACTTTCTGTAATGAAAAGATTTTACAAATCATACGAGGTAATAACTACATATTCACAACTTTTCCTTCCTTTGATGTTTTTATTAACAATAATGTGGACAAAGACTCTATAAACGTTGATCATTGGGAAGTCGTTAGAATTTTTTCGTTTGCCAGATTTAGACATGAGAAAGATCTACTTTGTTTTTGAAAAAAAAAGAACATCTTTATAATTTAATTCTTTACTTAGTTTTCCTTTTCATGACAGAATTTGTGCGAAATTTTTTTTTATAATGTCAACAACGTAATGTCTATATGTTTTTTATAAAATTAATTAACGTTAAATTTTAGATAAAATTTATAGAATTGCATAATGTTAAATTTTAGATAGAATTCACCAATAAACGTTTCACGTTTGAAGAAACCTATAAAGTGATGCAAGTAATAAAGCGGTTGTTTCCTACCTTTCAAAATGTTTTCTTGATTTACAATTGTTATAATACTTTCACTCTTGTAACGGCTTAACTTTTCAAATAAGAAATTTTACCATATAGAATGACAGTGTCGAAACAATATTATCATCAATATTTTAACGCTTCTCGTTATTTTATATTCCTCTTACACACATACTCGTTGTCCTCGTTTTATCTCAATACCGGCTCCCATTTTCTACTTTGAATGCATTTCGCCGCGTTTATATTTCTGTAATTAGCAAACGTACGTCCAATCAAATCCACGTGTACGTCAGCAAAGTACGTCCTTTCGTTTCGCTCATCTACAGTTTGCCTAGGAAATATAACAATGTATATAATTAGCTTCCTTAGCAATTTACCTTATTAGTAAAAATGTATGTAGAGGGATAATTGTTCGTTTCAATTTCTCGTTTGCTTTCCTTTAGTTAAATATTATTTAGATGAATAAATGTACAATTTTATACGGATTCATGCCAGCGCAGAGATCACTCAATCTACGTGTACTAATTTTACACCGTAGTTAACAAATGTGCAATTTAAAAGAGGTATATTTTTGCTGTATTTCAATCTCTAAATAACTGTCATACTCACGGTTAGGTGAAGAGATCAAGCATTTCTTATATTAATTATAATATATCGTGTTCCAAAGCCAAAATAGTTGTCGGCTCTTATGACAGACTATGCAGGACACGAATGTCCATAAACGTTCTTTATCTTGTGGAATTTTACAGTATTATGTGTAAACGTATGTTAAGTTGAAAGTGTTAAAACTGCGCTCTAGAACTAACAGTCTTTGTTTTGAATTTAAACAGCTTTCATTACAAGCAATTGAAGCAAATAGCGAAGATTTTATCTGTTTCTTATCTCGATCAAATTCATGATTTGATCGATTCGGTATATATTTTATTTTACCTTAAAAGATTTTTGTGCCACGTTTCTTTGCAATGTTTGCAGTTCACCTCTCTCTACCAATGTGTTCCACAAAAAATAATGAATGAATCGTATCAGAGATGGCTAGAATATATTCAGACCTGCGTCTCCGTACATATTATGGCTATTGTAATATAAATGATATCAACAGCTGTCTAGCGAGAATCTTTCTGCGTTGTTTAGAACAAACTATAACGTATGTTTGTCTGTTCTTCTTTCAAAACCAATGCTGTTGTGTGACTTGACTGTCTTCTAATATCTTGTAAATTGCCCGAAATCACTAATCGTTTCCTGCACATTAGATCGCTTACGGTCAAAATTTTCCGTTGTCAACGGAATCACCTGTTGGCCTTAAATAAAAAACTATAAAGTTACTACTTACTATAACGTGATTGCGTGTTACTGCAACGATTAAAAACGATTTAATTGAACTGTACTTATTACACACATGGTACGAACTGTTCCGGTATTTGAACAACTGACATGTATTATTTGTGTGAAAATATGCATCTATTTAAATTATTGTAATTTGGAGATGCCTTTTGTGAAGTTCACGGTGTGGGACAACGCCACCCGCTTTGTTGCCAAAATTGTAATCAGAGTTGGTAAATTTGACAGATAACGGGATGTTCAAAGGAAGGCTTTGCTCGATATTCAATGTGTTTTAATGAGTACATGTTGTATTTAACACAGCTGCATATAAGCATACTTTGATGGAGAAATTTTCTGGCAAAAGCAAGCAATACTGCCAAATCTACCTATAATGAAGCACCATTGATTAAATAATTGCTAAATTTGTAGGATTGCTACATTTTTATACTTCATTGTTTTAATAACCACAAGTCTAGAAACGCAGTAATACTACAAATGTTATTGCAATGAAGCATCATTAGATAATTGGTAAATTTGTAGGATTGCTACATTTTTATACTTCATTGTTTTAATAACCACAAGTCTAGAAACGCAGCAATACTACAAATGTTATTGCAATGAAGCATCATTGATTAGATAATTGGTAAATTTGTAGGATTGCTACATTTTTATACTTCATTGTTTTAATAACCACAAGAAATGAAAGTGCTTCCATAAAAGAATGGAATATATTTTGAATTTTTATGTTCCTACGGCTAAGTTTCCGTCTTTGTCTAGGATTTAGTGGTTGATTGGTGCACTTGTTTCAAAGACAGCTCTATTTTTTAAAAATTACATTTTAATATTTTAAATTTAACACTTGCCTTTTAAGCTTTATAGTTGGCTATCACGAAATTTGATCAATCTTTATTATAATGAGTGTGATAAAAAGCTTGAGGGTGCACCAAAATTTTTTATGTTTTCAAAACGACGTTACTTTTTTCCTAGAACTGACGATCACTCCAGGGGCCGGTTGCACGAATCTTCGATAGCGTAATCCATTGGATAGTAAAATTTTCAAACATATAAGAAAGGTGTTTGTGTTTTCGTTACGTCAAAGAAATTTTGTAATCTAAGAAGCAATATTTTATTACAGTGATTGCTCAGTTCAAACCTTATATTCTTCCTTATAAGAAGTTTTTATACCGTTTAAAAAAATTTGCAATCCAATGGATAACTTTAAGCTGGCTTCGTGCAACCGGCTCCAGGAAAAAAAGATGATAAAGAATGATAACATGAAATGAAGTATGACGTTCGCCGCTGACTATGACTACTATGGGCTTTTGTCATTCAAATTGTAATACTCTGTCATGATTGGTGAACGTTCCATCAACTTTCCACAAACGCTCTTACACAGCTTACTACATTTCACAGGAGGAAGACAACAGTAAACAATATTTTATTGCAAAGAAATTGAGCTGAAACTATATTTTAATTGAAATTTTATCATGTCTGGTCGTGGTGGTAAAGCAGCAAAGAGAGCAAGAAGTACGCGTTCGCAGAAAGCGGGATTGATTTTCCCTGTAAGCCGTGTACATAGATTTTTGCGAAAAACCACACATCATTATCGCATTGCTTCTGGGGCGCCCGTTTATCAAGCAGCCGTTATGGAATATTTGACAGCGGAGATCTTAGAGTTAGCAGGTAATGCAGCACGAGATAACAAACGATCAAGAATTATTCCAAGGCATATTCTTCTTGCAATTGCCAACGATGATGAATTGCATAAGGTTTGTAGTTTTCGTATCTTTAGAAATTTATTTTTTGTTGAATCTAGATCTAGATTAAATTCAATTGTGTCTTTTGTGTTGTTTGAATTGCATTTCTTGCTTTTATTTGGAGAATCATTTCTCGATAGTTCTTACGGGGATTTTTATGTTTTTCTACTGTAAGAAAAGGCAAACACATTCATTTAATTACTGAAAGCAATTGGGTACATTTCAAAGCTTTGGGCTTCCCGCGCAAACGTAAGAAACGTGCACTGAATTATATCATTCTAAAAACGGTTTACAAAAATCTGAATAGCAAAAAACTTCTTATGTGGAAAATATACAAGACTAATGCAATATTTATGCAGTGTTTAGTTTGTATGGGAATGAAATGATGTCGAAACTTGAGTCTTTACTGTTCTATGACATTAAGCCTTGATCAGGAGTGAACCATTATTGAATCATAAACCCAGTCTAGTGTATTCATCGAAAATGACTGTATACAAAGTCTTTACTTGCCATATCCTCCAGTTTGCTGTCTTTATCAAGTGTGAGTTAATTTTGAAACAAAACTTCTTCACTATTATTACTATCTTCTTAACAAATAATCAAAATTCTCCATTATCCTGATAGCTTTTGAGAGGTGTGACTATTGCACAAGGTGGTGTTTTGCCTAAAATTCATCCAGAACTATTAAAAAAACGTAAGGGTGGAAAACTGTTTTCACCTGAAGAACTAAAGCGCATGAAAGAGGGCAAGAAAGTTTCCCCAAAGAAAGTTTCACCAAAGAAAAAAGTCACAACTTCAAAAAAAGATGCACCAACACCAAAAAAAGGAAATAAAGGAAAGGATGGCAACGAGGATGGTAATAAACTTGGTCCAGGCTTCACAATGCTATCTGAAAAAACATTATTCCTTGGGCAATCACTCTGTGTTGTTCAAGGGAATATTGTTGAAATAGATGTTGATGCTATTGTCAATCCAACAAGTTCCAAATTTAATCTCTCTGGGGAAGTTGGTGAGATATTTTACAAACTTTTGTTGTTTTGCCAATTATAGTATTTAAGTATTCATTTTTTAATAAAAAGCATTTGCTGCATTTTGGAATATTATAACATGAGCTCACTCATTCATATTTTATTTTATGTTGTAAACAGGGAATGCATTGAAGAAGGCAGGTGGAAAATCCTTTGAAGAAGAAGTCGAAACTTTAGCTAAAGATAAAAGTCCCTTGGAAATTGCAGGAGGTGAAGCAATTTGTCTTTTTTGTTATATATTTATATATTCGATCAGAATTTTTAAATATAGAACATTTTATTCCAATATTTGAGTTGTTGACATGAAATTGCACTTCGTTTTCAATTCAATATATGCAGTGGCTGCTTGTCAAGGACATGGTTTTCCAGCTAAGTTTGTAATTCATGTGAATGCCCCGGTACACTCACAGAAAGATGCTGTTGAGAAAGTTGAAGAAGCAGTGAAAAATATCCTCACTTTAGCAGATGAGAAGAACTTAAAGAGCATTGCTTTACCTTCTATTGGCAGTGGAGCGTGAGTTTGTCAGCAATTTTAAATTTTGCTTTTGTCAAGAAATTATGAATTGACAGCCTTTTGCATACTCCTTTTATTGGAATGAGAATATCTTATGTTATTTTCTTATGAAGATTCTTTTAAATTTCTCTTATGTAGAAAAGCTGAGGTAAAGGCACAAATTGTGCAAGCTGTTTTGAAGACCATCTCAGATTATTTTGTCACTGTAATGGCATCATCATTGAAGCAGATCACATTTGTTATGACAAAAATGGATGATTTGGGGGTTTACTCCACTGAAATGGCCAAACTGGATGCTTAGATTGCATTTATTTTACTATTTTATCTTTTTAGTATTTGGTAGGACTTTAACATATCAAGTTTGTTCCTTACATTAAGGTTTTGCCAGATGAGCATACTTTTGATAAATCTGACAGGAAAATAGCCAAATATATTTTGGTATATATATAGACAATGCCTACTTTAAGCCAATGTATAAAATATATTCCTGTTTAGTGAGATTCCCCATTGTATTAGATGATTTGTTGCAACAAAAAGCCTTGTAGGTTGCATGAGTTAAAAATGTCAATCATGCTATATTTCAACCAATGCTTATCTTTGCTCAGTATGCATGTTTCACCAAGGACTTTCTGATTAACTAAAAAAAACATTTTGGATGATTCATGGCAGCTTCATAAAACAAAACGTAATTAGTATAATCACTGAGTTTTAATCTACAAATGCATTTTCAAACCAGTGTTTAGAGACGATGAATTGAGTTGATTATATTTAGACTGCATTTAATTAGTAGTGTCGACTCCAGAAGGGTGCTCATCTTTCTAGCCTTGTTTATAGGGGGTTGTCAATTTTTTTAAACATAGCAAAACCTATGACGTAACTACAAAATTTTTAATTCAATTTTGTCTCCATAAAATCATACTGGATCTATACTAACTAACCAATGATGCTATTTTTTAAGTATCTTGAATCTAAAATGAACAGCTACAATGATTTTGATTGACTACCATTGGGAGGTCAAGTTCATGGCTATAATGTTAATTACATTAGTTCACATAAACATCTAAATGTACATGTATTTCATAACCACATTACAGAACAAGTTTCATTCAAGTAATAACATTCTCAAGAAAGACTTTCTACATTATGCACAATGTCATTGTAAAATCTAATAGAAAATACGATTTTCACTTGAACTCTTGTTATCTGGCGATTGACTTGAATTGTCTTTCTTGCTAACTTTGTTTGGAGTTCTTTGCATTTGCTCTGAACTACTGCGCTTTGATGAGGATCTTTTCCTTGACTTATGTTTCTTATCCTTCTTACCTAACATACTTGTCTCTTTTAAACTATTATTATTTTTCTCGCTTGCGGCAACTTGTACCAAACCTTTCTCGGTTGATTTTGATAAATTGTCCCTGTCTGCCACTAAATCTTTCTCTGAAACACATTCCACATTATTGTCATCAACTCTTTCTGATTTCCACATGTTATAAGCTGAAAGAGGTTTTTTTATTTGAGAGATTTTCTCTTCATTATTTTTTTTCATGTCTTCATAAAATTCCTTCTTTGCCTTCTCAGCTTTGCGCATGTATTTTTCACGTCTTTCTACTGAAAGTTCTTTCCATTTTTGGCAGATTTTTTTATGAACTTCTGCAAACTTCAATTCAGGGTGTTTCTGGATTAGAGTAACACGCTTTGACCTCCAGAAAATATTGAATGCAGTAGGTGGGTGGCGTTTAGATTTAGTTTTGCTAGTTAATGGATCTTCTCCATTTTTTTTTCTTACTTTTTCTTCATGCAGTGTTAGCGCATCTTCGACAATTTCAGCAGCACTCCGGAATTTCCTCACTTTTTTCGTTAAGGATTTATACTTCAGGATCATTTCTGACTGTTAGAAAGAGGAAAAAGATTTTCGGTATGGTGACTGATTGCATTGAAACAAAATGTAAACCACGTGCTAATATTAGATATTTTTCCTTACCTCGGAGAAATCTTTCACTTTTTCCACTAGTGTCCAATCAAATTTGTATGAGTTCTTTTGTTTGCCTATGAGGTTTGAACAATGGTTTTTAACATGAAGCAATAGCATCTCTTCATCCTCGTGGGACCATAAAATTGGCGCCTTTATATCAATATTTTTAATAGAGTTAACTGCTTCAGGCGACTTCAAAAGGTTGTCTTCAGATGACTTTAAAACGTTATCTTCAGGAAGAGAAATGTTTTTGTTTTCGGTTAATAATTTTTCATCTTCTAAACGTCTTTTTTCTTTTTTGTGCTTCTTCTTATTTTTCTTATGTTTGACTTTCTCCGTACTAACGTCCGCCATCATTGACATAAGAAATTTTGAAATGGAAGCGAATCACACGTGATCTGTGACACTGACTGACCTGGACTTAGCTAGCCCCAGTCTCCCAGTATTACTACTAAAATTTTAAAGACTTGGCGGGAAAACCACTGATCTGTATATACGTATATACTAATTACAAATTTACCATGGGGAAATGCGGAAAACTACCGTCACCACCATTGCCTCATACATAACAATACTAGCAAACTCTAAAATTACTGATTATAATTTAAAAGTTCACTGGATATGACTGAAAACATTGAGCTACAACATGATGCCCTTCAGACTGCGATATCTCGTAGTGGAAGGAAGGTTTACTTTGGTGATTTTCAAAGACGTCGTCCCACGTAAGAACATACACAAACAACATAAACTGTGTTTATATAAGAAACGAAGAATCATCTATAGAGTTTTTTTTTACTAAGGAAGCGAATGACAACGGTCAGGTCATTTGCTGTTACACGAAACTGGGTTAAAGAACAAAATGAAAGACCACCAAATGAGGTCGGTTAAAATGAAGTTATATAATGTGTTAATGTTTGATTTTTTAGCGTGATGATGTAATATTGATAACAAAATATTTTATATGTATGAAAAAATTATTTTCAGGGCAGTTCAACTGAAATACCAAAGAATGCGATTGCATTGAGGTAGTTTCTTCTCGTTCTACTGTTCTTGTTTCTTTTTGCAAGCCAGCTTCAAATGAAATGACTTAAGACATTTTACCAATAGTTACACATGTTTTCATATGTGTTTCTGTGTTCTCATTAGAACTGATGTTGCAAAAACTCAGCCATCTGAAATAACCCACAAACCTTTGGGTTTTGAGGATGTGAGCTCTTTGTCCAAAAGTGGTAAGTTCCACCAAAATAATTGCAAGTATTTGTCAAAAAATGTGTTTACCATACATGTTACCATTGAGTAAAGATTGTTATGCACTACCCTTTAAATAAATATGTACTTCATTTTTAGCTTTATGTTGGCCCATTTTTAGCCTTATGCCTTGAGTTTAATATTCCTTTCACAAACAGTTACCATTAATATCTTGCCCATGCAAAGTTAGGTTACCCCAGCATGCAGCAAGCATTAATAATTTTGTGCCAGATGTTATAGACTCTAGACAGGATTATATAAGGCCTAAAGTTTTCGTTTGTTATGAAGTTTGTTAGGCAACAACACTTTAATTTGGTTTCTCAATTCTAGAACTAAATGATATTCAGGAAGATTATGTGTCATGTGATAGTGCTAATGATGTCTCATTTGGTGACGATAAAAACTCTACAAAAGATGCAATATTGTGCAGAAAAACTCCTTTAAAGCTTTTTGAAAAGGTATTAAAGATAAAGCTCCATCCACATGGTGGGGCCAATGCAAAAATGTTCATATCAAGAACACAAGACTTTTTAATTTGTTTTTATGACATTTTACATAGATATTGAGGAAATTTGAGAGAGGACAATTTATTTTTTCTAGTCACAGTCACAAAATATCAGTTTGTTATCTCTGTCAAAAGATAAAAAGTCTAGCTCTTTGACCAGGAGGAAAAAACCTCAATCAACAAACATAGAGAAGGAAAATTCTAGAAGTAATAGTTTTTATGAAGAAACATGTGAAGGTAATGATGTAACTATCAAGTATAGCAGCGGATTCAAGGTAAATCAGAATATATTAGTATAAATATATTTTCAATTTCAAAATACTTTAAAAATGTTATTTCTAATAATTTAGTTTCTTTTATTTTTCAAAACTACCACATTGTTGTTTTAAAGTATTTTGAATTTAAAATTAGCTACTCTAATGTATTGTGATGTATCCTTGAGATCTGCTACTGATTCATTACATACAAATATAAATGGATAACTTTGAGGGGTCCATTACCTTTGGTGGGCATAATGAGGACAATCCAGTGAGAGATGGGAATTAGTTGCTTAGTTTTAATGCATAGAATTGGAAGATATTTCTTCTGGTGAAGTAATACTATGTCTAATGCCAACTAATAAACCTTTTATTAACTTTGTTTCTTTTATTACAAACCTTATCCTGTACTTTGTAGAAGTTGATCAACCAGGGAAGAAATTAATCCTAACAAGGACTGTTAGTGTTAGTGGTTATAATAGTATTAACTGACATTTCTATGACTACTGCTTAACAATCACTTATGACTACACTAACATGAACTATTTATATTTACAAATATGTAATACTTCAAACCATTCACTTTCTACAAAAATACCTCGGTCCCATACAGTGGCAGACAATTAGGGAGGCAAGGCTGGGCCCACATGCCCAATGGCAAAATCAACCCAATATTTTACTCCTACAATGCTAGTTTTTCAGTAAAATTATTCATTTCTTTAGAAAATGATTTCCATTCATTGTTTCTCCAATGGTTGATCAAAAAATCTACATTAAAATACGATTAACGGTTGTCCATAACCAAGAATTCTATGTATTTTTGCATGATGGAAGTTGTTGATTTGAGAAACGTTTGTGTTCAATGGTTTTGTAATTTGCTTTGACGTTAATGGAAGTTATTTTATCATTCGTAGCTCAACGCTTTGTGAGGTTATTTAACGCTGATCGCGGCCGGAAGGGCAGAGTAGCTGATATTACAGATCTGGATGTTATCCTCACGAATGTTGAAGAGATTGCTTTGGAAATTAAGTAAGTTTTAAAGTTTAATATATAATGCAAGTTATATGAAGTGAAAACCTTTCGAAGGGCCTTAACTTTGCTGTTCCACCTGCCAAACTAAACTCGTGCACTTTCCTCACACCATTTGAGAAGTTTTATATGAAGTGATTGTTGAGTGTTGATAGGGTTTCCTTACACATGCACGTATTGTTAAATTATTGGCACAAATATTTTTTCTCATTGTCGCTAGAAGCCATACAGATTCTGCATTAAACAAAAAGATGATACGCGAAGCATTCGTCCAACTTAAAGATATGCTCAGTGAAAAGGTTTTCTATAAAGATTTACATTACATAAATTGCTTAGGAATCATTTGACACATTTTGAATCACTACACCACTCGTCGAAGGCTCCCTCCGTCCCCCCGTCTTTCTCTCCATCAACACCCACACATCTTCGCAGAATATTTTACCAAGTGTTTAGTCATTGTTTTTACGAACATTCGAGTTTATGTGTCGTAAGTTCACATTGTTTAAGATGTAACTATCGAAAGATCCAATATCTTATACTAGATGATAAATTAAAGAGATCTAAAACTTTGATTTACGAATGTTAAATGTACGTTGTGATGTGATTGCACTCATAAAGTTATCGAAACACTTCATTTCTAATGTGTATGTGGTGCATCATGTATTCTACTAGAAGATTGTTGGTATCTCAGTTCTTTATGTTTTCAGATGGATATTTACAATGAAATGAGACATGTCAAGTTAGAGACAAAGAAGGTATACTCTATTTCTTGTAATTAAAGCGTGTCAGTTTTTCTAACGTCTTTTCTAAATATCTAAATAATCCCACTACGACAGTTTCGTCAACCATTATTAATACGTATTATTTAATTATTATTTAGATATTATTTAACTATTGGATTAATTCATTAGAACAATGCGTAGTTTCCATTTATATTTTGGTTCAGTATTTTTGTTCAAACGGCTGTGGAAATACTTCATAATGAATTTTCAAAGCCTAGGTTCACTTTTTCAATCTCACTGTCAAGCAGCTGTTTGTCTTATTAAGCACTTTGTGTTCTATTAAAATAATAGAAAAGCAACGCCTCTGCCTATAATTCTCTCTTTGACAAGCCTGCTATATTGTTAGTCATGGATATTTAAATGTGTTCTTTTAATAAAAAAATATTTTTAAGATTTTAATGATTATTTCGCTTCATTATAGCTGCACTAATATATTCTAGTTTATTTCAGTTTTGAAATATTAGCTTTCTTCATAACGCATTTATTGAATAAATGTGTTATTATTAAAAATACTCTTAAAATTTTATCAGTTAAACACAAAATTGAAAAAAAGGCAACAAGAATTAGCGGACGTCCAAGATGAGCGAAAAAGGTTTGTGTCCATTGACCATGCACTTATTGAAATAACATTTTTTTCCATAGTTTAGTTACCACGTGGGAAACACGTGGTAAACACGTAGGAAACGTACGATTTCGATGTTGTTCTTATTCCGAATTATTCTTTTTTCGATAGAGTCGATATTAGTGTAAAGAAATTGCTATCAGAAAACATTGAAATAGAAAAGCAAGTTAAGGTTTGTTTTTTATTTAGACAGTTTATCCTTGTAGAATAAAAGTCTCTTTAGTTATTGCAATTCTTTGTTCTACAAACAAGAAACATCACAAACGTTTTTAAATTAAACTCCGCGTTTTCCACTGAGTCTGTGGGCTGAATTATTTCAACATTGAATTAGACATAGACAGCAGATAATTCTTGTTTGCCATGAAACCCATGGATGCTTTCTTTCATGATACATTGAACAGTAAATAAGAGAGTCAAATCGTGAAAGGTATACAATCCAATCAAAAATATATAAAACATGTTGGAAATGTTTCAATTTACCAATTGATGTTTGCGTCGTGATACATGAATCAGAATTAAATGAGAGCTCATGGAGAAATTAAGTAAATGTATGAAACATTTTACGGTTGATTCAAATTACTACTCAAAAAAGCAGTGTTTTTTTAAACTTTGTGCTTTTCTTGTATCCCTAGTTTGTATTTTGTTTTTCTGCATCATCCCTTTATTTATTCTTTCAGTTATACAAAATTGTGACACAATTATTTTTACTCATTACAGAATAAGCAAAACGCAAACGACTTTCTGACAGCATTCAAAGAATTTCAAGAAGAAATCAGAATGAAGACAATTTAGAGAAAGTAAAGATACCATTTTTTGATTGGTCCATAACCACTATGCGTGCGTTAATCAAATTTTAATTATTTTGATTTATCTCCATGGGAGGAGGGGGACGTTAAATGAAGTTTGTATTATCTCAAATCATATTCTCTAAAGGTTAATAAGTCTGTTTATGGATTTGAGTTTGTCCCATTTGAAGATGATTGCATTGTCCTCTTGTAGATACAATTTGCATTGATGCAAATTCAATATAAGGCTCTGTGGAAATGAATTGAATATATGTTTATTTTATTGAATATAATACGACGTGTCACGAACTTAACCAATTTCAAACACAAAGTGACCAACATAGAATTTGAAATAGAAAATGGTTAAGAAGTTGTAATCGTTAATTTAGTTTTATGATCTCATTTTTAGATTAATGATCAACATGAAACGTGGCTGAAGGAAAAATAATTGTCCCTGTGATGCGAAAGTAGTATGTTAAATTTAACAAAAAATGGTTTGGCTTGCAAAACTTTGCATTTGTATGCAGGTTATCAAATTTACAAGTAGAAAATTTCGAAAATGATTGCAACAACTGAATAATGAAATCCTATGTTTCGGAGAAATCCCTATTGTAAAATTCAAAATTAAAACCTTTTGCGTTGTCCAAAATTTGGATTTGTTGTTCACATTTAAGAGGTTATGCAAAAGACAATAAAATCAAAAAATGGGCAAACGTATACTTACGTAAATAGAACTTTGTAATTCTTTTATAAATTTAAGTAAATCGTAGCAGAGATATTTTGATCTAGATTTTAGTGTACTGTCAAAGAATGTAGATACACAGAGACATGCCCTTTTCAAAAAAGTAGTTGCAATATGCACCGTATTTCCATTTGGCCCTCGAATATTTGAACCAACATAGTTTGTGGAAATAACAGCAGAATGTGCGAATAGATAAAAATGTAGTTCATTTATTTTTGTTTAATCTAAAGAAGTCGCTTGCTGACCTATCTCTAACCTTACAATATGTTGTATGATATGCAGTCGACAAATGCATTATTTGAGAGTCACGTTGTTGTATATTCTCTGTACATCTATTACTCACTGTTTGTTAAATTTACACTGTCGTGTTTTTCTAAGGAAGATTCGCTCATTTTTTTCAATGTATTTTAAAACAGTTTTAATGATTTATAATTTGACAGTTTGGAAAAATAGACGACTATTTTAACGCTACAAATGAATTCGCCCTTGACAAACATAGGACTCAATGAATAACTTATTATGTGAATATTGTAACTTATTGAGGATTAGTTATGATTATTATGAGCTCTGGTTTTATTTGGATGTCTTTTCTCATTATTGCCAACGCATGTCTACTTTTACTTTGTTCTGTTTTGTACAATATAATGTGAAGTGTAGTGATTTAAGATGTTTACACGACCTAATTTTAAACTTAACATTTTCACCATTGTACATTTAGAGTTCAAATATGTCAGTAACAGCTGTTTAATGTGTTCATAAAGCGATCGTTGATCATTGTTTCTTGAACAAAAGTGTTAAAATGACATTGTAGCATAATTGTTAACAATGTTCATTTTTGTGAAAATTTTAACTTCATAATCGATTAGGCATTTTAGAGTTCAACATTGCTAGAAATAGAAGAAACATTGTCTACAGTTTGAAAGATAATAATCACTTAATGTTAAATCGTTGCTTTTTGTAATTACTGTTATTGAAGACTACATGTTCGACTGTCAACGACTTCTTGCATTTGCCAAGAACGAAACGCAACTTGAGCTGATATTTTAACAATTTAGGATTATGAAAAAGTTACCTATGCACAAAAAATATAAAATGAAGATAAGTTGTGACCAATCAAAAATCCACCTACGATTCCATAAGTTTGAATTTGCACTCAATGATATTTGGCTCTCATTAAAATAAAAATATACAATACGATAACATATTCTGTGAAAAAAGACATACATTTGCTTTCTATACACTTGACTTCATACAAACATACTTATACAAAAGGTTGTCGAAATACATGTATGAAACTTGAAAAATCTAAATCGAATGACTTATTTGTGTTCATGGCTTCGCAATGAAGAAGACAAAATCAAAAAGGTGCCATGTGTATTTAAAATTTGGCGTAATTAATTTCGAATGGTTAAGGTTTTCTAATGTTCTCGTTAACTGCAGTAGTTCCAGTTGCATTTGAAGTCAAAAGAAGACGGTGGAAGTGCTAAAAAAGTAAAGTTGAAGAAGGTTTTCTAAATGTTTTACTTCTATCGAAAAGGAAGTTAATTTGGACATGCCTCTTGTTACAAAGTATGTATGTATCGATCGTTTTATCCATGGTAACATAATTCTACTGTCATCTTTTGACCTTATGGATGATTGATAATTCAAATTCAATTATAGAAGCTTTCGTGGAATTGGTATCTGTTTAAATATTGAAGATTTTGCCAGGAACGGTAAGTGAATGTACATTGTTTTCTTGTCGAATGAAAATTTGTTCATTGAGAATAGTTTATTAGTCTATAAGCATCATTTAACGTTCGTGTGTTTGGGTACAATTACCTTCTCCTGATTGCTTCGATTATGCACTCCTGCGAATGTTCATTGAAGACACCTTTTGCACGTGTTTGTTGCTAATTTTTTTTAACGAGATTCGGTGCCCTCTTAAGTGATGAATGAATATGCCAGATTTATTTAACAAGGCGGTGTAATGTGCTTTCTAAAAACTCTTTTAGATTCGAGAGAATATCCTGAAGCTTTGTACAACATTCCAACACTTGAAGGTATTACTACCCTGTTTTTGGGACCTAATTTTACCTCTTCGACGCCCAAACATCGAGTTTTTTACTTAATTTGAAACTCGTGTTATTCATTTTTTGCTAACAAATGTAATTTACCTTTTGTGTGAGCTTAAACAATGGTTGTACAAAGGAACATGCTTTAAGCCATGTGAGAAGAGATTTTACTGGTTTAATAGATCAAAAAACAGCACTTCTTCTCTTGTTCTTTTGCTTAGGAGAACGTGTGCCGAACAGCAACGCGGTCATTTATAGACATAAATTGCACTAGAAAACGGTTGTCGCTAAGACTCGTGTTTCTTTTCTAAAACTTGGTTCCTCGTTCTTTTTTGAGGCGCTGCCTTTCAAATGATTTTTTTTTTGTTTTTTTTAAATATGTATGTTTCCCCCTTAAGATATAATGTCATCAAAAGACGACTGTCAAACACAGTCAGAGGTTTCTTATGTTCTATTTGAAGTTTATTGTAATTTTAACCTAAACATAAACAAAGTTCACAATGATTTCTTTTCGAATTCTTCGACATCCAGGCTATCCTCTTCTTAAATTTCATATTGCCAAACAATACATTATTCATGTCTCAAAAACCCAGAGGCAATTTGATAATTTTATTTTGACCTTAATATATGCCTAACGCACTCGATTCATTCTCGTTTAAACTGTCGTTTTTGTTGCCTTGACATTGCTTTCCTCTAAAGTCTGTTAATTATAGCGCATGCGCATGTGTTACCTTTTGGAAGAAGAATTCGATGTTTCAAAACATCTGTCTAGCTTTGTTTGTATTTTTATCATGTAAACAATATGGTAAAACGGGCGAATGATCCAACGAGATCTCTCTTATGGCAGGTTTTTTGTATTCTTTTTCCCAGTTGCATAAATAAACCCTCCTGGTGTTTTTGAATGGCTTGAGTGTCGTCCATAACTATTATTACCATCATAAAAGCACGTGACACTAATATGGAAAAAAAACATGTCAAACAGACTTGCTGGCGTAAATTCCCTCAATGATTAAAATGTCTTTCAAGATTTATCATTTCGTTTTTACGGAGATTTTTTAAGATAGAAAAATGAATTTTTGAGGGTGATCTTTGAGATGATTATTTCTGAACACATTTAAACGAACGAGTCATATACATTAACGGAGGTATAGATTTTCGTAGGCAACCATTCATCTATTGTTCATGTTTAATTAGCGTTAGTGCGTGTGCGCCATTTATAAGTGACTTTCGACGTAAGTAAAAAGGCAAACGCCGATAGCTGTTCCATACCATACCACAACGTCAACGTTCCATAACGCTGCTCAATTGTGGAATTTATGCCTACAAAGGTATCTTGTCATAAAGTTGTTTTCATAAGCCGTTCAGGTGAGTTATTTTTTCTCCAAAATATACGCTTAGGTAAATTGAAGTGTTTATCTCTTGGACTACTGTTGTGAGCACACATCCTAGTTCTTTAAATTCATGTAATCTCATTAACAAATTAAATGAATTATATCCTTAAATTTTATGCATCGTTTATATGTGTTGCAATAAGGTTTACTACAAGTGCTAAAGACTAATTTTACTTACTATTTTTTCATCTTCAGTCATTACAAATGAACACGAGTGAGAGTGCATGTGATTGGCTATCTTACATACGGCCTGCTCCAATGTGCTTTGAGCCAACAAGTGAAGTGACCTGTAGCCAAACTACGACCTGTTTACACCCTTGTGATTCGCCATGCGGAATAACTACGACCTCTGAAATGACTACGCAGAATCTTTTTATGCACCATTCATGTAATCCTACAGAAGAAATAGAAATGCTAACCATACCATCCATATATGAGACAATGGATGAAACTGGTTTACCTGGCGTACAAACACCGCTAGAATGGAGTTGGCCATCAGATGAGCTTGATCTCATTGGAAAGAGACGGAAACCTGTCACGTGGACGAAGATGACGAACACACAACAGATTTTAACGAAGATGTTACAATGTTGCCCTTAAAGCGCCTTCGTCGACAACGCGCTAACGACCGGGAAAGGCGGCGAATGCAATCTCTGAACGGTGCATTAAACAATCTGAAAAGTTGCATTCCGTTACCGAAGACAAAACGACGAGTCACAAAGCTTGAGATTTTACGTATTGCCTGTAATTACATTCAAAGTTTGTGGGATACTTTGAACAATGGGGATAATGAAGTACAAAGGGAATCTTTGCGTTCAATAGGGGATAATCAGCGACTTATTGTGAATGGAATGAGTGTGACACAGAGATTAGACTTGCTGTCAAATAATTTGAATTTTAACATTAAATTGTGAATAGATTTGCAAGGGGAAAATAGTTGTAAATTATGAGTTTTTCTGATGGAAAATTTCTTTTCTTTCAATTAGAGTATATCTGAAACCTTTAAGCAAATTTTGATGATAATTTTTTTATAACAATTTGAATTTCGCTTTCCGGGTTTATTGGTTTTAAGAAAAGTTCCAATAACTAAACTTGTTAAAGGAAAACGTATAAAGTTGAACATTAAATGGAACTTTTTCAAAATAAAATTTCCATTTACAACACGATGCAGTATACTTTCGAACGTTTCAAAATAACTATTGCATTAATGACTGTTGCTTACTAGCATTGCAAACTGTTTTCAAACTTTCCTACAATATGAGAGATACTCTTAAAGTTTTATTGTGTCTTTTCCAAATAATTTAAGATACGTTTCATCATCGCTCTTTTCATTTGCCATCAGCCACTATATTTTGCCTTCTTTAAAGATTTAATTCTATCATCAAGAAAAATTAAATTTGTCACTAAATATAAAATGTACATTATTTACTGATGTGTGTATTGTATGTTGCGTTATTGACGCTATGAAACATAAGATACATTGTAATCACGAACATCTGTCGGTCATAAATTTGACAGAAGGTCATGTTAAACTCTTCTACGTTTTGTAAGGTGTGTCACAGATGTTTCATTTAATGTTTCTTCAGGATCATTATGTATATACTCAGGATCATTGTTCTTGATTTTCATGAAATTAATCGCCTTATGATCGTGGCAAATGGAATCTATATTTAATTAGAAAATCAATTTGCACACGGAGCTGTTATGCTGATTAAATGATATGGAAGCTGCCATTTTTTAGTATGATTAAATGCTGGATTAAATGTGGATAGTGTTTAGAAGAAAATGCGTAGAAAAACACTTTGTTTTGAGTGATTTTAAAATAAAAATCGTTTACAATCATATTTTAATTCTTGGTTGGCATTACGCGCATTTCTGCAATTGCTGTTACTCTGTAATATTTTACTCAAACATTGAATAGTCCAGCAACAAGCCTAAGACATTTGGTATTTGTAGAAACTTTTGCTTGATATTAAGTATTTTTAGCAGATTTCTACACGGGAAACAAGATTAGACAAATTGTAGCGCATCTACACTCTATCTTCAATAAGCAGAAGTGTTGCTCGACGGTGAAAAGGTCAGGGTTAGTGCTTTGTCCAATTTCAAAAACATTACTGTAAATGTTATAGTTCATAAAGACTCATTCATTTCATAATAGCATATTTATTTTATTGGATGGACGAGTACATTTCCTTTTTACTTAATCTATCAAACATTTATATAATTTTCTTTGTTGTTTGGAGCTGAGTTCGCACTACCATGTTTTGAATAGTTAAGACTTTGTAACCTTCATATTTTTGTTGTCCCTTTGAGATTCAACTCGGTGCCTTCCAGCTCTATTATACGACTGACTACATTCGAGCAGTGTGCTCCTTTTGATTTGGTGACCCATTCATTCAGCTTGTGACGCCCAATGGTGACGCCTTGTCTACGTGAAGGATGATAAAGAACAAAATAACGTCACGTGATTGAACCACAACGGCTGCCATGGATAGATAGTAAACAAAACCGAGGTGGGAAAATTGAATTCTGTATACATGTTCGTATGTATTGGAAGAAACTCAACAACATGAAAATCGTCACCTTTATATCTGACAGCAGTAGTGGGATTTTGTGATGAATTCGTGGACGATCCCTGCCGATCCTGGATTACAAACAAGACATCCAAACACGGATGTTGCACGAGAAGCAGATAGTAAGCCTCTGAAACCAAGAATAAGACCGGAAGCAATGATGAATGCAATAAAAAACCAGGGAACAATAGCTCAACTCTTCAATCCTTGCTTGAAACCACCGACGTTACGTGCAAGTAGCAGATCAGGTAAAAATTTGCCTGCATTTTTCAGTAATACACAAACTTATTCCATTGCTAACTTTCAACTAAATGACAACTCACACTGAAATGTTGATGATCAGTGCATTTGGCACGTTTCTCACTTTGTTGTGCGTTTACTTACATGAACCTGTTCAATAAAGTGAGTATTCAACTTTCCACTTAAGAAGAGATGATATAATGATTTTTAAGTTTAATGCCGCCCCATCAGAAGGTTCAACCCCTGCCTCCTTTACCTTCCACCAATATATTCTCTCTGGCTTCGCACAGTCATGTGTTCAAATATATTAACAACAAATTTGTGACATTTTCCTCTACTTATATTCATCAATGGTTGCTAATGTGATGAATAAAACATTTACATCATGAACATCATCATCATTTTCTCACATGGCCATGAACAAGAAAGCACATATCCTGCATACATTTGTGCATCAGTTAGGTGGTTTTGATTTCATTAGGAAAAATCATTACAAATTGTTATGAAACATCTTCTCAAATAGCACCATTAAGCAGTTGACAAAATTTATGGATTGTGTTTTTTTTAAATACTCTTTGGCAGCTGTAATTTTAGTAATTGTTGTGGGATTGTGGATTATTTACTCTGACTTTCTTACCCTGTTTACATAATTTAATTGCACATAGTAATTAGTTACACTCTTCATCAATAATGCATGTTGATTAAGTGTCTTCTGGATCTGGGTATTCAAGTCTTTCAATGTTTGTTGTTGTTTTTAAAGGCAAGCATGAATCGAAGCGAGATTTTGTGAAAGAAAATTCAAGACAAATAAAGAACATTCAAAGATCAAACAGGCTCTGTGAATCAGAAAGGGAGCCTTTTAAAGTCGCTCATAAATCAGAAAAGTCTAAAGATGTTAAATCAAAAGATAAATCCATTGAAGTTCAGGTAAGGTTTCGGAAATATGAAGGTATTTGTTGTCTAAGAAACGTAATGTTTCATAAATCACCCCAGTAAAAGAAGAACCACTTTCTTGCTATTTTATGGGTCCATGCATTGTCGGTTAGTTTACTTTCTGTTTTTTGTTGTTGTTTTTATCTTTCAATTGCCTTTTTATTCCCTTGATCATTGCTTTTAATCAATTCATGCAAGTATGACAATATTTCAATCATCAGTTTACAAGTTATAAGTTTTCACATTACTATAAATTATCAATGAAATATATTTCCATTGTCTGATGTAGGATACACCTCATGCTCCAAGAACTCGGGCTCCAAGAATGCAAGTTTGTCGGCGCTCAAGATCTGCATCGCCTTCGGTATCTCGTGTGACATCCACAAAACCTTCAACTCCACATGCTAATGTTCATGAAAATAAATTGGAAACAGAAATCCCCAAGGTATTTTATGTGTACATTGACTTGTACACCATTCACTTTCATTTTCATTTTTTAGAAGTAATTACATAATAAGGTTTCCATCAGTTGCTTTTACTTACCATATCCTAGAATAGCAAAAACTTGGTGTTTTATATTATCATATGATAGACAAAAAGCCTGTGTAAACTTTAGAAAATCCTATAACTGCTACAAAATAACTAATTGATACTCAGAATTCGAATATTATGCATTTTTGGATAATGTTTGCCCGGTTAATTTGCTGTTTTCCATTTTGAAATATTCTACAAGACACGTTATTTCAAATGTTCATTCATCACTACCTACACTGACACACGTTATCTTAGTCTATATTTGAGATAGTGTAAAGACTGTTCTCATTCTCTGTTGTTCATTCATCATTACCTACACTGACACACGTTATCATAGTTTATATTTTAGGTAGTGTAAAAACTGTTCTCATTCTCTGTTGTTCATTCATCATTACCTACACTGACACACGTCATCTTAGTTTATATTTTAGGTAGTGTAAAGACTGTTCTCATTCTTTGTTGTTCATTCGTCACTGTCTATTCTGACACACGTTATCTTAGTTTATATTTTAGGTAGTGTAAAGACTGTTCTCATTCTCTGTTGTTCATTCATCACTATCTATTCTGATACTGTGGTACACGTTATCTATTTTCACTTATTATCATCATTTTTATTGCTTCTGGTGTAAAAGTGTTCATCATTGTTGTGATCACTGTTTTTTTATACTTTGTTTTGAAATTTTTGTGGGGGTTTTCAAACACACAGGAAAAGTCAAAGGTAGCAAAAGTCAATCATATTTCGAAAAACATTCGACAAATCACTTCCTCACCAGTACTCCGTCGTCGTCCTCCGTCTGCTGTGGCAGTTGAAGAGCTGGAGCGAAAAAGAGCCGAAAATGAAAAGAAGTATAAACGTGGCGAAGTACCAAGCTAGTGAGTGTGATGGAAATGTTTCATATGTGTTTGTGTGTAGCCTTGCTAGAAAATTTTACCCATTTTTCAAAACTTATTTATTTGTCAAGTTTCTTTCTGTGGTCACATGCTGCATGTATTTACATGAAATTGCGTTCCATTTTTTACCAACTCTCAACTTAGCTTATTTCATAATCTTATTTAATGAGTTCAATATAAATGTGAAGTGGTCTTTAATTGATATTTTTTTATCCATCTTCAGTTTGCGCAAACGACAGGAGCAATGGAGAACTGATGAGGAAGAAAGAATAAAAAATATACCAGATCCCAGCATACCACCGGGGCACACTCTAATGCCACGGAATGAACGACTGCAAACTTTGGATCTTCTGAAAAAAAGTAAGAGTGAAATTTGAGTAAAGTGGGCCACGTGTCTCATATGAGAGGTTATCAAAAACAGAGCACTTGCAAAAAAGAAATTTCTATCCCTGAGCGGATTGTGGAGTGGAGACAATTTACATAATCAGATCAATTCTGAGTGTGGACTAGTCTTTAAACTAGTCCGCAAGGGCGGCGGAGCATTGATAATTGGGGGGGGTATTATTCATATATGCATGTTTTACTTAATTATTTTCTATTGAAATCAATTGTGTTTACAGATGAGAACATATGAATATATGAATATAGCCTCCCTCACCCCAAATATCAATGTTCCGCCGCCACTGAACTGAAGTACATGAGGAGTCGAGTTTTCAAATCATATAACTCCTCATGAAGACACTGGATTAGAGTATGTACATAAGTTAAGTCTTACCATGTGACGAAGTTTTAATCAAAGCTAGTTTTAATAATAAAATACTCATCTAGCGTGAATCCTCTTGTTTCAAAGATCTAAAATGAAATGTGTCACTTTAGAGCAACAAGAATGGACAATTGAACTGAATTCACTCCCTGTAAGTTGTGATACCCTACGTATAAAACAGAGAAAGGTTGAAATCGAGACTAAACTACGTGAAATTGAAAACGCTTTGAAAGTTTTTTCGAGACCTAAAGTGTTCGTGAAGATTGATTCGTAAGTCCCTTTCTTAAGTTGTACGTGTATCATATATGAAATGGTATAGAGTTTATTTTTAAAGTCAAAGAACTTTCTTAAAGAACATTCTGAAGAGAAGCTAAAGAACTTTGTGAAGAGAAGTTAAAGAATTTTGTGAAGAGAAGTTAAAGAACTTTGTGAAGAGAAGTTAAAGAATTTTGTGAAGAGAAGTTAAAGAATTTTGTGAAGAGAAGTTAAAGAATTTTGTGAAGAGAAGCTAAAGAACTTTGTGAAGAGAAGTTAAAGAACTTTGTGAAGAGAAGTTAAAGAATTTTGTGAAGAGAAGTTAAAGAACTTTGTGAAGAGAAGTTAAAGAATTTTGTGAAGAGAAGTTTTCTATTTGTTTTCTTTTACAATGAAGATTTTGTTATTTTATATATCAATCACAAAGCAATGTCTTGTTCCTGTGCAAATTATAGATCTGTACAGAAGCAAGTCTTGAGACTAGGATTTTGATACTCGCTAGATTGTACCAATTTATAGCATGATGTGAAGCTTAGTCAATCCAGTGTCAAAGCAACATATATCGTGCCAAAGCCATACCATAGAATCGTGGTATGTGGAAAGATGATTTATTGATTACGTTTCGTCTTTAACTTGATACATCTTTCTATACACTTACATATAGATGCGGAAGGCTATGTATAATTATTTTGCTGATATTTATGTAAGTGTATATAAAGATACTGAAGCTTGATCACTGCAGTGTGATGGCGACATAATGGTTCAACGATGCAAACATAACGAGAAAAAACAATTTTTTCCCTAACATCGTAATGTTGTAAGGTAATTTTGAACATTACATCACAACAATGATAATACATGTATATATTTTTTGATAGCAACTTAAAAAAGTAATTTTTGTCTCTGTTGAAATTACAAAAATTCATGTACATAACAATAGTTGTCAAAAATTAAGATGAAAATTCAGAACACTAGATGGAATTGATGTATTTAAGTTGTTGACTTTCTATTCCTGACACAAGGAAATTGATCTTAGTCACTCTTGTCTGAATTCGAAGGCTGTGTTGATCGTGGAAATTATTACTTAAACTTAGACAACAATATATTGATTTGTATAAATTACTGTTTTTGTCAGATTTGTCTCAATCATTTTTCATCTCTGGTTAAGGTTCATGCGTAATATGGCATATTATCAACATTTCATCAAATTTCTTCCAGCTTCCAATCATTTAGCTGAGCCATCTTCATTTTTTGTATGTGATTTGCCTGGTCAACATTTTTTTATTGTGCCACGTGAAGCAGGTGTTTCGTTATTCACAAATCATGCATTCTTATGATATATCTTTTGCTAACACAAGTTATTATTTTATGATTATTGTTATTATTATTAATGCTGTTATTATTATTGTTATTATTATTATCATCAATTATTGTTGTCGTTATTCTTATCATTTTTATATCATTATTTCGCAAGATTCACTATTTTTAATCCCTACAATAATACAATACCATCCACGTACATAACGGAAGTATGCTAATAGTTTTGTTAATGTGGAACAACGGGGGGTGGGCTGGTTTAATCTAGATTAGTGACCTCCTGGTGGACTTGATTGTTAGTTTGCATGAGGTCTATCTTATGAAGTGCTAGCACGTGCTCGACGGGACCTCATCACATTCCGTAAAATTCGGTTTGCTCAGAGCTTTAGTAAGTTAATGAAAGAATTTCTTTCATATTCAGATATTTCCAGAAAAGGAGTTGCTTTCATAAAAAAGAACCATATAAGGTTTTGTTTTTAAATGGCGAGTCAGTTTTATTGTAAACTAAAACTGTGGAAAGATTTGTCGTCGTCTAATATTTTCTGTTTTTGCTGAAATTCCAAAACAACAGCTAGGTCTCCTTGCTGTGTATTTTAACTGTTCTATTCATTTGTGCTCCGAGCGCTTTATTTTAAAGCATTTGTAAAATAAAACTTTTGACGTGTTTTGGAGCTAGAAATACTCAAAACAAATTTTAAAATTCTAAAATTTTACCCCTCGAACTGTTCGTCAAGAACACACTTTTATCTGTGACGTCACTGTGTGTCATTTGGTAGGTCATATTATACAATCGACTGCAGCAACTACAAAGCGAATTATAATTTGTAGTTCAATAAACAAAGCTCGTTATCTACATTAGTTAAAATGTGACAAACTTCGCTTATCATCTCAATTCCAGGAATGGATGTCTTGAAACTACACAAACCAAAGTTCAAAAAACGTGCGATTGACGTGCGTACCTCTTGAGATAAAATAGTACATTACACACTATATATTTGTACGATCTGTTCATTGGATTCATTATTGTGTATTGCAATAACAGCCTACCTGATTGGCATTCATATAAGAGTTTATTATTATTATTATTATATATATAATGGAAATTTATTGAAAATTCTCTTAATCAAAAAATCTTCAAAATTATAAGTTAAAACTATTCTCATATACAGAATAAAAGGTTATCTCTATCACTTGCTTTCAAACAATACCCGGTCGCTAGTTTCATGATTTTAAGTAAACTATTGCTTTCATATGACTCATGTTTCGGCACTGTTGTTCTATAGTTTTTTTGATAAATTTACCTGACGAATTTATCTATATAATTTTATTCTTGCGATGTACTATCACGTTTGCTACGTTTTGTGCTTTTCCATATTATAAATTACAATAATCTCTCAACGGCATGGTCAAGTACAAAATAGTTATTCATATTTCGAAATTTATTCTGTCATTGCTTAAATCTTCAAAGGAAACTCAAATAAATAGTTCTGTGATAAAAAGGTTTCCTTACGACAGAAATAAATTTTCCACAAATAATAAATCAATTGTCCGTTGTATTTTTTACCACACACGTACAAGAACATCGTACAAACAAAACAGCATTTTTTACACAATACCGAAATCTAATTAGCATCAAAAAGACTAGCTTAAAATATTAATAAGAAATATGCATAAAAAATTTATTTGGGTTTTTGTTGAAATTTTAGAGTTATCTTTCTTTTTTCTGACCAGAATGAAAAAATGGTCTACAAATGTCAAATTCTCACATTTTTTGTCAAAATGTTTTACAAGTAATTTTTACAGTTTAGACCGTGTTTTTCCCCCGATTTTATTTGTTGAAGTTAAACATCTTTGAAGAAAGTCTTAGAGATAATTTTTTTACACCTAGGAATGTAAGTGTGGATTATCTCCACCGTTTTCTTCTCAATTTTGATGAGTGAAAAATTTTGTTCATGTATCGTTGCGTCCTTAATATCACATCAAATATGACGTCCATGTTTTCTTTAATAAACATCCAAACAGAAAAACAAACATTTAACGTGCACTTCAATCTTCTTGTTTAAAACGATTACTCCGTTTGTAAGATCAGGTTGTTGTCTAAATTTTTACATTAGAATGTTAGAAAACGAGATGTCATATGCGAGAGTCTACCAAAGGACAATGAGAACTTTATATCTATACATGCTACGTGCCACTCATGTTCTGAACATAATGCACAGACTTACCTTCGCCTGTCTACATGTGGTCTTTTGTTAAAACACGCTTTTCAATATATAATCAAGCACATGTTTCCTACCTTTCAAAAAGAAAATCGTAGCTTTTATTTTCGTAGCCAATACGAGTAGTCACGTTTTAAAAGTTCCACTAAAAACATTCATACATGTGTTTGCACACAATTGAAAGTTGCTTTGTACAATATACATGCGCAATTTGAATGAAATGCTGTCAACTATACATAAAAAACATCGTAAACAGAGCGAAACCAATGTATCTCTCTAATTCATAGCTTTGGTACCCATGTTTTTATTCATTCATTGTTGCAAAAAGCTCGTTACTATACGTATTGAATTTTTCCATGGGTTAAGTGAAGTCATAACATATGTTGTGCTAGGATATGAAAGATGGAAATTAATAGCTGTTGGCATTAATTGGTTTGCAAAGATTAATTGAAGTAAAATTTCACGATTTTGTTGCTAATAAAAAAGGGCCTTGTCTGATAAACAATGCAATGAAAAAACTGGGAGGGGCTAGAACAGATGCAACGTGCAGAATATTTGACCGTTTCTGTGGAAGCCTCCTGTTGCTGTAATCTTTTCCACAAATGTCATATAAATCGGCTAAAAAGAACAAAATCGTTTTTATTCACCATGTGACCTTGCCCCTCCTCTCTCGGCTATTGTTATTATTAAGTACATGTGCCATACGCATGCGCTATAGAATGATAAATCAAAGCTGCGTCAGTCGAGAAAGTTTCTATCATCGTTCGCAGTTATTAAACGACGTTCTTTGTCTATTTCAATTGACCGACTCCTTGTTCAACCTAAGTTGTTTTATTTCATCGATTTTGAGGTAAGATTAAGCTGATGAATATGTTGAAACACGATTTTGAAAACGTGACGAAAATGTTTGTAGTCTTTAGTAAAAATAACTCGAACTTTTGCTTTTCTTTCTTCTTTGTAAAGTATAATTGTGTAAACTCAATGTGCAATTCAATGGTAAGCTGTCTATTTGACACATGTAGTCGCTCATATATACCAATCAACTAAGCTTCGTAAATTTATCTCTCAATCAACTTTGTAAAACAGTATATCTGAAATATTTTTATTTTTTCTCTAATAATGAAAATGTAATTTGGTATGACAATGGTAGAAAATACTACAGAACATCGTGTTATTGGAAAAAAAGAAAAGCTTCGAATTGGTTTTGAGTATGTCTTTGTAAAAAAATTTCTGTAAAGTGACTTTAGAGTAATTTTTACGAAACTAATGCCTAATACTCGAGAATAGAACTATTTAAATTGTAACATATATTTATAAAATTGAGGAGTCACATAGCAATTTCGATATAAGAGATTGTCCACCTTTTATGACCTGAAAACATTATTAATGCAGCAAATTTTTGCCTTAAATTTTATTAGACCTTTCACCTTTTTTCATGCGAAATGCAACGTTCGTAAAAGCGTTCGTGTTTTTTTTTTGTATTTCTTCTCTTTCATCCCGTAGGCATAAAGTTTCTACAAGGAAGTCTCACTTACGACACGCGATATATTAGCCTCATGGCATTGCAACAACGTGCAAAAGGTACACGTCGATTCATAGATACGCAAATGAATAGTTTGTTTTATACGTTTTCAACTTTCTTAAGCAAAAGTCAATGATCACCAATTTATATCGTTCAAGCTATACACTTAGACATTAAATGCAAACTATTTATTGTGTTCATAAATTGTTCTAGGCTGGAAATTCGAGACATTCAAGGTGTCAATCAAAATTTCGATCAAGATTTGTTGAGTTAACTACTCTAAACATACATTTTGATCATTCATTTTGAAAAGGTCTCTTTATGACAAAGGCCATGCATATGTTTTGTTTATTATTTTGTTTTGGAAAGTCTGTCATGTTTACAGTTCTCTTTGTAATACAACACAGTATTATTTTTATCTCATTTCTACGTGTGCTGTTTTTTTGCAGAAATTTCTGAGTTTAACGAACCAAAATCAAACGAAGAGAAGGAAAAACTATTTGCAAGTGACATTTTGGACTCTTTTCCAACTCAACACAGCGGGTCTTATGTTAAAGGAAAAGAAAAACACGACGAAAAAGTCAGAATCTAAAATTACAATCGTCAGTGAAAGGTCTTCCAGACAAGAAAGACGAAATGCGAGAGAGCGAGGTCGAAAAGCAAGACTGAATGCAGCATTTCAGGTTCTAAGGAGTGTCGTTCCACGCTGCATAGAGTCGTGCGGCGACGAACAGAGAAAGTTAACACAAGTAGAGATATTACGATTGGCAAAAAACTACATTTGCTCACTTACAACTATCCTGCAATACAGTGAGTGCAAAAATTTACCTGTGAATTATAGCATCTGTGGACTAGACAATTATAACGGTTATTCAAACAATATTTGGATGGAAAATAATTAGGCTGTACTGTTCACGATATTTTCACTTAAAAAAAAACTTTGAATATAATTTTAGTACGTTGAAATTGACAGTCCAAATTGTTTAAGTGTGAAGACTGTAGAATTTATCCACACAGCTATTTCATTTTTCTGGGTAAAAAACAAGTGGAAGTTACACTTATATGATTTGATTAAAATTCTCTATTTGGTGAAATATTTGTTTGTACAGTTGTAATTTGTCGATTTGTAAATACATGTTATTATTCGCACAACAAAAAAGTTATGATTTTATTGCCAAATAGTAGATATTGTGATTAAATAACGTAATATCTCTGGTGTATGTTATCGCATTTTAGAGTGAAATTAATATACTCTCTGTAAAAGGTCATGTCACATTCAGAAATAGTTGGTATTTTGATCGTCAAATTAAATTTAGAAAGAATAGTCCACCTATACATTGTTTCTTTTCTCTCAAAATCAATGTAAAAGGAAAAGATCTATGAGTATTCACTTTGAAATAAGACATTCATATCTTTTTGGAAACGACTGTAATTATTCAGCACTTTATTTGCCTTGTTTCTGATCTCCAACATCTGTAGTCAGTAGCTTTAAAGCAAAACGTATTAATCCTTATTTAGATAGCAACACCTGTTGACAAATGTAGTCTCGAGAAATGTATACATGAAAATATAATTGATAAAAATATCAAATTTTGATATGTGGGTGTTTCAAACGTCAAGTAAGGGTTAAACAAGTTGTCAAAACAAACGCTCCCTGTAGGCTAGCCTTACTAGAAATGTGAAAACGGCCATATAATGCCTTATTTGATAATGCAAGAAAGAAAATCATTAACGCAAGAACATAAGTATTTCGGGAAATGCAGTAAAATTTGGATCATGTTAACAATCTTGGTTTGCATGAGTGTACCTGACGATGTTCACATGGTCACACAGACTGAACAGTTTTGATGAGATTACCTTCCTCATCGCTCGCTCGTTGATGTGATTTCGCACGATCTCACACGACGTCGACTAACGACGACTGTGTCCGGCTAAAGACAACTGTAAATTAACATGGCGGATATTTTTTGGTCAAGGAGTGTCTTGTATTGTTGTTCGTGCAAACTAGCCTCACCGTTGAGCACTTTATATTTTTGTCGCTATTGTGTTGAGATGCGATGCCAGTTGTGTGTTTACACAGAGGTTTGTTTTTAATGTTAATTTTCTGTCATTGACAACTTTAATTTATGTGCATTTTATGAGTTTAACCTGTAAAAATGGTGTTCAAATTTTGATTGCTAGACAGACTCCTACTACTGTCCCAATTGCTTGGAGAACATGCCCTCTGCTGAAGCAAAGGTGAAAAAGAATAGGTACATGAAGTTAATAGTATATGAAATATGTACATGAAGTATAACAAATAGATCCAAATCAATATGGAAAAATAACTACCTCATATTCTTTTTATCCTAAGACAAAACACAAAATAACTCCTGTTGAAGAATAAATTTATAATCTAGGTGTGCAAATTGCTATGAATGCCCATCATGTGGTAATGCACTCTCAACTCGTGCAACAGCTGTTGCTATACCATCAGAAAATCCGGAAGAAAAAGCAACTGCAAAGAAAGTATTTTATCTTGCATGTGGCTTCTGTCGATGGTCTACACGAGATGTGCAAATTCCTGATAAAAGCAATGGTTAGTTGTGGTATTTGAAAATTTTCGTTGTAAATCCATGGCAATGGCGTTAGCATCATTCAAAGCTTGTTAAACTTTCCTGAAATTTACTTGTACACTACTGCATTCACAAAATATGTCCTTGTTATACTAATAAATTCTTGTAATGTTTTACAGCTAACAGCGGTTGGCCAGAGCCAGAGAATCCAGCATCCCAGCGAGTATGAAAGAAATTTTGTCTTGATTTATAGTGAAATGTTCATTGATTGTTTCATTACATTATGTCTGTTTCACTTTCAAGATGAATGTTTTGGTTGAATATTACAAGAAACTTGCTGCAAAGGAACAACATGATCGTGAAAAATTAAAATTGAAAAAGAAAAGTTACATGCACATAACATCGTCAAGTTTTGCTTTAAAAGTTTGTTGAATTAAGAGTTGTCTTAAAAACACTTGATAGTTGGATGAAATTGTTGTAATTTATTTCTAATTTTAGACTGGAAATTTGGCTTTGATGAAGAAAAGAAGCAGTTTGTCGTTGATGAGAAGTTTATCTTTGAACAGAGGGTTAGTCTACTGATCATATATATTTGAGGAAATCCGCTAAATTGACATTTTTGCCACTGTGAAATAATAAAACAGAACTTTAATTTTGAAATGGTTATATCAGTGTGCGAGTTAGTTTCTTTGGTGGCATAATCAAATCAATATTACGTTCATTATTATATAGCGCTAATTGCTAAATTAATATTTTCAAACATGAACAAATTCATATGATTTACGACAGTGTTTTTCGTTACAACCGCTGATCCAGTTATAAATGTATGAGAGAAATATTTTTCGCATGTTATTCTCTCCTCTTTTTTGTGCAAACTTTACAGTGCAATAAATTCACCACTTGCCCATTATCCTAGTAATCAAATGAGTCAGCATTTGATGTTTTCATCCATTTTTTTACTGTCTTAACTTTGCTGGTAGCTACAACCTTTCGACGAAAATGGCAAGACAAAAGTGAAAAGGGAATTACCGAATTATACTTTCTGATTAACAGTAACATCCTTGATGTTTACTTACAGTAAAAAACATCATATTTATGTCATATTATAAACAATATGTAAAAGCAAAAAGTATGGCTGATCAAGGTTGCCAGTTTGGCTTAATATTTTGAGCCAAATTTGGCTTAATATTATGAGCCAAATTTGGCTTCTTTTTCTCACGTTAGGCTTATTTAAAATCAAAATTCCCTTTGGTTTATTCTTCAAATTTGGCCTATTTAAGTTTTTTTGTCTAACTTCTAAGAATCAAAATCAAAATGTTTCCCGAATTTACTGAAAATACTCAAAATAGCTATGATGCCAAAAACAGTATGTAACGGTGTACAAAACAACGCAAATGCAAAAATTGACATTAATAATGTATTACAACCCCATTGTCATAAGCACATAAGCACAATGTATGTAGACTGTTGACAGACTTCCCAGTCTCAATGACAACGTCTTTGAATTTGATGACATTGTGCCAACATGGATTTTAATGTCGTGCAGCGCACTCGTTTATAACGTAAAGATCAGTAAAGATTAAGCTTGAAAACTTTCTTCAATTTATGTGGTAGTAATCAATAAAGAAGTTCTTTGCATATCGTTTGAAAAAGTGATTTGCAGTTGTTTCCATTTTAGCTAAAACGATGTGCAAATTGACATTGCACACCGTTAATTCGCACACTAAGTATATGCACTTGGAAAACATGTGGCTTAGATGAGATTTGAAGTTTGATTTTGTTAGTAGTGCTGGAATTGAAGAGGATATCAAGTTTGATGAGCGATCAAAATCAACTGAGCAACCTCCGCGCCAGGAATTGTACAGTGAAGTAGTGAAACTTGAGAAGTCCTCGTCATTATTTCAGATGCTTTCACAACCTGACTTTCAGTTTTCACAAACTAGGTTTGAGAAATAATTTTTTTTCTTATATACTATGATGGTATTGGCTAAGAAGTTGATTTAGAATTTCTAACTAAAATAATTATTTTTATATCTGTAACTTTGTTTAGTGATTTTTATCCAAGGCATAAATATCTCATTGCAAAGCAATCACAACGTTGTCGGGTATGTGGTATTGTCAGTACAGTTATAATTATTTACTATAAGATAAGTGATAACATTTATGACATGACGACAATGCAAATGAAGACATATATGACATAGAAATGCTTCTTTGAATTTTTCAAAAAAAAACCCATTTATTTAGCAATGTGAACATAATTTGTTAAAACCAGAATTCAACCCAAATTCAACGAAGTACAAGATCCAATTTTTTGCTTTGTAAGTCTAAATTGATCGAAATTAAAAATTATATCATTTACGATAAAAGTAAATATGTCGTTGTTGTTTTTCTTCCTCCCAGAAATTATGTTCCTCAAATACAAGTATCAAATGTGGATGATTTTTCCTTTCAAAAGGTATTTGGAGTTAACTTTGCAGCAGTGAAAGAAACGATTTCTTCTATGTGAAGACTTCTCCGAACTTGTTTTTTTAGAAATCACGTGTTACGCTTTCATTGAAGAATCCACTTGACTACCCAATCAGCGTGACACTGAGATCAGCTCCCATGTTGAATTCGAAAGATGATGTTTTCGAAGAAGTGCCTGAAAAAGGAACGCAGGAAATAAATGAAAAAGTGGAGATGAATAAGAGTGGAAGTATATCTCTTGGATCGTCTGACAGAGGATTGACAAAAGCTCAGAAAATTCCCGTGGATAATAATGGTGATAACTGTATCCTGGATGATACTGTTGAGGTGAAGATAACGGTGATACTATATTGTATTACACGATCCTTGATGCTTCACCTAGCATCATTGGCAGTTTAGTAGTTTTATTTTTTGTGCCATATTGCCTCGCAGAGATTGTACTTTTTGAGTGTCATTTCTCTCATTTGTTGGTTCACACCACAAGGTCTTCATTTTAATATATTGCCTTTTTTAACAAGTTAACAAAGATTAGTTCCATTTTCAATTTCAAATGTCATACTTAATGGTTGTAATTCTGTAGCTGTATGTTGAAACCAGTAGTTGAAACCTCTATACTATATAGGTCTTTCTTTTTCGTTTACTATAGGTACTGCTGCCGTCTGGACCGCTTGAATTAGCTGCTAGAGATGACGCAGCAGAATACGATGAAAGCGAAGTTACGACTGCAAAATATGAAGATGATCCGAGGTATGTGCATTGGAAAATTAATTAGAGTCATTTCATGTTTTGGAAATTTTGAAAATTTGAATTGGCTGCCAATGCGTTGTTGACTTATACTTGTATTTGTTTAGTGTTATAGCGTTGCGTCAGGCAAACAAGTTGTGGTTCTATATTGACGTCATTCCTTTGAGGAAATCAGGGGATGTTGAGGTACACCATACAATGGCATTTATGTAATACTATATTCTATTTGTAGAAATTTACGACAAATTGACATAATTAACAGATAGATAAATCGAAGTCCATTTCACTTGCTAAGATGCAGAAGTCGTTCGAGATTAAAAATTGTAAATTGGTCGACTTTTTATATTCGTAGTTCAGATATTAGTTTTTGCGTTTAAAACGGGGTTGCAGACTATTTGCTAAAATAAGAATTTTGATTGGTTGTTGTTGTCATTGCTGCTGACTTTGATTGGCTGAGATACTGATGCTTGATTGTCTGCGATACTGATGCTTGATTGGCTGAGATACTGATGCTTGATTGGCTGAGATACTGATGCTTTCCATCAAATGATGTTGTGGTAATGTCTTTGCTGGTTTTTCACTCATAAGACGTAATTATGTTTAATGTTGCTCATTTTAGTTTTCCCTAATTCTTCAATACGATTACCAGACCATTGTATCATCGAAAAAGAAAATTGGTGTAAGTGATGAAAACCAAGAGGAGCCGGAAATTAAAACAGTACCACTTGAACATCGTGTTCATTTGAGATTAGGCCAGATTTTGATTCAGAAATAGTGTCTGGAAACGACAAAGACGATAATTTTAAACGTTTTACGAAAGGAAAGTGACGAATTATTTATAATACATGAACATTGTCCTACCAGAAGGCCTTAATGTGATGAAATAAGTGATGTTGAAGTTTTTTTTCTAATTGAAATGCAGAAACTTATCAAGGTCTGTATCTTGAAATATCAAAATTGATAAGATATAAGAGTGGCTCATTTGACTGACTGCTTATTACATTGGAGATAAGCTTGTCCGCTTTCTTAGAGAAAAGAATAAAATTACATTATGGGAACAACTTATGTTTAATGAAACATACTAAATTACAAATTTACCAAATCCTTGTACATCGGGCACTGGCAAACTCACTGGCAGACTGGGATAGAGCGATATACACGCATGCGTAGTAGGTGCAACTGGCAACGACGCAAAAGTTGTGTTGACGAGTACGGAGTCTTTGGTTATGGGTTTTATCTCCGAATTTATAAGTTGTTTGATAAAATTTTAGGAATTTCACCCGATGTATATGGCTAAGACAATGAACATGTAGTATTCTATCCTCTTGCCGTACTTATTTTTGGCAAGAGTGTAATTTTTCAAGATGTTTTATTCGACAATGATTGGCGATACGTCATTCACGGTGCTAAAAAGATACGAAAATTTACAACCTATCGGTTCTGGAGCGCAAGGAATGGTTTGGTAAGCGTTGTGAGAAACGGAGAAAATATTGCATTATTTTTTCTTTCTTTGTTTTCATATTTAATGTTTTATACTTTTAATATCTTATTTTCCTCTCAAACGATATCAAAGTGCTGTCATTAAAACAACTGTCAAAGTTTTGCGACAAGAAGTCAATGCGATAATATAATTGTTTACAATTGTTCTCAAGTCCTCAAAAATCAACAATTTATGCGTTTTCTTAGAAGCTTTATGAATAATTTTATCGTAAAAAAACGAAGTTGTTTTGTTTATAAATAGAACTCCCATATCCTTGTATTTTTACGGGTATGACGTCAACAAATGCTTACGTATTCAAGGTAGAGCTGGTCTATTGTGGAAGAGTGAACTAAAGTAACTCTGAAAATTCATTAAATGATTGAAAGGGGCCCGTACTTTCAATTAATGTGAGATTGAAAATATTTTAAAGTAGGAATACAGTTTATTTGTGAATGACAATCTACAGAACAGAGTCTTGACCCTATGAAATAATTTGTTAATATTAATGAATTGCTTTGTCATAATGGAAACAAGAATTATTTGTCACAGAGCCGGTGCATTTGTTTCTTCTGCATTAGCTAGTATGCAAAAAATTGTTACTATATCTGACAATATTATATGAATTTGACAGTAATTGTTTTAAAAGGCAAACTTGATTTGCATTTAAAAGTTATGTAAAGCAAGTCTGAATAATTTGATTGTAGCTAAACATGTACCAGTTTTTTTCTTCATTGTGGCCTTGGCATTTTTGCATTTGTTTGATGAAACAGTTCCTATGTATTGATGTCACATATATACTTTGCCAAGTTCAAAGTTAATCATTACACTAACGGTTTTGTTAACAACATTATAGGTTGCTTGAAAAAAATAGTCAATAAAATATTTAGTTTATTCAGGTTGCTTTTATATTCTTACTTTTGTTTTCATAGTTCTGCACATGATTCAGAAACAGGGGAAAAAGTTGCCATTAAGAAACTGAATCGGCCATTTCAAAATGTTACGCATGCAAAAAGGGCCTATAGAGAGCTGGTCCTTATGCAACTTGTCAATCATAAAAATGTTAGTGGATATAATAACTTAATATTTTTTTATTTTAATATCATATTTATGTGGTAGCATCATTTGTATGTTCATGATAATTGTTTCAATGTTTTTTACTCAGATTGTCTCATTGCTGAATGTGTTTACTCCTCAAGACTCTTTGCAAGAATTTACTGACTTGTAAGTAAAATTATTTACAGAACTGAATCTTTGGAAAGTTTATGAAAAATTCATGTTTTTACAATTGTTGCAATTTTTAATTCAGTTGTTTGTTATTCATGATTTGGTGAATGCAATTTAGCAGTCGATGCATTCATAAAATCTCATCCAAAAAAATAAAATTTTCATTTAAAAAATAAAAGATTTTTACTGTGTTAGCACAGGCTTATGCTAACCAATGAAAACTTTGGGAGAACTTGAGAGCAGATGAGTGAGAATAGACCAATTTTATCTTTTTTATAAAATAACAATAATGTAAAACAGACAAATATTCATTTTTCTCCAATATGTATTCATGATTGATTTTCAAAATCTTTTTAAATGATTTAATTGACAAAGCTCAGATCAATTAGTGCAGGCCCATGTAAACTTAGCTATAGACAAATCATTGTCAGTGCACATGTTTTATTGTTGCTATTTTTTAAAATTTAAATTTTGTTATAAAATTAATCTGTGTTGGATTTTGTAAATATATCATTTAAATGCTCATTCTTAGATATCTTGTAATGGAGCTCATGGATGCTAATTTATGCCAAGTCATTTCAATGGATTTGGATCATGAACGTTTGTCTTATTTACTCTACCAAATGCTTTGTGGTGTGAAGGTATAATTATTTTGTTATATAATACTTTTTTTGTAATTACAGTGAAACAGAGAGTCAACTAATCAGCTTATATAGAGCTTGTTTATTTGCTTTTGATGAGTGTATTCTTTAGCTCTTACTTATGTGTATTTATCTTTCTTTCTCTTTCTTAAAGCATCTTCATGCTGCAGGTATAATTCATAGGGTATGTATCTGGTCTCACTTGTTAGTTCTTTTGTTAAATAATGTGAATGAGAGTCAACTATACACATCTTTTTGATGCTCTGAAACTGTAGATGCTTCTATCACATTGTCTAGATGTATTTTAATTTATTCAATGCAATTATTAAAATGTTATGTCTTTAATGTTGATCCTTGTGTGGTTTGTCAAGAAGACTTTGCATGATCTTTTGTTGTCACTAATGTATCTTTCATATTTTACACAGGATCTGAAACCAAGCAATATTGTCGTTAAATCTGATTGTAGCCTTAAGGTGAGAGAATAGTATGTTTAGTAGGAACTCTACGCCATGCAAGAGGAGGCAGATGTTGCTAATTTATTTGTGTGGCTATTAGATAAAGATTTCTAGCGTGAATTCTGCCATGCTTATCCTAGAGGATGTGAATAAGGCTCATTGGCTTGTTTCATTTTAAGATGGAGATTTTTAGTACTTGTGCTTCAAATGAGGACTTTTAATGCATTGATTATTGATATCTTTGATATAGATTCTCGACTTTGGTCTTGCCCGGTCAGCGGGTTCAAACTTTATGATGACGCCATACGTTGTGACGCGATATTACCGAGCACCTGAAGTGATTCTTGGGATGGGCTACAGCGAGAACGTGGACTGCTGGTCAATCGGTTGTATATTTGGTGAGATGATTCAAGGACAAGTTATGTTTGCCGGTGTTGATCGTATCCTTTTTCAGTATTGTTTAACGCTTCTAGACTATTTAGCTATCATGTCTTTAAGTGTAACGTTATTTTATTTAGACTAAGGAAAAATAAGTACTGTTACGTACATTGCTTAAATTATCTTCAATCTTCGAATGATAAACTTCCTTTTTTGTAGGTTTGTTTTGTTTTTACTTAACTCGTGCGTTTCAGATATCGACCAATGGCATAAGATCACCGAGCATTTGGGAACTCCAGAAGAGGCTTTCTTCGAAAATCTTCAACCTACTGTTCGTATGTATTGCAAGAGCAGACTAAGGCACCGAGGAAAGTCTTTTGAAGAACTGTTTCCCGATGAACTGTTTCCAAATGATTCACCACGTGATCTTCGAAAAAGTATGATGAATTTCAATTGAGGCGTTTTCATGTTTTATATTTTTGGTAGTGGTTGTTAAGCAATCAGATTATTTCTGAAAACGCTTATCACGTGACTGGAGCAAGAGAGCATAGAGCTACGACATTAGACCGTTTGTGATAAACATCCTAGTTTCCTAGATATAAGGAAATTAGTTTGTATGCATACGTCTAAATGGTCTTAATTTTCCACATCAATCTCTCCAAAATAAAATTTAGCGTGGAGTACGTATCATTTTTGACTTGTTAAGAACTAATATTTTCACTCCATTTTACCATCCTGAAATGCTGCATCTTTTTAAGCTGATGATGCGCGTGATTTCTTAACCAAAGTATTGGTTGTTGATCCAGCGAAAAGATATTCCGTTGACCAAGCTTTACAACACCCCTATGTAAATATATGGTATGATAAAGGAGAGGTACTTGGGGTAAGTCAAATAGAACTTTGAACATAAATGGACAAGGATAGTTCTCTTTTATTACTTACATGCAGCGATTTTTGGCAATTGTAAACGCGTTGTCTTTATTTATTTGCTAAGGATTGACTTCCCTACAGCGTTTCCTGTAATATCTTACTTATATCTTGGCATTTTAAATAATGTTATAGCCGGCCCCGAAGAAGTACGATCACTCAATCGATGAACAGGAACACACTGTTGAAGAATGGAAAAGTAAGTTACAGTCTCAAACTTACACAGAGAAAATAACCTTTCATTGAGATAGTAATTAATTATCTTAACAATCCCCCTTCCCCGCGTAAATAGCGCATTAATTTTTCATTAGAATAAATAAATCTCTTTTGTGTGTTTCATTGTAAATGGGCTGTTAAAACTTAGAGAACTTATCACTAAACAATCCTTTGAGATATTTTTTAAAGTGTTTTGTATCCATGTTTTAGTGTTTTCTCCTTTTTTATAGCTATGATATATCAAAAAGTATTGGAATATCAATCAAAACATGGTGATTTATCTACAAAATATCATCAGAGCTCGAAAGTAAATGGTGCTGCGGCTGATTCTGACGGTCAGGAGGCTACATCAGGTTTGTTTGTCATTTCATTATCAGATTAAATACAGAATATCAAAGTTTTATATGGTACACTGAACTGGATAATTTCTTAAGTTTTAATATCAAATCACTCCTGATAATTGCACGAGAGAGGGGTTATACGTATATGGCTTAAGTTTTAACATCAGATCAATTTCATCACTCCTGATAAAGACGCTAGATTAGAGTACATATATAAAGACTAAATTTTGAATAGACACTAGACTAGTATATACATAAAAACTCGAGTTCAATCATCAGATCACTCTTTATGAGAACACTTGAATTGAATCAACCTTTTCGACGGTAGACACGCGTGTCAAAAAAACGAGATCAAATTGCAAAATTCAGACAATCAAATGGTCGGACATAGTATTGTTTGTTTAGTTTAAAATGGTGGCAATAAAATGGTTAGGAGATGCTTTTGAGTTTAGGGGCGCTTGTGAATCTGATTCTAGTTATTCACAACGATTATTTATAAAAGTAGAAGGTATTACAGTAAATATTAACCATTTTGGGTTAGAGAAAAGCATAATGATTAAAGGAAAGCTTGAATACTGGCATGTTGTCGCGCTAATGACTTTTTTAGTAAGGATTGTTACGATACATTAAAATTTAGACGATGCAAATGCTTTGCTTACTAAATGTTGTCTTCGTAAAAATTACTGTTAAAAAGTAGATAATCCCTTTGTTCCACAAAGCTCATGGGTGCTTTCGTTCATGTTGAGAGAGTTACATTTTATTATGGAGCCTCTCGTTTATCACGAGAGAGTTACGAGAAAGTTACATTGTAAAGATAGCGACTAAAAAACGTATGACCATGTTAAGAATTGGTTTAAATTATAAGTCGAGAAGGCAGAAGTTGTTTCAACCTTTGCAGTACTCTTTGATGTTCTAGTTTCTTTTATGAGAAGAATTCTTGTAAAGAAAAAAGACAAATTTTGAAAACAAAAAATCCGGTTTTCTGTCCATGCCTACCTATACCCCGAGATAGTTGAGTGTTAGAACGTCGCATGTTAATTAAGGGAACCAGATAATCCTTGTTTGCCATAAAGCGAGCTAATTATTCCATAATCGGTGCTAGAAATGTTTTTATTTTTCTCTGTAACTTTGTATTTTCTTGTATAGTGCATGTCATATCCAAGTTATCCTTTAATTTAACGGGAAATGGTTTTTATTCACTCTTACACCTGCATTTATGATTAGTCGTTATGGATTTCTAAAATAAGATTTACAAATGCCTCAATGTATCGTCTTTCTATTTTATTGCCATTATTCTACAAACACAATACTGTGTCTGACCATTTGATTTTTCGAACTTTGTAATTGGATCTCGTATTTTCGACACGTGTGTTTACCGTCGGAAAGGGGGATTACAACAAACTCCTTTTCAACATCAGATTATTCCATATTTTTTTGAATCACGTAGCTCCACACAAGTATAATATCATCGTTAAGCACATGTAACAATGATAAGTAATTGTATAAAAGTTTGATGGTGACCAGCAACGTTTAAATTGTCTCGTAGTTTTTTTTTCTTATCAAATATAGAATTGATTGCATTTTATTCCGGACTGTAAAACTAAGAATTACATAGCTCTTGATAAATACTTTAAACATATCATGTTTACTAAGCAACATCTGGGATTCTAACTAATTGACTAAATTAAATTAAACCTAAATTCGTAAAGGAGGAAGAAAGAATTCAACTAGACGCAAAAAGGAATCTTTTTCTTCAAGGTACTTTACGACCAAACGTAAAATATTTTCTTACAAACTGAATCATAACATGTTGAATCATAAATCATAATGAATGTTTTATTTAAAGGTTTAAAAAATATTTTAAAAAAACTTGAAGTGGTCTAATTATTTGGTTTCTTACTGCTAATATTATATCGTTTAAAAATCTATGTAAGACAAGTACTTCCAGTAATACTTATTGCATTTAAAATCTAGTTTATAACAATGCTTTGGAGTCGGTATAGAAAAGGAGATGCTTATTGTAGCTCCAGGTTTTCATACCATTGTATTATGCTATTATGAAATCATCAATTTTTATTTTAGAATTCGTCAGATGATAAAGGGTGATGGCCATTGAAGAAATACTATTGGTGTTATTAAAATGTCTGGGAATTTTTCCCTCAATTGAAACAGCGTTGTATTGAACGCAAATTTTACTGAAGCATACGTAGAATTTATTAATTTAATGGTGAATAGGAATTTTGCGATTGATTAATGGCAAATAAGGCAGAATACTGTTGTAAATCGATACATAGTTTTCATCTCATGAAATGACTTTAAATTTCTTCATGGATGATCCACATAATGAATTAAAATTTAATTTATACTTCAACTGACTTGCTTTTGATAAAATTTCGATAGAGGCACTGAATGGCACAAATGATTGAGGAATATGTTGTATGTGCATTAAAAAGGGAGAAATTTTTGTTTGAATGATTAATTACACTTATAAAAGAAGTTAAGCGTGTAAGAAATTCTTTATTGTCCTTGCCAAAAGGTAACCAATTGTCAGGTTCCAACTTGGGAACGTTTTTGAAATGAAAAGTGTGTTTTTTTTCTCTGGTTTTATTTTTTATCATCACCTGGTTCGTAAGGACAACGGTATTTGGAGAATGGAAGTGTTGTTGCTGGGTAAAAACCTAATGTGTGTTTACTTATTGTATTATTTTATCCATAAAATGTTGCATGAAAAGTAGTCAGGTTTACATAACTTAGACGAAGTATGATGAATAATTCAAGCACTGCTGGAATTGTCTTTGTGGCGTGGAGGCTCAAGTAATTGTGATTTGAATCTGAATCGAAAATTTTCCGGCGTAGAGATTAATGTATTTACCTAAATCCTTTTCATTCTTCGTTTTCATTTCTTTAGTAAAGTATACCATGAATTTTTAGCCCAATACTTACTCAAAAGAATGTCTTCAATATTTTTTACAGTTTGTTCTTTACCAGGATCATCAGAACAACTGCGAGATAGGTAAAATTTTAATATTTTTCAGAGTTATACTTTCACGTTGTGTAATCATTTTTCTCCTGTGTTATAACTGCATTTTCATTTTTCGTTTTGAAGTTTTGTTGATATTGTAAATCGACGAAAAGACGACTCTTCTGTCAGGTAATGTTACTGAAAAATATTTTAGAATTTTGCACAAAACCAGTGGTGTATTGCTATCTCCTAGCCACATGGATGGCCATCAACATATTCAATTATTTGTAATAGTTGGCTTTTCTGACGTACAAATTTGAGCCAACCTTAAAAAATTTTGCATACTTTATGGCTAACAACACATTTAATGTTGAAATAAATTATTGAGTGTATCAGTTTAAAGTTTTTACAATTATAGCAATTAAAAAGCCGAGCCATTGATGTGGTCTTAATTGAACTCCATTTTCAAACCTGACGTTATAAAATTTTAATTCATTTTGGATAGAAAACTTACATAAAGAATTCTATCAATTGTCTTGTCTACTGCACACTCACAATGTAATTTATGATGTAGACTAGCAATCCCAATGATATTACAAAGTTGCATTGAAATGTTGAACTTTGATATTTCAAGAAATTGTCTCAACACTGTCATTGTGATTAAATGTTGTTATATGATGTACTTTAACTACTCCTAAATTTTATGAGTTTAGTTTGATTGCCATAGCAAATAACCATGTAAAATATAAAACATCATAAACTAGACGACTGATCACTATATAAAAAAAGGATAGTTACGTTCAGACATTCTACATCATTTATTACTCAATTTTCCTATAGTTTGCTGCAATATGCTGTGAAAGATTTTGTGTTGGGACCGAGTCATGTTGCTCTCTTATTTGAGGTTTGTTTACTGTTTATTTAAAAGCTTCATAATTGGGAATCTCATAACAATTTAAAATTTCATGGAAAAATTTGCTTTTACGCAGTTATGGTAGTCTTTCATTGTTTTTTAGCTCACTCTTGTTACTCATTTATTCAGACTGATTATTAAAATAACATCAATGTGAATATTCTTACAGAAATAATGGATTGATTATTTAGGATGGCACTGTTGCCCGACAAAGATTTACTGTATCACATGAGCATGTAGACATTGGTAGAAAAGAATCTGCAACAGCCTCTGTGTAAGCTGCAGTTTTATATGAATGCTTCAGTTGTTTGCTTTATATTTCTACTGTTTTTTATCATTTTAAGAAGTGGTGAACAAGAGCGATCATCAGCAAGATCAGCGTCACATGTTGTACTACATAGCAGTAAGTTATTATCCACACATTGTTTCTGTGATGAAGCTCTCAAATTTTTTAGCTTTTTCGAGTTGTAATTTTTGTTGTTTTGATTGTTTTGTGCTTATTTTTCTTCCCTTCAGTTGGTGATCGTGCTGGGCATGGAGAGAGCTCTTGGTTGCTGCCATCAGGAGATTCATTTGCAGCTTTATCTGGTCATCCTGGTCTTAGGTAATCTTTTTCTTTTTACAAAATGTTTAATTATTTAGAATGAGCTTACCATTTTAAACAATGGTTAACATTAGAGAAATGGTAATCGTTTATTCTTTTGTTGTTTCCTATTCACTTTAGATGGAGTTCATCCAATCCAGTAACGTTACGCGCGTGTAGTCGTCTTGCTTCGCGTGGACGAGGTCGTGTCGTGCGTGGACGAAGTCGTGGCGGGGCCACTGGCTGGTTGACATCGCGAAGTGTCGTTCCTGCATCCGCTGTACCAGAAGAACTCATCTCACAGGCACAGGTTGTTCTCCAAGACAAGTCACGTGCGGCTATCGTTCGTGAGCTGCAAAGAACGGTAGGTCTTCAAGAAACTTGATTGTTGTTGTAGAAGACTTAAACATTAAAATACTTTATTTTTTCATCAACAGTCACATACATTACCTATTCATCTTGTTTAATGATACTTTTCATTATCCAGACATTCTTCATTCATTATTCGTTCATTGTTCGTTCATAGTTTATATTAAGAAATAAGCGATATTCCAATTCGCTCGTTTGATAATTTTTTTAGAACTTGGATGTAAATCTAGCTGTGAACAATCTTTTGAGTCGTGATGAAGAAGATGGTGATGATCAAGAGGAAGGTATCTCGTGTTCTGTTTATTAAAAAAGTGTTTTGGGAAGAATAGGGTAGAAAGCATCACTTGAGTTATTACACGGCGTATTGCTTTGGTAAAAGTGTTTGAATTTTTTATCAATTTAACCGCATTTTTCCTTATTTTTTCACGTGTATAGAAGATCTTTTTTCTATCTTGGAGACTGGACTCCACTCAGACGACCCAGCAGTTGTCATGGATGCAGATTCCATCTTTCCGGAAGAGATGTTTTACAGCAGTTTGCCACGACGCATGGGCAGCAGAGCGAGTCGATTCTTTGAACGCGAGCTTGAGGCAGAGAGGGATAGAGAACGAGATATTCTGCGTCGAGAACGATGGTGGAACAGCCTTTGTTTAGATGAAAACTCCAGTTCAAATGGTGCTAAGAATAATAATGTGTCAAGTGATAAAAAAACAGCAGTAAACTTACCGAAGAAAAACGTAAAAGAACCAATAGTCTTTATCGGGGAATTGGAATATTGGCCTGGAGAAGTACGTTTCTGTCAACTTTTTCCGTTTGAATGGTATTTTTTTGTAGTAAATAATGTGTTTTTGTGTGTATTGAAAACAATTGACCAATTAAATTTTAAATGTATAAGTGTAAGCATTCAGCCGTACCTTACCTAAATTTCAGTTTTGTTCTTTTGTGCAGAAAAATTGCTTACCAAAGTTTGTGAAAATTGCGTCCATGTATTCTGAGCTTGTGTGTTTGGATAGCGATGGTAAAGTACACCAGTGGAAGTGGGAGGACCTTTATCCATATTTATCCACAACAGACCGTGGTACCAAATTGACGCATCCGAGAACTAAGTCGCTTGGATTATCAAACGAAAATATTGTTAAGCTATCGTCGTGTTCCTCTCGGGCTACTGTCGTAACACGTTCGGGAAAGGTAAGTGAAATAATCTGGTGTAGATGAGCAAATCTAATTTGCCAAACTTTGTTTTAGAGCGTTTATTTGCAAATCTTTGGGAGGAGTTTTTGTCGTTCTGAGTGTTGCTCATTCTAGTTTATGACGTCATTCTGCTTTTAGTCAGAGCTTTTGTTCCTCTAGTAACGTTTGTGAATTACTTCAGGTGGCAACATGGTTGGATGAAACTCTCGCTGCTGTTTCCTCCAAGCTTGAACATTCTGCAAAATTGTTTTCCGATTTCGAAAAAGAAAAAATACATGAAGTATACGTTTGTCCGCTGTACACATGCGTGCAAACTGTACCTGGAAACTTGTATTGGTGGTAAGCTTAAATACCAGAGAGCAAAGAGGTTCTTGTTTTAGATTAAAACATCTATGATCATTTTGTGAGCGAGCACGTTTCTGAGTTTATATCACTAAGTACGCATTTCATGATGTAATAGGGGTGTTTTACCTTCGGACCAACGGAGAAAGGTTATGGAAAAAGCCAAAGCTCGTGCTAATAAAGATCGTGTTACGGGATTATCTGAAATTGTTGTTGGTGCTCAGGTAAGAATACATTGTGTAAAGAAGTCAACGTGTAGCTACAAAGATCACGTTTCTATGTGTAGCTACAAAGATCACGTTTCTATGTGTAGCTACAAAGATCACGTTTCTACGTGTAGCTACAAAGATCACGTTTCTAAGTGTAGCTACAAAGATCACGTGTCTATGTGTAGCTACAAAGATCACGTTTCTACGTGTAGCTACAAAGATCACGTTTCTACGTGTAGCTACAAAGATCACGTTTCTATGTGTAGCTACAAAGATCACGTTTCTACGTGTAGCTACAAAGATCACGTTTCTACGTGTAGCTACAAAGATCACGTTTCTATGTGTAGCTACAAAGATCACGTGTCTAAGTGTAGCTACAAAGATCACGTGTCTAAGTGTAGCTACAAAGATCACGTTTCTAAGTGTAGCTAGATGGTGGTGAATGAACAGCAGAGAATTAGAACAATTTTTACATTACTTAAAATATAAACTATGATTACTTATCTCAGTGTTGGTAATTATGAATGAACAATAGAGAAAGTGAACAGTCTTTGCACTATCTAAAATATAAACTATGATAACGTGTGTCAGTGTAGGTAGTGATGAATGAACAACAGAGAATGAGAACAGTCTTTGCACTATCTAAAATATAAACTATGATAGCATTTGTCAGTGTAGGTAGTGATGAATGAACAACAGAGAATGAGAACAGTTTTTAAACTACCTAAAATATAAACTAAGATAACGTATGTCAGTGTAGGTAGTGATGAATGAACAACAGAGAATGAGAACAGTCTTTACACTATCTAAAATATAAACTAAGATAACGTGTGTCAGTGTAGGTAGTGATGAATGAACAACAGAGAACGAGAACAGTTTTTACACTGTCTAAAATATAAATTACGATAACGTGTGTCAGTGTATGTAGTGATGAATGAACAACAGAGAAAGAGAACAGTCTTTACACTATCTAAAATATAAACTAAGATAACGTGTGTCAGTATAGGTAGTGATGAATGAACAACAGAGAATGAGAACAGTTTTTAAACTACCTAAAATATAAACTAAGATAACGTATGTCAGTGTAGGTAGTGATGAATGAACAACAGAGAATGAGAACAGTCTTTACACTATCTAAAATATAAACTAAGATAACGTGTGTCAGTGTAGGTAGTGATGAATGAACAACAGAGAATGAGAACAGTCTTTACACTATCTAAAATATAAACTAAGATAACGTTTCTCAGTCTAGGTAGTGATGAATGAACAAGTATTTACACTTCCTACTACCGTGTTAAAATGCGTGTTAGTATACTACTACAGCAGGCAAGTTTATGGAATTAGTAATTAATGTAAACATGAAATATTCATACTTTACTTTAGGTATGTTTGAGAAGCAGTCCTATATACAATGCTGGCGCCCTTGCGTTCAATGTTGGCAACGAAACCCCTCGTGTTGGCGAGATGATGACGTCATTGTGGAATTTTGCTCCCGACAAACTTCGTTTCAAAATCATTACTGATAACAAAAGGAGCAAGGAAAAAACAATAGTTGTTGATACTGTTGAAAGTGTTGCTAGTCCCGAGTTTGGCACAAGTGAGTGAATGTGTGTGAAGATTTGGTAAAAAATAGCAAACTTTAGTTGGTGACATTTCGACAATATGCACGCGATGAGTGACAGTGAGGGAAATAATATGTTTGTTGATTGTTGTGCAGAAAGAAAAGCAACCAACGATTGTGACGGTGCAACGAAAGAAGAAGAATGGAATCTTAAAGAGGTTGTTTTCATTGAAGACAAGCAACAGTCCACTGTTGGCGTTGTACTCAAGGTATTATTCAATGAGAGGAGCAAATCCTTCCAGAAAAAGGACATATGTAGTATGTGTATTTGCTTTTATGTGAGTTTATTTCATGAGGATTAATCAACTCTTATACTATAAATTGGTTCTAGGTAAATGGTTTGTAAATTGGTTTTAGATTGATGGTTTATAAATTGGTTTTAGATTGATGGTTTGTAAATTGGTTTTAGATTGATGGTTTGTAAATTGATTGTATATTGATGGTTTGTATATTGGTTTTAGATTGATGGTTTATAAATTGGTTTTAGATTGATAGTTTATAAATTGATTGTAGATTGATGGTTTGTAAATTGGTTTTAGATTGATGGTTTATAAATTGGTTTTAGATTGATTTTTTATAAATTGATTGTAGATTGATGGTTTGTATATTGGTTTTAGATTGATGGTTTATATGCTGCTGTCCATTTTCCATCAAAAGACAAACCTGAGTTACCATTATCTTCATCTGATCCCATGACACTCCTGAAAAACTGTCGTTTGGTGAGGAAGGATGAATTACAGGTAATTAACTATACATGATAATTGAGACATTATACTTTATTATCAATCTGAATGAGGCGTTGAACAATAGTCTTAATAAAGACAGCTGTGTCTTTACAGGTTGTGAAAATCACCACAAATCACAAAGTTCCTGATTGTATCCAGAAGTCTCCTAAATCACTTGTGATCCCATCTGGAGCAACTCCAATCACAATTGCAGTTGCAAACGATGGTCTGTAACAATATGTTCTTTATTATTGTATTTAATATTTGTTGTTCATAGAATTATTAATTACTTTTCAATTCAAGTGTTATAAAGACAGCTGTCGTTGTCTCTATATAAACTATAATTCAACTTATGGACACTTCTTTTTATTTTTGTTATTGTGGGTGGTCTGTTATCTGTTATGTGTAAGGTTGATGCTTATGATATCAATTAAATAAATCATTGAGTTGTGCTCATTGATATGCTTTATTTTGTAGCCTCAAATAATATTTTAATGCTACTTTTATGTACGTAATGGTTACCAATTTTATTTTATATTGCTTTACAAATTTTACTGTTCTCTGTTTGTTATTGTTCAACATCTTAATGTTTCAGGAGTACATGCTATCCTGAAGCGGGGCAAAAACATGTCGTATGCATTGTTTAATCTTGGCAACAGCAAAGTAGAACCTGGCGGGCAGTTTCCCGCTGAAACTGCATCGTTTATTAGCCAACCATCTACCCGTCAGCTGCTACTCAACCCATCTATTGTGGTATGCGTTTCTTTGATTGAATTAAATTGATGTTGTTTGTTGAATTGGAGAAAATTATTACCTTTCAATATTTTACATTGATTCTTGTCATATTTTATTGTAGGGTAATCTAATGGTGCTTCAAGATGTTACTGGTGGACTAATTCCCCTTATAAAAGATAGTTTAGGTGGTATCAAAGAACCAGTTTGGATGGTATGCAATTTTATTTACTATTCTTTTATTCTAAAAAATACTGATCTATCCTTTTTTACTCCAGTCTAATGTCTTCACTAGGGGTCATCTAATGATAGGAAATATCTGATACTACAGCTTAAGTTCTTGTACATTGTAGTGTATACATAGTGTTTTGGCTGTTAAGGATCTATCTTTTTCTTAGTTTATATGTTTATATTTTTAATTTGTTATCAGCGTGTGATATTTTCCTGTTTCTTAGGGACTGCCTCCCGTTCACGTTTTGCGTATTGCTGTATCAACAACTAAAGAAAATAAAAAAGTTGCTATAGTAGCCTTATCACTTCCTGTGAGTTTCATTCTCTTACATGAAAATTAGTGTTTCCGTGGTCAACTTTTGTGATTGTTTTATGTTGCTTTTAGAAACAAAAATTTATCTCGGATGTTATTGATCGAAATGAAACAGCAGTAATGGATTTATTAAATTTTCTATCCCTAAACTGTCGTGAGTATCCCTCGTTTTTGGTCGTTGGTTCAGGGATTTCACGGACTATTTTTTGAAATTATGACAGATGTTACTGGGTGATGTATCTTGTTAAAGTACGCTTACTAATTTCCATCTTTTAGCTGAAGATATTCCAGAAATACTGAAAGAAACCTGTGATGGGAATCGAAATATTATTCACGTTTGCGTATCACATGCAATGCCCACTAAGTCAAAGGATGCCTCAAAACAGATCAACTCTAACACATCAGGTTTGACCATGTTTGCAAGTAGTCTTTGATGGGAAAATTTTCTATTTTGTGTAGCAATATTTATAACTAGTTTTGTTTGTTTTAGTTAAATTGTAGATACACGAAAACATTAATCATCCAAGCTTGCTTTTCAGGAGGTGCTGCAGTCTCAAGTCCCACATCGGCCAGCAGTCGCAATATCAGTATACGTGAGATGATGCAGAAAGCGGTAATGGCTGCAAGAGCTGCTAATCTTGAGGTTGATGAAGACACCGCTATCCCCACACTACACTGGCCACCTGACCCACCTACAAGCAATACGTCCTCAAATGTACCTAGTGCTACGACTGCTGTTCCTCCTGCTGTTGTTCCCCCTACCACATCAGATGAGTCATCTCCAGCGATAACAAGTTGGTTTATTTCAATATTTATCTAAATATTGTTTGTTAAAGTTTGACTGTACACGCTCTTCCTTTCTACTCCGACACCATAAGTATCTCTGCTTAAATTATTACTATCCATATCTTTCAATGTGTATGTATTGTGTTGACTTTCATTGATTAATGATATTGCACATCTAAAGTAATATGAAGTGAAGATTCTTCATCTGTAAGCTGATTCAATTTTATTATGCCATAGCTCAACCGAAGCCTGTTGATGATGATCATTCGACAAAAGCTTTGAGAATCTTGAAACTGTTTTGCAGCAACGACTACATGAAACCTTACTTGTATTCATTACTTTCGGCCAAGTACGTTCCCTATTTAAATATTCAACGAGAGAAAACGCTTTTTGGATTGATGCTGACGTTCTAGTCATTAATCTTTTGAGATGCTACTCCCTTAGCTTTCATTCACTCATGCGTTAAAATATTGTATTTTTATTTAGAGATGCCGATGGTTATACTCCTTTTATGTTGGCAGTATGTCGTCGAGCTTATCCGTCGGCGTTACTCCTTTTTGAAACTGCTAAAGATCTTTCAACTGATCCTCAGTCCCTACGTATCAACCAGGATCGTCTGATGTCCATGGTATATCCCGCTGATGCACCTGGAATGTCATCTCCTCTTTATCTTATATGTTGTAACGACACGTGTTCGTTTACATGGACAGGAACAAAACACATTAGACAAAATATTTTCGAATGTAGAACTTGCGGTTTGACAGGAACGTTGTGTTGTTGTACGGAGTGCGCACGGGTTTGTCATCGAGGTCATGATTGCAAGTAAGTGATGAGGGAGTGGATGTAGCCATTCAATTGTCCTTGCACGACACACTTCTAAACTAGAGTAGAGTATGTACCTAAGAACTTACGTTTCAACATCAAATAACTCCTGATGAAGACACTAGACCGGAGTATATAAAGACTTAAGTTTCGACATCAGATCACTCCTGATGAAAACATTAGACCGGAGTATATAAAGACTTAAGTTTCGACATCAGATCACTCCTGATGAAGACATTAGACCGGAGTATATAAAGACTTAAGTTTCGACATCAGATCACTCCTGATGAAAACATTAGACCGAGTATATAAAGACTTAAGTTTCGACATCAGATCACTCCTGATGAAGACATTAGACCGGAGTATATAAAGACTTAAGTTTCGACATCAGATCACTCCTGATGAAGACATTAGACCGGAGTATATAAAGACTTAAGTTTCAACATCAGATCACTCCTGATGAAGACATTAGACCGGAGTATATAAAGACTTAAGTTTCGACATCAGATCACTCCTGATGAAGACATTAGACCGGAGTATATAAAGACTTAAGTTTCGACATCAGATCATTCCTTATAAAGAGACACTCGACTGGATTATGTAAGACTGTATACCAGACTGTTTTAATATTTTTTTAAAAAAATAATTTTTTATTTGTTTTAGGATCAAGAAAAAGCCTCCCATCGCTTACTGTGATTGTTGGAGAAAATGCAAATGCAAGGCTTTAATTCCTGGTGATGAACTTGCACGGGCTGATCTGTTGAAAAAGTTAGTCTCGGAGACAGACCTCGTGACAAAGTCAAATGGAAAGTACGTAATAACGCTGTATTATTTACTTGGAGGGTTGAATAAATTTGAATAAATACGCGTGCAGATTTTATCTGTGTTATACTCAAGTATTATGATATACGTATTACCTGTTTTGTCTTTCTTAGGTATAATTATAAAGACGTTAGCTAGAAGTTTATGATCGTGTTTAGTATCTTTATATTTATCAAACTTAATTAGTCTTAATTGTTAAAATTAAATTGTCAAATTCATAAAGAATTTAGTATGTACTAATTCACGAAGGAATGAGTTGATCTTCCTTTTTAGAAATTTGTCACAGTCCTTATCGTTGTATCATTGTTTTTAGGGGTGAACATATTTTATTGTTTTTGGTTCAAACCGTCGCACGCCAGATTACAGAGCAGCGGTCTTATTGTCCAAAAGGGTTGGATGTGCCGAACAGCAAACGGCGTGCTCAAGCAGTTTTGGCTGCAGCTAATTATCCCGAGCATGATCTCGAACCCCCAAAGTTTGCCCGACAAGCGCTTGAGTTGATTATTAAAGATTGGAGAGCTGTAAAGAATATGATTCTTAGTGGGACCCAGTCCAGTATTAGGTAAGGCATTGTGGGTAAGGGAAGAGATGGATTTAGGCTCGCCGTATTGATGAAGTAATGTTCTTTTCTGTACTTTGTAATTCACTTTTATACATAGCATGTATATAGTGGAAATGTGTAATGCCCATAGGTTTATGTTGTTTTCCACCTAGCGTTTGTGTAAAAAGATCATGAGGTTGAAATAAGAATGTTACTAAATGCTTATATGGTCTTATGATCTTTTTTATCAGTTTTTGGTCATCATGATATTTTGTTAATATCGTATTATACTTTATCAGTGATGTTCGAGCTGATGGAAATGTTGTTACAAACGTCGTTCATTCTATGTTAACAATGCAAGAACAGCAAAAATATCTGAATAGTCAAGATGGTACAGCAAGACTTGACAGTTTTTCACACTGTCTCATTAGTAAATGCCCCAGTGAGGTAAACAATGTTAACCCCAGTTGAATTTCCCGCTTTTATGAATAACTTTTACCCCTCAAGTTTCTGACACCACCATTTACTTTCACCCCCTCAAGTCTCTGATACCACCATTTACTTTCACCCCTCAAGTCTCTGATGCCATCATTTACTTTCACTCCCTCAAGTCTCTGATACCACCATTTACCCACCCCTCATTTTTTCACCCTCGTCTCTGATACCACCATTTACTTTCACCCCCTCAAGTCTCTGATACCACCATTTCTTTCATCCCCTCAGTCTTTGATCCATTCATTTTCACTCGTCTCATTCCATTCACCTCGTCCATTCCACTCATTCCATCCACCCCCCTCAGTCTCTGATACCACCATTACTTTCACCCTCGTCTGATACCACCATTTACTTTCACCCCGTCTCTGATACCATTTACTTTCACCCCTCGTCTCTGATACCACCATTTACTTTCACCCCTCGTCTCTGATACCACCATTTACTTTCACCCCTCAAGTCTCTGATACCACCATTTACTTTCACCCCTCAAGTCTCTGATACCATCATTTACTTTCACCCCTCAAGTCTCTGATACCACCATTTTATTAAGTATAGCAATGCAAAATTTTTTTGATGCATCATTTTTGAAAGAATTTTTATGAAAAAAATGTTTATCTGCTTGATACGTAAGTGAAAACATTCTTGATTTTTCTGCTTTCGTCGACTTGTAGATTGTTGATCAATTCCTGAAAACTTTAAACGCTGCCCTCTTGACGACTACTGGATCTGAGAACGAGGAAGTTATCATGGTTGCTAAAAGATTTGTACGCTCCATTGCGAGAGTGATGATCATACTGACGTCAGAGAAAACCCCATCAATTGCTAAAAGAAAGTTGTAAGTATAGACCAGTGTTTTTGTTTGCTTTTAGTCTTTCCTTGTTGTAACAGTGGGAAAGTTCGGGATTTTTTAATCGTAATGCTTAAAAGAGTAGTTAGGATGCTATTTTGGGCACATAAACTAACAGCTACAATGTACAATTGACTGTTTACTTGATTGCTCATGAGCTTTTTATAATTATTGTTATAATGTACGTCTTTTTATGTAGATTGGCCTTTCAACAACTAAACAAGTGTAGGAAGGTTTTTCAATCCATGTTAATGATTGCTATACCAGAACTGATTCAGATGGCAAACTCATTAATTGCACCCGTGCGCTTAGGGGTCTGCCGTCCTGCGGGACACTTTTCTTACTTAATCTCTGACAACACGACGAGCAGTGACGAACCGGCAGTTGGAGAAGAGTTATTTAATGCTCAACCAATGCGTCGTAGAGCATCTACATCTTCTACCGAACCGCCTCGAGTCTCTATGGAGCGTCGTGACTCTGACTTCATAATTGATTCTCAAGTTGAGCACTTGGAGGTTGCTGATCCGCAACTATCTGGGGACGTTGGTGAGCTTCACGACATTGAGGTATGCCTTGCGTATTAATGTTAGAAAGACAAAGCACATAACTTTCATCCATTTTTGCCATTCTACAGGTTGTTGGCGGAGCAGACATTCAAGCATTGGTCTCAGCTTCAGGTATTGATTTGATAAACAATACCAATCAACAGGGGGGTGTGGAGAGTATGGACACACATGAGAATATGCCCCAGGATCAACCTTCTGATGCTGCGACTCCCGGTGTACGTATAAGCGCTACTGGTGAGAGTTCTCGTGGGCGAAGAAGGCCTAGGTCTTCAGATGGTGCTGCTGAACACGAAAATGGGAATGAGTCTGATATGGATTTAGAACTCTTGGCAGAAAGTGAAAGTGATAGCGACGAAGATGGTTTAACCCCCGGTGAAGGACGCAACAGACGTGTAACGACGGGGGGCTATGATCCTGTTAATAACACGCGAACTGTACCTCGTCATGTGTGTTATTCTGAAGAGGATTCTTCATCAGGGGACGAGGACGTTGTGGAAAATGAAATTGACCAAATGGAAGATGAAGAGGAAATGGACGATGAAGAAGGCGGAAGAGACGAAAACGATAACAGTGGAGGGAGATTACTCAACGTTCAGAGAGTTGGTAAGTTGATAGATTTATCTTTATTTTCATCAATAAATATTACATAAATCTTTTAATAAGGCCATTGCTAATTTATGTTATTTACTAAATTTTTTGCTGAAAACTATCCATGGTCTTATTAAAAGTTAAATGTGGGGCAATTATATTTATACTAAAAATTCGTTTTCCCTCTGAAAAATCCATAGTTACAAATTAACGTGTACCTTTAAGTTGTGAATATATAGCAACGAATATGCATGATCACTACTTATGAGTGATAATATCGAAGATTATTACTCACGATTTACACTGTGTGCAGTATTTTCAATTTATGTAAATTGGGAATGTTATGTTTTTATTTGCTTTATTTACACACAGTATTGGTCATTTTACATACAGTATTGGTCATTTTACACACAGTATTGGTCATTTTACATACAGTATTGGTAATTTTACATACAGTATTGGTCATTTTACATACAGTATTGGTCATTTTACATACAGTATTGGTCATTTTAGACACAGCATTGGTCATTTTACATACAGTATTGGTCATTTTACATACAGTATTGGTCATTTTACAGGTCGTGAAAGTAACACAGCTCCTCATGCAATGCAGTGGGTGCTCTCGAACTCTGTACAAGGATCTACATATATGTCTGGCTTCTCTCCATCTCTTTTGTATGGTGAGCCCGTGCATCATGGTATTGATCGAAATGGCAGCGGTGCTGCTGTAGCTTCTGGTGTGACGTCGGCTGCATCTGCGTCCAGTACATCCGGTGCTTTGGTGAGATCTCATTATAATACGTTGAACTCAGCAAGTGCCTTGGCAAGGCTGTTTGCCATTCTAGTTCGCGAGGTTTGGATGTTTTTATTTGCTTATAAATTTTATATATTATTCAAGGAGCTTTTTATCTTAGAAAGTGTCCTTTATATATCACAGTATATTTGTTAGCTATTGATATCAAATTTTGAGCTAAATGCAAGAGGAAATCTACATTGAGGCAACGTAAATAGTTTTTCTATAAATTCGCGTCGCAAAGTAGATTCAACTTTCGTTAATTGACACTAAAATTAAGCGTCATACTTGAACAGAATGTGGACAATTTTTTTTCTTTGTCATACCTACAGTGATTCTTGTCTCAATGAATTTGTTCTTTGTTGCTTTTACAATTGAATCAAGTCAAAGTAACTGCCAAAGCACAGCAAATAGCCTCTTATCATGAATTAGATGGATCAGCAGGATTTTTTTGTAATTAGATCACAGACTTACTCAATGATATCTATAAAACACTTAAAGTCGACGAGCTTCACGAGCTTTGTGCTATGATGGAAAAGGAGCTACGGCCCACATGGGAATGGCTTTGGATAATTATGGAATCCACTGAAGGTCAATTGAGGTTTGGTACATCCCTTGTTGCTGCCTCCGATCCTTCACAGTCTGGGCATCCTGTGAATGAAAACCAATCCAAAGTGTTGACTTCGAAGGATAAGCGCGGGAATGATTCTGGAGTATCTGTTGACAAAAAGGGAAGGTAGGTGATATGTTTTTTTGTGTGATAATATTTATTTCTCTTCCTAAGTACTTCTGCAAGCTCAAAGGCCTGTCATGAAGTCCATTTGTAAATATGAGGACGTGTTTAAAGTATTAAACATATATTTTCTTCCCATCGTAATATTACAATGCACATCTTAGCTCTTCAAAACTTTTGCCTTTGTCTCAAGTACATTTTTTCCATAGACGAGTGGGTGTGTACTCAAACGATTTGGCAAGACAGGATTTTCTCTCGTACGTTCTCTCTCTTATTCGAAGCAATGAGAATGAGCATGCAGACTCTCTACCTAAAGTTGATGTACCTTCACTACGTCATGTTGCATTCGTCTTAGATTCCCTGATATATTACATGAGAAATAATCCTATTGGTATGTAGATATTTTATCTCGCATTGCTACAAATATAAAATCGTCAACTTTTCAATCATCATTTTATAAGTCTCAGGCAAACAAGCCCGCTTTGACATATTTGATGAAAGTAGTTTCACGACCGACGACGAAGGTGCTGCGGATATTGACGATGAAGATGACAACGATAATGATGTCAGCAATGACGTGAATTATTTACGTGAGCAGCAGCGATTTTTTCGACGCAGTGATTCAACTACGGTGTTAGGATGCGAGCCACCTGAGCCATTGCACACTGCATTGTGAGTCTCTTCCTTTGGCTGAGAAACCACACCTGTTAAATAGAAACGCTAGACGCGAGGAGCTTTTTGGTGCTGTTCAAGAGTCGTCTTTGCCGAAGGGCAGCGCGGTTATCATTCCAGTGTACTGGGACTGAATTCTTGTCCTATCTCTCAAAATACTGAAGCAACCAACGACGATACAACAAATCAAAGTAAGTTGAATTGTCCACTTAGGTGTGTGTACAGAAAGCTGTCCATTCATTGGAGGTAATCTTTGATGAATGTCCTACATTGATAATATCATCTATACTATCACTATCAAGTTACAAATTTAAAATTCTTTTATGACACAAGTATTGGAATTCTGTATATATCTGTAGGGAAATTTCTCTTAATTTGTGTCCATATAAGCCTTAAGTTTTGCTTTTTAGATGACTCTGTTAGCTCTACAAGATATTCACTGACGAGCAACATTTTCACCATATTAAACTTATCCTCAAACACTTGGATTTTCCCCGATATTCAAGGTATTGGCAGGTTGCCCCCAAATTTTCTTCTTGGTCGATGGAGATTGTGTTTGGAATTGTTCGGACGCGTGTTTTTGGAAGATGTCGGAGCGGAACCTTCTTCCATTCTCAACGAGTTGGGTCGTTTTGATGTTAAGGAAACGTCATTTAGGAGGGAAATGGATCGATTGAAAAATACAAGTCAACGGGATCTTAGTTTAGAGGTATGTAATTCTTACATTAATGTAAACGAAATTCAATTTGTGGAAAAATTTGTATATATTGTTGACTAAACAAAATAGAAAAGATAAAGATTTGGTGAATAGTTGTTTGTATTTTCTTGAATATAAATTAATTTTTTCTCTGTAGCTTGAACGAGAACATGATCAATTGATCCAACTTACCATTCGTCAGCTCAATGCTCACTTTGGTAAACGTCCATCTACTTGCAAGCCATCAATCATTCATCGTGTTAAGGTAACATTCAAAAATGAACCTGGAGAGGGAAGTGGTGTAACAAGAAGTTTTTTTACGGCCATTGGAAAGGCTTTTGTGTCTGCTGAGAAGTTACCCAAGCTCGATAATCTCACAGCTTCTACTGGTGGAAGTAAGTTCTTATTTTATTGAATTTATATGTTTACATGAAAAAATCGTCAAATCTCAACTGTTCTTCTTACAAAAATTTCGACGCACTATAGCTAATGAGCATTTAATGTAGACCACAATTTTTTGAAAATAGACATGTTTCGACATCTCATTATGCTATCTTCAGTAAAAATGAATAATTACATAAATAGTACAAGGTTTATACAAAAGTAATATAATACATAAATTATAACAATAATAAGGAAATGAGATAAATTAACAATGATTAACAATTACAATGATGTGTCTTTAAGGAACTATTAATAGTTTCCTACAGATGCAGTGAGGATCAATCCTAAACCAACATTACATTCATTAACAATTTCTTTATTATTTCGTATGGTCTTCTGAAGACCTAAAAAGTTTACGTTTTCGTTTATCAAACACAGTTTATTTTCTTACAAGATTCGTGCATCGTACAGAAACTTCGTGCGCAAGAACGTGAACGTGAACGTCGAAAGTTATTTCGTTTAAGAAAAGATCGTTTGCGTGACAGAGATAACCAGGAAAGTCAACAACATCTAAATCCAGATGCCAAACCCTTCACGTACGGTCGTAACGACAGTGCAGATAGTGATGACGGAGAGGGAGAAAGCTTACCTTCGCATAAACAATCAATTGGGGAGAGACTTTACCCTCGCATCCAATCTATAAACCCGGTAGGTTGTTGTACTTAATGCTTAATGTAAGCATTGAGTTGGATATAATTTAGGAAGAGTCTCGCGAAAGGATTGGATAATATTAAAAAATATTATTCGGAAGGGGGTTGTCTTTGGTAAGGGTCTGTTTTCGTTGGCCACCATGTTGGTAAAGAGTGAAAAGAATCTCATGCTTTAATGAATGCTGGAACTTACCATTATGGCTACTATACGTCACATGAAAACGTGCTATTGAAAAAAAGAATTTCATTGCGAAAGTGTTGATATTTTTATTGGGGGGGGGGAGTGAAATTTAAATAGATTCCTTAGAGTTTTCGTAAATGTCATCTTTTTTCATTTAAGACATTGGCGAGTAAAATAACCGGAATGTTGCTTGAACTCCCCCCGTCACAACTTTTGCTACTCTTGGCAAGCGAAGAAACGTTGAGAACGAGAGTGGATGAAGGCGTCGAACTTTTATTGAAGAAAAACAGGTCTTTTTGTTTATCAATTAAAGCATGAATGAATGTGTTTTAAATTAAACCAACTGTGTAGCATGCATCATTTGCTTTTGAATAACCCAATCAACATACAGATAAACATCAAATCTTTTGTTAAGGAAGAAGTTAAATAATCTATGTATACTTATTAATATCGATAAAAATACGAAAGAATGAAAGACTTTGAGAAAAACATCTTTGATATCTTGACGTTTTTATCAGGGAGACAAACAAAGAAGATGTTGATGTTACAATGCCACCAACTTCTGTTACATCCGTTGTTAATTCAGCACCTGATGTTGTACCACTTGAAGAAGATAATTTAGCATTGTTCTATCAACCAGGACATTCAGGTTTCTACTCTCCCCGTTCCGGAAACAACACTTCTGAAAGATTGAACGCATTCCGTAACGTTGGAAGGTGTGTAATATTCGCAATTATACTATCGTTGCGTCTTTGCTAATCAAAGTTGTTATACAATTACTCATAGTGAAGATCGATACAAAAACTACAATACGTTTTTCATCAGACTTATGATCATTGACGTATGCTACATTAAATTGTTTCATAAGTTCGCAAGACTTATCTCAAAGAAATGCGACCGTAGTAACATGTAATTTTTTACGAATTTTAGAGTGATTGGTCTCTGTCTTGTTCAAAATGAAATCTGTCCTATCACTCTAAATCGCCATGTTTTAAAGTTCTTACTTGGAAGACGCGTAAGTAATTCTTATTGGATTGAATTTGACAAAAGTATTTGCCAACTTAGTCTTTTGATAGTGTAGCTCGTGAGGATTGTATGTAAGAAGTTTCCACATCAGATCACTTCTGATAAAACAATACATTTGAGTATATAAGAACTCTAGAATCAACATCAAGTCAACATTGACCAAAACACTAGTGACTCTAGACTGGAGTATATATAGACTCAGGTTTCGAAATCATATCATTCTTGATGAAAACAGTCACTAGACTGGAGTATAGAAGGACTCGAGTTTGAACATTAGGTCACTCGTGATGAAGATTAGAGTTAAAAGAACTTGTTTTTCAATGTCAACTTAATATTGGAATGATTTGTGACTGTACATTAATGATGTGTAAAATATATTATCTTATTTAATGTACCGTGATTAAATTTTGTGTAGATTGGATGGCATGATTTTGCATTCTTTGACCCCACGATGTATGAGACTCTGCGAAAGTTGATCGTAGACGCCGAGCAGTCGAATGCCTGTGAGATGTTCACGACTCTGGATCTTACGTTTAGCGTTGAACTGAGTTCAGACGAGGGTGGAAAACGTGTTGATCTTATACCCGGAGGAAGCAATACTCCGGTCACCCCAGCAAATGTCCGAATGTACGCCTGGAAATATGCAGTGCTAAGAATGGAAACATGTGTCAAAAGAGCGTTAAGGGTAGGTTTTTAACCTTGCTTTTATCCCAGCTATTTGAGTAAAATGAAGAAATCTCTTACGAAAAATTCTTGTTGTTCCCAGGCTTTGCGCACTGGTTTGCTAGATACAATTCCTGCAAGTTCATTGGACGGTTTAACGGCCGAAGATTTGCGATTGCTACTCAATGGAACTGGGGAGGTGAACATTCATCAACTTATGGAATATACTACATTTAATGATGAATCAGGAGGTATGAAGTTTTGATATGACACAAAGAAATAAAGAAATTCTTGTCGTGACGGTTTTGCTTTTCACAGGCGCTGGTTCTGAAAAACTTCTTAAATTTAAGAAATGGTTTTGGTCTATATTGGAGAAAATGCCCATGACTCATAGACAAGAGTTGGTGAGTTTTTGTAGTGACTGCTTTAGAAATAAGTTGTTATCATCCTGAATAAAAATATAACATGTTTTTGCCAAATGCTATTCGTGTAGAAAACTCTTTTCTCGTTAAAGAAAGATTTCGATTAGCTATTTTAAAAATCATTTTAGATGTATTTCTGGACTTCCAGTCCTTCACTTCCAGCGAGCGAAGAGGGTTTTCAACCGAAACCGTCAGTGACAGTTAAACCCGCCAATGATCAACAGTTACCTACGGCCAACACCTGCATCTCTCGTTTGTACATTCCTTTGTATTCTTCAAAAGTCATTCTCAAAAACAAGCTTCTTTTGGCTATTAAGACAAAGACTTTTGGTTTTGTTTGAGACGGTATTCTTATATTTTCAGCAATTAAAGTTAGCTGAAATTGTAATGGAAATTATTATTTTAGTGCATAAAAAGCGTTGAATATTGTGCAAATATGGCAATAAATGAACACTAAAGATTCAACAAAAAATGATTCATACAAATTTAATGGAAAACAAACACAGAAAATGAATTGTTAACAATAAAAAATGAAATTTAAGTATAGTACTAAATAAAAATAAAACATATGAGCATTAAGGAATAAAAAGTATAATCTAGTTCATCACTACACAAATACCCGCTGACAGTACGGAAATGCCTGCTTTGGTTACGAAAGTGCCCAATGATCGTTACACAAACGCCCGAATAACGTTACAAATAGTCATACGTTACAAAATGCCTCAAATGTTACGAAAATGCCCGACTATATTACCAAAATGCCTGCTTTGGTTACGAAAGTGTCCTATGATCGTTACAAAAATGCCCGCTGACGATACGAAAACTCCTGCTTTGGTTAACCTCAATGGAACCGAAGTCTGTTTCCCTAAAATCGTGTAAATGGTTGACTAGAACAGATTTCAAGTTTATTTATCAAGCTAAAAATGTTTTATGATTTCTGCAAGATTAATTGTTTATCAATCATCTTACTGAAAAAAACAGAAGAAAGAGGTGAAGACAAGATTCAAGATTAGGTAAAAAATATTTCACGTTATCAATAAGATTACAATGATTAGTGGTTAAGTTAAATATGGCTAGGTGTGGGGTGCATGGCATTTTCCCGCCAGAGACTATAGTTCATGCATTTTTAGTTCATGTATTTTCACACATTTTCATGCCAAAGACTATAGTCTTTGCATTTTCACACATTTTCATACCAAAGACTATAGTCTTTGCATTTTCACATATTTTCATGCCAAAGACTATAGTCTTTGCATTTTCACACACTTTCATACCAAAGACTATAGTCTTTGAATTTTTACACATTTTCATGCCAAAGTCTATAGTCTTTGCATTTTCATGCCAAGACTATAGTTTTCATTTCTTACAAGACTATAGTCTTTGTATTTTCATACATTTTCATGCCAAAGACTATAGTCTTTGCATTTTCACACATTTTCATGCCAAAGACTATAGTCTTTGTATTTTCATACATTTTCATGCCAAAGACTATAGTCTTTGCATTTTCAAAATTTGATGCCAAATACTATAGTCTTTGTATTTTCACACATTTTGATGCCAAAGTCTATAGCATATTTCACACTTTCATCCAAAGACTATAGTCTTTGAATTTTTACACATTTTCATGCCAAAGACTATAGTCTTTGTATTTTCTTACATTTTGATGACAACTCTATAGTCGGTGAATTTTTACATATTTTCATGCCAAAGACTATAGTCTTTGCATTTTCACAATTTGATGCCAAAGACTATAGTCTTTGTATTTTCACACATTTTCATGCCCAAGTTTATAGTCTTTGAAGTTTTACACATTTTCATGCAAAGACTATAGTCTTTCATTTTACACTTCTATTCCAAACTATCTTGTCTTTTGCATTTCACACATTTTCATGCCAAGACTATAGTCTTTGCATTTTCCATTATACAAAGACTATAGTCTTTGCATTTTCTTGATTTTTAATAACTATAGTCTTTGCATTTTCACATTTCATACCAAGACTATAGTCTTTGCATTTCTACTCATACCAAAGACTAAGTCTTTGATTTTCACACAATTTTCTCAATACTATAGTCTTTGCATTTTCAATTTTATTCAAAGAGACTATAGTCTTTGCATTTTATTTTCATGCCAAGAGAATAATCTTTGCATTTTCACACATTTGATTCTATAGATCTTTGTTTTACACTCACCTCCATTCCAAAGACTATTCCATTCTTTCCATTCCTCATACCTTCTTTCAGATTTCCATTTAGTCTTCATTCCTATCAATTTTCACATTCAAAGACTATAATCTTCATTTTCTACTAAAAAAGACTATAGTCTTTGCATTTTACTTACATAAAAGACTATAGTCTTTGCATTTTAATACACTTTACATCAAAGAGACTATAGTACTTAGCTTTTGCATAAGTTGTTATAAAATGCAAGACTATAGTCTTTATAAAAATGTAAAAATCCAAGACAGTCTTTACGTAAATGATAAAATAGAACTAGTCTTTGTAAAAATCACAAAGATAGTCTTGCGTAAAGTTATAAAATCAGAGACTATAGTCTTTACGCAAAGTGTGTAAAATCAAGACTATAGTCTTTGCATAAAAGGTAATATCTGGTTTTCTAATTTTTAAAAGTGTTAAAATCAAAGACTATAGTCTTTGCATAAAAGATAATAAAATGCAAAGACTATAGTCTTTTGCATAAAGATGTCAAAAATAAGACTAGTCTTTTGTAAAGTGTGTAAAATGAAAAGACTATAGTCTTTTGCGTAATGTAAAATAAAGACTATAGTCTTTTGCATAAAAGTTGTAAAATGCAAAGACTATAGTCTTTTCATAAAGGTGTAAAATGCAAAGACTATAGTCTTTGCGTAAAGTGTTTAAAAATGCAAAGACTATAGTCTTTGTATAAAAACTGTGTAAAATGCAAGACTATAGTCTTTGCGAAAAGTGTTAATAAAATGCAAAGACTATAGTCTTTTGAATAAAAGTGTGTAAAAATGCAAAGACTATAGTCTTTTGCATAAAAAAGTGTAAAAATGCAAAGACTATATTCTTTGCGTGAAAGTGTGTAAAATGCAAAGACTATAGTCTTTTTATAAAGTGTGTAAAATGCAAAGACTATAGCCTTTGCATAAAAGTGTGTAAAAATGAAAGACTATAGTCTTTTACATAGTTTGTAAAATGCAAAGACTATAGTCTTTGTAAAAGTGTGTAAAATCAAAAGACTATAGTCTTTGCATAAAAGTGGTAAAAATGCAAGACTATAGTCTTTTACGTAAATGTGTAAAATGCAAAGACTATAGTCTTTTAAAAAGAAATGTAAAATGCAAAGACTATAGTCTTTGCGTAAAAAATGTTAAAATGCAAAGACTATAGTCTTTTAAAAAGTAAAAAATGCAAAGACTATAGTCTTTTGTAAAAGTGTAAAATGCAAAGACTATAGTCTTTGCATAAAAGTGTAAAATGCAAAGACTATAGTCTTTTTAAAAGTGTGTAAAATGCAAAGACTATAGTCTTTTACAAAAAGTGTGTAAAATGCAAAGACTATAGTCTTTTGCGTAAAAGTGTGTAAAATGCAAAGACTATAGTCTTTGCGTAAAAGTGTGTAAAACAAAGACTATAGTCTTTGCGTAAAAGTAATAAAATGCAAAGACTATAGTCTTTTTATAAAAGTGTATAAAATGCAAAGACTATAGTCTTTTGCGTAAAAGATAATAAAATGCAAAGACTATAGTCTTTTATATAAAAGTAAAAAAATGCAAAGACTATAGTCTTTTGCATAAAGTGTGTAAAAATGCAAAGACTATAGTCTTTTGCGTAAAAGTGGTAAAATGCAAAGACTATAGTCTTTTATAAAAGTGTGAAAAATGAAAGACTATAGTCTTTGCGTAAAAGTGTAAAATGCAAAGACTATAGTCTTTTGCGTAAAAGTGTAAAAATCAAAGACTATAGTCTTTTGCATAAAAAAGTGTAAAAATGCAAAGACTATAGTCTTTTGCGTAAAAAAGTGTAAAAATGCAAAGACTATAGTCTTTTGCGTAAAAAAGTGTAAAAATGCAAAGACTATAGTCTTTTGCATAAAAAAGTGTAAAAATGCAAAGACTATAGTCTTTTGCGTAAAAGTGTAAAAATGCAAAGACTATAGTCTTGCATAAAAAAGTGTAAAAATGCAAAGACTATAGTCTTTTGCGTAAAAGTGTAAATGCAAAGACTATAGTCTTTGCATAAAGAATAATAAAAATGCAAAGACTATAGTCTTTTGCAAAAAGTAATGTAAAATGCAAAGACTATAGTCTTTGCGTAAAGTGTAAAATGCAAAGACTATAGTCTTTTGCGTAAAAGTAAGTAAAAATGCAAAGACTATAGTCTTTTGCGTAAAAGTGTAATAAAATGCAAGACTATAGTCTTTTATAAAAGTATGTAAAATAAAGACTATAGTCTTTTGCGTAAAATGTAAAATGCAAAGACTATAGTCTTTTGCGTAAAGATGTAAAAATGCAAGACTATAGTCTTTTGCGTAAATAATAAAATGCAAAGACTATAGTCTTTTATATAAAGAATAAAATGCAAAGACTATAGTCTTTTGCATAAAAGTGTAATAAAATGCAAAGACTATAGTCTTTTGCGTAAAAGTGTAAAATGCAAAACTATAGTCTTTGCGTAAAAGTGTAAAATGCAAAGACTATAGTCTTTTGCGTAAAGTGTAAAATGCAAAGACTATAGTCTTTTGTGTAAAAGAGTAATGTAAAATGCAAAGACTATAGTCTTTTTGCGTAAAAGTGTGTAAAATGAAAAGACTATAGTCTTTTGCATAAAAGTGTGTAAAAATAAAGACTATACTTTTGCATAAAAGTGTAAAATGCAAAGACTATAGTCTTTGCGTAAAAGGATAAAATGCAAGACTATAGTCTTTTGCATAAAAGTGTTAAAATGCAAAGACTATAGTCTTTTAAATAAAGATAAAAATACAAAGACTATAGTCTTTTGCATATAAGTGTAAAAAATACAAAAACTATAGTCTTTTGCGTAAAATTGTGTAAAAATACAAAGACTATAGTCTTTGTAAAAAGTGTAAAATGCAAAGACTATAGTCTTTTTGTAAATGTAAAATGCAAAGACTATAGTCTTTTGCGTAAAAGTGTAAAAATGAAGACTATAGTCTTTTGCATAAAGTGAAAAAATGCAAAGACTATAGTCTTTTTAATAAAAATGCAAGACTACTTTTTGCATAAAGTAATAAAAATGCAAAGACTATAGTCTTTTGCGTAAAGTGTAAAAATGCAAGACTATAGTCTTTGTAAAGATGTAAAAATCAAAGACTATAGTCTTTGCTAAAAGTGTAAAAATGCAAAGACTATAGTCTTTTGCATAAAAGTGTATAAAATGCAAAGACTATAGTCTTTTGCGTAAAAGTGTAAAATGCAAAGACTATAGTCTTGCGTAAAAGTGTAAAAAAAAGACTATAGTCTTTTGTAAAGATAATGTAAAAATAAAGACTATAGTCTTTGCATAAAAGTGTGTAAAATGAAAGACTATAGTCTTTTGCGTAAAAGTGTAAAATGCAAAGACTATAGTCTTTTGCATAAAAGGTAAAATAAAGACTATCTTTTGCAAAAGTGTAAAAATAAAGACTATAGTCTTTTCAGTAAAAGTGTGTAAAATCAAAGACTATAGTCTTTTGTAAAAATGTGTAAAATGCAAAGACTATAGTCTTTTATGTAAAGTGTAATAAAATGCAAAGACTATAGTCTTTTGTAAAAGTGTAAAAATGCAAAGACTATAGTCTTTTAAGTAAAGATGTGTAAAATGCAAATATAGTCTTTTGCATAAAAGTGTGTAAATGCAAAGACTATAGTCTTTTGCGTAAAAAGTAAAATGCAAAGACTATAGTCTTTTTAATAAAAGTATAAAAATGCAAAGACTATAGTCTTTGCGTAAAAGGAATAAAATGCAAGACTATAGTCTTTGCGTAAAAATGTAAAAATGCAAAGACTATAGTCTTTTTGTAAAAGTGTGTGAAAATGCAAAGACTATAGTCTTTTGCATAAAGTGTAAAAATGCAAAGACTATAGTCTTTTGCATAAAAGGTAATAAAATGCAAAGTATAGTCTTTTGCGTAAAAGTGTGTAAAAATGCAAAGACTATAGTCTTTTTGTAAAAAGTGTGTAAAATGCAAAGACTATAGTCTTTTGCGTAAAAGTGTGTAAAAATGCAAAGACTATAGTCTTTTATGTAAAAGTGTGTAAAAATGCAAAGACTATAGTCTTTTATGTAAAAGTGTGTAAAAATGCAAGACTATAGTCTTTGAATGCAATTTTAAAATCAAAGACTATAGTCTTTTTTTAAAAAATGCAAGACTATAGTCTTTGCATTTAAAATTTTAAAATGCAAAGACTATAGTCTTTGTATTGAAATGATAAAAACTCTATAGTCTTTGCGTAAATATGTAAAAATACAAAGACTATAGTCTTTTGCATAAAAATTTAATACCAAGACTATAGTCTTTGCATAAAAAATTTTATCAAGACTATAGTCTTTTGTAAAAAAGTGTGAAAATCAAAGACTATAGTCTTTTATAAAAAGTGTAAAAAATGCAAAGACTATAGTCTTTTACATAAAGTGTGTAAAAATGCAAAGACTATAGTCTTTTTAATAAAAGTGTGTAAAATGCAAGACTATAGTCTTTTGCGTAAAATATGTAAATAAAACTATAGTCTTTTGCATAAAAGTGTGTAAAAATGAAAAGACTATAGTCTTTGCATAAAAAGTGTAAAAATGCAAAGACTATAGTCTTTTGCGTAAAAGTGTGTAAAAATGCAAAGACTATAGTCTTTTATGTAAAAAAGTGTAAAAATGCAAAGACTATAGTCTTGCATAAAAAAGTGTAAAAATGCAAAGACTATAGTCTTTTGTGTAAAAAAGTGTAAAAATGCAAAGACTATAGTCTTTTATGTAAAAAAGTGTAAAAATTCAAAGACTATAGTCTTTTAAAAGAAATATAAAATGCAAAGACTATAGTCTTTTTATAAAAGTGTGTAAAATGCAAAGACTATAGTCTTTTGCGATGTAAAAATGCAAAGACTATAGTCTTTAAAAGTGTGTAAAATGCAAAACTATAGTCTTTTGCATAAAGTAAAAATGCAAAGAGACTATAGTCTTTGCGTAAAAGTGTGTAAAATGCAAAGACTATAGTCTTTTGCATAAAGTGTAAAAATGCAAAGACTATAGTCTTTGCATAAAGTGTAATAAAATGCAAAGACTATAGTCTTTTGCATAAAAGTGTAATAAAAATGCAAAGACTATAGTCTTTGCGTAAAGTGTAAAAATGCAAAGACTATAGTCTTTTGCGTAAAAGTGTGTAAAATGCAAGACTAAGTCTTTTATAAAAGT